CCCTAACCCTAACCCTAACCCTAACCCTAACCCTAACCCTAACCCTAACCCTAAGCCTAAGCCTAAGCCTAAGCCTAAGCCTAAGCCTAAGCCTAAGCCTAAGCCTAAGCCTAAGCCTAAGCCTAAGCCTAAGCCTAAGCATAAGCCTAAGCATAAGCATAAGCATAAGCATAAGCCTAACAATAATAATAATAATAATCAAAAAATACAAGATTAAATAATTATAAACTTATATTACCCTAAATCTTAAAAGTACATAATTTAAATACTAATAAAACTACACAACTTAATAATAACTAGACCATTTCATTACAGGAAGAGGTACAGGTGATAATTTCAAAGAATTCTTAAATGTAGTTAAATCAGTAAAATGTTGTGCATCGTAATTTTTAATAGCATCTTTCTTTAATTTTGTATATAATTCTTTAAGATATTTAAAAGCTTGAGAAACTATTTCAGAAACATCTTTATGCGGATACTTATTTGTGAAGAATTTCTTTAACGCTTTTTCAAAATCTACTAATAAATGACTACTTTCTATTAAATCAGAAAGATCTTCTAATGAGATATCTAATCCGTTGCATTTAAAATAATATTGAAGCCTTCTTGGCGAGAAATCTCGAACGGAAACCGATTCTAAAGTTTGTGATTTTAAGTGAATAGATAATTTCTTCCGAGTAGCTGAATCAGGGTAGAAATAGTTATAAAAGTAGTCTTTCAGATCCTCTTTCGTTAGTCCCTTTAAAGACCTATATATCTTCTTCCCTAAATTATCATTAATTGCAAATAATTATCAATTATCATAATCTACTAATATCAAAATCATAAAACCCTGAAACAATGGAAGCCAAATATACACCCGACTCCTTTGGAAGGGATGTATACCTCCCAGAGAATAAAGGAAGAAGTGTATTAACAACACTTTTAAGTTGTTCATCAGTAATGGTATCAATAAAAGCTGCAAATCTATATAAAAATGCATTGATACGTTGCTCTAAATAAAATGGATCCCTCAAACTTTGAAGAACGAAAAAAAAACTATAAATATAAATGAAAAATATAATAATCCAAAAAAAAAAATACCTCATTAGAGCGGTTGAAGTATACGAAGAAACCCTAACAACATAGCTTAATTGTTCCTCAGTTCTTAATTGATTAAACACTCTTGATCTAATAAGACTAAAGAGGACATTAAGTAATGCTATTAATTTTGAATCTTTTGAAGATCCAACTTGTAAAGAATAAAGGATTGCTGAGTTCACTTCTTGAGGGTTTAACAATGACATTTCGTAAATATAATTGCTTCCTAAAATATATTAAATACGAATAAAAAAGTAGAACTATCGACCTTCTTTAAAAATATAAGATCGAGAAGGAAGAATCTGATAGGGATATTGTTTCTTAGGAGAAAGGGCTTTAAAATATATTTCAAGTAAATCTTTTGTACTCTAAAAAATTAATCATTGCAAATTAATATTAGATTTCTTACATTTGAAAGCAGACCGACTGCTAATACTTCAGTAAATACGGAAGAAAATCTCCTCGAATGAAAAACCTGGACATCTTCATAAGTCGTTGCTAAATCAAAAATTAATAGAAATCACAATTTCGAAAACAAATTACAATTTATAGCATACAACATTTCTGAAGAAGGCCAATATAATGGATCATGAAAAGCAAGAGAAACTTGTGACACCTTGGAATAAGGCATTGAAACTTTATCATACTCATACATGTATAGATACTTCTGTCTAGATGACATAAAAGAGGCGAGAGAAGGAGTATAAAGTCGCATAGATTCAATAACCTTATCAAGCAATAGAAGTATTTTATCACTAAAGCCATATATAGATAAATAAATCCCAATATCAATGGCACTTATTGTAAGTGAATATCCAGCAACAATAGCATTATAATGCTGCGTACTGACATGATTAATTAACATATCAAGATAGATCCTAAATTTTTTAGAATAATTTATTAATATATTAGAAATATACTTTGAATGAGCAGTTTCAAAAGGCGAAGAAGAATAATCAGGACTAAAATATTTAGTAAGCAATATTTCAAATATAGTTTTGCTAATACATCTTAATAAGTGCAGATATAAATGTTTTGGGTATAGAAAATGTATCATCTTCCTTATACCAGTAACGGAGTCTAGTATCATTATACATAAGAGTAGGTTTCGTTTTTTTCTAAAAAATCAGATTACGAGTAACAAATCATGGAAATTACGTGAGTAGAAACGTTTGCTCTAATAAATAATTCTGGAATAAAGATATTTTTCTCTGGAAATTTCAAAGAAATATTTAAATCATCTTTTCTAGTTTTCTATTATTTGTTAAAACCAAAAATGGCTTTAATCTCTAAGAATACCTCCAAAAGTGTTTGACTGAAAACATCAACCTTATACTCCGAGCCATACCAAGGTTCTCTTAAGTCCCAATAACCGGGTTTAGTTTTGGAAGTAATGGTAAGGAAATAATTATCATCACGTAACACACTAAGTAGTTTTGCAAACTGTTTATGGTCATACTCAGAAAGATATGAAGACCTCAATAAGTCCACATCTTCTATATATGGTAGCTGCATAACTGATGCTAAGTGTGAAGCATATGACATTAATTTTGGCTGATCTTTAAAACGAAATGATACATCATCTATCTTAATCAAATCTTTAAAATAGTCCTCATTAGGAGTGTTGTCTATTATTTTTCTAGAGTTATAATTTAATTAAAACAAAACAAACCTCGAAGCATTCTCAGAAATTGAAATACTAATCCTAATATATCTTCATAATTATCTAGAAAAAATTACTTATTTTTAAAAAAAATAGAAAATAATACCAAGCCCGATTTCAGTAAGACCTATATTTATTCTAAGAGCATCCGTTTCAGAGACTATATATTCACTATAAACACTATAAAAAAATATAAATAGGTCACAAGTTCTGAAAAAGTTTACCTAATATCAGTTATCCATCCCCGCTGATTTAAAGTATAAAAAACAGAACCATATGATCTATGATCTAGTTCATTTAGAAATAAATATATTAAGAATTATAGAATATAACCTAAAAAATGTCTCAAATAGTCAGAAGGACTAGACTTATAAAACATCCTTTGAGTATCAATAGGAAATACGAGTTCGATTGAATTTGAATCTGCTATCGGTTTATACCAATATTGTTTCTAATAAATAAGAATTTCATAATTCAATTAAAAAAATGCTTACCCCAATAACATCAGCCCCAAACGGCTTTTCAGTAAATTTGGGTACTTCAAGATTCTTATTAGGAATATCAGTAAAGTATTTAACAGCTAATTTCTCAAGATTATCAAGAGATTCTAATACCGAGTAAAAACTAGGATTTATAAAATCAAAAAATATTTTTAACCTGATGAAAAAATAACAAGTTTCATCAAATTTGAAGAATAATAAGTTGAGAAAAACTTAGAAACTACAGATGCAATATCTATTCCTTTCTTTCTTGTGTTTTCAACTAATGTTACGTAATCTCCTGTACCGAACTTGCTATAAGGACTTTTTGGATTAGAAATGGATTTCTCGAGCTGAAATAGACGCCAGGCATCATTTTGAAGGTTCTTTTTATGTTCTTGAATTTATAAGTTCAATAGTTTTAAAAAATATATAAAAAATAAACCTAAATCAACAGCATGTGCTTCCCGTTCTACCGATCTTTTCAAAATCAAAGGAGAAATAAAAAGCTGAGAAAACATATCTAATGCTTTTTCAAAAGATTTAGGTTCTACAGAGAAGAAATAATTTGTATCTTCTGTTGAGGTATATGCATTATAAGTTCCAGCATGAGTCAACAAATATTCACTAAAATCATCTTCTCCAGGATACTAAAAATATCAACAATATCAAACATATATCTCAACTGACTTTTTTTGTGCCCATAAATAGTAAGTGCTCACAAAAATGAGCAACGCCAGGGATATCATCCTAAGAAGAAGTAAATAAATAAAAAAAATTTTATAAACCTACAGGATCGCTAAAATGGCCAACTTTTACATCCAATGCTGCTCCTGCACTCAGTGAATCTGGATAACTGATTAATAAGGTTTTAAGTCCATTAGATAATTGAATTAATCTATAAGAATAATGATCGCCTTCTGGCTTCTTAATGTTTTCTGTAAGAAGTGTTGCTGTAGTAGCTCTTTTATATAATATATGATCTGTTTTATTATGTTGTATTATATGTGATTCTGTTTTTAAAAGAAATATAAGTGAAAAAAATATGAAATAGCTCCACATAAATGTAATATAAAGAAAAGATTTAAGAAAGATTATTCAAATGATCTTATATATGTTGATTTCCTAGTCCAAAAATAATAATTAATTATTTACTAATTTATTTTTAAATTCTTCAGTAAAAAACGGATATACTTAAAAAAACCGGAAAATAGCTTTTTAAGATAAAAATGCCGACTGATCTTGTGATACGATAAAATTTTTTAAGGACTAATGAAAATAAATAATTTATGACAAAAAGGATCCGATGTATTGAACATATTAGGAGAGATATATGGTCGAAGTTTGGAAATTTAAGAGATGAAAGAATGGGATCTCGAACGAGTTATAATCCTCAATGGATTCATCCAAAAGATAGAATTAAATTTTGGAATATTGCAATAGGAGACCAAGTACGCAAGTCAGTCAAAAAAACGAAGATTTATGTTATTAACTATTATGTATAGGTTCAGATAATCACTGGTAAGGATAAAGGCTTACAAGGAAGAGTAATAGAGATTGATAAAAAAACGAATCGACTTAAAGTAGAAGGATTAAAATTGGTAATTTGCATCCATAAGTTTGTTAATAAGGCTCATTAGATAAACATTCAGTGTAAAAAATATCTTCCTAGAGTGCTACGGACAAAAGAGACTGCAAAAAGTGTTCTTGAAATGCCCATGTTTATTCATTATTCAAATGTGCGACTTGTTGGTGAGATTCAAGGAGAAGAATATGGAACTAAAAAATTGTAATTTATAAATTTTTAATATGTTCTTAATATATTTTTAGAATTAATATTAGACATATTAATAAAGGAAAGCTATTTTATAATAAAGATAGAAAATTATTAACATGGAGACGATGGATAGCTGGTGAGAATAAATTCTTGCCATGGCCTACTAATTTACCGAAAACTGAAAAAGAGCGAGAGCAAGTATATAAAGGTAATAATATTTGAGATTGTTTTTAATATTATTTAATTCATTAGATCATAGAGTAGATACGAAAATGAATGATGTTTATGCAAAAACATTTGTTCCTGTTTTATATTCTCCTCCTTTTCCATTAAGTTTAGAAGATGAGCTTCGAAATAAATATTCTAAATATCGTTAAAAAAATTAATAAAATTATTAAATTTGAACTAAATGATAATATTTTTTTAAAAATATATATTTAGTAAATCTTTGAATAAAAAAAGAGAAAAGGTTGTATTTAATGATTACTAAAAAAAAGAAAATGAAATATTCACTCTTTTGAGCTATTTAGAATATTTTTCGTTTAGGTATTTAAAATTTATAATATTAAAATTTATTTGAAAAATGCTTCAATTTTTTCAATATTTTTCATATTAATAATTAATTTAATCAGCATTAAATATATCACATAATTCTTATAAAAAGAATCTAAATTATTTCTTAAATTTGTATACTTTTTCAATTCAATGTAATTTTGTTCTTTAGAGTTTCACTTTTTACTTAATTTTTGTTGTAGACAATGACTTTTTTAAGATCTATTTTAAGTATTATATATATATATTAATTTCAATATCACTTAATACTATTTTAATGATCAAAATAATTGAATACTTTTTAAAGAGCTTCTGGCATTTAGGAAGATTTAAAAATAAATAATCAAGTATTCTATATAAATTACCTTTCATGAGTTCAAGATATTAAAATGTTCTTTTTCAAATATTCTAGATTTAAATTAATTCATACTTTATAAAAAACATTTCTAATTTCTAATTCTAAATAAAAATTTTATAATTGTAATTTTTCATAATTCTTGAAGACCTATTAATGAGAAGTCTTGTAAAATGATTCTTAAAGATTTATCTTCATTATTGTTACAGAGTTCCTTATTAAAGAAATTTATCTGAAGATTTAAAATTATTTCATATATTTTTTTTTCAAATCTCTAATACCTTTCCATTTAAGGTTGCATTATTAATATTGCTAATTACAAAGAGCTTTCAGATCATTATTCAAATATGAGTAAACCATTATTTTTAAACAATTTTATGAATTGACTTGTAATTCGCCATTCCGATTAGAGTAATAGACCATTAATTATACAATTCCCTTTTTTAATATAATCTAATAATCTAGTATTTAGATATATTTAATAAAAAAAGATTTAATAGCTTATAAAGTTATTGCAAATAATTTTTTGGATAATTACATATGACTCTCATTTCCGTCTTATTATTGCTGTTCTTTAAGTGGAAATAGAATTTTTAAGAAAAATATTGATTTTTTAACATGACTGCATTTTTTTTATTAACTTTTTCAATATTTATCTTAAGTTTATTAGATTTTTCTATTTCAGTATTTACAAGTTTCTTGGATGTTTTTATGCTCTTAAGACATTCCTAAATCGGTTTATCATTCATAATCTCAAGCATTTACAATGTTCTTTAATTTCTTTAAGCATGCACTTTTATTTCTCAAATTTTTCAATGCTTTTAAAAGAATCTTTACTAGTTAAAATCGTTTTTTTCTATAATTTTTAGTTTCATCTTATTAGACATTTTGTAATAGATGGATTAATTCTATCTAAAAAAGATGATTTTTTATTATTCTCAGTATAATTTTTATTTATTAAATTATTAGTTTCTGAACGATTCAAGTTCTTACTAAAATTTATACTTATCGTAAAATTTATTGTTTTATTAATTCTTTGAAATTCATATTTATATAAATATGCAATAGTTTCTTTGTGAATTTTATTAATTTTAAAAATTCATTTTTCTAATTCATTATAAACATTTTTTTAATATTTTAGAAATATTTCCATTTTTAAGACTCGATTATCATCGAGATTTAAGAAAAACTATATATCAGAGCATTGAAAAAAAATTAGTTCTATTGACAAATCATAAAACACTATTTTTTTAATATCTAATGCCTTAATATCTTTTGAAAATTACTATATATTTTTAGTTCTAATAGATTTGGCTTTTGTAAATAAATTTTAAAAAAATATGTGAAAATAGTAATATTTCTGAAAATATCATATTTAACAAATATTAGTCCTATGAAAAACTTCATTTACCAATTTATCGTTTAGAAATTATTTTAAATTTATAAAATCTTAAATTTTAATCAAAAAAATAAACAAATAATAAATGATAAATAAATAATATTTTTTTATTTATTTAATACTGATTAAATTTTATGATTTTTTTTCATATATTCAAATTTTATGTAAAATCCTTTTTAAAATAATTTAAAAATAGTCAATTATTTCATTTAATTTGATAATATAGTTTAGTTATATTTTATTTATTTATATTTTTTTTATTAAATTACTTTTTCTTAATTTTTAAAATTTAAAAAAATCATATATTTAGGATAGAGTATTGAAACAATATATAAATTCAGAATTTGATTTTTACATAAAATCTAAAAAATAAAATCAATTAAGATTTAAAATAAAATTAAGTGAATTTAAGAACAGGTGACCTCGTTAATTTCCTTAAAAGTTGACTCTGATGCAATCGTATCCAAAATAGGAAAAGAAGCTATTCCTAAAATAAAAAAACTAAGATAGTTCTATATAACCATAAATATATAAATATATAAATATATAAATATTAAATATCGTAAGTAAAATTTATAGATAACATTTTTTTTAAACATAAGGAAAAAATATAAGAGAATTAAATATATTCAAATAAACAAGTTCTAGTTGTATAGAAGACAGTAAAAATGTATACAATATATCATCCGGTTGCTGTAGCTGCTGCAGCAACAATTGGTGCTATGCTTTTTGGATTTGATATTTCATCCATGTCAGCATTTGTATTATTTAATTATATGCTCTAGGATTTATATTAATAGGAAGATAGGTTACTGCACCACAATATCTTGAATATTTTAATCACCCAAGTTCTTTACTACAAGGTATTATTACATCATCTATGCCAGCAGGATCCGCAATAGCATCATTTTTTTCGGGATATTTTACAAATAAACTAGGTCATAGATCTATCAATCAGCTGGGTGCTTGGGTTTGGATTGTTGGTTCAATAGTTCAAGCAACCTCTCTTAATGCTGTTCATCTTATTATAGGTCGCTTTATTTCCAGCATAGCAATTGGTCTTTGTTCTGGTCAAATCCCTGTTTGGATTTCTGAATTGAGTCCTAAAAGATATAGAGGGTCTCTTGTCTCCATCTTTCAATGGTCCATAACATGGGGTATATGTATTATGTTTTATCTCTCTTACGGTTGCACAAAGATTGATGGACCATTGTCATTCAGGATTGCGTGGGGCTTGCAGATGGTTCCTGGTTTTATTTTTTCATTTCTTGTTCTTTTTCTTCCTCAATCTCCTAGATGGCTTGCTTCACATGATCGTTGGGAAGAAGCTCAATTCATTATTTCTAAAGTAAATCGTGCGAGTAGTTCTAATAGTCCTGAAGTTATTGCTGAAATAGAAGATATAAAGGAAGCAGTAGAAAGTGATAAAAATGGTATAGGCTATTTAGCATTATTTTCCAAAGGATCTCGTACGAGAACATTTGTTGGTTTTTTTACTCAAGTTTGGCAACAATTTACCGGCATGAATGTTATAATGTACTATGTTACAAATGTTTTCCAAATGGCAGGTTATTCAGGTGTTTCAAATTTACTTATCTCTTCTATTCAATATGTTCTTAATGTTATTATGACTGTTCCTGCTTTACTTTTTATTGATAGATGGGGTCGACGACCGACATTCATTTATGGTGCTATTTTAATGGCAATATTGTTATTTGCAGAGTCAATTTTTATGGCTCTTGGGGGTCATTATGTTCCTAATTATAAGGGGAGTGAGTATATACGATGGAGTATGGAAGGTCACAAAAATTTTGCAAATGCGGTAATTGCATGTTCTTATCTTTTTGTATGTGTTTTTGCTCCTACATGGGGGCCATGTGCATGGATTTATGTTTCCGAGATTTTTCCTCATAATCAACGTGCAAAAGCTAATGGGTTTTGCGCTTTTGCAAATTGGACGTTTAATTTTATATTGGCTATCTTTGTTCCTACTGCATTTAAGAATATTCAATGGAAAACATTTTTAATTTTTGCAACATTTTCAGTTACTATGGCTATTCATGTATATTTAATGTTTCCTGAAACGTGTGGAAGATCATTAGAAGAAATTGAGCATATATGGAAAAATAAAATACCAGCATGGAAGACAAAAGTATATAAACCACCTAAGCCTAGATGTATAGAGAAAAATGATGAAATTGCAATAGATAATAAAAGCGAGAATAAATATGAAGTTTAATGATAGTAAAGAATTATGCTAGAAAATACAAACAGAATTTTATGAAATTGAAAGTTATATTATAAGAATCTTATTGCTGTATACTTATTTTTATGATATAGTGTTTTAATTTTGTAAATTATAGAATAATATTTTATAAAAATTTAAATTGGGTTTCTGTAAATTGCAATCTAAAATAAACTCAAAAACTAGGACCTGTTTCTATTATTTTTTAATGAGTTTTAATTAGTTTTTAATATACTGATAATTTATGATAAATTTTTATATTTTTATAGATTTATGAATTGATAAAAAATTTGAGAATTTAAAATAAATATTTTAAATTTCCAAAATAAGTGATAGTTAGGCATAGAATTATAAGAAAAAATTGTTTATATTAATTAATTGCAAATTTATATTCATCGTCTATTAAATATTTTATAAATAATTGAAATACAAAAAGTGTAAAAAAAATTAAAAATAAATATAATGATTCATAATCAAGGAAAAAAAGTGGTTTTGTCTAAAATTAAGTCTCTTTTATTCCAGTATTCAAGGAGAAGTCTTTTTAATGATTACAGTATTGATAATATTTATGTGGATCATATCCTTCAGCCTCAAGATAAAAGTATTTATCGAAAAAAGTATAAAACACTCATTTAAAGAATTAGTATTTGTTTCAATGTCAGGAGGTGTTGATTCAAGTGTTGCTGCTGCTTTGTTAAAAAGTAAAGTAAATATAAATATATATATATAATACTTTTGATTAAAAATATACAGGGATTAGATGTTGTTGGCATTTTTATTCGAAACTGGATAGAAGATAACAGTTTTTGCTCCTTTGAAAAAGATTTTTTAGATGTTCAAAGAGTTTCAAAAGTATTATCGATGCCAGAGCCATATTATGTTGATTTTTCACGAGACTATTGGAATTTTGTTTTTCAGCCAGCTCTTGATTCATATAAAAATGGATATACTCCAAATCCTGATGTAAATTGTAATAGATATATTAAATTTGGATCATTGTTTGAAAAAATTGAACAAATAATTCAAGAAAAATATTCAAATTGCAACAAATGGTGGGTCGCGACAGGTCATTATGCTACAGTTAAAACACATATCCCAACTAGTTCATCACATTTATTACGTTCAAAAGATATGAACAAGGATCAATGTTTATATTTATCAAGAGTTTCTCAAAGTTCTCTTCGTCGAGTAAATTTTACAAATTATGTTTCCATTAATTAATACTATTTAGACCCTTTTTCCTTTATCAAATTTTACAAAACCTGAAGTCCGTAAGATTGCCAAGAAGTTTTCATTACCAACGGCAGATAAAAAAGAATCACAAGGACTTTGTTTTGTATCACCAAATGCAGGGCGACATTTTTCAAATTTTTTAGCTAATTATCTTAATCCTCAGAAATTAACATATATCGATATTTCTACAGGAGATATCCTTTCTGTTTCTTTTGATAAAGGTATATGGAATACTACTATTGGTGAATCTTCTAGAATTTATATACCACAAGCAAAAAATAAAATTAATGGAAAATGGTTTGTTGCTGATAAAAATCCATCAAAAGGTATTATATATTTATGTAGAGGATGGGATAATCCTGCCTTAATGAAAAATATAATATATTGCAAATCATGGCATTGGATAGATTCATCTTTAGAAGAATATGGTGAAGTTATTGGACAACTAAGACATAGACAAAAACCTCGTAAGTTTTCTAGATTTCTTAATATTATTAATTTGTTTCCTTAGAAAAGTGCTATATAAGTAGATATAAAAACAATATGATCAAAATTGAATTTGAAAAAATGCAACGAGGAATTGCACCTGGACAAAATGTAGCTGTATGGAAAGACAAAGTATGTTTAGGTGGAGGTGTTATACATCAGGTAGAATAGATTTACAGAATCTACAAAAATATCTCGAAAAAAACCAAAAGTATTTACAAATATATTAAATAATTTAGAAAAACTTGTACAATTTTTACAAAATATTATATTTGATAATAAGCAACTGCTTCATCTGGACTCTTACAAACATTATATACATACAAGGCTGCTTCTGTGTGTATAATTAACTAGATATAGTAGCTAATAACTCGTAATCATGATAAAATTGATATTCCTAAAAAGATTTAAAAGAAAGCGTTATGTCAAAAAAAAATATACTTGATCCCCAACTTTAATATTACTTCCTCCATATGCGGGAATAATAACCTTATCGCCAACTTTAACGTTTGTTTTAACCATTTTTCCGTCCTTATCAAGTCCTCCAGGACCGACTGCAATGACTTTGCCTTCTGATAATTTTTCCAATGATCTAAAACGAATATTAGCTATTACATTACTTAAAGGCTTTATTCTTCGAAAGAAGAGATCAAACAATAAAAAAGTAAATAATTTAAACAAAAAATAGTACATACTTTTCTGGCAAAAAAATACCCGAAGCAGTCTTACTTTCTGGTTGAATTCTCTGAACTAGCACACGATCTAAAAGAGGTCTAATGCATGATACAGATCTTAAAGAGGTTGCCATTTTAATGCTTTCTTGTAAAAAATAAACTTTTTTAAATATGTAGCTATAAAAAAATAAATTTTCGATTTAAACAATCGAAAATTCGAGACAAGCGCTAAATTAAAAAAATAAAAAATGAATAAACTGTTTTTTAAAAGCTTCATAATTTTTTAGACATTTAATTATTATAAAACATTAACTCGGATTTCTATATTCGAATATTTGTTTATGAATATAGAAAAAATTAGAAACTGAGACAACAGTAAAGATTATTTCAATTTATTAAAATAGGATGTTTTTATTTGCAAGAATTCAAGTTCTATTAAGTTTAATTCTTTTTTTTTCAGCGTTTGCTTCAGTTTTTTCTTTAATGTTTGATATTATAGCAATGCCTAAAAATATTGAAAATAACCGATGTATTCGTACTTATGTACCTGCAGATACTTTGGTAACAATTCATGTTAATGTTTTTGGGTCTCTGAATGATGGTCAAAAAGTGAATATGACAGTATATTAGTTTTATTAGGCATAAAAGATAAAAAGCTGATTTTTTAGATTACTGATATTGCTGGAAATAAATATGGCCATTCTAGAGAGATTATAGGCCAAAGAAAAATTGTTCTTACTACAAACAATGAATCTACGATTATTGTATGTTTAAATAATGTTCTTCTTGATGGTAATGATTCTATATAATAATAATAGAAAACTTTGAAGTTTTGTTACATATAAATTTTTATATTTTTTCCTTTTATAAAAAATATAAACAATAACTTCATTGTTTTATAAAACATAGTTTATATTTTTAAATAAATATTAACTGGTTTTAGGATTTGATAGTACCTTTAATCATTTCCGATCAGTAGAATTAAATATTAATAAAGGTGCAGATGCTCTTAATTGGAATGAAATTGAGATTCAGAAACATTTAAAACCTATCGAGGTTGAATTATTGAGAATCGAGGGTATTTCTAAGGAAATTGCAAAGGAGATGAATTATATGGAAAGACGAGAACAAAAAATGCGAGACATTAATGAAAGTACAAATGATCGTGTCAAATATTATGGTCTTGGGTTTATGATTTCTTTGGTTATCCTTGGAGTTTGTGAAATTGTTTATTTACGTCGTTTTTTTCAACGCAAGCAGCTTATTTGAATTTACTTAAATATTTACTGTTTAATATAGAAAATCGTTAATATAGTATTTATTTTGTTAAACTTTCTAAAAAAAAGTATTCTTTAATTTTATGAATTTATTATTTTTTCTATAATTTATCAATTTTAAGTATAAAAAGTTATCGTGCAATTTTTAGAAAAAATTGAAATTTATAGAATGAATGATAAAAATACAAATGCAAATACAATATTCGATAATGATCCGCAGGAGCTGTTAAATATATCAGAGAAGCCTCGATTAGGTCACTATGCAATTTTGAAGACACTGGGTGAAGGAAGTTTTGGAAAAGTAAAACGTAAGAAATAAATAAAAATAAAACTGAAAATAGGTAACTAAATATTTCTTAGTTGCAGTTCACTCTATTACTGGACATAAAGTAGCTCTTAAAATAATCTCACGAAAATCATTATTGAATTTAGACATGTCATCAAGAGTAGATCGCGAGATATCTTATTTAAAGCTTTTAAGACATCCTCATATTATTAAACTTTATGAAGTAATTGCAACTCCTACAGACATAATTATGGTTATCGAGTATGCTGGTGGGGAATTATTTGATTATATTGTTTCTCGAGGTAAAATGAGTGAGGATGAAGCTCGTCGCTTTTTTCAGCAGATTATAACTGCAGTTGAATATTGTCATCGTCATAAAATTGTACACAGAGATCTTAAACCAGAAAAGTATTTTCATTAGATTTTTTTTAATTATTTTAATCTTATTGAAGCCTTTTATTGGATGATTTTCTTAATGTTAAAATTGCTGATTTCGGTTTATCAAATCTTATGACTGATGGAAATTTTCTAAAAACATCATGTGGGTCACCAAACTATGCAGCACCTGAAGTTATATCTGGGAAATTATACGCCGGCCCAGAGGTAGATGTTTGGTCTTGTGGAGTTATTCTTTATGTTATGCTTGTAGGTCGGCTCCCATTTGATGATGAATTTATACCTACACTCTTTAAAAAAATAAATGGAGGAATTTATACTATTCCTTCATTTTTAAGTTCTGATGCTAAAGAATTACTTAGTCAAATGCTTGTAGTAGATCCCATTCAACGAATTACATTACAAGAGATTCGAGAAAGTAAATGGTTTAATCTTAACTTACCTGATTATCTTCATCCGCTTGATAAATATGAAGAAAAGAATGAAGTTGATGATAAAATTGTTGGGAAACTTGGACAAGTAAATTAAAATATTTTTTTAATATATTCAATTTTTGACTATGAATAGGCTATGGGCTATAATAAGGATCATGTATATGAAGCACTTGCTAGGTCGGATTGTAATGAAATAAAAGATGCATATCGATTAGTTGCAGAGAATCAGATGAGATATAAGGATTGTAAGTATTTTAGTATTAAGATTTTTCTCATTTTTTTTAGTTCGAATTATTATGGCAAAAAATATACAATCATTTTTGGCTCAATCTCCACCTAGCTGGGATACTGAACAAATTAAATTTCCTCGAAATATTTCATCATCTTCATTAGGTCATCCTTCTCCTACTAATATAAATACTTATTCCATAAGCAAAGGAGTATATAGTACATTGTTACCTTCAGTTGGTGGATCGTATACACGAATAGAAGATCAAACACCTTTTCACATTAGTATCTTGCCATCTAGTCTTCATAATTATCATATAATGTATATGAATAAGAGAATTTCCTTGGATTCATTGAATAGAAATATTAAGGACAAGAAATTACAAAGTAATATTTCTAAATCAGTTTTAGTACCAATGTCTATAAATACTGAAAAGAAAAAGCGAGCAATTCGTTGGCATTTCGGAATACGTAGTAGAAGTTCACCATTAGAAATAATGATAGAAATATATCGAGCACTAAAAGATCTTGGAGCAGAGTGGGTCGACATTGAATCTCAAAATATAAATCTGCATGAAAAGATAAATAAATTTAAAGAAAAGAATTTATCAGAAAACAATGATGCTAATGAAGCTATATTGGATTCAAATAAAGCCAAAGATCCTTATGTTATAAAATGCCGTTTAACAAAATCGTCTGATAACGAAAAAAAAATTATAGTAACTATCGTTATTCAATTATATCATTTAGAATCTAATAATTTTTTGGTGGATTTTAAATGTGGAGGTTATGAGAATGTATATTCAATTATTTCTGAATTACCATCAAACAATATAAATAGCGAAACCGAAAAAATAATTTGTGGAATGTCTAAATTAATAAAAAATGATATAATGAAAACTAGTTCTCAAGATTTAAATACATCACAATATTCGTTGGATTCTTCTGGGAAAAATCTTTCTGAAAAGCAGGTTACCAGCCCTTTTCCGTTTTTAGATATGGCAAGTCAGTTAATATTACACTTAATGTGATATCTTAATGTCTATACGAATTAAGCTTTGCATTTATTATTTTAAAAATTTGTATTATATTTTTATTTGTAATATCAAAATAGTCTTGCAAAATCTTGACTAATATGTTATCGAATTAACTTTTAGATTTAATATTTTTAAATTTTAATCAAATTAAAGATGTTTTTTATAAAATCCGGTTTTACTAATGCGTCCTTATTGAATAACCAAGGTATTTAAAATGACATTTTAAATAAATTTAAAAGGTTTTTATTCATTCTTGATCAATGGCTATAAGTTTGAAGAATATTTGGTCAATTTTAATTATAGCAATATGTTTTATTCTTTTGCTCTTTTTTGCTATTGTGAGTTATACAATGTCTAATTATTGATTTTTTTAATTATTTATTCAGGTTTTATTACTAATTTTTTCTAAACAAAGACTTTCATATCAATCCGAGTTATATTGTAAAGTTATATCAGAAAATGGGGAATTTAACAAAGTTCTTCTTAATACATTGGAAGATCCTGCAGAAGTCTTTTTGTCTGTTGTGATTCCTGCCTTCAATGAAAAATTACGGCTTTCAAAAATGTTGGAAGATGCAGTAGAGTTTCTTTCTTTCGAACTTGAAAAAGACCAAAAATGGGAGATAATTATAATAGATGATGGAAGTACAGATAATACCTATGAATATTCAGTTGAATGGGCTTTATCTAAAAGTAAAAGTTCTTTATTAAAACATGGAGAAATTAGAGTTTCTAGTTTAGAAAAAAATAGAGGAAAAGGGAGTGCAGTGACACATGTATTCTTTTTTTTTTGAAAATATATAGAATACTAACGATACAATGAAGGGAATGATCCATTCTCGAGGGGAGTATATTATATTTGCGGATGCAGACGGTGCATCTAGATTTTCTAATTTGTATAATCTTTTAAAAGAAATTAAAAAAATTGAAAGACACGGATACGGCATTGCTATAGGATCTCGTTCTTATACGGCATCAAGTGATATTATTTTAAAAGTATTTTTTTAAATACGAAATATATAAGATTAATTTATTTTAATAAATTTAGAGATCTAAGATCAGGAATTTCATGATGCATGTTTTTCAAAAGTACTTATGGTTTATGGGAATAAGGCATATTAAGGATACTCAATGTGGATTTAAATTATTTACTCGTCGAGCAGCTTTAATGATATTTCCAAATATGCATGTAGAAAAATGGATATTTGATATAGAAGTTCTTATTTTAGCTGAAATATTTTTAATACCAGTAGTTGAAGTACCAATAGCTTGGCAAGAAGTTTCAGGCAGTAAGTTAAGTTTAATAAGTGATAGTCTAAGAATGGCTATTGATTTACTAATTATGAGGTTAAATTACAAATTTGGATTTTGGAAAATCAAAAAAAAATAAAGAAATAATTTTTTTGTATTAAAGTTTTATAACTTTATAACAATATTTAAATTGTATTACATTTAAATCTCATGTTTTTGTTAAATTTGCATATTTTTGAAATAGTATTTAAAATTATGAAATAGAGCTTAATATAATTTTATTATATTTTAAAATATATATTAATGTTTATTAGAATTTATATATTAGTTTGTTAATACAAATTTATTATTCAGCTATATTGAAATAATATTATTATTAGTTTATGATTAGATTTTATTTAGAAAAATAATTTTAATATAAATATCAGCTTTTTATTTTTATTTACATTTTTTTAAAAATAAACCTATTTGTTATCATTTTAATTACTAAATATACTGATCTATAAAATTTATATAAAAATTAATAAATATTAAATCAACTTGTCATAAAATAAATTTTTAATTGTTAAAATATTAAATTGCATATATATAATATATATATATGACATTAGTTTAAAGTTAAAATTATTTAATATTTGGAAACATTTTGTTAATATAGATCTATATTTCTTTTTTTTAAAAAAAATTAAATATTAAAAATAAAATATAAAAAATAAATTTTATTTATAAAATCTTTACATTGTAATATATTAACAAACCATTTATTTAAATCATAGAATCAATTTATTGTTAATCAATTTGTTCTATTTAAATAAGTTTAACATATATGATTTTATTTAAAGCTTAGTTAATGTTTTCCGAATATATTTATTAGCTTAAATTGTTATTCTAATTGAGTATTTTATTATAATCTTAAATATCCTTATAAAAAGAAAACTGAGTTTTTGTTTTAATTTTTATATTTTTCTAGATTTAAAATTTAACATTTTATTAAAAACTTTTTAACAATTTTTTAATGTAAGAGAAGTTAAAAATGCAACTTAATATTAATATTATCTTTTTTAAAATTAAATTTCACATATTTTATAAAATTTATTAAATAATTATTTCAAAAATTATTATAAATATCTATAAAAAATTATCACTTAAACTATTACTGTAATTGCTTGCCATATAAAAATTTAATTATAAAGTTAATTTTTTAAAATTATTTTTATAAAACCATTTAAAAGTTATATAACGGTTTTTTAAAGCAAATACTAAAACATACAATATATATCTTATTTGAAATAGATGAAATAATAAAAAACAAGTTTTTTTAATTATATAAATCAAAAACAATATTATTAAGAAGTGAAAAATTAGAAATCAAAGTATAAACCAAAATATTAATAATTTTTCGTTTTAGGAAATAATTAATATTTCTTAAAAATTTTATTTAAGTATTTTTTTATAATAGAAATTATAATTAAATTTTATAATCGACACTTATTTATAAATATTGCTATCAAAAACTAATTTAGTCTTTAATAAAGAATTAAAATTTCCTACTTTTATAACTTTTCTAAAAGCTATTGCAGATATAGCAGCAAGTCCTTTAGCTTTTGCAATTATTCTCATATTTAGATCACTTGTAACTAATACAACTTTTTCAAATTCTTCAGATGCAAATAATCCTTTTTGAGATTTCACATGATTCTCATTTTGAAATAAAGCAACCTGAATAATTCTGTCATCAATATTTCTATATCTTTTTTCACCTTCAAAATTATCTTCTGATTGTTCTGATATATAATTCAAAGCATGAAGTATATTGCCTTTAACTGTAACAATCTTAGCTTTTTGAGATTTCAAAGCAGAAATAATAAGAATAATTGCATTATGAGCAGCAATGCCAATAGGAGGAGGTTTATTATTTAATCCATATAATTCAAAAATAACTAAAAGATATCACAATAAATTTAAATACCAATACTATTTATCTACCAGCAAGAGGGATGACAATATCCCAAGAATTCATAGAAAGAACCTTATGAAATAATTTTAAATAAGATATTAAAAAGTTGGTATCAAAAACTAAAGTCTAACCATATTAGTATAATCATATTTTAAAAATAAATTTACCGTATAACCAGATTTAATCTGTCGAAAAAAGTGCTGAATATCTTTTTTATGATTACATCCCAATTTTTTTGAATCATTTTTACTTAATATAGACTTCAAAGCTCGACGACGTTCCTAAAAAAATAAGTTGAAATATCTTTAGACTATAATTTATAAACTCTAAGATTTTTAATTTCTTCACTTTCTCCTTGTACTTCTAGATCATCATTAAATTTTATATCATTTTTATAATTCTCGTTTTCTGATTTAAATACATGAGTATGAGATAGTGATAAAATCGCTTTTTCAAAATATTCATTAGAAAACTTAATTTTATTAATATAATCTTCACTAATAGTGAAACGTTGAGTTTGAGTATTATACAACAGAATATTAGAAAGCTAATTATAGTTAATAAAAAAATTAAAAAAAATAAGAAAATACTGAAGCTATTTTAAATCCAAGCCAAATAATCCTTTTTATTCTAATTTCAATAATTTCATCATCAGGTTGTTCAACTGTAAAATCAAAATCATCTTCTGTCATATTTTCAAAATACGCTTTAGGCCAAATTTTTTTGGACCAATTTATACCTCTTAAAGCCCAGTCCTCAGGTAAAGGACTTTTACTTTGTCTAACTGGAAGGTCGCTTGTTCCAAGTATACTGTTATTCTTTATTTTTTTAATAATATTAGACAAATATTCTGCAATTTTAAACCATGGTATAAATCTTTCCATAGAAGAAAGAACAGATGAATAGTTTGAACAATAATATAAAAATATCATACATATAAAATTATATGCAAGAGAGTTTGATGATGTTATAGAGATAGAAAGTGACATAATAAAATAGTGTAATTGACATGCCTTTAAAAATACTATATGGTCAATAGATGATGTTTCTTGATCTTTTATAGAATGACGACACCCAGATAAATCAGATGAGTTAATAAGATTAATAGGATAATATAATGTAGATGCAATATGTGCCGCTTTGAATAAAGAATGATTAATTGCAGGAAGATCACTTTCATTTATATTATAAGACAAAGTATTTGTTTTATTTTCAACTGTAGTAAGTCTTTCCAAATATTCCTGATTCAATTTAGTATAATTTTTATCAAAAAAACAATTATATGTTTCCTTTCTCTTTTTCTTGTTGTTAATCTTACTCTCTCTTATTAAATATTTTAATTTTCCATGTTTATTTCCGTATTGAAATAGTGCTACAACATTCGTAATAGCCATTAATACACCTTCTTTATTCCAAATATTTTCTTTACTTAAAAGAGAAAGAAAATCATTAAGGATCACTTCAAAATCATCAAGTTGGAGCCGAGTAAACAATAATCCATGAAGTTTTACATAATTATTAATCAAATCCGAATTTTTAGATGCATTCGAAAAGCACAAAGATTCTTTATGGATAAATATTGGATCAAATAAAGAAAGTATGGATCCTCTAGCATATGAGAATGATTTAGAAACAATCAGTCTATTAAAATAATAAATATTTATTTAAAAAAATAAAAGGAAAATACGCTTTAGAATAATAAAACAATTTTTCTAATATATTATCTTTCGATAAGATAGCCAAATGATGATATAATCTTCCAAGCGTAGGTAAATTCTTTAATCCTTTAACATACCAATACTTTGCGACATTATTCCAATGATTTCTACTTTCCATATCTACTTCTTCAATAGCCATTCTATATCTTGCTAAATCCCCCAAACATTCTATCCATTCATTTTCAAACGTAGAAACAGTTTCAAGCAAAACTGTTATTTGAGAATATGAAAATAAAATATACGAAATCAAATGCTCAATAGTATATGGAAGTTGGGAACGAAGAATTTCGAGATAAGTATATATGGAGTTTCTCCATAGCCTAGCCGGAATAGTATATTTAATAGGAATTTTCATTATTGAAAGACTTGCTGAAGGATGCTGAGTAAGTGATAAAAAATTTATATATAAAAATAAAAGACTAAATTTATAAGCAAATATGCTATCAAAGTATATTACCTACGCTTCATGTAATTCGCTAAGTTTTCTGAATTTTTCATGATCTTTATCAGAAAACGAAAATTTCTTATCAAACTGATTACATATATTATCCTGAAGTTTCACATGAGATTCCAAATGTATAAGCCCTTTATATGAACTCTTAATTTCTTTGAGAAGCATTTCACGTGTAACCATAAACGGATTTTTTTCCCGAATAATCAAATTATAATCAGAATAAGAGTCGTTTCCATTAATAATTTTTTTCTGCTTTTCTAGAAAAAAAGTCTCCTCAACTTGTTTATTTTTTTGAGACTCCAAATTTATAAAAGTCTTAGAACTAAATAACTTTTTGTTACTATTATTAATTTTTTTAAATTCCTTAGATTTAAGTTGCCTTTTTTCTATATAATTTTTAGAAAATAATCTATTATTTTCTTTTCTTATTAAAGGTATTGGATCTAATCCTGGTTGAAAAAGTTTACTTTGATTTGAAGATTGAAATGTAGCTGCAAAGAATCTTTCATAAGAATTATGAGTTTTAGGATTTTTAGCACTTCCGGGCTTTTTAAATAACGTCCTTTCAATTGAAAAATGTTTTCCTAATTTTGCTTCTAATTTTTTTATTGGAATATTAAATGAAGGATCATAATCAGTATCAGAGGTATTATTGTGTATATTAAGATATTTTTTAGATAAATTTGGAGATCTTGTATAGTTTTTTAGATCACCCAAAAGATGTAATCTATATCTTTCATGTCTCGGCTTAAAAAGTATCTCTTCATAATCTAAGCTAGTCCTAGATTTAAAATTTTTATATAAAATTTCTTCTGATTCCTTTTTGTGAGTGCATATAAATTCCTCAGTATGTTTAGATAAAATTTGAGGTTCCTCTAAATTATTTCCAAGTAAAGCTTTTGTTTTATTATTAATTCTAATGTAACATAAGAAACCCCATAAGGTAGAAAAAACAAATATATACTTTGTAGCACTATATTGAGATAATATCGGTTTATCAGATATACAAGGAAGTGACATTATAAAATTAATTGCGTTATTTAGGTCATGTTTCATTAATCTTAAGTAATAAAAAAAATCCTTTAAAGAAATATCTCTCCATTTATGTGTTAATTCAGAAATCTTATTAACAAAATACCACTTCTTTTTGATATAAAATAAATTTTAATAACTTAATGGCATAGATAAGTTAATTGTGAAAGTTTTCGAACGTGATGTATATTATATCATAATATATATATTATATATAATCTTTCTTAAAAAAATCATTCTTTATATTATAATTTATATATTTTATTATATATTAATGATAAAACTATTTATATTCTTAAATAATTAAAATATTAACATTTGATTTCAGAAAAAAAATAAATATCATTAAAAAAGATATAATACCATTTTAAATATCAAATTTATTCTCATATTAGACATATCTTATTATTAGTGATTCTATCAGAAATATTTCATATATTACATTTTTATTTATTTAAAACTATAAAAATGTAAATGAGCGATTTTAAAAAAATATGATTTCAGAAAAAATATACAATTTTTAATTTTAGGATATATTAATGCTAACGTTCAAAAATTATGGTTAAAAATGCTGAATTATATCCTTTAAATATACCATCAGATATTTCTGATTCTTTGAGTACAATATCATCCGACACTGATAAAGAATGGCAAGAATCCATAAGTCAACTAAATATCTTTTTATTTTGGATTATCATTCCATTTATTGGAAAATGGGCAGGTCGTCAATTTGCTTATTTCTGTAATCATAATTTTTTCTAAATTCGTAGTTATGCTAATTATATGTAAACATAGTATGGGAACGATGTATAAAAATGAAAACACCAATAGAGTTGTCTATTAAAAGTCAGGGTGTTCTCGGATTACGTAAATTACTAACACCATTTTATTGATGAGATTTTTACATATAATAAATAATTAAATTTTAAAGTTATATTTTACGGTACTAATGCAAAAATATATAATAGAATAAATCAATTACATATTTTTTGGATCATAAATATTTATAAAAACTGAAAACTACACTTTTTTCTAAAATATTAAACATGTTTATTATTTAATAAGAGCATATTATTATATAATTAAAATTAAGAAAGTATTCGGAGGCATTTTCTTTATTGAACATTAAAACACTTCAATATCTGATCTAAATACGTAAAAACAAGTCTATTTTCATCATAAATATAGATAAATTTATAAATATAAATTTAGAATAAATAAAATATATAAGAATATGCATTATAATGTAATGAAGCTAAAATATTTCAATAGTAGATATATATTTATTATATATTAGCATTGATTTTTTTATGCAGTCTCGAAATTAGATGTCCCTGAAATTCATAATTGAATTTACATAAATTATTTTATTCTTTTTAGAATATGAATTGACGCTTCTTTACTCATTAAATAGAAGAAGTAATTACATTTAAACTTGTATTTTTCTTTTTTATTTCTTTTAAGAGTAGGAGTTTTATTTACTAGAAATTCATCTATTTGTATATATTTGCTATTTTTCGGTTTTATTCCAAAAATATATAAAATTTATTTATCATTTCTTATAATATTGTCATTACATAGGATATTTCTAAAATTAAATCTATTTTTTTAAATGTTAATGTCACTATTGAATCCCAAAACAGCCAAAACAAATTATTCTTTATCAAATCAATAAATAAGTTTTTTAAAAGAAATCTTTAATATCATTTAGAAAATATATACATATTAATTTCTAAATACTATTTATTTTCTATTTAATCTAACGTACATTTTTATAAAAATCTTATACGAATCAAATATTAATAAAATTTATAATTTAATAAAAAAAAATTATTCAGAATATATTTTTAGTTTTAATTTTTAAAAACAAGTGCCTTAATATGAGGTTTTTAAATATCTTTTTATATTATGTATATATCATTAATCTTATGTTCCGTTTCTGGAATCAAACACATAACTATTCGAAAAAGGAAGTACAGGCATAATAATAAAATAATACTCAAATAATGAAATCAGGGAAGAAAAACAGTAGGAATAGCTTAGAATGGGTTAAATGCTCTTGAATACTAATTTTTTTAAACCTACTTTTTTATAGAAAAGATATGGTCATTAAAGTATTAGACTAAATAGAAGTAACTTTTTTTTGTGAAATTGAAAGACAGGGTATCAGTTATATCTTTTTCTTCAGTATAGAGTTAGGTGTTATATAAAATTGTTATTAGAAACTCTTTTTCTTGGGATTTTATTACATAATTTATCTATAAAATGCAGACATTCTTTGATCCATTGTGTTCATCTGCTTCGGAATTTATTGATTCTCCTACACTTTTGGACGATTTAAAACTTGACTATACGTTTACACAATATCCGTTTGATAATCCTAATTATACTCAAGTTAATGATATTGAAAAATTCTTAAATATAAACGTTGATGATTGTGAAGACAATAATAAACAAGATATAGAATATTTTTGTGATGAGAATCTTTTAAATTCAACGGATATTCATTTCAATACTAAAGATGATTCTAGTTTTCAATTATCAACTTTATACGATATACCTTGGATAAAATCAATATTTAATGATGATATTACGCAGACAATTTCAGAAAAAAAAAACATTTTTGAGGAAGAAAGATTATCTGATATTTATATTAATTTCGATGATTCAACATTATTAAACGAAATAACTGGTACTCCTAAAGATGTTGTCAAAGAAACTGATCAATCAAACAAGGAACTAAATAAAGATGATAATTATGTTTTTACCATAAATGTTTCTGATAGTTATGAGAAAGATTCGGCCTTATCTTATCTATCTAATCTTAATGATACTCAACATTTTTTTGACTCATCTTTTACATGTCCATTAACTCCACGTTTATTACCATCGGTAGGAAATGAACTAAAAGAATTACTCGTTTTGGATTCAAAACCGTCTGTCAAAATGTCCGTAAAAGAAGGAGATACGTTATTAGAGAATATGACCTCAAAACAATTTGTTAATAACAACAAATCATCTGAAAAGACTTTATATAGTGATAATTCAGATATACATCCTCTAAATAACCTTTTGGAAGACCATACACCAAGTATATCATTCTCAACAAAGCGTTCTTTTCAAGATTTTTCTAATGGCGATATGTATATATCATCATTACCGTCTCCAAAAAGAAATAAACATATATATCCGATAGAAAACAACCTTTATGGCCATACGTTTAATTCAATTATTCATGATAATTCTATAATATCATTGCCGCAGTCACATATATCCTCGGAATCGGCTCTTATGTTTGATAATAATATTTTATCTTATAAAAATTACGGGACTACAAATGGAAAACAAGAATATATGGATACATCTTCACTTGTTCCATATGAAGTTTATCTTCCTGAAACAACAGCATCATTCTTTTCAAAACAAACCAATCCGACTTCATTAACATCTATTAAAACCGATTTGCCCGAAAATATTAATATGAAAGATATAGTTCGCGCATCTTCAACTAAATATAAAAAGAAGCGATATCCTATAACCTTTGAATCTTTTATTAACTTTACAGAACGAGACGCTGAAATTATTCTTAATGGTGTTGCTCCGAGCGGAAGCAGTAAGAAACATTAAGATCATATTTACATATAATTTGTTAATTGTTGTTCATTATTATTCTTATGTGTTTAAGTAAAATATATTCTGTATTAGTATAATGTTCACATTTAATTTATATCTACTTGTAATAAGTAGATTTAAATTTTTAATTATATTTATATAAAAATTGATGTTTATACTATATAAAGTTATAACTTAAATTTACATATTCTAATTATGATGCATTTAGAATCCTAACGAACTTGGATATTTGTTATTAAATAAAACAAATCTAATGACATCAATTAGTATTAGATAAATTATTTAAGAAAATAGATCAAAAAACAAACCTAAAATCAAATATAATATTTATATGACTTTGTTGTATATATAAAAAAATCTAAAATTAAATTTTACAATAAATAAGCAAATAAAAAAATAAAGATCTAAATACAGAACATAAATTTATAGATTCATATGAACGCTCATATATATTCTCAACCTATATGCTAAGCATGATAAATAAATTAGCAAAATAAATAGTCTTTAATAAATATTATTATAACTGTATAGAATTCGAAAAAATAAATAATTTATAAAAAATGTCACGAAGAATATTCTTATTTAGCTAGAAAAATTAGAAAAAATATTGTATAAACGTCGTAAGATATTAAATTATTATTTCATCGCATTTCACATCCCTCTCCTTTAATACGACTAGTACCATGACAGCTACGTGCATGTTTCCACCAGAAAATTTCAGCCACTTTAACCTCTTGTTCTTTTATACCCTGAACACGTACCCACTTCTTGCATTTATGACATTTTCCTTCAAGTATTTCTTTTCTATCAGGAATACTAGTGAATCCCGATGCTTTTTTTTTTTTTGAGATACCATTAGCATTCATAGTTACTAGAGGCACTGTTCGAAAAGATACAGGAGGCGAATATGGTAGTGCTGTTGTTGGATTTATTCCATGAAAGAAATTCATATGATACCTAAAATAAAATAATTAAAAAAATTTAAAAGAATCTTTTTAAATAAATATATACCAAAAGGCACTTATTTTCATTTTTAGCCATACTTCTTTTCCTTGACCACCACGTTCAATATTTTCACAACAAATTGGGCACATTCCCATTTTATTTATTCCTATACCTTTGATATATCGAGGATTATAGAGATCATCTACATCATATTGAATAGGTGGATTACCATTAGAATAAGTAAAACGTGGATGAGCAAGATAATAACGAAAAAAATCCGGATGAATAGGAATATTTTCAGGAAATGTACGCTGAGTAGAAAGAGGTAAAGAAGGTCTTGATGAAAGAGGAGAATAAAAATTAGATGAATGAGATGAATCTGATGATGATTCGCTTTTAAGTGCAATATTATTATCTAAAAAATCGATTCTTTTGGAATATATATACGAAGGTCGTGTAAATTTTTGTGTAGAATATATATTTTGTATATGAGAATGAGAAAATTCCGATTTAAGAAGCAAGTCTTCAACTTCATCTTCTGTAGCTTTTTGGCGGACACGACGAAACTGCCGGCCAGCAACAATAGTTCTTTTATTATTAGGAAAAAGACGTTTACATGAAACGTTTTTTGAAAGCTTTGTCAATTCTTGTCCAACACGTTTTCCAAGAGTTGTTGCACGTAATGTTGAAATCCTCTTAGTTCTAAATTGAGCAAGAACAAATGATGAAAGAGCAAGCGTATCTTTCCTTTTTTGAATAGTATTTTCTTCAATAGTAGAACTGTTCATATGTGTATTTGAAAATTCATCGTTTAAACTATTATCTACACTTAATATTGTTGTTTTATGATCAGTCGGTGTTGAATGACAGAATTCTGTAAGTGATGGTGTAATAGAAAAAATTGTAGCTGAGCTATTACATGTATATACAGGGTCATATTGCAAAGCTGATTCACATAGTGCTATTGAACTATATATTTCTTTCTTTTTCAGAGCTAATGTATTTGTAGATAATGCTGCAAGAGGTCGCCGTCCATTTATTGACGAACTTATCACCCTTCTTCTATTCTCATCAACCCAAACTTTATCTAACCAATCTCCCTCTTCTCCCACTTCCAATACTGATGATAGTTCTTCTTCATGTATTGAAAAATTATCAACTCTTGTTGAACTCTCTAGAACAGATAATTCTTCTGATACTGATGATTCATTTAAATTTACAATATTACCATTAAACGAATGACTAGAAATACTTTGAATATTCTCTATACACTTAATATCAACAATTCCCTACATGATTAGCTATTCATATCACTTTATTTATAAAAATACTCCGTCAACAATGTCATCTTGCCAAACTGCAATACTTGCGCGCGCTTTTTCTGGAATATATGCGCTTGAAAACATATTAACTGTTGATGTTAAGAACATGTCGCATGCATTCCGTCTAAAAGCATATGATAAATCCTTCTCTGACTTCATGAAATTTTTTTATACGCAAGTCAACGATATTTTTTATAATTTTTTTAAATTTCTAAAAAATTTAAAAAATACTATTTTATTTAAAAATATTTTTTCATATATTTACTTATAAAATCTAAATATAAATCTAACTCAATATTTCTTAATTCTAAAAGTATATTTAAAATTTTCTAAATAAATGTTCGTTTTTTTTAAAATCTGAGATTTTTAAAAAAAATTATATAAAAAATTTAAACAAAAAATAAGATAATTATTAAAACAAATAATATTTATGTAAAACTATTAATATTTTATTTAATAAATTAATAAAATAGTTTAAAAAAATATCGGACAAGTTTTTTTTGAAAAAAAATCCGATTTAAAAAGCCTTACCGTATTAAAAACTAAACATTTAACTATTGCATAGAAGACAGATATGGCAGAAAAATATATATATATAGTTATACGTATATTGGCTATTGTTATCGGCCTTTTGATTCTTTCATTATCTGTTGATATTAATCAACAGCGTCGATATAAAAATCAAGTTCAGTTACCAGACATGAATTTTACACTGTTTACTGGCCTTTTTTCGATTATAACAACAGTTTTTGAATTTGTAAAAGCTTCCGTATCATCTTTTAATCGTCCTATTATTACATTGATTAATGATATCCTTAATTTAATATTTACATTTTCAGCAAGCATTATTCTTTCTCATATTACAGGATTTCATTCATGTGCAAATGTTGATTACGTAAAAAATACTCCAGTATTTTTGAAATCTAAAGGGATTTGTCGTGAATTTCATGCTCTAACATTTTTGTCATTAATTCTTTTCTTTTTGTATATTATCTTATCTATTATTTCAGCATTTTTCTATGGAAAAATAAAAGGATCAAATTCAAGGCTTCATTCTTGAGATTTTTAGGTTCTAAATATTTTTATTTATTATGAATAATAGTAATGAGATTTATAATGTATTTTATTTTTTCTTCAGATTTATAAGATATAAAAAAATTAGACTTAAAAGCTTATTCATAATATCTTTATTAATTTTTTCATAAAATTAGTTATTTAGAAAATAGATTGCCATTTTAAGACTGGAGACGGGCTGAAATAAATATATTATATGAAAATAGAGAAGCAAGTAAAACTGATGGAACATCATATTGTGAATTTTTGGATTATAATAGTGAAATTATTATAAGTAATGGGGATACAGAGGATGAAATGTTCTATTATCATTAGATAGTCTTTTATGTGAAGGGTTAACAAAAAAATTATAAAAAAATGAATCTTTTCAAAAACATAACTATTTAATTCAGAACGCAAAAAATGTTAAAAAACATCAAAGATTTTCTAAAAGTTTTTTCCAAATATTAAATTTGAAATATCATTGTTTTCTATTAAAAATGACAAAAATGATTCAATTGAACTTAATAATATATCTAATTTATATAAGAGAAGTAAGGATCACTCGAAAATTTTCAAAGAAACAGTGTTATATATAAGGAAAAATAAATATGAATAAAAGCCATCGGAAATTCTTTAAAGAAAATTCTACATTTGTTCCTCATATTACCACTTTTCTATGCATTATAAATGTTATAACAATTATTTATTTAATTTTGATAAGAAACGTCTGAAATACAGAAAAAAGGTTCTTTTTATCAAAATAATTATAAAGAACAAGTATATTTCAATATTTATTTTTATTAATTTATTTAGTTCTCAAACAAAATCTTTACAGGATAATATATGGACATACGATACTTTTGATATAAATAAGGGCATTGTTGTAATTACATTTTATAATTTTTTTAGTATCATTGATTTTAAATAGATACAGTTTAATAATAAGCGACAGAACTTTGATGTTTCAAGCACTGATAAAAATCTGGAGAAAATAAAGAAATCTAAAGTTTTTAGTGTTCAAGTTAAAATTCCATTTTCAGATTGTATAAAGGATTTTGAAAAGGAATTAATTAATTATTGCAAACCTTATTTCCATCGTTTTTTTTCTAAGAGAAGATAAACCATTAAAAATTAGGCTTTCAGAAAATCCTTTGAGGATTCTATATCCAACTTTTAATCTTCCTTTTATATTTCTCTTTAAAGCAGTATATACACCTTGTTTTACTAATAATACGGATTTAATAAAAAACTCCGGAGCTTCATATATAGTACAATATACAGACTCTAAAACATTTATACAAGATTCTAGTCTCAATATACCTTCTTTTAATAGTCATTCCAAGGAGTTTTTGATTTAAAATCAGAGAAAAATGTAATAATACATAATGAATCTAGTAACGTCATAAACAATTCATCATCAGACTTTTTCATTCACGATAAACAATCTATAAAAGAATTAAATACTGATTTTTCTATTTTTCTTCAGCTTTTTTTAAGGATACAATAAAATCTATTAATAATGGCAAAACAAATGCAGGACAGGCGTATAATGAGAGACAATAACCACTTACTTATCTATATAACATAAGTATTTTTATTATTTGTTGAATAATATGTTAATAATTAACCATATATGTAGAGCCTTTTCAATCAAATTATCAAACATGTCGATAACCATTATTTTATTATTTTTTTGCACCTTAAAATCATTCTCCGTATCTGTCGCCTTATTATAATGTTCTGTGACAATACATTGCTACTTCTGCTCCATCGGTTTTTCTACTATCTTCAAATATTCATCTATAATACAGAATAGCAATGCTATAATATATTATTATAAACTAATTTAATATTATTGTTCATATTCCATGATATCTACAGAATCTGGTTATGTTATAGATAGGTTTTAATCTATACAATTTAGCTATATTTTTACAAAATTTCCGGTTAACTTTGTTACATGTTACGATTCTTATAAAAACAATTTTAGTAATAAAGAGATATATCCTTATAAACAGGATTACATATGCTGTGTCGATGAAATAATAACGTAATCTCTCTATTTTTAAAATATTTCATGTTTTTTTTTTTCAAAATTTCTGTTTCTAATTTTTTTTGGAATTAATATCTAGAAGTTATTTATGACAATATAGTTATATCTATAATTGTTATATCTGTTATTATGTATTTTAAATTCCTTTATTTTTTATAAATTTTAAAATAATATAATTTTTCATATTGATTGTAAATGTCTGAACTTTAAAGTTTATAAAGTAATGATACTACTTTGAATTAAACTTAATACAGTAGGAATTTCATCTTTTATTATATTTTAAAAGATTTTTATATCAAAATATAATTCTTGATTATATTTAGCAAATGATTTAATATATTTTAAAACTTATGTATTTTTTTTGAAAATAAAACAACTCAAATATATTATAAAAATTTAATAATTATATTCTATTATTTCAATACTTCGACATTATTAAATAATTATCAAATAATTAAAATTCCTAAAAAAAGACAATCAGTCATTTATGTTAGATTTTTTTATCGTAGATAATAATTAGTATTTTTACTATAAATCTAAAAGTATTATTTCCTTTATATTATTGAAAACGATAAAAAATCCAACAATGAAGTTTATTTATGTTTAATGTAATCATATGTAATAATTAATCTTATAGAAACCTCAAAAAAATCTAAAATATAAAGCTTAAGATATAATTAAAAATATAGTATTACATGTACTTTTTTTTTAAGAAAAAACATTTTCAAACATTTCAGACAGAACATATCCGCCTCTCATAGAAATTTGTACATTTTGTTGAAAACTTTCTTGATTATTTCTTAAATCATCTGCTGCAACTTTATAATATTAAAATTTCCAATCAAATCATCCAAAAGGGTTATATATATACCTTTATTAAGAGGGTCTTCCGTATTCCTAAAGATTATTAATAACATTATTAAAAAGAAATTAAATCTACGGATCAAGAAAAAGATATTGTAAACCAAACATAATAGCACTAAGACTGAGAACAGGCTTCCAATCTTCCCTCAGAATATTTAAACAAACATTTCCGTTTAAATCTATATTTGGATGATAAATTTTTTGTGTACACTTAACTTTAGGAGGATCATGAGGATAATTTTCATTAATATTAAATTTAAAACAAAAAGATCCTCCTTTGTAAAAACCTTCCATTAATTAGAGAAATCTATGTTAAAATAATTATAAATAACCCTCATCTGGTCTAATTATAAGATAAAAATTTAAAAAATCATCTAGATCTGGAAATTCTATTTTCATTCTAAATAAAATTAAAAAAAACATTTAAAATATATTTCAACGTCTCTGGCATAAGAAGTTCAGTAATATCTATATATCTATTAATTCAAATCTTTTCTTTGTATTTTCTTTATACCTTTTTGAACTCGGATTTGAGCTGCACTAATTTTATGTTTTTTCTTCTCAGTATCTGATAATTCTTTTATATTATGAATTTTCAACATAGACATAATCTTTTTTTCTACTACTCTAACAAGTTAATATTTTGATTAAAATTTTATATATTATTGATACATTTATTTATTTGTTTTAATTAATATTATTAATTATACTTTAAATGAAAGTCTTTAAATTAAAATTTCAAGAATTTTTAAATATGTAATTTCATAATATCTAATATATTATTTATAATTTCGATTAGTATAAAATATTCAAGATTTATTAAAAAAATCTATTAAGATATATAAATAATAATCATAGTAATTACTAAAAAAATAAGTATTTACAGACATTTTAAATTCAAATATTTTTGATTTTTTCAATCAATAAAGAAAATATATTATGTTTTCTATTTATCTTATTAAGATAATTGTATTTTTCTTTAAAAAACTTAACGTATTTATAAATATTTTAAAATTAATTTAATATTTTTTTATGGAAAAATCACTTTTTTTGTCATAAATATTTGATTGATATCCTTTTTGATTATTTTTTTTATCAATTTTAATTCAAATACCTTTTTATAAAATGTATATTCATCTTAAGCTTTTAAAAAAATGATATAAAAACTTATATATTAAAAAAAAATCTATTTTAAAAATAATACACTATAGATTCATATCAATCTTAAATTAATACTTTTTTATATAAAAAAATATATAATTAATTTCATGCAATTCTTAATTTATATTTAAAATTAATACAAAAAAAAAACAAAAATATACTTAATATCATATATTTATTATAAAATCTAATAAAGAATATTTCATTTTAAATTCAAATTCTTTAAATTATGTGAGCTTGCTAAATATAAAAATTTATAATAAAAAAACCTAAAATTCATAAAATCATATTCGACATAAAAATTGAATAATTAAAACATTATTAATTAAATATCCGATCTTTTTAAGAAATTTAAATCTCTAGTTTTTGAATAGAAAGTTTCCAAATAACTTAGAATATCTAGATCTTGATGTCCTTTTCAAATAAAGCTTGTTGTAGTGTTCTTCCCGTGATTTCAAATTATATACCAAAAGGTTTTATGACAAAAATTTCTGGCCTTGATGCATACGTAGTTGGTAATAATAAAAGACGCACCTTAATTTGTATTTATGATATTTTTGGGTACTTTTATACTCTAATAATTTTAATGCAACTAAATATTATTCAAGATATTGGCCTCAGACAAAACAATGTATAGATTTACTTAGCTCCGGACTTGATGCAAGAATTATTATGCCTGATTTCTTCAAAGGAAACCCATTTTTAATTGAAAATTTCCCTCCTGATACACCAGAAAAAAAAAAAGAATTAAGCAACTTCATTTCTGGACCTGCTAATCCAGAAAAAAATCTGCAAGTACTTGGTTCTATTATTAAAGATGTTAAACAAGATGACGTAGAATCTCTTGCTGTTTTTGGCTTTTGTTGGGGAGGAAAACTTTCAGTTCTTAGTGGAGGACACTTTGGAAATGAATTAAAATCAGTTGCTATGATTCATCCAGCGTAAGCGATCTATCTATTCATTCATTTTTTTAATAATCCAATAGAATGGTTGATCCTAAAGATGCTACTAACTTAAAAGTTCCAATATGTAGTCTTATAAGCAAAGATGAACCTATAAATGAATGCAATGAATTCGAAAAAATCGTTAAAACAAAATCTTTTGCAGAAACCTGTATTTTCAAAACTTTTGACACTATGCATCATGGATTCATGGCTGCTCGTTCGGATTTAACAAATAGTGAAAATGTTATGAATTTTCGTGAAGGCATTAAAATTCTTATTAGTTTTTTTAACAATACATTATAAAATTTACATATACAAATTTATTTTTATTTTTTTTTTGAAAATTTTAAAAATTTAGAAATAGAACATTTGTTCTTTAATTTAGAATATATTATTTTTATTTCATTAAACTGAATATTTAAAAAGTATTCTGTTAAAAATATAAACTACAATTAATAATTAAAAATTTTTGTAAATTTAAATCTTTGGAAATATTAGAAATAGATATTATTTTGTTGAAAATCCTAAATGTTTTACTTATTTTAAATTTATCTATTTATATATTAACCCCTTAAAAAAAAAAAGCTAAAAAAGAAAACCATGGCAACATAAAGGGATAAAATATTAGAACAATTCTGCTAAAATACATTCCTAAAGGCTTACATTTTGGAAGTTAATAATATTTAAAGTAGAAAAATGTAAAAACATATTTTTAGAGATATAAAATACTCGGTTTTTAATTATTTTATTAATAAAGGCAAAAAAATGACAAAATACTTTAATAAATTTAAAAGATCTTATTTGTTTAAAAAACAAGATCAAGTTCCTATAAATACAGAAGAAAGTATAGTTTATGATAGAGAAGCAGATATTAGAAATTTTAGAAGTGATGATCCATGGAATTGGGAATTCGTTCTAGAAGAAGAAGTCTGTGATTTATTAGAAGCATGTTATATAGAGGTTAAATCAAGGGGAGTAATGATTCCCTTGGTATTTTTGCCCTTTAGGCCTATGTCAGATGTTTTATCAACAAAAGCATATATTAGAAAATTTTTTTCAGTTGATAATTCACAAGTACATAAAAATCAGCTTATTCAGGAGCTTCCTATAGTAGATATTTACGTGATAATTGGGATTATTCGTTGGTGTTGGCTAAGATTAATTGATGGTGTTGTAGGATGGAATGTCTATGAAGCGTTTAGAAAACTTGAAAAAGGTAGTTTTTAAGCTATAAATTGACTTAAATTTTTATTATCTTAGAAGCAAAATATCCATATAATGCATTTTCTGATTATATTCCTACAATTGTAAAATCCAAGATTCGGGAAAAAATCATTCTTGGTTTTTTTGATATTCTTTCTGCTATAGCAGCTTATTCAAAAATTAATGGACTTTGTGGAGATAAATTATCAAGAACAGCAGGGTGGTGGGCGTTTAATTTTAAAAATAAAGACCAAGGATTCCACAGAGGCTATAGTAACTGGAAGAGGTTTCGTTTTTAATTTTTTAAATAAAATATTAATTATAATTTAGATCAGCAGATGCAAATGAACATTTATTTTTTGCATACCTTAGGAGTATAAAAGAACAACATACTAATACGGAACTATATGTTCCAAATCCATTACCATTGTCGCTTGTTAAATTGCTTGAACAAACTCCATATCCTTTGTCTGTAGCATCACCAATAACATTACATCATAAAGATACTCTTTGTATCGATGTGTTTTCGAATATACCTAGTCCAAATATTTTTACAATTCTTCAACGTGTTGCAATACAAGGTTTAGATACAGATGATGAAATTTCTTTAGCTCTATGGAAACATCGTGATCATATTGAAAATGCATTGACTGATGAATCAAAAAGAATTCTTATGTGTATTTCTAATACATTAATAAATACATCATCTCCAAAAGAGTGTGAAAAATGGGAAGAATTTATGAATTTTGGATTTGATTATATCGAAAATAAATCAAGTTCCCCTAAAACTGATTCATTATACAAAATAGATAAGCAAAATGCTTATTTGAGTAACATAATCTTTAAAATAATATATAATTAAAATAATTTCATAGTAGATAATCTCAATCAACATTCTACGGACTTAGAACCAAAAACCAATCCTACACTTTCTCTGGAAAAAAGTCCTTTACATCGTATATTTCCTTTCAACAATGCATTTCCTCTTATAAATGGGATTCATCCACATCCAGAATTAGATTCTGCTACAAAAATTAATACCGAATGGTTGAATGAAAGTACAATATCAAATAAGATTCGTATTAGTTTAGATGAAAGCTTTTGGGGAGTTTGGATCGACTCTTGTAGTGAAGAAACTCCTATATTTAAAAAAACATTATTTGGAAAATCTTTTCTCTTTGAGATTGAACTAGACGAGAAAAAATGGCTCGTTATAGAGGTTTAAATTAAAAATACATAAAGGATTGAAATTGATCATTTTAGGAACAAAATAATAAATGTGATAAATGCATATCTTTCAATCCATTTCTTGCAAACTCTTCTGTAGAAAATAAACAAAAATTTTTCAATAATTTGGAGAAACATAAATCATCATTTTCAAATGATGAGGAACATAAACTTAGGCGTACTTTGTCTGAATATTTCAAGCATCAGAAAAATAAATTTAAAATTATACAACGATATAAAACTATTAAAACAAAAAAAAAGTCTCTTTTAGAATATAAGCAAGACATAATAGATAAAAATATTATTAGAAATTCGGAAGAATATCTTTATAGAGAAAACAATTCATTGGAAACATTAAATTCTATAAAAGTTCCATTTTCTTATAGTAAAATAGAATATATGGTAGCTTTGAATGATAAAAAGAAATCGGATCCATCACAAATAAAACAACAAGATAACATTTCTAATCCTAAAATAGAAAATGAAATTGAAAAGCTACCTATCAAAGATTTAAATTTATATTCGTACTCATTATCTACAAATAAAAGATATGGAATATTAAATGAATTTAATTTAAAAATTTCGGGTATTTTATATTTCATATTATTTTTTTTGCTAATAAGTACAACAGATTACTCTAATTCTACTTCAAATATCCACCATCTAACTTCAAAGTTGTCTTCTTTTAGAACATCAATTGCAAATAAACCAAAAAAAGATCTCCCATATATACTTGATAATATTAATGCTACTCAAAATGACGGTGCTGTTGTAAATATTTCTAACACAAACTATCAATTAAAAAGATATTTTACACTTAAGAAATACACGGGTAAATTGTTTAGAAATTCGAAACATTGCAAAAATACTATTCCTATAAATTATCAAATACAAAAGGATCAGTAAAAGTTTAATTGTTTAAAAATAATTGCTATTATTTACAGAAAACTATTGATCTTAGATCTAATCTTTTTTTCTGTAAAATAACTTTGAAACATATAGGAATCTTTTCAAAAACTACTAAAAAATTAATATTTATTAACATATAATATTAAAATATATTGGTAATATGTAACTTTTTCAGATTCAAAATATTAATATTATCTAATTTTCATAGATCTTTAAACATTATATATTTTTTTTTATTATATTGCTTTTGAACTGCTAAAAATCAAAAATAAATCTTCTAAAACATTTTAACTATTTTATTAAACTTAAAAGCTTTTTTAATCCTAAGACAATATTATTTAGCTCGTTGACTAGAATCAAATATTTTAAACTGATATATTTTAAAAATATAAAACATATTTTGGCATAAGATTATATAAGTTTTATCTATATTGCTTCCTTTATAAAAACCATATATTGATTTTTATTTATTTTATATATTAAAAATAAATGTTTAGTTTTTTAATATTCTTAATTTTGCTTTTTTAAAAATACTTAACTATATATTTCATTATATTTTTCTTATGAGTTTACATCCCATGTATATATTAATCCCAAAATATAATAATAATATCTTGTTCATCTAATCCATTCTTTAGGAAAAGTTATAGAAGTTTTTGATTTAACATGTCTAAAGTCTTGAGGAATATCTTCAAATGTATCCCTTAAATCCTTCAAAATGCATTTAGTTAAAGATAATAAAACATTTTTATACCTTTGCTTCTTCAATAAGTTTCTTTAATTGTTCATTTAAATACTTTTTATTTTCATCTCTTTCTGGAAATAATTCACAATTAAACTTTAATACATCTGTTAAAGGATTATATCTTGGTCCTGAAAGGACAATTAATTTATGACGTTCAACCAAACTAAGACCAAGATTATTTAATAATACTTCCATCGTCACTTTTGATTCTGCTGGATGTTTTTCTCCTAAATAAGTTGTATATCTAAATTTTAAAATATCCTCTTTTCCAGGAACTTCATATTTCATTGAAAATTCTTTTTCATAATCATTAAAATATCTTTTTTTTCTTATCATTCTTACTTGTTAATGTAGGAAGTTCCCATGCAATTTTACGATAATATTCCCTAATTTCTCTATGTTCATCAAGATAATCATGAGCTAAAGATGTAATATCATCAAATTTGTATTCTTTCATACGTTTTTCCACATTATTATCATCTTTTCTTCTTTTCAATCTTCTTTCATAAGTATAGTTAAGAGGCTTTTTTAGTACAGAAAATGAGTCTAAAGATTTAGAAGAAAAACATCTAATTTTTAGGAAACTATTTGAATAATTTAAGAGACTTCTAATGAAAATATTTAAAAACATTATATAAAAACATTAATCGTCTCGGTTATGTTAATAAATCATAAATTTATTTAAGAATTTTATGGTAGAAAATAAAACAGTGTTAGTTACAGTTGGATCAACTCGGTTTGATGCTTTAATATTGAACATTCAGAAGAAATCCGTTCAAAATGCCTTGATTTCTCAAGGATTTTCTAAAATTGTAGTTCAATATGGAAAATCAGAAGATATTTTTAATCAATGGGAACCAATTAATGGTATGGAAGTTAGTGGATTTAGTTATTCTAAGGATATTGAAGAAGAATTTCAAAAATCAAGCCTGATTATCTCACATGCAGGTAAAAAAAAATAAAAAAACTAATTATAAATAATAAATATTGTATAAAAAAGGATCAGGATCGATTATAGAAGCACTAGAACTTAAAAAACAACTTATTGTAGTTGTCAATGAAACATTGATGGATAATCATCAAAAAGAGTTAACACAAATAATGACAGATCAAAAATATCTTATTTCAAGTACACCAGAGTATAAAATATAAAATAAATTTATCATATTTTTATTAATTTCAGGAATCTTTTATATGCAATACAAGATCTTAATAAAAAAGAATTACAACCTTTTCTATTCTCTAACGAACCAACGTTTCAGAAGATTTTAGATAATCAAATGGGATTTAATTAGAATATAGTTTTCTATATATATTCTCAATTAAAAATAAAGAAATTATAATTAGATTATATATTATAATTACAAAAAAAATAACCAAAATTTTTAGAGTTTTATAAATACAAAAATATTTTCTTATAAACAATTTTAGCCTTTAGCCTAAAGTTAATAAAACAAATTTTAGGATTCCTAAAATTTATAAGCACAAAATCATTATTCTGTTGTTTATAGCTGAATTCTCACATTTTTAAAATCTCAATGCGTCTTTAAAAACAAGGTTATATTAGAATTATGTCTTAGATATTGATTAGATCTCTTAAAATTTAATAAAATAAGAAAAATATTATTCTTGGCACAAGCTCTTTTTGGTTAGATCTCTTGGAATGTCTATGATTATATTCAAATTAGTAAATGATTTTGGTCTTTTTTTTTTATGTTTCTGTTTATTATTTTTTAAATCATTAGTTAAATGTTTATGTGATTTTAAGTCATTATGCATGTCTGACGTTGTTTCTGTTGATGTATTTGTATTTAATTTTACTTGAGTATTAATAGTCCTTAAACATGAACCATTTCGAGATATTTTATTACGAACGTAGCCATGTTTATTTATATGAGTATTTTCATTATTACTCAAGTAATCAGCATTCTCATAAAATTCCATATCTGATGAATTAAGAATTGCTTCTGTTCTTTTTTTGAATTTTTGAGATTTTATGCTTGAAGTATCTAGAGAATAATTTATCTATATTTTAAATCAGAACAAATTAGATTATATAATAAAATAATTATACTTTTTTCCTCTTTCTTCCTCTCATTCCAATTTCCATATTTGAATTATCTGAAATATTTTCCATGTTATTTTCATTTACAATTTTATTCCAGAAATCTATGTCAGCGATTTTCGATTTGGCATTATCTTCAGAATTCTCATTTGATTTATTCAACATAGAATATTCCCAAACTTTAGCAAATGAAAATGAATCTGCAGAATTCTTATTAACTTCCCTTGAAACATCTTTTTCACTTTGCGCCAATAAACCTTCGATTTCATTGTCATTATAATATATTTCTTGATCATTATTTTGATCATCAAAAAGTGATTTTGCACCAAAACTAAGAATAGTTTGATAATCAATAGCCGTTTCGCTTTTTTCATCTAAACTCTCAATTATTAAATGATCTAATACCATCTTTCGTCTTGCTCCTTCTAATATTTTTTCTAATACAATTATTAATATAAAATTAGAAACAAAATATATACCTTCTGCTGTATTTCTTGTTATTAATATAAATACTAAAACATTTTTAGTTTGACCTATTCTATATGATCGCGATATGGCCTGAATATCTTGATGTGGATTAAAATCAATATCATATATTATAATAGTATCTGCACTTGCTAATTATAATTAATAATAATAATATAGATATTAATTACTAACCTAAATTAATACCAACACCCCCAGCTCTTGTAGAAAGTAAAAAACAAAATGACTCAGAGTCTTTTGCATTAAATTGATCAATTCTGCGTTGACGATCACATGTTGGAGTTGTTCCATCCTATAAATATATAAAAAAAAAAGAAAATAAAGATCTAACAAAAACATACAATTCTTTCTGATTTATATCCTATGTAATTTAGCCAATCTTCAAGAATATCCTAAAAATATTAAGCAATAAAATTATTTTGAAAACAAGAAACTACCAATGTTAAAGTAAATTGACAAAAAACCAAAACTCTTCTTCCCCTTCTCTTCAGTTTTGGAAACAGCTTACTAAGAAATTCTAGTTTTGCAGATGCCTTAACCATTCTTTCATATTCCAGCTCTTCATTAGATGTTTTCTCTTCAACATTTGGACTATAAACATATGGATGCGATAAAACTTTTCTAAGCTGTAATAAAATATTTGAAAGTGCTGTATTATTATAGTTTGTTAAAGGACGTTCAGCAGTAGATTTAGACATTATTGACATAAGTAATTTTGCATTTTTTGACAAAATTAATTTATATAAACTTTTTTGAAGAGATGACATTGTTACAGGTAGTATAATTTCTAATTTTTGTGGTAATGACGTAAGAACTTCTGATTTTGTTCTTCTCAATAACAGAGGCCTAGATCAACTATTTAAAAAAAAACATATATAATTTGGCCAAAATACCTTAAAATATCATGCATCTGAGTCACTTTTTCAGAAGTCATATTTGAATATTCAAAAGATAATTTAGTCGTATCAAATTTTTCTGGATCCAAAAACCTATAACTTTAAGCAAAAAAAAAGAAAGATTTTCTCCTACTGCAATAAATTAAAAAGTTCTTTAAGATTATTTTGTAACGGAGTTCCTTTTATAATTAGAAATTTCAAATCATTCAAGAATTATACCTGTAAGAATAATACGATTCTGAGATTTGTAAGCGGTTAACTTTTTAAATAATAAAGAATGTTCATTTTTTAAACGTTGCCCTTCATCTACTATTAAACATTCCCAATCAAAATTACTTAATATAGAATCAGTTATAATTGTATGATAGCTAGTTAAAACAACATGACATTTAAGATCTCTAGATTGCTGATGAAACAATCTGTATTGGCGCTAATAACATATTAAAATACAGTAAAAATATCTTTCATTGGATACGTACTATAATATCTCTTTGAATTTTTTCCCCGTGATATGGAACAACATGCAAATGAGGACTCCATTTTGAAAATTCACGCTTCCAATTAGATATTGTAGAATTCGGAGCGACTATTAAAAATGGCCATTTTTCCCATTCATAAAAAAGTACAGAACATAAGGATATTATCTGAATTGTCTTCCCTAAACCCATTTCATCGGCTAATATTACTGAACGCCCCATTTGACACATATAATAGAGCCAATTAAGTCCTTCTTTTTGATATTCCATAAGTTCGCCACCTTGTATATATTTTGGCTGATCTTTAATTATAAGATCAGAAAATGAAGCATTTTTCATAATTCTATGTAATTTTTTTTTACCAAGACTATGTATATAATGGCTTTCAACAAATTGTATATATGCATTTTTAAAAGCTTCCCAACGAGGAGAATTATTTTCAGGTACTTTTTCCCATGTTACTATATTATTAAATTAAACCCTTATAAATAAAAAATAAAATCTCATACCATCATTATACTCTAAACCTTTCCATTTACACAATGCTTCATTCACAGTATCTATTGCTTCTATTTCTTCCTCCTTATTTTTAAACATTTTCTGACTCCTATATAGATCATCCTTATATTTAATATCAAAAACAATTTCAACAGTACAGTAATCTTCAGGAATGACATCTTCAATATTTCGAATTGAAATATTCTCTCGAAGATCAAAATAATTCTTTATCCTTGAAATTCCGGATAACCAGAGTCCAGGAACCCACGCAACTCTTAAATAAGATTGAGCTTTAAATTTTACAAGATATTCTCGATACCATTCAGCACACTCTACATTGCATTCACCGACAATAATATTAATAGGCTTGCTATCAGAAGAAATTCTCCATCCCAAAATTTTATCTATATAGTATGGATATTTTATACATTCATTACATGTCCAATTTTTAATATAATCACCAAATTGAGATATTTTAGATTCCTCATTTTTATAGAATTGTTTAGGTAAATGATAAAAATGACATGCACGATAGCATTTACTACATCTCCAAAGCAACCCCTTTGAATTGTTTATTACAAATTCGGTGTTTTTTTGATTCTCTTTTTTTAATTTGTGAAAGTCGTCATGTATGGGATTTTCTTGTGACACATCAAACTTTATGCAATTTTCTCCAACTTCTCCACAAATATAGCATCTATTTCTTAATTTAAATGATTTTTTCATTTCCATACAATAATAACATTGAAAAACATGCTCACCGTCACCAATTAAAGTTAAAACAACAACCTTATTAGTTCTAGAACCCATGCAATCCTGATGATATGTTATGCAACAGCCCTGACAAGGTATAAGGTCCTTATTCCCGCCACATTTCTCACAAAAAGGTTTATGGAAATCCATGAAATCATTAAACACAGGAAAAAAAGTAATTTCTGACTTTTTTTTATCTTTTTTTAATATTTTTAAAAGCATATCTTGCGATTCATCTACATAGTTTTCTGAAGACAAATCCTCCAAAGATTCGTATTTATCTTCCTTATAGTCCACAGAACATTCCTTGATGCGAGTCGATCTTCTTATCTGAAATTCATATGTCTTTTTTTTATATTCTTTCTTTGTTTTTTTTAAATCTTCTGGTTTATATGATATACTTGTTTTTGCTCTAGAAAATATAATTTCTCCTAATCCTATATTTTTCCATTTAGATGATGCAAAAATATCATCATCTTCAGAATCTTGGAAAATATCATTAGATAAAGTTTTCTCTGAAGAAATAGAAAACAATTTATCTTTACAAAATATTTCAGGTGACCATCCTTTCCCAATAGATGGAATATCATCAGATAAATAATCATATTCCTTCTTTAAAAAATCATTATCCATAGTACCTTCATTTATTAGTGAACTTATATTTTCATTATAATTTTGTAAAGCGATATTCCCTTGATCATATTTAACAATTTGATCAGAACTAACCTGAAAAAATATTATAAATTATGATTTATATATTAACTTAATACTTTAGCTTTATATCCACCCTCAAACAATACAATATATTCCTGTGTTTCCCTTAAATCTGTATTCACTTTCTCAATTATATATTTTACAGTATGCTCTGAAGGTTCGTAATATAAATTTTCTTTTTTAATCATTCTTGAAATAACAATAGAAAATTTTGAAATTTTATATAAACTTTCATGTACTTTACTTTTAGGGTTATACTTATCATGAAAACTATTAAGATTTTCTATATTATGTGGCACTTCTAGGAAGCCATTTTTAAAATTACAAAAATATTCACTTTTATATAACGAATTATTGTTTTTTGATACTATTAATTCTTCCTTTTTAAAATCATTTTCCTTATTTAAAGATACATTAACAATCTCCTCCTTTTTATCATAAGATGGAAAGTTTTTCAGTAATTTTAGTGATTCGCTTTTCATATCTGTTTCAAGAGTAATATATTGTTTTAAACATGAATTTCTTAAATTATTGTTTCTGAGTTAAAGATAAATAAAAATTCTTCCAATTTCTTATATAAAACATCATTTCTTCTAGAAATATTAATTTGTTTTTAAAAATTAACTTTACAAACTTTTATTAACTAAATGTTTATTTGTTGAACCTGAACGATTTGATTATCAATAAATATAATTTTTACATGAATATTAGATATGGTTTTAGGACTATAAGAAATAGTTTCAAGACCAAGAAAAAGACATATTTTGACATTAAAAAGATTTATCTAAGTAATTATTTTATATATATATATAATTGAAATTTTTTATAAAATTTAGATAAAAATTTAATATATGAATATTCTTCAAATAAAAAATATAGTATAAATCAATTAATTACAGGATCTATTAGAGAAAAACATAGAAAAGATGAGAAAAAGGTTCCAAAAGAATATATTTATGGTAGATCACCAGTTTTCTCTGCTTTAATCGCAAAAAATAGAGAAAAATTTTATAAATTATATATATATGGAGATGATAAGAAAAACGAGTATAAACTATATATTATTTCTATTAAATTTAATGGTATATCATAAGCGATATTTTGAAAATATCAACATCAATGTCTATTCCTATTGAATTTGTGAAAAGTAAGAGTATTCTGGATAATTACTCTTTAAATAGACCACATAATGTATAAATTATGGAATGAGATTATTTTTTTACATTTTATAGGGATTTGTTTTAGAAACTTCCCCAATTAGATGTATTTCACTTACCACACGCAAAGAACTTCTTGATTTTCAGATTAATTATTCTAACGACATAGAATCTAAAATATCTAATAATTTATATTCCAAAAATGATTTGAATTTATGGCTTTTTTTGGACGAGATAACAGATCCAATGAATATGGGTGCTATTTTGAGAAATGCATATTATTTTGGACTTAATGGCGTAGTTCTCTCTGAAAAAAACAGGTAAACAATGTTCAATATTTAATCTTTTAATAATTTTAAGTGCTTCTTTATCACCAATTGTAAATAAAGCATCATCAGGTGCATGTGAATTTTTAAAAATATTTAAAACTGCTAACCCCTTATCTTTTTTACAATTACTAAAATCAAATAATTGGAAAGTAATTGGAACTACATCATTATCCGATAAAGTAAAGAATGACTTAGTAATTCCATACAATGAACTAGATACGTATCTTTCAAATTCTCCCGTTTTATTAATAATGGGAAACGAGCGTATCTCTTAGTAATATATAAAAATCAATAATTAATAAAATTTAGATAGGGGTATGAGAACATTAGTTAAAAATAAATGCGATTTTTTAGTTACTATTCCACCCTCACAGTTTACTTTTTCACTAATAGACTCTTTAAATGTATTTAAATAATATTTATGGGTATATATAAATTAATTTATTTGCATTAGGTATCAGTAGCATCTGGAATATTAATTTCAGAACTTTCAAAAATATTGAGAATAAAAAAGTATGATAAAATTCTATAAAACGTTTTAATATTTTTTTAAATATAATTAACAGTTATAAAAAAAACCGGCTAATCATCTCTTTTTTTTTATAATAAAATTATATATGAGGATCTGTTCTATAATATGTTGTATAAAAACAATGTAAGACTTCATTTTCTGGTATAGTTCCAAGTTCCCTATTTAACAAATTAAAGCTATCTTTTCCAAGTATTTGTTGAGGATTTACATTCATTGTTATTAGATCAGTATATCTGCTTTCGTTATCTAAGGGGTCATTAAATAGTTTATTTAATTCAAGAGTTCTTAAACTAGATGAATTTTTTGATAAGCCTTTAATAATTTCTCCTACACTTCTATCACCATATTGAGGATTTATTTGAAAAATATCTTTTAATGTACCACGATCAACCTCTATATCTTTCTGCATTTTTTTTCCAATGTTAGGAGAACCTTTTAAAACAAAATCATTTACTTTTGAACTTCCATGTGGTTTTCCCATATATACAGGCATTTCATTTCCAAAAAAACAATCATATGAATCTAAGTCACTTTGTTCATTGGAAAGTCCCATTACTTCACACTTTCTCTTGCATGATTTCTCATTTAAACATGACAAAGGAAGACACATACATGACTTTGTTTTATTATTCATAGGTTTCTCATGGGTATTCAAAAGATTAAAGCACATTCTAGATGCCCCAAGAACAAGATCTATATTTTAATTTCGTAATGTTTGGTCCAATTATTATATAAAAAGAATAAAATATTTTGTTTTATCTGAAGTATGTTTACAATATTGAAATCCATTCATTATGTGGAAATAAAAATGAAAAAAATTTAGAAACAAAAAATATTTATTGCTTTTGGTATATTCTTTTGCAAATGCTCTATTTTCTATTTTTAAAAACATTATTTATTTTTAGATTAATTTGCATCATTTTATTCTTAAATATCTAAAATCTGATTTAATAGCATAAAAAATCTATTTTAAATTCCTATAAAAATAATAAATTCAAAAATATATAGCGTTTTTTCATTATTCATAATGTTATATAAACTTTTTTATATTCTTTATATATTTAAGAAATAGTATATTAATATATATTATTTTTTCATTATATATAAAAAAATTTTATAGTTTTTCCATAATTTAATGATAAAAGGCATATTTCTATTTTGTTTTCCATAGAATTACTCAATTTTTCATCTTTTTTCTTTTCAAATTATCTTTAAATTCACAAAAATATAAAAATTTAGTTCAAAAAATATATAAATCCTATTAATAAAGTAACAATTCCAAAAAAATACATTGTAAAAACTTATAAATGTTTTTAAAATAATTATATCAAGTACATATAATTTCTAAATTGCATATAGATATATTATTTTACAAGCCTTATAAGTTTTTAATCTAGAATTCATATAATTATGATTCTGAAAAAAACTTTATAAAAACATGTATACATATATAAATATGAAATATATATTTCTACAAAATATCAAGTTACACCCCCAATCGTTTCGAGACAAGTCTAGGAGCTTTAATATAAAAATAAAGGAATTTTTATAGTTTATATAAAATTATTCCTAAAAAAAATCTAACATTTTAAATATCTAAAGAAAAGGGCTTTTAAAATATTATTTATTACTTTTTTTTTTATGTTTTTTTTTTTTTCAAAGTTGATTATAAAAGAAACACATTGATAAAAAATATTTATGGCTTTATTAAGAAATATATCAATTTCTAAATTAAAAGGTGTTTCAAAACCCTCTTATATATCTCATGAAGCAGCTTTATCGGTTATTTTGTCATCAATTGCTGAATTCAAAAACACATCTTTTACGCTATCTTTAGATTTTTCTCCAAAAGTCTTAGAATTGATTAATGAATTTTTGGATTATATTCTCTTGGTTTTTTTAAAAACATCTAAATCTATTGAAATTTCATATCTAAGAAATGCTATATTAAATGAACTGCCGACTCAGTTAGGTGTAGAAGCAATTTCTGAAGCGGATGCCGAATTACAAACATATATTGAAAATGAACCCTTAGCTAAAGATTTAGGTTTTAAAATCCATGAAGATGTTCGATGGGATTTGATAGATGTTTGGAAAAAAATTCGTGTAAAATGTATGGTATATTCTACATTAGGGAATCAGGAAAAAGATAATTTTCCCACTGCTTTATGGGGTGACGAGTTAATATCACCTTCAGTTTCAATATATACTACATCGGTTCTCGAGTTTGTTGCAGAATATATGCTTCTTGTTGTAGGAAATGCATGTCACCGAAGATTAAGTGAAACTAAAAATTCATATCCAATTATTGAAGAAAGAGATTTAAATGAGGGGCTTAAATATGATCGAGCAATTTTATCCTTATGGAACAGATGGAAATCTTCTGACTCTTTTTTAGACTTAATGGTTAATGATAATTCTTTTAGTGCATCTTCTGTTGATACTGCTCTTATTTCTCCGAAAAAAGATAATATATTCGAAAAAAAATCCTATAATTTTGAAACAAATGTTGAGGATATACGATATGAAACTTATATCAATACTGAAAAAGATAATTCTGGTATTGATAAATATTCTGATGAATTAGAAGTCTGCAAATTAACCCATATGACAGAATATTTAAATTTTGATAACAAAGAAACTTTTTTTCCTGCTTTTTTAAAAGGTTCTTATATAAATACTCATACTAATAAAAAACTTCTAGAAAATCAAAAAAATTCTCAAAATGAATCTTTTTATAATATAGAATTATTGGAACAAGATAACTCAAATGAACAGAAAAGTGAGTATAAAACAAAGATGAGGGAAACAGAACATTTGTATAAAGTAAATGCAAAGAAAAATCAACAGTGCTTACCTTTAAAAAAGGTTTCTATTTTTTATATGGATTATAGAAATTTTAACTATGTAACAGAAATCAATTCCTTCATTTGATTCTGGAGAAAAGGTGTCAGTAGATTCTTCTGTTATTTTTGGAAGTGATATTGAGGTATATAAAAAATTTTTGTTCTTTAATAACAATAACAATTCTTTAAAGAATACAGTGGATAATCATACTTTAGAAGTTTTTAATACAACCTTATCTAAAAGTGTTTCACGTGAAATCTCTCCAGAAGATACTTCTAAACTTAATCCTGATATTCCTAAGACTACATTTTTAGAAAGGGTTTCAGCCATTGATAATATAAATCAGGATTCTATAGATCCATTTAATACAAATACATGTGAATTTTCAGATATTTCGTATAAAGATAAGAATGATCTTTTGACGAGTGAAAAATTATTTGATGAAATTCGAAAGCTTTCATTAACATATGATCAAGAAAAATCTACTTTTAGCAAAGAAAAAAGCGAAAATCACCAATTTTTTATTCATAATTATAATGTCAATAATACGATTAATCATAATTTTGTTTCTCACAAAAATTCTCACTCATTGCATGACGAAATTTCTCCTTGTTATAGAATATTGAAATCTGAAGAGAAAGATTATAATTCTCATGGAAATCTTATAGATATGAAATCAGAAACAAGCACATATATGAAGGATCAAAATATAGACGAAATATCTTCTAAAAATATAAATATTTTTTTTCATTCTACTAATTCTGATCTGTTATTAAAAACATCTTCGAAAACTCAAATAAATTCTTCAATAAATAAATCTAAACACGATGATTTTTTAATTTCAGAGATACCAGCATTAGATAAATATTCAGAAACTATGTAAGATTAATCTTATATGGGATTAAATTTAATTTTATTAGAGCTTTATGTCAAAATGCAAATTATTTAAATTCTAAACTTTCACAAGATAAAAAAAAGAATGAAACTAGAAGTAATAAGAACACTTTTGATAAACTAGTAGATAGAAATGCAACCATGAAGATGTTTCTAAATCCAGAGGGTTTAAGAGAAATTGATGTAAAAATCCATATTTTTCAAATAAATTTCGTCTTACAACTATAGTTTGATAATGAAAAATCATTTTTGAAGGCATATTCTCAAACGACAGATATTCCGAATATTTCAGATTCATATAATACAGAACTTATAAGTAGATATTGTAATAATGTCAAAGGTAAGGATGTTTCTTCTTTTAATAATACTATGAAAAATATTTACGTCAAAAGAATTACCAACACTTGATTTTGTGAACACTTCATCAATTAAAGACAAACGAAATAAATTACAACCACGGGAACCAACTATTCCTAAGGAGCCAACTACAAGTTCTCTTAGAGAGTTTTTTATAGAAACTTCTATGAATAAAATTCATGAATTTTCGAATTCTAAATTATCTACTAAATATTCTCATTCGTTAAAAACGTTTGATTCAGATAATTTTAATGATTATACATCCACTTCTCAAGTATCCTCAACTTTTAAAACACAAAAGGAAATGGAAAAAGAGCATTTTAGAGACGAGGATAAAGAAGATTTAAATAGATCGTATTCGAGATTGTACCGAAGAGAAGAATCATTGATCGAATTTTTAAGAAATTCTGAACCAATTAATGCTGATTCAATAAAATTTCAAGAATCCATTCCATTGGATGATAAAAATAAGGTTTTATATAGAAAAATTCAACTTTATAAGAATTCATCAACGAATTTCTCAGAAGATAATATATTTCCAAAAAATAGTAATTATTCAGGCACAACACGGTCAATTTATGTAAGAGATTCTCCTTCAAAGAATTCATATCAGACGCCAGAATCCATTGAAAAAAAAAAACTATCTTTGGATAATATGTTTTTAGATTCAAAAGAGTTTTTTTCTCTGAATTTCGACGATAAAAGTATATTTCTTCAAAATTCACTAAATGATACAAATGACTTTATAAATGAACCAAAAACTAATAACTATCCTCCTAAACATATTTCTATCAAAAAAGCAAATATTGAGCATAAGGAATCTTTAACTGATTTCTTAAAGAATACATCTCCTTTGAATTATAATAAAAGAGATTCTATAAACAATTCTTATGCATCTAAAAAGAAAAAAAATACACTTTTTACATGGAAAAAGCATGAATTACAGAAAATTAGGAAGGTTTGTCCTGAAATTCGATATCCAACTATAAAATTAAAATAATATTCATTCTAAGTAAATTGTTAGAAAATTACAATCATTTGCAAAATAATCTGTATATTTTCAAATATTTTTTTATAATGCACAATAGAATTGCATAAAAATACATATATATATATATATAATTATGTTTTTTTTTTTGTGAAATAGTTTAATCAAACAATTACTAAATTAGCCGGAATGCTGCATATTTTGAGGTAGAAATGTAGAGGATTGCTGACTTGGTTGAATTTGAGATATACCTGGTGGAGGTACAGATGGTGGAACAAATCCTCCAGGGAATGGTAAATTTAAACGTGCTAGAAATAAATCATAAAAACTCATTTTGTAATATATCTTATACATACAAGGTGGTACAAATGGTGGAGGAAATGGCATTCCTGGAATAGGAGGTGGTAATGGTGTATCAAGCATACCTGGATGTGCTAAATATTGATTATAAATATATATGTATAAATTATACAAGAAACTTACGGGGCAATGGTCCTGGAACTCCTGATATTGGCATCGCTGAATATTAATAAAAATATAGAAAAAAACTCAAATCATACGTGGCATTCCTGGAATTAAAGGAGGAAACATCCCTGGAAGAGGTAACATAACTGGCTGATTTTCATAGGCTTTAGTTATCGAATCAATAACATTCTGTGCCTTTTCATGACCGATTTCTTAAATATTAATTTTAAACTTATATTATATTGATAATTTTAACCTTGATAATATTCACGAACATTAGTAAGATGATTTTTTCCAGCATTATGAGCCTTTCTAACTGAAGCTGAGTCATGTGTTAAGAATACATCACAATAATCACAATAATCTTATAAATCTTAGTTGAATTATATGTTTCATAAATTTACTTACAACGTGGCATTTTAAAATATTATTTAAATCTTTAACTAAAATAAATATTATTTATATGGGAGAGAATATAATATTATTAGCTTTAAATACAAAAAAAAAGCTAACTCTTAACTAAATATTTTGAATTTTAAAAGATATTTTAAAATTTTATAGGTCGATAAAAAAATAAAAATCTATTTAAATTTATAAGATATTTTTAAAATTAAACATAAATATTTATGCAGATCATTATTTGAAATCATTTCTGTTTAATATTTGTCTAATATATTCACATGTAATTCCTATATCTTCTGAAATTTGAAAAACATGTTCGATTTCTAATTTTATGTCCTCAGGAAGTGATTTGTTTGTATGTAAATCTTGTAGATGGATATGTCCATTTTCTGTAATAGATAAAATTATTTTTAAATCATCAATTGTTGAAGAAAAAATGCTAATTTGTATGTTTGTTTCGTAAAAAGTAGATATATTAAAATTAGTTTTGTTTTTTATGTATGATTTATAGTTAGTTTTATGTAAAAGAGAATTGCTAGAGACATTATTATTTATATAGCTTTCAGTTAAAGTTTGAAAGAGTATATATTTTCGAAGTAGCTATTATTAAGTAAGCATAATTATATATTATTAAATAAATATACTTTTAAAATAGAATGAATTTGTTTAGGATGAGAAAAAGGAATACGATTTAAATGACATGCTGGAGATAATGTAGATTTTTCTAAGGTGTATAATTGATGCTGAGTTACTGAAAAAGGTAAATATAATATTCTCTCTGTCTGGATAGGTAATGATTGAGAAGTCTTTTAAATAAGGTTAGCAAAAAATTAAATATAGATTATAATGAAAATACCAAAATTGTTTCATATACTTGATAATTATTTTTCTCTAAATCATTTTGAGAAATAAAATCATACGATTTAATTATTCTAGAAATCTGTTTTATATCTTCTGTGCATACTATAACAGGAGGATCCAATATCATTACAAATTGACATGAAGAAGAAAAACTGGACGAAGGTTCCATCCAATTATAATCTCCACTATTGGATTATTAGATGTTTTAAAATTATATAAAAAGAATACTTTAATAAAGTAATTTTTTGATCTATCCATTGAATATTAACAGCAGGAGAAATGGACGAAGCAGTAGTGTCTTGTTCTTCTACTTCTATTATTACTCTCCAGAGTTTTTCTTCTGTAGAACAGTAACGTCTTTGTTTCCAATACCAAAGAGTCAGTCCTACAATATTTGCTACATCAAATTCGGGTTTTCCAAATTTTTCACACAATATTTTTTCAGGATCTTTATATATTTCAAGTTCATACCCATAAATTTGCTCAAACGCTACATATAATGATCTAATTGCTGAAAAAGCATCCCATATAGGTGGTGATGATAAACGATCAAAACGTAAAAGACGTTGAAAATTACTTTTAAATAAATTTAAACGGTATGATTCTGAAAAATTCGCTAGAAGAATTGCATCTGTAGACGGTGAAAAATATTGCCCTCCTTTACAATCTGCCCATGTAGTTGTAACCCGAATAACCTTCCAATATATAGAAAATTTTTCTAAATCTATCTAAAAAGACTTTAACTTCAAAAAATATAAATTCCTATTAAAAATTACATCGATCACTATTATTTTTCCGCCAAGACTAATTGTTACTTTATTTTCATATTTATCTTGAAAACATTCAAGACCTTCTTTTTTTCCAAGAGTTTCCAATGCTTCTGCGCTTATGAAATCATCAATTTTTCCCTCCTCAAGGGCATGAATTGCTACATCAACTGATTCTACCGATGTAAAATTATTATTTTTAACATAATCATTAAGATCTGAAAGTATTTTGTTTAAAGAACTATGTTTATAAGATAATTCATTATTTTTTAATATTTTACCTATTTTTAAAATTTAAAAACATATATTAAAATTCTTTTAGTTTTAAATACTGGCTATTTCATAGAAATTCATTAAAATATTCAATAAAGTTGATGTTTTTTTTAAATAAAAACTCTTCTTATAATTAATAAGATAAAATTATAAAAGTTATATAGAAAAAATTGTATAATTCTTCAATATATTTCAAATATTAAAGGTATAAATAATTCATGATAACTTTATCAGTTTTTTTTTTGTTTATCTTAAAATTTTATTTTTTTTTAATAAAAAAATTGATAAAATATTAGAGATTTCAAATAGATATTATTTTAATTGTTAATTCAATATAATTATAAGTGTTAACAATTTTTATACAAAAAGAATATATAAGAAACAAAGACATATATGAAAATAATATAAAAGAATAACAATTTTTATATATATTTAAATAAATATGCAAACCTTAAAGCTCTTAATTAACCCTTGATTTTATAAATATTTTGAATTAAATTTTATAAGTATTAGAGAAACATGCTGAAAAAAATGTTTAATTTGAAAAATAGTCTTAGATGTTAAATTAAATCTAAATTCATAATAAAAAACAATCGGTAGAATTTTCTTTAATAAATTATTGAGTTTTAACAAAATAATAACCATGATTTTTGTCTTTTTTTGTATTACGATATAATACTAAAAATAAATATTCATATTTAAAAGTTAGTTATCGGAAAAAACTGTTTCCATTATAATACTAGAGACCCTGTATGGATCAATATTCGATGCAGGTCGGCGATCCTCAAAATATCCATAACCCTGTTTTGCACATATACGTGGAATGCGAATACTTGCAGTACGATCAGCAATTCCATAGCTAAAGTGATCAATATGCCCTGTTTCGTGAATGCCTATAAGACGTTGATTATTATCTTCTCCATATACTTTAATATGTTCTTCATGTTTTTTTTTAAGTTTCGAAATAGCATTTAAAATATGTTCCATGCCACCTTCTTTTCTCATTTCTATAGAGGAGAAATTTGTATGACATCCTGCACCATTAAATTGCTTAACAAGTTTAGGGTGAAAAGATATTTTAACATCGAATTCTTCAGCAATACGAACTAAAAGATACCTAGCAATCCAAAGATCATCCCCTATAGTAACACCTAAACATGGTCCAATTTGAAATTCCCATTGCGATGGCATCACTTCTGCATTAATTCCCGCTATTTTAATTCCTGCGTATAAACACATTCGATAATGTGCTTCTGCAATTTTTCGACAATAAACTTTTCCTGTGCCAACACCACAATAATATGGACCCTGTGGCGCTGGAAACCCTCCTCTTGGCCATCCATATGGCGCTCCATATTTATCTAAAAGGGTGTATTCCTGTTCAATTCCAAACCATGGCTCATGTTTAATATATTTCTCTGAAAGTTTAGAACATGCATAGCGATAATTGTATTCATTCGGAGTTCCATCCGGATTCCAGCATTCTGCCATTACAATAATATTATCTCCTTGTCGTATAGGATCTGGATAAAACGCCACAGGACGTAAATAAACGTCTGAATCATTTCCTGACGCTTGACCACTAGACGATCCATCGAAATACCATTCAATAAGATCCGAAACACTTTTAGGTTTTTTGTCTAAAGTAATTGTCTTAGATCGAAGCTCATTTGACCCATCAATCCATACATATTCTGCTTGGATTTTTCCATGTTGTTCTAAGATCATGTATTTCAATAACTACACTATTAAAACTATTTTTTTTCACTTATTTTTCTTACATTAGACACGTTTTTATCCTTTTCCATTGTTAAACGAAAACAGGACTTTTTTCCCTGATTTCTAACTTTTTTTTAACGTCCGGATTTTTAATCTGATTATCTTAATAACCCTTAGCCCTAAACTCCTAACTTTTAACATCTATTTTTAACCCTTTAAAAGCTTAATAACTTAGTATCTTGATTTATTTCTTCAAATCTATTTAACAATTATATTTAAACTTAAATATTTTAAATAATATTTTATAATAAAACTTTATTTAATTGGTTAAAGTTAAAAATCTTAATTAAATTAAGAAATATATGAAAAATGTTCCATAATCCAGTAATTGCAGCAATCCTTGGCACTATAGGAACAGTAAAATGAAATATAAGAAATAAATATAGATTAATCTTTGTATAGATTTTATGGTGTATTCAATTAATTCCTCAGATTGTTGTAAATTATCTTCGACATAGTACACAAGGGTTTCAACCTCTTATGTTATTGTTATGGTCTATTGGTGCAGTTATTATGGGCATTTATAATATTTCTCGTAACTTGAATATTCCATTACAACTTCAACCACAGTTGTTTTTAGTTTTATGTTTTATTACATGGGGACAATGTCTTTATTATGAAAAAGTATTTTTCTTTTTTTAAATTAAATTATTTATTGGTCATAGAAATGGTCTATTTATAAATGTATTACTATTTTTTCATCTGGAGGGTGCATCTCGGGATTTATTGAAGCAGGATTTGTTTTTATAGCACGAGTAAAATTATTTTAACTTATATTTAACATAATATTAACATAATAAAGTCATTAATACGACAAAATATTAAATGGCCTATTATTTCTATAGGGATAATTTCATCTATTTTTATATGTATTGGACTTTTTCCTCCGTATTATGATATATATATTCATAAATGTGTTCGAGGAATTTCATTTATATTTCTTTTAATAGATATGGGAGGAGCGTTATTTTCTTTCTTGTCTTTATGTATCTTCTTTATTATAATTTCTCTTTATAACATAATTTATAGTATTTGAACTGAAATTTGATATTCTTGCGGCTATTTCATATTCTTTTGTTTTTTTTCTTGAAATGGGCATTATTATGTTTGATTATTATTTTAAGTTATCAAAATGGAATAAGAAAAGAAAATTAAATAAAAAAGCAAAACAAGAAATATCAGAAAAAACAATGGATACAATAGATATAAATGTAGAAGCATCGTCATGAAATTTAGAAAATCTTGATAAAATACATCGATATTGTCTAATGGGAGATAATTTTATTATTATTCATAAAGGATTTTTTAATCATCTTAATGTTATCACGTTTTATTTATTTATTTATTATAAGGGTGCATAAATTTAAAATATAAGTGTTTTCTAGAGTTTGTCTATTTAGTTTGTAATCATTCAGTAATTAGATATAATTATATAAATTAGATTATGAAACTTAATATTTTAAACTAATTTAACTTGAATAATTGCCATTTATGCAGTATTTATTCCTTAATAATGATTCAAAACATATATTTTTATGGGAAAAAAAATACAGTGGTATTAAATTTGATAATATATATTTTAATTTTATAATAAGTCTTATATTTATTAAATATTATGTTATTTTATGCATTTGGGATGATCATTCTAATTTCATTGTATAATATTTAGAAACTATTAAAATACAAAAAAATACATCAGCTTTTAAAATTAGGATAGTTTAAAATATAAGTATGCTCTATATATTATGTTTCTTTCATATAAATAATAAAATTTTAGATTTTTGCAAATTTAAATATATAATTTTAACTTTATAAAGAATAATAGAAATATCAATATATTTTTAAAGTTACAATATCTCTTCATATAAGTTAGTCATCAATTGCATTTAATTCTTTTGTTAGAATACTTTAAAATTTAAATATAGATCTTTAATTATAAAAATTTTTATTTTTAGAAATCATTTGAAGTTTATTAATAATTTGTTATCTTAAGGTAATTTTTAGTTAATATTAATTTATTAGAGTTTAAAATTCTATATAATAAATAATATATATATTGATTATTATTCATAATATTTTAAAAGCATAAATTAAAAAAATATTCATAAATTATACCAATATAGATAAAATTTTTATATAAAAAATAAATTTTTCTAAAATAGAAATATCTAAAACAAAAAACTTAAAATCATATGTTTAATATTGTATTTATAATATAAAAAATCTTTTAATAATATATTATTTTTAAAGATTTTAAAAAATATATATAAAAATATAATTTTCATTATTTATAAGATATTTTTTTGTAAAATAAAAACAAATTTAAGCAATCTAATAATATTTTTAAAGTATATTTTTAGTGCTACGGATCTATTTTTTCATATATAAAATCTTTTATATTTTAAACTTTAAAATTAAATACTAATAATAACCTTAAATATGAAATAATATGAATAATTAAGCAAAATGTTTTACATATTTAATTTCATAAAAAATACTTCTAATAAAATAAAGAAATTAAAATATAAATGAAAAATTCAAAGAACATATAAATTGAAATAAAAATACTAAAGATTTTTATATCTAATAAACAAAATACGCTTTTATTAATAAAAATAACTTGTTTTTGGAAAATATTCATATATTCAAAAAATATATAAAACTTTTCCCAAAACGAAAATCTTTAAAATTGTGTTAAATAATTATAAAGTGTTTTATGATGATATAAATCATTATTCCCAAAAATAGAAAATTTACTAAAATATTCTAAAATGTATATATAATAAAAAATATTTGAAAATTAGATAAATTCTTTGATAAAACCTAACTTTCTTTTAAAAACCATAATCTATATATGTAGAACTATTAGAAATTAAAAATATCATAAATTAATCATATAATTCAAAAAATATCGTTTTACAAATCTAATAAAAATTAAATAATATAAATCATTGTTTTTCAAGATAAAATAAAAAATACATTAAACCATTTTTTTCAAATCAAAATAACAATCCCAGTTTAAAATAAAACATTTCAGATATAAATTAATTTTATGAAAAAGCTGGAAGTGAATTAAACGAATTTTCTTCAAGAACTCGATCCAATTCCAAACGTATCCGATCAAGTTGTTGAGAATGCACAAGTAATCGTTCATCTAAATCCTAATATTTCTTAAAAAATATATCCAAAAAAATATTTTACATACTTCTAATACAATATCATGTGTTTGATTATCGAGATTAAGAATAATCTGCTTAACAGTTGGATCACTAAATCAATCAATTTCTGTACTTTAAAGTCTCTAAGAAGCAATACCATTCAATTAAAACACCTATAAATTAATATATATATATAAATTATAAAAAAGCCCTACCTTTGGTTGCACGTGGCATATTCAAGATAGTTTATAAATACAAAAAACCTTATTTATGTACGTTAAAAAGAGTAAAAAGCTTTTATAAAAAGGCAGAAAATATATATCTTTAAATATATAGAAATACTGGAATATATGCGTATTATATGCGTACTATATGCACTGCGTATAAGTCACAAAGCAAAAAATACACATATTCTATCTATATTTTATATAGGCAATAATTAAATCCTCTTATTATAAAGGGTATTCGTCAGTTTAAAAAGATATCGAAATTTTTATATATCCGCTTTTTTTGCATCATTTTACTGAAAATTTGACAGAATATTATAAATTTTAAAGAAATAGAATGAAAAAGATTCGTGTTGGAATTAACGGGTATATATAACTGCATTTTTATATCTTTATAATTCTAGATTATTATAGATTTGGTAGAATTGGGCGTATTTTTTTGCGGTAATATATATACATATATATATCAATATACATGAACTTAATATAAATTACAGAATTTCCTCTCAAGCCTCCAATATTGAAGTAGTAGCAATTAATGATCCTTTTATAAAACTTGATTATATGGAATATTTATTTAAATATGATACAGTACATGGCCAATTTCAGGGCGAAGTTTCTACAACTAGGGATGGTTTATCTGTAAATGGGAAGACAATTCGTGTTTTTTCAGAGAGGGATCCAGCATCAATTCCATGGGGTTCTTGTGAAGCAGGTTTTTTTTATATTTTTTTTAGCAAAAAATACTTATATATATATAGAATACATTGTTGAAGCAACAGGAGTCTTTACGACAGAGTCTCAAGCATCTTTGCATCTTCGGGGAGGCGCCAAGAAAGGTAGATTTTTTTTTTTATCTATTTTTCTCTAATTTAATCTTAGTTATTATTACTGCGCCTTCAGTAAACATAAATTAATTATTTTATATTTTTTAATTTTATATTAGAAAGATGCACCTATGTATGTATGTGGAGTTAACCTTGATGCATATGACCCTTCAAAAAAAGTTATTTCAAATGCATCATGTACAACAAATTGTTTAGCACCTTTAGCTAAAGTGATTCATGAGTATATTTTTCAAAAAAAAACATGAAATATCCAAATTCATTATTTTTAGCAATTTTGAAATTGTTGAGGGTTTAATGACAACCGTTCATGCTACTACAGCAACTCAAAATACTGTTGATGGTATATATTTATAGACTTTTTTTTTTTATTAAATATGCATTTAGGCGTATCTCAAAAGGATTGGAGAGGCGGAAGATCCGCATTTGGGAATATAATTCCGTCAGAAACAGGTGCTGCTAGTGCTGTGGGGAAAATAATTCCTTCACTTAATGGAAAACTTACTGGAATGGCATTTCGCGTTCCTGTAGCTAGTAAGCATAATGTTCATAGTATTATATATATATCTTATAGTCTTTAGATGTATCAGTTGTGGATTTAACTGTTCGTCTTAGAAAAGTATGTTTTTATTCTATGTTTTTAAAATATTTAAAATATTTAGTCTACAACATTTGCTGAACTTAAACAAGCAATTAAAACTTCATCATCTGGAGAGTTATCTGGCATATTGTCCTATACAGAGAATGATGTTGTTTCATCTGACTTCATTGGTTCAACTTATAGCTCAATATTTGATGCGAAGGCTAGTATAGCTCTAAATGATAATTTTTTCAAACTTATATCATGGTATGATAACGAATGGGGCTATAGTTCTCGTATGTTTTCTAATTACTTTGAAAATTATAGATTAATATTTCTAGGCATACGCGATTTAGTTCAATTCATTGCTTCTCAGGATGAAGAGGTTATTGTTAATTTTAAAACTAATGAAACTAATATTTTATATCTAGGCTGGCGTTTGACTTTATTTTTAAAATGCTGAATCCTCTAATAAAAATTACTTTATTAGTAGAAAATTTACTCAATCTTATTAATTATTTTATATAGATATTTTATATATTTGATTTATATATTTTTTCTAGACAAATTCTTAAATATATTTATTCAATAATTTATTAAGATCAAGATAATCTAGCAAAATATATGTTTACAAAAATTGTCCAGAACACCCTAAGATATTCAAGATCATATTTAATAAAGAATATTAGAATGCTATAACGACGTATTTCCAGAAATCAAAATTAGAATATTATTTCAAATTTTATATTTTTAATACAAAATTCAAAGTTACAAAATTATAATATACATTAATAATAAATATTCTAATATTATTCTAATAATATATTTAGCTTTAGAAACTACAAGAATTATTTTAAACTAGATACCAATGGTAGATGTTCAGTTGAAATAATATACATTAGCATTTATATTTAATGCTATTTTGTATCTATACGCAGATTATGCTATAAAATTATGAGATGAATAAAAAATCTTTTTACTCTGGTTTGTAAAAAAAATAAAAACAAAAGCAATAGGCTTATTTTTATAGCTCAATTGAATTTGATCATATAGTGCATTCTTTATAAATATTATAAATTAGATACTTTTTCTATGAATAATGTCTGGATCTTCTTGATATTCCTCTGCACTAACCCACATCTAATTAAAGATCAATGTAAATTAATAAAAATAATAAAGAAAACCTTTCTAAATGTACTAAGGCTTGCAAGAATTGAACCGCCTATCCATGTACTATATTTTCTTTCTGGAGGAGCAAAAATTTTGATTTTTACATCTTTTACAGCAAGTCGACGTATTTCAGAGAGTAAGCGATCACCAAATCCTTATAAATTAGAAAAAAAAAATTACTATTAGAAATTTCAAATACCCCTTGTCAAAGTAGATCCCCCTGATAACACAATGTTTCCAAATAAAGACTTTCGAAGATCCAAATCTACTCGACTAATAGCATCAACAACAACTTGATGAATACCAGAATATTCTGATCCAATAATTTCAGGATCAAATAAAATTTCAGGTGCTCTAAATCGTTCTGCACCAAGCTACAAAATAAGAAATCATTTATTTCTAAATAAAAATACATACTCGTAAAACATTTCCATCTGGAAGTTTAAATTCCTCTTCTTTAGCATGATCCTTCCCTCCGGATATAGATGCATTAATCCATTCCTTCTCTTCTTTTCTTGGGTCTAACGTAACATAAGAACATTTTTCCTTAATAATTCTAACAATTTCTTTTTCTGCACTAGTATGAAACACAGTTCCTGATTTTCTAAGCAACAATTGCAAATATTCTGTTACATCGCGTCCTGCTATGTCTATTCTTCTTATAGCAGATGGCATTGCAAAACCTTCATAAATCGGGACAGCATGTGTTACACCATCGCCAGAATCCAAAACAACACCCGTGGTTCGTCCAGAAGCATAAAGAGATAATACCGCTTGTATCGATGTAAATAATGCCGGTACATTAAAGGTTTCAAAAAAAACTTGTGCTGCTTGGTCTCTATTTGTTCTAGGATTTAGGGGTGCTTCTGTCAATAATACTGGATGCTAATCCATATAAACACAGACTCCCTAAATAAACCTTATTTATACCTCCTCTGATACTGTTTTAAGTTCTTCCGTATATATAAACTGCCATATTCGTTCCATATCATCCCAATCAACAACAATACCATGTTCTATAGGATATTTAATTTTTAAAAGACCACGAAGTTCTTGAGCTTTATTTCCTATAAAAACATCTCCTTCAATCGCTCCTGCCATAATTTTTAGATGTTTTGGTCGTCCAACACTATATAAACGTTATTCTATCGTCTATACTTCTCATTTTATCATTTTACTATGACGGAAAAAAACTTTTGGGCTGATCCTCACCCGCAAACCCTGCCTTTATCACTCCTGACCCCTATACATCTATAAATATCTATTCAATTTTCGTATATAAACCAATCACTACATTATCGATGCAAATAGGCTGATTAGTCAATCTTCAACCTATTAAATATCTTCATAGACACTATCATACAGACGTACACATCATTAAATTCCATTTTTTCTTCAATTCTCTTAAATATTCAGACATAAACTAAATTTTTCCTAAATATCTTGTTTTTTTTGATATTTTCACCAAAAAAAAAGAAAAAAAAAACTACCTATAAATATTACTCAAAAACAATCAAGAATTTCTTTATCTACCAGTAAAATTAGTCCTTTTTTCTTGTTTTTTCTTGATAAAACCACATTAATTAATATTCAATCTCGATAAACGTACCTTTTTCAACGTACAATTTTTTTATGAGATGGATCAACTAGAATTATTGTCTGCTGCAGACTTTCATACCCACTTAAGATCAAATAAAATGATGGAATATGTCGTCCCATTCATTCGTCTTGGAGGCTGTTCAATTGTATATGTTATGGTTATTTTTTTTTGAAAAAAATAAATAAGCTGATAAGAAAAAGCCTAATTTAATTCCTCCTATTACATCAATTGAGTCGTGCTTAGAATATAAGCGTAAACTTGAGGAATTAGACTCGGACACAACATTTCTTATGAGTTTATATTTATGTCAAGAAATTACACCGTCAATGATTGAAGAAGCTAAAGCAGCAGGAATTGTAGGTATAAAAGCTCTAATAATAATGGAAAAAAAGAAAATATTTAATAAAATAAAGGAATAAAGATGTACCCTAAGGGTTTATAAATATAATGATGAAAATTAATTATATTAAATATGATAAGGTGTGACGACGCATTCGGAATTTGGGGTTGAAGATTATGAATCATATTATCCAATATTTTCAGCTATGGAGAAACATGGACTTGTTTTGAATATTCATGGGGAAATTTCAAGCTCGATGAGCGAAGATGTTACGGTTTTAACAGCAGAACAAGCGTTTTTGCCAATACTTTATAAATTACATGAATTATTTCCGAAATTAAAAATTGTACTTGAGCACTGTACAACAAAAGAAGCTATAGAGGCGATTGAAAAATGTGGAGATAATGTTTCGGGAACAATTACAGCTCATCATCTTTTTTTAACAGTTGATGATTGGGCAGGTGATCCGTATGCATATTGTAAACCTGTCGCAAAATTGCCATCAGATAGAAAAGCTCTTTTAAATGCTGCTACAAGTGGTAATAAAAAATTTTTTCTTGGAAGCGATTCAGCACCACATCCACGAACACTTAAAATAGGTACAAAAAAAATTGCAGCTGGTATATTCACTCAACCATATCTTATAAGCTATCTTGCAGAAGCCTTTGATAGGGTAGGGAAATTGGATAAACTCGAAAATTTTGCATGTATTTTTGGAAGAGAATTTTATAATGTTAAAGATATTGGTATAGATAAAAAAATTATATTAACAAGAAAACCATTACAAATCGCTTCTGAACTTGGCTCGGAAGATGCCATTTTAGTACCATTTTTGGGAGGAAGTGTATTAAATTGGACTATAACATGGAAATAATACTCAATATATACAAACAGTTTTATGAGTTTCACTATTTTTACTACGTAAATATTCATATTTTGTTATAAACAATACCATTTTAATGCGGAATTAAATCAATAAAAATAGATTTTCCTTTATTTAAATTTCTTTTTAGCCGTTTTTTATCATATTTGTTGTTTTGTTGTTTATCTGAGTTATTATATAAAAGCTCATCACGCCTATTATGTACACCATTTAAATAATTTATCTTGTTATATGATTTATTGCTTCGAAAAGTATCCAGTTTTGGCGATTTATGATCTAAGCACTTTTTTTTCATTTTTCGTGCAAACCAATCTTCCTTCTCATATTCCCTATATGTTTTCAAGAGTTTCTTCTTTTTTATTATTTCCCGATGCTTTATATATTCGTATTCAGAGGCAGGAATTGGCTCATTATCAATACAAAAAGCAGATGATTCTAAATACCTAGAATATTGAGGAAGACGACAATCCTATAAGATATAAACCTATTAAATATAAATGTAAGAGAAATACATCACCATAATGTCCATATTCCGCACAATTATAACAATATCGCTTAGGTGTAAATTCTTTTGGTGCGTCTGGATTAAATGTATAACATCTCCAAATTTTAGGACACATCTAGTATTATTAATTCTTCTATCTTTATCATCATATAATTTTACATCATCCGGATGATATTTTGAAGAGCATGTACTACATATATTTATTTTTCGAGGTTTTTTACAATCCTAATCTCATAAGTATAAAAATACTAGAAAAAATATTATTATCCACAATAAGAATATGTCCTAACTCATTACAATTATGACATTTTTGCAACATCGGACACCGAGATGCTAAATGATCATTTACTGTTCCACAATTCGTACACTATCATTAAAAATATATCAATTGCTTTCAAAATCCTTTTCTTATATACCATTTCTTGGAAACAATCACGTGCAATATGTCCCGGCTCTGCACATTTATGACAAATAATTTCATCTTGTGCTAACCCAAAATATCTACCTTTACTCAACTAACCAAATATTAACCATAATATTATAAAAAACACTCATACGAATTCATACTTGTGCCCAATCTTCTATTGTATCTGTATTTTCTGATTCTTCATATATATCGCTTTTTAAATCTTCTAAATTCTCGTTTTCAGTTATTTCTTGGTTTTTTAATCCAAGACTTCCTAGATTTAATTCATTTTTACACACAGGCTCTTCATCATGCACAAATGCTTCATTTTTTTCCTTTTCTTCACTTTTTTTTCCCTCAAAAGCATTTAACAAATCTCCATTAAATTTCCAATCACAATTATCAAAACTATAATTCAATAAATATTAACAAAAACTCTTATTCACAGGATATATTAACCTTAATTTACTAAGATCTCCTTTATTATCTCTTAATTCATCCTGCTCTATTTTGGAGGTTTTAAAGCAGTTAGACATTTTTATGATGTCCAACCTCGAATCTCGAACGTAAAAAATTAAAGACTTAAAATCTAAGTTGATAACGTCGAATTTTTAAAAATTATTATAAAAAGGTAGAAATAAAGGTTAAGAAAAGATAAGCATGTCTTAAAGCTAATATATAGGATTGTTAATATTGTCTAAAGTGTTTGTCAGTTTTTGAAGCTTTTTTAAGGGTTTTTTTTAAGCAAAGCTAGAAGTTTTTTTAAAAAAATTAACTTATATTAAAAAAAAAATTTTTAAAAAGAATCTCTATGTCATACATTATATTAGAGCAAATACAAGGGTCAGATATTTTATTTTATGATATGTGCAGGCGATCTTCGTCAATTATTCATGATGTTCAGGCATCAACAGCAGATGATAGTTTAGATCAAGGAAGTCAAAGTAATTTTAATTGCAACTGGGTAAATTTTAAAGGCAAGAATTAAAAAGAATAGTTAGAATAAATATTGAAGAAAGGGGCTAGGTGCATGGATTATTCATATTGTTGTGATTTCATATCTTAAAATATTTTATAATGCTTTTCCAGCAGTTTCACAGGAACTTTCATGGACACTTACAAATTTGACATACATGCTTGTAATAAGGGTTCTATAGGAGGTAAAAAGTATTACTAATTTATGTTAGAGTTCATATATTATGTTTCATTGGGTTAAAGGGATTCCTTTTGAGTTTAATTCTGGAGCATATGATAATTTAACTATGTGGGAGCAGATGGACAATGGTGCGCAATATACTCCAGCTAAAAAATATCTTACAGCTGTCCCTATTACTTTGTATGTATTTTTTTTTTTATTTTTTTTTGATTTAAATAAATAGATTTCTTTTAAGCACACATTATACACATTATGATTTCTGGACGTTTTTTATTAATCTTTGGGCTCTTTTAATGGTATTAGTGCCGAAACTTCCCTCTGTAAGTTTATATAGAATTTTTTTATTTATGCTAATAATTAGACTCATCGAAAACGTATTTTTGGAATTAATAAATTTGATTTAAATTAGGAAATATTAAAGGGAATTACCAATGGCATATTGTGTTTAAGTATTTTTTTACAACTTTTAAATTATCTGGGATATTATGTTTATACTTTTATAATGATGATTTTACGTTAAGAAAGCCTTTTTATAAGAACATTTTCTATTTAAGTATTTCTTTATGACATTTTATAAGTATAATTCAAGCAATTTTAAAAATTGTATTTTTTTGCCTTTAAAGGAATTTTTGTATATTATCTATAATTTAACAATGGTAGTATTAATTATAATACTTTTTCTTTAAAGAACATATGCTGGACTTTCAAGATTAAATATTTAAAACTAATTTTCATAAAAAATATAATTTATACTTTTATTTTAAAATATATTTTCTAATAAAAATTGAATAGATCCTAGATATATTTAATAATAATTAAAGTTATCTATTAACAGATATTTTCCTCAGGATCACATATTACTCATAATTATTTTATGATTCCATCTTTATAGTGCAAATAAAATCTTCAATATTTTTATCATAAAAAAATCTCTCCTCTAGTTTTAAATAATAATATCTAATATATGATTTATAGATATTTGAAGGTTAAAATCTTAAAACTATAAAGTTAATTTAGAAGTGCTTCTCTATGATTATATTGTATATATAAAAAAATATTTCATAACCAAATCAACAAATATGAAAGTGTCTTATCCTTTTTCAAAATTTTCAATCTCTCGTAGCTTCTTTTCAAATATCACATAATCTATGTCCTATAATATTTTTAATTAATGCCAATAAATATATTTATATACTGATATTTTCCATTCAACTCCTTCTTTAATAAGTTCATCATCATTGCATACATTTTCCACTGACAATTTACAACCAGGATTGCAATGTTGACTCTGAAATGTTACAACTACGGTACGTTTTTCTTTGTTTACAATTTTGGGCTGAATATTTTCATCTTTTTCGTCTAAAGAATCAAAATAACCAGTTTCGAATTCACCATCTATCTCTAAATCCACTGCATAGGATATTCCTTTCTTCATTTCTCTTATAGCAAGATTTTTAGTAGTGGTAAATGATGCTGGAATATCTTTTTCATATGATGTTAATTTTAAACCAATATTAAACGTTTTCCATCTTATCCTTATATATCTTGGATCTGTCATATTTGATTTTTCAAGCTCTGAAAGATACTTAAATGTATCTTTACATCCAAAATTAACAAATACTGTACGAATCTTTGAATTATATACATGTTTCAGTTGTATATACGGCCGTAACCTCAAAGGCCCATGATTATCCTTCCTAATAAATTCATCAAGAAGTATAAGCAAATCTTCTGTCATAATTTCAGATAATCTTGATCTAGGCTCTTTAAGAAGCTGAAAAAACTTGCGAGTAGCATATGTTGCTTAAAATATAAATATAAAAACGCCCCAAAAAAAACAAAAATACCTCCTATACAAAACTCATTTGGCCAGTAGTCGCTTCCAAATCGAACTTCTGCCGATGAATAAGAAATATATGTTGCAAAAAGTTGCTGCAAAGAATCAAAAACATATGTTAGAGGTTTTAAGTCTTTTGATGGCGGAAAAAAACGTGGGTAAGACGGAGCTTTTGGTGCATGTCTAAATATAAAGGCTAATCTCTTATTAACCCTTTTTTGATCTAAAAAAAGCCATTTACTTACGAAACTTATCAATTGGTGATGGAAGTGGAGATTCTGATAAATTTTGAGTTAAAGAAGAACGTGTCCATAAATTCCTTTGGCGAAACAGTATTTCAGAGAATATTAACCTTTTTTTCTTAAAACAATGGGAAAATAGACTCATTTTTAAAAATTTAAGAGTGTAAAACAAGCGTGCCGCTAAAAAACTCAGTCTTTCTTAATGTTTATCAAGAAAAAACACATAAAATCTTAGATATTTTTTAAATAATGATGAATATATATTTATATTTTAGTATTTTTAATAAAAATATCTTAATATATTAGGGTATTTAAAAATATAACTATTTTTGAAAAAATAGTGGAAAATTAGAAGTTAAAAAGGAACAAAAATAGAACAAAAACCTTATGTTATTCAAATATAAAAGATCTATTTTATTTTTTATATAAAAAAGACGAAAACAACCTTAAATTTAGAAGAAACAGACATTATTAAAAAGCAAAAAATTAAAAATGTTAAATATATATATATATATTTAAATAAAAGGTTAATACAAAGCTTTAATTCAATTCTTTACGTAATAAATATTTAGAATCCAAACCTTTTTATCTGGAAAACATGTATATGGAATATTAATTTAAAAAAATGGAATAAAAGTTTATTTGTTTAAAGTCTATTTGATCAAATAGATTTGAATTTTATACAATGTCCAAAAACAGTAGAAAATAATTAAAATAGTATTGTATTATAAGAATTTGCCAAGAAGAACTTTTATAGAGCACTTGTATTTTATAAAGAAGCAATTAATGCGGCAATATTAGTTGGAATGGATAAAACAAATGATATGTTTATTGAAATTAAACTTGAAATGACATATACACATCAATTAATAATGACAATGAAAATGTAGAAATTATTGATAGAAGTATTTTTCTATACTGAAACATAAAATACAAGAATATAAAGTTTCAGATAGTATTCAGATGTTGAAAAGAGAGATTGTTTTATCAGCAAAATAAAGGAAATAATAAAAAAATAGAAGATTATTTTACTTAGGGTGTTGAAGAAGTTCTTAATGGACAAAAAAAGAATAAATAATAATCTATGGATAAATTCAGATGAAATTAGAATTACATTTGAATTACTTTCAACATTTTATTGGAAAAAACTGAAAGTATATATTAAAGAACTATTCAGTTACTTTTAATTAATCATGTTTTGAATTCACAGTTAATTCGTCTTCAAAAATATCATATCATATTTGACAAAAGTCCTTTATCACTCTATTATCTTATGTAAATAACTTTAAATAAAATAAATTAATACTAATAAATTCAGTGAATAATATATCAACATGTTTTTTTAAAAATACATATTTTATATATGTTTTATAATTTATATTTATTTTTTTAGGGATTATTAATAAATTTTATGACAAATATTTCTAAATTGAGTAAATATGTTAAATATTATTGCAAAAAGGTCTTTTTTCAAAATATTTAGATCCAGAGAAAAAAATATTGAATATAGTATTTGCAACAACATATTTAAATAATGGATTTTTTTATGAATTACTTGGAGATATACATACTGCTATAAATTTATATAAAAAAATCTAAAGGAATCAAATATTTTTTTTAAAAGATTTTTAAAAGCGTAAAATTAATAAATTATAAGCTAATCTAATTTTTATACTAAATTTTAAATTTCTTTAATATAAAGTCCAAGTAGATAAAACTTAATGATGTATAATTTATTCTGGGATTTTAATATGTTTTATATGTAATATTTCCTAAAACAAATATTAATTTATCTTATTTTTAAATGTGTAATATTGCTATTTAATAATATATAAACCGGGTAAAAACCTATTTACAACATAATAATTTGTAGTAAAATAAGGTATATAATTTATAAATAGTTAATTCATCAACATTTTTACAGCCCATGATACAGAAAGAACACGAATATCAGTATATGTCTGACCATTTCCTATAAATATAATTGGAATACCGGTAGCCCATGTTATAGAAACTATTGTTCCAATAACATTTCCAACAGTATCCATTTTAGAAATAATGAATCCATCCAATTTTCTTTTATAACCTAAAGCATTATTGAAATTCTTAGCCTGAGATACTACATCCGCTCCTGCTAAGGCTTCTGCTACCTGGAAAACTTTATCAATATTTTCTGTAGTAACAAGCTATATATGTTAGTAAAAACCATAAAAAAACATATTTTGATGACTTTTTCTAGTGGAGACATAAGACGTGTATCATTATGGCGTCTTCCAGAAGTATCTATTAAAACTACATCAAATTCTTTCTTTTTTGCTATATATATTATTAAATTTCTATGTAAAATAGAGTATAAAATACCATATAAAATAGAATTATTTGCTATTATATTTGCATCCTTCCCATATCCTTTTTCAAATAATTCTATTTTTCCACATTTTTCCCTTTCAGATAATTGTTGTAAATTTCTTACATGAACCTGAAGTTGTTCTATTGCCCCGCTTCTAAAAGTATCACAAGCAGCAACAAGAATTTTTAAATGATTTTTTAAAAGCCAAAATGCTATTTTAGATAACGTAGTAGATTTTCCAACGCCATTAAAACCAACAAATGAAATAGTATACGGCCTTTTTTGAGCCTTAGAATCATCAATTTCTTTAAGAAGATCTATAGATGCTGATGGAGTTAAAATCTGTTTAAGAGTAGATTCCATAGTTGTTTTAATAATAGTATGAATAGCTTAAAAAATTTAATTACGTCTATAAAAAAGCATTTAGTTTACATTGAAAAGTACCGACATTTTTCCCAATTAAATTATTCTGAACAGATTCACATATATTATCCACAACTCCTTTTGCAATATTTTTTTTCAATAATAATTCTTTCATTTTTGTTAAAGCCGGATTGATCTCATCTAATGAAAGAACTCTTTTTTTAACAAGATTCGTAAATATATTTAACACCCAAGTATTTGGTTCTTTTTTATCATTTTTACCATTAATTCCATCATTATCATCATCAATTTCCTTAATAAAAAAAACTTTTCCATTTTTTGAGCTTAGATTTTCTTTAGATAAATCTAATATATCATTTTGAATTGAAACAGAAGATTTTTCAGGTTCAATAGAATAATCCAAAGTATCTGCTTCACAATTGCTATCTATAATATAATCATCTTCCCATTTACGCATGACCTTTTTGTTTTTTTTAACATATTCCTTATTACTAAAAGATAAATTTGTATAATATAAAAAAGGCTAAATATCACCTTAAATTGCTTATTTTAGGATTATTTTTCTTAGTATTTTTACTTATATTCCTTTTATGAAGGTCCTTTTTTAATGGAAATCTTGTTTTCATTGTTTCAAAAACATTTGACATCTGAACATGTTGATGAGCAATATCTATATTTTAAATTGATAAATTAAGGCAATAAATAAATAATATACCATTGTTCTCCTCTGAATCCTTAGAAAATGAATAATTATCCGTAATTATATCTTTTTTTGATGCAAAAGATGGAAGTTTCTTTGTCTATTTCAGCTATTATTATAGTACCATATTTTCATAAAAAATATACATTTAAAGCATTAAATTCATCAATTTTAACATCAAAATATGAATCAAAACTAAAATTCTTTGAAAAAAAGTCCTTTTTTTTAAGATCTTCATTATATAACTGACAAAAAAGCTTTTTAATATTTTCAAGAAATTCTTCAACATAAACCAATTCTGAAAGACTTAAATACACAACCTAAACCACTATTTAGATCCATCCATACAAAACTTAAATAAATACTGCAAATACAAGTCCAAAATCATTAGATACTGTCCATTTTACTGCAAAATCTTCTTTTATATAAATTGTCTTGGACATTTGTTCTTCAATAAAGATATCATTAATAAAGTCATTTATAATATTGAATGGTAAAACGTCAAAAGACCTCTCCCAAAGAACAATCCCTCCTCTGTTAAATATTGTAAAAAGAACTAACATATTGATTTATAAGGTAATAAAAAAATATGCGAGATAGGAAATTTCAAATTTATATATTAAATTTACAAAAATATTTATTTTAAAAACAAAAATAGTTAAGTATTTTGATAATATTACATGAAGATAAATAATGAAAAAATTTATGTAGTGACTTGCCATACACTAGAAAAATAAATTAAAATATAAAAAAAAATATAAGAAAATACCGAATAATACTATCCGTATAACCAGAAAAAAGAGTCTGCCCATCAGCAGACCAACATAAAGAAATACATTCTGGATCAGAAGATTTTTTTCCAACACCTGTAAAATCAACTTTAAGTTCATCGACAGTAATTCTTCAAAAAAATTAGTAATAGGCAAAAAAATAGAAAATAAGCATTATACTTTGTCTCAAGATCAAAAATTTTTATACTGGTAGCAGTAGCAGCACAAAGCCAATATCGATTAGGTGAAAATACTAAAGCGTTGATAATATCACCAGCTTCCAAAGAATATAAATGTTTAGATTCATTAAGATCCCATAACATGACTATGGTATCTTTTCCGCCAGAAGCACATAAAGACCCATCTGGAGATATAGTGACAGAATTGATAAAACCCTGTTTTTTTTAAAAAAATGATAAAATATAAAAATATTTACATTATGACCTATATAATTTGTTTTAAGTTTAAAATTAGAAAAATCCCAAGACTATTTATATATTAGATTTATTAAATAATGACTTTTATACATTTCTCCAATCTATCATCAGTCATGACAAAAATAAATCTTTCAGAGATTGTCTCTGAAATAGAAAACATAGAATATCTATATCTTATGAGGAAATACTGATTATTTCTGATGAATTTCTGATGGAGAAAAAAAATAATAAATTATTTTTAATACCTTAACCATCTTATCCCAACCAGCAGATACAGTAACAAGATTATTAAGACACGGAGAAAAACGAATACAAGATACCCAATCAGAATGCCCCCCCTCTTGAATAGTCATTTTGCAATCTCCAAGTGTATTCCAAAGTTTTATCGTTTTATCTCGTGATCCACTAACAATTTGTCTATTATCCATAGAAAAACTAACACTCAACACATCGCTTGTATGTCCAACAAATCTCCTCGTAGTCTGCCCTGTATTCAAGTCCCATAACCGAAGTGTCTTATCCCACGACGCTGAAAGTACATATTGACCATCTGACGAAATTGCCAAATCCTGAATAAAGTGGCTATGTCCCTATTTATACTCTAAATATTACTTCTAAAAATCATTTTAATCCAATCTTACTCTTAATGCCTTTCTTGGTATTCCAAATGTCCCATTTTCTAGCAATTGCCAGACAATGATTGTTTTATCTCTAGACGCAGAAACAATCATATTAGGATTCTCAGAAGAAGATACAATTGCCGTAACCCATCCTGTATGTCCCTCAAGAGATGAACGAAGAACTAAATTGTCCATATAAATGGCTTTTCTAAGGCAAAAAAGTAAAGATCAAATTTATATAAAAAACGAGGTAAGATTTTTCAAAATTATGACGTCACTAAAGCAGAGCTGTGAGAGGGCCAGGGTTAGGTGTATACCAAGGGCCTGAACTAGAAAAGGGTTAGGGTCAAGGTTTGAATATCTAAGATAGAGAGTAATGTTTATAGTAATACATATAGAAAAAAACAAATATAAATGAAAGTGAATGAGATAAAATGAACTTAAATCAAAAAAAACTAAAAGTGACGACATTTTTTTGAAAATACGCTTTTAGAATCATTAAAAATGATACGATGTTTAGTCGAAAGACGAGGAGAATCAATAAATTGAAATGAAAGATTTTCATCATTGGAAGGATTATTTGAACTATATAGAGTTTCAGCTCGCTCTGTCAAGTTATTCTGAAAGTACTGAGGTGTAGGACTTGAGGATAAAGTAGATTTTGAAAAATTTAAATCTAAGGAATTCGTACGTGATGTATTATGATTAGATTCTTCTGATAAATCGGATGACGAATATGAATTCTCTTCATTTCTACGACGTGCAATACACCATTCACGAAGACTCTCAATATCTGTAATACCATCATTTAAAAGCATCAACATTTCTTCAACTGCATCTTGAAATCCTTCTTGTCGTTCTTGACCCGCTGTTGTCAATGCTTGTCTATATAAATTTGTAACTGAAAGTGCCGCTATTTAAAAATACGTAAGTATCCATCTTGTAAAATATTATAAACAACCCATACCAGCTTTAAATGTTGATAATAAATCATCTTGTTCATTCTTTGTTTCTTTCCGTTTATCTGGCAAATGGTTATGAAGCGATGACATATCCATGATAGTTTCTTTCAAAAACCTAAAATACTGTATATCTCCTTAAGATTCTTCTAATATTCCTCTTATTTATATGTTTTTTAGAATATTTTAACTCCCTTTTTTTAAGTATTTAGTTTATCGACATTCACAGGACTTAACGTCTTTAATCACTCGAGATCACCACAACTTAGTTTTTTTCACAAAAAAAATATAGATTTCTTTAATAAAAAATCAGTGAAAATAGAAGGAAAATAAGCAATAAAGAACATAATTTATATTAGAAATTAAGTGTTTTTATTGTGTAATTTTAAAGCTTGAAAAAACGAGGATTTTTGATAAAAAATGTCTAAAAACAGTAAAAATAATTCAATAAGTGATTTATCAGAAGAATTTGATGAACAGAAGATAAAAGTATAAGATTGGATATAGTTTTTAACGGGAGATCTAATGATTATAGTCTGAGGATGAACTATTGGAAGAGGAAAAAGTAAGAGAGGTTTTTGATTATAATAAATATATGAAAATAACATGGAATGGGTGTAGTTGAATCAGAAGAACTACAGGACAATAATAAATATGGAGAGACAAAGAGAATTCGTAGAGAAACATGCAAAGCTGAATGAAGCGAAGGTATATAAGAATATATGAAGAGATAACATAAATAAATTTGTGATAGGCAGTAGATTCGACAAAAAGGCTTTCATTTCTTCTTGGACAAACAGGTATATATGTTGAGATTTAGGGATTATTTTTATATTTTGTAAAATAGAACTTTTTCGTCATTTTATTAACTTACAAACGGGTGCAAATACGGATTCCAAAGAAATTATTAATAAACTTTCAGATGAAAAACCAAAAAAAGAGATGAATTCGAAAGATCATAGACATCGTAAGACTGAGCAGGAAGAAGATGCTGAATTATTACAAGAAAATGATCCAAATCAAGAAAGCCAGACTATTTTTACGGAAAGCCCTCCTTGTAAGTTTGATATCTTTAGTTATATCTGACTTTTTATACGATCACAGATATCGTTGGAGGAAAGATGCGGGATTATCAGGTTCAAGGGCTTAATTGGCTTATATCTTTGTATGAGAATGGAATTAATGGGATTTTGGCAGATGAAATGGGTTTAGGAAAAACATTGCAGACAATATCTGTAATTATTACTAAGTAGATATCCAAAATAGTCTTATATTATTAGTTTTTAGGATATCTTCGTTTTTTAAAGGATATACGGGGGCCACATCTCGTTGCAGCGCCAAAATCAACACTTGACAATTGGTCTCGAGAATTTTCACGTTGGATTCCAGAAATTAATGTTTTTGTTTTTCAAGCTCCAAAAGATGAAAGGGTTTGTAACTAAAATTATTATTGTATAATAATGATCTATAGGCTGGTTTAATTAATGAAAGACTTCTTACTAATAATTTTGATGTTTGTATTACATCATATGAAACAATATTGAGAGAAAAAATGCATTTTAAAAAATTCGCATGGGAATATATTATTGTTGATGAAGTTTGTTTCTTTTTTGTTTTTTTTTATTACTAATTACTAGGCACATCGTATTAAAAATGAAGAATCTATGTTATCGAAAATTATTCGTTTGCTTAATAGTAGAAATAGGCTTTTAATCACAGGGACGCCTCTTCAGAATAATTTACATGAATTATGGGCTTTATTAAATTTTCTTTTGCCTGATATATTTGCAGATTCTCAAGTTTTTGATCGGTGGTTTGAAAGCCAAAATGGTGATTCAGATACAGTTGTTAAGCAGTTACATAAAGTGTTGCGTCCTTTTCTTTTACGTCGTGTCAAGTCAGATGTAGAAAGAACACTTAAGCCTAAAAAAGAAACTAATTTGTATGTTGGTTTATCCGAGATGCAAGTAAAATGGTATCAAAAAATTCTTGAAAAAGATATAGATGCAGTCAATGGTGCAATAGGAAGAAAGGAAGGGAAGACACGCTTGTTAAATATAGTAATGCAACTGAGGAAATGTTGTAATCATCCATATTTATTTGATGGCGCTGAGCCAGGACCTCCATATACAACTGATGAACATATAGTGACAAATTCCGGAAAAATGGTTATGTTAGACAAATTATTAAAATGGTCGAAAGCCCAGGATTCCAGAGTTCTTATTTTTAGTCAAATGGGTCGAGTCCTTGATATATTAGAAGATTATTGTTATTTGAGAGGATATAAATATTGTAGAATTGATGGCCAAACATCTCATGAAGATCGTATCGTTGCCATTGATGATTTTAATGCTCCTGGAAGTGATAAATTCCTTTTTCTGTTAACTACAAGAGCCGGCGGTTTAGGAATTAATCTTACTACAGCAGATGTTGTTGTAATTTATGATAGCGATTGGAATCCTCAGGCCGATTTACAGGCTATGGATCGAGCTCATCGTATTGGACAAACTAAGCAAGTTTATGTTTTCCGTTTTGTTACGGATAATACTGTAGAAGAAAAAGTTTTAGAGCGAGCAGCTCAAAAGCTTCGTTTAGATCAATTAGTTATACAACAAGGTCGAGCCCAATTACAGAATAAAAATAGTGCATCTAAAGAGGAACTTATAACTATGATTCAGCATGGGGCGGAGGATGTTTTCAAACAAAGAGAAGGAGGAACTATGACTGAAGATGATATTGAAGAAATAATGAAAAAAGGTGAAAAAAGAACAGCTGAGCTTAATAAACGTTATGAAAGCCTCGGAATAGACGATTTACAAAAGTTTTCTACTGATTCAGCCTATGAATGGAATGGCGAAGATTATACAAAAAAAAGAAGTACAGACGGAACAGGAATTAAATGGATTTATCCAAGCAAGCGTGAACGGACTCAACAATCATATTCTTTGGATCAATACTATAAGGGTGTTTTAAAAACGGGTGGTAGAACACATGGCCCTCCTAAGGCACCTCGACCTCCTAAACAAATTAACATGTACATCTTTTTGTTTATTGCAATTAACTAACAAACATTAGACAAGATCATCAATTTTTTCCACAAAGGTTAATTGATTTACAGGATCGTGAAACTGCATATTTTAGAGTATTTGAATCTAAACTGTTCTTTTTTTGCTAATATTTTTATTTTAGAAAGAATTAGGCTATAAAGTGCCACTTGCAGAAGGAACACCGGAAGATCTTGAAGAAAGAGAGGCTGTTCGAGATTTGGAACAAAGGGAGATAGATAATGCTGTTCCATTGACAGAAGAAGAACAATTAGAGAAAGAAAAATTACTTTTGCATGGATTTGGTGATTGGCAACGCCGTGATTTTTATCATTTTATTCAGGCTTGCGCAAAGCATGGCCGCAATTCATTTAAAGCTCTAGCTCAAGAAATTGAAAGTAAAACTTTGGCTCAAATTAAAGAGTACTCTAAAGTATTCTGGGAAAGATATTCTGAAATTGATGGTAATTCATAATTTTAAGTGAAATCATATATAATCTTTGAAGGGTATGAACGCTATATTGGCCAAATAGAAGCAGGAGAAGGACGAATTCAAAAACAAGATCGTCAAACGAAGCTTCTTCATGAAAAAATTTCACAATATCGTGCTCCATTGCAACAATTAAAAATTATATATAATCAAAATAAGGGAAAATCTTATACAGAAGAAGAAGATCGATTTCTTCTTGTTAAATTAAATGAATACGGACTTGGAACAGAAGATGTTTATGAACGTTTACGGGAAGAAATCCGAATATCACCATTATTTAGATTTGATTGGTTCTTTAAAAGTCGAACTGCTTTGGAATTGCAAAGAAGATGTGCAACACTTCTTACATCCGTCAAACGTGAGCTAGAAATGAATGAAGAAAAGACAGATTGGAAACGTGATCGATCTGACGATAACGATGATGATGATGATGACGATGATCTTCCCAGGAAGAAAACAAGAACAGGCGTAAAAGTTTGCTCCAAAATACATTTAAAGTATCTTATTCATTTTAATAGGATAAAAGAGCACGTTCGAGATTAAAAAATAAACATGTATCTGAAGGAAACCATAGCTATATATCTACGACCCGAATATCTAGAAGCCGATCAAAAAAATAGTATTAATTCTTTTTTGAAAAAATTATCAATATATTATATAATGTTATATTATGAGAAGACATCTTATACGTATTATCAGATTAATCGGTGTTTTTTTTTTCTTTTTTTCCATATAAAAGAAGCGAATTTGTGGATAAAATGGATCGACTTTGATCATCTTTTTCTTCTTCTATGATTTCTACCGGTGAATAATCCCAATGGGGGCTTAAGGAAAGTAAATGAGGCGGCGTTCCATTTCGATAATAACTGCTTATATCACTTTCACTATTATGATTTTTCAATGAATCTGTTTCTGTATTTGATTCTTCTGCTGATTCTAATTCTGATGAAATAGAGGAGTTTATATATGCATTTTCTTGATCTAGAAGAAGGTCCATCAAGTGTCTTATTTATTTTTAGCATTTTTTTCTCATAAAAGAAGGGAAATTACGTATTTTCTGAAGAAATACGATTTGCAATAACTTTAGCTTTTTCAATTTGTAGTTGAAGGTCTTCTGATTTTTCAATTAAAGAATCATAATTTTCACATAATCTAGAGCAGTTGTTAATGGGTAAAAGAGAGTATAAAAAGATGGTATACTTAATATATTTTCTCTTAAAAGATTTTGGCATTTGTCAGATATCCGATCGTCAATAATAGTATTTTTTATATTAAAAAAAAAAATAAAAAAAAAAAGGAAAATGCAAAAGAAAAGAAGCTAAGTGATTATATCAGCTCTTTTTTATTGTATTTTTTATAGACATGGCTTTTTTTTAGGAAAAAAAAAGATTGAATAAAAAGGATTTTTGAAAATTAATTCTCTTCAATAAAAAAAGATTTATCTAAAAAAGAATCAAAAATCTTAATAATTGACTTGAAGCTATTACCTTTTTCTAAAAAGGGTGTTCGTGAACTTAAAATAAAAAAAAAGCTGGAAAACATATGTAGTTTTAAAAAAAAAATTGAATAAGACCCAAAAAAAGGGAAAATATGGAATTCGGATCAGTAACTTTAAATTTAAAACAACATAGAAGGATATTCATATTTTTTTCTTAAAAAAAAAGACGTTTCTAATGATAGAAAAATAATACAATTCTGAGATATTATTCGTATATACATTAAGAGAAATAAGATAGAAAATAGAAGGTAATAGTTATTAAAATATTTCAAGTAGTTTGTTTTAATTTTCTAGTTTTGCATATGTTGATTTTTCTTCGCTTGTGATGAAAAATTTATTAAAACGTTCTTAAGATGTCTTAAACGAACGTAAATTACTTATTAAAAATGCGTAGGGCATTGAAGGGAAATCAAATAAACTGCCTAAATAAAAATGTTCTAAACAAAAATAATCAGTTTTGAAAAAATAAAACATTGTTAATAGATCTAGAAGACATTAAAAGAATATTTATTTTTAGTAGTTATAAGCCAAGAAGCATGCTTTATTGGTTTTTAAAATTTATTAAATTGAGTAAAAAGTATTTGCTTATTTAATTTCATGGATGTCAAAGAAAAAAGTATTGTTAAAAGAAATAGAATTTTTATTTATTTTAAAAACAGTTTTCTAGAAAAAATACTTCGATTAGGCCTTTTCATATTTCTTAAGTTATCTAAAACATTTTATTGATAAAATTTCTAGACAAAAGTATATTTTATTCGCATATAATTTGTTGTAAATAATATAAGTTAAATTAGTATTTCACAAAAACCAAACTAGAATTTAATTAACTAAAAAATACAATATAATTTAAAAAACTGTATAATTTTTCAAATTTTAGATTTTTTTTAAAAATAAAATTTAATATTATAAACGTTTAATACTAAAAGTGTTCTTGTAATGATTAATTCTTAAACATTTCATTACTATATCAATGTTTTTAAAACTAAGCTAGAATTATAAAATAATTTAAAATTATAAAAAAAATCATAAAAATAAAAACAAATTGCATCATTTTTATATATTTATATAGACAATTCAATATTCCAAGATTTAAAATCTATCCTCCTAATTTACAAAATGATGAACCTGTCTAATCCAACTTGTAAAACTTTAAAAAACCTCAATTAATTATGCAGTATTAAAGAATCATATTAAGACTTTTTTTGTTATTTTTCTAAATAGTTTAAAATATGAATCCTTAACAATAGTAATTACATAAATATCAAAATATTACATAGGCTATAACTATATAAAACGTTAATGTTAATTTGTTTAAAAACACAATGAAGATCAAAAAGTATATATATATATCCAAAATAAAGAATATTACACCGAAAAATTCCCTTTAGTTATGTTATTTAAACGTTCAGCAAGATGAGGATATTTTCGAGTAACTTGAAGTTGAATCTTTGTTGCTTCACAGTATGAAAGTGCATTAACCAATTCCGATTCCGTACGTGCAAGTTGCGCAGATTTATTAAAATATTCAATAGCATCCTCGATTTTTCCTTGTTGTAGAAGTAGTTGTGCTATAGTTGCAACCTAAAGAATATTAGTTAGAAAACAGTAATTTATTTAACATACAGCAACATCACAGCCAGGATCTATAGCTAAAGCCCTTTTACATAATTTTTCGGCCTCTATTATATCCTTCTTCCACTGAAAAACAGCAAGGGCTTTATTAATAAGAGGAAGAACATTCATTATTGTAAATTTGCTTGACTTCTCAAGTTGTATTGCAGTATCAAATTTCTCGATTGCATCCTGAAATCGCTGTTGATCTAATAAAAGCTCGCCATAATAATTATAAACATCGCTTGACTTTTGAAACATTTTTAAACATTTACGGAAAATTGACATACTTAATGCAGTATTTCCTAATTTATACTGTACAACACCATATTGAATATGAGAAAATATAAATTCTTTATCCAGATCAATAGACTTTTGATAATCTTTCGCCGCCTCAGAAAATTCACCAGTGATAAAGTGCATTTGTCCTCGATGATAATAAATATCAGGATCTTTTGGGTTAACCGACTGTGCAGTATCAAAATCGGACCATGTTGCAGAACGATCACCTATATTATTAAATATATATAACATATCACATTCTTTCTTACCCAATTCCATATGGACACTTGCACGTTTAATATAATTTTGTGTGTCAGTAGGGTCGAGTTCAATTGCTTTGTTAAAATCTTCTAATGCTTCAAGTGTGCTTCCTTGAATAAATTTAAAGGTACCCGACATATTGTATGCTAGAGACTTCAATGAATTGGAACATTCTAATTCAATTGCTTTATAAAAACTTTTAGATGCATTATCATAATTTTTAGCTAAAAGGGCTTTAAATCCTTGTTTAAGATGATAATCACCTGATGCTTCATCTTTTGTCTCTATTTTTGGAATAGGTCTAGGTCGAAATGCATCTAAATAAGCCGTTATAAAGGTTGGACTCGGCAATTGTTTTTTCTTCGTCTTAAAAAAAAAGTTAGCTTCAAAATAAAAATAAATTATCACCATTTACCATCATAATGGCCTTTGCCTTTTCTTCTGCTATCTTCTTTAATAATCTTTCAACACTCTGAGCAGCATTTTCATTTGAAAACCCATCCATTATACAACTCGTTGTATAATCTAAAAGTGCCTCATCATTTTTATTTAACATTTCATATGCAGCTGCCCGACGATTTAATGCTTTAACATATGTAGAATCCAAACTTAAAGCCATTGTTGTATCCTCAATAACTTGTTCAGGTTTATTTAACGCAATATAACCTATTCCTTAATTTAACTTTTGAGATCTCATGTACATACATACAGGCTGCCCTATTGGAATAAAAAACAGGATCTTTTGAACATGATATCGCATGAGTATAAAATTCAATAGCTTTATCATATTCTTTTCTCGAATATGCTTTATTTCCCTCAATTTTCAATTTTGTTGAATGTGCTTTAAGTTCCTAATAGAAATTAAGTTAATATATACGAAAAATAAACATATTTCCAGACAGATTCTGAAAGCTTCCCAATTTTATCTTCTGTAAGAACTAATTCTTCATCTAACAACTCCAATGTCTGTATTCCATCTATTCACCACTAAATCAATTCCCCATAAAACAAAAAAATAAACCTTTAGTAACCGAATCATTTTCTGTTATCCGGACCTTTCTTTTCTTCTTATTTTTAGGTTTTTTCTTATATCCTCCATGTTTTTTATCCAAACCAACCGTATCATCCTTAGACAACCCACGATAAAGATAAAACGTACTACCCAAAGAAAGAAATACAAAAAAGACTCCTGCAGAATATATCAAAACACGACGCCCTAGAAAAAAACGAATCGCCCGCTTCCAAAACCATTCCGTATCTTTATTCTGAAAACGCAGCAAATATGCCTCAAAGCCACTCAGAGCACCACCTAAAGAGGCCAGCAACATATTCCTATAAGAATAATATCAACAATAACTCTTATCTTTGCCAATCCTACCTTTGCCTTCGTCTTTCCTGATATTTTGTCTTTTCTTAATACCTGACGTCTCGTGTAATCGTACAAAATGTGTGTCACGTGAAAAAAAGTTACATAAAGAAAAATTATACAGAAAATAAAAAGAAATGTGTAAATTAAGAAACAAATTAATCTATAGTTAAAAAAAAATCAGGTTTTTGTGTGACCCAGACTTTCGTAATATGCATCACGTTTACGTAGAGAAGGAAGATGATATCCATACCAAAAAAGATATGCAGAGGCAATACCAAATCCAAGTGAAAGAGAAATATCCTAAAAAATAAGATTAAGAGAGATTATTATTTATTTTTATCAACTTTAATTAAAGAACGTTGTAAAACACCAATAATAGGTTTAAAAGCCATTAAGATGTATTTTTTTGGATGTAAAGATATTTCCTTAGAATAATAAGAAAAAACTATTGCTTAAAGACGTATTTGATGAAAAATATAATAAAAAATAGTGTTTTTAAGAGTCTATGTTTTTTCTGTGGTAAATGACCTTACGAAATAAGGAGGTTGAGCGATCTCAGAAAAAAGAGGATAAAATGAAAAAAGAGAGGAGAGGGAGTTTAAGAGATAAAAACATATGGAAAAGCATGTTATAAAGTTTATATTATCTATATAAGTGTTGTGTGTGAAAAAGAAGCAATTTCATATGGTTTTGGATGAGATATGAGGGAAGAAAGTTTTGAAAGGATATTAGGACGACGAGCACTTGTAGAAATACTTCAATCAATTGGATTTTCATCTGCAATGAAGAGTTCTATAATGGTTTTAGAAAGATTTCTTGTTCTATGTTAGTGAAAAGGAGTTATTTAGATTTAATAATGATAAATAAATATAGATATCATGAAAATTTTAGATAGATCTTTACGCTTTGCATTCTTACAAAGGAGATACAAAGTGTCTATTTATGATATAGAATTAATGCTTTTATATGAGGGAATCAAAATAGAATCATTAGAAACAGAAATGAAACAGCGTATTGGAAGAAATTATGAATTACAAAAAGGTTATTGAAAAATATTTATTAAAGATAACTAATATAGAATCAGAAGAATCTATATCAAAAACTTCTTCTCATTTCATGAATACATCATCGGCGCTTATTGACAAGCTTCTAGGTCCAGAATTAACAGGCATCAATGATAAACGACCTGACTATCATTTATCACATCTTCCTATCTTTCCTCCAAAACATACATATATGAGTACACCAGTATATGTACAACGGATGACATGTCCTCATAAAATCCGGGAATTGGCAGCAAAACAAAGCCGTTTGGCTGAAAGTGCTTTATGGAAAATTATTCAAATTGAAAACAAACTAAATTTAAATAAAATCCATCAAGGACCTATTAAACAAGATAAACTCTTTTTAAAGGTCTGGAAAGATATGGGCTATGAAGAAGATGCTTGCAGACCTTATGAAGGTCTGGTTAATTGGGAAACCAATCGATATACACGTCAACTTAGAAATATTTTATAACTTCTTAAAAACATCTTATTTAATGACAGAAAAGAACTAAAATAATAGAAATTTCTTCATATTTTCAAACCTGTAACTTCAATAATGTTTTTCTTGTTAAATCTATAGAAATTTTAGTTTTCATATTTATACTTATAAAAATTACACTTTAAAAAACCTACGAACTGATTTACATATAATCTTCTGTTCCTTGACATAACATGTGTATTGAATAAGTTCCATTAAAGGTACTTCTTCAGATTTATGACTTTTATTAAGTAATTTTCGAATATCTTGAGCTGAAAAACTTTGAATTTTTATCATTTATTGTATATAACTAAAATTCAAAATGGAAACAATTGTTTCTGTTAAAGAGATTTTTAACACATTTGAGTACGAGTCTTGTACAGATGTAAGCGATTTAATTTTTTTTATAAGGTATTAACCCGTAAAACAGCTTTTAGAAACCATTCGATCTCATTTATGTTATAAAAAAGGAGGTGTTAAGTTCTGTATAAACCTATTAGATGATCTTATTGCTTCAAAAAATGATAAGGGTCTTCAATATGGGGATATTTTAGAGTTTCAAGGCCCTTATGGATCAGGAAAACGGCATCTACTTTATTTTATTGCTTCAACAACACTTCTTCCCAAAGTTTATGAATCAAATGATAAAAAAGAAGTAATAGGAGGTCTTGAAGAAGGAATTGTTCTTTTAGATTGCAGTAGAAAATGGCAAACATTTCGTTTAGAAGAGATAATGTATGAAAAAATCAAAAATATATTTAAAAAAAATCAAAATAATACAATTAATGAAAAAGATGATGCAGAATCTAAGAATAAGATAATAAAAAACATTATCAAGGAAAGTCTTTCTCGTTTATATATTTTTCGACCTGAAAATTCAATATCTTTAATAGCTACTCTCAAATATTTACCCCATTATTTTAAATCATATGCAAATGATTTGAAAATTCGTTATGTTTTTCTTGATTCCATTTCGGCTTTTTACTGGAAAGATCGATATTCAGATTTACTCTCTAATTCTTCTCTTCAAGAGCAAATTAACATTATTTATAAACGAATTACTCAATTACTTAAAAAATTTTGCTATACATGGTGTTCACTTGCTATCAGTACAAACTGGGTTTTGCAAGTATCACAAAATTTCAATCCTTATACGACAGATATACGTTATTTTACTATTTCTGAAGATTCATTTCAAATTTATCATCACCACCTCCCTCTTTCATATACAAGTCAAGTATCACATAGAATTTGCTTTCTTCGAAAAGCAGTAGCTCAATTCTCTCCTGGAATTGATTTAGAGAACCTCTTAATTTATTCGCAACAAAGAAATAATATTCTTCAGCTTGGCTTATATCTTGCAGTACTTCAGCGTTTATCAAATAAAGACTTAGCACCTTCAAAAAGGACAGGATTCATATTTCGTATAACGAAAGACAATGTACAGATTGAAAAGTATTTATAAAGATACATTTTTTATTTAAGTATATATTATTAATAAATATAACTTTTTTATAGAAGAGTACAAAATTTCGATCTTCACTTCTAATACAAAAAGAACCAACTCAAACATTAAATAAACAGATACTTTAATATAGTGAAGATAAATTCCTTTTATAAATAAAACAGCTCTAAAAAATTATATAAACAAATCTAAATTTAATTGATCAATAAAATATTTGAAGATACGAATATATATACTTGCATTTAAAATATATTAAATATGAAAATTTTCAGTAATGGAGCGTTGAACCATATTTTTAGACATAACTTTATCAGTGGAAGTAATTTTCATTATTTATTTCAGGTTGTTTTTACATATATGATACCTTTAAACAATAAGTGCTATCAAAAAAATTTTCAATTAAAAAGCTTTTTCAAAAGGAAAGTTTATACTTCTACATTTAAAAATAAGGAGGATAAATGTATTTTCATTTTTTTATCTATATTTTTTGATTCATTTTTTATAAGGCAAAGTGAATATTAATCAAATCAGTTTAAATGAAAAAATCATAAAATTTGCAGAATCCTTAGTAAAGAAATACAATGATCTTAAGCAACAAATGCTACTCGTAAGTATTCATAAAGATAGATGGAATGCTTATTATTTTTAGGTGAAAGAATTAGATTCCATAGAATCACTAAATAAAAAAATTATAAATCTAGAACCTATTACGATTTCTTTGAAAAAATATCAGAAATCCTTGCTTGTTCTTGAAACTCAATATTTTTTAATATCTAACAATATTAGATGATTGATAAACTCAAACAATTAAAATATGAAAGCGAAGACTATGAAATGATCGAACTTGCAAAAGAAGAAATTAGAAAAGAAGAAACGTTATTGAAAAAATATTATGATGAATTAAAAAGAAATCTTATACCAAGACATCCTCAGGAACATCTACCATGTATCTTAGAAATCCATGCAGGCGTTGGCGGTGACGAAGCAACATTGTTTGCAACAGAATTGCTAAGAATGTACCAAAAATATGCAATAGCAAGAAATTGGAAATATGAGATATTATCAATAAACAGAAATGAAGGAAATGATGGCATTTTAGAAGCTATTATGCAATTAGACGGTCCAGGAGCATTTGGAAAATTAAAAAACGAGACAGGTGTTCATAGAGTTCAGCGAATTCCTATCACTGAATCTAAAGGAAGAATTCATACTAGTACTATAACTGTTAATGTTTTTCCAAAAGTTGATCAAGACAAAAACTTTGATAAAATCGAAATGAAAGAAGTAAAAATAGAAGTAATGAGATCAAGAGGAGCAGGAGGACAACATGTTAGAAATTTTATAAATACTTTTATTAATCTAATAACAGTTATAGGTAAATAAAACAGAATCAGCAGTAAGAATGACTCATTTGCCTACCGGAATATCTGTTTCTATGCAAGATTCTCGTTCGCAACATCAAGTAAAATCATAATTTTAATTTGTTATAGACTAATTTATAGAATCGCTCAAAAGCTCTTATAATATTAAAATCCAGAGTTGCTGCCTTAAGAAGTGAAAAAAATATAGAGCATAAAAGACAACAACGTAGATCCCAAATTCCTTCAGCTACTCGACCAGATAAAATTAGAACTTATAATTTCCCGCAAAATAGAATAACAGATCATCGCTGTGGTTATAGTTTATATGATTTAGAAGATTGTATGAATGGAGGGAATGGATTAGATCCATTATTTGATGAGTTAGAACTATGGGCAGAACAAATGAAATTAAAGAACTATTTTTGAAATGAGTTTATGTATATCTAAAAATCAAAAATTTATAAATAATTAAAATAATAAACATAGCATTATTTCTTAGGAGGTTAATCGGGTTATTATATAATTTACATACATAGATTAATTGATAATTTTTAGAACTAATAAAATTTATGAAAATAATCGACTTAATTCATTCAAAAAAGCACTTGGAGATAATAATTCAGAAGAACCATATATAATTCGTTTTTTTGTTCCGGGATATCGCGCTGCCCAGTCAAGTAAGTTCCCATATTCAAGATAATTCCCTCCTCCAACCATAAATACAATTGCTTCATTAAACTGTTGTCTGCGAATAGGATTTTGTTGAACTTGATGATTTTGCGGGTCAAAGTAAAGATAATCCTCAGTTCTGCTAATATTTGATGAAGTAGGCTCCATTAAACTTTCTACTATCTTTGTTATAGTAAAATCTTTGTAAGATGGTAAAAAATTTCTAACTCCAGATATGAGATTTTCTAACCCCCCTGTAATAGCTCCGTCCTTAAGTTTTTCCGTAAGCTAAAATAATAGTTACCAATATTACCAAACAATTGCCCAATTATTAATACTTACTATACTGCTAAGAGAATTCAATCCTCGAAAAAGGTTATCACCTGTATGTGAAGAAGTACCAGAATTTTGTATTGGAGGAGATATCATTGTAGTCATTTTTGTAATCTCTCTCACCCTATTATAAAATTAGTATATATTTTTTTTCATGATTTTTTCTTACTTTTTAATATAACTTAAAGGTTTAAGATCGCAATTTACTTTCTTTAATGCATCTTCATATTCAAACATATCAACTTTGCTAATATTTTCAACACTAAGATAATAAATTATAAAAATCCTTAGTTTATCTTCTGCCTTTTTTTGTGGATCATTTATTATTTCAAGAATGTTAGATTTTGTCTGACGTGTAATCGATTCCTCTATTTCATAACAATTGTCTAATTGACGTTCTTTAATAGCCTTTAATAAAGCAGTAGCAATATTCATATGCATATCAAGGATTTGTTTTCGAGATGTAAGTTCTGGTAGAGCTGTCATAGCTATTTTAAGGTTCTCTGATTTACTTGAATTATCGCTACTAATTATCAGAATAAAAAAATGGGACAATTATTATATACAAATCTGCAATATCTAAACCTGTTTTTTTAGAAATCTCATTCGCATCATTTTTATAACGAGTAAGTTCCAAATCAATATTCTCTGCTACTTGAGGAAATGGAGTATTTGAGTTTTTTTCCCAAAAAAAATCATGAGGATAAATATCATAATTTTTCCTAGTCGTCTTTTTATCAGATTCTATAACCTAATACATTCCTTAGAAAAAAAAAAATAACATATAATATACATTAACAGCTATTCTATTTAATTTCATTTCAAAAACATCATTAATAAGTGATTGATAAGTCCAGGAATGACTAAGCATAGGAATAAGATCAATTGTACGGTCCAAGATAATCAAAACTATATAGAAATTAATCGCAAAATTTAGAAAGCTTAAATATACCTGGTCTACGATAACAAGAAGAAGATGACGAGTTGAAAACGGTATTACTTTTAGTATTTAAAATATAATCACGTAATCGACGACTCAATTTTTGAGCAATCATTTCAGAAGCATTATTCGATGGACACCGAATAATGGGAACTACACCCAATGTAATCAACACTGAAAGAATACCAGTAGAAATTTTATCAACAATTTCTTCTATAGCTGATTCTGAAACAGAATGATGATTAAACGTATAATATGTATTCGGAAGACATAAACTAAATAAATCTTGATCAAGAACAACAAAATTAAGATACTGATCATATACTTGAGATACCATTTCTGTTGTGTTTTGTGATGATGTGATAGAAGCAAAATCCTCCAAAAGCGAGCGAGGAATAGAAGACAAGAAATTAACATATATTGTATCATACAAATTATTAGATAAATCCTTAATAAAATACATATAATTATTTCTCAAAATAAAAAAAATAATCAACTCACCCGAGATATTTTTTGAATATTTTCTAATGTAGGTTCTATAAAATAAATTGCTGGAACACCCGATATTGGCTGTCTTTCAGACATCAATTGCCTATCATAATCAAAACTATTCAACCAAAAAATACCCTTTATTTTACATAAAAAGAGTAACACCATGATCTCGAAGATCATTTACTTTAAGAACCGTAGATATAATATCCTGACCGAGCTTATCAAAAATAAGGATCTTCCATATAATTTCTTCTGTTAAACACATAGATTCATCATAATTATTAGATTCTTCTTTTTTATCATTTGAATTCAAATTTAAGACTTTAATCAAGGATTCTTCAATAAATAAGCTTTTTCAAACGTTCAAAAAACACATCAAACGAGAATACCCATCTGCGCATTGTAAAGAGTTTTATTAGGCAAAAAAGGCCCTGACATAGCATAAAATCCTCTTTTTTCTCACTGCTATTTTATTGACGTTCAATCAATCTTCACGAACAGCTCTTGTTATCATGTGAACCATAAGGTGTTACCATGGCAACTCAGACAGCCTTTTTCGAAAAAGCGGCGAGGTTTAGATCAACGTCAGCAAAACCATCTCTAACTAAAATCTTGGTTTGGAAGGAAATAAGAGGAAAACATAGAATTGAAATGTATTTCTGTCAGTACGTTTATTAATTTTTTTATCTTAGGAATCCCATTTTGAATCTCAAGGTGATATAATTATTTAAGAAGTATTTTTAATATTGACGTTATTGAATATTAGTGGTATTTGGGGAGATAAAAGTCCGTTTTAGGAGTATTTTAGGTAAAGGGAGGGTTCTTTTTTTATTGGGAAACTTTAAAATTATTTTAATTGGGATTGAATTGGAGTTTAATTAACATTTGTATGTTTTCTTATAGTGTGTTATTTAAAGGAATTAAAATAGATTGTATTAGGTTTTATAGGGTGTTTTTTTGGGATATATAGAATAGTTATTAGTATTGGGGATATTTTTATAAGATTTACGAGTATTTATAGCATATTTATCTTGAAACAAGGATGAATTTGTCTGATTCCAATATATCGACAGAATTAAGCACATCTTCACATGTAACAGCATTTTCTGGCTTAAAAGATAACGAGGATGATTCATCCAGTAATTTAGAGACTACTTATCCGGAAAATATATCATTAGACAATACATTGCTTTTAAAAAATTCATTAAGCAATACGTTGTCATTAGAAAAGCCTTTAGAAAATGTTTTTCGTTCAAATAATATGTTAAATAATGTATTAAATAGCTTATCGAAAAATGTTATAGATACACCTGTACTTTTAACTTCTGCTTTGCAGGCACCCACTTTACAAACAAACATGGAAACTCAAAAATCAACTTCACTAAATATTTCGTCAAACCTCCCTCTTAATGCAGTATATACACATAAAAAAGACCAAACAATTGATTTTCTAGCCAATGATTCGAAACATATCTTTGAAGAAATGGTTCAAAGAAAACAAAAAAAAGAATTAAGTGATGCCATGTATAATAAAAAAATTAATTCTAACACTTCGACCTTATCAAATAAAATATCTAATCATAATATGGATATACTTCTTGACGATAAAACATATGATTCTTGTGATTATAACACCGATTTTTCTAAATATTATGAAACGAACGGTATATATAATATATTTTTTACAATTCTATATTCAATTCTTTAGAAAATGAAGACGAAATCTCTCAAGAAAGCAAGAACATTCCATTTAAATTTCCTGGAATTCCTAGTGAGTTTTTATAAATAAATATCATAATTTAATAAAAACTAGTTCCTAATCTTCCTTTTGCAACTATTATGGATACACAGGCCGATAATCTACATTTAGAGAAAACAACAATACAAAATAAAGTTAATATTATCAAGAAAAATGAAACCCCTATACTAAAAAATCAGTTGAGACCTAAGGTACAAGCATATTATCATAAATATAATAGTCTATATAAATTAGGATCCAGAAGATCTTCTTCGATACGAATTACGTAAATGTTTTAGCGTTTACGCAGTAACGGGAGACACTAGAAGCTGCGTTAGAACAGTATATGATTTAATGAAGGATATAGTTGAAGATAAAACCAAAATTGCAATGTTAGAAATATTAAAAGGGGGAATAAAAGATGATATTGTAGAAGCGTATGATTATTTTTGCAACTTTCATAACTAATGAATTAATGTGATTAGATTCATCGAAAACAAACAGGTTTTAGGAAGGATAAGGAATTGGCTAGTCAACGCTATAAATGAAAAGAAAAACATGGTGATTATAGCTATTTTGAAGGTATATAAAAATCCTTTGATAAATATATCTAATATAATTAGATTATGAATATATTAAAACTAGACTCCTCTATTTTAGCTGAGCTAAAAATGGGAAAACCAATAATAATTTTGGCAAAAAAATCGGAAAATGAAAGTAAATAAATACAAAATCATTATAAACTAAGCTAAACATTAAAGCTGTTAAACAACTTTCTATTAAATGGCTAGAAGCAGCAGAAAAATCTTTATCATTAGAGAAACCTATAGAGAACTCAACGTATGAAAATTAATTATTATTATTGTTATTAATATTTTTAAGGGCTGTTAACGTACCACCTATTTCTATGACTGAAGACACATCAAAAAAGAAACAAAAGACCGTTTCAAATGATCCCGTTTTTAAATCCTCTGTAACTCCGAAACCTACTTCAACAAAGCCAGTAGTTAAATCTCAAAAGGTTCAGGCAGTAGCAAATACTGATTTTTTTAAAAACCTCTCGACCTCTACAGCAAAAGCTTCCCAAAAACCCTCTCTTTCTAGTGTTCTTGCACAGATAAAAGCGCCCAAAAAGTATTAATATTATAAATTTCGTAAAAATGACTAAATTTATAGGCAAAATACCACTCAACCTCAAGTAATTGAAACAATCTCGTCTATTTCTAAGAAATTTACAAGTGTATTGGAAGAAGTCCCTGGTTGTCAGCCTACTCCAGAAACAATTACACCAAATACTAATATAGTTCTGGATGATGTACCTAAAAAAAAAAGGAAATGTGTTTCATGGAAGTCAGATGATACTCTTGTTGAAATTAGAGTATTTGAACCTATTGAACCTGAAGATACAGATGATACATATATTCATATTTCACGCGAGTTTAAAAATGCTAGAGATTTAGATATTTATGAGGGACGTGCAGCATTTAGTAAAACACATAATATAGAAGACGATATGATGACGTGGCGTGAGCCAGAAGGTGATTTTTTATGATTTATATTATATAAGATTGTGACAATGAATAGATATCGATTTTTCACATTTAGAGTCACAATTATCTAAACTTGGGCCAAAGAGAGGAGGAATTAGTAAATGTGATAGCGATGAATATAAAATACAGGAGGAGAGGGAACGTTTTGTGTTTTTAGTATCCTATCTTTATGAGAAAGATATTCCACACTCACCTACAGAGCCTAATGCTAACTCTGATGGATTTTTTACCGAGACGAAAATAATACCCCTACCTAGTGATATGAAAGTATATTTTACTCTATTTACATAACTTTATATTTACATTTTTTAGGATTTACATACATCTGACTATTTGTTTCAACATAACCAAGGATCTGCAAATAATTTATCATTTTCAAACATTAATCAAAATACTATTCCTTTAACCAATTCTTCATCATTTAATAACACTCAAGCTAATATCACTTCTATTTTGCAAAATTTATTAAATGCTTCTGGACAAGCAACTCTCAATAATCCATCATCCATACCTTCAGTTCCACAAACAATGCAATATTTTCCTTTACCATCTTCTACCTTTTCTCCCGTCAACATTGCAAATATAACTAATATATTACAAATACTTCAACAGACACAAAAAAAACCATTACAATCATCTCTTCCTACTCCTACTGTTTCGTCAACTGCTTCGCCTTTCAACTTTAATGCTTTACTTGGCGGACAACAAAAAAATCTTTCTTATACTGATTGGAATGAACGAAACGATATATCACGTTCAAGAGACAAAAGACATCGAACTCAAAGGCGCCGTCGTTAATAATTTATTTATATTTTGTCAAAATATATAAAGGTTTATTATTCAATCTATTTTTATCATTACATAATTCTTATTTCTAAACAAAAAATTATCTGGAATACAAAGATCTTATTATAATGCCAATTTTTATTTAATCTATCTATCATGTATTCTTATAAATAGGTCCATCTTATCAGATTTGGCCCTCTTGATAACAACATTTTTCCTATCTCGAGATTTTAAAAAATCGAGATAGGCATTTTTTTCGGGTCAATAAAAAGAAAGGATGAAATTGAGACTAGATTATTAGATAATTAGAAGAAACAGATATTTTAGGAGGAATAAGTGTTAAGAGTAGAAGTAGGGTGAAAAAGGTTTTTTTTATTAAAATTAAGTCAAAATAGTGAATTTAAAAATTATTATCAAAAAAGCTATAGAGATATTTTTAAAAGATTAAGGTCAATAATATGATAGGAAATAAGTTCAGAAATAGGAGAGAACTAGATGAAATAGAAAATGAAGAATCTTTAGTTTTTTCTTTACAATCTTTAAAAGAAAATAATGTAAATATTTAATATCGATAAACATAAAAGATATAAGAACTAATTGAAAATAGAGGAGTGAATATCTATTGAAGGATATAATGGATGATAATTATGTGGATATTAGAAGATCATGCTCAAATATTAGTTTAAGATATCCATCTTTTTATTGTTTTCATAAAGGATTACAGCAAATACCAACAAAGACATTTGATGATAATGACAGTTTCATATCAGATACAAAAATCAAGAATATCCTCGATAATATGGCAGAAAATAGGGATTCGGTGCTTTTTCATTCGTTAACTACTTTAAGTAGATCCGTTACAGAAAATGATATAGAAACCAAACGTAAAAAGCTCTGGGGACAAACAAGACAACCTTTTCATGGATTAGGGGCTTTATCATTTCATGAAAACTCTTTTTTTCAGAAATGGAATGCTTTAAAATCTAGTATAAAATTAAGGAATTTTAAAAAAAAAGAAAAGAAAAATATTCATAAACCAGTTAAACTTCTTTCTCAACTTGAAGCTGGTGTGCCTGCTGTGCTTATGTTCGCTTCTGTCTTTCAAAGAGATGATAATGGTAGACGAAGGGTACCTATTCTTTTGGATCAATTAAAAATTGATGTACTTGATTCAAAAAACACAAAATCCAGGTCTCATGCATTATTTCAGATAAAACTTAAATATGGTGATGGAGAGAATGCTGTAGAATGGTCCGTATATAGAGAATGGAAGGACTTTCTTAATCTACATACACGATATCGAGTTTCAGAAACAGTTAATGGTCAATTTAAAAAAGCACAAGGATTACCTGCATTTCCGAAATCTAGTGTTCCATATCTTCGGGGTATTAGAGGATTTACTTCTGATGATAGTGATACTTGTAGCAAAAAATCAACTAAATCTTCAAAACAGGATAGATTTGCAGAAACAAATTCCGAAATATCTGATGTTAATAAAAAAACGAATTTTATGAAAAATCCTAGTTTTTCTGGTATGCAAAGAAGAAAGCTCGAAGAATATTTAAGAAAAATGGCACATTTGTTTATTTTTAGACTAGAAGGGATTAGACTCTGTTCATTTTTGGAACTTAGTGCTTTAGGAATAAAACTGGGGAAATATGAGAAATACCACGGAAAAGAAGGGTTATTAGCAGTTGTTAATTCAAAAGGGTCTACACGTAAAATGACATGCAATCCTATCGAAGTAAGGGACCGGTCACTTCCAAAATGGTATCTTGTAAGGGAATCATATATTGTATGTGTCAATGATATAAGTTCTACAAAAATTTATGATGTATTTCTTATGGATGACGGCTTTGAAATTGCTAGAAAACATTTTTCTAAAGAAATATTATCTCGTTCATCTAAAGTTAAAAGAGATAATTTGAACAAATATCAACCGAAACGTCATACTTTTAAAATTAAAAATTGTGAAAGACAAGTTAAGCTTTTAGCTAAAAATGAAATAACAGTGCAGCAATTCATGGAAAATATTAAGGATATGAGCAAAGCTACTATATGGACTAAATTTAAGCGGTTTAATAGTTTCTCACCTGTTAGGACTAATGTTGCAGCTCAATGGATTATTGATGGAGTAATACTACTTATCCTACCTTTTATTTTTTTCTCATTTTTTTTAGAGAGACTATTTTTGGAACGTAAGTAGAGCAATTTTAAATGCAAAAGAAACAATTTATATACACGATTGGTGGCTTAGTCCAGAATTGGTTTTTATACTTTGATCTTAGTTTTTATAACTAATTAAATATAGTATCTTCGTCGTCCAGCATGCGTCTCAGAGAATTGGAGATTAGATAAGCTTTTGAAAAAAAAAGCGGATGAAGGTATTCAAATCTATATTATTATATATAGAAACGTTGGAACAACTGTTCCTATTGATTCTACTTATACAAAATATTCTTTACTCAGTCTTTCTCCGAATATTTATGTTCAAAGATCACCATCTCATTTACGACAAAGTACTTTCTTTTGGGCACATCATGAAAAAATTATATGTATAGATGAAAAAATTAGCTTTATAGGTGGAATTGATCTTTGTTTTGGACGTTGGGATTCTTATGAACATGTTTTATATGATGACAAACCCAGTGGATGGGATGAAATGCATAACCCTATTTCTCGAATTCCTGAAGAACCACTTATTTGGCCGGGTAAAGACTATTCTAATCCAAGAATCCATGATTTTTTTACACTTGATAAGCCTTACGAGGATATGTATAATCGTACATTAATTCCAAGAATGGCATGGCATGATATTTCTATGCAAATTGTAGGACAGCCTGCAAGAGATATTGCTAGACATTTTGTACAGAGATGGAATTATCATTTAAGAAACAAAGGTCCAAGAAGATCTATACCATTTTTGGTCCCCCCTCCTGATTTTACTCAAGAACAACTTGAGGAAAACGGGTTCCTTGGAACTAATGAATTACAAGTATTGCGTTCTGTTGGACCATGGTCTATCGGTACTCCGATGAAAATTGAACATAGTATTCTCAATGCATATGTTAAATGTATAGAAACTAGTGAACATTTTATTTATATTGAAAATCAATTTTTTATAACATCATCTGAATGTGAAGGAGCTATTATTGAAAACAGTATCGGAGATGCTTTAGTAAGACGAGTTATAAAAGCATATAAAAATAATGAAAAATGGAGGTATGTTATCAATTTTTCTCTATAAATAATTATCTAAATATTTAGAGCTATAATAATTTTGCCATTGCTTCCAGGATTTCAGAATGATGTCGATTCGCAAGAAGGAACAAGCTTGCGCTTGATAATGCATTGTCAATATCGTTCTATATGTCGTTGCAAATATTCTATATTTAAAAGACTTGAAGCCGCTGGAATTGATCCTATAAAATATATTCGGATATATAGTCTTAGAAATTGGGCTAAACTTGGGGAAAACGGGAGGCTTGTTACCGAAATGGTTTATGTTCATGCAAAGGTATTTTCTTCAAAAAATATCATTAAGATTTACACAATAATAGTGCATGATTGTTGATGATCGGATCTGTATAATTGGGTCAGCAAATATTAATGAAAGGTCAATGCGTGGAAATCGTGATTCAGAGATTGCAGCAATAGTAAGAGATACTGAAATGCAATTATCTACTATGGCTGGGAAATCATACATGGTCGGAAAATTCTCCTATACATTAAGAGTAAGATTAATGACAGAGCATCTTGGAATTAATAGCGATGAATTGGAAAAAGTGGAGTGTTTTATGGATGGTCTAGCTAAAAATTGTAAATGGAAAGATATGAAAACATGGGATTGTGATAGTTTATCTACACAAGAAACTTTAAATGATGAAGAAAAACTAATAAAAGAAGATTTTTCAAAGAAAAATCGACAATTAGATGAATTATATAATGAATATATGCTTTCTTTTCAGGAAAAAGATTATCAATATGCTTTAAATGAAAAAAATGAAATTGTATATCAAATTAATTCTAATATACCTCAATATAAAGAGTTTAAAAGTGTACCAGAATTTTCAGAAATATCATTTGGAAGACGTAAAGTTACCACGACAACAACTCATTTAATTTTTGGCCTTGAAGTTCGAAAAGTTCTTTCAGATCCTAATTACTTTAATATAAATTGTTTAAGTCCAGATTCTCTAGAGTCAAAAATTTATGAAGAATCTGATATAGAGAAACAAAAAGTTTGTGATGACACCGAAAATTTAGATAAATCAAAAATTGATTCTGATAAACTTGATATAAATTGCGATTTATATAATTTTGAGAAAACGAATGATTTTACTAGAAAGAAATTTAAATCTAAAATACCATCAGAAAAATGGCAAAAAATTAAAATAGATCCTCTATTGTTTTCAGATCCTTTAGCAGATAGTTTTTTTGAAGATATCTGGGATAAAGTTGCCCAGAGAAATACTGAAATATATCGTCAAGTTTTTCGGTGTATGCCTGATAATGAGGTGCGCACATGGAAAGAATATTATAATTATAAAAGATATACTGAAAAATTTATGCAAAGATATGAATTAAAAAAGATAAATACAAACTCGACTCAAGAAATTTCTGAAGCATTACCATCATATTATCAGGAGCCATATTCATCTTTTAATAGCACTAGTGATTCAATTGACAATATTAAAACCACTACTATGACATTATCAAAATCTACTGGAGATTTATCAAAAGAAATTTATGAAACAAATTTTGTTTCAGGTTATCCATCTGCTTTTCCCGATAAAAAAACTTCAAAAAATTCTGATGAAATATTTCTTGAACCACAAGAAAAATTAGAAGAAAAATTATTGAAAATTCAAGGTCATTTAGTTATCTGGCCTACCGAATGGCTTATAGAAGAATATGATCAGTAAGTCTTTTTATTTTTTTTTAATTCTTATAACTTTTAGTGGTAATTGGCTTTCTACTTTTGATCACATTCCTCCTATTGATATATATACTTAATTCATAATATCTTGATTTGCAATAATTTATATCCATAGCATTAAAAAAAATAATTAAAAATTTAAACACATAAAAAACAATTTTTTTTATGTTTTACCAACTTTTTCTTTGTTTTTAATGTATATTTAGATTTATTTATATTTCATCATGCCTTCAAATCTAACATCAAGATTATGATCGAATTTATAAAAAGCCCAGAAAACTTGAAAATTTTTAACATAGATCAGGAAAATAACAATGAAAATAGGCATTTTAGAGAGAATTTATTGGGTAGTTCAGTGATTCGTCCTTTTCCCCGCTCAAAAATAGTTACACCAGGAGAATTTATTACGGATGATCCTCAATTTATGAGGTTTTTTAAAAAATTGAATATTTGATAAATTATTTAACATATTTTTCACGCAGAGGGCATGGAACATATACAGATGATAAGAATATAGTATATGGATCAGTTGCAGGGACAGTTCAGCGTGTAAATAAGCTTATTTCAGTAAAACCATTGAGATCAAGGTATCTCTATTTTTTAAAGAAGAAAATAGAAAATAATGAGATAGATATCTTCCAGAGATAGGGGACTTAGTAGTTGGAAAGATTGTTAAAGTATAAATGGAGTTGTTTGTTTATAAAAGAGTCCTATTTTTTATAGGTTGGTCATAAACGTTGGAAAGTTGATATTGGATCAAAACAAGATGCAGACCTTATGTTATCATCTATAAATCTCCCAGGGGGGATTTTGAGAAGAAAGTCAGAAACAGATGAACTACAGATGCGGACGTTTTTTTCTGAAGGGGATTTATTAGTTGTATTATATTTGATTATTTTGTATTTAAAATGACGACTTTTTCTACAGGCAGAAGTGCAGACATTTTATTCAGACGGTGGAGTATCATTACATACAAGATCTCTTAAATACGGTAAACTTCGTAATGGTTTATTTATACAAGTGCCGTCCAATTTAATTATGAGGTCAAATGTTCATATATATAATTTACCAAATGGAACAGATGTAATTTTAGGGACGAATGGATATATATGGGTGAGTAAGCATGTAGAAATTTCTTTAGGAAAGGAAGGAGTTAGTATTACACGATTAGAAGAAGAAGCATCTGAAACAATTTATTCAAATATTAATGATGTTAGTTTATTAGGATATTATCATTAGAAAAATATTAACATTTTCTATAGGATATTGAACCATATATTTTACATGAAATAGCTCGTGTGTGTAATATTATTAAGGTACTAGCTGCTCGTAAAATTATAATTAATGAAAAAATGATTCTTCTTGGTTATGAAGCATCTATGATATATGAAGATGCTGCAGCATTGTTATCACCTTCTGTTCAAGATAAAATTTACTCAGAAATAATATCTAAAAAGTAGTTTTATAAAATATTATATACATTCACATGTTTTAAAGTTAACATCGAATATTTAAAATTTATTAAAATGGAGGAAATAAGTAAATTAAAAGATATAACACAAGGAAAGGAATGGGCGCTTTTAGAAACAATCTTTTATAATGGAAGTGATTTTTTTTTATTAGAAAAACATCTTCAGCGTTTAATTAAAGCGTCTATATATTTTGGATGGAAAACTATTGATATTAAACAAGTTGAAGAAAAATTATGGGATTCAGTACGTAGTTTAGGATCTTCAAGGGTGGTTTTGTATATAAATAATTAGTTTTATGTTTGTTTATTTTATATAGGTTCGTTTAACAGTTGCTCAGAATGGTACTATAGATATTCAAGTATCACCTTTTATATCTTCAGGAAATCTTTTTGGTATATTTTCTAAGAATGGCTGGAAGATGGATAAGCCATGGAGGGTATATTTAGATACAATTCCAATGGATGATACATTACGTCCATTTTTTTGTCACAAAACGACTTACAGAGATCCTTATGAAGCTGCAAGAAAACGGTTAAAAATAGACAAAGAAATGGAAGTATTGTTATATAATCGATATGGATATGTTATGGAAGGAAGTATTTGCAATGTCGCTTTTTTTCGAAATCATCAATGGATTACACCTTCTTTAAAAGAGGGTTGTCTTCCAGGTATTATGAGAGAAACATTATTGCAAAAAAAATACATAGTAGAACATTCCATTCAAATATATGATCTTATAGATGGAGAACGTCTTTTATTATTTAATTCTTTACGTGGATGTTTTCAAGGTATTTTATGTAACAATTAATATATGTCAAATTATTTTAATGATATATTTTCAAGTAAGATCTGGCATTCTTCGAATGAGTACAGTCTTATCTTGACAGTGTGATTTAAGAGTAAGGAAAAGACTATTTTTATTCCATCTATCAGGTGTTTCCGCTTTTCCAATAATCCATGAATAAATATCCAAATCAGATTCTTTCAAGAGCTATTTTTTGGTAAAATGAGGTCTAATATATACAGAATTAATACCTTGTCATATGTTTCAAGTTCTTCTCTTTTAAATAATGGCAAATATTTTTTTGCAAATGTGGACAATAACAAATCTGTCTCTAAAATACCTCTTTTACGACTTTGATAAAGAAGACGAGCTTTCATAGTTTCTATAGATTCGCCATGATTACTAGAAGACAAAAACACTGATAGCGTATGTTTTGAAGATGCTTGCCAATGCAAATACCGATGTTGCCATTGAATATTTTTAAAAAAAAATGAATGATGCATTGATCTATAAGGCAAATATTTACGAAATATAAACCTTTCAAAAGCGCTATTTATAAAGTATAAGAATCTTTTTACAATAATTTTGATTTTACTTTCTTTTATAATAATTAAAAAACAAAAACATATGTATTTCTTTATAAAATCTACTTAAGTTTCTGGCTAAACATTTAAAATAGTTTCGGAATAAGGAATTAACAACTTGTCGTCTTGAAAATATTTGCACAGAAATATTATACATTTTATAATATTTTCCTTCAATAAATATATCTCGATAATTTTTTTACAAAACTTTCTAAAATAAGATCATATATAAAAAATATAGTTATTCTGTATAACTATATATGTGTTTGAAAGACCCATCTTCATTCTTCAAAAAGATAATTTTAATTTTTGAAACATTCCTTTTAAGATAATTAGTGTAAAAGACTAACAATAAATATATATGTAAATTGCAGATAAAAAACAAAATATTAGTCACGTTACAATAGCATCAAACAAACATATTATTATGTTTTGCCCATCCATTATCACGGAGAACCTTTAAAACATGTGTCATACCTGCCCGACTCTAAAAAAGTTAGAATGAAAAGAATTATAATATTAAATAAATACATTTATAAGATTTTTAGAAAATTTAATTACTCCAAACTTCTCAATTTTATTTGTAAAACCCCAGCCAAATGAACTTTTAATTTGTGCTGTAACATTTACAAATGTTCTATTTTTTATAAATTTAGCGTCCATACAAATAAATTAATAGAATTTACTGGCATGAATTGTTATGAGAAACAGAATATGTTTGGTTTTCAACCACTTTCATGACTTTTGTATGATCAAGATTACGAATAAATGTATGCATTTCATTTGATTCAAGATTAACTATAGAATCTTCAAGAATATAACTCTGAGAAATCTTAAAGAGCTTGAAACAATTAACATCAATATATAAAATGCATAAAATATATAATTAAACTAACTTTTGCTCCCCACTTAGGTAATTTCCCATCTTTCAAAATTAAACGAGTTGTTCGAAGACAACCTTGATTATCAACATAACGATCAACAACATCTACTGATACAACATGTTTTGAATAAGGACTATATCTTTAATAAGATAATATAACCTTTTTTCTTAAAAAAATACTTAGGATATCTTAAAAACCAAGCTAGTGTCACAATAGGCCAAGAATACCTAAAAAATATCAATAATGAATATTAAGCATATTTTCTGGACGAAATGTACTCGTAATAATAGCTACTTTTATAAAATTTGACCATTATTAAGACAAAATACTATTTTTCTAATTTTTACATATTTCAGCCATTAAATTAAGAAAAAAAGCAGCTCTTTTTGAAATAAGATAAACCCTTTCATTTAAAACAAGAAGAAACTAATAAATCAGAAAAAAATCTCTATTCTTAATGGCTTTTTTCTTAAAAAAAAATTTAAAAAAATATAAACGTCAATTTTTTAAAAAATATATAATTTCTTATAAAAATAAGGAAAAAACAAAAGAAACTCTTAGAAAAGGAATAAAACTATTTTCCTAGAGATGGAAGATCTAAATATTTCTTGTTTAAATTTAAAAGATGAGTCAACTATTGAGGAATCTAAAGATCAAGTTATTACTCCATGGAAGGTTTATAATAAGGAAGAAACAGGAAGTTTATTAATATTTCAATAGGTAGAAGGAAGGGTTGTGGACGGTAGAACAGAAGGAATTGATTATGACCGGCTTATAGAAAAGTTTGGGACAAAATATTTAGATGAAGCACTTTTGGAAAGATTTGAGAGATTAATAGGTCAAAAACTGCATGTTTTCCTTAGAAGGGGGATTGTTTTTTCTCATCGGTTAAATTATTAGATGGAGAATTTTTTTTTTTGACAGTTATAGTGATTTTTCCAATATTCTTGATCAATATGAAAAAAAAGAGCCATTTTATATATATACAGGTAGAGGACCAAGTAGTTCGAGTATGCATTTAGGTCATATGGTTCCGTTTTTGTTTTGCAAGTATATTTAATATTTTTATATAAAAAAGATTAAGGATTTAGATGGCTTCAAGATGTTTTTGATGTTCCTGTAATTATTCAACTTACAGGTAAATATAATGAAAGGGATTAGTTTATAACTGATATTAAAAAAAGATGATGAGAAATATCTTTTCAGACAGGAATTAAAACTGGAAGATACACGTCGATTTGCTAGAGAAAATGCAAAGGATATTATTGCATGTGGTTTTAATCCAGAAAAAACATTAATATTTCTTGATACAGAATTTGTTTCAGGTTCTTTTTATGAAAATGTTGTTCGGGTTTCAAAATATATAACGTATAATAAATGTAAAGCTACCTTTGGATTTAAGGAAGAGTAAGATTATCTGTATATAATATTTTTTTAAGATATATTAAGGGATTCTATTGGAAAATATAGTTTTGTTTCTATTCAGGCAGCCCCTAGTTTTTCTAATTCATTTCCAAGCATTTTTGGTAAACGGACAGATATTCCATGTTTGATTCCTATGGCAATTGATCAAGTAGATTATTAATAATAACTTAAATATTTATTTATTGTTGTAGGATCCTTATTTCCGTCTTACGAGAGATGTTGCTGATAGACTTGGCTATTTGAAACCATCCTTGATACATACTAGATTTTTTCCTGCACTTCAGGTATTATTTTTTATTTTTTGTTTAGATTCTAAAATTTTCTTTAGGGTCATGGTACAAAAATGAGTGCATCAGATGAAAATACTGCTATTTATGTCTCTGATACACCATCTCAAATCAAAAATAAGGTCTTTTTTTGATTTTATTATTTTTTAATTTACCAATTTAGATTAATAAACATGCCTTTTCAGGTGGAGGTGCAACATTAGAAGAACATAGATTAGTAGGAGGAAATCCAGGTAAAAATTTTCGTCTTATTGATTTATTATTTTTATTTTTTTAGACATAGATGTATCATTTACTTATCTCAAATATTTTTTGGAAGATGACGACCAACTTGAACAAATAAGAAATGACTATTCTTCTGGAAAGATCTCTACAGGAGAACTTAAAGCAATTACAATTAATGTTTTACAAAAATTTGTTGCTGAATTTCAAGAGAGACTTCAATTGGTTACTGATCATACACTTTCTCTCTTTTTGGATTCGAATAAAAAACTGAAATCTACATGAAGTCACCTTAAAAAAATTAAAAATATATTAAACTTTTTTATTTTTTCTTTTTTTTTATATATTTTATCTTTTATCAATTTCTAACGTCTTGATAAGACGCTTCAGCTATAAATACGTCTAAAGAGGACATTTTTGTAGGGAAGAAACACTGAATTAACCATATTTTAATTATATTTTCTTAATATACATATTTTATTATAAAATAATGCATTTTTTCTGATTAATTTAATACTATTATTGATGGATACTAAACATTCTGTTTTTAATGTTATGGGCCAAGAATTTGTGCTTCAAAAAGGCTATGAAGTCATAAAAGGCCTCGGAAAAGGTTCATATGGTGTTGTTTGGTAGGACTATTACCTTATTTCTTTTTTTTTTGAATTAAGTTATTAGCTCTGCAAAAAATATAGAGAATGATGATAATAACAAAGTTGCTATTAAAAAAATAACAAATATGTATGAAAAACAGATAAAAATATAGATATTATTAAGTTTTAAAAAGATTTTCTAAAAAAATGCTTGCAAAAAGAGCTTTACGTGAAATTATGTTGCTTCAACATTTTAGAAATCATAAAAATGTACAAAACAGCTTTTAATTGAAAAAATAAACATATGAACTGAGTATAAACAGATAACTATGCTTTACGACATGGATATTGTTGATCCTTGCAAATTTAATGAGCTTTATCTTTATGAAGAACTTGTATTTATATAATTGATAGATATTTGAATATTGATGAAGTTTAGATGCAGGCTAATTTAAATAGTATTATAAGATCAGATCAACCATTAACAGATGCACATTTTCAATCGTTTATATATCAAATTCTTTGCGGTTTAAAATATATTCATTCAGCTAATGTTCTTCATCGTGACCTAAAGCCTAGTAATCTTTTAATTAATGCAGATTGTAAATTGAAAATATGTGATTTTGGTCTATCTAGAGGTATGTCTGTAAATCAGGGGCAAGGTACTGAGTATATGACTGAATATGTTACTACAAGATGGTATCGAGCTCCAGAGGTTATGCTTAGTTTTCAAAGTTATAGTAAAGCTAGTATGTTCTTGATAATATATGATATAACTCTGAAAAAAATAGTTGACCTTTGGTCTGTTGGATGTATTTTGGCAGAGCTTCTGGGAAGAAAACCATTTTTCAAAGGAAGTAATTATGTTGATCAATTAAATCAAATTTTCTGCATTCTTGGTACTCCAAATGAAAATATTATATCTAAAATAAAAAGTGCATCCGCTCAAAACTATATTAGAAGTTTACCTATTCTACCAAAAATGCCTTATTCAAAAATATTTCCATACGCTAATCCAGAAGGTAAAATTTTTCATAAACTTAATATTTTTTAACAATTAAAGCATTGGATCTTCTCAATTGTTTACTTACATTTGATCCATGTGATCGTATTTCATGTGAAAAGGCTCTAGAACATCCTTATCTTATTATTTGGCATGATCCAAAAAAAGAACCTATTTGTTCTGAACAGTTTGATTTTGGATTTGAGGCAATAGATAGCATTGAGGAAATAAAACGTGACACATTCATAAAATAAATAATTTATTAATTAACCTTTTTACTAGAAATGATAATAAACGAAGTTTTAAGATTTAAAGAATTAACAGGGAACCAAAAATTGTATCATTCTATATCTTATACATAATTTTAATACAAACGTCACTTAGAAAATATTTATAAAATGCAATACGCTTTATGTTAATGATTTTATACATAAATAAAAATATTATTTAGTAATAATAATTTGATGAGTTTGATTGTTACAATTGATAATGATCTTAAAAATATAATATCTAGATATAAATCATTTGAATAGATAGTTATTCCTAAGTCTTAATATATTCAATATTTTAATAGACAAAAATGTAGCATCTATAGATAGTATTAAGCATAAAATTGATAGAAGTTAATTTGTAAGATTGGATTATATTCACCAGAGCTCTGGTATTTTTGTCCACGTTTGCTTTTCTCGTTGAATCCAATAACTATCATTTCCTGTTTTAATAATCCAACAAGGGTCTTGATTTTTAGCTTGGTCAAACCATCTAGGTTTCCATTCAATATTTTCTGACTCCATTTTCTTTCTTCTTTGCCTTTGTTTTTCCTCTAGATGAGATTTTATCTTTTCTGCTTCCTCTATATTCCCATCTTCTCTATTTCTTTGATCTTTTCTTAGCCTAGTATCAGTATTTGGAATTAATCCTTCTTCCATGGATGTTATTTCGTTGAGGGAAGCCGCAAATTTAGTAAATCCGCAATGAGATGAGGGATCCTCAACTAATGAACCTACATTCCATATAACTTCTTTGAAATTTGTACCAGTTCTTTTCAAGACTAATGAGTGAGTCCAAAAACCTGTAATTGACAAAGGTTGAAGAGTTCCAGAGCCGCTATATGCTTGAACAAATAATTCTTCACTCCGTCCTGAAAACATTTTTCCTGGTTTAAATGATATTACTGCCTTTTCGCCTGTAGAAATATTTAAAATAGTCATATGTCCAGAAGGCTCCACATATTTTTCTCCAAATGCAACATTTCGAAGAAATACAGCAGGTTTTCGATATATGTATATATCTCCCGTGATTAACTTGATAAGAACAGATCCATCAGTAATCAATTCAGCACTCTTCCCCCAAAAACGTTGCTTCGGCTTAGGAGAATGAGAAAATGTCCAAGAAGTTGATTCAGCATGACACGCAATTACTACAGGTCGATGAGAAACCTTTTCCGCTAAAAATCTAAAACCTATTCTAATTAAAATATGTCAATGACTAAATATTGCCAATATACCTTTATCTTCCCTAACAAGCTCAAAAGTCTCTCCTAACAAAGGACTAAATGGCTAGAAAACGTTAGAATAAAATCAATTAATTTATTATCCATTATTTACCTTTCTAATCAAACGCTCCTTACAACGCATGTTAGAGAATGAACTAATTGCAAAGGCAGCAATATAAAGAATCCGTTCTCCATCTTTTTTGGGCTTGTTAATGGCTTGATCAATCAATTCTGAATATTCTAAATCTTCTGCTGCTCTTTGAAGAAGATTTAAAGGCTCGTTTGCTATTACAGGCATAGTGATACTAGAAAGATCTTTTCCAACCTAAAAAATAAGTATAAATCACATAATTTCAAGAAAACATACATTTTTCCTTAAAAAAGAAAAAAGACTTGGAGGTGAAACTGTAATTGGAGGAATATTGTCCCTTCGATTAACCTGGACTGAATAAGTTAAAGGATATAACACCCGTTTACTTTTGTTTCGCTCTATATTTTTGTTATGTGATAATCTTCTAATAGAAGAAACTTGAGATATATTAGACATTTTATTATCGTCTTCGTCTGCTGTTAATTCATCAGTAATAGCACCTTCAGAATCGCTATTAATTAACAAATATGGTTTAATATTATCCGGTATTTCTTCTGCATCAAACCATGACTCTCCTGTAAATGTTGTATCCATGCTAGTTCGTGAGCTAATAAAATCTATAGAAATTTCAGGCGTTTTCAATGCAGATATATATGATGCATGCTGGCTTAAAACATTATGCTCTGACAATAGTGATTTAAATTGATTCGAGATGTTTCCAAGTTCAGAACTTATTAATTCAATTTGAAATGGTGACAATTTCATATCAAATGATAGTCCATCTTAAGATATTAGAAAATGTTAATTATATAAATTAAGATTACCTATGCTTGATGGCAGGATAATTTTTTTTCGTTTTAAAGATACCAGAGAAGTAGAATTTTGATTAATATCATTTATATTTGATGAATCATGTTGAACTTTAGTATCAAAAAATCCCATTGTATCGTCATTTCGTTGCTGCATCATTTTGTCTATTTCAACTTTAAGAATACCAATCTTGTTAACAAGATTTTCAACTTTAGACCAAAGTTGACGATTTAAGCTTTCATGTTGACTTGAAGATAAAATCGTATCTGTATCAAGAATACTTTGCTGTTCTATGTGCTTACTATTGCAATTTTTTGCGGCTTTTTCAATAGCTCGGCACCAGCCAATCCAATCTTTATCTGATAATACACGAAGATGCCATATTTCCGCTCCAGAATCAATATTGATGCATCTTAATTTTGGATTGACACTAACTGCTGCAATTGAAAGAGGAATAATACCTCGAAGAATTGATTGGCTCGACGATCCCGTATATGACAGTACGGCTGTAGCTATATTCAATGTAAAATATCTCCGAGCCCATCCTTGAAGTCTGCTTCTCTTTTTTTTCAATAAGACACCAGAATAAATCGTTGACGGATCAACTTCCACTATAGACTGTAGTGATGTATTTTGAAACGACAAAACTTGAAGCGGCATCAAACATGCATTCAAAACATATGTAATAATCTTAGACGTCTGCTTAGAAAATGTATTATCTCATACATTATAAGAAGAATCTCTCAAATACATTTTAATATTACCAAAAACAAGAGCAAAATGTCCTCCATTATTCGGTCCCACATGATATGTCCCTTTTTCTAAAACATTTGCCTTGCATCGCATAAATGAAACAACTTCCGTTAATCCCGCTTTTTCTAATCGTTCCTTAAGCGTCCTATTCTTACAACATTTACGATGTTTTGATAAACGACAATGGGATGTATATGAACTTGCTCCTAATAAACACAATTCTGTTTCACCTCGCATAGACACATTCAATTCCTTAGTTCTTTTACATATTCCATATCTTATTGACTTTTTATGTGGTTTCAATTGCCATGAAAGAGTTTCATTATCAGGTATATAAATCCAACGTAACAAAAGATCCCGAGCTTGAACCTGAACATAAATGAATCATATATAACTTATTAGATATTATGAAACCTCAATTGTCTCTAATTCTGTCATAATTATTAAAAAAAAATATGAAATTTTAATGTCATTTTAACTTTTTGTTGGTTGACAGGTCGATTGACATCTTGAAAGACGTGTCAAATTATTGTTGAAAAAAATAAAAAAAAAAATAAAAAATATAATAGAATGATGAAATTATTAAAAATAACAGGATCAGTTAGAAAATTATATATTTTTTTTATTAATATTAAAGGATATATAAAATATTTAAGAAAATTTGAAAGACAAATGTTATTTTTAATAAACAATATTAAATTAAAAAAGTTTCTATAGAGTTGAGGTTAAAAATCTTATAAATTTGATGAATAATTAATAGTTTTTATTTAAATCTGGTTGATTTTTCTTTAAATTTATATCGACTTGATAAAAATGACACTATAATCTTTTAATAGGAAGAATATTTTTATTTTTTTAAAAAAAAAAGAATTTTATATAATACAATAAAAAAAATTAATGTATAATTATATAAAGCTTTATATATAATTGCATAAATTTTGTATAAAAAAATATATGTTGCAGAATACGTCGATAAGTATGCTAAAATTATATCGAGTATTATGTAAAAATTAAGATTTAACAGGTTTTTTAATGTAATTATAATCTAATATATTCTGAAAACAAAGTATGTTTTAAGAAAAATATGTTTTAAATATTATTTAAATATAAAATATTAAAATAATACTTTTTTAGAATATTTTTATAATAAAAAATGATTGAATTTTTTTTAAAAGAATTAAAAATTAATATATTTTATAGGAATATTTAATATTTGATTAATCCATTTATAAAACAAAGTAAATAATAATATCTATTAATATATAATGAAAAAAAATATTTAACTTGATATTTGAAATCAACCTTTAAAAATATCGGAATAAAAGAGGTTTAAAAGTTGAATATTTTTAAATAATTTTTTTTAAAAAAAATAAATAATAGAAATATTTTTAAAGTAAGAATTTATAGATTTTTCTTGAATTTGTTTATATAACTTTTTTTTGTGTAAATCGGTACGAATCGTAAGATATCAAAACATTGAGTTTGAAATTCATAAGAATTTAAAAATTCACTAATTAAAGATAAATTGAAGATTAAAAGTACAAGAATTGTATAAAAAGATGTCTCTTGATAGATCTCTACGAAAAAAAATGGAGGAAAAAGCCCGTTCCAATCCTACGTTTGAGTTAGAAGTATTTTGTTAAATATTTATATAAAGAAAAATTGAATTTTCTAGGCAAGAAATTGGATTGAAGAAGTTATTAATGAAAAACTTGATCCTAACAAAGATTTGATTGATAATTTGCATGATGGTGTTATTTTGTGCAAGTATTATTTTTATTTTTTTTAATAAAAATTAATTAAAGAGTTGCAAACGCTATTGGACCATGTCAGATTCGTTATAAGGTTTCAAGCATGCCATTTGTAAAGGTTATATATTGAAATTTATATTGGTGTTCTATAATTCATTAATTATAGATGGAAAATATTGCAGCATTCCTTGAATTTGTTCAAAAACTTGGTGTCCCTAATTATGACTTATTTCAAACTATTGACTTATATGAACGAAAAAATACATACCAAGTTCTTCAATGTATTCATTCATTGTCTCGATATGCTGTTCAAAATCTTAGTTTTCATGTACCTGCTTTAGGTCCGAAACTCGCAACTAGCAGAAAAATCCATTTCACTGAGGAACAACTTAATAAGGCTAAAAACATGACCAATACTCGTCAATATGGATATGTTGCTGGGCTAAGTATTATATTCTTTTTTTTTTAAAAATATTTAATAACTTATTAAGATTAAATTTATCTCAACATATATAAATCTTATTTTTTTCCTTCAAATAAGATCTTCATCTTTATAAAATATATCTTATCTTATTTATTTTTATATATATTTATATATTTTTATATATATTTTTAGTTTATTTCTTTTATATCTTTTATCTAATCTTGATCTTTTGTCTTAGAATTTTGACGTCTCCCGTATCAACATTGACCACATACTTAAGAAAATGAGGGATAATCCGGCGTATATTAACCGGATTCTTGGGTCTATTTATAATGTATATTTAAAGGCATTATTTAAGAATATTTTTAAGTGTTTATTATTAGGATCTTGGGTTTCTTGTGGATTGCGGGGTCATTACAGAAGCAATATATGAAGAAGTAATAAGCAAAATACCTCGACGTAAAGATCCCTTAAGATATATTTTAAGTTTTTATTGAATAGAAAAGGTTATTTTCCGTCTCAGAATTATTCAGAACGCAAAGAAGTTTCATGCAGTCAAAATGTGATTCAAAGTATGTTTTTGAGTAAAATAAGTATCTTAAAATTAATGGAATTTTGAGATAATCAACACCTTTATCCTCAAAGAGAAGAGAATTCTAAGGTTTTATGTTCAAGAACTAGTATTGGATCAAACGTTGCAGAAATTACATCTAAATTTCAACAAAATGTGAATGTTGCTACAATATCATCGCCACCTCAGGTTAAACAAGCACAAGAAAATAATCATATAGCGAGAGCTCCTTTACCATCAGTTCCAAAGAAAGCGAACGTTACTGGAATTTTTCAAGCAGAAGCTTTGTATGATTATGAAGGGGAAGATGATGATGATCTTACATTAAAAGTTGGAGATAAAATTAATGTTTTGGAATATGTTAATGAGGATTGGTGGAGAGGTATATGTAATGGTAAAGAGGGAATTTTTCCAGCTAATCATGTGGTATATTTATTTTATATTTTTTATCTGATAGTTTAATAAATTTAGAAAAAAATACAACCCTTTACAGTTAATGAAAGGGTTACTTTGTCACATTTATCATCTCAAGAGCATGGATCTCAAAAAGAACAAAATTATTCTCAAAAAGGGTATTATGGATATCAACAACCTTCTCAACCACAAACACAGCAATATAACCCTGAAAAAAAAGCCATTTCTAATGTAGGAAAGAAATTCGGTAATGCGGCTGTCTTTGGGTAAGAATAATGTGATCTTCCTTCTTTTTTTCTAATAAAATTAACATATATAATTAGAGCTGGTGCTGCTGTTGGTTCACATATTGTTGGTAGTATACTATAAATCTTTATTCTTTTCAATTTAACTTGATCTTTATTTATCTAAAACTAAATAATTTCCTAACGTTGACTTAAATGTAGCTCTATACACAATTTAACTTTATTTTTCATAATTAATAAATAACAGTTTTTATAATTCTGCTTTTATTAACTTTTATTATTAAATACTTATTTCTAAGAAATCTTTACACCTTTTATACGTAGAAAATAACATTCTTATTCAAAATTTCTATCTTATCAAAAACAATGAACTTATCATTATTAAAAGTATCAGAATTAAAAGAAGAACTTGGAAAACGAGGTCTTTCAAGAACAGGACTTAAGAAGGATCTTATAGATCGTCTTGAAAAGGCTTTAAATGAAGAGGGATGTACCACATTTTTGGATAATAATTCAACAAAGATATCAGTAAATGAAAAGATTAATAATGAATCTGATAGTCAGGCTATAAAAAGTCCTAAAAAAGCTGGAAAGAATGGTAAATTTATCTAAAATTTTTGAAAAAAAAAATATTAAAAATATTATTATTAGATATGTTTATAATAGAAGATAAAGAAGTCAAAGAACTTATTAAAGAAGAAAAAGATCAAAAGAATATAGAGGAAGTTGATAAAGATGTATCTTCTATTTATTTGAATAAAAAAGAAGAAAATGAAGAATTGAAGAATGAAATAAAAAGAAATATAAATAATGAAATATTATTAAAGAATGAAGAAAAAATATGTAGTATGTCATTAAAAAGAGGTCTGGAACATTTAAATGACGGTATAATATATTTTTAAAATTATGTTTTTATAACTAAGGTTATTAAAAGAAACAAATAAAGCAATAAAAAAAATTAAAGAGAATTCAGAAGAATTAAACTCAAATTTATCAGTAGAAAAATCTATAGAAACTAAAAGTTCTAATAATACGCATAATGATACTTTAAATAAAACAGAAAAAATATCAGAACCTATACATAAATTAACAAGTGCGGTTTATATACGTGATTTTACTCGGCCTCTGCAAGCATCTCAATTTAAATCTTATTTATTAGATATTATTAAGGGGGTAGATGACATAAATGATAATATATTTAAACAATTTTGGATGAATAATCTTAAAACACATGCGTTTATTGTATTTACAGATGTTGATCATGCAAAAAGAGTTCGTGATGTTTTGCACAAATCCATTTGGCCTTATGAGAAAGGAAGGCAACCTTTATGGGCAGATTATGTTCCAGAAGATAAAGTAAATGAATGGATTAATATAGAAGAACAAAGTCCTCGAGATACTAAATGGGAGGTTATTTATGGTGTGAATGGAGTAGCTAATTTATCAGAAGTTAAAAAAAAGGTGCTTAATAAAAAATTTGTAGCTTTAAATCAAAAAATAGAAAGATCATTTCAAAACAACTCTAGTTATAAATACGAAACAAAAAGATCAGATATTAAAAAGTATAATTTAAATGATCTTTTTTTAAAAACACAAACAACTCCATTTTTATATTATAAAACAGTTGATCAAAATATAGCTGTTAATAGATTAAAAAAGTCAGAATAGCCTCAAATATTAGGCACAACATATATAATTTAAATAAATAGGGCTTTTTTATCTTTATAGACTCTTAGAATGCATCTAATACTTTTAATTTTCTAATGAAATCAATATTGTTTTTTTATTGTCTTTTTAAAAGAATCTACTAATGCAAACTAAAGCCTAAGAACGATGGTTTCTTCTATGTATTAGTATTTTAAATCTGTTGAATTATGTTTCTAATAGATTTTTTATTCTAAATTGAAAGAAATATTATTTAATTAAATGAACTTTGAAAAAATAACAAAAGAAAAGATTCTTGCTATTTATTATTAGAAAAAATGATCATCCAGAATATTAGAAAGGATTTTATTGCTTCGTTTTAGATATTATATTATCTATTTTACATTATTTTTATTTAAATATATAACTAATTAAAGTTAATATTAATTTAAACAATCATAAATATCATCTACTTTAATTTATTAAGAATTGACGATTTAAATATTTTTTAGGAATGTATTATCAAACAAGTATAATATTATTTCCATGTTTTTAATACACCAATTTATTTCATTTGAATATATTGAAAGTTATCAATAAAGAAATAATAATTGAAATAGTACAAATCATATTAATTTAATCAAATGCCTGTGAATAACTAAAAAAGTTATTATTTGTCAAAATTAACCCTTAATAAAACTAACAATACCTTCTTATCTTTGTCTTTAAAATAAAAATCCGGACAATTTTAAATTGTAGAAATCAAATATGTTTTACAAAAATTAAACATAAACTTCTTCCTTCGTTGATAAAAATATAAGTAAAAATAGACGTATGTTCATTGATCGAATCTATATATAATGACATATATTCATATGTATTGCATTTTTAAATTTTAGTTTATAAAGATTGAAAATATATTTTGCTGTTTGATTAACTGTTTTAATATGTTTCTAAATGATAAAATGCCTCAATTTTTATCCAATTTTGATGTATAATGAATTTTGTAAAAAAACTAGTTAGATTTCCAAAATTTTATTAACAATTTCTTTAAATAATGGATATAAAGTGCATTTCTTATATCTTTCAGGCAAATCCCAGTTCGACTCATCTACTAATTCTGACAAAGGAATCTTTTCACTTGTATTTAAGTCAGATGCAGGTTGACATTTAATAAGATCAGCTAATGTAGAATCTAATGGTATTTTTCCTAAATAATCATTAAATAAATAAAAATATAAAATATAAAATTTACCGAGAAGTGGTATTTGATAAGATTCAGAAAGTTCTTCTCCTCCACCACTAGAAAATATATCTGTAGATGTAGAGCAATGTGGACAGATATAAGTACTCATGTTTTCAATAATTCCATAAATATTCAACCCAGCTTTTCGGCAAAAATTAATACCTTTACGTACATCTACTAATGATACTTCTTGCGGCGTTGTTACAACTACAACATGACTCTTTTTTATACAATTCATAGCATGTAATGTTTCCGTTACTGCAATTTGTTCATCTCCTGTTCCTGGAGGTGAATCTATAATTAAAAAATCAAGTACACCCCATTCAACATGACTTAAAAGCTGTTGAATCATAGACGTCTTCTTAGATCCACGCCAAATAACTGCATCCCCACGACTTGGCAAAAGAAACCCGATAGAAACAACTTTCATTTCTGTTGATGGCTCATTTATAAAAAGATGAAGCGGAACCCATCCTGAAGATGATTGATAAATATGACATCCTTCAAGGCCTAATAAATAAGGAATTGAAGGTCCGGTAAGGTCAATATCAAGTAAACCAACACGGAATCCCATAAGAAGCAAGGAAAGAGAAAGCTGGACAGAAACCGACGATTTTCCAACTCCTCCTTTACCTGATAGGACAAGAAGGATATGTTTAACTGATTTAAGAGCTAAAAAAATATAAAAAATTAAAAAATTCCAAGAAAAATAATAATTTTACCTGATGAATCTAAATAAATCATTTAATAGAAATTAATTTAATCAATTTGTGTCTAATATATGCGTGATATATACGTCATATATGTGTCTTTTAAACAAACTTTATTAATAAATTTATGTCTTATTAAACATATAATTTCATAAATATATTTTAGACAGTTTTATACACGTTTTTACAAATTATATGCGTTAAACTAGAAATATCTATTTTTTAAATTTATGCTTTTTATAATGACTTATTATAATTCAAGAAAATATTCATTCAATAATTAAGAATAAATAAAAAGACTTATATATAAATAATAGATTCAAAAAACTAATTTGAAACAAGTACTCTTGTAATTTCACGACGTCGTTGTTTCTTTAAAAGCATTACCTAAAATAATATTAATAAAAGTGAAAAAATAGAGAAAAAAGACTTGAAATCGCTCAAAATCATTCAATTCAGATCGTCGACGTCGTGCTGCTAATTTTTTACTTAATCTTGTAACATTCCACTTAGCCGTTATATCTTGTGAATCCCATTGTTTTGCAACGATACCCGTACGAACACCAGGAGATAAATAATGAACAACAATAGATGTAAAAATTATATCATTAAGAGATGCAACATGACGAGGTACATTTGTTTTAGGTCCATCAACAATAACCTAAAACTATAAATTTAATTCAAAAATATATTTAATTTTTACCCGACGACAATTTAAAACTTCAACTATAACTGCTAGATTTCCCTTATATTCTCCTTCTATAAACAAAACAACTCGTCCAATTTCGATCATACGCTAGATTATTATTAAATTAAAAGATAAAAACATTTAAAAAAATACTCGAAATAATGGCCGACCCAACATTCTAAGATTTTAATAAAAATACTAATATTATTCGAAGTATTATATTTTTATGAATTTTGGAGCATAAAAATCTCTGATTTTTTAATTTTTTTTAACCCTATCTCGAAAAGAATAAAGCAGACGAAACCCTAAACCTAACTATATAATATAAGGTTAAACCCTTAAAAAATTTAAAGGTTTAAAGGGTTAGAAAAACCTTAGTTTCAAGTCTATTTGGATCGTTTTTTTTTAGAAATTATTATTTTATTAAAAATGCAGATTTTTGTTAAAACACTTACAGGAAAAACGATTACTCTTGAGGTTGAATCGTCGGACACGATTGATAATGTTAAAAGCAAGATTCAGGATAAAGAAGGGATTCCTCCAGATCAACAACGTTTAATATTTGCAGGAAAACAATTAGAAGATGGAAGAACTTTATCAGATTATAATATTCAAAAAGAATCTACGTTACACTTAGTTCTTCGTCTTCGTGGTGGAATTATTGAGCCATCTTTAAAAGCACTTGCATCAAAAGTAGAAATTATACATAAAAATTTATGTATATAGCGTAGTTTGATTTAACAGGTTTATAGTATAATTGCGAAAAGATGATTTGTCGAAAATGTTATGCACGTCTTCCTTTAAGAGCAACTAATTGTAGAAAACGGTCGTGTGGGCACTCAAATCAACTACGTCCAAAAAAGAAGCTGAAATAAATGGAAAACTAATATGTTTTTTATTGAAATATAAGAAATAGATTTTTATTGTAAACTTAAAAGATTTTTATGTATATTTTAGGATTTTTGGGATTTGAATTTTAAAATAAATAATTGAATGTAATTTAATAAAAAAGGATTTATATTCATTTTATGAATGTTTTTTTGCTGACATTCGTTTTAAATAAAATGCCAATTCCTCACCTTCCAAAATATAACCATCGCATCGTCCACTTTGACCTGGGCGTGAACTTACACATGCATAAAGTCGTCCATTATTAAATTGATTTTCCAATGCTACGTCGATTTTAGCGGATCTTGCTCGCATTCTAATTTTTGCTAAAACATGTGCAGAACGTTTAACTGGTTCTAGATCTTTTGTTTGATCACTTTTTTTTTGTCTTTTACCAATACTTTGTCCATAATGAGACTCATACCATTGTCTAAAAGGAGTTGCATCAATTTGAACAATAGCAGATTTAGTAAGTGTATTTGTACGAACAAGTTCATTATTAGATGGATGATAAACTACTTGAATAATTCGAGTTTTTCTTGAAATTGCTTCAGAACCCCATGAAAAATTACCAGAATCTAATCTCAAAGCACGAAATTTCTTATTCCCGCCACGGACACGAATAATATGAATACGTTTAGGACCAATTCGTGTATTTGCTGGCTGCCGGCCTAATTCGAACTATATAAAAAATATTAAAAGAGACCTTGAAAGTGTTTTAGTAACATACCTTCCGTTTTTTTCGGTAATGAGGACGTTTTGCTCCTGTTGCAGAACGTTTATGACGAGAATCACGAGAAATACCCATAATTTCTAATATTGTTAGTTTTTCAAAGAAAAAAGCCTCAAAATTGTTTCAACAACTTAAATAATAGTTAAAGTACGTATGAAATTTTAATTTGTAGGCCCTATTTTGGTTTTTTGCCTTTTTTTAAGGATTAAAATGAAACTTATTTTTCTTAAAAAAAAAATCAAAAAATGTGCTTTTTTTTAAGGGAAGAAAACGCTCAAATAGATCCTTAAGCAAGTCAATTCTTTCCTTTAAAAATATCAGTAATATTCCTCAACCTTATTCTTTAATCCAGACCCAAAAAAATAATGTAATCTGCAGGTTAAAATCTTGCAGTTAAAAAGGCTTGGTTCCGAACACTTAAGGATTAACCCTAAAGTGTTGAAAACCTTATACAAGACAAATTCAAAAAAGGTACTATTTAAATATATTTAAAAATATAAAATAGAGCTTAATTTAGATTAATATTTCTTTGTATAAGGGTTTTTTAAAGATTATTGTATATTAATGTCTTATAAATTTTAAGAAGATAAATGTATTCCAAAGAGATTATCTAAGATGTAGATGCTTGAATTACATGTTGAAAAGAATTATCTGTTTTAATAGTATCATAAAATAATTTCCCAACATCAAATCCTCCACAAAATTCATAGCCATCTGCGTTAATATAATAAACTTTTAAAATAAGTAACTAAAGAATAATGTTTGAATAAATCAACTTACTATTAATGAATCCTCCGGAATAAGAGTCTCTATGTGTTGAAGCAAGAATAGCACGTTTTGCTAAGTAGATTGCTTGATCTTTCTGTAAATTCCAATGATATTCAGCATCAAGAATGCTATAAGCAAATGTTTGACCTGATCCAACACAAAAAAGATTTCCTTTAAGTCGTGTACCTTCACTGTCAAGATAAAATATACTAGTTCCACGCTTCGAATCTAATCCACAAATCATAGTTCCCTAGAAGTGAAATTTTAATGATTATAGAGATATTATTCTTATTTACCACTGATAAACCCATACCCTTATACGAATAAAGAATATTAGCTAAGATTTTAGATGATACTTCTGCTGAAATTTGTGTTTTGTTTCTAAGTTCATAGAGACGACATTCCATAGATAATACTGTTTCCCAAAACTTAGACATATTAGAAATACAAATATACAAAAATCCTCTTAAAAATAGAAGAAAATTTTTATATCATCAATTTATAATTTATAAAGCCTTTCCGATTTATTCTTACCTGACAATCTGCTGCTCCACCTGCCATTGTTCCTAAAAGATGATTCTATCTTATAAGCATTTTCATATAAACAGATTAACTAACGTTAATATGAATCACTTTATGAACTGTTTGACTGGCAATCCAGCTTCCTGCTGTAGCTCTGCACAGCAAAAATAAGTACTAGATTTAAAAAACAATAAATAAACCTAGAATCAACTGCTACTATAATCCCTTCTGAAAAACGAAATGATAATGTCGTTGTGCCATGTGTAATTTTTGATGTAACTTCTGAAACACTTAAATATTTCTGTACTGTGAATAAGTATTTAAAATTAAGAAAAAAGAATACCTCTTTCAGTATATTATACGGGATTCTTTTTTTATAAACAGACTCTTTAGAATCATACGTCTCTATTTCATCTTTAGAAAAGCTTTTAAGAATCTTCTCCATTTTATTAAGTTGGTAAAAATCTTTAAAGATTTTTGTCGTCTAGAGAACCTTTCTATAGCAACGAGATTATCTAATATTAAGATATTATCTATTAAAGATAATATGGAATTAGAAATATTTAAAGAAATAGATTTAAGAATTAAATGATTTTTTATATAATGTTTAAGTTTTAAAAAGAATTAATTTATAATATGAGTTTTATAATTAATATTTATCAAAGGATCTAAAGGCTTTTTAATTGGTATATTGGTATTAATGAGTTTAATTAATTTTAAATGTTAAATGTCTTAATATTTAAGATAGTAGAGACATTTTTTGTTAAAATAGTGAGAACTATATAAAGGAAAAGTTCTGAGATTATATTAATGATAGAGATGTATAGTTTGAAAGTATTTCTAATAATAAATGATGAGCATAGGTGAGAATTTTGAAAGATGTATCTGATGTTATTTTCTAGTGATTTTTTTTTGTTGTATATAAATTTATTTGATGAAGAATGCTTGATGTATTATAGAGTTTTAAAATGATCCAAAAAAAATATTATTATCTAATACTTTTAAAAGTAAATTATTTTTATTGAAAGAAACTTACGACATGCTTTTGAAAATAAGAGAAGCTTTTCTGATAGGAATAGGCAATGGTGGAGAAATCCTAGAATTTTGATGTTTATAAAAATAAGTAGCTGTAGAAACACAAGGCTTTTTATTCTTTAAAAGATAGTTTTTAGATTTTTCAGATTCAAATAAATGTGGATTTTTGAAATTTAATGAATAATTTGTACATATTTGAATCATATTTAACATAGACGTTTTTTTCGTTGGTAGAGTTTGAGTAGAAAGTGTCAATTGAGAAACTTTTTCTTCAATTATTTTTGTAGATGATGTAATTGACGTATTGATATTTGTAGGAGAATAAATAACATCTTCTGAAGAAGGTTTTAGAATAGATTCTTTTAGAGGTAGAGAAATTTTATCTACTTGGCAGTCAGAAGTATATGTTTTGGAAAAAACAGAAGAATTGTTTATATCTAAAAAATCTATTGAGATAAATGCTTCGGAATTCGAATTTTTATCCTTATCAGAACACAAACCTAATTCTGTTGCAAGACTTTGACCTGGAAAAAAATTATCAAAAGATGATGCAATGATGCCATCATTTTTAATATTAATAGATGATGCTGCACCAACAGACGAGTTTTCCTTTGTTTCTAAAGATTCGAGCTTTATATTTTCAAAATACTTATGCAATAACATAAACTCTTCTAATATTTCGTTTTTTTTGAGAGAATTTTTACTTAAACTTAAACTTAATTTTATTTTTTCTTCTTCCCAACGACTTCTTTCTCGATTAAATTCTATTTGAAGGCTTTCAATATGTTCATTAGCTATACGATTTGCTTTTTTAAATTTTTCAAGTTTTTGTTTCACTTCATTGAGATGCAATGTTTTAATTTCCAATTCCTCATAGAGACTATTCATATTTCTATTCATTTCGGAAGAAAGAGATAATAATTTTGCTTTCATATCTGCCAACTGTTTTGATGAAGATACCTGAAGAGATTCATAGGATAATAACAATGTATTGTACTTTTGTTGCAGATTCTCTACAAAATTAACGATCAAATAATGAGCTATAATAGACTTCTAACCATAATCACTGAAAAGTTTTTCTTTATCTCGATCTTTATTAGCTATTTTCCATTTCAATTTTTTTACAAGTGATGTCAAACTTTCTTGAATGTTCTCAGAAGAAACATTATCTTCATCTGATAATTCGCTAAAATAAAAATTATCATAAATATTATGATTATGTGCTTTGAGATCTAAAGAAATAGCACTATGATTTATCATTTTTCATAATATTAAAAGTTGATAATAATATATAGAATAAAATGATAAAAAGAAAATATGATAGAATAAGAATAATAAATAAAAGAATTAAAGAGTATTTTTTTAAAAAAATATATTAATTTCTAAAAGTAATATTTAGTAAAAATGGTTCATTAAAGTATAGAAAATATTTACCTATAAGAAACAATGAATTTTCTAATAATAACCCTTCTTTAAAACGTTTTATTCTTAATTCTTATCTTTTATTCACGATTTAATGCTAAATCAATGATCTAGATAAGAAAAATCGTTATCGAGATCCTAGTTTGCATAAGGAAAAAAGTTAAGTTTTAAAACCAATAGATTTCTTTTTAAATAAAAAACAAAATAAAATATTATGAATTTTAATACCAAAGAGTAAGATATTTATTTGAAAAAAATCCAAAACATTTAGACTTATGAATGCTTGCTATAAATTTTATTTAATATATTAACCTAAATAAATTCATATTAGAAAATAAAAATATGTATTTTGCAATGTTTTGTCTTACAAAATTAACGTTTTTATGAAATAGAGCTCTTTTCCCAAGAAAAAAGTTATAGAATACAACAAAAACCACAAAAAAATAATGTATAATTTTCTTTCTGCTTTTTTTTTTAAAAAAAGGTATTGCTTTGATTTTTTTTGATTCTTTAATTATTTTCATAATATCATGAAAAGTAGATTTAAGATTTGTGAATGTTTTTGTGCTCGTTTCAATAAATTTGAATCCAAATCAATCTACTAAAGATCGAAATTTTTCAAATGAAACTTTCTAACTAGATACCTTATCTAATTTATTTCTGATTAAAATTATAGGTTCAGACTTTGTATTTTTAATCCATATAATTTGTTCCGAAATATTTATACAAATATTGAACAAGAAACAAAATATAGAAGTAAAAGACCATCCCATTCCTTAAGATGATTAATATATATAAATAAATTTAAACAATATTAATAAAGTTAATCATTGTTTTCTTAATGTTGCATATCCTTTTAATAAAATATTAAAATTTATTAATAACTAGAAATATAACATTTTTACCTACTTTGAAAAAAAAACAAAAAAAGCCTTTAAAGTTCTTATATATAAAAAACAAAAAGTATATCTAAAAAGTTAATAATTTTCCAGAAAAAAATGAAAAAATAGCCAATAAAATGATTTAAAAAGAACCTATAAATCTATTATTAAAATTCATCAAAAAAAAGTAAAAATATACCGAATTGTTAAAAAAATCTATAAAACTATTAGTTAATCCATGTATAAATTTTCTAGCAAAAAAAATCTTTTCAAGACTATCTTTTAAGACAAGCTTATAAAATTCTACATTATTTGTCATATTTTCTGAAAAAAAAAGAAAAATATAAAATATTGGAGAAATATTAGTTCTGTTGATTATCATTTTGTTTGTTATAGAGGGCATTTTCAAGAAAGAATATGATGTTTCGATAACTTAAGATAATAAACTCAATTATTTTTTAAAAAAATACATAATAAAAATAATTAAATGTAGTTATATTTTAACATTTAGTATGGGATATAAAAATTAGATACCCAATCTATTATTTCATTTTTTAAATCATGTAATTCAGTAATATTCTCACCAGTACCGAGATATTCTTTAAAATGAATCAACTTTTTACTTTGACATATTTTTTGAATATTAATAGTAATTTTTATAGCTCTATCAACAAAATCGACTATCTTAAGAAAATCGTTTTCTTTAAGTCCTCGTGTAGTCATTGCAGGGGATCCTAATCTTAAACCACTTGGAGTAAAAGGCGATTTATCGCTAGGAATAGCATTCTATTTTAGGTTAATATATATATATATATATATATATTTATGCCTTATTTGCAGAAATATTTGCCAATTCTAAAACTTTTTCAACTCTAGCACCATCAATGCCCTAATGTTATAATTAATTATCATTTATATAGAAATAAATGGTACTTTTTTGGTCAAATCTATCAAAATTAAGTGAGTATCAGTGCCTCCTGTTACAAGTTCATAGCCCAATTCTATAAATCTGTCCGACATTGCTTTTGAATTTTTAAGCACTTGTTTCTGATATTCTTTAAATTCTGGAGTTTTTGCTTGCTTAAGAGCAACAGTGAGTGCAGATATTGTATGATTATGAGGACCACCCTGATGTCCGGGAAAAATAGAACAATTTATATGATTTTCGGGGTTATAAAGAACTTCTAAAAAAAATGAGACAAGTACCATTAAAGAAAATCTACTACCGTTGCCATTCTTATCTAATTTTTTTATTTTTTTCCGAAAAAAAATCATAGCACCACGAGGTCCTCGTAATGATTTATGAGTCGTAGTTGTAACAATATCAGCATAGTCGAAGGGCGAAGGAACTACGCCTGCAGCTACAAGACCTACAATTGTGAAATTTTGTATATAAAAACAGAAAAAAATATAAAATATTATAATTACCTGAAATATGTGACATATCCGCCATCAAAAAAGAACCCACATTCTTTGCAATCTTGGAAAAACGTGAATAATCCAAAAGTCTAGGATAAGAAGATGTTCCTGCAATGATAATTTTTGGCATTACACGTTTTGAAAGAACTTCGAGTTCATCATAATCAATAATATTCGTTTTTGGATTAGTTTTATAAGGAACAGATGAAAAATAAGAAGATACGGCTGAAATATTTTTAAATGTAGTCGAATAACCATGGGAAATATGTCCACCATCTAATATATATGTTAATAAAAAATATATTAAAAAATAGATATGTTGTATTTAAAAACAAAGGAATATTAGTATTTATGTATATAATACCTGGTAAATCCAACCCCATAAGTTTCTCATGAGGCTTCATTAACGCCGTATATACATAAAAATTAGCAGGAGACCCTGATAATGCTAATTTATTTAGTTTAATAAATATATATAAATATTGCTGGTACGTTGAACATTAACGCCCCATTCTTCATGATTTAAGCCGTAAAGATCCAATGCTCTTTTCTGGCAAAGCAATTCCATCTGATCAATATACATGGTTCCCCCATAATAACGATCACCCGGATATCCTTCAGAATCTAATAGATATATAAAAACTAATACAAATCAAACATTATGTATTTACATTTATTTTGCATAGGAGATCCCAACGCATTCAAAACTGCTTGAGATGTGAAATTCTTGAAAATAAATAAATAAAATAAAGATAAAAAATATACCTCAGAAGGGATCAATACAATTGACTCTAATTGACGTTTTGTTTCTAATTTAATTAAATTATCTACTTCTGGATCAGATTTTGACAAAGGTGTGCTTAAAAGCTATAATATATAGAATATTCATATAAATAAATATTAAAATATACCGAATTATTGGATGAAAGAGACATATATAATTTCTACAAAAATTATTTAGAAAAAAATATATTTTTTATAAAAAGAAAATTTATGTAAACTTAAATATACCTGCAAACGTAACCCATTAACTCGTGGAAAAAGATTTACTATTCGGCAATAGGGATACATCGAAGTTGTTATTCTATTCAAAATATTTATCTAACTCGCTTGTATATTATTTTATGTATAAATGCGCTTATTACAAAAACTTCGCAAATTCCGTAGAACAGAAAAAAATTTAAAATTCAACACAAAGTTTAAAATATATTAATTATTTTTTAACCCTATAATTAGATGGCATAACACTAACAGGCAAATTTACTGAAAAAAATTAATATTACTATTAATTATTCTATAGAAAACATCCTAGTGTATCCACAATACAAACAATATTCAACTAAACAGTATTCATCTAAATGATTAAGAGACCCAAAAATACATGGCCTTAAAACAGCGTCATAGTTAAAAAGACCAAGAAAAATGCAATAAAGGCCATTCCAAATCCTGCAATACTCGATTTGGTAGCAAAATTTACAAAAGGCATATCATCTGTAGGTAAAACATCAAAACTCGTAACCTCTGTTGTACAAACACATTTCGTAACTGTTGATGTCATAAATGTCAAAGTTCGCGTGCATGGGCAATCTGTAATTGTAAGAACAGTCGGCCCAACCACCATATATTTAACTCCATTTTCATTCAAAGTAGTTGGCCCTGAGATTGAGGTAGTATATGATGCTACAACTGTTGTGGTCGTCAATAATTTCCCTGATGTTGTTTTGGTTGTGCCATCTTTTAATTTTATAACAACTGACTCTAAGTGTCCGTTTTCTTTGACACTCCCCTTTATATCTTTGTCTTTAAGATTCCCCTTTATATCTTTTTCCTTGACACCCCCCTTTATATCTTTAAGACCACCTTTAGTATCTTCAAAATTCTTAGTATCCGGTAGTTTATTTCCCAGTTCTTTTGAATCAACATTTGGCGTACTATCTGATCCTCCACTACCCCAACCAAACCATCTAGGAAGCAAACTAGGTTCCCTCTCTGACTCTGCTAATACACTAGAAAAAAATGCTAACACTGATAAGACTCCAACAACTCTCATATTTCTTAGCCAAAAAAACAACTTAAATAAAAATGCAAATTATTAATTCGCAAGGATTCTCCCTTATATTTATATTTTTGATTTAACACGTCTCGACGTGAAGAACATTCCTTGACACGTTTAATCAGGGGTTTATTTTCCATTTTTTCCTTTTTTGGATAAAATGATATGTAATATTTCAACCTCCTCATTATTTACGGTTAAAACGTATAGTCACAAGCCATGCCTAGGGTTATTTAACGTATATAATTTAGATGTATATTTAAGACGCGTTACGTGTCAGATTTTTAAATAAAAGTAAGAATTGAAGAATAACACGTTTTAAACATGTATAACCCTTTAAACAAAATATTTTGAAATTATAGTTGTTTAGAAATGTATATAATTATGTTTTATACTTTAGTGAAAGATTTTGTTGAGGCAATTTTAGGAATTAAGATGTTGATATGGAATGTGTGGCAGTGTGGCGAGTTATAGTATAATAGTATTGCATGTTTTTAATAATGTATGTATAATATGATGCTATTTAAATATATGGAATTGTAAAGTATCAATTTGATGGAGTACTTGAAACTAGAAATAAGGATTATGTACGTAATGTATATGTGATATATACGTGATGTATGCGCGATATATGCACTATATATGTGCCATATATACGTAATATATGGCATATGTTCTAGTAGATAATTAAAAATATTACTTTTACTTTAATGTGTTGAATTTGGCTTGAGGTTGAAAGTTATTATATAATTCTTTCTCTTAAAAATAAAGTACTATTGTTTTTAAATATAATGTATTTTTTTAAAGTGATTTTTACAAATTAATGATCAGTATTTTATATTTAATATTGTTTTATTGGTATTTGCTTTATGATATTACCATTTATATTAGTAAAATCTTATGTTAAAAATTCTTTGTATTCAACACTTGAATAAATAGTTCCAATTAAAAAGATTAGAATATACAGAATAAAACATTTTTGTGTATTGTATTTATAAAGATTTAAATGATCATATTCATTATTAAATATCATAAAAAGGAAATGAACGAATTTGTTAATTTCGATGTAAATATCCATGTTATTGAAAAATCACTTGCAATATATCAGATAAAATACTTGAAAGTATTCCCCTCATAAATTCTTTTTCTTGTAAACTTTCAAAAACTATTTCGAGAGACTCCCTAGTAGCAGAACCTCCTACGAGAGATTTTAAAGTATCTGGAATGGTTTTATTTAAAAACAAATGTTTTGCCTCTTTCAATAATTTTTCTGAATCCTTTTTAACAATTTTTTCTGGATTAGGTGGCCATATTTTCATTATAATTTCATTAATTTGCTCAGAAATCCATTTTTCATTAGTAAAATAATTCGTAATTTTTTCTTCTATAGCATCCTTTACAATTTCAACATAAGTGCCGCCATTTCGTAGTAGTAAACTTCGAAGTATTCCAAGAAGAGAACGACGAATAGACCATGTTTTTGGTGACAAAGAATAAAATTCTGATAAAATACAAAAATTAATATCAATAAAAAGCTGTATGTCAGAATTTGAAAAACCTTTTGTTGTATTAGAATTAGTTTTTTCATGTGAAGATTTTTTTTCTTCATTAAAGTCATTATTTCTATCAGGTTCCAGCATTAGTTCTTCAGAACATGTTTCTGATGTTAAATTAGATGCAGTGTTATCCAAAAGAATATTGGGAGATGCTGTTTGTGATTTAATAAAATCTTTTTTTTCTGTATGAGATTGAAAACTAGAGCGACAAGATGGAATATGCCTATCATCCTTTGATGCATTAAAAAGTAAATTTTCTGAATTAACTACAGGAGATTCTTCCAAGGTATCTGTCAATGAGTTTTCTACTTCTGTTTCAAATATATTATCTGGTATATCAAGAAATGTTTTTCGTCCGACAGCGCCAAGAGCATTTATAATAGCCTTTCCCCCTGCCGCTGGCGCTTTTATAACATCACGTACACCATCACTCACAGTACGTAATTGTTGCCATGATTTTCGTTTCCCGGAAAAATTAACAGAATCGCATTTAGATTGTTTATCAAGAAAGCTTTTCATTGCATGACTATCAGAAAGATCCTTAGATTTTAAGGCTTTTTGTAGATAAATTTCTAAAGAAACTCTTAAATCTTCATAGCTTACGTTTTTCCAATGAGGTAACTCTTTATTAAAAGAATGAAGACCAGAAACAACAGCTAAACGACGAAGAACCTCGTGTAATGATTCAAAGTCTGAATATTTCTTAATAATAACCCACCCAGACACCTGGCTTCCAGAAGGTTCAATTGTTATTAAAAATTGAATAGACCATTTTGATTTTATAATTTTCTTAGGAGATAACTCCGAATTAACATATGATAAAGAGATCTCAGCATCGTATAAACTTTCTTTAGGAAAATTTGAGATATCTTTCTCCATGAATATATCTTGAGGTAGCGTTCCTGAAATTTTTGTTTCTCTATGATCAGAGATACTAAGCCGAGAACGATCTGGAGAACTACTTTTAAAATTGCTAAATGCTTTAAAATGATATCTCCCATCAGGACTCGATGCACGAGAACGCATTGGAGAAGCAAAACATGTTATATTTGAATTCTTAAAATAATCTCTCTTTTCTGGTGTAATAACGCCGTTAAAAGCAATAGGCGAGGATTGACCAGATATTGGGGATTCCTGACTTTCTGATTTATCTTGTAATAATCTTGTCATTTCTGCTGCTTCTGCCATTGCTTCTTCCATTGCAAGTTGAGCTTCACTTTTTTTTTGATCCTTTTCTTGGTCTGTTTCACGGGATTTATCTGTACTATAGAAATAAATTATCCATTCATTAATAAAATCTGAAGATGAACAAGTTTCAACAATATTTTCAAAAACCTGAATTGTAAGCATCTCTCTCGCAAACGTTTTCAACACAAGGCAATCTAAATCTTCCTTTTTACCCAAAATCTTTAATATATTTTCTGATTCAAAACGGAATCTTTCCCTTTGTAAAGGTCGGTCTAATAAACGAGATAATGCAGAGTTGGGATTTTGAGCTGTATATGCAGCAATAAGAGAGTTAATGTTATGATCATCGCTAGAAAATGCTAATGCTGATCTAAGTTCTCGTAAAGCAACAATAATAGTACTCGAACACTGAACAAAAAACATCATCATGATATCGTATGAACTTCTTGAAGCAATATGTCGATAAAGTGAGAGAAAAAAATTATCGAAAAGTACTCGGCATGCCTTCGGAAATGACATATCATTAGATATAGGATAATACCAATGCAAGACATATTCCTTTATAATATTATCGAACAAAAGAGAAAGTGATGTCGCAATCATAGATGAAAGATTAACTAAATGTTCCTGTCTTTGACCATACAATCAGCCATATAAATACTATAAATTTTAAACGTATGCGTACACTTGTAACGTCTCGAAAGACTCTTTTTTGACAATCCCAATACCCCCTTCGCCTTCTTGACTTAACTCCATATAAGGTGTTCTTATTTGATACATTACACCAAGAATTAGTCCCACCATTAACCAAAAAATCTGTATATACAAGATATGACTAATAATAACAAGTAAAAATACACAAAAAATCCAAATAGACGGATGTATCTTCGAAACAATATTACTTAATTTTACAAAAACGCTAAAACGACTATAAATAAGAGTGCTTTTCGCGTTTTTTTTTAGCTTTGAAAATAAAGGTCTATAATTATCTTCATCTTCCTTAGATTCTTCATAATTTGATGTTTCAGAGGCTGGTTGGAGCGGTTCTGATATTTCTTTCATGCTCTGTCGTTTTATACGTTTATCGTGTACCGGAGGATGTTAGATATATAAAAATAGAGATATAAATATACATAAATAAGAATTAAAATTAGTTAATATAAATAGAACTAAGAATTGTTGTTTTATAACAGTTAAAACAATTAATAAATAAGTTGAAGAATTACATGTGTTTTATGGCACATGCAAATGAGAGATGTCATTATCAGTATTAGATGTAGTTGATTGTTGGTACACAAGTTTTTTATTGTGAAAATCGGTGTGCATGTTTGTTGGAAAAGTGTCATGATGTACAGTTACACGAGCGAATAATAAATATTTGTAAATGAAATACAAAAAATCGTCGGCTGAATGAGATATAAACTTGGATAAGTTGCATATATTATCTTTATCCTTATCTTTATCTTTATTTGGTTTTTCGGAATAATATTCATTTTTTTGAAGAGGTTGTTTTTGAATTGATAATTGTGAAGAAAAAGTGGTATTGTTATGAGTATCAAAATCATGAGTTTTAGTAGTTAAACTTTGTGAAAAAGTGGGAATTTTTTCAGTATTATTTTTTGAATTTATATGATTTTTTTCCGAAAGAAATGAAGATTGTAAAGTAAATTTCTGAAATTCAACAGAAGAATAACTAATACGTCTCATAAAATTATTTGAACTAGTTTCGCTAAACTTCCGATCCATCTGTCTAAAACTAAATGTGCCTCTAATAGCAGCAGGGCCTGGATCCAAAATATCTGCATCAGTAACTGCATCTACTGCTTTTTGAATGTTGGATAAATCAGTAGACAACATATCAGTATCTGATGTATTATCTGCTCCAATGGAAAATTGAAGAAGTATAATGCCTCCAACGATAGTCAAAAAACCAAGAAATACATCTACAATTGAAATGGGTGGTCCGTGAAAACCTCGATGTAATACAGCTGTTGAAACAATTGTACAAGTCGTAAAATAGGTAAAATAAATAGGAGTAACAATAGCTGTCTAAAAAACTATTAAATACTTGAAAAGGAAAACACAAATAAATCTAACATTAAATATATTTAACGCTTTCTAATATTATTAGAATAAAAAAATATTGAAATTTTATATGAGACTTACATTTAAATAATTAATTTCGACTAAAATCATTATAATAATAGAAATTCCAAGAAAATACAAAAACCAATGGGTTAATTGGTCAGGAACACCTGAAATTGCACTAACAATAGACATACCAAAACCCTAGAAAAAATAAATATGTAAAGATCAATTATTACGTATATATTTTATACCTGAGTACAAACGACTGTAATACCACCAACTAAAGAAGATATAGAAATATACACAAATACACTCTAAAAAATAGGTCAATAAAACAACTTTTATCAAAAAAATATTTTATTTGCCTTATTTCCCCATCGAGGGCCAATCCATACTCCAATAATAAAACATATAAAAAAAACGATCGCTGTATAAGACAGAAATACTACAGAAATCATCTCTTTTGCCACTTCCTGAATTTTCTCCAATGAATCTTGCTCCGGCGCATTTATCACAATCATACATACTCCAATTATACAAAATCCACATCCAACTTTTCCTACAAATGAAAGCCGTTCTTTTAAAAATATACTCGATCCCACTGAACTTCCTCCATTAATCATAATTCCCTTTATTATAATCTCTTTTATTACCATACTACAATACTCATCGCACCCAAAGGTGTAACAAGAATCGCACCTATAAAATTACTAGATTAAAAATCCTCTCTTTTTTATAAATCTTTATTAAATACTCACTTGCAAATGCATACGCAATAAAGTTGCATAGTTCCCCAATAATCACTATACATTTTTTAATATATTTTTTTTTCTTCAAAAAAACTCACTTATAATCATTCCTGTCCACCAAATCCCATTCTTAAGATATGCATGGCCTTGTCCTGCGACCAATCCCCTACTACGGGTTGTATCTAATAGCCCTTTTTTCTAATATTCTAAATTTCATAATATAAAATCTTTTTTCTCACTTTAATAACAAAACTTGTACCAATAAAAAATCCTAAAAATATAAATATCATAACATTATTCTATATATATTCTTCTTCTACCAGATGCAAGTGCTAAAAGAAAGCCTATCAGCTTTTTATTCATGGCAAATAGTTCTAAATTTCGAACGTAGTAAAATGTCTGTTTTTTTCATATATATAAGAATTAATGATAATATATATATTTAAAACATAAAATACTAAAAACACTTTAACATAATTTTAGATCTTATTTATCATAAATCAAATTTATTTATTTATTAAATCTTTATTTGTTTATTTTTATTTTTTTCAATACGTATATAAATATATATTATAAAAATATATCTTTTTTAATCTTATCTTTTTCTTTTAGATATCTATTATTAAAAAGGGTTTTTATAAATACAGCTTTTGTTTGAGATTTTTTTATTTAAGCTTTAAAACAATGTTAAAATAACTTTTAAACCCCTATTTTGATATTTTTATAAGTTATTATTACTTTGTATATTTTTAATATTTAAAATTTGTATCAATTTTTTAAGGATATCCATGAAATCGTGCACGCCAAACCACAAGGCGCAAAGGCTTTATGCGTCGAAAGAAGGTGCGCCACTAGTGGATATGAGCTTTGTATAAAAAGAGACATCAAATTTATTAATATAAAAGGGAAGGAACGCGCATCCCTTAATTTTATAAAGGAAATTTTGTAAAGAGAAATTGTATTAAGTAATTTTTTATCAGAAAGGTTATTTTTTATTGTATAATATAAAAGGATAGAGACTGTAGTTTTTTATAGAGGTTTCTTTACATTTTGGAATGTACTTAAATCCTATATATGTATCAGTACGTGTATTTATGTGATTGATTAAGCATAGAAAGGAAGGGATTATTTAGTGAAAAAAAAGCAGAAGATTGATTTTTAGGATTGAAAAAAAGAGATTATAATAATTGAAAATATAATAATATTTGCGAGCCAGGAATTGGGTATTACGATTTGTAAAAGTGAAATATTCTATTTTAAAATATATTTGAACATATATTTTTTAAAAGAAAAATGCAATTACTCAGTACGAATGGGACATTTTCGAAATGGTCTACATCATGGGATGAAGGATGGTTTACAGCATCATCAAAGTTTGAACATCCCTGGATGGATGTTCGAGAAGAACAAGCTCGAGATATTTTAAATGAGCCTTTGAAACATTCATATGGTTCTCAAATAAGTTCAAGTAGCTCGAGTGATGTATTATTTGAGGAACCTTTTTGTTTAATTGAGTCAAAACAGCGTTCAAAAGTATTACCATTAGAAGGAGTATCACCTTGGTTTGAATATGATTCATATAGTTCAGAATCTATTAATCCAAGAGATGTATTTTCTTCACATATACCGGATGGAGTGAATAATTTAACATGCAAAACATCTATATATAATGAAAATGCTATGGGTGCTTTGATGGCATCGCCTTTTTCGAATTTATCTAAAGGGATAAATATTTTTACACAGTGTAAATATCCAGCTAAGCATCAGGAGTTGCAGACGAATAATACAGATTCATTGTTGCAAAAATGTTTCTGCAATGACACAAATGAACCTAGTTTGGATGCTGTGCATTCGAAAAAAAGCCCGGAATCATCTATTAAAACGGGTTTGTATAAAACAGAGTTGTGTCGAAATTGGGAAGAAAATGGAGAATGCCGGTATTAAGAAATATTCATATTTAAATCGCACTAATTAATTAAAGATATGGTCTTAAATGTCAATTTGCTCATGGATATTCTGAGCTTCGTAATTTACTTCGACACCCTAAATATAAAACGTCTCCATGTAAGACATTTATGGAAGTAAACATTCACGAATTTTTTTTATACACATTTCTAATATTTCTTTTAAGATTGGTTCTTGTCCATATGGTCAACGGTGTTGTTTTTCTCATGTTAAGGAGTTTATAAAACCAAAAAAAGCAGATCTATCACAATCATTTGAGAAGACTTCTTCATCTCAATCATCTTTACTTTTTCCACAATTATCTAATGCTTCGAATCTTAAGAAACATAATGAGAAATCACTTAATTTAAAACCATTACAAATAGCTTCTGATAGCCATATATCCGGATTTACTCATTTGTTTAATGATATTACTTTATTGGACGAAATATCTCCATTTGTTCTTGATTAGTTTTCTTTTCCATCTTTTCTATTCACTAGATATTATTTTTTTTTGATACCCTTTATTTATAATTCACATTTCAATCATTTATTCACTTATTCCTCATTATAAATCCTTAGTTCTTTTTGTTTATCATATTTATCTTTGTATATAATTTTTTATCTCTTTAAATGCATATTTTATATAATAATCATTAATTTTTTTTAAATTTTTTTCTTAATATGTATCTTATTGAATATCAATATTAAATATATTTTCAAATAAAATGGCTTTTAAAGGGAATCAAAATTTATTTTAAAAACTTTAACTCGGGTAAACCCGTTAATACGTTAAATGGTCCAAAGAAAACGTCACGATTTTAAGAACTTGATTCAATGGTGAAGAATCAAGATGATTCTGACTGTGAAACGCCTAATGAGGATGATGATGTTTTAGAAAGGCTTCTTTTTTTGTCTGGATCGTTTAAACAGCGTAATATTTATTTAATTAAAAAAAAACTTGAGATATGGATTGAAGAAGGTGGATAAATAGATTTTTTTTTCATAAAAAACTAAATATTTTGAGTGGATGATATTTTTAAATTTTCATTGATTTTAAATTGTTTATTTAAGGCGGGTAAATTTTGTTATAATAAGTCGATTCAGCTTTGTATACAATATGTTCTTTTAAAATTATATGAAAAAGATAAAGAACAATGTCTAGTAAAGTTTATTGAAATGCTTAATCAAGAAACAGCAGGGATGCTTTCTAGAAGTGTTTCACCGCATCCCATTTTTATTCTTCTTAAGTGGGTAAACAAATTCATTATTAATATATTGGTGAATATAACTTTAATTCAAAAATATCTTCCAGAGCTTGTTTCCAACCAAGCTATTTTGCTTAATCTGTTTTTATCTTCATTAGTTAAAGCTCGTGCTAAATCTAGTGCTTTACGATCTGTTGAAGGAACATTGAGAAGTACAATTATCAAAACATTAAATGAAAATGCATTTTTATGTTTAAATATTTATATAGAGGAGCTTATAAAAGATACAAAGATAGGATTTTGCATGAAAAATACTGTTTTATTTGGCATGATTGCAAAAATCACTTCTCATTCACAATTCAATGAAAAAAGTGTTCTTATGGAAAAAAAGGATGAAATTATTAATTATTATATAAACAATATTATTAAATCACGGGTATTACTTCCTAATAGAATTATTGTATAGATAATCTTTTTATGCTTTTCTTAATGACTGAATTAGACTGGAATGAATGATTTTTTTGTTTATTTTATTACTTTTGAAGATTTTAAATTCAAAATTGCATCTCATCTTGAAAAAGCGTTATTAAGAACTCCAGAAATCACTCTTAATGGTTGTATTTTCTAATATATATATATATATTATTTTATTTATCAACTAACTAGGAATTTTAAAAGAATTACTTCAATCATTGCCATTAAGTATTAAAATAGATGAAATTATTTATGAAAAATTTCTTATACCAATTTTAAATTCATTAAAATCAATGGATTCTAATATTAGCGAAAATGCTTTACAGACTTTTGAAGGGATAATTCAAAGATGCAATGATCAGGATAAAATTCATCAGACAATGGAAAAAATTATTCTTGAATTAAATTCAGGTTGAATTTAAAATGTATACTCTTTTATTAATTTTAATATTTATTTATAGGATTTCTATTTTCTCTTGAACATAAACTTTTGTTTATCAGATCTTTAGCATGTCTTCCAAAGTCACTTGAGTTATCTAATTCCGTTCTATCATTCTTATCAACTCATATTCATAAAAAAGCGAATGAAAACATATCTGTTGCATTAATTAAATGTTTTTTTTCTCATTTCACATATATTATTAGTACAACTTATGAGTTTTCTGATGAATATATAGAGTTAATTAAGGAAGGATTTTTAGAAAGCATGGAAAACATAAGAAGAACATGGTTTAATGAATTTGGTAATATTATATGGGATTATAGATATAATCCTAATAAACAAGTAATATATTTGATCAAAAAGCTATTGAATTTATTAGTAAAAATATATGAAGATATACTGATTAATCCTTTGCAAAGCATTCAAAGTGGAACTATAATTGATGGATATGTATGTACAATAGTTTTTTTTTAATATTATCTATAACTGGAAAGATAAAAATATTGGTATATTTAATTTTAGAAGATTTTTCTAACTTATTAAATATTATAGATCTATCGTCTATAAAATTTTTAGTCTAGAAAGAGATTTATTCTCTTTTGAGAATAACCTTTATTTTATCTTATGGGAAAAAAATTATACTAAAAGCTCTCATAAAGATGAAAAAATATGGCTTATACGTTCTCTTGAAACAATAGGGGAATATATTTCGGAAGAACAGTTTGAAAAAATAGGATTTTTATGGGCTCAAGCATCATTCTCACTATTATTATCAAATATATCACATGATCATTCGATTGTTTCTACAATATGTAGTATGATAAAACGTTGCTATTTAAAGTCTAGGGAATTAGTTTTAGATATTTTTTTATCTGAAATATGGAAATATATTAAACTAGTAAAGTTTTTGAAATTTAGTTTATTTTTAATAATTATTTTATAGTTAGAATCATCACATATTTCTGCATATAAAGATCTTACGATACTTGATGCTATCTTTTATATCATTAATTCAGTTTCACCTAGCGATTATGAATTTTTGTCGCAAAAAGATAAAGAAAGCTTCGAAAAACAACTAATAAGAACAATTGTATTGTATCATCATTCATTATTAAGTTTATACTTCTTAAGTTATAAAAATATAGCTAATTATTTAAGAAGATAAATTGAATTGGGTTAAATTATGCAAAAGAAATAAAATGGATCCATCTGTATTGGTAACTACTCATGCTTTAGAATTTGTTAATACTATTGATTATTTTCTTCGAATCAATATTGAGAATAAGGTATATTTATTTAATAAATAGATATATTTTAATTTAAATTTTAGAGCAATTTAACATTATTGGCTATTCAATCATCCATATCTACTTTAACATCTTTGGATCAAGTAGTAATTGTTCCTTTATTTGTAGAAGTATTTTTGAAATATCTTTCTGATTTGGAACTTGAAAGCATTTCTGAAAAAGACATTTCTATATTAAAGGATAAAATAGATGAAAAAATAGAAGAAAGTATTTTTCTATAAATATTTATTTTAAAACTGATTATAATAAATTCTAGTAATTTGTGAAACTAATTCTATTAACTTTGACACTAAAAAAAAATATATATTATAAGGACAAATTAAATAAAAGCAGAAATAAATTGAATAAGAATAATGAAACATTTTTGAAAAAGCAAATTGAAGAAGAAGCTATTAGATCCAAAATTTTAAATTTGAAATTACGGCTTATTTCTGGACTTACTGTGATTCAGGGACTTGCATTAGCTATTCAAAAAAGTAGAGATTTATGGTACTCTTATGCCATTAATGTTTTATTGTCAAAAAGTCTATTGGAAAAGGGCTTATTAATTGCCTACGAATCTATAGTTCAAACATATTTAGTAATATTAAAAAAGAAATTTTAATATAATGACCAATCTTAGAATTGTGCTAAGTGCACATCTTTGAAAGATATTAATACGATGATTGGAATTGCAATGCTACGTATACTTAATGTTGATTACATACATTCTGATTTTGTTGAGGAGCCTTTGAAGGGTTTATATGAATTATGACATTAGTAATCATCTTACAAATAATAGAACTAGTAATGAAATTGCTACTTCGATTGGATTCTTTGACAAAACAATGCCCTATTGATAAAATATCTTTTATTTATGTATCTCCATTTTTAATTCAAGTAATAAAAAACAATGGAATAGGGACTAATAACTTTAACGAATCAGATAAACAAGTTATGTTAGCTGTTAATATACTCTCTTTTCATATAGATTTTTGTACTGAATTTATATCTTCTTTTAGAAATTTGACTGATATTTCTAGATAAATTCTTTATTTCAAGACTTGAAATTATTCAAGCACTTTTAAATGTTTTGTATCATTTTCCGAATCAATTTAATCATGCCAAGGATTGTCTTATTCTATTATCTAAAGTTATAAAGGATAATATAACAAAAGAGGAAATAATGGAGCTTATAAAAGGTTCTCTTTCTTCTAATTTTCAAATTCGTAATACAGTTCTTCAAACTATAGAGGTTTTTTATTTTTTTAAAACTTTATGGAATTATTTTAAATTTAATTTTAGCCATTAGACTTATCACAATGTGATTTTTTTTATGAGTTATACCTTGCAGCTCATGATAAAAATGAGATAAATTCCTCTTTGTCCTTAGCAATTATTAAAAAAAACAGTTTTTTGATATCTCGTGATGCAAAGGATATTCTTATAAATTATCTATGTAAATAAATGTAAAAATATTATTTTCTTGATTTTAATTATTATAGGTAATGATCAATACTATATTAGAGAATGTGCTTCTAAAGCGATTTCTTCATATGTTAAAAATTATATTCAAGATGTAGAAGAAGTGATTTTAATATTAGTTAATCTTTATGAAGAAAAGGTAATAATATTTATAAGTTCTATGTTTTATATTAATATTATAGTCTAAATTACAGTCATTAGAATATGATGAGTATGGAATTCCTATTTCAAGGACATTAAATAGACGAGATGCATGGGAAACTAGAAGCGCTATAGCTTCATCTTTCTTTTATTTAATACCTTATTTCACATTAACTATAGTTCCTTTTTTTTTAGAGTTCTTACTTGGAATGCCTAATAAACATGTTCCTTTAAAGGATAATTCTCCAGAAGTACGAGAAAAAATGCTAAAAAATGGTTTAAGCATCATTTCATATTATGGTGATTTTCATGTCGAAAACCTCTTTAAAATTCTTGATAATCATTTAACATCTTCAGATGGACTTTTGGAAAGTTATATCGATGAGGGTGTAATTATACTTTATGCTGCAATAACAAGTCATTTAAAGATGGATGATAGAAGAGTTCCTATAGCAATAGGAAAACTTATGAATATGCTTAGAAGTCCATCAGAAAATATTCAAATAGCTATTGCTGAATCTTTTTCTTCATTAATTAAATTTTCTTTGGAAAAGGTTCCTAATTACATAGAAAGATTGAAAGAAGAATTATTTACATCTGGAAAATATGCTGAAAGAAAAGGAGCTGCTTATGGTTTAGCAGGTATTATTGTTTTTGATTAAGATTAGTTAATTTTATTGTTTTTTAGGAGTTATTAAAGGCGGTGGCATAGAATTGCTTGAAAAATATGAGATTATAGAAACACTTAAAAATGCAATTACTAATAAAAAGGATCATAAATATAGACAAGGCGCACTTTTTGCAATTGAATCGTTTTCGCAAATTCTTGAACAGGCTTTTGAATCTTATATTATTGAGATGATTCCTTATTTATTAACTACTTTTGGAGATCCCGTTGTAGATATCAGAGAGAGTACTGCTGATACAGCAAAAACGATTATGGGTAAAGTTAGTGAACATGGTGTGAAATCAATATTACCATCATTACTCTTGGGACTGGAGGAAAATAATTGGCGTTCTAAAAAAGGCTCAATTGATTTTCTTAGTTCTATGGCGTATTGTTCACCTTATCAGTTATCTTCTTCTTTGCCTATAATTATACCTCGTTTAACTGAAATGATTAATGATTCTCACTTACAGGTGCGTTCGGCTGCAAATGATAGTCTTTTGAAATTTAGTAAAATAATTAATAATCCTGAAATTCAAAAATTGGTTCCTACCTTATTAAAATCATTAAGCAATCCAAATGAACATACAGAGTCTGCTCTTGATTTACTGCATGAATTTTCATTTACAAGTTCTATTGATTCTACTTTACTTGCTATAGTATAATATATATATATATATATACGTATTTAATATGAAATAGATTATGCCGGTTTTAGAACAAGGACTAAAAGAACGTTCTGCAACTTCAAGAAAAAAGGCAGTTAAAATTATAGAAAAAATCTCTTCTTTAATAGAAACAAGTGATTTTATTCCATATCTTGATACTATACTTCTAAGTTTACGAAAAATCCTTATAGACCCGGTTCCTGCAACTAGGGAAACATCAGCAAAAGCCTTGGGAACATTAGTGAAAAATTTAGGAGGTGCTAATTTTCCTCATCTAATACCTGATTTGTTATCAACATTAAAAAAAGATATTAGTTCAATAGAACGTCATGGTTCTTCTCAAGGAATTTCTGAAATACTTTCAGGCCTCAATATTCAATATTTAGAAAACATATTACCTCAAATTCTTGAAAATTCTTTAAGTTCTGTATCATATGTTAAAGAAGGGTATATTTCTTTATTCATTTATCTTCCTCGTGCCTTCGGACCAAGATTTCAGCCATACATAGGAAAAATTGTATCGCCGATTCTTTTAGGATTGGCAGATGATTCAGAATCTGTTCGTGATGTTTCATTATCTGCTGGAAAAGTTATTATTGATAATTATTCAACAAAAGCAGTGGATTTTCTTTTGCCTGAATTACAAAAAGAAATATTTAATGAAAATTGGAAAATTAGGCTGAGTTCTGTTCAATTGATAAGCAATCTTCTTTTTCATATTACTGGGATATCCGGCAAAGTTCATTTAGAAGAAAATATTAATGCTTCTCAACATTACAAGAATTTTCTTTTAGATATTTTAGGTCAAGAAAAGAGAGATAGTATTTTGGCTTCTCTTTATATTTTGAGGCAAGATTCTATTGAACAGGTTCGTTCTTTTGTTTTAAATATTTGGAAAGCATTAGTTATAAATACTTCTAAAACAGTGAAAGAGATTTTGCCAGTTATAATTAACATGATTATTCAATGTCCTAATACTTTAAATAAAGCACGAGATTCAATGTTTATAAAAACTCTTGGAGATTTAGTAAAAAAATTAGAAGATGTTATATCTTCTATGTTATTACCACTTCAAGAGAGTATAACTCGTAGCGAACCTATTACAAAAGTCAGACTAAGTATTGCTTTGACAGAAATTATTCAAAATTCAAATATCGAATCATTAGAACCATATAAAAATGGTCTAATTAAAACTATACATCATTGTCTTATGGATATTAAAGATGTTAGGAAAAGTGCTGCACTGATGTTTAGTGCTATGTATGAACTTTATGGGAATATCGTTATTAATCAAATTTTACCAAATCTTCTTAATTCACTTCATTCAAATAAAAATTCAAAAAATGCACTGGAAGCTTTAAAAGAACTTATTTATGTGCGTCCTCAAAATATTTTACCAATATTAATACCAAAAATTACAAAAGTTCCTGTTTCAGATGTAAATGCAAAGATTATTAGTTCTTTTGCGCAGGTTCATTGTCCTAGTTTTAAATACTATTTTTCAACAATAATTAATGCTTTAGTGGATACATTAATATTTGACATTGACGTAGAAATAGAAATAGAGGTTAAAAATGCAATAGATAGTGTTTTGCTTTCAGTCTATGATCCAGAAGGTATGAATATATTAATTCCAATAATGCTTGAACTAGTAAAGGTATTTCTTTTTACTTTTTGTCCATCTTTTGATTTTTTGTTAGGATGAAAACTGGAAAAAACAAGTTTTAGCATGTCAACATTTGATTTATTTTTTTAAATTTACAAAGCAGGATTATTCTAGATATTTTGATGAATTTATTTATGTTTTTCTTTCACTTTTTGATGACGAGAATGATGAAGTAGTAAAATCAGCATGGGAAGCACAGAATGCTTTTACAGCCTCCTTAAAAAAAGTAGATATGGAAAATCTTATTGGACCTACACAAAAAGTACTTCATAATATTGGAATGGTGGGAACTGAATTAAAGGCATTTCAATTACCTAAAGGCATTAATGCTATTTTGCCTATATTTTTGCAAGGAATCATATTTGGAAATGCTGAAAAAAGAGAGTTGGCTGCTATAGGCATTTCCGATATTATTGAGCGTGCAAATTCTGATATGCTTAGTCCTTTTGTAATACAAATTACAGGACCTCTTATTAGAACAATAGGAGAATGGTATCCAATTCAAGTAAAATTGCCTGTTTTGCATACTCTCGAGCTTTTACTAAAAAAAGTGCCATTACTTTTAAGGCCTTTTTTACCTCAATTACAAAGAACTTTTTTAAGATGTCTTGCTGATCCAGTTTCTGATCAATTACGTTCAGAGGCTTCCTCTTTATTGGAAATTTTGGCTACATTTCAGCCTAGAATTGAACCATTAATTAATGAACTTGTTAATGGATCAAATAATCTACACAGTGGTGTTAAATTGATTATGATCAAGTCACTTTTTAATATCATATCAAAATCCGATTTTTGTATTAACGATTCATTAAAAAACATATTATATACATTAGTTGAAAATAATATGAATATAAATGATTGTAAGTTAATAATTAATCCAATTGTTATATTGAGTTAATTAATTTAGTTCAAATACTTAGTTATATTGGAAGATTTTCTATGATTTTATTTAAATATTTTGATAAAAATAATGCTTTGGTCTTTCTTCGGTATACTGTTTTAATGTTTTGACATTTTTATTTAAATAGATAGTTCAAGAATTTTTGTTGCAGAGCATAATAATTATTCCATTCTTACACTCAATGCTATTTTAGTCGATTGTTCACAATATTTAATCGAATTAGATTGCTGTGCGCAAGCAGTTGATTCAATTATTAATGGTTGTTTGAATAATAAAGTTTGTTATATATATATATTGTTTAATATATATTAATTCATTCCAGCCGTATATAGCTAATAATTCATTTTTGGCGGCAGGAAAATTTTTATTAGACACTCGTTTTAATACTAATCTTAATTACACAAAATTAATTATAGAAACTTTGGTTAATTGTATCAAAAATCCGAAAATTACACCTGATGCTAATCGACTAATTTTAACTGTTATTTCTTGCATTAGCAAAAAATCTTATGATGTATGTATTTAATTACATTAACCTTTTTCTTACATTAACAGGTTATAAAATCTCATTTTAACCTTATTGTTCCTATTGTTTTTCAAAATGTTCATCATATTTCAACACCAATTCAGCTTGCTGCCGAATCTGCTTTTATTTCTTTATTCAAAATTACATCTTATGATCGTTCTTTTCTCAATAAATACATTGCTACTCTTGATTCTGCTCAGGCCAAATCTATAGCTGCTTATCATAAACGCATTATGACAAAAATTACAACTATAGAATTTCAAAATCATATAACATCATATTGTAATGATGCTTATCAAGAAATCATGGCCGTTGGATTGTCATTTACTTGTGATCTTTATTAGTTTATCCTGAATACTATCATTATCAACCCTAACCTAAACTCATGAATATTTTTTATCTCGGAATTTACTTTTTCTAGAGTTTATCAGGATGGTAAATTTAAAATCTCAGAAACGTTTAGCTGCAGCTGTTCTTGGGTGTGGCAAACGGAAGATCTGGATTGACCCTAATGAAATATCAGAAATTAGTAATGCTAATTCACGTATGTTTTTTTAAATATTGGATTTTTTTTATTCTTTTTTTTAGGCCAAAATATACGCAGATTAATTAAGGACGGTTTGATCATCCGTAAGCCTCCTGTCATTCATTCTCGTTTTCGTGTCCGTCTTTTGCATGCTTCTAAGAGTAAAGGTCGTCATATGGGACCAGGAAAACGTAAAGGAACAGCAAATGCACGTTGTAGTTCTAAATTTCAATGGCAATGTCGTTTGCGTGTACTTCGTCGTTTGCTGCGTAGATATAGAGATGATGGGAAGATTGATAAATGCTTGTATATTTAATTTTTTTTATTTATAAGAAAAAAATAATTTTATATTTATAGATATCATACGTTATACGCAAAGGCAAAGGGGAATCAGTTTAAGCACAAAAGGGCTTTGGTCGAATATATTCATCGTGAGAAAGTATGTTTTTTTTTTTATATGAAGAAAAAGTAAATTTTTTTTCTAGGCGGAAGCAGCACGATCTAATCTAATTCAACAACAAATGGAGGCTAGACGAGCTAAGGCAAAGGCTGCAAGGGAAAGACGTACTCTACGCATTATTGAAAAAAGAAACGAATTTCTTAAAGCTGATGAAAAATGATTTTTAATAAATTTTTTTTAAAATATTCAATTTTGAAATTATAAATTAGTATTTAAGAAAAATATATTATACATTTATATTATTATTTCAATTTGTATTAAGAAATTGTAAATTGAGAATTTATAGGTGTATGAAGGAGTTATAAAATGTAGTATAAATGAAAAAAATGCTTATAAAAGATATAAATGATTTAGCTTATAATATTATGTAAATGTTTAAAGTTAGTTAATTGTTAAATAAGCAAGACCTCGTCCTAACGTATTGTATTAAATGAAGATTTTGAAGAAATAAAAATTTACCTGATTTTCTTCTAATGTTGGATTAATTGTCCATGAATCAAGGCAATAAGGTTTTTTGATTGGAGTAGTTGAATTTTCTTTTATAAAAGATTTTTCATTAGTCCTAAAAGAATTTGTATCTTGTGTGTTTTTATATTTTTCTTTATAATATATATCATCGAAAATATGGTTTTCTGATAAGTTTGTATAATCTATGTCGATTTCTTCATTATTATGTATCGAAAATGCTTTTTCAGAGAAAGGTTCCACATGATCTATTTTTATTATAGGTGAACAATGCATCAAATCATAATGATCTGAAAATAACCATAAATGATTCAAGGCTGTTTTTGAAGTAAGTCTTTCTGTGTCATCAATTGCTAGCAACTTTATTATGAAATCTTCCAATAAAGGATTATTGCATTCTCTTAATCTATTTTTTAATAAATATGATGTGTTAATTTCTATATTATAATAATCATTTTTCCAAAATTTTGCATTTTTAAAACGAGGAGGATATTTTCCTAATAAGCGAGCTATTTCAATGGCTAATGAAGTTCTGGATGTCTCTACAGTGGATAAAAAAGGTCGAGAATTTTTTTTAAGTTCATCACTATCAAATAAAAGTTCAACTAAAATTAATCCAAGGGAAAAAATATCAATAGAAGGGCCAAATGGTAATCCTAATAAAACCTATTTTTTTTAAATAATGCAAAAATTCAGAAAAAAAAAGACTACGCGGATACCTCTGGTGCTCTATAATAAACTGATTGTAAATCGAAATCAACATAATATGCTTCTACTGCTTCCAAAGGAATAGCATTTCCAAAATCAATAATTTTTAGTTTTACCGATCTAGGATTATCTAAAAAATGTTCCACCTAGCCATAACCGTATTTCTATTTCTTACCTGAATAACAACGTAGAATATTTTCGGGTTTTAAATCTGCATGAATTATATTCGCTCTATTATGAAGAATATTAAGAGATATTAATATTTGTTTTGCAATTTTTCGAAGTGTTTTATGCCTTATATGACATGCTAAAGGTGAATGTAGAGGATCACCTGATGTAGAAAGATGCATGCATCTTCCAAGCTTTATAGGTAACGGATCTAGTGCTTCAAGTACCAAATGGAAGCATTCATTTTCGATAAACATTGAAAATGCCTTGATAATCGGGGGGTTGAAAGGTTGTAAATATGGTAATCGATGAATTCGCTTTAATAAACGATATTCCTAGTAATAGGATGTCAAAATCCAGTCGTATTTATGTCTGTCCTTATACTTGAAGTCCAAATTCTTCATATGTTTGGTTCATTTTTTTAATTACACGAAATGGCTGATCTGGACGTAACTTATCTACCGCTAATATACAACAAGAAAATGCACCCGCTCCAATAAATGATTTTAATTCATAGCGATCAATTAAAATATTCGTTTTTAGGGATTTTTCTTGTATAAATACTGATTCGAATGATTGATATTTTAAACTCTCATCAAATTTATCTATATAACTCAATTTAAGAATATGTCATATATTTATAGAAAATAATGTATTCCATACCTTCTGATATATTATTTTTGTAGTATTTCTTATTTTTAACTCGATTTTTGGCCAGCTTTTCCTGTTGACTAATATGTTTTTTAAACTTTTCTGTTAACCCTAATGTAAGCCGAACTACTGCCTGTTGACTGGTTTCAAAAGACATCTTAAGATTTCTAGTAAATATATCTATAATAATGTTAGTTTTCATTGGAATCCTTAATAAATTAACTTAAAAATAGCTTATCTCATATCTCTGGTTTTCTTGAGGTTCAATCGTAAAGATCGGCTCAATTTTAAAAGCTTATATATAGTGCTAAGAGATAACAATATGTATTGAATGATTTAAATATATAGTATTTTATTTTTTATAGAGTAGTTAAGTTAAAATCTAGATAGAAATATATCTAGAATGAAAAGTTGAAGTAAAATATTTAAAAATAAATGTAACAGATGATAATAATAAATTATTAAAAAAACAAAATATAATGTCTTTTTTTTATTGTAGAGCCATAAGACTTCCAATAAATGTCAAAATCTGTTAAGGAGTTATAAAAATAAAGTGGAAATTATTTAATTTACCAAACGTGAACGAACATCTACAATATCTTCCGGCTTTAAGAGTTAGAAAATAAAATATTAAGACAAGAAAACTGTTACCACAAGGAAAATAAGCGCGCCATATTTTCTAGCAATGGAAATAGCTAATTTTGCTGTTGAAAACATTAATTTATGTTGCATATAAAAAGAAAAAATACCATTTAAAAAAGCATCTTCATATGAAACTCCGGAAGTTACAAGATTATAATCGACATAATCACTTCTTAAGCCATTTAATACATCTAATAAAAATATGCCATTTCTCAAACAAGGATCTTTGAAATTTTTAATTGTACTAGTTTTGCCACCTTTTCGAGACATTTGGTTACACCATAAAACCATATCTGAATCAGTTATTTCTTTCCCATCCTTTGATAAGGAACTAAGAGTTTGTATGATATTTTGCCTCATCAGTTGCCAAACGAGAGCCAATGTTAATGTTTTCGATCCATCAACAATATCTGCACCTTGGATTCCTACAAGAGAATATCCACATCCTTTCCCCAGTTCAACTGCATAATTTGCATTTTCTACACATTTGAATCGTGAAAGTTCGATACCATCTTTAGGTTTAGAAACACGTCTCCAGTTCACTATTTTATTTTTAATATGAAAAATATATTTAAATTTTGTAAGGAATATCTACCGGAATTTTTTATGACTTTATCATAAGCTTGCAATAAAACTAATCCATTCTTTTTCAAAAAATTAATTAATAATAAAGTAAAAGATTTCTTACTTTTAAATCTTCAAATAAATCAACTACAACAGGATCTACGTCAAGACTATTTAGCCATAAAGTAAAAACTCTGGCTTCGCGTTCTCCTTCTGCGTCATAATCTTCAATTTTTGGGAATTCTTCTCCTAATGGTTCTAAACCAGGATAAGTATTAAATAAATGAGCAACGAAAGCAAGATTGAGTTTTGGGTTTCCAGAAACAAGAGCAGCAGGTGTTAGGTACTTTCTACAGCCTATTTTCTCAGCAGATTGTAAAATCTATAAATTAGAAAAATAAGATAATAAAATTTATTGATAAAATACCTCTTCTGCTCTTTTTAATAAATCCATTGTTTTTAAAGAATCTCTCGTGCATTCGTTCGGCTTTAGTTGGTTAAGAAGAATTATGTAATTCTCACCATCAGAGACATCTGAAGAAAAGTTTGTTACCCTTTATTATTATAAAAAAGTCAACGATCATGAAACAAATATACCTCCTATCCCATTTCGCAGTATTTAGATGAAAATTGAACCATCTTAAAAGAATCTGTTCAGGAGGAAGCCTTAAAAATTGTTCAAGTGTTTCATCTTCTTCAAGTAATCGATATAACTCAGGATGAAGTTTGATATCAATTTTACTAAGAAGTCCTTTACGAATGATTTGCCAAATAAGACCAAGAATCAGATGTTCTTGACCATTTAAAATAATATTTACTATATAAGTTTTAATATTCACCTTTTCCATCAATTAAATCCTGAGCGCCAATATTTACGACAGAACATCCAATAGCTTTAGCAGAATTAATAACAATATTGTTGTTTTCTGTCATCTGAAAATTATTGATAGGCCTCCCATGAGATGGCTTGTTAAGAACACGTTCATCTAAATTGTTTAAAATACTATACATAGATCAAAAAAAAACATTTATTTTCTTACCGATTGTATCCATAACAGAATCATTGATAAGCTTTGAAAGAACAAGTCCATCCCTACATTCATCAAAAATCTGCATCGTATCTTCTCTATTTAATAATTAGACTCAATGATTTATAAAATCATAGAGAAAATAAAAAATATAAAAAAGAATTAAAAAATACTCAGTGTTTTCAACACCCAGTATAAGTTCAGAAATAAATATCTTTCAATTCATTTCATATTCTCTTTCTAAAAAAAAACTTACGGAAAAGGAAGTCGATCACGCATATCTTCATCTTGTCCCAATACTAAATTAATATGTCGTGTGAATTCTTTCCGTTCATCCTCATTAATTGTATGTGTTACATTTGCTGATGATCCTTGAACTGTGATTCGATTCTTATTTACTTCAAAAGCACCTCGATTACGTCCTTCACGTAATTTTGTCACTAACTATTTCTCTTCTTTAAAAATTGATAAATAATAAAACTCCCCACACTTTCCTCAATATAATCCTCAACTTCAACTCTTCCACTACTATCTAAATGACATTCTTTTAAAGTCGCCCGGACCTCATCATAAGATTTGCGTTCCCCATAATATTCAACTGCCTTAACAATAGTATGTTTATCCACATAACCTTTCCCATCAATATCAAGTTTTCTTAGATTATTTTAGTCTTATAATCCCTTTTTGTTCTAATTATTTATATTTTCTTACTTAAAATCATTTATTAATCCAAAAAGGTTTTCTTGAGAAAGATTTGGGAATTTAAACTAAAAAAAGATATTAGATCAACCGGAAAAAGTTTTAGATGTTTTGAATGATTAAGATATTTTGTCTTTTTTTCCTTCTTTTCCTCTTGTTATCCTTTAAAAAAATAGATAAACTTCTTTTTAAAAAATTAAGATTATTTAAGAAAGAAAAAGGTTTATTCTTTATCTAATCTTATTAAAATAGTTTTTGTTATTACTTGAAGTTTTTCAATATTCATTTTTTTATTGAATATTAATAAAATAAATGATTTTGAGAAGCAAAACTCTTGTATTATAAGTAACGCTAAGGATTTTAGTTAGAAAAAAAAATATTTTTTAAAGAAAATGATTAAACAGAAGAATTAATAAAAGAATTTTTTATTTTATTTGAAAACAAGTGTATAATATCTTTTTTATTTTAATAAATAAAATATATTAATGAATATCGTTTCATCATAGTTTTGTAAAAAAAAATTAACAGCATTTTCCAGCAGCCTTTGTATTTTCCTTAGATGATGAAACAATAATTGTTTGTCCTTCAGTAGGCCGTGTTATTAATTCATTTGAATCAGTATTTTTTGTCGACATGGATTGATATACCTCTAAGTTGATTTAAATATATGAATTAGGAAAAAAGAAGGGTCTAACCATTAAGAATTGTCTGGAAAGCAACTTCAACATTTGTTGAATCAAGAGCTGATGTCTCAATAAAAGAAAGCTTGCATTCCGCTATTAAAATAATTATAAATAAATAAATAAATAAATAAAAATTACCAGCAAAATTTTTACCATCTTCTGTAGATACCGCTCGTAAATGTCTTAAATCGCTTTTATTTCCAACCAACATAATAACAATATTGGAATCAGCATGATCCGACAATTCTTTAAGCCATCTTTGAACACTATCGTAGCTTCCTTGTTTTGTAATATCATAAACTAATAAAGCACCTACTGCGCCTCTATAATATCTTTTATATATATATCAACTATGCTAGCTTTTTATTTTAAAGAAAATACGTACGCTGATGTTATTGCTCGATAACGCTCTTGACCAGCTATAAAAAAATATAAAAATATATACAACATAGTACATTTTTCAACCTGTATCCCATATTTGTGCTTTAATTGTTTTTCCGTCAACTTGTATACTTCTTGTAGCAAATTCTACACCAATAGTCGATTTTGATTCTAACTAAAAAAAATAAAATATACAAAATAGATGATTTCTGATACCAAAATGACATACATTAAACTCATTTCTTGTAAAACGACTTAATAAATTTGATTTTCCGACACCAGAATCTCCAATTAATACAACTTTAAAAAAATTATTTTTAATAAATGAAAAAAATAATTATAGGTTGCAATATATTATTGCAACTCAAAAAAGTTATTTGTACCTTTAAAAAGATAATCGTATTCATCCATTCTTATATTTTTGTTATTTTTTCTAACTTCTTTAATAAAATAACACAAATATCCTTCTTTTTTTTAGTAGAAAAAAGGATACAAAAATCTTTAGAGTCCTTAATTATTTTTTTCTAAATGATTTATTATTAAAATTTTTTAAAGTTTTTAAAATTATTTTTTTTTTCTTATTCTATCTTTTTTCAATTTTTAATAAAAAATGACTGCGGATCGGCATATTTTACAAATGGTTGATAGAGCCTTAAAAGAATGAAAAAAAAAACGTAGAAAATAAAAAAAATCTTGAATTAGATATATATACAGCAGATAAAATATAAAGCTTCAATGATTTTGTTTCTAATTGATATATAAAAAGCTGAGATAATATGTGAAATGAATGTAAAAATATTCAAAATGTGTTTGTTTTTGCCGTTAATCATTAATCTTTCATAAACTCGAGCAATTATTAATATTCAAGTCATCTAAAGAATAAATCAAAACAATACTAATGTTTTTTCATTTACGATGATTAGTTAATAGTCATAAATGAAAAAAAGAATTACACATAATCAGTCCTAGGTTAGAATTTTTATCATATCGCAGTCTTTGTTTTATAGATAATTTCAATGCGTATATTATCCAAAAAAATAATTTTTGTTCATATGTTATTAAGATGCTATTTTATCATAAAACCACAAACTTAGATATCAGATATCGAGAACAAGATGGCATCCATGGGTCTCCATGTTGTAAACGTTTTGATTTAGATCTGCATTGGTTTTATTTTTTTGAATCAATACTGGCATATATTCATGAATTGTTTTTCGACGTTTGTGCGGTTTTATCACATTAGAGAACATATTTGCTTTTATATCTGAGACATCTGATAAAAGCACTGAATTAAAACTCGATGAAGTAGACATGTCCTGTTCGATATATTTTCCATTGCTAAATTCATCTGTCTCATCTTCATTAGCGATCCTTTCCATATTTAAATGAATATCGCTATGATTATTTTGATGATTGTCTGATATATTTCTTAATGAAAGATATGCTTGATCGATAGATGCTGATCGAGATAACTGATTATCCAAACTTGCATCAACCATTTGATGATAAAAGCCCTTACATCGTGATGCTTCTTTCCATGTCTGAGGCGACCATGTTTTCATAAACATTGAAGGCTCTTTATTATGATCGATTGAATAATGTCTAGAGTTTAATACATCCTGCTGTCTCCATTGATTTATCCCTGTTGTAATAGGAAAATGTGCACTTGTTTGTCCTGGATCTATATCATTTAATGTAGAAGGCATATTCGTAGTATTTGGAAGATATAAATAAGTATCGTCTACAGATTGATAGCTATATGATGATTGTGAATTAATTGTTGATGCATCATCTGATGCTTGATACACAAGCCCTGGAATTGTCATTGATACACCTGAATTTGCATGAATCCCTTCTTTTTGTATATATTCATGTGAAACAGGGGATAATAAAGATGGGTTTTGAACCATTATTTCATGTAATGGTTGATTTTGTTGAGAAAGCATTTCTCGATATAAGGGCTGATGTTTAATATAGTCTTCTTCAGATGCTTGTTTCAATTCTTCTTGATCTAATGATACCGAAGAAGCAGATGCTCGTCTTTCTCTTGAAATTTCCCATAATGATCGTAAAATAGGAGTTTCGTAGGTCTGTTGAAAACGTTTTCCATGACATATTTTACTTCTTGGTTCTGAATATGAAAAAACATAATTCTGTGATGTTTCTTGAGATGAATGAACTGCTGAACGAAGAAAATATCCAGGTGGCGTCGTTACTGGGGTTACCGGAAGAGATTGTGTTACTGTAGATGCATTCATATATGTAGATGTATTAGTGGGCATTGTCCCTTCTTGAGACCACCTTCTATTCACTAAAATAGGAGCGGTATGAGGCGGCGTCATTTGTCTTTCTTTTAAACGTCTTGTAACACTTTGATTTCGGTTTCTTGATAATCGAAGCATTTGAAAATGTTGTGCTGCTGCCATTACAGCTGTTGTTCGTACATAATTAGTTGGATGATATAAAAATGCCTTAATATTTGTCACAAAAAGAGGATAAAGAAGATCCGTAATATGCTCTTTATTAGCAAATTCCAGAGCTCGTTCAAATGGAATCCTATTATATCCATAAATCCTTCATAAATAGAACAAAATTTCATTTTACCAGACGCCTTTAAGATGCATTGCACCCACTTTAACAACAGAGCGAACTTTCTCCCCCTTAAGAATACCATCCCGCTTGCCGCGACTCATGCCTGCAACGTTAAGAAGTTTCGTACCATTAATCATATCATTATCTACAAAAAAAATAAATTAGAAAACCATATATATATGAATAAAAAAATAACAAAATCCATATCAAGAATCATTTATTTCGCTTTATATGTAAAATGTATCGTTTTTGTTTGTTTTTTTCTTCGGAACAAATGATAATATTGAATAATTGACTCAATTTTATATATCAAAAATAATGTAATATGCCCTGAAACATATAGTATGTAAGGATAATCATATGCATTTGCTTTATAGAAAATCAACGCATATAACACACATAATTCGAATATATAACGCATATAGCTTACAAATTATAAAGCATACCTTCTCTACGTGCAACACAAACTGATTTAGCTTCTACTTGAAAACAAAGTGTTCCTTCATCTTCCCAAAATGTTGTTGTTACTCTTGGCTTTCCGCCAGGAGGGCATGTCTGACCCGTTGGATCAAATTCTGACAAATCTGCTTGCTCATTAGATTCACGTCCTGCTTCTGAAACTGTATATGCAAGTGTAGAGTTTTGAGAGGGTTGTTCGCCCTTCATCGGCTCGGCCGGCCGAGCCCTAGAGCGTTTTGGAAGAATTGGATCGTTCTGTTGGGTTAATAATATGCTAAATATTTAATCAAATGCGTCCAAGTAGGCCGTCTTGGAATCGTACGGCACACTGTTCTGCATTGATCTGATTTTAAGGACGCTTACATGAGCCATTCTTCTGATTTTCGGGGCTGAAACCTAAAAAGTAAACTCCGGTTAAAAAGGCAGGGGAAAGGTGTGAAAACCGCCCGTTAAGACGCCATTTGAAATGCCAGCAAGCACAGATCGTGCCGTAGCAAATGGTATATATATATATATATATATTATATGTAATAAAAAAAATAGATTTTGTATATTGAAAATATATTTTATATAAAAAATAAACAACAGGTGTGTTTTTATTCTATATAAATGTGTAATAGATGCTTTATTTTTTAAAAGAAATCATATTATAGATTACTTTTTTTCTATATTTTATTATTTTAAGTTATTTTTTTTACATAAAATCGCTATATAGTTTCGCGCTTAAAACTTGTATCGGCGCTACACCCGAGTTGTGAGGTGCCCAAGCAGTTTTCTATTCGGTATCTGTGAGGGGTAAGCTTTTTCTCTTGTGAATGCCCTAAAAGAGTCAGAGTAATGGCTTTTTAAATTTCAAGCCGTTATTTACACGGAAATGTATATTAACGTTCAAAGGATTATGAAATCATAAAGAGTAAGGGATTACGCGGGGTATTTTTTAGAAAAGATTTGTTTTCCGATGAATAATATATTTAATTGTTTTTTATTTACAATTTTTATTATATTTTTAATCTTTATTTAAAAGCTTTAAGACAATTTAAATTTTAAATATTATATGTTTATTAAGATAAATCTATTGTATAATATATACATATAATAGATATTTTATTTATTATTTTTATATATTTTTTTTTCATTGGAATCATTCAATACATCTTTATTCATATTTTTTAAGATTGCATCTACTTCTGGTAAAATTTTTATTAAATATTCAAATTGTTTCTGTGTTAATGACAGTCCTTTTTTTCCTGGTTTCATTTGCCCTGTCGCTGTTTCTTCATAATATTCTCTTAAATCTATTAATACTTGTCCTCTCCATCGGCTTATACTAAGTCGTCGTGTACGTCCCCCTAGCTTTATTACAATATATTAATAAATTTCTTTGAAACTTGGGTTTTATTATGTAAATTTTTCCTACCTCCCAATATGCTTGACCATTTATATCGTAGAAAGGTTCAGTAGAATGCGTATGTATACGTTTTTCTACATTTTTTTCTTCATTTTCATCCTCAACTCTCTCATGTTTACTCATTATTTAAAATTATTCTTTGCTTGAGTGTAGTAGATTGTTTTACTTGTAGGCACGTTTGCCAGGAATACGGACGAAGGTCGTTTAAGGACTTAATTAAAAACTTGATTAAGACGGTCAATGGATTCCTCAAATTTAGAGGAACATTTAAAAGCAATGGTATTAAGAAACATATATAGTTTATATTTTACTTATATGAAATATAGTTAACGGATGCTTTTAATGTATGTAATGAAATTGGTTAAAGTGTTATGTTTAAGATTTTATGAGTATATTTTATTCATTTATTGGGGTATATACATAAAAATAATGAGATGTCTAAAAATTTTGAGCGTATGCGCAGAAGCTTACAAGCGCATTGGGAAATATAAAATCTATAGACAAATGCTGTTTATAGATGAAAGTTAAATCTTTAATATGCAGTTTATATCTGAGCGCAATCACATTATAAAACATGTGTTTTTTATATACTTTTGTTTTATCTATTCATACTTTAATATCTTTTCTTGATATACTTATGTATTTTTTTATGAAATTTTGTTAACTTTTTTATTAGAAAGCACAGACGGCTGTCTTATTGGATTCTTCTAATAATATTAATGATGGTATTTTTTCTATTTTTCTTTTATTTTTAATGTGATTTTAGCTATTCATGCATATACACAAGCTTGTTCACTATTAAAAGAAGTTATTACGCAACTTCCAGAGGGTAAATATCAAGAACGTTTGCAAGTGATAGTAAGTTATGTTATTATTAAAATATTTAATTTTTATAATTTGATTCAGTATCGAACATACTTAGAACGAGTTCAGTTACTTGATGGACTTCATCATTCGGATTTAGATGATGCGGATGAATCAGTATTTGCAGATGCACAGACAACGGCATCATCTCCTGTAGGGTTTTTTCCAGAATCTTCACACTCTGAATCTTATGATAAATCAAATTCTTGTACTTCGGATTTATCAAAAAAATCATTTACAATGAATTATATTAAGCAGATTTCATTCTCTGATATTAATTTATTAAGTCCAATAAAGTATTTGTTAAAACCTATTAAAGAAATCATTTCTCCGCCACCGTCTTTTTCAGCATCTCCAATTCAGGCAGAGTCTGTCATTCCTTCGGATTCTAAGTCATTGGAACTTGTTAAAAACACGGATGATATAGAAACTGATGATAAAACTGTGGAAGAAAAGAAATCTGTTCCATCTGAGAAAGTCCCTGTTGAAAATGATTCTGATTTGGTTTCTAAACAGATATTTTCTTTGAATAGTACATTTGCTAATTGGTCGCCATTATTGGATGCTTCATGCATTTTTTCTCAAGCTGATGATTCGAAAAAACCTATTTTCCAATATGATTCAGCGGATTCTTTAATCTTTGAAGAGACTCATATAGCACCTTTTTTAAAAGTTTGTTCAGATCATGAATTGCAAAAAGAAAATCAACATACTGATATTTTTCAAGAAAATACTTCGAATGAAAAAAAAGATACTTTTATGTATCAAGATGATCGATCTTTTTCTGAAACTAAAAGGAAATTGTATTCTTTGTATAATAATTCTTGTGTTTCTTTGAATTATTCTGATAAATTATCTACAAATTTTTCGGATATATTGACAAATTCATCGGCACAAATATCTACTACAACATTAATTCCATCTAGTTCATCAAATAAAACAAGACATAGCGATATATATATGTCGTTCTTACATGATAATATACTCCCTAAAACTGCTTTGCTGGAAGTGGATCCTATACATATGCAAAAGCCTAAAGATTCTATCGAAAAAACATATTGGCTAATGAAAATTCTTCAGAAATTATTAATACCATTTATTATTAAGTCTGAAGGATCTTATATAACACCTCGACTTTTTATACCCAAAGATATATGGTATGTTAAAAATGTAAAATTAAAAGGAGAAGAAGAAAAAATTAAAGTCTGTGAATCTTTGATATTTACTCTCAATAAAATAAAGTCTCTTAAGCAAGATGATCTTCAATCATTAATTAGAGAATTGGTGTATTTGGATAATATGGTTGATATATTTCGTTTTTGGCTTTTAAAAAAATTCGGTACAGAAGTTGTAAATCCGAAAAAACGATATGGAATTGTAAGTTTATGCTTTTTTTTATATTTCTAAGAGTTTATAGATTAAATTTATTAGTAAATCTAAATTTTTGATAAAAACCCCTCCTCCCAATGAATTTAATACACATAAATTTGGAATTGTACAGTTTGATGGTCCTAGGAAATCATATTTGACCTCTATTTACCGTCTATTTGGATCTGCGCAAATTATTGGTAATAAATTTATATTGATTTACATTCATATTTTTTAATTTTTTTAGGACAAGTTTTAAATATATTTGATTTTCATGAATTACCACTTAAAGCTCAAGACAGCATTCATCAAATCTTAATAAATATCTCTGACTTTTTTGAAAATGTCGTATGTCATTTTGTACTTATCGATATAAATGTATTGCTTGATCATTTCATTAAACAATTGCTTTATGGAAATGACTATAATCCGATTATTGGCTCATATTAATCTTATATTTCTTTATATTCAATCATATCTTAATAGCTTTCTTTAAAAATATATTATTTTTTATAAACATTATATTTTCTTTTTAAATATTTACAATAAAATAATACAAGATTTTTATAAATATGATTTTATATGGCTCTTCATATAAATTTTCTTAAGTCTTTATATTTTTTCTCTCAATTAAACTGCTGAAAAATTATTATATTAAATTTCTTAGGGGTGTTTAAGAATGAACGTCTAAGCGTTAAAAAAAATTAAAAACCCTTTAAAATATTAATTTTTTCTTATGAAAAATGCAGGAAACTGTAGAATCTCCTTGTGATCAGTAAGTTGCTTCTCCGGTTAAAAAACCTGGAGGTTCTATTTAAATTTTCTAAAATTGTATTTGTAGATACGAATTGAAAAAAAAAGAAAAAACTTCAGAATTGATTGCTTCTTCTGCAGTATTACAAGAAGATGATGATGATCTTGAGGATGATTCAAGTGAAGATGAATTGGACGATGAAAATGATTTAGAGGTATTTTTTTCATGAAAAAATATATTAAGATATATTATGTGTTTATAGGAAATTGATGAAGGTATACTCAATACGGATATCTTTTGATGTCTTGTTTTCCTTTTTTTTCTTGAAAAGGGTTTTATTAAATAATTATTATTGAATTTTAAATATTCGGAAAATATTTTATTCGATTTTCAAAGCTTTTTTTGCTTTATAATCATATACTAATCTTTTATTTACTTAGAAGACGTTACAGAAGATGATATGGCTGAAATTGATCCTTCGAATATCATAGGTGCATCTCGAACACGTGGAAAAAGGGTGGATTATGTGAAAGATGTCATTTCTGACGATATACTTGAAGATGATGAAGAGGATACTGATTTTAATGTTCCCTTATAAAATTTATAGATTTCGGTTATTTTTGTTTTTTTTTTCTTTTATGACCAATATTTCTTCGATGGTTGAAGACATGTTTTTAGATAATTGGTTTAATTATATATATCAATTTTAGTATACATTCTGATAGGCTGAATAAGCGTGTTTAATAGGTTATTTTCTGTATTTTTCTATTTTTTTTCTAGATGAACATTATCTAGCTACTCGTTTCCATGCCAGCCGTCTCTATGACAACCTGTTCTTACAAAAATCTTTGAACTTCATAAAATATTATTTCAGAACTTTCTGCTAATTATCAAGGGAATAGGGATATAATGTACCTTATAGCCTTTTTGTTTGATATATTTTGATTCTATTTATAACTTTTTATCTTTTTTTTTCTTGAAATTATGGTGGATTCTGATATTGATTATATTGATGATCTGTCTTCATCAGATGTTTCTCTTTTTGAGGAGAAAAGAGGCGAAAAAAATACATAAAAAGGAGAAGAGGGCACGTAAAAATCGTAGATCTTTACTTCTAAAGTCTACTTCTGCGGGTGAATATTCGTGGGAAAAGACATATCATCGTTCTTGGGATGTTGTTCAAGAAGATCAGCAGGGAAGCCTTACAACTACACTTATTCAGATGACGCAAGAAGGAAAACGTAAGAGGTTATTTTTCTTTGGGTATCCTTGCTTTTTTTTATTGGGTTTTTAGGATTCTTCGTGATACAGTTCCGTTGCAACGTGGAATTATTAGATATCTTGTTCTTGTCCTTGATCTTAGTTCTGCAATGGCTAAAAGAGATATGATTCCTACTAGGTATCTTGTGGAAATTGATCATGCCTCTGCGTTTGTTTTAGAATATTTTGAACAGAATCCATTAGCTCAATTATCTATTCTCGGCATGCGTGAGGGTCGCGCTGTGCTTATTAGTTACCAAGGAGGTAGTTTTATACGTTTTTAGTAGTATTTTTTAAAAAGGTTATGAATAGGAAGTCCTCATGAACATTTGATTGCTTTGAAACGATTAAAACAGATGGATCCTTCAGGTGACGTATCTTTACAAAATGCTTTGGAAATGTCTCGTACACTTTTATAGTAAATAAATGGAAAATGTATAAATTATGGTTAATTGGTTTTATAGTTCTGCTCCAAAGCATGGAACAAAAGAAGTTTTGTTAATTTTTGGTTCATTAATGTCACTTGATCCAGGTGATATTCATGAAACAATTGATGCTTTAATTAAAGATAAAATTCGTGTATATATGGTTGGTCTTTCTGCTTCTGTTTCCATTTGTCAAAAAATATGTAAAGAGACGAATGCTGGTGACGAATGTAATGCATAGTTTTTTATTTTTAAAATTTTAATAAAAAATAGCGTCTTATGGCATTGTTTTGAATGAACAGCATTTTAAAGATCTTTTGATGCAATTTGTTATACCTCCTGCTTTACAAAAGTCATATGAATCTTCAGGAACGTTAGTTATGATGGGATTTCCGTCGAAATTAGTTGAAAAAGAAACATTATGTTCTTGGTAATATTTTTATTAGGAAAATATTTGAAGTTTTATTTTCTTAGTCATTCGAATGTAATTAAAGAAGGATATCTCTGTCCACGATGCTATTCTAATGTTTGCTCGCTTCCAATTAATTGTCCAAACTGTGATCTTACATTAATTATGTCTACCCATTTAGCGCGTTCTTATCATCATTTATTTCCTCTTAAAAATTGGGTAGAGGTTCCATGGGAAGAGTAATATTTCAAACTATTTATTTAATAATTAATTTAATATTAAATCTAGAGCAGTTTCGACACATTGTTATGCTTGTTTAATGCCTTTTCCTGAAAAACCTAAAGAACTTACTTCAGATTTATTTTATAATACTATTAATCATTCTAAAGAAAAAAATAGAATAGATTCGTTTTCGGTTATGCATAATTCTGTTTCAATTAGTTTTCGGTATGCATGTTCTGATTGTCATAAACATTTTTGTATTGATTGTGATGTTTTTGCGCATGAAATTTTGTTTGAGTGTATTGGTATGATTAATATTGTTATTATTTATTTAAAATAATTCTATTAAAAAGGTTGTCAAACTACCCTAAAATATAAAGAGAATAAAGGTGCTAGTGCATTAGCTTTATTGGAGAAAAAATAGGAGAAATTAATAGATGTTTTATAAATAAATTATAGATTCTATTAACAAGCGATTTATGTTTTAAAAAATTATCCAAGTTAATTATATCTTTCTTAATACAAACCATATAATATAATGAATGATTGAACGCAAAGTTAAAATTTCTTACATATGCTAGCAAAGCAGAAACCAGAAGATCTAGCTTCCTTAAAAAAAATAACAAATACATAATGCCTAAAGATTGATCCAGAATGCATATAAGTGCTATAAATGTGTTAAATCTAAACTTAATTATGCGCATTTTATGTAAACTTAAAATCATAAAAAAACTTAATAACTATATGTTCCATGATAAGATGAATGATGATGATGACTTCTCCACCTTTCTACTTGAAATGCTACTTTTTGCCCGTATTTACTCCCACGTAATGATACCATATGTTTACGAATTTGAGTTGATACTTGATCACGATGAGCTGGAGATGCATGTTGCAATATATGTTGAATAAGATAATTTCCATATTGATCAGAAGCTATATCAATTAAAGGGATACGAGGTCTATCAGCTCTCCCTTCTGTAACTTTGGCTAGATATTGATTTAAGATATCTGGGCCTCCTGCTTTAATTGCTTTTTCTACTACTTTGGAAGCAAATTGATCAACACTATAAGCTACTGAATTTTCAAGAATATGCGATAATGCTCTTTCCCTATCTGAAGGAGAGCCATATTCAACCATATGCTGGATGACCCAGTTACCCCATTGACCTCTTGAAATAATATCAATTTTATTTAAAACTTCTTCAATACATGGCCTCTGTGATTAATGTCAATATAAAAATATTTAAAAAGAGTTTTCAACTTTATCTTCTTCTAAGCAATTTTCGAAAATATTTTGTACTACCAGGCTTCCTGTTTCACCAAGAGCTACATCATGCCACATGCCTTCAAGAGCTGTATTTACGTATTTCATGATAGTAGGAGGAGATCCTTCCCAGCGGATCTCAAAAAGCTTTTGCCATACATGACAAGCATAGCGATGAGTCACAGTTTCCGGAATTCGACGAAGTAATTCGCTCACCATAGTTGCTTTTACATCTTCGGCAACATTATCGAATGCTTTTTGGACAACATGACATCCAAATGCATCCATTGAAAGAGTAAGAACATTTCCTCTAATAGCAGAAGCAATTCCATTTATATGTTCTTGTGTACCATGTTCAAAGCATCGTTGTACAAGAAAGTTACCAAAGCGATTTAACATTAAAGGATAAGCTTGAGCTACAATAGCATCAATAATAGCGTGTTTTTGTTCAGCTGGTGCTAGTTTAAGTTTTTGTTGAAGAAATATTGAGGCTTGTTGATCATTACAATATACGATTTTGTCCACAATAATCTTATATATATTTAATATATCAAGAATATAAGCAATTAAAAAAAGTACAATACCTGCCAATTATACGCGGCATTTCTATCTAAAAGGCGACGATAATTAATGGGCTCTTGAGAATGAATATATCCTGAAGCAGATTGAGGGATAGATGTCTAAAAAATATAAGTAAATTGTTTTATGTGCCATTGAAAATTACATTAGAATTCCAAATATGTTGATTCATTGCTACATTTCCTGGTACAATATTTCCCTGATGATCGTTTGGAATCTGTATAGAATTAAAAGTAGATGGTACAGCCATAGGTAAACGAGGTATTCCTGATGACGAACCTGTGGAAACTGCAGACATAGCAGGAGATGGTGGCTGATTAGGAAAAGAACCAAAATTATTGAATGAAGTATAATTAGAATCGGTAGATGCTCTTCTTCCAGACAAGGCAAAGTGATTAAATCCACCGCTTACGGGAGGTCCACTAATGCTAGTAGAAGCACGATGCACTTTCCAAGGCCTTATCATCCCAGTTTCTGAAGAAGTCTGAGTAGAGATTGGCGAAGATCGAGCAGTTGCTTGTATTTCGTTTAATGGCATAGTAGTAGTATTTTTAAGAGGACTATTTGATCGAGGTATAAAATTCCATGTATTATTATTATTTCGTTTAGGAAAGGCTAATGTTATATTTTCCTCAGATTCAAAGTCTGGCGTAGAATCCTCAGTATAAGATACGGGCCAATATGAAGTAGTCTGTGGATTTGCTGTCTGAGAACATTGATGAAAATCATTCAATTGAGAAACATCCAATTTGTGTAAATAATTTTCTGCGCCAGAAATATTGATTACTTGATCAATTGTATGCGCCGTAATCCTAGATTGTGCTACTTCTTCTTCAAGATGCTGAACTTGTCGTTGTGATGCTTTTAATTTTGCTTTTAAGCGGGCAATTTCTGCTGATTCTGCAAATGTTGCATATGATGATGCAAAATCCACCGGTGTAAGTGGAGATATCATCGATGATGTATCTGTAGATGTGGAAATAGAACGTGCATGATCATGCATAATTGGCGTTGGATTTCCTATATGAGCCGATTTCAAAGATATTTCTTGTTCTTTAGATGTTATTATTTTCTTTGTTTCGTCTGTTTCTTGTGTTATATGATCGTTTTTTATCATAATCTCTGATAATTGTTGTGTTATTTGCTCTTCTTCGCTCTATCATCAAAAGTATTTAGTTTTTTCATATAAAACATAAATAAATGCATGCATACATCTCCAAATGTTTTATCCGACCCACATGGGACATTCGTATTATATTCTTCTTCATTCTAAAACCTTGATCAAATACTATTTCTCTTAGATCAAATAATACATACTTTTAATTCGTTTTTTTTCCCTCTCCAACAATTCTGCCCTCCTAAAATTACACTTTCTATTATATCCCCTTGTTTTTCATCTATATTCTCTATTCCAGAGAATGCTCTCATTCTAATTATGTATTATCTTTCTTTTTTCATCAAAACAGAACAATCAATAACGTTAGTAAATTTTATTAAAAAACCTAGAAAAACTATTAAAAATTATATCTTCTGAATCCCCTCCTCATTGCTATTACTATTCTTTTATTTAAATATCTTTATTCTTCACAAATTTAATAAATTTAATGAATTAATAAAAAATATCAACACGGTTGGTTTGTTCGTGTACGTTTTGCTTGACAAATATACCGTTAGCTTCAAAGGTAATGCTTAAGGACACATATGTGTTCCTATTCTTCACTAATTCCTCTGTGTGTCCGGGAATGTTCCTGTGCCTTTTTAAGTTAGCGCACTAAGAATAGGTTAAATATGGGTTAATATTTTAAAGAAATAATTTGATTATAAAGATTTTTAGGAATAAAAGACATAAATATTTTATATTTTAAGAGTAAGGATGAGACGATCTTCAAATAGAGTAAAAGATTTATCATCAAAACGAAAGACTCGTACAATTCGTAAAAATAATAAAGAAAAGTTAGTAATTAGTGAAAAAAGAAGTTGTTTCTTATTATTTTTTTTGATACAAGATAATTCTTTAATATAGAGGTAACTCGTTCAGCGACAGCTAAAATGCCTATAAATACAGAACGTCAAGCTTTAAAAGCGATACAATTGGGTGATAAATTGCCGGATATTGTATTGAAGAATGAATTGGGAGAAGATGTTTATATTCAAAAAATTGCGGAAGAACATCCTATTATTATTTTTGGTATATTTTTTTATATAATTTTTATGATTGGGTTGAAATCTTTAAGCATACCCAAAAGCATCTACACCTGGATGTACAGTTCAAGGTTGTGGATTTCGTGATAATTATGAAACGATACTGTCCAAAAATTATCATATTTATGGATTAAGCATGGATACTCCAAAGGCTCAATTAAATTTTAAAACCAATCAAAATTTCCCTTATCATCTTTTATCAGATCCTAAAGCAGAATTAATCAGTGCATTAGGTGCATCTAAATCTGGCCTTAAAATTGCAAGAAGTCATTGGATATTCGAAAAAGGTGGAACATTATTAGATATGAAAATTGGAGTATCCCCTAAAGATAGTGTGGAAAAAGTAATGGCTAAGATTTTGGAACAAAATTAAATATTTCATCTATTTTTATAATAAATTTCTTTTTTTTTACTTTTTTTCCTTTGATGACATTTATTTCATACATAAATATTATAATAACTAATATTTTACCATATAAAAAAGATTTTCTATAATAAAATACCCTTACTATAATATTTATTATATATTTCTCATTTTTTAGTAATATTACTTAGTAATTCTCAAAATTTTATTAAAAAATACTATTCTATATTTTTAAACCTAATATATATATTTTTGATTTTTAGAAATATATTCAAAATATCTTTTATTTGTGCCTTTAATCATATGAGACTGTGTATTTTGAAATAAAAATCATATTAATATTTTTTTTGAATATTGAATTACTGCGATATTGACTTCAAATAAATTATCCATATTATTAATTTTCTAATAAAAATAAAAAAGGGACAGAAAAACCCTTGTAAGAAGTAATTTGGAATGAATTTATTTAGGTTTCTCGGTATTTTGTTTTTATTTGTTTTTTAAACGGGAAAAAATGACTATTTTTAGGTGATCTTTCACATCTTGCTAGTGTCTTTATTTTGCTTCAGAAGATCCGTAAATCACGGTCATGTTCTGGAATATCATTTAAATCACAAGTTTTGTTTTCAATTGTTTATCTTACTCGATATATTGGTGAATACGAGTAGATTTTTTGTTTGGAAAATTTTGATTTTTTCGATAGATCTTTTCTTGAATTATGTTTCCTTTTATAACACACTCATGAAGATATTTTTTATTGCCAGTCAAAGTTATATTATTTATCTTATGAAAGGACCTTTCAAGCCGACAAATGACCCAAATATTGATACATTTAAAATACAATATTTAATTGGCGGAGCAGCTATATTAGCAATTATTTCTCCAAGTAGATATACATTTTTAGAAGTTTGTATATTTGTTTTTTTTATTAATTTATTGATGTTTTTTAAAGATTTTTTGGTGTTTTAGTATATGGCTCGAATCGGTTGCTATTTTGCCGCAATTGTTAATGTTACAAAGAACAGGAGAGGCAGAAAGCTTAACTACGCATTATTTGTTTTGTTTGGGATTATATAGAGGATTTTATATTCCAAATTGGATTTATCGATATATAACAGAGAGGTTTTATGATATTGTCGCTATTATTGCAGGTCTTATTCAAGTATAATAGGAAGCATTGTGTTATTTGTGTATTTTAACATGTCTTAGACAGGATTATATGCAGATTTCTTTTGGCTTTATTATACAAAAGTACTCTATGGGAAGAAATTTGAATTACCAGCTTAACTATATTGGTTCTTTGAATCTAAATTTATTAAATTATTTGTATCATTGTTTCTAAAACATTTTTTAAAAAATGTTTCCATATTACATTTGTTTAATTTATTTAAATAAAAGTATTTTCGTAAGAAAACTATTATTTATCAGATTGAAGCATTTATCTAAAAAACTGTTTTTATCTCCTTTAGAATTCTGATTTTAGCTATTTAACTTAGATATTTTCATTTTAGAACTAAATTTTAAAAATATAAAACTATAGTTTAGTTTATAAAAAAAATTACAAATTTTTAATACTACTATATTATAAACATACATTGCGAAAAAAACTGGTCTTAGAGCTGTTGATATGCCTAATGAATATCTTAATTACTTAGACAAATTTTAAAATTACTTTAAAGTTAAATCATATATATATAGTTGCACGTAATATGTATATTTAAAATGTTAAAATAAATATTACATATATCTATCCTTTATATTATCGTCCATTTATAACTATCTATAACAAATATTAGCAAAAAAATATTAACAGTTAAAAATACTTTTCTAATTTCTCGTAAATGATTACGATTTGGAAATCCTTGTTTAATCCAACCCTGAATACTTTTCTTCCAATTCTCTTCTTCCTCTCTTTGTTTTCGAATAAATCCTGGACCTACATCAAATTCTTCACCAACAACAAAATTTTGGGTATCTGTATAATTTGAATTTGATAAGCCATTAGAATTATTACTCGATTCAAAAAAGATATAAGAATCATTATTGGCTAAATCCTTAATTCCCTCAAATGGATCATTTTCATCTTCTGTTGATGGGTTGATTTTAATCCAGCACATCTTTTGAGGATCAAACATCATATCTCCAACAATTTGCATATCTTTCTTATCAGAAATATGAGAAATAAGCGCTGGACGTGGAGATGTATAATACAGATCAAATTTCTGTAATTCTACTTCATTACCTTCCCAAATTCGAGTTTGAGGATTATATTTCATTTGCCCAACAACTACATAAGAATTTAGTCAATAGCAATAAATAACTAAAAGTACCTTTGGGAATAGGTGATGAATTTAAATTACGAATAAGTGTAGGCATTTGTTTAGTTTTTTTCTTTAATTTAATTTTTGTAGGAAATAGTTGTATATTAGTTTTAGGTCTGAAACCGTTGTTCTTAATCATAGGATGAATATTACTTTTAGAAGACCCATCTTTGTATCGATCTAGATATATAATTATTTGATTATTTTTTATTAAAAAAACTTACCCATCTCAGGAATCTTTGAGTAATGAGTTTCCAACGGTATATCTGAAGCATCTTTAAATTTTAAATGTTCTTTTTTATAATTTTTTTCTGAATATTTATTCTCTGTGGCAAAACATGTAGGTAAATCGTCAAATGCATCTAATTCTGTTCCATCTCCATAATTTGATAGTTTTTGAGGACGAGTTAGAATTCTAATAGGAGAATGATCTCGAGATATTCCATCAGATGTACACTTTTGGAACTTATTTAATAGCGTAGTACCTCTTGCTAAAGATGCATTGGTAGGTGAAGCATATCGTGGAACTCTGCTAACTATTCCAGGAAATTCATCACTTCCTCTTGAATATCGTGGGTTAGATGAGTTAAAATTATTTGAATGTGTTTTTGAGTGTCCATTTTCTAAAACAGTTTTAGGATGATTATGATGAGTATTATAAGTATTTGATTTAAGTCGTGAATTATCCGACAAATTATAGTGAGGGGGGGATATATACTGAGACTGTAAAGAAGGCATTGATCGCTTCGTAGACATGGAATGAAGATTATCTTCTTGTTCTTGAAAATTCATTAACGAAGATTTTTTCGAGACCATTTTTTCTTGGACCAAGGGTCGATTTTCAGAATATGATGGCCTGGAAATATTCTCTTTATTTATTTTAGGTAGTGGTAAAACTGGTTGTGGAATACGAGAAGACTTTGAGCTAAACTTGATTGTTGCCTGTGGCTGTCTTTGGGGATTTTGCGTATCATTATCCATAAAATGCTTAATAATATTGACATTGGAATTAAATTTTTTTGATGAATCAAGAAAATTGTCTTTGTCAACTTCAATATCTACAAAAAAGTCTTCCTTTAAAAATTGTACCTCTTTAAGAGTACGCTCATTTATCTTTCTTTGTCTACATATATCGAATCTTTTTTGTAGATCCAATGCACTTGATGGAAGTTCTATTCCTTCCAAAATACTTTCATCTTCACTTAATGTCATTGAACTCATAGAAGGACTCAAACTAGATGCTATAGAAGCTCTTGCCGACCTAGAATCTGCACCAGCACTCCGTATACCCAACGATGAATCACCCCAATCATCATTATCACTTTCTAGTGTCGGTGCATGTGATATACCTAATGCATGTGTTTTTTGAGGTGGATGATGAATGTGAAAATTATCTATGTTATTTGGAATATCAAAATCTGATTCAAATGTATCATCAAATGTACTATTTTGTGCAATTATTGACGGTTCCACACTTTTCCGAGGAAGCAATCCTTCACGAAGTCGCTTTTGAACTGCTGTCTGTGGCTTTTCTATTTTAGCTGACCAGTCCTCAATATCGCCGAATACGTCTTCATTTTCAACTGCTGAAGATCGTTGAATAAGCTTTTCATTTAGTAGTCCTGGTGTTAATTGTATATCATCTCCCCAATCATCCATTACTGTTACTCCTGCCTTACGTGTCCCTAAACGACGAATTGTACCACCCATCAATGATGATGGAGTAATATTCCGAGGCAAAGGAATACCTGACATTGCCGCTTTTTCCATCACTTCATTAATATCTTTTACCATCATCTCTTTTTCAAAAGGTACATCTTTTATATGGTCACGAATTAGCGATGCATCTGAAACCTGATCCGATATATCGCAAATCTCTCCCAAAAGATCTTCGTCATCCCATATTTCTACTTCTTTGTTCATCTTTTAAAAGCTTATAAATATTTCCTTATTTATTATAAATTTATAAAAAATAATAGTTTAAAAGAATAATAAGATATAATTCAAAATAAGAAGTATTATTGAGAGTCTTTTATTCTTATTTTCCGAGTTTATTCATAAATATAAGACTTATTTATTATCTTAATTTTTTGAGGGCAAAAACTGGTTCAAAGCCATACGAGGGTTAAAGTTTCGAGACTTAAAGGATTGGGTTAATATAAATCAATGAACTAAATTATTTTTGAAAATAAAAATATCTCTTTAAAAACAAATAAAATTAGTTAGAATGTGCTATTAATTCATGTATAATACTGAGATTATTCCTAGTTATAACATAAAATAACAAATAATTAAAATACGTAATATAATCTAAGGTCATAGGTTGTATATATCGAGTAAACCATTGATCCTTTATGTACAATGCATGGGTATCGTCTTGGCCAATATTTTTTTAACATTAAATTTTTTGTTTTCTAATCGTTAATGAGTTATGCAAGGTAAAAATATAAAGTGTGTAAGCTATAAAAAAATAAAATAAACCATACTTCAAGGTAATCACATTAAAGAATATTCCTGTTTATTATAATTTGAACAATGATGAAGAGTTGGAAGATACATATGTATATTTTTAGAAGTTGATACTAGTCCATTTGTATGATGAGGATTTGAATTTTCTCGTGAAGAATTATCAAGTACTCCTGTAACATTATTTCCACAAAGACTATTGTTTTTTTCAATTCTCATGGCTATTTTCCTCCCAACAGCAGTTGATCTAATGGATGGAAGCAATGGAAGAATACAGTCTTCTAATTGTTTTCGTTGAATAGAATCAGCATAATCTAATGAAGTTTGAATGACATAATTGGCATATGAATCTCGAATCAAGCTTGCTATTTTTCTTGGAAGTTCTTGAATAAGTAAACTACGTGTTGGAGGCTCAGCCATTCTTATACACTAATTTCAATTAAATATGCTATATTTAATAGTAGATTACTTTTACTTTTTCTATGACGTTAGAACTAAATTTTTGTACTGATAAAAGACAAACGTTTCCTATAAATCGATGAATCAAAGGTTCGCTAAACCTAGCATCACCAAGATCTAAAATATATTGAACAACATAATTTCCAAAAGGATCCTATAAAAATTAAAAACAATATTACTATTGTTTAACTTTATACTTGAACAAGATTAAGAGCATTATTCGTAATCTCTTTGGCAATTTGTATTTTTTGAGAATCAGATGCATGATCAATACAACGTTGAAGAACACAACATCCATGACGATGAGTTGCAACTTCAACACAATTAGAACAAATAGCATCAAATATAAACTAAAATAACAAATTAATTTATTAAAAATCATATTTAAGCAAACCTGTATATCATTAGTAGATAATTTGTTGAGACATTTTTGAATAACATGATTTCCGTTTAAATCTTTAATTAAAGTAACAACATTAGAATTCAGTGCATTAATTATAATTTGTATCTAAAATTAAATAAATATTATAGAATTCTGAAATAATAAAGTACTTGTTCAGGTGTAGAAAGATATTCTATCATTTTCTGGACTGCTCTAGTTCCATGCATATTTAATGATATAGGAATTAAATCAGAAGCAACAGATCGTACAATTGTAGTACGTTCTTCATCGTTACAATGTTCTAAAAGTTTTTGACATAAATAATTCCCAAATGGATCTATAGATTTAAAGATTTGAAGAATTTAAGCATAAAAATTACCCGTCATAAGTTCTACAGCATGGGGATAGGTCTCCATAAAAATTATTGATGTTCTTCGAGGATCACGTTCTTCAAGTTTTTTTTGAAGATATCGACAACCATGTTGATCTTTACAAAGAGAATAGATTTCACCTACGAACGCTTCTAATGCTGCACCTGTAAATCTATTTCCTAAAATATTGAATTACTAAAAATGTACAATTAATTTTATATATACCATCAGAATTTGCATTCTTTTTATGATTGGTTCCTCTATTATTTGCATACGTAAAAGAAGTTTGTGATGTTTCAGTTGATGGTTGATTACTCGCTGAATAAAGTGGATATGACCCGTATGTAGCAGATTGATATGATGAAGGAAGATTCATGATACCATATTTTCCATATATATTAGATGAATGTAAAGAAGAAACAGTTGATGGAAGAATAGGAACATTTAAAGGAGATTTAGCATTTGGAAGCAAAAACCCTATTGAATATTGGGACTGAGATACCTAAATATTTTAGAAAAAAATATAATATATATGGAATTACATTATTGGAATTACTATTAGATTGTTTATTAGATTCAGAATAGTTTTCTGATTTTGGTTTTAAATAATTAAAAGCAGTAGAAGCACTAGATGTTGATAGAGATGGCTGATTTTTCGATGTAAAGGATGTATAATTTATATTCATAGAGCTTTGCAAATTCTGATTAGAAGAATCCTTTTCTTTTATAGAATGAAATTTGGGTGATACAAGGTTTTCATCTTTCAACGAAAAAGATGGATGACCACAACTAGCATCTAATGAAGAATATACCAAATTAGTATCTTTTTGTGTATTTTGAGATTCACATTTGATAAATTTTTCATGAGAATCCTGATGTGTTGAGCGAGTTAAATTGAGAGTAGTATTTGACGAAGTAAACTAATTATATATTAAAATTTCTAGGAATTATGCTTTAATACAACCATTTCAGGAAAATTGTTTCGTTTAATTAGAATTGGAAAATTATCGTTAATTGTTTCCATTTCTAAATATTTTTTAACAAAAGGCGATGCTTAATAATTAGTATATTATTTTTGATTATTTTAATGTTATATACTTTTTTCTTTATTTTTCATATTATTTTCAAATGTAGATGTTTGATGTAGATATGATTGTCTGTTATTTGAAAATTCATCGTGAAAAATATTGTAATTTTCATTATTTCCTTGCAGAACTGATAAACTTTTATTATTACTAGTTAATAATGTTTGTAATATAACTCAATCCATGACCATAGTTACCTATTATAAGAATTGATATTAAGATTTTTCATTAGAATTTCCGATTCTCCTAATTCTTTATGTGATTCGGAAAATTGAGACGATCTTGAATTATCATCTGACGGTGGAGTTGCTAATTGTCCCCCATTATGAAATTGTTCATAAAATTGTAAAGGCGATGTAAGTCTAGGAACTGAAGTAAAATACATACGTGTATCGGATGGAATTTGTAAATTTGGCGGCGTATTGGGAGCACTGTTTACTGATATACTTCCAATAGTATCATCGTCATAACCTAATAAAGCTTGTTCATCCCGTTTCTGACGAAGTTCTAGTAATTTCATTTCTTTTTCAAATCGTCGACGATGTTCAATACGTTGCAATTCGTATTGCTGACGTTTCATCTCAAGCTATCAAATTTAAACATAAAAATCTAATACCCTTAAATCACTCTACCGCATGAGTTTTATTAATAGACTATATAAAAATATTAAAAAAAGATGAAAATAATAATGATTTTTTACCGAGAGAGATAATTCTGATGTATAGTCTTTACGCATATAATTATCAACTCCTTCATTCCTATTTTTTGAAGAATCTGATAAGTTGTGGTTTTTGTATATTTTTTCATGGTCTGTTGTGCTAAAAGTCGATACAGAAATATTATGTTTGAAAGGAGAAGAAACAGATAAGTGTTTAGTCGGAATATATGCGTTCAAAAATGATAATTCCGATTTCTTATTAATGTCATTACCATTTTCAATACTGTTTTTTCTGAATTTATTATCTGGTGATCCAGAAGAAATTGACATCTTTCTGGGCACCTATTTTTTATAATTATCTGACTATTCAAAAAGAAAAATGACAAAATAAAGCCATAATATTCTTTCTATTTCATATTGAATATAATTGTCTGACTATATGCATTCTCTAGGCTTCTATTTTTCTTATTTTTTTATATCTTACCTTTTTTTAAATTTTAAAAAACTTTTAACTTATCACACTTGCATAAACGAAAAAAGACAAAAATATACTCTTCAATTCAATCCTACAACTCTTTCTTAAAATATTAAGAATAATACAATTGAATTTTAATATTGTCTTTGATGAATTAAAATCTTAAGATTAATCATCGAAAAGTATTTATCAAATTTTTAAAGATTCCTGTAAAAAAATATATTATAAATAAATGTTTAAGTTTATATTCAAAATAGTTTTAGATTACTTTAATATGAATTATAAGCTAAATTATTATTTTTTCTTGTATATAAAAGCTATTTTTTGTTCATTGTTGAATTAGTTATATATAGAAGTTGAGGTTACATTTAGATTGATACAGTGTTTAAATTATAAATAAAAGAACAAAAAGAAATATTATATATATATTATTTTTATATATAAAGTAGAATATATTTTTTATATATTATTTAATGATTTTTTTATGAAATAGAAAACGTCTAATTTATATTAATAACATGGTTTATATATATGTATATATGTAAAAGTAAAAATATATATGGAAAAGAATTATTTTTAAATAATATTTATAGATTAGTCTATAATAATATATTAAAATATTATTTTACCTAATAAAACTATATATACTTCTAATATATTTGTATTTTTATAAATATTTAAATTATTATATAATTCTGGACAATTTTTATATCTAAAAATGCAAATATTTTATTAATTTATATTTAACAATTCTATATTAACAATGATCTAATAAAAAAAGGCATTAAATAATTATCAACATGTCTATTTCTTTCAAAGAAAAAAAAATTAAAAAAATCATCAAAATATAAATCTATCATTAAATTAAAAATATATAATTGAATTCTAATTTAAATAAATAAAATAAGAAAATTTCCTACAATACTTATAAAGATAAATTCGATATATATGTTTTTTTTTCTATACAATAAATCTAAAGTGTATAATACTTTAATAAACGCACGAAACATTATTAATTAATATATTTTTTATATCAATATATATTTTTATATTTAAAAATTATTTAATATTTTTCACATCTTTTCAGTTATTTAAGAATTACTATTTTTTTCTAGTTGAAAATACATAAAATTTCTATGTTCCTTAGAAAAAGTTAAATATGACATGGAAAAAGATAAATGATTTAAACAAAAACCATAAAGATAATAAAACTACACAGAAAACCTTGAAAATTGGTCAGGCGTTTGATATTCTTTTAAAACTGGAATATAAGGGAAAATCTTTAACAGATCCAGTCCATACTTTAAAGGTACAGAAAAATATATTAAATTTTTTAATAATATCCAATTATTTCAGGATAAATGGAATCTTCTTCCGGCATTCTTGAAAGTTAAAGGACTTATTAAACAACATACAGATTCATTTAACTATTTTGTTGACGTAGATCTTAAAAAGATTGTTAAAGCAAATGAAAAAGTAACAAGCGATGTTGAACCATGGTTTTATTTAAAGTATTGATGATCATTATTTATTATTTCGTATTTAATGTCTTTGTCTCACTAGATATACTAATATTCAAGTTGGATTTCCTACACGTCAAGATCAAGATGCTATTGATAATTCAATAGCTCCTCATGAATGTCGCTTGAGAGATCTTACATACGCAGCTCCTATAATTGTGGACATTGAATATACAAGGGGAAAACAAGTAGTAAGGAGAAAAGGTGTTCAAATTGGTCGTTTACCTATTATGTTAAGAAGTAATAAATGTATTTTATTTAATAAGACAGAAGCACAAATTACAAGGATGAATGAGTGTCCACTTGATCCTGGTGGATACTTTATTGTTAAAGGTACTGAAAAAGTCATTCTTGTACAAGAACAACTTAGTAAAAATCGTATTATCGTTGAGGCAGAACCAAAAAAAGGTTTGGTACAGGCTTCTGTTATCAGGTAAATTAAGAATTAAGATAGCAAAAAATAGCGTTTTACTTTTAGTTCTACACATGAGCGTAAATCCAAAACATATGTTTTAACTAGGAATACAAAAATATATCTCAAACATAACTCAATTGCAGAAGATGTTCCAATTGTACTAATATTTAAAGCAATGGGTCTTCAATCAGATAGAGAAATCCTTGAACTTGTCGCAGGATTAGATCCTGTTTATCAAGATATATTTTCTATTAATATTGAAGAGTGCGCCAAACTTAAAATATACACTCAGCAACATGCATTAGAATATCTAGGAACTAGAGTCAAGATTAGTAGAAGGAATTCTGGAATTATTCAAAGAAGACCACCTTCAGAAGAGGCATTAGAAGTTTTAGCGGCCATTGTTCTTGCTCATATTCCAATAAAAAATTTAAATTTCAGACCTAAAATAATATATTTTGCAATTATGACAAGAAGAGTATTAATGGCTATGAAAAATCCAAAAATGGTGGATGATCGTGACTATGTTGGAAATAAACGTTTAGAACTGTAAAAAATTTAAATATTTAACTTAATAATTGATTTTTTAATAGTGCAGGGCAACTTCTTTCTCTTTTGTTTGAAGATCTTTTTAAAACCTTCAATAGGAATTTAAAATTAAACATTGATAAGGTTCTTAAAAAGCCTAATAGAACTCAAGAATTTGATGCATATAATCAAATTTCAATACATGGTGATCATATAACATTTGGGATGATTAGGGCTATATCAACAGGAAATTGGTCTTTAAAAAGGTTTAAAATGGAAAGATCTGGCGTTACTCATGTATTAAGTCGTTTAAGTTATATTAGTGTTCTTGGAATGATGACACGAATATCTAGTCAATTTGAAAAAACAAGAAAAATAAGTGGGCCTAGGGCTTTGCAGCCTTCTCAGTTTGGAATGTGTAGGTATTTAATGTTATTTACTATTAAATAATATAAAATAGTATGCCCTTCTGATACTCCAGAAGGAGAAGCATGTGGTCTGATAAAAAATTTGGCTTTGATGACACACATAACTACTGATAATGATGAAGAACCAATAGAAAAGCTCGCATTTATTCTTGGAACAGAAGGTATTGGTTATATATTTTTTTTGTAGCTTTTAATGAAAAAAAAGATATAAGTTTAATAACTGGGCATGAACTTTATGCCCCAGGAACATATGTTATTTATTTAAATGGAACAATTCTTGGAATTACACGATTTCCAGCAAATTTTGTTTCAAATTTTCGAAAACTTCGTAGAAAAGGACGAATATCAGAATTTGTGAGTATATATATTAATAATCATTACTGTTCTGTACATATTGCATCAGACGGAGGTAGAATATGCCGTCCATTAATTATTGTAGAAAATGGGAAATCGAAAGTAACACCAAGACATCTGAAGGTATCTAAATTTAAATGCTTTATAGCCAATTAATTATAATTAGTCTTTAAAAGCAGGAAAAATGACATTTGATGATTTTTTAAAAAGAGGATTAGTAGAATATTTAGATGTTAATGAAGAAAATGATTGTTATATATCAATATATGAAAATAAGCTTTCAGAATCAACTACTCATTTAGAAATTGAGCCATTTACTATATTAGGAGCAGTAGCAGGTCTAATACCATATCCCCATCACAATCAATCTCCCAGAAATACTTATCAATGCGCTATGGGAAAGCAAGCTATTGGCGCTATTGCATGGAACCAATTGCTTAGAATCGACTCTTTGCTGTATTTAATGGTTTATCCTCAACAACCTCTCGTAAAGACAAAAACTATTGAGTTAATAGGCTATGACAAGGTTTTCTTTTTTCAAAAAATATCTAATTTTAATATTATATTAGCTTCCAGCAGGACAAAATGCTATCATAGCTGTCATGAGTTTTTCTGGATATGATATAGAGGATGCTTTAATATTAAACAAAGTATATCCTTATTTTAAGATATTTTGTGATTAATATATTATATTAAGGCTAGTATAGATAGAGGATTCGGTAGATGTCAAGTTATGAGAAAATATGCAACAACTATTAAACGTTATGCTAATGGAGCGTATGTTTACGTTTTATATTTTCTATGATTTATTGATTTCTAGATATGATCGCCTCGAGCATCCTGATAGAAGCGAAGATGGGCAGTTAGTATGGAAATATGAAACTTTAGAAGAAGATGGTTTGTCAGGTGTTGGAGAAAAAATCGAATCAGGACAAATTTACATTAATAAACAAATACCTACCAATGCAAATGATAATACAATTGCTACTGGAATTCAACAACATGAATTATCATGGAAAGCAGCTCCTATGGTATACAAATCTCTTGAACCTGGGTATATCGATAAAATGATGTTAACTACTACCGACTCTGATCAAACACTTATAAAATGCTTAATTCGTCAGACTCGTAGACCTGAACTTGGTGATAAATTTTCTTCACGACATGGTCAAAAGGGTGTATGTGGTCTTATTGTACAGCAGGAAGATATGCCTTTTGATCATAATGGGATAACTCCCGATATTATTATGAATCCTCATGGGTTTCCATCTCGTATGACAGTAGGAAAAATGATTGAGCTTTTAGCAGGAAAGGCAGCGGTTTTAAACGGAACATTACAATATGGTACTGCATTTGGAGGTAGCAAAATAGATTATATAAGTCAAATTTTAGTAGAAAATGGCTATTCATATTCCGGAAAAGATCAGCTTACTTCAGGTTATTTATAAAAATATTCATTCTTGATTTACAATGATTGTATAGGTATAACAGGAGAAGCACTTCAAGCATACATTTTTTTTGGTCCTATTTATTACCAAAAGCTAAAACATATGGTTCTTGATAAAATGCATGCACGCGCAAGGTAAATTTTTATTATAAACTTTTTTTTTATTTATGGTCTACATTTAGAGGGCCTAGAGCCATTTTAACACGACAACCAACTGAAGGACGATCTAGAGATGGAGGTTTACGTTTAGGGGAAATGGAAAGAGACTGTCTTATTGCATATGGTGCATCTCAACTTCTTCTTGAACGTCTAATGTTATCATCTGATGCATTTGAAGTTCATATTTGCGAAACCTGTGGTCTAATAGGTTACAAGGGCTGGTGTAATCGATGCAAAAGTACTAAATCAGTTACTAAACTCACAATTCCTTATGCTGCTAAACTTTTATTTCAAGAATTAATTTCGTAAGTTTTTTTTTTTTTTTTAATTTTTACTTAAATCTTATAAGAATGAATATCATTCCTAAGTTGATTCTAAAGGACGAGTTTTGATTATTTCTCTACCATTTTATGTATATTTTTCTTTTTGTCTGGAATTTTTTCAATTATATAAGATCATCGGCGATCTCTTGACCTTCATCCATTTTAATGAACAAATGCCCTTTAAAAAAGTCAGATTTGTTTGTCAAAAACCTTTAAAAACCGTGTGGATATTATAAATAACATATATATTATCTTATATATGGAAAAAGAGGACATTTTTGTTCTTTCAACTTTTCAACAAAATCAATTATCGTCTTTTAAAGATGTAACAAAAGAGTTCTTTGAAGCATTAAAAGGTTTGTGGATGAGGGATTAATAGGTAACATTTGTAATTTATTCATAGATCTTTCGCTTGGAGAATTAGTGCATGATTCATCTTTTTCATTAGAAGATTCAATTAGTGCACTTGAAGTAAATTTTAAATTAAAAGAAATGACTTAAAAAAAATTAGATGATGGACCCAAAAATGGATAATGGCTTGGAAATGAATAATGAAATTATATGGGATGTGGAAGCAGAATTAAATCCATATAAAGTTCTTGGTTTAATAGATAAAGCCTTTGCAGCAGAGGTGCAGCTAGTAAAATTATTTGATGCAATCTGATAAGAAAGATATCTTGGCAATCAGGTTATTTTTTATCTCAAACAGTGTTTACAAATGTATATATTCAAAAACTATTACTGGAACGTCAAGGTGTTATTCATATAAATGATTTTTATCTGGAAAATAAAAAAAAACAAACCATATATAAAGATTTAGTAGACGTTGTTCTATGGCCGTTTATGATTGCTTCAATTAAGACATGTGGTATTTTTTGCCAAATATTTAATAAAGGCACTCTTTATGAAGTAAACTATTGATTTTTAATAAAATATAGATTGAATTAAGATAAATAGGAAGAAGAAGTATCCTTCAATAGCCACGGTTTATCTTTGCTTGATAATATTGATACGGCTCAAATTTTAGATTTGCTGAGATTCTCCATCTCCTGGTTGGATAGTCATAGTAGTAAATTTGATGAAGAAGATCGTAAATATATCAAAGTCATCCAGTCTAGATTGGAAACCAAAATATCTTTTTTACGTGCCTTAGATTTCTCTTCAACGGTTGATTCAATTAAAGATCTTGAATACATTATTAACAAGGAAAATTTAATTTTTGATTTCGGTCAAGAGATGGATATTTTTTTCTCTATTTCTGTTCAAGCTAAACTTTCAACTACTATGCCTCCTAGACCTATAATGATTCTTCCAATGGATATCGCATTCAACGATTTTAAACATATATGTGAAGATTTTCGAAGAATATTGTTATTAAGCATTGCAAATCCATCTATTTTAACTCCTTCAAATATTCTAGTACTTTTTATTATTTATAATTATTTATTTTAATTTATAATAATAGAATTTTTTTAAATATTTTAGAGCCAAAAAGCCTGCATCTGGTATATTTATTCGAACTATGCTTCAGGTAAACATTTACATTTATACATTTATATTAACTTCAAGAATAGTCTTTGTTTTTTTCAAATAATAATATGATTTTAAATAAGTATCCTGTTCATCAATTTGTTATGGATTCCATATCTGAGATATACTCGGCAAAAGAACTATTCAATGTTATAAATAAATCTAACGAAACATATAATGATTCGAAATATTCTATTTTTAATTCTATAAATAATTTTATTAAAACAGCTACTCCCGTTAGTTGATATGATACTTTGAAAATTGGTTTAATTATGACAGATTTATATGAATATTTTTCGTATAATGTGTCACAATCTTTCTCGTCAGCGTCGAAATTTTTGCAAACTTATTTTAGATTTAGAATTTCTTCAAACTGAGGTGCGTAATATACGTTAATAGTTTTTTAAAAAGGTGATACTTTAATAGGCAGAAAATATTGATATGCAATTGCATTTTCATGAGGATTCAATTCAAAAGCAAGATAATATATATCCATATATATTCTCATCTTGGTGTTTTTATGAAAAACTTCAAATAATGATTTTAATTTGTTTCCTAGGATTTGAATTAGAGCTTCACTCATCACATGAATTATCATTAATATATTGGTAATTTTTATAGGAAGAAAATGAATTTTATATTAAATAGCTCAATAGGTATTTAGATTATTTGTTAAAAATATATCAAACTCATTTAAACAAAATATCTTCTTATAATGTTCGTTTTTTTAACAAGAAATATCCAACTATATGTTTTTCTGAAAAAAATGATACTATTCTAGTTACTCAACAAATGAAATTTGATCAACGTTGGACTAATGGCTTGCAATTGTTATGCAATTCATTTTATAAAGTATAAAATATAAATGTTATTAAATTATTTAATAATTTGATTCTAGCTTTTTTTGATTTTGAAGCATTTTTCTCTTATTTGTTCGCCTAATAAACCGCAAGCACCTAAGTCTTTTATGTATAAACAACGTTTTAAACCATTTTTATTTTTAAAAACACCAGAATTTCTAAACTACGAAACGTTTATTAAAGATTCGGATATGTCAGATATATCAGTATTATTTTCTTATATATATATATCTATTAATATTTGATAGATAGTGGAATTACTTAAAATTTTAATAGATAATTTTTCAAAAGCAAAAACTATTTTCGAGATAATAAAAAATACAGATCCTAAAATTTCTAGCATGTTGTTGTGTTATGATGATTTTCAAAATGTAAGAGTATATTTCTCATAATCAAATATCTAACAAACATAAAGAATGTGAAGAATATCGTAGAGTTATGTCTAGAAAACGAATTAACTTGTAAAATAATATTAGAAAAAGTATTAAAAAACAATAACGTATGCAATGATGTATTTATTAACATAAAGTATAATCATTTGTGGTTTCCTACAATATCTATATGTCAAAATCATGAAACATTATTGTAAAAAATAATTTAATTTAAAAATCTATTATATAAAGTACATTGCATTTAACTATATTCAAATAATATAACGTAAATTATTGCTACATAATTTTTATAACTCATCATAATATGGCAACACATTTGTATCTCCAACTACAACAACACTTGGCTTTGTTTCAAACATTTTAGATATAGTCTAGCAATAGGTCATATGAAATTCCAAGCATATAAATACTTACTGATTTAATTTCAGTAGCTGTAATTTTCTCAATACGAGAAGCAATAGACTCTTGATCAAGAAGGGAACCAGAACTAAGATAATACGATCCTAATTCTTCATGTATTTTTATCGGATCAGTATCCACGTCAAACAAAGAATATTTTGCCTGAGAAATAGCCCTTTTTATATCATTGTTATCAATTTTTTCAGCCAAAGATCTTAATGCTTCAATAGAAGATTTAACGGCAACTTGAAGTGTCTCAATAGGTCCATAAATATGAATACAAAATAGTCCAGCATCGGAATATACAAAATTATTTGATAACAATTTGGTACCATTTGAGAGATTTTTTTCAATTATACCAAAGGGAGAATTCTCATATGACCATTTAACTCTAGAACCCGTACCAAGCAAATAACTCAATAAAATATATTCTTCAGAAGAAGGCATAAATGCTGCAGGTCGAGGAAATGAAATTAAAAAATGATTCATATAAGATTTAAAACCTATTCTATTTTCGCCTCCATAATAAATTGTCTTTGGAGATGATGCAAGTGTTCCAACAGAAAGATCATTAAAATGTTCACTTATAAGCTCTTCTAATTTCGATTGATCTGCATTTGTTGCCAGAACAACAAGATTATTCTTAACATATGACTTCTTTGCATAATCTCCAATCATTTCAACTGTTGCATAGTTTCTTTCATTAGTATAAATCGAACGACCAAGTCCTCTACGAAATGCTATCTCATGCAAAACATCCTGCCCAAATACTGCTGGTTCATTGTAACATCTTTTGTTTTCAGATAAAGCATAGGGTAATACAGTTTCGTTAAGCTCAAATTCTACTACTATTAACAAAAATACTACTTTTCTTTCATATCAAGAACCATTATATTTCGTTTTTATTAATACTTCGGCTAATAACTCAACAAAATATGCAAGATCATCACGAAGAAATTGAGCTGAAAGTGTCAATATTTCACGAGAACGCCTGGAAAAAATGTCCCCTCCTAGCAATTCCGTCTCTCTAATAATTCTTAAAGATGATCTGCACTTTGTATTCTATATATCAAGGACTATTTAAAAATAATTCCCCAAAATCATAAAAAACAAGTTACCTTAAATGCAAATCGTTCTAACAAGTGGGAAAGGCCAAAAACTGGTTCAAAACGACTTCCTGAACGAATAACAACCGATAGAGAGGTGCCATACCCCCCAGTATCCTTAGAAATAACATTTATACCATTTGTCTGTGTCAGACTAAATCTCGAAAAATCACTAGATTTTGATGCTGTTTTTTTAAAGGTCCTATAAAATAGACAAATTCTTTTTGTTAGTGCCATTTTTTTACGAAAAAAAGGCATAAAAAGGTCTAAAAATGAGTATTTTAAAGTCTTCTATTAATCCGAGGTTAAGATGAGCTGAGCTGTTACGAAGGCAATACAGTTTAAAATTGACTACCAAAAAATTACAATTTTCTAAATTTGCAATAAATGAGGAAAAAAAGAGAAAAAACATAAGAAAATAGACGTAAAAACGAATAATTATATATCATATTGGTATATCTTGTTTTTTTCTGGTTAAAAAATAAGCTAAAATGAGGAAAATAGAGAAAATAGAAAAGCAAAATGTCTCAGTATGCAATAGAACTATGTCAATTAATAATAGAGGATTTTTTTGGACAAATAGTACTAGTAAATATATATTTAATGTTATTTTTTAGTTTTTTATTTATTATATAGGCAACAGTTAATACACTTTTTTTTCATGGCAGATTATCACTAGGAGAAATATGTAAAATATCAAAACTACAGAAAAAATATGTAAAGAAAGCACTTGTTGTTCTTATACAGCACAACTTTGTTCTTTTTTCCACAGTTATTGAGGGATTTTATGAATTAACGTACTATGAAACTACATGGAAAGAAATTCTTAATATATTAAGATATGGGAAAGAAATATTGATTATTTCTAAAAAAATATCGAAAGAAGTAAGCGACTATTTATTAGATGTAATTATGAAACTAACGATGAAAGGCTGGAGCAATTCTTAAATATATTCATTGTCATGGAAAAGTTAAAGTACAAGATTTGTATGCAGTATTTTGCCCATTAAAAGATAAAAATAATGAGGAATATATATCAGTTCAATCTACCATAACACATATGCTTCAAAAAAGATATCTTCGTGTTGTTTTATTGCATCAACTTAAACCTGACTATGATCTTGAGAATGACTTAAGGAATAAAGAATTGGAAAAAAATCGTTTTTCTAAAATTGGAGAAACAAAAAAAAGCAAAGAAATATTGAAAAATATAAAAAAAAATCTTCAGAGTTTAAAAGATGAAGAAATGGATCCGAATTTAGGTTTAAAAAAAAAAGATGTCGATTTAATTGAACAAAGATATAAAAGACAAAAAAAGAACGGTGATTCATCCTATATTTTGGATGTGGGAAATATACTCGTATTGCTTATTTACTTATTTTTAAACTAGGAAAATGTATTTCTAAGAGTGAATCATGAAAAATTTATTACAATATCTCGTAATGCAGATCTTGTACAGCTTGTAGAGAATCGTATTGGGAAAGCAACTGCACAAGTATATTGCCACATATTACAACAACTCGAAGTTCAAAATAATAGCAACAACCAAGAAAGTATTCTCCTTTTATCCTATAAAAAAAATTATAAATATTTAAATAGACACTATTACAACAATGAGTATTCTACAAACATTTCCGAAAGATATAGATTTATCTAAAACATTTATTACAGTTCCAGATAATGATAATAAATCTATAAAAATGGATTCCGATGAAGAAATACCTTTAATAAATGATTTTTATCCTAATGAAACACCAGATAAAATGGCAATTGATACAAACGAATTTTCTAAAAAACTTGAGGAAGATGATACTTCTAGGATTTATGATTTAAATTATAGAGAACGTTTGAAACATATTGTTCAACATCTTGAAGCTTTATCTCAAGATTCGTATCCACTTCTTTTTAAGATTGAAGCTAAACATTTTGGGAAATGGAAAGTTGATTATAAACAACTATCATGTCTTCTTCAGGAGCTAGAATATGAAAAAATTATCGAACATAAATTTGGTTATATTGCTACAAGACTTCTTCGAATTATTCGTGAAAAAGGAAAAGTAGATGAAAAACAGGTATATTATTTTTCTTTGTCTTTAATCTATACACTTATATTTTTAAGCTTGCCTCAATTGCTTTTTTAAAACAACAAAGCATTCGTCCTATTCTTATGGCACTAACTGAAATTGGTGCTCTTGATATTCAAGAAATTCCACGCAGATCTGAAAGACAACCATCTAGTATCTATTTCTTATGGTTTCATAGGTTTGAAAGAGCCAAATCTATTTTAATAGATAGTATTTATCAAGAAATTTCTTATTATCATCGACATTTAAAGAATGAACTAAAACAAAGACAAAAATTGTTAACAAAAATTGAAAGAACTGATGTGCAAGAACATGAAAAAGAGCTTCTTCCAGTTAATGAACAACAAGAATTAAAATATTTCAGAGCTATAGAAGAAAAAATTTTAATACAAATATCTCGACTTGATAGATTAATAATGATATTAAGGGACTATTGACTTGGCATTTTTACTAAGATTTATTATTAAGCAATTTTAAATTATTTTTTATTTTATTTATAATTTCAAATATCTAAGCTTGATCGGATAAAAAAATTGAAAAAACTTAATAATAAATAATAAATAGCTAAATTCTTTACTAGAAGAAGAGCGAAAGATCAGTTAGAATGATAGAAAACAAACATACAACTTTGTAAAAAAAAAAACGAGAAAAAATCGCAAAAAATCAAGAAAATATGAAGATTAATACTTATTTTAATAAAATCAAAATATTTTTTAATAAATATTATGGAATCGCTATTCTTGTGCTTTCTCATACATTGTTTTCAACAGTAAATGCTAGTGTTAAAATGCTATATCAAAATTCTGTTCGATCTTGGAATTCTTTTCAAATTATTCTTATTAGAATGATACCTACTTATATTTTGACAATTATATATTCTAGATGCGTGGGAACGATAGAAAAAAGTGCAACTAATTTAAATGTAAGATTTTTTCTTTTTCTTCGTGGATTTTTTGGGTTTATAGGGATTTGTTGTACTTATTATTCAATACAGTAGGATAAATATATTTTATATATTCAAATTGACGAAAAATTTAAGCCATTTAGATCTTTCAGATGCTACAGCTCTATCATTTTTAAATCCTATCTTTATAAATTTATTAGGACATCCTATTTTATATAGAACTTTTAATTTTTTTGATATTTATGCAGCATTAGTTTCTTTTGTTGGCGTAATGTTTGTTGTAAAGCCAGGTTTTATTCTAAATAATCGCTTTTTTCGAACATTTCATAATAATCATTCTGCTTCTGAAATAATATCTTCTGCAAATTCTAAAGAAAGAGCATTCACTATTATGATCTCACTAATTGGGGTTTTAGCGATATGCTTTTCTTATATAATTATTAAAAGTATGCTTTGAAGATTGGTTATATTAATATATTAATATTATACAGGTTTGGGCGATAGTATAAATTCGTTGCAACCCATTTTATGGTTCTCATTAATATCGTCTATTGGTTCTATATTATTTCTTATTTCCTTTAATATTCCTTTTCATTTACCTTTAAATTTCCTTGAGCTGTTTTTGTTTTTTGTTATTGGTATTTCTGGTTTTTTTGCTCAGCTTTTTCTTACAAGGGGATTACAAATAGAAAAAATTGGACGTGCATCCTCTGTTATATATTTACAGATCATATTTTCTCTTTTTTATGATAAAGTTTTATGGGGGAAATTTCCTGACATATGGAGTTTCTGTGGAATTGTTTTAATTCTTATTGGGACAGCAATGACTATAATTGATTGCAGTAAAGAAAATAAAAGTCCAGATCATAAACCACGATATATTTATCTTCATCAATTAAAATCCGATGAATTGCTTGAAGAAAATATATAAAAATTTATATTGTAAAATTCTTAAGGTCTGTTAATAAAATGTAATGTTAATAACAAGATTTAAAGAAAGTATCTTAATGATATTTTAATGATATCGTAGAAATAATTTTCAAATAAAAATATTCATCTGTTTTGAATATTTAATAAAATTCTAGAAAATATTTTTTACAGAAGCCCCCTTCCTTCAATAGATATGCCATTGCGTTTTACCGGTTGTTTCATTTTTTGCATTTTTTGTTTTAATTTTCGAAGGTGGTCATCATTTCGCATTTTTGAAATATTGTGATTTACTTTTAAATGTACTTTAGGTGCAATTTCATATGATGTATTAACGGGTACAGGTATGATCGTTTTTTTATATGCTTTAGAATCAATTATATCACTGTTCGATATTCTCTGATCATTATACATAGCAGTACTTATTGAATTAAGTAATATATTATTTTGTTTTAAAATACTTACTTTGGATTATACAGAACAGTAGAAATAGAACGATCTCTATAATTCGAACTTCTTTTAATGATAGGACGACTCCACTCAGCTATAAAACTATTAATAATTATAATAAAAATGTATCTACTTGCAAATTAACTGATCTGCTTGTTTCTTTATTAATGGATCTGGCTTTTTTGATTGTTTATAGAAAAGAACAACTTTTCCAACACCACTTTCACGTAAATGCTCAGTCTGTATAGGTAAACGAGATAGTGCAGAAAAAAGCACTTTTTGTATATTTAAAGCAGGAAGCGATTTGTCTGGCAAAGGCTCAAGCCAAATTCTAACTACCTCCAAAAGATTGTTATCGAGGATTGAATCAGTAAAAGATGTTCTAAATATATTTAAGAATCGTTTCAAATATGAAAAATATCATACTTCCGTAATGCATCTTCTACTTCAGATAACATTTTAAGCTTCTGCGTTGCAGGTTTTTTCTCTGCATTTGCTTGTACATCTTCAATAGCTGCCTGTCGCATTTTTTCACGAAGAGCAATAATTTCATCATCTGCCATTCCTTCCAAATCCTATTAAACTTTATTTAATTCAAAATATGGGAAATTTCATATTTATACTTCTTCTCCTTTTCTCTTTTTTCTCCGTGAAGACATAATTGCTTCATTTAAGGCCTGATCTAGCTCCCAACGCGCTACTATTAAAAAAATTATACACTATTTGAACTATACATTCATTATACACTTATCAGGATCCATTTTACTACTCAATTCATCCTTATTCTCTTCCAAAAGCGTTTCATGAGTACGTCGTCGTTTTCTAATTAATTTACTCTTCTTTGGTTTTACTGAACCTTCTTGTAAAAGGCCTTTTCTTTTAAATTTAGGAAGATTATGCATAGTATATTCAGTTAAATCTGCTTTTTCAACCTGTGAATCCTTCAAATCCTTAAATTGTTCTTCATCTAGTTCTGACAATTCTTCGTCTGTATCTAAGTCAAATTCATCCATTTTTTTCGATGAAGTCGGATTTCTAATTCTTTCTTCCTTCTTATTCATTATTAACTTCTAAATATATATAATATTCCTATTTTTTAGCTTTTTTTTGCATCAAAAATACACTACTTTTCACTTATAAAAATCGATGACGTTGAAAATCTTGACCTGCCAAACGTGGACGTTGTCATGGAAACCTTTCATTTATAAACCATATATTTAATGAAAAATATATGAATTGTTCTATTTTTATTGATTCTCCTGCTAATATAGAGAAATGTTTTATGTTATCTTCTTATTTCAGTAAAAAATTCTACCTATTCTTTTTTTTCAGTTTTTAATCAAGATCCAAAAATATCTTAGATATTCAAAAAAATTTAATAAATATTTTCAATCCTGTTTTTAGCTTATTTCATAAACTTTTTAATTTTTTTCTATTTGTATTTTTTATTATATTTTTCTTAACTATCGATCTTAAATTTATAAAAATTAATTTGTTGTTATCTTTAATTAAGCTTTTATAAGATTCTTGATTTCTTAATCCAGTCGGTTTTTAAAGAATGTTTAATGAGGCGATTTGTTCCCGTAACGAAGAATTTAAAAAACATATTAAAAAGTCGAGAAATGAACAACAAAAGGCCTTTTTAATTGCTATTTTATTGTATTGTGGTTTGTTTTCAAAAGAAAAAAAAAAAAAATTAATTATAAATAGCACCTGTTATTATAGCACTTGTTAAACGTAAATTCGTAAATAATTAGGATGAAAATGTAATAAAAAATATTTGAAAAAATGCTAGTCGTTTTTTATGTATATAAAAGAAATATGTATATGATTTTTAAAAAAAAAAATAAAATTTAAATCCAATATTAAAAGAAAAGAATTATCTGGATCCTCGTGGCTTGGGCTGTTCAAGTGATTTCTTATGTTCTTGTATTTTTTCTAATGCTTTATCGACCTCATTTAAATCATTTTTTAAAATATTTATAACATATAAAATTCCAGCATGTTGATCGCTCAAAACCTTGGTAATCTTATCTAATTGCTCTTCATCTCTCCTCCAATTAATATTCATAATGATTTTGCCTTGTCTTGCTCTTTCAATAGACTTTGCTTTCTCACGTACAAATGTCATACGTGCCCAAAGTTCATTTATTTTTCCAAATACTCCAGGATCATTTAAACTCTTCGACAATTCTATTAGTCGTTGTTTCAAATTTTCTTCTTCAGGTTGAAGTGCATAACCCCTTCCTTTCAATATTTGTACCTTTGCTGCTAATGCTAATGAACGACGTGATAATTCTAAATGCCTTAATGTCGCCTCTGAAATCTTTACAGTTGTACTAAGATCATGTTTTTGTGATAATTCTTTGAGTTTATTAATAATCTCATGCATACGAACACGATACGTTGTAACCTGTTGTTCTTGAAGTTGAACTCTTTTTTGAATATCAGAAAACCCTATTGCTAACGCAGGAACTACACTATAGATAATTAAGTATGTTTTTTTAAAAAAAGAGAAACTACCTATTTTCTGGACGATTAGCAATTGCTTCATTCCATTTTTGTTGATTATGATGTGAAGGCTTAACATATAAAGCTACTTGATCTATTGGAACTCTATTATAGAAATAATATTGAAATGCACAATCAGGATGTGCTGGATCCCATGCATTTTTAAGTTTTTGAAGTTGATCAACAACTGATGGAAATTGATCAAGACCAAGAATAGAACTACTACCTAATATTTCGGATTGACTTACTCCAGATTTAGAACGATCTTCTGCTAAAGTATCAACTGGTGTTTGAATTTGAAGTGGTTGAAAACGAGAAACTATTTTTTGAAAAGGTGCACCCCATGAATAAATTGGAAGATTACTTAAAGTACTTTGTTGAGAAAATCCGCCAAAAGATGTAGATATAGAAGATTGAAGAGGCGCTTTCAATGTATCAGAAGTTCCTGTTGCAATCGTACTAGTTGATGTACTTGTTGGTATTCCCATTGATGTGTTTTGTGTTATACTACCTAATGTTGTACCTAATGTTGACGTCGCACCTGATGATGTACTAGATACCATTCCAGAAACCATCGGTCCTAAAGATGATGTACCAAACAAATTATTTGTTGGAGTTATTCCTGCTATTGGCACAGATGTAGGTGCTGGCGTTGTTACTGTTGGCGTTATCATTGTTTGTGTTCCATTAAATCCTTTAAAAATAATAAGAAATATATAGAAATATACGCTCTAAATATGCACCTTTTAATTCATTAAATTTGGATCCCGTCTGTCCTACTTCTTATTAAATTATACTTTAAATTTAATAATAAATATACCTTGAAAAAACATTTAGCTTAATTCAAAATATAATACTTAATAATTAAATAAAAATCATATAAAATTGTTTATTTTATAGTGTTTTATCATCTTTTTATTATGTTATCTTATCTAAACCTATAGAGATCAAATACTTCAAGTGAAAGGCTGATTTGTAGGCGGTATCGACGGATATAGTCTTTAAAAAATAAGAATCTAAAAAATATGTAAGTTTAACAAGTACTTAAAGAATATTTAAACTTTTTTTTAATACTAATTATATATTTAAATAGGGATCCAAAAAAAACCGTATTAAATGGAGATGTTTTGGTTGTTTTAGACATTTTTTATAAGAATAGATTTAATTTAAGTGATTAGAAGAATAATACAACATTTCCTGAGGAAATTCCTCATGTAGATGAAGTAGGAGCAACATCAGCACCTCTTAAAGCAGCTTCATATTTTATCGGAGCACGTTGTAAGGCGTTTAATGAAGATTATATGCTTTGTAAAGCAGAAAATCGAAGAAAACTTGAAGAACCATGTTTAAAGGAAGGTTTCCGTGTTACTAGATGTGCAATTAGTGTGTTAGTTATATACATATATATATATTTAATAAATTATAATTTGACTTTATAGTTTAGAAGATTTACATACATATTGCTCAGATCAGTTTAAAAAATATTGGAAATGTCTAGATAGCCATAATCATGAATTTCGTTCATGTAGAAGCCAAGAGATGGAATTTAATAAATGTGTTTTTGATAATTTAGTATGTTGTTTAAATAATTAATATTTTATTTATCAATGATATATAGAAACTCGAAAAAGTGATTCCAGGAGTACCAGAAGGAGAAGAGCCCATATTCCTAAAGAAAAAACCTATTTTCTAATTCGAATACATAACAAATTAAAATGCGAATTTAGATTCTTAAATAAAGTGTAAAAAAGATCTCAATAGATATTTAAAAATATATTTATTAAAGAAAGATTTCATCTATATCTCGCCTTTATTCAATATTATTTATATGTCTATTTGTAAGGGTCTTTTTGAAGATTTTAATCTTAAAAATTATACGTTTTTAATGTTATTTATTCTTCTGTTAAAGCAGTAATTCGTTCTATTAAACTTGTTTTCATATAATGTGCAGCAATTTTACGTGCTGCATCGAGACTGGTAGAACGTCTCAAAAGTGTTGCAAACTCTAAAGCTTTTGCTTGATGATCTTCTTTACACGCAATTTGCAACAATTGTAGTAAAATTTTATCAATTGAAATTTCTTTTTTAGATATTTCTAATTTATCTGATTCATTGTCTGCTGATGATGCTATAGTATCTTCTAAAAGAGTTAATAAAATGGATTCTCTAACATGCCTTTCTTCTAATGCATATATATTATTAATTTCTTCTGATTCAGGTAATAAAACACATGGTATTAAAAATTCGAATTCACTAAACATGGGACGAGGAAAATATGGATGTTGTTCATTTCCCTAATTTAAATAAATAAATAATTATTTACGATAGAGATTACTTTTAAAATAATGCAATAAAATTTTTGATTAGCCACTGCAACTGGCCAATATGACTCATCCTTTCCCTTTCTTCTTTTCATAAGATTTGTATCAAGAAGTGGAACCCATTTTGCTTGACCATGGATTCTCCAATGCATTAAGACAAGTAATATACCATCAGAATCAAAAATCATAGGATCCTAATATTTATTAGAAAGAAATATACTAAAAACAATTCAAATAATTGACTTACACCTTCATCTGAAAAAAATAATGATCGTAAATGACCTTTAGGTGGAAGCGCTAATAGATCATTTGATTGTAATACTTTATCCTGTAAAACATGTTCAAGAGTATATGTTAAGGATACCGAACCTTGAAAAATAATTAACTTATCGTGAAATTTTTACTTTTTTTACCATCTGAATTTAACGAACCATTGCTAACTACCATTACATAATTTTTCCATGATATACATGCTACTACAGGAAAATACTTTTGACGATAAATTCGAAGAGGAATTCCATTTAACGTGTATGATCTTAGATATCCTTTTGAAGTACATGCAATAATATTTGAACTACTAAGTGCAATTGCTAAAGAAAATCAGAAATATTAAGCTCTAAATAATAATAAATATACATAAAATATCTTCATCTTCAAAAAATTCGATCTTCCAATCAGTATGAATAGTCCAATTCTCATGGGGACGGAAAAACATAACTGAAGGACTTCCTTTTTTGGTTGAACTGGCAAATAATGCTCCATTGTCATCTAATTGCATCAATTTTGAATTCATATGATGAAATATATTTGAAAATACCAAGACAAGCCTTATCATAGAAAAAAATATCGGTAAAATGGTATTGACGATGCGCTTCCTTATCAAAAAATTCTACAGTAACTGTATTATGAGTATCTTGATCAACGGTCCAAATAAATCCAACAAGATTAAGTACTTTTTTTTTTAGTAAAAATATAATATGCTTGAAAAATACCAAGATAACGCCTTTTTTCCCTCCATGGAGTGCTTCCTGGCTGAAGAGGTTTGTGTATTTTAATTTTAATATGATTGTCTAAAACTCTTTTTGTAGTATAATAAAAGTCATCATCAGAAAGATCATCAAAAGATTTTTCATATCTACTTTCATTATATTTATATTTTGGAACATATCCTGCACCATCATCATCTTCTATCCAGCTCATATCATTATCAATATCAATTAAATCTTCATCACTTAATTCTCTTTTATTAAATTCATTAGTATATCTTTTCTTAGTAATGGAATCTTTTATGCTAGTTTCATCTAATAAAGGGCCCAAATGAGCAATTCGACCATATGGTTCTTGGTAATTTGATGGAATAATATTTGAAAAGGTGTATAATTGGCCTTGGTTTGTAGTAAATGATAAAACATTAGTTTTTGGATGCCAAGCAAGAGAAATCACATTTTTGTACTCTTGTCTTTATTATATTAATAATATTTTATAAAATAAAATCAACATACCTTACAATAATAGTTTGCGTCTTCGTTTCCCATACCAAAAGCTTCCCATCTTTTCCTGCACTACATAAATATGCCCCATTTGGTGACCATGAAATATCCGTAATCATTTCCAGGTGCCCAGATTTAAATGTAATACGTTTTTCCCATGATTTAGAAAACACTGCTATATCATTTATTCTTGTTGGTACTGCAAATGATCTAGCATCTGGATGCCATGTTACCCTCGAACATCCTTCAGATTCTGACTCATAAATCGGAATAATATGATCTATTGTATGAACAAGCTCGGGCTCTTCACTGCTAAATGAAAAAATATAAATAATACCATCTGTACATGATGTAGTGATAAATTTTCCATTTGGATCAAATGATACATGTTTCATTGGTTTAGAAAACCCTGGTAAATATATACTACAAAGATAATTTGTAGTATGCACCACCTTTACTCGAATCTCGCTGTATCCTTATTAAAACTTTTTTGTATATTCCAAATCTTATTACTCGCTACAAACAGCCAACCATTCACCATCTGGACTAAAAGCAATCTCTCTAACAGGTAAAGAACATCGTGTAAGCATTGTTAAACATTCATTTGTCTCTAATGAGAACAAACTAACTGTTGCATCTTCTGAACATGTAGCAAATTGATGTTTCTAAATACAAATATATAAACATCCAATTCAACCGAAAACATACTGATATAGCAATTCCTGTAATTGCATCTTGATGATGTTCAATTGTTAAAGGTTCATCATCAGATTCAACTGTAAACTTCCGAATCACCTGATTTGATCCAACTGTTATCAAAAAATATCCATCTTTTGAATACATAAGCCTAGTAAGGCCCGATGTATGTGCATATCTTGGTATTAAACGTTGTGTAGTCATTTCTTAAAAATATCCTCTTAATGATATGTTAAGAAACTACAAGATATAGAGATAACGAAGAGGTTAGGGAAAGAAAAAAATATAGTTAGAGAAAAAATATATAAAATATACAATAAAAGCGAATTGTGTATTATTTTTTTGATGATTGAATATTGATATTAAAACAAGAAGGTAATCCAGTACCTTTTGTAGATAAAACAGTAACATGTCCAATACTTTCACCAATAATAAATAAATCATGATCAGGAGAGATACAAGCAGAAGTAATTGCAGAATTAACTTCTATCAAATTTTGAACAAAAGGCTGATTGTTTCCAAGATCCCATAATTTTAAATATCCGTCAGAACCGCCAGTTATAAATTCATGAGCATATGAACCCCAAAGAGAAACAGTTGTTCCAGAATCTAAATCTTCTATATTTTCATCATCAGAATAAAACATTTTTGTTTGATCATGATGTAGAATGTGAAGAGGTATATCGGATTTTCTTGTGTCCCAAACATAAGTAGATCTATCAGTAGCACTAGATGTCAAATATCGAAGGCATGGACTATAAATTAGTTAATAAAAATTAATGAGATTATTAAATAGTTTACCTTAATGTAACTTGGTTAATATCTTTTTGAGAAGAATAACATTCAATAATTATGGACCAATCTTTTGCAGTGTAAACTCTAACTTTTCCATCTTTACATGTATTACTTCCAGTAACAAAATAATCAGAAAAATTATGTGCAAAAATAGATGTATGTGAAGTATTTTCTGTCTTTAATTCTTTTAAAAATGTTTCTGTCATAATATCAAATACAACTGCTGTCCCCAAATACTTAGACTCATCTATATTTTCATATCCAACAAGAAGAAGATGATTTAATAGATGATTTCCAAATGCCATTGCAGATCCATAAAGATTGTGATTAATTGTACCTAATTTCGCATACGAAGCACACAACCCGTTCTCATTTAATCTATATAAATGAATGTTACTAAAAAAGTTATTATTTATCAAATAAAAACACAAAATGTCAACCCATCATGCGAAGAAGCAGAGAGTATTTTAGGATTTAAAGGATGGGAAACCATCACATCAATCTTTCCATTCAAATCTAAGATTTATTTATTTATTTATTTTATATAAATTATTGATAATACCCTTAAAAGAATTCAATAAATGACCTGATCTTGACCATACTTTTATGGTAGAGTCAAAAGCACCTGAAAAAAGAAATAATCCATCAGCAGAGAACTTGACATTAGATACTGTTGGATAAAAAACATTTTCGTTAACAATTATTTTATGATCAGTTAAAACTGTAGCAATTTCACTATCTATATCACAAATAACTAAGTTTCCTTCACGATTGTAATCATCCTGTGTTGTAGAACATCCAAAGGCAAACTTTTTCCCTAAAGGATCAAATGTTAAATCAACAACATCGCCACTAGTTCTGTCAAAAAATTTATAGGGCTTTAATAATTGTATTATTTTTGAATTTATATGATTTGATATATTTTTTGAATATCTAGGATGAATCCATCCACCACATTGACGCTGTAGAAAAAGAGTAATCCAATTAGATTTTACAACTCTATCATCTTGTACTGATTTTTCCGGGCCTTTCATCAAAACTTTAATAGCAATTGGACAGTTATGCGCTTTACAATTAGGGTTGTCACTTAAAAATCTCTTACAATCATCAAAAGTTCGTCCAGGTAAAAAGGAATTGATTCTTTCTGTAATTTGCTCATCATTTAAAAAAAATAAAAGTCGAGATAACATAAATGCTTCATATCCTGTGAAATCTACATGAATAATATGATTTTCGAGTTTCGTAAGCTCTTCCCATTGTCCAGTATGACGAAGAAATTGACGAGCTTTTTTACTAAGATACGGTCTACACAGATTCTGGTCATTTTTACATGGAATAACGAGCTCCAAATGGATATCATACGCTTCCTTTTCATATTCTGATGTGGTTTCTTCATTAAGTGATCCATTGCCTATGTAATCTTTTTCATTTGTTATTATTTTTTGTTGTGTAGGAATTAAAATATTATTATAATAATATTCATCAAAAAAGTCATAAAAATACATTTCCTCTGGAAAAGAAGTGCTGTCATTATGTTTAAAATAAACTTTATTATCCATATCCTTGATTTTCTCAGAAATTTATTTGATATTTAAAATAATGAAAAAGATGCTAAAAGAAGTTTAATTTTAAAAACTTTTTTGAGAAAAAAAAGAAAATATAGATGTACTTGTCTATCAGTTATATAAATATTATGTTTTAAAGAAATCTTCTGACAAAATATAACTCCTATTTTTTTTTGTATTATTATATTGATTAAAATGATAGAATTATAGTAATTTCTAGCTCTTAAGATCTGCTAATATTTAAAAATAAAGCTCTCTCTAATTTTCCCATTTAAAATCTATAAAAGAACTATGAATTTCATTAATATATATATTTATCTTTATATCTAATTTCTTAGGGAGTTAAAACATTTTACAATAATTTAATATAATTTAAAAAGTAATATATTAACATAATGTAATGTAATATAATTCATAATGATTGTTTACACATAATATATTGTACAATTCTTTTAAAAAGATTAAATAAAATTAAATAAGGACATATAAAATAATTATAATAAATTTAAGATTTTTAAAAGAATTATACAGAAATTCAAACATAAAAATATATATTTTTAAACAATTTAGATAGAAAATCATAACATTTCTATAAAATATTTTTTATTTAAAACTTTTACTAAATATTTTAAGATAATCTAGATAAATATAAGATAAAAATATAATGCAATGTGATAAATGTAACAAATGTAATAAATATATTTCATTTAAAAAGATAAAACAAATGTTTTCGATGCGGTAAGGAAATTTTAGTCTTTGAAGTATTAAGCTTCTCTAAATTCCTCATTTCATCGAATAATATAACTCTATTTTATTCTGTAGAGAGAATAAAAAGCCTTTTTATTCTAAGGCATTAGATAGAGGTTCAATATACATGTAATTTACAGGAACCTACAATAATACGCCTTTTTAAGTACAATTTATAAAAATTTATGTTTTAAGAGCGATAACTACCTTTAGATATAAAATTTAATTTTAATGTAAGAATCTTTATTATAATTAAATACACAATTATTTTAAAAACAAAAATTTTAAAAACAAAATAGTTGTTTTTTAACCTTGAAAAACAAAAAAAATGAATTATTTTATATTTTTTTTAAAAAAATAAGATGTATTTCTTTTTTTTAAATTTAAAACAAACATAACTAATCCATTGTTTCTTTTAAACGTTTCATATTTATCAAAATATAAGTAAATCATATTTTGATTAATAACCGATAGTCCGAACTTTTTTGAGGACTGTTAAAATATAAAAAAAGGTTTTATAAAGCAATGAAAACACTAAATATACTAAATATATCTGTATTTTTTATCTTACTATAGAGTTGTTTATTTTTAGAGAATTTAAACGGTTAAAAAATGTTAACTACAACATCTATAAAAGCACCAATCTCTAGTTATCATAAAGAAAGCAATATTGCACGAATATCGGGATCTATAACAGCAGGAATACTTGAATTAGTATTATTTCATCCAGTATGTCTTTTATACTCTTAAAAATGTAACATTTTTCAGTAATATTTATTATATTTTAGATTGATACTATTTCAAAGAGACTTATGAGTAATCAAGGAAGAATAACTTCATTATCACATCTTAGTAAAGTTATTTTTAAGAAAAATACATCGTCTCCTTTGTATTTAAAGTTTGTATCTTTATTTCCTGGCTTGGAATATGCTGCAGGATATAAAATTTTTCAACGTGTATATAAATATTCTGGTCAACCTATTGTAATATTATAGATATAATTAAATAATAACTAAGTAATGTTTTCTATTTAGATTACAGATTATTTATCAAATCATTATGGAGAGGAATTTCAAAGAATTTTTGGCAAAGAAAATACTAAAGCAATGATTCATGCAACAGCTGGAAGGTATAACTTCTTTAAAAAATGAAAAAAAAGTAAAATATTCTTCAGTCTTATTGGAGTAGGGGAAATTATACTTCTTCCTTTGGACATGTTAAAAATCAAACATCAAACTAATCCCGATGCATTTAAAGGAAGAAAATTATTCCAAATTATTATTGAGGAAAATTTTAAATTATATAGAGGATGGGGCTGGACAGCTGCTAGAAATGCTCCAGGAAGTTTTTCTGTAAAAAATAGAAATAATAATTTAAATTTATTCTTATTTTATTTAGCTTTTTGGAGGAAGTGCTCTTGCAAAAGAACATCTTTTTGGACTTTCTGATTATACAAAAGCTACTTGGTTACAGAATTTTGTGGCTTCTATTGCTGGCGCAGTCGCTAGTCTTACTGCAAGTTTTATCTTCTTTGATTTTTTTATAATAATGTTTAAAATAGATCAGTGCACCTTTAGATGTAATTAAAACCCGTATACAGAATCGAAATTTTGATCATCCGGGTAATGGATTATTAATTTTACAAAGTATGATTAAAAATGAAGGTAATTTAAATTTCTATAAATATAATATGGTTAAATAAAGTAGGCATTTTTTCGTTTTTCAAAGGATTAACTCCAAAAATTCTCACAGTAGGACCTAAATTAGTATTTTCCTTTACAGTTGCTCAGTCATTAACGCCTATGTTTGATACATTTTTTTCCACTTCTAAAAAACATATGTATTAACGTTTTTAATTTGAATACTCAACAGATAAATATAAAAATCTGATATTAGCTTTTTTTTATTTGGACTTATATTTAGTGATATAAGAAAAAAAGCATTATATAGTTCGTACAATATATCTCCTTTTTTATTCATTAACTTTTCAAACCCATTTTTAACATAATTACCAAGAAAAGGCTATATTATTCATAATTAAATGTGTATAAAAAAATAAAGATTTCAGATAGTAAATTAAAATTGATCTATTAAAAAACCATAATTATATGTAAAATTTTCAAAATACTTAAATATAAAGAAATTATTATTAATTTATGAAACTTTTAATTAAATACATTTCTATATTTAATAATATCATACAGAGATTTCAAAAAACTATGATAATATAAATATAGTAAATATAATAATGATAAAACAAATATTACATTTTAAATTAACCAAATTATATGAAAATTCCTAATTTTTATTTTCTTTAAATTATGGGGAAAAATCAAATTTTGGTACATTAGCCATTTGAGTTTCTTGAAATACAGGTTCATCCCAATCATCTAATATTTATTAAAGCATGTAAAGATCGTTTTATAATATACTATACCCTCTGTAATTGAATCCCAAAACTTATATAAAAGAATTACACTTAAAAGAACAAATAGAGTCCCAATAAATGAGCCATCTATTTTCCCTTGAGTACCTTGACAAATATATTTACTTATAACAAAATTAAATATTTGACCAATTATGAATAAGATTAAAGATCCAGACAATAATACTAAGCATCAAGTAAATAAATAAAGAAAGGAAGATTAACAATACTAACATAATGGTTTCCATTCTTCCAATATTTTAAAAACCAGAATAAATTCCAATATAAAATATCCAATGACACAAAGAAGAGACCATAAAAAATAAAAAACATATATTCCGTAATTTTGAAACATACGAGAGCCACTTATGAACGTTTTGGTCCAAAAAAGCATTGAATCTAAAACAATATATCCAGAACCTAGAAATAAAAACAGAGAAGGAATAAGTGTAATCTATTAAATACGAAAAGTATAAGAAAAAATACTTAATAATAATTAAAACTCCTACCAAAACAGAAAAAACAGTTCCGTCCTCAAACAATTGATACCCAACAATCGCATTCATCAAAAGGACCCAAAAAAAAGCAGCTATAAGACCGATATGCACTGCTGTAAAATACTAAACAATCTCATCAATATTTTAACGCTTTATAAATGCTAAATTACTGCAAGTAATTTAATATTTGTAATAAATCCTCCTATTGTAAAAATTTGAACAACACTAATAAAAAAATACATTAATATTAATATTTGCATTTCTCTTCGGCCTATATTATAGAAATTAAATAGTATTCAGTAAAAATTACCAACAAAATTTACCAACTGCTGCAAATTTACTTTGAGACCGAATAACAAGCCATAATGCAACTAATGCAGCTAAAATAGCAAAAGAAATATCACCTTTAATATCAACTAATCATAATAACACTAATTATAAAATTTATACTTGGATTTGTTACATAACTTGTCGATCTATTTCTAACTCCCTTTAAAACACAATATGGTTCAAGTTTACCATAAAAAAGATTACAAACTACCACATATAAATAAAACCTTTATTAAAATACTGTAAAATATAAGAAATACCAGGAAGAGTGCTTGAACGGCAAACTGTTTTAAAACTTCCAAAACCCATATATTATGTTTTTTTTTGGTTTTTTTTTAAAGTAACCTTTTCAAAAAAAAAAAAAAACCCAAATTCTTAATATATATATTAGAAATATGTTAAACTTATATAATAGAATACCTAATATTATCTCTAAATAATAATATCAAATAATTAAAAATTTTACCTCCACTTACAATTTTTTAACCCTAAATTTTTCACACCGAAATAATCGTAAAAAAAAAAAAAAAGATTGAACCGTTTTATAATAAAGTACCATTCCCCTAATAATATAAAGATAATTAAGATCTATACAATAAATGTTATTTAGTTTTTTTCTTCCTTTTTAAAAAGAAAAATATGGTTTTTTAAATAATATTTTTTAAAATATATTAATAATTAAGAATGATGAAAATAAGAATTTTATGATGAATAATGAGTGTTTTAAGATATATAACTTATGGCAATTTATGTAAAGAATAGATTAAAAGAAGAGTGAATATTTATCTATATGTAATTAAAATGTTAAAAATGGAAAAAGTGTTTAATTACTTTTATGTTGGTTTTTTAATATAGAAAATATGAGGAAATATTTGTTAAGAATAGAATAAAGTTATATCAATAATCATAATCATCATCTGGATCATGTTTAAATGTGCTTTTAAGTCTAGATATTTGAGCCTGATACATTTGAGCGACTTGTTGAGAGGTTGTTGCTTGTTCAGGAGTTTTATCATTTCTAGCTCTAATATATCTAGGAAATCTTAAAGATATACCCTTATTAGGATCGACCTAATTTTGTTAAATAAATTGTAAAAGGGTATGTAATTTATACCATTCCGACAGCAGCCAAATATTTTGGACTGATACTTAAATCGGCAGCTAAAACTTCCCATACAGCTACAGGTTCAAACCATACATCAGGCTGTTCACCTTTTGCACTATGATGATAATATGACTTTTTATGTTCTAAAATATGATTATTAAAAAAAGAAGCATACGATTCTAATATTTCGTCTGAAAATCCAGTACCAAGCTTACAAATTGTCTCATAAACACCTTTATCCGATTTATAGCATCCAAGTAAATATGCTCCATATGTATTTGTACGTTTCCCTTTACCATAAAATCCTCCTAAAACAACTAAATCCAAAGAATCGCCAATATTTGACATATAATCTTTTTTAATCTATTTTTTATTAAAATAGATAAATAAAGTAACAATATGACTTTTAACCAATTTCTACTTCTTTTAGAGGGTTCATATGCTGATTCTTCACCATCAAGCATTTTAATCATTAAACCTTCACAACTATCTTGAATACTTTTTTCTAGAAACATTTGAATATCTTCTAGAGATTTTGCATCATTAAATTGAACAAAAGAAAAAGTTCCTTCTAAAGGTTTAAAAGATTGAAACAATATATCTCTTCTCTCATTAAGTGGTTTAAATATAAGAGGCTAAGATTTTTAGTATGAAAATTTATGAAATATTAATAATTACTTCTCCATTTAAATATAATATATCAAACGCAAATATACAAATATTGACCTTAATTGATTCGACATTAACTTCTTTTTTTTTTCTTGTACTTAAAATTTGGAAAGGTTGAATCATTTTTTTTATTCTGTCCCATGCAACTGATTCGCAATCTAATACAAAGCTTGTTACCCCATCTTTAGTAACCTAAATTATAAATCAAGAGAAAATCCAAAAATCATATTGCTATACTTTTGGTATAATTTCGATAATATCGGGATATTTATCTGAAATATTTTCTGAATTTCTTGAAAATATTTTAATTTCACCATTATTTGTAAGATGGATTTGTGTTCGTTCACCATCATACTTGTATTCACATGTAAAACTATGATTTTCAAATCTATCAAGGACTTCAGAAATTGTCTTTGTAGGTTTTGCTAACATAGGTTTCAAAGGAATTCCTTAAAAAGATTAATAATTTATTTTGCAAAATTTGAAGATACCTGAAGTCAATTTGCAATATTTAGAAAGATCTTGAATACCATGAGTAAGAAGTGTAGGAACAATTATATCATAAGAAGGAACCTGGCTAATAATTTTTAAAAAATAAACACATAAAAATATTTTTATTTACCTAAAAACTTGTTTAATAATATTCTCCGCATTCGTGAGACAAGAAGGAGTAACAATTGAATTATCTCTTTCAATCTCCATTTTTTTTACTGCATGTGCCAAAGATATTAAAACGGTTTTTTCTGCTAACCCAATTCTTAATTTTCCTTCTAACGAACGTATAATAAATTTTGTTTCATTCCCATTTGCAGATGATAAAAGCTTTTTTATAATTCCCAACTTTTTTACTTGTGACTAGGATAATTAAAAGCTATTTAATAGAAAGAAAAATACAATACATCCTTTCCAGATGTTGTAGCTATTTCTTTTAAAGATTTGAACACGTTAGGCACAGTAAGGACCGAAAATTTGAACATTGTAGGTTGATTGTTCCGTGAATTCTATTTCTATTAATATTAACTATCATTTAATATAAAATTAACCATTGCAACAAGACCAAGATCACCATATTCTTTATAATCTTCTTTTATTTTTGTTATACTTCGACCCATAGATTCTCCAATTGCTTTAATTAATAAGGATTCACCAATTCCTAGTTCTAACCCCTGATAATCAGATGATATCTATGCATTTTAACATTCCCTTAATAAAATAAATGAAATTACTCTATTTATCATTAAATATACACACTGAAGTAAATTTTCCGGAGATTTTTTTAATACTGAAAACAAAAAATCTATAGTATAAGAAAGAATATCTAGCCTCTTAGATGTACTCTCTATTTTTTCAAAAGTTTCGCAAAGAAATGAATATAAAATAGGTTCTTTCTGTAAACTATTTTTCTCATTTTCTGATAAAAATTGATTAAATTCAGATTTTTCTACATTCTTATCTTCCAAAACACATGATATAGAACAAGATTCACTCGTATTAGGAAAAATTGACTCGGAATCTCCTTTATTTTCCTTATTTCCTGATAATTCCTTAAATATTTTTCTTTTTTTAACTAATGAATTATTCTCATCTTTTAATCCATAAATATAAAATATAAACCAAAAAACAAACTGAAACCTTTAGATTCATCCTTTTTTTCTGAATTCTTAGAATTTGTATTGAAAAAAGAGCTTTTTTTGTCAAATATATACAACACATATAAATTATTTACTCAAGTATTGATTTCTTAATAAACGAAGACTTAACCATTAAAATCCTAAATTTTATAAATATTCTAGCTCTTCTAATAAATGAAGAGCATAATAAATAAACCACGTCTTTTAAATTACAAAAAAAACAATTTTTATTTTTTAAGATCTATAAGAATATCGATATATACAACCACTAAAGAAATGGGCAAAAATATAGATAAACTGTAATTCTTCCCTTTTCTGATTTAAGAGATATATAAAATACTTTTTTTTCTAATAATTCTTAAAAAATCATATGTTAAATATATTAAAAAATTAGATTTTATTCGATTGATATGTTGTTTTATTTAGATGATTGAACCATTCCTTTTCCTTTATATCCCTTACTACTAATACCTGTAATTGGCTCTATATTTTGTGTCTTAAGGAGTTCATTGGATGCTTCTTGCCATTCTTTTGTCATTGTATGAGGTGGTGATGCGGCTAAAATAAGTATATAAATATACATAAAAAAAATACATACCAAATGAACGAACTGTAAAGAATAGAATTGTTGATATAGTTAACATACTTAGCGTCCCTATAACAACCTTTTTAAAAAACCCTGGAGGATGAATAGTTGATCGTGAACCATATGGCCCAAAAGCAATAAAATATGCTAAAAAAATATTCTAAGATTTAAATTCCAAAAAATGTATGGTAACAATGAGTTAAAATACTTGAAGCCGTATTATATACTCATTTTATCTTATATCATAGAAAAAATAGACATACCTGCTTTTTTTTCTTCTTTTGTTAAATCGTGCCAGGGACCACGTTGTCGTTCATTTAATTGACGTTGTATATCTATTTTTTCATCTGAAGACATATTCTCCCATCGTTTTTCCAAGTCTATTCTTTATTTTAATGCTTTTATAATCACTTTTAACCTTTACCTAATAATGTCGGTTTAGAAAGTTTATGTTTAAATTGACTATATTTTCTCGTTTCTTTAACTTTTATACACGATTTTATACGGAAAAAACCATTTCTTAAAAGGAAGAGCATGATTTCTTCTGCTTTTTTGTCTTAAAAACCCTTTATTGTTAAAAAAAGATATTCGAAAAAGCAATCATAGAATCTCAACTTCAGCAAAGGAAGTGTGTCCTGTTATTTCATAAGGGTGTCCCGAAAGGGCTTAGGTTAAAATGAAGAGACAGGAGATGATCTTTAAAGGATGCGGAGGAAAAATAAAGAGAATAAATTAGGTAGGGAAAATTAAGAATTAACGCTAGAACTAATAGTTAACTTAATTTTAGATATTTTATATTTTATATTGTTTTTTTTCCGGTTTTAAATTTCTAAAATTAGATAAATATTTAATAAAAAAGATTGAAAGAGGAAAAAACAATTGTTGAGGGTTAAAAAATGAGAACACTGCATAGAAGTAGAAAAGAAGACGTGATAGTTGATGAGAAGATATCAATTATTGGAATTTCTAATTTGAATGGAGTTTCTATGGTTAAAACTGATAATTCTTTGAAAGATAAAAATGAGACACAAAATATGGATAATAATTCTACTTTAAATGATGAAAAAGAAGTTAAGATGAAAGAATTTGAAGTTTTTAAGGAGAGCTTTGGGAAAAAAGAGGGATTTGTTGTTTCTAATGATACACGATCAGTTAATGAATCTACATTATCAAAAAAGAAATATAAATTTAAGTTAAAAACGGGAATATGTTATGATGTTCGTATGAGATTTCATGCAACGATTAATCCAGTTGATTTTCATCCGGAAGATCCTCGAAGAATTTATCGGATTTATAAAGAAATAGCAGATGCAGGACTTATTAATTATGATGGATGGTCATGGTCGAATATGAATGAACAAGAGATTATGGAGAGGATTTCGGCAAGGGAATTAACACGAGAAGAAGCACTTTTGGTACATACTGAAAATCATTGGGATAGGTTACTACAAACAGCAGGTAAAGTTAAACTATGAATATAAATATAATTTTAAAATATATAAGATATGTCGGTTAATGAGCTTCTTTATTTTGAAAGTATTTATAACTCAGTTTATTTCAACAATGAATCTGCATTCTGTGCAAGACTTTCAGCAGGAGGAACGATTGAAACATGTATTGCAGTTGCAGAGGAAAGAGTTCGAAATGCAATTGCACTAGTGCGGCCACCAGGCCATCATGCTGAATCGGACTGTCCTATGGGATTTTGTCTGTTTAGTAATGTAGCAATTGCAGCTAAATGTATTCTTCAAAAATTTTCCAATATTCAGCGTATTTTAATTTTGGATTGGTTTTTAAAATATTCTTAAATAGTTTAGTTATTAATAACTTTGATAGGGACGTTCATCATGGTAATTTGAGCATTTTTTTTTTTTTTCCTAAATTTTGAAAAGGAAATGGAACTCAAAGAATTTTTTATGATGATAGTTCTGTTCTTTATATATCTTTACATAGATATGAAGATGGCAGATTTTATCCTGGATCCAAGTATGGAAATTATGATAAAGTAGGCGTTGGGAAAGGACGTGGAAAGTTAGTTAAATTTCCATTTTTTCTTTCAAATATAACAAAATAGGACTGTCAATATCCCATGGCCATGTAAAGGAATGGGGGATGATGATTATATATATGCTTTTCAAAAAGTTGTTTTACCTATAGCATATGAATATAATCCTAATATGGTGATAAGTATATATAGATACATATTGAAAAAATTATATAAATGTCCTAGTTTCTTCTGGTTTTGATGCTGCTATGGGTGATGAAATTGGTGAATGTTTTGTTACGCCTGTTGGATATGCTCATATGACTCATATGCTTATGGGATTAGCACAAGGAAAATTAGTAACTGTCTTAGAGGTTATTTAATATTGCATATTATTATAAATTCTCCTTCTAATATATTTAAGGGTGGATATAATCTTGATTCAATATCAAGTTCTGCTTTGGCTGTAACAAAAACTTTAATAGGCGAACCTCCTCCTGAATTAAAAATAACTAAAGTTAGCGATGCATGTATTGAAATAATACAGAAAGTTATGTTAGAACACTCAAAATATTGGAACTGTATGAGACCAAAGTCTTTGGAATTGAGTAAGCTTATTAATTTTTAATTTTTGAAATTAATTTTTAGACATGGGATCACATTGTATTGAGAGATTAGATAGTAGGATATATCATTTTGAAGAAAGATTGTACTGATTAAAAAAAGATATTATCCGAAGTTACCAAACGAAAAAATTATTTGAAAAATGGAAGATGATAGTATTACCAATAATTAAAGAATCTATTTCATTTTTTGAAAACCAAATAATTTGCACGTATGCCCATGTATTAACTATTTTTATTTCTACTCTAATAAATGTCTAGGAGAGATTTTTATAAAGCAGAAACACTCGTTGTTATTGTTCATGATGCGTATGTTATTCATTTATATGAATAAATTTATTTATTAATTGGTAGTCCTGATGTTGTTGGTTATTCCTATGCTTCTATAAATAAAATAAACATATGCAATTCATTTTTGGTACTATATTTTTAAATTTAAATCTTTCTTATTCTTTTAGATTGATTCTCTTAATTTATATATTGAATGGGCTATTAAAAACCAATATGGTCTTATGGATGTTAATATTGTCTCTTGCTTAGATACTTTAAATGTAAGGAGAAATTAATTATAATGTTTTTGATTTTTATATTTTTAGAATGAATCATATAATGTAGCGTCGGCTTCACAGGAACTTTGTATTTATATATGGGATAATCATTTAGAGTAAAAAGCATATTTTAAAGTCAGATTAATATAATTTTTTAGAATGGCTGATGCTAAAAATATTATTTTTATTGGGGTGGGACAAGGTTGTCAAGGATTCATTCATTTAATGGAATATCGAGGTAAATTTTCTACTTAATTTCCTTGAATTTTCTCACTGTTTTTTGTGTATAGATATTTATGATCGTGTTGATGCTATTGTACAATTTTATGGTGATAATTCTTTAAAAGCAATTTCATCAAACGACGAAATTGCTGATTGGTATTTTAAAGTAGTATATTTTTAATTTATGTTTATAAGAAAGCTAAGATTATACAGCATTCTCTTGTATTAACAAGTAATCGTCATCCTATATGGAATCTTCCTAAACGTATAAAAAGAAAATTTGGAAGAGTTATTAGATCAGGTTTTATTAATTTTTTCATAATCTTTTATTAATAGAAAAAAAGACAGTAATGAAATAAACGAAATATTAGAAAATTCTTTTAATAAAGTTTCGGCTTTTTTTCAAGATATTTTGGAATCTAACACTGCTATCGTGGATAATTAAGTCAGATACTTTTTTTTTAATTTTCAAAAGAAATAGTTCATATACTGAAGATTTAATCATTGAATTTATTTTAAGTCTAATATATATATATCATTTATTTTTTAAAAAAGGATTTTCTACTTTTCGACAGCGTTAAAAAAAAATAATGCATGAGATAGAATCTCAAGAATCAGATATTTTTTCTCAAGTTGTTAAAAAGGCAAAAGATGTTATATATTGTGGAGGTAGGATATTGTTTAAATTAATTTATTAGTATTAAATAAATCAGTATGTTCTTTTCCTCCTGAGGTTGTTTAATATATTTTATAAAGAAAATCTGATAAAATATTGTTTTAGTACTGCGAATATGGAAACTTTTCTGGTAAATGTATGGAATGGCTCAAGGAAAATCATATGGAACTTTATATTCGACTTTATTCTCAAGGTTTTTTATATTTAAGATTTTCGCAAATTTTTAAAAAAAATTAAAGATCCTTTGATTATAGAAAAACAAGATATAATATTTGAAGAGAAAGAAAAAATAGATGAAAGTAATAAGATTCGAACAAAAGAAGAGACAAAGGGTTTAAAAAAAACGAAAAAAAATACGATTTCGAAGGTACTCATTAAAAGAGTTGAGAGAAATAAAAGAAAATATGTCGTTATTGTTCAGGGATTAGAATTATATGGGATCGATGTTAAGAAGGCTTCAAAATTGCTTGGTAAAAAATTTGCTACGGGAAGCAGTGTAACTAAAAATGTTTGTGATATTGATGAACTTGTTATTCAAGGCGATCATATTGATGAGATATACAATTATATTCTTGAAACATATCCAGAAGTAAGATTTTTTCTTTTTCAATTTGTCTTATTTTTAAAGATACCTGAAGAAAATATAGAATGTTTTAAAGACAAACAAAAAAAAAAGTAAATGCATCTTATAAAAGCAGAATTTTAAGTTGAAATTATTTAAAATAATCGTTCTATTCACTATATGGCTTATATGATCTTTTTTTTCAAATATTATACGAATTTCGTTTTTAACATATAGGTTATATTTGTTTATAATTTGGCGAATTTTTTTTTCTATAGATATATTTGCATTTTGATACATTTTATAATCAATGTTTTGATTTTAAAAAGCATTCAATATAAGTAATTTTAGTACTGTAGATTCTATTTTTAAAATTTATGAGATGTCTGTATATTAAAATAGTTGTTTTTAAGGAATTGAAAAAGATGATTTGTCTGCCTTTTTTATTTATTTTGCAACTTAAAATTATATTGGTTTTGAACAATGGTAGACCTTACGAAAGAACAAAAAAGTAGTTTTTTCAACAAAAAAATCAAGTTTATTCGTTTATATTGAAAAAATATCATAAAATAAAACATTTTCAATGAATAAGTAGAAAATTGAAATAACAAATCATTATATTAAACTTAAAGAATTTTAAGAGCTATAAAAAGTAAAAAAAATAAAAGATTCAAATAAAAATGGCAAAAGAATGCATTGATTATATTTATTATTCATATTCATATATATTTATATAATTTATTTTTATATAAAAAAATTTATTAAATCTAATCTACCAAATAAAAAGAAAATCATTAATATAATATATCATTTTATTCAATAGTTCTAAGAATGTTAAATATATAAATATTTTTTTTGTTATTAATGTAAATTCTTTTAAATAATGCTTAATTTAACGAGTTAACTAAAACAATTAAATTAACTTTTATTTTTTTTGACTATACAAAAGAATTACCCGATTCTTTGCTTATATAGAAAAAAATATTATTTACATTTTTTATAATATTAATTAAATTTCATTTTTAATTTCTATATTGATTGTATTCATGTATTTATTATTTATTATATAGACTAAAAGATATATTCTATTCATTTTTCATTCATAAATCTTATTTTATCTAAAAAATACTTATCAATATATTAACTTGTTAAATACATTAATATATTGATAAGTATTAAAAAAATTGATATCTAAAGAACTTTTATTTATTTTAAGAAATTACTTAAGATTTTTATTTTTCTTTTAATTATAAAACATTAAGTTTCTCAACATTTTAACTTTACACAATAAAATCTATAAAACAAAACAATATAAACTATTAATTTCAATTTAACCCTAATACAAAATTTCTTGATGGTTATTATAATTATTTCAATAACTATAATAACAATTTTTTTTAGATACTTAGATCTAAGTTAATATTCTAGTAAGTATATATATTTACTAATTTTTTTTAAAAAAATTATTTCTAATTTATAATATTTATTAAATCATATATAAATATAAAAAATGATTACACGATATACGATATTCTTAGATCTAAGATAAAGAAACTATTATGGATGAAAGGGATATTATCAGAGATTTTTCAAAGGAAATAGATAATTTTAAAAAGAATTTATTAAATATAACGTTTGATTGTAAAAACAAGTTTTTTTTCATAAAAAACTGATTATTTGAAGACACAAATTTACAAAGTAAAAAACTTGAAAAATTTTCAAAATATTGCAGGAAATATCAAGAAACTATAGATTATCAGAATAGGATAATACAATCTTTAGTTGAAGAGGTTTTTTTCATGATTTTTTTCTCAAAAAATAAACTTATTTTTAAATTAAAGAAAAATAAAGAAATTCAAACAATTCATGAGCATAAAAATCATTTAAAAAAAGACAAACATCAAGGTAACTCTTTTAAATACGTTAATTTTTGAAACTATATTAATATAGATTTATTATTAGACTATAGGTATAATTTTTAAATAATCTTTTTATAATTAATAAGATAGTAATTATATTAAATCATTTTGCAAAAAAAATTCAGAATATGATGCATTGTTATTCTTTCTTGAAAGATATGAAAAAATGAAAGATTCTCTACTTTATTTATCAAAAAAATATAGAAAAGATAAAAAAATGTGGAAAGAATATATAAATTATTATGAAATAGATAAAAAATCTAAGGATTTTGGATTGTTTAAGGATAGATGCAATTTAAAAGAAAAGGGAAATTTAGAAGAAAGCAATGTTTCGGATTCATTATCGATAAATAAAATAAATTCAAATAAGTTGAAAGCAAATTCCGAGACTTTAGAATCTTTAGTATTAACCAATTCTTTAAAACCTAATATGAGCCCGTCATCATCAATTTTATCAGAATGTCTTGACAAATATATTTTTGACAATCAAAAAGATGCTTGTCATATAACTGAATACTTATATAATGATTCTACAACAGAAGATGAAAATGAAGCGATAAAGCCATGCTTTGATGATTCTAATATAAAAAAGTCGTTTAAAAATTCTAAAATAAATGAAGAAGGTATTTAAATAATTAAAAATATTGATATTTATAAAGAATTTAGAAGAATCTATTTTATTTAAATCTGTTATATCAGATAATAATACAGAAATTGTTAATTATAATTTAGGTGATATAAGGAAAAGTGAAAATAGTTCTTTAAAATCTTTTCCTACAAAAAATATTGAAGGTTTTCATGTAAGATAGTTTTATTGATTTTTTTATAAAATTAATTTTTATTCTAATAATGCTAAGGATATAGCAAAAAATCCTCAAATAATGACACCCGAATCTAAATTGGTTGAACAAAATACAACACTAAATATATCTAATTTCTTACCAACACCTAAACCAGATTCTAAATCTATATATCTAAAAACTCAATCTTTCAATAAACAGAGAGGTTAATCCATTAATATTTTACTAATATTAAATATTAATTAAATTAAAGATTCAAATAAGGAAAATATATCAAAAATTTCTACTGATTTTGGTATGTCTCACACTTTTTCAACATTTAGTAACGTTCAATCATTAGTTAGCGAAACAAAGCATATTCAGAAAACAAACAAGGAATCTGCTAGTGTATTATTATATTCTGGTTATTCTTTAGAAAGCTAAAGTAATTTAGAATATTGATTTATCATCAATATTATCGAAAAAAAAAAATGATATACTAATTATAGATTCTTTTTCAGAAAAAGAAATCATAAAAAACACTTTTGTTACAGAAAAAAGTAATTCAGATAAAAATACAAATTTAAAACGTGGAATTTCTCCTCAGAATGATGAAAACAATAAACTAGATAAAAAAAATGAATTTACATTTAATTTCAATTTTAATAACAAAAAATTAGGAAGATATGCAAAGTATTTATATAGAAATTTTAATGAAATAAACTAATTCATTTTAAAAGAAAATCTAAAAGCACAGAAGAATCTTTAAATGATTATGTTATCGATTTAAATAAAAATGATAAGATTCCTTATGCATATGATGAAGTAGTTAGAGATAAAGCATCCAGAAGGCATCTTCCTGCATGTGCATGTGACAATTGTATTAAGGTAATTTTTTTTGATATTATTATCAAATTGATATACGATTTAGTTTTTTGAAGCACATGGCCCAATTGCCACTATTTTTAAACCTAAATGGAGATCACCTTTAAAAAAGAAAACATATACAGATTCAGATAAAGAACATATTTATAGAAATCTTCAAGAAGTATCTCGACATAGATCTGCTTTTTTTAGACCCAAAACACCACCTGGATTTTGGGAATCTGATTTCCCAAGTACACAACAGGAAGAAATTTATAGGAAACAAGCACAAGTACAGAACTACGAAAGACTTAAAAAAAGACAACTTGAGGCAGAAAGAGGAGGAAGATGGAAAAAGAAAGTCTAATTACTACACATCATATTTTTTAAATTATTCTTATAATATAAATAATAAACAAAAATATCTTCTATTAAAACCTAGTTCAATTTATATATTTTTTTATATTTTCATAAAAAATTTTAACCTATCTTAAACATTAAATTGCTTTATTTAAATGTATAAGTAGTTATCAAATTAAACATAAATCTTAATAAAATAGTATCTTATTTAACTATTTTATTTATTTTTTATACTAAATGGTTTTTCATAAAGAAATATATATTATGCGACATGCACAAGCAGAACATAATGTAAGCAAAAACTACAACTTAAAAGATCCAGTATTAACAGGTTTTTTATTAAAAATTTTAAATTGTTCTTTTTTTTTAAGATAATTAATTAGAATTTGGCAAAGATCAAGCAAGACTTCTTTTATTACATTTTGAACAACTTAAAAAAGTAGAATTAATCATTTCATCACCAATGCGTAGGGCATTAGAAACTGTTATGATTGGATTTGATGGATATCTGGATTTAAAAGATCAAAAACATATAAATTATCCATCTATACCCTTAATTATTTTACCACAACTTCAAGAAACCTCTGATAGAAATTGTGATACATGTTCGTCACTCAAAAATTTAAAATCATGGTTTCCCTCATTAGATTGGAGCTTCTGTAGTCAAGAACAGTTATTAAAAACAGGTTTTTTTGCTTATGAGCCAAGCATGCTTGAGAAAAGAGCCATTTGGCTAAGAAATTGGATTTCTAAACGTAAAGAAGGCAAAATATTAATTGTTTCTCACTTAAGTTTCATCAAATATTTAGTAGATGATTCAACTTATTGGGCAAATCTTGAAATAAAGAAATATAATATTGGAACTGGTCCTATTTTCAAACAGGTTCCTTTTTCATAAAGAAATATCAATAAAAACAACACTTTTATTGAAAAATTGCATTTATAGTTATATTACATTTCTTTTTTATACATAAACTCAAATATTTAACTTAAAATATTAGAAAAAAACAAATTTTTAGTAATTTAATATTTCAAATATTCTATTTAATATTTTATATATAAAGTCCGCTTGAATTCTTTATAAAGGAACATTTGATACATCTTTTTATAAGATGCTTTTAACTATATAAGTACTCATTTTATAGCTCTCGAATGGTGCAAAAAACCAAAATATGAGAAAGCCTCCAAATACTGATTTCTATCAGCAAAGATTAAAAGCATGGCATCCTATTTTAACACCGAAATATGTTTTCCCGATTTTTTTTGCTCTTGGATTAATATTTATGTCTCTTGGAGGGATTTTGTTATATTTTTCATCACAAGTAAGAGATATTTTTTTAAAAACATAGGATTAATAATAAAAAAGGTACATGAAATAATAATAAACTATACGTACTGTGATAGCCAAGCATCTCTGAATGAATTTAAGTCTATTCCAAGTAAATATGTGCAAATGTCATTTCCATCTAATGTTCAATCTATGAATCAAGCTATATGGAAAAAAAAAATTAATGAAAAATCAGTATATTCTATTAAAGAACCTATATGTTTGATTCGATTTGAGATACCAATTGATTTAAATCCACCTGTTTTTCTATATTATCGTTTAACTAATTTTTATCAAAATCATCGACGTTATGTTAAAAGTTTTAGTAGAGATCAAATGATGGGACGTGCAAAAACAGCAGCTGAATTAAGGAGCTCAGATGACTGTAGCCCTCTTTCAGTCAGCGATAACGGGAAGCCTATTTATCCATGTGGTTTAATTGCAAATTCTATGTTTAATGGTAAATATTAATTTTTATAATCTATAATTATATTTAATTAATATTGAAGATACTATTAGTCAGCCAAAAAGGCTCGCCTCTTTATCAGGTGAAGTTTTAGAGCCTTATTTTATGACAAATAAAGGTATTTCTTGGTTGTCAGATAAAAATATATATAGAAAAACATCATATCGTCCATCAGATGTTTCGCCTCCTCCTAATTGGGTATTAAGATACCCGAATGGTTATAATGAAACAAATTTCCCTAATATTCATGATTGGGAGGAATTTCATGTATGGATGAAAACAGCAGGACTTCCTACTTTTGAAAAATTATCATTACGAAATGATACAGGTATAATGAAGGCAGGGGCATACGAAATAGAAGTTGTTATGCGTATTAATAAATAATAATTATGAATTTTTAGCTAAAGAAAGCTAGATTTCCCTGTAACCAAATATAATGGTAGTAAAACAATTATTATTTCAACTCGATCATTTATTGGAGGAAGGAATTTGTTTTTTAGTATCGCATATATTATTTCGGGCGCATTAAGTTTTATTATCGGGTCGTTTTTTACATGTTGTTATTTAATTAAGCCAAGGTTTGAAACTTTTAATTATATGATATGTGCTAAATTAAATAGGAAACTTGGTGATCACAGATATCTTTCTTGGAATCAAACTTCATTTCATAATCCCTTAAAATCAATGAATATAGCTGAAACTAGATCCCGTTAATTTCTACATTTTTCTTTTTGCATTTAGAAATCATTATTGGGTTGCATATAAAACAAGTTCTTCTTTACTAATTTTTTTCTCCGTAATTCGTTCACGAGCCCATGGTTTCCCTTGTTCAACTAATGCACATGCCAATAAATGTTTGCAAATAGGTACAGGTTGCCCATGTATTGAGCCACCCCAATACCTATTTGGATTAATTACTTTCTTCCATGCTAAATGATAGTCTTTATTAAATGCAGAAAATGAAAATTCCGGACATGAGCAATACCAAACTGATGTTCTAACTTCATACAGTTTACAAGACGTTTCATGAAGCTCGTTTGTTTCTGAAGGAATATAAAAAATCTGACAAGAACATGAAGTAGATGAATCAGTTGACTTTTCATCCCATGTATAAAGAACAATACGCCGTTGATCAAGTAAATCCAATGCAAGTAAAAATGTATCTTTGAATATATAGTAAAGTGAGATAAAAGCCGCCTTATCGGCTTCTGAAGATGTTTCGGATGGCTCTTCTGAAGAAATTTGAGAAATAAGAGCCATTACGCATGTTTCAATAGACGGTTCTTCCATTTTTATGTCTAAGTTAATTACTTATTTTCTATTTCAACAACTATATTCGTTAAAATTACTTTTTAATAGTTTTGATTTAGTTATTTGATTTTTTTCCTTTTATTTTTTATTATAAACCTTTTTTCAACTACTACACTCCTAACAACGTTAACTCGAATTTCTAACTTTCGTAAATCTTTTAAAATCAGATTAATTTAAAAATATTTCTGGAAAATAAACCCAAGAATAATTATGGCTTTCCCAAGTTAAAAGTTCTTTTTCATCAAACCAAAGCTGAATTTCTCGCTGTGCACTTGAAACACTATCTGAACCATGACAAATATTACGGCCAATATCAATCGCAAAATCCCCTACCTATTAAGCCATTTCTTTCATAATATAATATTTTTTTGATACCTCGAATAGTCCCTAATGCTGATGCCAAAGGATCTGTTTCACCAAGTATTACTTTAAAACATAAATTATTTGCGTAAACAAAGGTTTTATATCTGTTCTTTACCTCGACCAATTCTTACTACTTGTTTTCCCTCCCAAACCATTGCACATATAGGTCCAGATGTCATATCTGATAAGATTAATAGATAACAGCTGCTATGACAACCTACAAGTAATCAAACTAAAGAAATTAAAAGAGAATTCAAAAAAAAAATAAAAAATACCTATCAAAGAAAGGTTTTTCACGAAGACTCCTATCTAATAAGAAGGGAAAAAGATTAGTTTAAAAAGTGAATTTAAAAAATTGCAATTCTAATTTACATACAATGTTGTTCTAAAAGTTCACGACACGCCTTAATAAACTTAATAGCAACAAGTTTATATCCTCGTCGCTCAAAACGACTAATAATTGTTCCTATAAGACCTCTTTGAACTCCATCTGACGGTACAATTATAAGTAATAATAATAATATTTAAAAATTTAAAAAAAAACCTGGTTTTACTATTTATATTAAAAAATATTCTTAAATAAAAGGAAAAAAATACCTGCAATAAATGTTTGTTCATCCATTAAAAATAATGTTATATCTATAATTTTAACAGCAAAAAAAGTAGAAAAAAATAACCTCGAAATTACAATACTAAAACCCTAACCCATGTCATGTACAGGTTAGATATTTATTTTCAAGGGTTAATTCTTACAGGGTTAGGAATATATTCAACAAGGGTAGGGTTAGGCTTTGAAGATTACGAGGTCCAGTTTAAAAATTTCTAATTTATTAAATTATTAAAAATTTAATTAATATTTGAAAATACTTAATAAAGCATGTTTCTTACACGATCAGGTAAATCAACTTATAAATGAATTCTCTAAAAAACGCTAGAAAAAGATTAATTTTTAATAGAATATGATCGTAATTCTCATGCCTATTCACCTGAAGGACGATTATACCAAGTAGAATATGCTATTGAAGCGATTAAAGTACAAAAAATTATCTTTATGAATTAATTGTCAAATTATTGAATCTGTATTAGTTAGGTGCAACTGCTATGGGAGTTGCTACATCAGAAGGTGTACTTTTAGGTGTAGAAAAACGAGTAACATCGCCTCTAATGGAACCCTTATTAGAAAAAATTATGGAAATTGATAGCCATTTGGGTTGTGCTATGTCTGGGCTCACAGCAGATGCCAGAATTCTTGTAGAACATGCACGTGTTGAATCTCAGAATCACCGATTTACCTATGACGAACCCATTTTAGTTGAATCAGTTACACAATCTATATGTGACTGTGCACTTCAATTTGGGGAAGATGCAGATGAGGCAGTCATGTCAAGGCCCTTTGGTGTAGCACTTTTAATAGCCGGTATTGATGAAAATGGCCCACAATTGTATAAAAATGATTTTTCTTAGTAAACTGATTCTTTTAGATATCATGCTGAGCCATCTGGGACATATTATCGGTATGACGCTAAAGCAATTGGCGCAGGAAGCGAAGGTGCTCAATCTGAACTTCAAAATGAATATCATTCTGTAAACATATTTTAGATGCTAATTTAATACTAATATCATTTAGTCGATGACATTGGAAGAAGGAGAAATGCTAATTCTTCGTGTATTGAGACATGTTATGGAAGAAACATTGGATGCGAAAAATGTGCAGCTTGCAAGTGTAACACATGACCATGGATTTCAAATTTATTCGAATGAAAAAATGCAGGAAATCGTTTCCAAACTGTAAATAAATACTCAGTTCGATGTTTATTTTGTCACAAACTTATTGTGCATCTCTATATAAATAATATAATTTAATTACTATAGTTTCTTGTTTAAACATATGACATCTATAACACCATACATTTAATATATCATTTATTAAGATGCTAACATGTTTTTGTTTCCTCTGTTTTCTTTATCATATTCGTAAGAATTATTTAGAGTTTTGTAGTTATGATCATTAAGAGTCTGTGGATTGTAGTTATCAACTTTTTCTTGATCTTGATGATAACCATCTTCTATTTCCTTAGAATATGCTTCATTAACCATATCGGAATGTTCGTATTTGAAATGATAATATTCAGAAACTGCCATAAATCGTCTATACAAAGAAATTTCATTCTAATGTTTTGAGTCAAATAAAAAAATAGATTAGAGAAAATATACTTCAACTTTCCAAAATATTTCGTAATGTTTATACCATGCATGATTAAAAATTCTATAGAGACGACGCATTATAGAAGAAAAATGACGTGTTGAAGAAAGAGGAATCGATATTCTATAAAAATTTCAGTCAATTCTATCTCCATATCACATAATTTACTACTTGGATGGAAAGTATTTGTCCGAGCACAATAATGTTGATGTATTATCTAGTGTATGTAAAATATAATCAATGGCTACGCATTCTTGAGGAGGGTTATGACATGCGCACAAATATTGCCATTCATTTGCTCTCATCTCTGGGCATTTTTCTGGAGAACATGAATCTTCAAGCATACCCACCACTAATAGATTCAAATCAACTATGAATCGTCTTATAAGTTCATAGACCCAAATCCATGGATCAACACCTTTAGGAGGCTCTGCTATTTCTTTTGTACGCTTTACGGACATTGGATGTGATGTTTCGTTTGAAAGAAGTCCATCCAAATATTCTTCTAAAGAAAATGGTCCTTCAAAATTCAATTCTATTAATGGCACTATAGGAATGTCCTATTAAATACCAATTAGCCATTCCTATTTATATAAACAAATGAAAAATACCTCTTTTTTCATTCCTGGCCGAAGACGTTTTTTAAATGGCCTATCAACTAATGTCTTTATGTCTAATGACTCATCCACTGATGATTTAATAGGCTCATTCAAAAGTGGAATTGTATTAACACATGTTAAATCCTCTGAAAGAGGCTTAACAGAACCCTTTGAATGCGCAAATGATGACATTATCCCTTAAAATATTTGTTTTTTTTGGGAAAAAGTTCTTATAAAAGATTCTTTAAAATTAACCTTTAAATAATTAAATAAAACTAAAAAAATATCAGTTTCATCATAAATATATCGTAGAGTATTAATAAAACCAAGAAATTCATATAAAATAAGGTTATTTACCCGTTTTTTAGGATTATTTATCTGCAACTAGTTTTTTGACGTTCGTCTTTATCCGATGTAAGCTTAAGAACTAGTAAAGTCTTTGCATATAAACGCGCATATATAACGCATACATTTCATAAATCAAATATAAATTTAAAAAAAAAGTACCTTATCCTTATTATCTAGCAATTTATACTAATCGTCAAGCATTTGGTTATATTGAAATTGCATCATCAGAATCTGTCTAGTAGATATTATCAGAACTATAGAAAGCTATCCAATATATAAAACAAGAAGTTTTATATCTAATTATTTCTATTATTGTTGGAATTTTGTGTATTTCTTTGTTTTTTAAGAATTTATGAGTTTAAAAATTACCAAAAATTTATCTAAAAAAACATATTTTTTCTACTAGAAACACAGTAGGGAGTTCTTTTAAACATTAAAGATAATATTATTTATTCATATAGGATTATTATTAATTGGATATAAAATATATCAGCTTTTTTTATGGCAGAAAAAGTTCCATTAACAATTTTAACGGGTAAGCATTTGAAACATAGAATTTATATCGAGTATCTAAATTGTTTTTATAAAGGGTATTTAGGATCAGGAAAGACTACTTTGCTTAATTATATATTGGAGAAACAACAAGCAAAAAAAATTGCAGTGATATTAAATGGTATCTTTGTTTTTAGTTATATTATATATCAAAGTATTTATTTATTTAGAATTTGGTGATTGTATTAACAATATTTTCTTAAAAAAGTTAATATATTATAAGCATCGGATATTGAAAAATCATTATCAGTAAGTACTAATGGACAAATTTCAGAGGAATGGATTGAACTAAACAATGGATGTATGTGTTGTATGGTAGGTTATTTTTTTATAACTCTAGGAAAATTAATATTTTTAGATAAAGTAAGATTATATATAAAAAAATATAATTAATATTGTTAGAAATAATTCTGTAATGGCAATTGAGAAATTGATAAGTAAGAGGGGGGGGTTTGATTATATATTGTCTAAAAAAAGTTTTTATTTCTTTTCTAATAATAAACAGATTAGAAACAACTGGCCTTTCTAATATAGGTATTAATTTTATTCAAAATAAAATAAAGGCTTATGAGATTATAGGATCTATTGTTTCTATGTTTTGGGTAGACGATTCCTTGGAGTCTTTATTATATCTTGATGCAGTAGTTACTGTAATCGATTCTTATAATATTATCCGTGATCTTGAAAATGTATCTAATGAGCATGGAACAACTATTGCTCATGTACAAATTTCTCATGCTGATGTTTTAATTATAAATAAAATAGATTTGTTAAATGAAAAACAACTTCAAATAGTTATAAAAAGAATAAAAGGTATAAATTCAGAAGCTAAAATGATTTTTGCTACCTATTCTCGAATTGAAGATGTTTCTTCCATTTTAAATCTTCATGCATATGATAATAAATCTACTTTATCCATGGAACCAAAAGAAATCACATATCATGATCCAGTATAAAACAATTAGAAGTTTATACATGAAAAATTAATGTTTTAATAGAATGTCACGACAGTGACAGTTCAATTGAGAGTTTTAAAAGATGAAGCACAAAAATCTCAACTTGAACGTTGGATTCAATCTATGTTATGGGAAGGCGAAATTTTATCTGGGAGTTCTGATAAATATCCAGTAGAAATATATAGACTTAAAGGTAGAATTATGCTTCAAAATGCATCATGGTTAGTACAAGGTGTTCGTGAGCTTTATGAATTTATTCCTGAACCCACTTCAAATACTTTTCTATCTTCAAAACTCATTTTTATAGGTAAAGGACTTTTCCAAATACCTTTACAGAATATTTTAGATACATTTATGAATTTTGAATAGTTTATTTAAAAGATATCTTTATATTTTTTTATACATCTATTTTACTCTAAATTTATATTTTATTTGAAAAAAAAACAAGTTTATCAATGAGTTCTATTCCTTAATAATTTTTATGAAGAATAAAGAAGAAAATAATAACCCTCTGAATCAAGCAAGAGAATTGTTTGTTCAAGAAGCAGCATCTTTTTCCGAACTAAAAAATGAGTCAAAATCTTTAGAAGAAAACCAAAAAAGTGTGGAAAAATGTCCAGGAATTGAAGAAAAAAAGGATAATATATGTAAAAAACGTATTGCAGAAGATAAAGGGAGTAATTTTGTTGAAAAATTTGAGGGAAAAAGGCCTAAAAAAGATAAAGAGAAAGATTCTCCGGAAATCAACCAAACTTCAAATTATCAGTCTCAAGTGAGCTAAGAAAGAATTCATACATAATCTTACTATAATAGACATTATCTGCATCATTTAAATCATTTTCTGAATCTTCCGTTTCTCCTTTTTCATCTTTAAAATCCAATAATCCTATATTTGTCAATCCATCTAACCAATTGGAAAAAAAAACATTTGGATCAAACATATCTGGACCTAATTTTGAGTCTCTTTTATCTTCATCAAAAAACGATATAAAAGAAGACGTTAGTGACAATAAAATAACAAATTCTTTAACAGACACATATAAAAAGGCTTCAGATGAAGCATTTGGTATATTGCTTAAACAAGAATTGGATTGTCGTGATAGTTTTGATGATAATATAACAAAAGTAACTACATTTATATTAGAACAAGAAGGTACTTTGGAGAAAAGATATAATTTCATTAAATATCTAATATTTTATAGTAAAAACAGGCGAAGAACATGAAAAAACTATTTATTCTACAAGAGCTAGACTTTATGTTGTAGATTCAGTTACAAAGGATTGGAAAGAACGAGGCATTGGAACATTACGTGTAAATATTGATGAAACTAAAGGAATAATTAAAAGGTCGCGACTTGGTATTTATTTTTACCCTTTTTTTTTAATTAATTTTCTATAAGTTATGAGAGCAGATGCTGTGTATAAAGTTATTTTAAATGCATCTTTATTTAAAGAAATGTTAATCGAAGGTGGAAATATAGATAGTTCTAATGCATGTAATCTTGATAAGTTTTTAAAAATTGTTGCTCTTGAAGATGGAAAGCCTACACAATTTGCAATAAAAGTAAAATTAATTTATATTTATTAACTTTCTTATTTTTTTTAGGTTAAAGATAATACTGTTGCTCAACAATTACGTCAACATATTTTATCTGCTCTTCCTGATAAAAAAATTACACTCTAAATCATTATTACATACACATCATTTAAGTCTAAAAAACATTCATATTTTTAATCATTAAAAAAAAAAAACAAAAATGGATATTTATATTAGTGATAAAAATTTATCATTTTACATAAAAAAAAATATTTTTTAGTCAAAAAATATTTATATGGTATGGAACAATTGTTATATATATATATATATTAAAAAAAAAATAATTTATATAAAGTTATTTCTTAGTAGCGCAAGTCGAGATTTTTTTTAAAAATTTTTAAAGTCAAAATTTTTGAAAACTATTTAGAAGAAAAGGGTTTAAGATAAGGGATATTTAGGATATTCTTTAAGAATGTTATTAAGAAATATTATCTTAAAGACTTTATCTAATAATTATGTTAAAAAAGGGCTTTATTTGGTGCGGAAAAACTCTCAAAAGGTTCAAGGACAGGTTGTAATAATATTATTAAAAGATAGGAAATTGACGTAGAAAAACAGGTTATTGGGATTGATTTAGGCAAGATCTAATTGGAAATTGGTATTTTTCAAGTAGTGTTAATGAAGGGTTAGGAACAACGAATTCATGTGTTGCAGTAATGGATGGAAGATTACCTCGTGTGATTGAAAATTCAGAGGGATCTAGAACTACGCCATCAGTAGTTGCATTTACTAAGGAGGGTGAACGTTTGGTTGGTGTTGCAGCACGACGTCAGGGTATTTAATATTTGTTTAAAATAAGATAATTTATGGCTTTCAGCTATTGTTAATCCTGAAAATACATTTTTTGCTACGAAACGGCTTATTGGGAGACGTTATGATGACGTTGAGGTTAAAAAGGATATTGATCAGGTATTAGAAAGTTAGGGATTTTAGGAAAGAGAGTTGATTTTATAAAAAAGGTTCCATATAAAATTATCAAATATACAAATGGAGATGCATGGCTTGAGGCACGTGGAGAAAAATATAGTCCGAGTCAGATCGGGGGATTTATATTAAATAAAATGAAGGAAACGGCTGAAAGTTATCTTGGAAGACCGGTTAAAAATGCTGTTGTGACAGTTCCAGCATATTTTAATGATTCTCAACGTCAAGCAACAAAGGTAGCTTATGCGTTGCTATGAATCTCAGTATTTTGTCAATATGAATTGTTGATATTTTTATTAGGATGCGGGATCAATTGCTGGTTTAACGGTTCAGCGAGTAGTAAATGAGCCTACTGCAGCAGCACTTGCCTATGGTCTCGATAAAGAAACAGATAAGGTGGTTGCAGTATTTGATCTTGGTGGAGGAACATTTGATATTTCAATTCTGGAATTAAATCAAGGCGTTTTTGAGGTAAAGTCAACGAATGGTGATACACATCTTGGCGGCGAAGATTTTGATATTACTTTGGTTCGTTATATTGTCGATCAATTTAAGAAAGAACAAGGAATGGATTTATCAAAGGATCGTATGGCTATTCAACGTATTCGTGAAGCATCGGAAAAGGCAAAAGTCGAGCTTTCATCAACTGTTTCAACAGAAATTAATTTGCCTTTTATTACAGCAGATGCTACTGGGCCTAAACATATCAATATTAAGATAACTAGATCACAACTTGAAAAACTTGTTGAACCTCTTATCAAAAGGACAATTGAGCCGTGTAGAAAGGCAATTAAGGATGCAGGTATCCCATTTTCATCTATTAATGAAGTTATTCTTGTTGGTGGAATGTCTCGTATGCCTAAAGTTATTGAGACAGTTCGGAATGTATTCGGGCGGGAGCCTGCAAAATCTGTAAATCCCGATGAAGGTAATTCTTACGTTAATATTATATTTTTGCTCATTTTTTGCAAGCGGTTGCTATGGGTGCTGCTATTCAGGGAGGCGTCCTTTCTGGAGAGGTCAAAGATATCATTCTTCTTGATGTAACTCCTCTTTCTTTAGGTATTGAGACCTTAGGTGGTGTATTTACTCGTTTGATTACTCGAAATACGACAATACCAACAAGAAAATCTCAAGTGTTTTCTACTGCAGCTGATGGACAAACAGGTAAATATATAAAAGTCTTTTAATTTATTTTCTAATTATCTATAGCCGTTGAAATTAAAGTATATCAGGGCGAACGAGAACTTGTTCGTGATAATAAGTATCTTGGAAATTTTGTATTAAGCGGACTTCCTCCTGCTCCCAAAGGGGTACCTCAAATTGAAGTAACATTTGACATTGATGCAGATGGAATCGTTAATGTTTCTGCTAAAGATAGAGGAACTGGCAAAGATCAATCTATAGTTGTTGCTGGCTCATCTGGATTATCTGAGTCAGAAATTCAAGCTATGATAGATGAGGCATCTAAATATGCTGAAGTGGATAAATCACGAAAAGAATCTATCGAAGCTGCTAATCGGTAAAATTAATAAATTCCTTTATTTTTTTTAATATTTGTATTTAGTGCGGATACTGTTGTACATGATACACAGAAGGCTTTGACTGATTTTGAAGCACAAATTGAAAAAGAAGAGGCAGATAAAATACGTTCTTCTATATCTGAATTAAGAGAATTGATTGCTAAAGCACAATCTGGCGAAACAATATCTTCCGATGAATTGAAAAATAAAACGTCAGAATTGCAGCAGGATTCTTTAAAGTTATTCGAAAATGCATATAAAAAGAAACAAGAAGCGCAACAAAATCAACAGTCTGCTGAACCTGCTGGAAATGAAGAAAAAAAGGATTAATTTTGAATATTTTATAATTAGAATATATATTTTTTTGATATCATTGTTAAAATTGATAAAAATATGTATATTATTTGGAAAAAAATCATTATTTTGTTTTAGCATTTATAAAATGGTTTTTATATATTACTAATATTTATAATAAAAAGATAGAAATATTTTTTATAATCCCAAAATGATAATTATAATTAAATTAAATATATAAATTGTATCAAAACTTTAATAGTTCAATAATTTAGGGAATACATATTATAGCCATTAATAATTATTTGTATTTTTATTAATCTTCTGTAGTAATTGACCGCTTGACAATTAAATCTCTCCCTTCAGCTTGACGATAAATTCTATTAACATCCTCTGTAGCTGTTTCAAAATGACTAGTAGCATCATAACTTTTTGAAACAAAAATATTATCTTTACTATCACCAATTGGTTCCAAAATATCACTAACATAGATGAATCTAATATATGTTAAAAAAGCTTATCCAAAGACAAAAATAACTTTTTAACAATAGGTCCAAGTAAATTAAGACCAGGTTCTACTTCTATATGAGGGTTATCCGTTTCAACTATTGTCGAAACTATTGCAAGATAATAACCTTTTGGACAAACGTTATGAACTGATGATACCATAGCAATATAAATATCTAAATTTTTTAAAAAATACAATAAAAATTAAATGCAAACCATGTTTTCGTCGAACTTGACTTTGAGGTATAATAATTTGCAAAGAATCAGAATTATCCGTATTTGGAATAGGATGATTAAGTATACAAATAACTCGAATAACTTTCCCAGTTTTTCTAACTCTATCAGGAAAATATGATGGATCTCCAATAATTTTTGATGCATAAGCTATTTCCCCATCGGATTTGATACCAATTGCAACCCCATTTTCATAAACAATTTCATCAACTTTTCTATTTAACATATATGTTCCTCCATAAACAGCAGAGAGTCTAAAATATGTGTTATAAAAGAGATAAAAAAAGAAAAAATTACCTTGCAAAACTTTGAGGAAGATCACCTTGCCCAAAAAGAGGATATATATATGGAGATTTTCCATACAGTGCCACTGAATTGATGTATAAGATAATTCGTTTATATGTCTCTTGAGCAGGTTGAAATAGATAGCTTTAAAATGTAAATGAAGACAATAAAACAGAAACACTACCTATCATCAAGATATAGGGCCATTGCATGGCCAATAAATTCTTTTGTACCCGTTTCCAAGTTAAATTTGGAGTATACTTTATCCATAGAATCATGATTAAAATCGAGAGCTATAAATATTAAAATATAATAAAAATAAAAAATATAAAAATCACATTGATGTGTTGTAGTATCGTTTTCATCATAATTGCAAATAAATTCCAAAAATTTCTTCATTCTTCTTTTTTCAAATAAATTCATTAAAGGCGAACGTATAGCCTTAAATAATAAATTAAAATTCCTTTAAAAAACAAGGCAATATACCTCTATATCTGTAGCAGGCACCTTGGCTATTTTTTTATCCTTATATACAAAACTCCCACTAATTGATTTAAATTCTAGGTAACGTGTAACATCCGTATGCTATAGAAATTAAGAAATATAAAGAAAATCTTAGAACTTATAATATACATAAAGCATACGAGTTAACTCCCCATTTGCAATAATAAATTTAGGAATTAAATCAATAGACCAGCTACGGTCGTTTCCTAAATATGAGGGTGGCTCTTGACCTGGATAAAACTTTTTATAGATCTGATTAAGCGATAAACTTGCCGTTTCCCTAATTATTTTTAATAACTAATAATATTATTAAATTATGATTTTTAACCCTCCATAATAATTATTTTTGTCAAGATGAAGCACTTTTTTGTTTTCTACACTAAGGAGTCCTGAAAGAATACATTCTTTTAATCCGGTTCCTTAAATAAAAAATCTATTAACAGATATTTTGTAAATTTATACAAATTTACCAAGTATAATATAATCATATGTTTCATTCATTTTGATATTATGTTTTTAATACTTATAAAATCTAAAAAAATATCTCTTTAATAAAGAAACAACCTTAAGTATATAGCAAATACTTTTGTTTTTTTATTTAAATAAAGCTTTTTTATTTTAAAAATCAATAAGCCGAAGTAGCGAACAGCGAAAAAAATTGAAATTTCTTAGATTTCAAAATAGCCTTTTTTTAAAAATGTATTTCTTTTGAATCAAAACAAGACAAATCCATCAGTTTTAATAAACAAAAGATTTGAGATGTAATAAATTGATAAATATGAATAATATTAACCTCTTAAAATAAATAGTACGAAATTTAAAAAAACATAGACCAGTCAATAATAATATATGTATATCTTCTTTGTTCTAAATAGTGTAAACAATCTTAGAATTTGTAAAAATATAAATATTTTGTATATTCGTAAGTATAGAAGAATATGTTTTGAAAAGATATAATTCTTGAATGTCTTAAGAAATAGAAAATAGTTAATTTATGGGATGCCCGTCTTTTTCTGCCAGCTTTTTTGCAGAATTCCATGCGCGTATTCTTTCATTTAAGACAAATTTCAAGCGTGCCATTGTAAGTCGCACCTAAATATGAATAAATAAGATATTCAAGTTATTTTTATAAGATAAATAAACAAAATATTAAATAAAAAGATACTTCAAAACTTACCTGTTTGTCCCTTTTGATTGCTTCTTCAATTCCTGTAAAAATACGTAGTCGACGACGTTCATGACGTTGTGTAGCAATAATATTTCTCTCTTTAAGACATATATACCATAAACGATGAAGATCATCAAAGGATTTAAGCCGTAGTTCTGATGCCATCCATGCACGGCCTATAACAATACTGAATAAGCTTGATTATTTAAAAAAAATATATGATAAAACCATGTTTCATGTCATTTTTAGGCGTAGAAAGAACCTCTTTTTTCAATGATTTATCTTCAGAATCTCTGAAAAAATCCCAAAGTCCATGTTTAGGATTGATTTCTAAAGAATTAGACTGATTTGGTTGATATTTAATCTGATAAGGTTTCACTTTGGATAATGATTGTGTAAATCTTTTATATATAAAATTCTTTAAAGAGATAATATTCCTCATAAAATAGAATATTTATATTTTAAATCAAAAAGTATATTATAAACTTATGGAAAATTAAGTTATATCTATACCCGTCTTGCGTTAAAAAAATCAAAATAAACGTATCATATATATTTATAATAAAACTAGATAATACTTTAACAGTAGAGTATAACTTTATATAATAGAATGAGAACAAAAGCTAACAGAAATAAAAATACTTTTAATCGACAGTGAAAGATATACGTTGTGTTAAATTAGAAATTCGAGTTATTTGCGTATTATTTGTAATAATATGATCTAAATTTTTATATTTTTGTTTCCATATTTCGACCTCCATGCCACCACGTACAATGGCTACACGCATAGTTGATAAAAGATTATGTGCACCATTGCTATGATTATAAACGCCTCCGTTAAATATAGCAGTTGCATCCTTTCCTATAGCAGATGTAATTAATGCACGTCCACCAGGATGAGAATCAATGAATTTCTCAACATCATGGACAATACCAGCAATTAATATTAATGGCCGTGTCTTTGCTTGTTTTTGAAATTCTTCAAATTCTATGATGGGAAGCTGATCGAGGGGAGTACCCCAATCAAGTTTAGCCTTCCATCGATCAAGTTTTTTTTGTTTTTGCTGTAATATGCCTTTTTGGACTTCATTAGATGGAAATTCTTTAAGATTATATGCTAATCCTATTTTTTTGAACAGAATAATTAACCATTTAGTTGGATCATATTGATACCATAAGATAGCATTTCTATAGTCCATAGGAAATTGGTGATGAAAATTATGATATCCTTCTCCTAATGTAGCCAAAGCTGTAAATACGTGATCTCGAGGAGAATGTCTATCATCAAAAGGTTGACTACCAATCCAATGTGCTAACGAATTAACACAAAACGTGGCATGTTGAACAAAAACAAGTCGACAGATTCCTGAAAAGAAAAATCCCCCACGCCAATCTTTCCATCCAAGACCTGCAACAAACATTGGAAACAAAAATCCCATAATAATCATAATCTTAAGATAATTCTTATGCTGCCACATCACTACCGAATCCGCTTTCAAATCTGATATATCCGAATATCCTACTTTTTTAGGATTCTGTCGTACAATCATCCACCCAAAATGTGAATAAAAAAGCCCTTTGCTAACCGAATAAGGATCTTTATCTGTATCTGTATACCTATGATGTGCACGATGATTACGTCCCCACCATAAAATAGACCCTTCTACTGCTCCTCCTCCCAACAATGCCATTAGAATACGGAGAAAAAGTGTAGCATTATATGATCGATGAGACCATAATCGATGATATCCGGCTGTAATTCCAAATCCTGTCATAAAATAATAAATCAATGACCATATAAATGTATTCAATTTTAATGGTGTTGTAAAAAACCCATAAATACCCAGTATTGGAGGGACAATTAATAGTATACTATTGATCCAATTAATTTTTCTGTACCAATTCTTAAGACTTAAAGGCTCATCAGGTATATTATAACTGTTAACTTTGTTCTCCATTCCATCAGATCTCTAGATTTATTATAATTTTAATATATTTTTAATGAATTTACAAATTTTTTGTATTTTTAAAGTTAATTCCCCCAACTTCTTTTTCCCCAAAATACCTAAGTACACACAGGGTGTCCTTTTATCGATAATTTACGTAGATATTTAGATAAGGGTTTCTTAAGAATTTTTGATATTAGAATCGGGTTAAAGAGATAGAATGTGTTAAATTGATAAGAATAATTGAGTAGAAAGATTTAAGAAAGTATATTAAGAAAATAAGTAATTAATTATATGCAACCAATTTACATATAATTAATGAAAGCTTTTAATTAAAAAATAAAAATAGTTTTATGAGATAAAATTACATATTTAATACTTGATTTAAATTAAATCTCTTTTTTTAAAAAGATAATTTATAGTACTTAAAATATTTATATGAAAATATCTTAAGCTTGGAAATCAAGTGTATAAGTTATGTTAGAAAATTAATAATATTAGTCCAATAAATATATAGATATATAAAAAGGATTGAGTAAAAAATAGATAAAAAGGAGATGAGACTATTGAATTAAATTGTTGAATTATTGCAAGATTACCCATACAATATATTAGTAGAATAATTGTTGAATGCTTCAATGAGTAAGAATGCTTTCGTTTGTGTTGTAATATGAAAACATCATTTCTAAGGTATGAATACTAGTTCAACAAAAAAAGGAATTCCAAATATCTGTGTTGGTAATATTATAGATATGTATAGGTATGTATAAAACGACCAATATAATCTTTATATTAAGAAAATCAACTACAACACATTAAACGCCAGTCATAGGTATATTCGTGCTGGATTGTTCAGATGTAATGTTAGATGTAGGAGATTTGTTCTTTCGTGAATTCACGCCCTCTGCTCTGCATGTGGGACAAGTATTACGACCAGTCATTAACCACTATAAATGATAAGTATGTATTGATAATATCAAGGAATACTTACTTCATCAATACAAGCTTTATGAAAAAAATGTTTACATTTATTAAGCTGACGACATTCCTCACCAATTTCATAATTATTTAAGCATATAACACATCTTTCTTCAAGATATATATCTGCAGAGGATGAATTAACAGATAATACATGTAAACCGCCTGCTGATTCTATTTCATCTTTTGTAGCGACAGGTGATTTGGCAGGTCCGATTAAAGATGATAATAATAGCATATCTTCATATGTTGGTGACTATAATATGTTAGAATGATCAATATAGATATAGATATTGATATAGATACATCAGTAAACAAGCTAGGTGTTGTAAGGATCGGATGATCTTCTGGATAAGAACCGCCAAGAACATATATGATCCAGGATCTAGTCGAATTGTGTCGATTATCAATATTACTACTACCAGACCTAGTAGTACTACTTCTATCAGATCTACTGTTATCATTTCTACTGGTTCCATTGATATTGCTATTAATTCTACTAGCATTATTATTGTCAACCCTTTCAATGCTATTGATGTTTAATTCAGAAGTATTGTTATTATTTAAGTTTGCATTTTCAGAAACATGCTCGTTAAGATTCGAATGTCTTTGCGTAAACGAACTTCCAATATGAAAAGAATTATGGTGTTGTATGCTAGATTCTCCCGAGGGCATTGAAGAATGAATATTCGTATCATATCGTGATATTTGATCTGTTGATCCTAAATTTTGGAAAATTGACGCAGAAATAGAAGATGGTCTTGACGGTTCTAAGTTATTAACTATTCCTTCATTATTAGATAAATTTTCGTCTACAATATTCATAGAACTGGAGATAGGTCTTTCTGACATTGAAATAGAATGAATAGGTGAATTTGACGAGAAAACGCCTTGCTCATTTGCTTCACGTTCCTCAGTATCTCTCTGATAAGACGTCTCGTAATTAAGAGGCATATTTACTGATAAATTTGCAAGTGTGTCGAAAAAAGGAGATGTATGTTGTGTACCAGGACTTGTAATATCTCGTGGAGGAACCGACCTAATCCCAACAATAATTATAGGCACAAGTCTTGGATTTTGTGGATCATCCTCGCCTTCTTGAGTGCTTCCTTGTGAATTTCCGAAACGAAACATACGGAAAAAATTAAGAGGTTGAATCGAAGAATTTTCTTCGTTTTCATTTGGTATACCTCCTCCATTCTCACTTCCTCCATTCCTTAAAGCAGCTGCAAGCCTTCCATTTTGTAATGCTCTTAAAAAGCCTTCAAAACTTCCATCAACAACATGTGAATCCCTATCATTTGTTGGATTCTGAGACATGGCTATGTCTTGTGCCTCTGCAATAGCTTGCTCATTGTTCCCAACAAGAGATGCAGCCGTAGCTGCCGCTGCTACAGATAAAAGACGAGAAAGCACGGCTGCTTGATCTTCTCCAGGACGAAGAGAAATGGCATTTAGCCCACTTCCATTAAATGAATGTTGCATAATTGCATCATTATTAGTTCTAATACGTCCTGATATTTCGAGTGCTCTTCTAGTATTTCTAGATAAAGTATTACGTTGAGATCGTCGAATAATTCCCCTAAAAAGTTGATGATCATTATTTACCGATGATTCCGATACTGGTCTCTCTGGAATATAATTCTCTATACCGGACATATCAACCAAAGGAAGATCCCTGACTGTAAAAGTATAATCACCTCGATTCAATGTATGTAAATCTAAATATTCTGTTGTAGTAAGCTGATTCGATGATATAGAAAAATGAGTCTGTGGTAGCTCAAAAACTGTATTTCTTCGTGGAATTGATGACCCAAACATAGACCGTCGACGATTACCGATAGAATATGGGATTCTTGAGACTGATGATGACGTATGATGACGATTAGGCGAAAGCCCTCCCAATCGCGAAAATGCTGTAAGATGCCGTCGAAACCGACTAGCTCTAGATGCATTTCCATTAGATGACAACCCTTCCGTATCATTTTGTTCCGTATTATCCACCGATGATGATAATGTATCTGCTATTGTTGTGTTATGATGATGACCCGTATGTGTTGCATTAGCTGTCTCTGTTCTTTCCAAAATATTTTCTTGTCGTCGATTCTGAAATGATGATGCTTGTCCCATTCTCTTTATTTCTTTAAAAATACCAATCAGAGTTAATTCTTTTTGTTTTATTAATATTTAATCTTGTTTTTTTGACGAAAAAAAACCAAAAAAAAAAAACTAAACTAGCAAAATCACACTCTCTGTTTTTTCTACAACCATATATTAGCGTGAAATCTCTTTATTTCTCTTTAAAACTAACTATTTTCTTGCTTTTTTCCTTAATTTTTATTTAAAGTAGGACCGTTCCGGGGGGATTCTCTTATATTTTTATATAAAAAACTGACACTTAGAATTTAATATAATTTTTTTAAGACAAAAAAAACATGAAATATTATAAATAGAGACACAAATGTGGATAGAGTAATAAAATAAATCCGATGAAAATATAATGAGATTTTTATATTGTTTTATATAAGTGGTGAAAATTTTGTTTAAATTTAAAAAATATAAAATAAAATCATAATATCTGTTTTTTATAAACTAGTATGAACAGGGTCGTATTGGTTTTAAAGGGGCTTTAAATATTTAAATATGTTAATAAGAAACTATATTATGTTGTGGTTGTCATAGCAACTGGAGACGTCATATAAAAGCAGAATTGAGGTTCTTGTCATTTAAAAAGTGAATATAATCAGTAGATTTTAATTGAGATGTATCTTTCAGAAATTATTATTGATGGATTTAAGGTTTTTCAATATTAATATTGGATATAGAAACTTAGAAGTGATTTAGAGTTATGCTCATCGAACGGTGATTAGTGGATTAGATACATGTTTTAATGCAATTACAGTTTTTTTTATAAAAGAGATATATTTCTGTTTTATAATATGTTTAGGGGCCTAATGGTAGTGGAAAATCGAATATTTTGGATGCTATTTGTTTTGTTTTGGGTATTACGAATATGAGTACAGTTCGTGCACAGAATTTACAAGATTTAATATATAAACGTGGACAAGCGGGTATTACGAAGGCCAGTGTTACGGTTATTTTTGATAATTCAGATTCAAAAAAGAGTCCAATTGGGTAAAAGAAGAAGAAGTATGTGATTTTTTTGATGTTTTATAAGATTCGAAGATCATCCTCAAATTACAGTGACACGCCAAGTATATTTTATGTTATTTGTTTTTAGTTTTATTGATATGATAGATTATTATGGGGGGGATGAGTAAATATCTTATTAATGGACATCGAGCTCAACAACAAACTGTACAGAATCTTTTTCATTCCGTTCAACTTAATATTAATAATCCAAATTTTTTAATTATGCAAGGAAGAATTACAAAGGGTTTGTAATTTCTTTGTGATTTTGTTTAGAGGTTTAATTTTTTCCTATGATTAGTCCTTAATATGAAAAGTATGGAAATTCTTTCGATGATTGAAGAAGCTGCTGGTACACGAATGTTTGAAGAAAGGAAGGATAAGGCTATAAGGACGATTACTAAAAAGGATAGAAAAGTTGAAGAAATTAATGCTCTTTTGGCAGAAGAAATTGAGCCAAAACTTGAAAAACTTAGACAAGAAAAAAAGGCGTTCCTTGAATATCAACAAATACAGTCAGATGTTGAGCGTTTTACAAAATTAGTTGTTGCATATGATTATTTAAAATCTAATGTTTGATTTATTTTATTATAATGATACTAATTTTAATTAATATAGGATAAATTAACTGAATTTGAAATTGATTTACAAAATAAAAACAATCGAGTAATAGATTTAGAATCTAGCATAAAAACTAGAAAATATGAAGTAACTTCTATTGAAGAAAATATAAAAACATTAAAAGAAGAAAAAGAAATTCAGCTTAGAAAAGGTGGAAATTTTCAAAAATTAGAAAATGATTTTAAAGACTGTTCTCATGAATTAGTGAGACTTAATACTCTTATTGAGCTTAAGGAAGGAAGTTTAGCTGAAGAAAAAATTAAATTGGCTAAATTGGAAGAAACGTCCAAAGAGGTATAACTTTATTATTATTTGATTGCAATTACTAATTAAAATAGCTTCATATATCCTTAGAAGAAAAAAAAAGACATTTTCATTCTATAGAAGAGTTTTATAATAAATTGAAAATTGAATTTGACGCTAAAAACGATGAAATGAATAGGAAAGAAGAACTTTTGCAAACACTATCTACAGGTATTGCTGCTAGAGAAGGGCAAACAAACAATTACACAGATCAGCTACAAGGTAGTATTTTTGTATTTAGTATTTACATATTAATGTTATTCAAAAGAGGCTAGAAATAATTTAAATAGGGCAATGACTGAAGAAAAACAAATTATATTAAAGATGGATCATTTTCAAAAACGAATTATAGAAATAGGTCCAAAGGCAAACAAGGCACAAAAAGAGAATGAAGTTCTTTTAAATGGCCTTGAAAAAATGAAACAAGAATTAAAAGTAATTGAAGAAAAGATATCTGCCTTGGGTTTGCAGAATAACATCAATGACAATTTTTACAAAGAAAAAAGTGATTATGAAACAAAAATAGCTAGTCTAACTTCTCGTTATGAAAATCTTAAAAGGAATGTTGCAAATATTGATTTTACATATTCAAGTCCCTCTCCTGAATTTGACCATTTAAAAGTTTTAGGATTTGTAGCGCAGTTATTTACTCTTGATGAGAAAAATTATAACGCATCTATGGCTTTAGAAGTTTGTGCAGGCGGGCGTCTTTATAATGTTTGTTTTTCTTATTTATTTAAAAAAACATATAAGATTGTTAATTGTTTCAAGGTTGTTGTTGAAGATGAAATTGTTGCTGCTCAGCTTCTTCAGCATGGTCGTTTAAAAAAAAGAGTGACAATTATACCTTTATCAAAAATATCATCTGTGAAGATTCCTGTTGAAGTAAGTATGTTTAATATAAAGAATGGAGTTAATTTTTTTTTAGAAGATTGACATGGCTCAAAAACGAGCTCCTGGAAAAGTAAATTTAGCATTAGATTTGATTAATTATGGAAAAAATGTTAAAGCAGCTATGGAATATGTTTTTGGTTCTACTGTTATTTGTGAAAATGCTGAGATTGCAAAACAAATTACTTTTGATCCTAATTTGTCTCTAAAAAGCATAACTTTAAATGGAGACATATATGATCCCTCTGGCACACTTTCTGGGGGTTCAAGTACATCATCAAATGGTGTTTTAGTTCAATTACAAAAATTGAATGAGGTTAAAAATGAACTAAACTTATATAATAATAAATTATTGGAAATTAATACATTTCTTGAGAAAAATAAAGAAAGGCTTGATAAAATTTCTTCTTTAAAAAAAAATTATGATCTTAAATCACATGAAATTAAATTAACTGAAAAACAAATCAGTTTGAATTCTTCTTCAAAAGTACTATTTTTATCTAAAATGTTATATTCTTATAGTTATAGGTTATGAATGAAATTAAAGAGTTAGAATCTAATATTGAGTTATGCAAAACTACTTTAGCTGAAGTCAAATTAAAACAAGAACAATATAAAAAAGATATTAAAGAAATTGAAAAAGATATGGAAGAATTCAAAAACAATAAGGATTCTAAACTTTTGCAATTACAGGTTTCTTATGTTTATATATATATCTTGTTTATGTATTAAAAAATTTTAGAAAACTTTAGAAAAATTAAAATCTGTTGTTGAAAAACAATCTGAAAATGTGAAACTTGAATGCAAAAAATATCAATCTTTGAAATTAGAAAAAGGTTGCTTTATTATTTGATTTTTTTATTTTGTTGATTTACTTCATTTAGAACAACTTGAAGGAGATCTTGTAATAATCCAAAAACAATTAAAGGAAAATAATGCATTAATTTCTTCTCAAAATTCAGAAATAAATACCTTAAAATTTGAACAAGCTCAAGCTAAAGTAATTGTCTGTTATTTAATAAATATACTTATTATGTAATTAGGAGAATTATGAGAAACTTCAGAGAGTTTTAGAAAATGAACGGGCTAAGTTAACTGGATATGATAAAGAGTTCAAACATCTTGAAAATGCTATGAAAATAAAAACAAGTTATATTTCCGAGGCAAATCTTGAATTACAATCTCTTCGTCATGAAATTAATAGACTTAACAAAGATAAACAATCTACTCTTCAATCATTAAATCAGATGGAGGCTCAGTATGAATGGATATCAGACGAAAAAGAGTAAGTTTGTTGTTAATATGCATATATGTAATAACACTTTTTAAGAAATTTCGGAAAACCTTCTACAGCTTTTGATTTTTCTGATTATGATATAAAAAAATGTAAGGCTTCATTAAATAGTCTTACAGAAAGGTTTCAAGCTTTGAAAAAAAAAATTAATCCAAAAGTTATAAATATGATTGATGGCGTTGAAAAAAAAGAAAATGCATTAAAGACCATGGTGAAAACAATTCATAAAGATAAGCGTAAAATTGAAGACACAATCAAAAGCCTTGAAGATTATAAAATGGAAGCTTTGCAAAGAACATGGAAAAAAGTCAATAGGTATGTTTTAAATTTATTTAAAATGTTGAAATTGAATGATATAAAGTGATTTTGGCAAAATTTTTTCAGATCTTCTTCCAGGAAGTTTTGCAAAATTAGTACCCTTGGATAAAAAAACTATAGCAGATGGTCTTGAAATAAAAGTTTGTTTGGGTAAGGTTTGGAAGGATAGTTTAGCTGAATTAAGTGGTGGCCAAAGGTAAGGTTATAAATTTTACTTTTAAAAAAGAGCTTATATATTTTGTTGTTCAGGTCATTAGTGGCTTTATCTCTTATTATGTCCCTTTTGCAATTTAAACCTGCTCCAATGTATATATTAGATGAGGTCGATGCTGCACTTGATTTAAGTCATACTCAAAACATTGGACATCTTATTAAAACAAAATTTAAAGGGTAATCATTTTTCCTAATCTCTATAAGATTGATTTAGTATAGAGCACAATTCATTGTTGTATCATTAAAAGATGGTATGTTTTCGAATGCAAATAGAATTTTTACAACAAAGTTTGTTCATGGACATGGATCAGTTGTAGAAACAATGTAATATTTATGTCAAACGTTCTATAATTTTATATTATATATTTGAATATGTCATGAAAATGGTAATTGCCAATTTTAATATGCTGTTTGTTTATTGCGATTTTTTATAATATTTCATTTTTGTTACTTAAAGCATCTTTATTTAGGGCTTGTTTATCTTTTTCTTTCAGACAACGTCGAGCATTTAAAATCATTGCTTCACGTTTTCGACGAAGTTGTGCTTCTCGTTGTTCTTTATCAGGATACCATTTATATACTTCTTCTTGTCGAGCTGACCATTCTTCTTCTGCTTTAATACGAGAATAAAGATCATAGCGTTTAATTAAATCATCATGTGAAAAATTTGGTTTTTTATCAAGAGATGAAATACGTGCGGAAATTTGATGACTCATATGTGGAACAAACGATGGTGGCGGCTAAACAACATTAATAACTTATCAGTTTTACATTTCTAATCATCATAATTACTGTTGGTAGTCGACCCTGTGTTAACAATGTCTCTGTAGTGGCTTCTACTGATCCTGTCCTTCCAAGATCATACTCTATCGATTCAATAGGAATATTTGGAAACATTGCATGGATAATCTATGAAATATGTATCTATATAAGCCTGTTTTATAGCCTTTGGATGCTTACTTCTATCATATTTTGCGAAACATTTCGACGATTTCTTAGACGTCTTGTATTTGCTGTTCTATGGCCAGAAAAAACCCATTTCAAAGAGAAAAAAAGCACTAAACAACCAAGAATAACAAGTGTTCCGTCGTTCATTGCTTTTTATGTTATTCCTATAGAGGAATTTCCTGAATTTCTGGATAATCTTTTTTTTTGAAGTTCAGAGGTGGAGGCAGCTGACTTCGAAAAAAAAATTTAAGTCGTAGAAAAAAAAAAGTCAAAAATACTAAGGATTTAAGGTCTTTTATAGATATTTAAGATGGTTAATTCCCGTTGGATGCGCTGCTCAAGTACTTTACAAAGTTTTCGTTTTTTAAACGAGTCTTTAATGAGCTCAAAAATGAAACAAATAGAAAAAAACAGAATTAGGAATTTTTTGGATAAAAGTGTCTTTGAATACAAAAATTTGTATAAGGGAGTTCGAAAAGTAAGAGATGGATGTGTTTTCGTTGTCTATTTGTTTATTTTTCCTTTATTTTTAGTCATTTTTTCATACATCAAGAAAAATATTGGCCATGAAAGATCCATATGCTACACTTCATATAAATAGAGATGCTAGTATTTCTGATATAAAGAAGGCATATTTTAAGGTTTCTTTAGTATTTTTTTATTTAGATTAATTAAAAGTGGATTAGTTAGCAAAACAATATCATCCAGATACAAACAAGGAAAAAGGTGCACAAGAAAAGTTTCTTGAAATTCAGCAGGCATATGAGGTGTGTTTTGACTGTTTTTTATTGAAAATAGGTTAATTTTGTTTTTAGATTTTAAGTGATCCAAAAAAACGAAGTAAATATGACCAATACGGTTCATCGGCTTTTGAAAGTTCAAAATTTGGTGCAGAAGGGCCTACTGATTTTGAGGATTTTGGAAATTTTAGTAATATGAGGGGATTTCCGTTTGATGATTTGTTTGGTGCATTTGGTTTTGGAGGAAAAACAGGCACACGTAGTAATGTTAATGAAGTATTAGTAGGCAATGATATTGAGGTAGAAAGATTCTATTTTAAGTTTTATCTAATTTTATACGATTAGGTTCAAACGAGTATTTCATTTATGGAAGCAGCGAAAGGTGGAACAAAATCAATTCATATAAATCCCTTAGTAATATGTAAAACATGCTCCGGAAGTGGGCTAAAATCAGGACAAAAGCGCAGTGCTTGCCAACGTTGTGGAGGTACAGGTACTAGAGTGCATATTATGCAAGGAGGGTTTCAGGTTGCTAGTACTTGTGAATATTGCAAAGGTGTTGGTGTTACTATTTTGCCGGGATCAGAATGTTGGAATTGTCATGGAGATGGTGTAATTAAAGAAAAGAAGGTTATTAATTTGGATATTCCTGCTGGTAATATTAAATTTTATAATAATGAATTTGTTTCATATATGAAAAGGAATTGAAGATGGTATGCGTATGCGACTTGCAGGAGAAGGAAATGCACCTCAGACAGCAACCTCTGGAGCAAGAATTCGAAATGGGGATTTGCATGTCCGTATTCGTGTTATGTCGCATCCATTGTTTCGAAGGAAGGGTTCAGATATTTTTCATACAGTAACCATACCTATGACTACAGCTGCATTAGGTGGTACGATTAAAGTTCCTACATTGGACGATGATGTTGAACTAAAAATTCCTTCTGGAACAGCGACCGGTGATGTTATCGTAATGAATGGAAAAGGTATAGAACGTTTGTATAGTAATGGTATAAAAGGAGATATAAAATATGATTTCAAAGTAACTATACCAAAGTATTTTTTCTCTTTTTTTTTAAGTTTCTAATGAGTTTAGAATATTATCGCCCTATGAGCGTACATTACTTGAACAACTTGCACTATCAATGGGAGATCATACGGCAAAAAAAGATATTCCGTAATATTATTTTTTTTTAATTTCTTTATATAATGAACTGTTTTAGACTAAATCAAGCACCTGATTCTAATAAAAAATCTCAAGATGGTTTTTTAAAAAGGACATTTCGGAGATTACAATACTCAAATGATTCTTGAAAAACATGATAAAATATTATTTATATAATCGGCATATAAGCTCATTAAATATAAATCAACATTCCTTAATTTAATGATATTTATTTTTCCTAATCATTTGTTAATCCATTTTTTATAATAAAAGATGTATGATTTTAAATAGAAAAAAATATGAACTCAATGCGTATTCGAACTTAATAAACCCTTTTTCTTTTTTAGGAGGGTTACTATTTGGTTTCTGATTCTTCTCGACTCAATTTTGGCTAATATTTATTTAATCCTCTTTTTTTTAAGCTATTTCATTATGGAAATATCTTCTAAACGTTTTATCTAGCAAATATTTAGCATCTTCTGCATTTCAAATGGCTCATTACCTTTATTTTTTACTGTATACAAAAATTGTACAATCATATCATATTCTTTAACAGGCAAAGCATTAAAATGGCGTTGAACTGCGTTTACCAGCGCATCATTTGAGCTACTATTTACTTGTGTACGAAGCTTAAATACATTCTGATACTTCCTCAATGTTGCTATAGGAAGTGTATTGGCATTAAATATCTATTCCTTAGTATTTTGTTTAATATTCATTATATATTTACCGGTATTGATTCACGTACTATACAATTCTCAAGACGGTCTGCAGAAGACCTTTTTTGACGAGATCCAGACCTATCTAAAAGTTCTTGAGAAACTTCTGATTCGTTTTGCTTAGGTCGAGGTGGCATTGTTGATTATTTAAAGCTCAGATGTTGATAACTAGTCACTCGGGTTACCCTGACAACTGGTTGATATGACAACGAGCTTTAAGAAAACTAAAGACTTGAAAAAGATAAGAATTTGTAAAAAATGAATGATTAGAAACAGATTTGCGTGCATATCTTTTTTCATAAAAAAGGTTTTTTTGCTATTTTTATAATGATTTTTTGAATATTGATTAATAAGAAATGAAAAAAAAAATATTTATACTACTAAATCATAGTTTTGGAGAGAATAAGTTTAAATGAATCGAAAAATGTGGCTAAATTGTGTCAAAATATTCATTATGAAAAGAATGTAAATTTTTTTTTAACGTATTAATGAAACAGAAAATTATTTATTGAGGTATATCAGATGGTGGAATATCTGTATTAAATGAAGAACCGAATACAGGTAATTGCTAATTTCATGTTAAATCAATTGTATGAAAGAGTGGTATATACTTGATGAATTTGAGTGCGTACACGAGGAATGCCTTGAGAAAAGAAAAGTACTATAAGAAATTATAGATTTTTCTATAGTGCAAATTCTAGACAATACCGGCAAGTGTAGCACTACTACTCCATATCAATAATGAAACAAGTCTATATATGAATAAGATGTAATTAAAAGAAATCTGATAAAAAAACCCATTCTGTGTAATTTTTTTAAGGTATTTTTTATATGTTTGATCCGTTTTAAAGAAAAAAGCGTTTTTTTTAAGAGTCTCAAGCAGATCAGAAGAGTATATAAAAAGTATAGAAAAACAAACCGAAACTTTTCGAAATCCTGAAATATTAAGATATATACATTTTGTTCCTGATAGAGCATTCATTTTTTTTCAAAAATATTTGATAAATATTTATATTTCTCAGCTTTTTGCTAAAAAATTTTTTTTAGAAGTTGAAGGTTAGATATCGAGCCTTAAATACTGGGAATAAAGTAGATAAGATTTTAAAAATGTAGAAGAAAAAGAATTGAAAATATTAAAGATTAGTTTTTATGCTTTAAAATGTTTCTTATTATATTTTATTGTAAAATTAATATGTTTTTAATTATAAAGAATAATAAATTTTTTAAAATGAAAAAATCTTAAATATCTATAAATAAAAGATTGTTTTGAACGTAGAAAACAATTATTTTCTGTTTTTAGTGTTTAGAATTGATAAAGAAATGTTGAAAATGTATTTATTTTTTAAATAAAATGGTAGATGTAATTTGATAGTTTCAGTGTATTAACTGTAGTAATGAAGTAATTTTTATAATGTTTATATTTGAGCTTTAAATAAAGCAATTAATCCCATATCACCAACAGCTATTAAATAAGAACCATCATTATTGATTGAAAGTTGTCGAATAGCTGTAGATGTTTTGGGGATAGTTAATACAATTTGAGGTTTAATTAGTGTATATGGATCTTTATAGTCAATATTTTCTGATATCTCCCATATAAATATTTTTGCTTTAAAATTTCCAATTGTTAAAAGTGTTTGGAATTTGTTTTTAGTATCCAATGAATTCCAAACACTAAAACGCATAAACCATGGATTGCAATCTAGAACCATAAATTGTAATAGTTTTTGAAGTCCACTTCCAAAAAAGCTTCTTGTTTCTGACCATTCATAAGTTGTTGGAGCACATTCTGGACGAGGAGGGTCTGCTTTACTATCAAATCCAAGAATTTTCCAAAGGATAATTTTGCCTTCCTCTGCTGACTTAGAAAAGATAAGATCTCCGTAAAATTCTACACAATCCACATAATTTGTATGTATTGCAGTTGTAGAAAAATGCTAATATTTGTTAATTTAAAAAAAAAAAGTTATTTTTTTACAGGATATGGTAAAAAAATCATGTTATCTCGAATTTTATAATATTCTTCTGCTTTATTTGTTTTTAAAAAAGTAGGCACTGTCCATATTTTTATAGAATGATCCATTCCTCCAGAAAGTATGTATTTAGCTGAGCTATGAAATGCCTGTAAAAAAATAAGAAAATCATTTCAATAACAAAATAATACAATTGTTAAAACCCGATCATCATGACCTCCTTCTCCTCCACACGATACTAATGTAGGTTGTGAGCTATTTTCTTCCATAAGTGACCATATACGAATAGTATGATCAAAAGATGCTGTTGCAACAATAGATGAATTTATTGGAGAGACCTTAATATCTAGAATTTCCTAATAATTCAATATTTAAAACATACATAAAAATTTCTCACATCTCCATGCCCTTTTAGTACTTTTGATACTTTTCCTGAATATATATCTATAATTTTAATTACACCTGATGCTCCCGCAACACATAATAATGGTTTATCTGTATTATTTTCTATAGTCCATGCACAACAACATAGGTTTTCTTCTTCCTATTAGTTTTTAAACAAAATATATATATAATAAACATCGTTATATACGTTTAGATCATGATATGTAGATAAAACTGAAATTTTATTTCCATTTGTTTTCCCTATAATAATCTTTTATATGTTAACCTTATTTAAACCTAATATAAAAAGCTTTCTACTGTTTTATTTCCTACAATTGCAAATATATCTTCATTTTTTGCTGTTTTTTCTGGAAAAAACTTAATATCAAAAAATGATACATTATTTTTAGCCTGTCTAACTGTTAATATTTATTAATAAATATTTTTTTTACAAAAATGCATGTTTCAATCATAAACTTTTTCATTATCTAATAAATGAATTTAAATTCTATTTCCTGCAATTATTTTTCAATATAAACACTTAACAGATTCTTTAAAATTAATTAATCATTAATTAATTATTAAAAAACAATTTGAATTTATAAAAGATGCTATTTATTTTACATAAGTAATATGAATTCAATAATCTTTTTCTATATATTCCATATCAATTTCTTTTGTTTTTTTAAAATAAGGTTAAAAGTGCTATTTTTAAAAAAAATCTAATATTTATATAAGAAATTCTCTTTTATATAAAAAAATAGCATTTTTTCTTAAATTTATTAATATTTAAGGTCGATTTTATTAACTAGCTTGTCTATTTTTAATTAGACAAGTTAAAGATTCTAATGTTCGAGGTTAAAAATTTCTTAACGTCTATTTTTATTTTTAAGGTACAAGTTAAAAAATAGAAAAAATATAGATATATTTTTAAAAAAGCTTAAAGTTTCTTAAAAAAATTTAATAAATTTTAAAGGAAACTTAATAAGCTTAATAAATATTTGTAGAAATATGGAGAATTCTTTATTTGAAGATGTTCCTTATATAGAAAAAGATGTTATATTTGAATTGATGAGATTATATAAAGATGACAAATTCGAGAAAAAAGTCGATTTAGGCATTGGAGTATATAGAGATAATTATGGAAAGCCATGTCTACTTTCATCAGTGAGAAAAGTGCAGTTTTTTTTTGGAAATTGTATATTTTTTTAATGAATATAGGCAGAATCTATAATAATTACAGATCCTAATTATAATCATGAATATTTACCTATTGATGGATTGCCTTCGTTTATTGAGGCGTCTAAGAAGCTTGTTTTTGGGGAGAATTCTCCGTTAATTAATAGTGGCTGTGTATTATTAGTTAATTGAATTTTTATCAAATAGTAAATAATGATTAGGTTTCATCAGTTCAGACTATTTCTGGAACGGGTGCAAATCATCTTGGTTCTTTATTTATTTCTTTGTTTAACAAAGGAGCTGTTTGTTATTTTAGTAGACCTACATGGTGTAGTTTTTATCTTATTATTTAATATTATTTTAATTTAAGACAGCAAATCATGATCCTATTTGGAAGCATGCTGGTCTTACTATCAGAGAATATCCTTATTTTGATGAATCGACATGTGGTTTTGATTTCGAAGGAATGATAACGACATTACAAGAAGCTCCTGAAAATAGTATTATTCTTCTTCATGTTTGTGGTCATAATCCAACTGGAGTTGATCCTACTCGAGAACAGTGGATAAAAATATGTGATGTGATGAAGGTATGTTTTAAATATGATATATTTTGTATTATCTAATTTTACAGGAAAAAAAACTATTTCCTTTTTTTGATTTTGCATATCAAGGTTTTGTATCAGGAGATATAGATGAAGATGCTTGGCCCATTCGACATTTTTCAGAACGAGGTTTTGAGCTTTGTGTATGTCATTCGTTTTCTAAGAGTTTTGGGTTATATGGTGAACGATGTGGTTGTTTTCATTTAGTAGTCAAATCACCTGATATAGCAAAAAATGTTCATAGTCAGCTTGTTCGTATACAAAGAAATGAAATATCTGTATATAACTGCTTTTTTTTGATTTCTATATAATAATGATTAGTCGCCTCCTTCTTATGGAGCAAAAATAGTTTCTCTTATTTTAAATAATGAACAGCTTACTCAAGAATGGAAAAAAAACATTTTAGAAATCTCAAATAGGATTAAGGAGATAAGAAAATTGTTTTACCAAGAGTTAATAAGACTTGGTACACCCGGTTCATGGGAACATATAATAAACCAGGTTATAGCAGTTTTTTAGCATATAATATTAATTCTTATAGGTGGGAATGTTTTCATATCTGAGTTTAAGCGAGAAAGATATTTGTCGCTTAGTAAACGAATTTCATATTTATATACCCTCAAATGGGAGAATATCTATATCTGGTTTAAGGTAAATTTCTATAGTTAGGATTTTTTTAATAAATTAGAACCGGGAATTTAGAATATGTTGCTAGAGCATTTGATACTGTTGTCCGTGACTTATAAATTATAATGTTTGTAAAAAATACATCTTATTTTAATTGAATGTTTTTTTCATTAGCTTAGTATTATGTTTATTAAATAGTTTTATTAGATAAGATATTAGAATTATTTCTCAAAAATTACTTATATATATATAAGTGATTAATTTTTTAGAATAAATGTTAGAAAAATAAAAATACAATTAATAGTATCAATTTATAGTTTAGGAATAATTACAATAAATATTTATGTAGAAAGATATTACGCTACGCATTTTAAGATGAGTATTTCTAAATAATTATAGACGTCACTCTTTTGTTATCTAATAAATATTAATTACTGTTTCCCCCAAAGATAAAGTAAAGCATTGTTTTCTATGATCTCTCCTGTAGTATCAGTAAGTTTATTTATATTTTTTTGTAGTTCTTTTTCAGATAAATCATTTAAATTTGAATTATCATATAAATTTTTCGATGTATTGTTATATCTTTCGGCAAATTGTGCTCTTTTTTTTTCTGTTAATTTTACTATTTTTTCTTCAATAGTCCCTCTTATTATATATAACCAAACAAATGTCTAAAAATTTATTATGATTTATAAATTATTATATATTAATACTTGTTTGTTTTGACCAATTCTATGTATACGACTTATAGCTTGCAACTCAATGGCGATATTAACTAGAGGTTCACCTAAAAATGATTAAACAAAACATAAATATAAATTATATTATACATAAAAAGACATTTGTTGCATTTGTTAATGTAAGACCAGCCGACTGTGAACGAGCATGAAGCATAAAAACTTCGATCTAAATTAACATAAGTAAGTATAATTTGTATTTATACATAACATACAGAATTATCATTTTTAAATCTTGCCACGGGATCGTTTTCTATATTTCCTTTTTTCTTAGATTTTGTGATAACTGTATCTAGTCTGCTAAATTTAATTCCATTATTAGTAAACGCATGATGCAAAATGTCTAACATTTCTTTCCATTGACTAAAAATGACTGATTTAGGGCCAATTGAATCTCCTTTGCGCATCCACTATATACTTTATTAAAAGCAATTTCAGTTAGATAATAAATTACCAGTATATGTTTAACAATCATATCAACTTTAACTCCATATGATTCTTTTAATTTTATGTTTTTAATTTCTAAAAACATCTTATTAAATTCATTGTACTTTTTTTTTGAATCCTGGTGATTTAAAGAATAAATATTAGGATCTTTAAGTATGTTATTGGTTTTAGAACTATTATGTACTATGTTATAGTAATTTGTTTCTTTAATTTCTGTCTTTATTAAATAATTAGGAAAAAATATAATTTTCTAGTCAAAATTACCTTACATGACGGACATGTTTGATGTTCAGTGAGCCACCGCATCATACAAAATTTACAAAATATATGTCCTACTATGTATTAAATTACATATTTTTTCAAGTCATTTATTACCGCATTCTGTTAAAATTCCTAAATTTCATAATAAATAGTTTTGAAATATATGGATTTGCTTACCAAAATCAAATATATTTTGACATATAACACATATTTCATCCATTTCAGATTTATTACTAGATATTTTAGAAAGATACTTTAAATAACGTAAACGCCCTTGATTTGAATGTATGGTCAATTCATAACTTTTTATTTTTTCGTCTAATTCTTTCATTTTTTTTGCATAATTTTGAGGCTCAAGAAGCTCTTCATCTAATTCAGCTACATAATCAGAAATTATTTGAAGTTGACGGTAATATTCAATTCGTGCATTGTGTAGATATGAAAGGTCTGATATTTCTCTATTTTGTTTAATTATTTTAAAAAAATTACATAATATTTGTTACTTTTCTAATTTGACAGTTATTTTTATTTCATTTTTTAAAATTTCTGGTAGGCGATATGTTTCAAAATTTGAAATATTTTGTATTTTTCTATATTTTTTCCCTTCTATATTAGTATCATTTATTTGTTTTGAGATGTGTAAATCATCTATTATTGACTTAAGAGATAAGCTAGGTGTTGGTCGCAATTCCTCTGTAATATAAGTTAGTTGATGTCTTAATTGTGTTTGTTGACTAGAAAGGCGAGACTGTGTCTCTACAATTGTAAGAAAACTCTTTTCTCCATCTTAAAAATCAGTTTAAAGTATTATAAGAGTTATTTATACTTAAAGTTTCAATTCTTGATGCAATTGCACTTCGAAGAGCCTCCTAGTATTTGTTAATAATTATTATGAAAAAACAATTATATGAGACCAAGTATTGATAAGCATCTTCCATAATATCTAATGATTTAATATATTCTTCACCAGTAACGTTTTCGTTATGATCTACTAAGGCACAAAGCGATAGCTTAATTATTTTTTGGCGCCATTCATTAATTTTTTCAGCTTGATTGTTTAATTTTTTAATAATATCCAACAAAGATTTATTATGAGATGAATGAATGTTGTTTATAATTTCAGACAAATTTAATTTTGGAATGGTTATAAAATCATCATTTTCGGCTCTTTGTGATAGCTTTTTCATTAAAAAAAGTGCCTTGCTTTCTGTTTCTGATAAAATCTAATTTTATAAATAAAAATAAATACATGTATAAATAGATACTTCTCTTCGAATCTGTTCAGCTTTACTGTAATATTCATCTTCTTTCTCTTTGTTTCCAAGTTGATAATATGCTGTTGCGATAAAAAAAGTAAGTCTATGGGCAAGACTTCGCCAGTGTCTTATATGAGTTTGTATAGATTTTATTGGAGTTTTTTTTTCTTCAGTGCTATAATAGTTAGTGCTTGTATTTTCATCTATTGTATCTATAGAGTTTTTGATTTCATTTTTTGAATCTATTAAGCTATGTTGTCTTATTTTTTCTATTTCTTGTTCAAATAATTCCATTTTGTCTTGGACAATTTTTAATATAGGAAGCCAGATATCTAACGCTTCTTGTGGTTTATTTTTGCTTTCATATAGCCTTCCAATAGTAAATTTTAATGTATAAAGAGATCTCTCATCATTATCAATAGTATCATTGACTTTTTTTAACATTACATTCAAAGCTATTTAATTTTAAATACAAATTCATGAATTATGTTTCATTACCCTCAGACAGCATAATTAATTGGCCACCCAGATTCATTTTATTGACGGTTCCTACTTGCATTTGGCAGCATGTTTGTCTTAATCTCAATAACCAATGTCTCATTTTATCTTTAAAATCATTAAAATTCCAATCTATACTTGCAGGATTTTTTTGATCATTAAACCCAATTTCTTCTAATGCTTGTTTCAATAAAAATGAATAGTTATGTTCTTCAATTGGGGTAAAATCTAACAATAAGATTATTCTTTCTTGTTTAGGAAGTATTACTTGGTCTCCAATATATTTTTTGGTATGGCGACAAGTTATTAATTTAAATAAAGATACAAAAGCAGATGCATTTCTTGGATCATCAATAAGACGTTTCCATATTTTGTTACAATTAAAAGGATAAAAACGTAAAAATAATAGAAGTCCATATAGATCAGAAAGAGAATTGCGTACAGGAGTTCCAGTAATACACCATGCATGTACCCTAGGAATAGATAGAGCAGCAACTACAAAAATCAGTGCAAACTAAAAAAAAATAGAAACTATATACGAGATGCATTTGATACTCCAGTCTCAATCATTTGAGCTTCATCAAGACATACTCTCCAAAATTGTATTTGTACTAAAGGTGAAAGTTTGGGAATATATTTTTTGCCATATCTTAGTGATCTTTCCGGCATCAATTTTGTATGATGTATTTCAAAACTAAATAATTCAGTATATATATTTATGAAAATAATTTACCTTAACACATTGTAGCTAGTAATAATTACGTCATATTCTATTAAGTCTTTAATAGAAAGATTTGATGATAAATTCTTCAGCCCAACGTAATGTAAAACCTTTAAATGAGGAGCTAATTTAGAAAATTCTGTTATCCATTGTTGTAAAATTGAAATTGGAGTTATAATTAATGTTGTTTTCGATGCAATAACATAACTTTCAGTATATGAATCAAAGACTTTTTCCGATTCAGATATCTTTTTTTTCTCATTTCTATATATAATTTAGATCATATATTAATTAGTGAAATTTTTACTTTAAAATCAAAGCAATTACTTCTACTGTCTTTCCAAGTCCCATTTCCTAAAAATATTTAGGAATATATTTTAAAATGAATAAAGGTAATACTTCTGCAAGAATTCCTCCATCAATATCTGTAAATGTATTTTTAACGTCAATAATACTAGAACATATTATTCCATAAACTTTATTGTAATATATCTGTTTTCCGTCTACATCTATTGAAGCCTCCCATGTAGGGGGAATATTGTCTTTGCCATAATCTAATGTATTAGGTATACATTTTTCTCTTTTAAGCATCCATTCAACAGCTTTTTTTTGAAATGGTAGCAAGTTTGTATTCAATTTATCAGGAGAAATAAAACTAGATATTTTAGATTCTGGTAAACCATAAACATTATCATAAAAAAGCGATGGATTAATAGTATCTTGAATTTCTAATGTACTTGGAAACGCATAATGCATAAGTTCTGATATAAGACTTTTCCCATATCTTGTACGTTTTTGAAACATTTTCAAATTTTCAATAGAAAATACGTTAACATATCTCATAGATATGCATAATTCTATCAAGAAATACCATTTATTTTCCAATTCTATAAACCGTAATGTTTCATGTGTTTGGAAATAATGCTTGATTAGCTTCCCATAGATGGGCTCATTTTCTGAAGATCTTATCCCAAAAACAAGCTCGTAAATAGGTAAAAGTATTTCTAAATCTTTTTCTGAACAAACATAAGCTGCAAGTATTGATTTTGATCCATAATTTATCAAATGTAATAATGATTCATTTAAAATAAAAAGAATATCTGAAACTACTAATTTAAGCAAATCCCTCTTTTCTTTAACAAAGTTTTCCCATAGTTCGTCACTTAAAATCTCTAATTTTATCTTAAACCGTATAAGAACTGCTTCTTCACTACTTTCAACTTGCTTTTTCTGACTTGCCAATTCATTATTATCTTCTTTCACTACATCTCTTAAAATAGCATCTGTATTGATAAAATTCTGTTGGTCGGATGAAATAATAAGCATAAATATTATATCTTTTAATATAAATATTTTAAAGTTTTTTCAAAACGTTTTAAAATTCAAATATTTTTTCTTATATTAAGTATTTATAACATTCCTTCTTCAAATACACATGTGAAACAGTAACTTCTATTGATTTTTCTTTTTGTTAAAGAAGTTTTTTAATAAAATATTTAAATTTATTTTTTTTTTTGAAATTTAAAGTGTTTTGGTTAATTTTAAAAACAAAAAAAAGAGAATATGTCAAGAAAACTGAGAAAATCTTAATTTATTATTGTTTTTTTCTGCTCTTATTATTAAAAAATAGTATTTTTCTCTTCTTTCAAAGAACCTCCTAAAAATCGTAGTACCTCATATTAATTAAACAAATTTTTGAAATTAAGAGCTATCATAAAATAAACCAAAATCAAGGAAAATATTCCAAATAATTTCTAAATATTGAAAAGCTATGAAAGCTCTGTTTTCCAAGGGTATTTTTTTCTTTTTTTTCTAAAAAAATGAGCTAAAAATGTGATATTTCCAATAGAATATAGTACAGAGGATATTAAAGGCGAAAGTCGTATTAGAAGATCAGTACTCTCTATGAATGAACTGGTCGTTAGACCATCTCCTGATATTAATACGATCTATGATATTTTAATAAGATCTTATAAGCTTTATGGATCAAGAAACGCCTTTGGATTTCGTAAAATACTTCAAGTTCATACGAAAAATAAAGAACTAACAAAAATTATCGGTGGAAAGGAAATAAAGGTCCAAAAAGATTGGATGTATTATGAACTTAGTGATTTTGAATATATTACTTATAAAGAATTTTATGAAAAAGTACATAATATAGGATCAGGGCTTCGTTCGTTGGGGTTTCTAAAAAATGATAGAATTTCAATATATGCAGCGACAAGGTAAGTATTTTCATGTTTTTAGCTATTTTTTTATGTTCTTTAGTGTTGAATGGTTAACAATGGCATTTTGTATGTATTTTGTTTTATTATATATTATATATTTATTTTTGGAAAAGCATGTATTTCTCAAGCATTAACAATCGTTGCAGCATATGATACTCTTAAGGATGGGCTCTTATCTTGTTTTCTCGAAACTGAGATTAAGGGAATATTTTGCGATGCAACTCTTCTTTCAAATATTGTTATTTTTCTTAAATCTATTACTACTTTGAAACTTATAATATATCATGGAAAGCCTCAAGAAGATGTTCTTGAATGTTTTAAAGAATATAAAGATCTAAAGGTTCTTTCCATCGAAGAAGTAGAATCTTTTGGTAAAAATAATCCAGCAGACCCAGATCCTCCCTTGCCAGATGATCTTATTTGCATTATGTATACATCTGGATCTACCAATGTTCCTAAAGGGGTTCTTATGACTCATAAAAATGTTGTTGCTGCAGGTTTTTAATTGTTTTTATTAAATTTTATATTAAAAGTGACAAGTTTCTGGAATTACTTTTGTATTTGAGTCGTATATAGACAGTAATGACTCTGTTTTATCTTATCTTCCTCTTGCGCATATTTATGAGTTTGTTTTTGAGATATTTGCTTTTTATTCTGGCCTTCTTATTGGTTATGGAACTGTAAAAACTTTGAGTGATGCTAATTGTTTGAATTGTAAAGGTGATATTCAAGCATTTAGACCTACGATAATTACAGGGTATATTTAGTTTATTTTTATGAATATTGATGATTTAAATTAGAGTGCCTGCTGTTTGGGAAAGTGTGCGAAAAGGAATAATTGAAAAACTCAATTCTTCTTCTAAGATAAAGCAAAAGTTGTTTTGGGCTGCGTATAACATCAAATCTCGTCTTTTATTACGTTCTGTTCCTGGTATTGGCATTTTAAATGCTCTTGTATTTAAACATATAAGAGTTGCTATGGGTGGACGTCTTAGAGTTATTTTTAATGGCGGCTCTTCTATTTCAATAGAAACTCAGAAATTTTTGAGTACGGTTTTGTGTCCTATGCTTATTGGTTATGGTCTTACCGAGACGTGTGCGTATGTTTATATGATTTTCATTTATAAATTATTTTACATTTATTTAGAACATGTACAATCATGGCTCCTAATGAATTTTCCTTAGGAACTGTTGGTTCTATTTCGACAACTCTTGAAGCTAAGCTTGTTGATGTTCCGGATGCTGGATATTTTACTGATTCAACTCCACAACAAGGAGAGATATGGTTTCGTGGCGCGCCTATATCAAAAGGCTATTTCAATCGGGATGAAGAAGATAAAGAAGTATATACAGATGATTTTTGGTTTAAGACGGGAGATATTGGTGAATGGACAGAAAATGGACAACTTCGAATAATTGATCGAAAGAAAAATTTGGTAAAAACATTAAATGGAGAATATATTGCACTAGAAAAAGTATATTGATATGTTAATTTATTTTAATATTTTTCTAATATTTATAAGTTGGAATCAGTTTATCGTTCTTGCAATATTATTAGTAATATTTGTATTTATGCAGATCCATATCATCTCAAGCCTATAGCTATTGCTACTCCTTCAGAAGCTCTTAAAAAGAATCTCCTAGATAATGGAGTATCATTCGAAGACGATATTTCTCTTATTTGTAAAAATAAGGAAGTTCGCTATTTTGTTTTAAATGAGTTATTAAAAATAGCAAAAAAAAACAATTTTGCTACAATCGAATATTTGGAAAATATAATTCTTATTGATGAAGAATTTTCTTCTCAAAACGTATGTATTTATATATTTTTTTATTATAATATTCATTTTTTAAGGGTTTGTTAACAGCTGCACAAAAATTTCAAAGAAAAAAAATTTATGCTAAATATAAAGAAGAAATTGATGCTGCTTTTCAGGGTCTTTAATGATTTCTGAGGTTTTTTTTCTTATTTTTTGATAATTTTTTCATTTGATTAATAAATATAAATATTTATTTTAACAAAATTCCTGCTTTGAATATTCTATATTAACAAAATTTTTATTAAATTTAATAATAATTTAGGGTTGATATTTTTTAATAAAAAAATACTTTTTTCATAAATAAGATTTTTAAAAAATTCTTTTTAATCTTTTAACCCTATGTTTCCTCATTTTTTAAAGTTAAATTATAAACTATTTTAAAATTTCTATTATATAAATATTAAGGTTTAAAAGCTATCTTTTTTATAATCGATCAACCTCAAAAAATTGAAAAAAAGCTATAAATATAGAAATATTTTCTTTTAATCAAGTTTAATGTCATTAAACGATTTGTCTGTGTAAGTTTATGGGGTTTCCCTTTTTTTTCCTGAAAAAATGACTAATATCTGCTTTTTTAGAGCTCAGACAAAGCCATTAGATTGGGCAGATGATGAATATTCTGGTATGTAATATTTTTAAGTAAGGATCTTAATTGTGATTACTTCATAAAGAGTCATCTGTATTACCTAATGTCTTTGAGGGCTCTGAAGACATTAGAACAGTTGTTGAATATTATGTTGAAAATGGGAAAAAGTTTAAAATTACTAGAAAAATTAAGAAAATTGTTGTTAAGGAAAAAGATAATCCAGCAATTGAAGAACGTAAGAAGTGGAAGAAATTTGGAGTGGAAAAAGATCGTGGTCCAGGACCGGATCCTAGTACTACTAGTATTGGAGAAAATATAGTTCTTAAGTTTCAATTAGGATGGTCAAAGGTTTATTAGTGGGTTTTGATATCTTGTTTTTAGATTGATTGGTTTAGAATGTTTATAAAGGCCTTGAAGAAGATCAATCTGTTAGTAAAACAACAAAAGATGTATTCAAGGACAAAAAAGTAGCATGTCGTCTTTGCAAAGGAGATCATTTCACAGCACGTTGTCCTTATAAAGACACTCTTCAGCCTTTTGATGAGGTGAATAATACAATGAATCTAAATATTTCGAATAAATCAATGGTATCTTCCGAATCTAGTGCAGAAGCAACTGGACGATATATTGTCCCTCATTTAAGAGCAGGAAGATCTGCAGGCGGAGATTCTATGTTTCGACGGGATAAAGATGAGTATTTTACAGTAAGAGTTACAAATGTATCTGAAGATGCACGTGAAGAAGATATTCGTGAACTGTTTGAAAGATTTGGGAGAATTTCTCGACTTTATTTGGCTAAAGATAAAGAAACAGGAAGAGGGAAGGGTTTTGCATTTATTAGTTATTATGATAGAATGGATGCTGCAAGAGCTATCGAAAAAATGGATAAATATGGATATGATAATTTAATTATGAGGGTAGGTTAAGCTTGATTTTTATTATTATATTTAATTATAATATTAGTGTGAATTTTCAAAACCTAGGGACTGAGTTTTTTTATATATTTAGCATAATTCGGTTTTTCTGTGTTTAAAATTCTTATTTCCTTCTATTGTATGATTAGTATATTGTATATTTAAATAAATTGTAAATAAAAGAGGCTGATTTTTGTTTAATTTTTTGAATTTGTCTTTAAAATAGATTTTTTCTACTTTATAATTTTATAACTAATGAAGATAATAGTTTTGTTTTATTTTCAGGTGCTAGGGCTTTATTGTTTCAATTTTTAAATATTATGAATTATTTCTGCACTATAATTGTTATCATTATTTATATTTTGGTTTATGAATGTTTTTTATTGAAATTATTCAAATTTATTTTTTTTTTTAAGAATTATTTTAAGATAAATAAATTGTGAAAAAGACTTCTGAATAGATAGTTATTAACAAAACATAACATCTACAACAATATTAACAAAAAAACATATATGTTCAAATGTTTAAGAGAGTCCGTTAAAAAGAGGACTTAGTTGAGGACCAAGGCCAAGACCGCAGTGTTCCATTTCTACTTCTTTATCTTCCTCAAATAATTCAATATTAGCCTTAAGTTTGTTTTTATTTCTCTTTTTTTTTAACTTTTTTTTCTTATGACGAACAGTAGTTCCCAAAATCGGAACATTGCTACGTTGTTTCCTTGATTTGTTCGTCAATACATACCATTCCCCCTTTATAAGTTCATCACGTGTATTCATAAATCTTTGCTGGTGACGACGAAATGTTCCTATAGGAATTTTATCCCAACGATAAAAATCAGATAAATAGTTTTTAGTAATAGAGGAGGATGAATTTGAAGAGGAAAGTTGAACAAATGCCGACGTATCTAGTATATCATCTAGGCTTGGAATGGATAATGGCGAAAGATTTGAAGTAGGTGATAAAATAGTGCAGGATGATGTTACTGGATTAATTACATTGGTACTGATGCCATCAATAATACCAATAGGCCTTTTTAAATCGCGTGTCCATGTTCCTAATATCGGAGGCTTATTCAGTGCATTAGAAGTAGTAGTCCCGGAATTTGAAGATGAATTTGTAGAAACAGTCTCTATATTCAAATTTTCTTTTTTGCTCGACTTTGATGTTTTAGAATTATGCAATGCCATAGTATGATCGTTTGTTTCTGTAAAACATGAATGTTCCTTTTCAAAATTATTATCAGATACTTCAACTTTCTTTTCTTGATTTTTTTTTTTTACAATGAAATTTTGATCTTCATCTGTTGTATAACCTTTTTCATTAGATATGTCAAAATTATTTTCAAAAAATGGTTTATCTGGAATTGAATTAATATCTTTTATGTCATTTGTATCATTTGTCTCCGAAAAAAGTGATGAAGTATAGAAGCTCCAAATATCATCAGATGAATTATACTCCTCATATGTTTGTGTTCTAAAAAATGGTATATAAGAACTTTCATCCTGGAAATCCCCCGACAAAAATAGATCTTCATCATTACTATAAGAAATTTGTGTTCTTGAACCATCATGATAAACTTGAGAATTTTTATCTTCTTTAACAAGAATACTACATGGTTTTTCAACTTCAGAACCATCCGTACTTAATGTGTTTCTATAATTTCTTTCATCGGACTCCTTAAAAGAAGATGTAGAAGAAGATGAATCATCAAAATAAAATATGCCATCATCATCATAATAATCTAAATCCGATAATTCATTAAAAAAATTATTTTTAGATATTTTCGATCGAAAAATATTTTCTCTTTCCTCAGAATCTAAGTTTGATCCATTCGTTTCCACTGAATTATGCCCTTTTGCTCCCGACAATAAACCTTTTTTCCAAACTTTTTTATTAAAAGAAAAATTATTGCAAACAACAACTTCATCTGAAATATCACAACATGCATTTGATGAACCATTAGAATAATGTCCTTGAGATAATTTGTTCAAAATTAAATGTGACTCTTTTATATTATTTTTATGATTTGGTATTGATAATATTTGTTTATCATACGATTGAAGTCTTGGTTGTTTCTGCCGTTCAAGACTTTTAGGAATAGAAAATTCTTGAATACGTTTACCATTATAGGTCGAACATATTTCATTCATATCTATTCTTTCAACATTATTTCCATATTTTATTAAATACGATTCTTTAGAAACCCCTCCAACCTCTTTTCCTCTATTTATCCAGCCTTCATCTTCTTCATTTTCTAACGATAAAAACATATCTCTTAAAGCAAATGATGTTATTTCTTTATTTTCTTTTTCTTCTTCGTGATGTCTTCCCGGTGGCAATGTCGATCCTAATCGATTCCTAACATTAAAGACTTCCTTATCTGAACTAGACCTCTGTTTCTTCTTTTTCATTCTTAATTTATTAATCTCTTATTCTATTATTTTGCCCTTATTCACTCGAAAAATACCCTTAAAATTGTCCTTTTTTTCCCAAAAAAAAAGACATTTACTTACAAGACACCCTTCTATAAGACTACATTTTCTATCTTTCTATTTTTTTCCTCTTATAAGCCCTCTATTCTCATATTTAACTTATCTCTTGACTGACGGAGGTTTTGCCGAAGTTAAACGGCGACTGACAGTTTCAATAAATTTTGTTGCGCACACACCCGAAAATAAAAAGTCGAGCTTACAACGTCAATAAAATTAAGATTTTTATTAAGTCTTAGAAAAGAGCTTATAAATGAATGTTAACGCAGAGAAATCATATGGAAGCGGTAATCCATATTATTATAAGATGAATCAAGGCCCGGAAGGGGTTTGGATGCCAGATAGAAAAGAAGTAATTGAATTTTCAGAGAAATTTAAAGTAGATAAAAAATGGAAAGATGTGAGTAAAAGAGAGAAAAGGAGAGTTTTGAGTGTATTAAATGGTTATATTTCTAGGTCTGGGCTTCTATCTTGTTTTTTATTAGTCTTATTGGATTTATTTATATTTCTGGAGTATCGATTCATGACTTTTTGAATACGGGTGAGAAAGGAGATAAAAAGGATAAGAAGATTGATGAGATAACCAGATGAGTTCAAGAAGAATGGATTTTCAGGAGGGTCGTCATTTACAGTAAATTCGTATATATTGTATTTTTTTTAAAAAAAAGTGAATTTTGTATTAGAAATACGGTTTTTCTTTATATATATGTTATTGGATCAGCGTCAGTGTTATCGTTTTTTTATTTTTTACTTGCTCGTATTTATACAAAACAATTTATATTGTTGACTGGGATTCTTCAAATAGTAATTTTTATTTGAATAAAGAAGGATGGTGATATTAATTTTTAAAAGGTGTTGATGCTAGCGATTGGAATATTTTACTTAATTAGGGGATTATATGTTGTTTCAATAGGTATGCTATGTATGATTATAAAAAGAGGATAAGGGTGTAATTTTTTAGTATTTTTAGTATTTGTTATATTTTATGCGTTTTGTTTTTATACATGGAGATCTCGTATTCCTTTGGCTACGATGTATTTGCAGTTTACTATGAAAGTTTCATCGCATTATCCTAGTGTGTACTTTGTGAGTTTTTGTGGAATGATTGTTTCTATAGGATTTTTTGCATGGTAATTTTGGATACTTTTGTTTTCATAATTAACTTTAATAAGGTTTTTTATAACTCTTGTTACTTCTTATAATAAATTTTCGGAATATGAGCCTAACGGGCTCAGGAAACAATCATGTATTGATAATCCAAATAAATGTGGTTCTTCGTATTTACATTTAGTTCTTTTATATATATGTATGATTTTTTTTATTTTATTTTTTTAATAATTTTTAGTTTTTAATGCCTATTGGATTACGGAGGTTATTAAAAATGTTGTTCATACTACTATTTGCGGAGTATTTGGCTCATATTATTATGGCTATAATACGCCGGAAGGGATTCCAAAGCACGCAACTCTATCTTCTCTTAAGCGTACTACAACATATTCTTTTGGAAGCATTTGTTTTGGATCATTGGTAGCGTCTATCGTCCAACTTTTAAGGGATATATTTAAATCAGTCATGCGTGATAGAGCAGGTTCAGGTGATATTATAGGAACAATATTTTCATGCTTTGCTTCATGTATACTTATGTTATTGGACTGGTTAGTTCAGTATTTTAATCATTATTGTATGTTTTTTATTTCATTAACCACTATATTAAATATCTTAGGTTATGCACAAATTGCTCTTTATGGTAAAAAATATTTAAAAGCAGCAAAAGAGTAATTTTTCTATAATTTTTATTATTATTATTAATTTTTATTAGTACATGGGATATGTTCAGGCGTACCGGAATAGATGCTTTGATCAATGATTGTTTGATTGATAACGTTTTATTTTTGTAAGTTTTTTTTTTTTTCTATGATTTTTATTAATTTTTAAGTGGTTCTCTTTTTGTTGCTTGCTTAACTGCTTTCTCCTCTTTTCTTTATCTGAGATTTACTAATCCTGTATACAATAGTAATGGTACTTATTATATAGGTGTTATATTTGTCGCTTTCTTTATTGGTCTTCAAATATGTAATATTGCAGTTATTGCTATTAAATCAGGAATTGCTGCACTTTTTGTAGGTGTTTCCGAGGATAGAGAAGTTCTTCGTCGGAATTTCCCTGTACTATATAACCAAATGTTTGGTACTGTATGATTTATTTTTTTTTTTATATATAAAATTAAACAAATTTATTTAATAAGTGTTATTTTATTTGATATCTATTTTTTGTTTAAAATGTTCTAGATTGTTATTATATTTAGATAATATAAAGTTATTAAATGATCTTTTTAAATAAAATATCAAAAATGGCTGGTTTTTCCTTTATCGATTTTTTTAGCTTATCAAGATAAGCTTTAAGTCTAAGCTACTATAAAATGTTTAATAAATAGCTATTTTATATTGAAAATAGATAATTTTTTACTCTTTAAGATAGTATTGATGAAAATTGTTCTATGGAAAGAGTCAGAAAAATCTTGTGATCTACAAGATAAATCTAATAAAAAAAAGTGGATAAAAAACATGATTTGGCATAAACAAAACAGAGATATTCGTAACGAAAATACAATATCTAGTGATCGTATTGGTCTTTATAGACATTCTTTTTTTGGCTTTTCTAGAAAATTTTTGAAAAAGACTTTTTTTTTAAGAAATAAGATAATTGATCCATTTTTCGATGATATATCAGAAGATATAATAGTTTCTGATAGTTTTAAAAGAAAGGATATGTCCTTATGGTCTAGAAAAATATCACCAGATTTTTTATTTTATTTATTGACATTGAAACAAAAAGATTTTGGTCGAATACTTTTAAATTTATATTATCTCAATGAAAATATCAAGAAAAATCCTTTATTTTTATCAAAGGAAGCATATTGTAATTCTATGGAATCTATTAAGATTAGTCAAAGAAGTAAATTATATATATTGAAACAATTGTTTTATACTTTTAATTACTATTCTAAATTATGGTTAACAGTCTATATACCTAAGACGGTAAGATGGCTTGTTTATATATGGATATTATTTGTAGTTACATTTGCTCTATATGAATTTGATAGAATACTTAATATAATTGAAATAGGAATTAATACTTGGTCTAACATAATACATTTTTATGTACGTTTAGGACTATTGATTTTTAAGAAAAAATAATCTTGATTATGATTGTTTTATTCAATATACTTGTAAAAATGTTGATATTAATATGTTAGACAAATTTCTTATTATTCTTCAATAATATCGTCTTTTTGAGTTTTTTCCATAGAAATTACAGTTAAACATTGATAATCGCCTGCATAATTTGCTTTCCACAATCTTATTCTTCCATCATCACCTGCACTTGATAATATAGTACCCGTAACATTAAAACTCACTCTCCATACTTGTGCCATATGATCATCAAAATCGCCAACTAGTTCTATTATATAGCCTTTTTTTGCTTGTATGGGTTCTGAATTATATATAACATCTTCATTAGAAAATCGATTTAATTTGTTTGTCAATTTAAAAATTCGTACATGTCCATCTTTACATGCTGTAGCAATAATATGATACGATCTCCCCATATTCGCTCCCCATGTAACATCGCGTACTAAATCGGTATGTCCATCTAATGATTCTTCTGCTTTCCATTTATTATTTGCATTTTGTCTGTAAATACAAACAGTATTCATTGCCCCGACTAATAATTGCTGATCATCCCATCGAGATGGACACCAAGTTAAACAAAATGAACTTTCTGTATCTCGTGGAGGTGGATTTGATAAAAGTATAATATCATCCATTAACGTCCATTGTGATAAATCATTAGGAGATAATGCTTCATAGATACGAATAACTGCATCTGCTGATACAGATGCTAATTTAAGTCCATAATGAATAGGTGCAAACCATATATCTAAAACTGCTCCTCGAGAATCCACAAGACGTGCTTTTTCATGCCATCGTTTTCCTGAATTCTTCGCTTCTAAAATAATATATTAAATCTTTTTATATAAAAAATTCTCTTTATATAAAACCATGTTCCTGTTCTTCAAATATTCTCACTGTTCTATCTATAGAACAAATAGCTATTACTTGTCCCACTAGTAACCTTATTAATCCTCTTTTTTTCCTACTAAACATACACACCTTTAGGATTTGCCCATATTACTTTAAGAATTGCCGCATTCGCTGATTTCCATGAATCATTTTCTATCCATTCTGCCGTTATATCATCATAATCAAATACTTTTACTCTTAAATCCGATGAACAAGTAGCCAGTCTTCTTCCATAATAATCTTTATAATATTAATCACCTATTATATCTTGTTTTTATAGAATCTTATTAAATACCATAAGAAACATCATGGATTAAATCTTCATGGGTTGTTTTAATAGTTTTCCATTCCATTTTTGTCTTTTTTTAAAAAAAAAAAACTATTTTCTTTTAAAATTAATAAGATATAACTTTCTTAAGTCAATTGCTTTAAAAATTATTAAAAATTATTAATAAAATTTTTATTTTTTTTTAAAATTTTAAATTTTGAAGTTGATTTTTTTAAACGAAATTTTAAAAAATTCTTAATTTTTAAATAATTTTTAATAATTTTTAATAATTTCTTAACTTTTCATAAAAGTTATTTTTAAGAACTATTTCAATTTATATGGGATGGTTCCTGAATTCAATTTTTTTCTTAGTCAGTGCAATTGCCATAATAATTAATAGATATGAACATCCATTGGTTATTTCGCTTGCATTTTCACTTGTTTCTGGTATTTTCGTGTTTAAGGCAATCCCTACATTGGCACCATATTTTATTAAGGTTGGGTTTTATGGAAAAGATTTGAATAAGAAGGGAAAACCTTTGAAGTAGAAATATTTAAAGAAAAATAATGAAAATCAGGGATAATGATTAATAGGCCAGAGGCAATGGGGATTGTTTGTTCTATGACTTATATATTTTTTATGTTTTTATTTATCCCATTTGCATTTTATAAATACTTTGTTATGACATCGGGTGGTGGAAATCGAGATATCTATGAGGTTGTTAAAGAGGAGAAGACATTTCAATTATTTCTTCATAACAAAGTTGTTGAAAGTTTTATTTATTTTAGTATTGAATATTGTTTAGTTGGGTGAATATTTATCGGCGATTTTATCTCTTCAAAGTATGGTTCTTTTAGGTGCGGCGGATGATCTTTTTGATATACGTTGGAGAGACAAGCTTTTTATGCCTGTATTTTCGGCTATTCCTATTCTTGTTGTGTATTATATTGATTTTGATGTTACATATGTTGTTGTTCCAACATTTCTAGAGCCTTATTTGGGAAATCTTATTGAAATAGGTATAATATAGGATTACTATCTATGTTTTTTAATGCTTAATAAGGATGGCTATATTATCTTTATATGGCGGCATTGTCAATTTTTTGCCCTAACAGTATTAATATAATTGCAGGAATTAATGGAGTAGAAGTGGGGCAATCCATTATAATTTCACTCTGCATTATAATTAATGATTTATTATATGTCTTTAGGTTAACAGGACCTTCTATTGATTCTCATTTATTTTCACTTTATTTTTTATTACCTTTTCTAGGTACTTCAATACCTTTGTTATATTATAATTGGTTCAATCGTTTGTATTTACTTATTTAATATAATTAATTACTACAGGTACCCTGCATCTGTTTTTGTTGGCGATACTTATTGTTGTTTTTCTGGAATGATATTTGCAATTGTTGGTATTATAGGTCATTTTTCAAAAACTATTCTTCTTTTTTTTATTCCGCAAATATTTAATTTTATATTGTCTTTTCCTCAATTATTTGGAATTGTTGAATGTCCAAGACATAGAATGCCCAAGTAATGGTTTTTATATTGTTTATTATCTCGTTTATGATCTTAATATAGTCTTAATTTATCGACTGGTCTTTTAGAACCTTCAATGGTTATGTTTTCAAAGAAGCCATCCTTTTTATGCAGAATAATTCTTAAAATATTTGCAAAATTGGGTTTTGTACGACTAAAAATACATCCAATTACTAAAGAAATTCAAGGGACGACAAATCTTACAATTATTAACTTTCTTTTAGTTAGATTGGGGCCTAAAAGAGAAGACAAACTAACAATAATAATAATGGAAATTCAGGCTGTAATGGGTTTGATAGGATTATTTATAAGACATAAAATGGCAAAACTTATTTATCTTAATGATAATTATTAGGTTATATACAATAAAATGTTTGTATTATTTAATTACTAAAAGAAAATAAATTTATTTATTTTATTTTTCCAATTCATTGATTTATAGATGCCCAGAATTCTTCTCTTTCCTTTAAAACATCATTTACCCATTCTAGAATTAAAGAATTTCCTATTTTTGGAACAACACATAAGAATTGTTGCAAATTCTTTTTTGTCCTTTTTTCATATTCAACCATCTGTACTAATAATTCAAATTTATCAATGTCTTTTACAAATAATGCTTCTGGAGTTTTTCCTTCTTCATATTCTAAAAACAAATCAATCATTTCTTTGGCTGCTTGTGATCTTGTTTTAGGTAGAATTTTAGATGTAAGGGTTATCATAGCGTCTAATTCACGTTGATGTTTTTCTTCTAAAAGAATGTCAAAAATGAAACATTTTAAATCGATATGAACCTGGTGATATCTTATCGAACGGTGTTATATCACCCACAATACATTCTGCCAAATCATGAATAAGTGCCATTTTTATACATCTATAAAAGCTACTTTTAGATAAAAGAAAAAATAAAAAAGAAAATATTTACTTATCACGATTAATAGATAGTTCTGTACATAACATAGAAATAATAGACATCCTATACATATGGCTTGCCTATTTTATATTATTTATGAGTTGTTATTGAATAATTATTAAAATACAATGGATTCTGTTCTTATTTAAATATATGAATTCATAAATATATTAGAACCTGGATTATCTATATTGAAATTTAGCCAACCTGTTCTAGGCGTTGTTTTAAGATTCTCTATAATATGAAGAAACGGAAGAATCGATGTTTCTTTCATGTCTAAGAATTGTTGTATAGAATTTATTATTAGATCTAATTTTTTATTAGAATTTCATTAGATATAGACGTTCTTATAGTTCTGACTATGTATTAGATAACTTCTATTTTTATAATATATTAATCAAGTTTTATGACGTTGAATCTCGTTAACCTATAATAAATATGAAAAATGCACTTAATTAATAAATGAATAAGATACAAATGATTCCGTAATGTTTTTGTAATATTGTTTATGTATTTTTCCTGTAAAAAAATTTAAGATTTAAAAAAGTGTATTTGGTTAAGAAAAAACTTAATGAAAGAACATGTTTATGGTATATCCTTTTTTATTTTGATTGTATAAAGTAAATTTGATATCCTTTTTGTAATTGTTCATCACAAATGGCTTGGATAAAAAAGTGTGATTGTATTTTTTCAAGAAAATCATAAAGTGTATCATAATTGCGAAGTTCTAAACCTATAATTGCAAATATTTTTCTTTCTTGAAAATAATCGAAAATTGAGAGCAATGTATTAACGAAGTGAATTGTAATGTAAGGATTATAAATAGTATCAAATGCTAAAATACAAAGATGTTTAGATGTTTTCCCCAAGAAACTTTGTAAATTTTTTAAATATGTATTTGGGCTCTCAAACCAATTGAGCTCCATAACAAATATATTTATTTCTTCATGAGTAGATTGTTTTTTTTTAATATTTGACTTAATTGGAAGATTTTCACGTATATTTCTGTATAAATATTTCAAAATATGTTCCTTATCTGTAGCAATGTATTTGTTAACCTTTTCTCCTAATAAAATAGCTCCTATTCCTGAAATACCCGCTCCTAATTCAATAACTTGGAAATCCTGCAAATTACAAACAAACCATGATTGCGAAAGAAGATATTCTAAGCAAACCACTGACGCTCTCCATAAAACACATCCTGTATCCTCTTTATTACAATGAAAAATGTTTGGATTTTGACGAATGGTAAATTGTTTGTTAGCAATACATAATGTTAATGTAGATTCTATAATTGAATAATACCCCAATCCTTTTCATTTTTTATAAATAAATAATATATTTTTAAACAAAATTTACCTTTTTTTTCTACATTATTGATATTCGAAAATTTAACAATACAATGTTCATCAATATCAATAGATTCAAGTATATTTGAATCTGGTTCCATTTTTAATCTCTTTCATTGAAAAGAAAAATAATATATATATTATATATATTATATATATTATATATAATTAAAAATATAAAATATAAAATAACAAAACTTTTTCTAAGAAAAAACACAAATCTAACAAAATCTATAATTATTTATAAATACTTTTCTTTTTTCTTCAAAAAAAAGCTTTTTTACTCCAAAAAAATCCGAATAAAGTCACTAATAATAAATACTGTTCACAATAAAATTGATTTTGTCTTATAGATATACGGAAAACTTAATATATTTAGTTAATTTTGCTTTAAAATACTTTTTTTTTATTACTAAAAATCTGATGACGTTGAGTTGCCTAGGCAACCCTCCTAGGCAACCTCAAAAATGCCGAGTATACAGATATGTCGGAAAAAAAACCTCACTTCAGACACATAAAATAGTGCTTAAGATTTAGATCTCTCTTAGGAAGTGCTTAACCTTCATTTGAATGAATATATGGCTTTTACGGAGGTTATATTTCTCTTCAATATTGAGTGTTATAAAATCATTTCATGAGGGTTCTATTTTTTTGAGAAAAAGTAACTTCAGAATAAATAAGTACATGATTCCATAGTTTTAGTATTAAATGACATTTAAAGGCACTTATCTATCTAATATGGGCTTGGAATCAGTTGGATATGATCTGGATGCGGGAATTATACGTTGTATTTGTGGTTTAGAAGATGATGACGGATTTACGATTCAGGTAGAATATTTGAGAATATGATCTATTTTTGTATAGAATAGTAGTTAATATGTATAGTGTGAACGGTGCTATGTTTGGCAGCATGCTGTATGCGTTGGTATTGATCAACATCATGTCCCTGATGAATATCTTTGTGATCTTTGTTTTCCTCGAACGTTAGATGTTAAGAAGGCAATAGAAAAGCAGCGTCGTCGTAGAGAGCAAGAATTAGTACATGTAAAGACAAATAGTTCTCATAGTCGAAAACGACGGCAATTTCAATATGGTTTAGTGAAGTCAAAAGTTCATTCTTTAGGATCGGTGAAAGAAAAGTCATTAAATGCTACGGTTAAACATGATGGAAGCAGAAAATCTCGATCTGGAGGTCGCACTTTTTTTTCAAAGGATATGGAAAGTCGATTTCAAATAATGGAAGGATCAAATGGGTTGAATATGAATTCTGATTTGCTTTTCGATTGCAATACAGAATATTCTGTAATTGAACATAATTTAATTTCATCGGTAGATGCTGAAATGTATATTTCATTATTACTGCAAGATAAGTCAGGGATGCATGTAGTTTTAGATGATTATTTTACTTCAAAGCAATTACCAAAGACATCTATTCAGCCTATTTCGGACACTGATATTTCTTCATTCTTACGTTTTTCATTGTATTCTAATCAATTTATTGCTTCTGGACAAATTATTAAAGAATTTAAGGGTGAAATTTATTTGCAAGATGAATATAAGGTTAACTCTATTAATCATTATTCATTCCTTCTCGCGCCAAAGCCTTTTGTTTATTTTGTTTCAGATTCAAAGCTTTGCATTGATACTAGAAAATATGGTACGGATTCAAGATTTATTCGTCGAAGTTGCAAACCTAACGCTAAATTAATTACTGTTGCATCAAGTAGCAATTTTCTTATTCATATTGCACTTTGTTCATTAACAGAAATTCAATCTGGATCAGAAATTACAATTGGTTGGGATTGGGATATGGATCATCCAGCTTATTATATAGAAAATCGTGAACGCGTTCCTGAAAATGATGTTAAATATAGTCAAGAACTAATTTATTATATTAATGGACTGGAATGTGCCTGTGAAATCGGCAAGGATTGCATTTTATTTAGACTTAAACAAGCGTTTTCGAGTATTTCTAAGAGTAGTATTAAGTCTAATAAGAAAAAAGCTATTTTTCCCTTAAATAATATCAATCATGATATTGATAATTATGATCCCGATAAATCTATATCTCAATTAAAGAATGATACTAATGTAGTCAATAAACTTCGGAACGTTAACGAAATATCAGAATCATTTGTAAAGAATCCATCTTCTTGTACAGATTCTAATTCTAATGATCTATTGTCTGCAAGAGAAGAGCGTAAAATTAAGGATATATTGGCACGTATAGAAAAATTAGAACAGGAAGAGACTCAAGTTATTAAAAAAAGGAAACGAGGTAATGGGAAATCAAATGAAAATCATAAAACATACGGTCATCAACATAGAACATCATTGGCTGTTGCGATTAAACAAGTCTGTCAACAGTCAGGTTCCTCTACAACTCCTTCAAGTTCTCCTAAAAATGATGTTTCAAATACTAAATCGTTTCCTCGACGTCATGGTCGTATTCCTTCTAGAATTGTTCGAATGCAAAAACATGGAAAAATCACAAATGGTATTTTGAAAGATTATTCAGATGATAATGATATTCTTCCATGTAAAAAGATGTGGATGAGGCGATGGATACAGGAGAATTTTAAGTTTGACGTTGAAAAAGTTATAAAAAAAGATAAACAGAGATTGGAAAATGGTGTTGTTGGATTCCAGGATAGTGTTTGTTCTAAAACATTTAAAGATATGGGAATTAATTCAGTTAAATGTGAAAGTCGCTCATCTTTGTCTGATATGGTTCTATTGGAACAATTGTTGCCTGATATGGAATCATCAGACAAATTGTCTTTGAGTTTTACGTCTCCAGAACCCGCTATTTCTGTACCTATTTCTGAGCCATCTCAATTATCAGATAAGCTTTCTACGCCTTCGCTTTTTAAGCCTGATCTTGGATTTTCTTCTGCATCTGAATCACATATGTCTTCGTTTACTACTATTGCATCACCTTTAACTTCAGAATTAGAACCTATTCAATCTACTGTATTACTTACAAGTCCTACTTCTATTTTAGGGTCTTTTCCAAAAAAAATATCTCTTAGTGAATATAAAAAAAGAAGAACTGCAAATGAGGTTTTAATTTTTAAGATATTATTTAATATTGATTTTTATTAGGAACTTGTTGTCAATGATAAGTCAGATGATACATTTAATATACCAGAAATATCTGTTTTACCTAACAATAATTCTGATTTTAAGATAGAAAATTCTGAAAATACTCTTTTCTAAAAGGTCTTAGTTTTTTTCTGTTTTACCGATAAATTGTGTAAATATACTCAGATGTCATCAAAGACGGGGCTTTTTATAATTATTATTGGTTGATAAGGTTGATTATAATGATTGATTGATAGGGCTGATTATAATGATTGATATGTTCATGGCCGATTTATATTAATTATTTAAGGATATTATTAGAATTACACAAAATCTTTAGGAAATTTTGGGATATATGTATTCTTCGATTGGTATAATATGGCATTTCTATTGTATATATCTATAATGAACAGTAATGATGACACTTTTGTATATGTTTATGAATATATAATGATACTATGTTTTTTATAGCTTTTGAGCTTAGTTTTACTTTATTAAAAGTTATGACCTATAATATTAGTTTTCTGTAAAGCTAGTATATTATAATAATATAAGTTGGTATTTTTATTGATGCTTTGTTGTTTTAATGTTTGTGTAAGATAAATGATTTCCAGATGTACCAATTGACCATGAATTTGCTGGACGAAATCCCTTCGCTGGAGAAGGTTGAACTTTTTTCGAAGGAGAAATAGGAAACCCTCTGAACCCACCATGCGGTTTTTGACATGGTGTGTGCCATTCCTCTTCAATTAAAGATCGAATTCTATTTGATGTAGGTACTGATGGTTGATGCATTATTTTGTTTGGTTTTTCTTGAGGAGTGTGAGCTTCAATTTGTACAAGTTCTGGATGAGTTGATGTGGCAACATCTCGTTTATAAGGAAATAGGCGTGGTTCAACGAATTTCTTAGAATATTCGTGAAATACTTCGCTATGAATGATTGACTTATCAATAACATAATTTGCATAAATTCGGTGAAATAAGTAAAGCTTATTAATTGTAAGTAAATAATTAAACAATTGTTCAAGAAAAAAAATATTTTTTTAAAACCTGAATAGAAATCCCTGTTGCTAATAGTATATTTTTAGGACTAAATGGATTAGTCCAAAGTAAAATTAAATTAACTGGATTAAAAAAACTAATTTTAATTAATAAAACTTATTTTATTTAGTTTTAATACCAAAAAAATCGAATGAGTAAAGTTGAAGGATTCCAAACTCTTAATTCCCAAACCTCTTCTGATATATTTGAGTTTTTTTTTTCTTCTTTTGAATTTACTAAACGAAATCGATCTATCAAGTTTCTAAGGGTTCCAGAAATCCCTTCTTTATTCAATACTCTTCGTCGTGCACTTGTACTAGGTGGTGGATGCTAATTGATTTATTTCATCATTTCATATTTATATAAAAAAGGATTGGAAAAAACCTCTTCTTCTCGAGCAAATAGACAATATTGACGAGAAGTTCCAAAACATAAAATTGTACAAAAAACACTCCAAATGAATAGCCCGATAGAAATCCATGAGCACTGAAATAGTTCTCAGTTAAATTTTTATTCTTTTTTTTTGAATTAAAGAAAAGAAGAAAAACGCACCATCCCATGGAATTTTTTCTTCCAAATATCTGTTTGAAGATCCGTTGTTATCTTTAAAACGTTTTTTTTTTTAAATTTAACTTCTTTTTTTAAAAAAAAATGCTCCTGTTGTTTCCCTAGACTTCTTGATAAAATAAAAAGTATTTGACATAAGATTAAGAATAAATATGTCCCTAATCCATCATATTCAAACCATGAATGATGATAATATATTTTTTCCATCCATTCTAAAAATATTTGAAAACATAGTAATTTTCTGGATGAACGTCGAATTAGCCTTGAGGTTTTCTTTTTATCCCCCTCCATTTTATCCTTTTAACTTGTCTTGACCTTTTTAAATTGTTTTAAAAAATAACAAAAACCCTAGAAAAAAAAATAAGGTCTTTATAATATTTTTTCTATCAAAAAGTTAATAAAGAATGGATAATTCTGATGAAATTGTAATTATTGATTTGAAGGATCCCTGTTTTAAGAAAAATTCAAGAGGATTTCCAGAAGGTCCAGTCCAATTAAAAGTATATTTTCTTTTTTTTTTTAAAAAAATTATTTTACCTTTTTTCTAAGGCTTTGGAATCCAATACACCTTTTCTTCAATGGGGTGGACATATTTATCAGGGCCGTTGGGAAAATATGATTGGTACTGAACTGGTTTTTGATGAATCTGGACAATGGTTAGGTCAAGGACGTCGACGATTAATTATGGAACGAGTTCAACTAGTTTCTAAACATTGATTAACAAGTTTGTTTTGAGTTAATTTTGTTATGTTTGATTTGGTATAATATCATTTTGAATAATACGGTTTTCCCAAAAATAAAGACCTTCAAAACATTTATCACGACATAACATTGTTTTTTCTTCAGCAATCTAAAATATTATAAGTATTTGAATATTTATATAAATAGTTGAAAAAGGGAAAAAACCTTTAATGTTTCATATGCAATACCTATACTCCAATGAAATTGATCAGCTACTTGGAAAATACTAACTCCTCGTGAAGAAGTTTGAATCCAAAGAACAAGTTGATGGATTCTTTTTTCTTCGCTTTTATCTTTCTCTTGCAATACTAAAAGACCGCTTTTAAAACGCTTGAGTTGAATTGATACATTTAAAGTTTCATAGTACTGACAAGCTCTAAATAAATCTTCTGGGCTAATTAAATCTTTTTTTTTAAAAAAGAATGGTTATATAGAAATAAATAGCTTACCAGCACCTCTTGCACGGTTATACAAAGCAAATACATCGACTAATGTCATAATACCACCTTCTTTCTTTAAAACACCGCTTTCTAGAAATTCTGCGACTTGTTTTGCTAATTCCATATAATATAGTTTATCATCTTTTGTAATCTCTTTTGTAACGAGGTTATTTGAGAGATCTTGTGTTGTCATTGATGATTCTAAACCCATTGTTTGTAATGATATTTGTAATGTATCAAGTATGTTACGAGAAACATTAGGAGATGTTTGAAGTTGTAATCGAAGTGAATTTGCAAATGCAACCTATAATGTTAGATGTGTTAAGGACATGTAAAGATATTACTAATTCTTTAGCTTTTGACATTAATGCGTTCAAACTTGAGAGGCCTTGATTTAAAATACGAGCATTATTTAATTTAATGTTTTCATCTGTATACTGTAAAACACTGATTCCTCCCACTTTCCTCTCTTCTATGTTCTGTTCTTCTATTGGATTAGATTTAATTGTCCATTCTTTTTGATTAATGGCCTCTTTTAGTCGTTCATAAAAAAGTCGTTCTCCGCCTGATTTAAATTTTATTTTGCAATAATCATTTGTAGAATCTTCTAATGATAATTTGTTTGTTTCCTTGACTATGGATTCTGGATATATTATATTTTTTTCTTGACAAACAAGTGATAAACCACAACTTTCACACTGTTTAAGAGCAGGATGATTAAAAAAAGTACATCTTTTACATGATAAAGATGATTCTCCTTCTGTTGATTCAGAAACACTAACCTCTATATTTTTAGGATATGATAGGTGTTTGTTAATAATAGAAACACCACAAGCTAAACATGGTGGTAAATTTCGATCAATTGAATAACTTTCTGGAACTGGATTTGAAAAACTACAAACTTTACATATCCATGTGTCTCCAATTAATAGAGATGAATCAATTTTTTCAATATGTTTATTATACGTTTTTAGATTGTTTGTTTCCTCTGATTTTTTATAATAAATAGTTATTTTTGGACTTGATTTAAAAAAGTACGTCTAATATTATAAATATAAGCAAGTACTTGACAAATTCTTGTAAGAAATTCTACTGATGTTTTCAGTTCTTCAATTTGTGACAGATTTAGTCCTAATGATTGAATATGACACGTAGATGGATATAAGTAACAAATACGATGTGTTGTAAGATAAATCAACCCATCTTTAAGAATATAATCTTTTGAAAATCTAATTTTCTTTGAGTTAATTCATAAAATACTTTGAAATATTCATACGAATCATAAATCTCTGTTGACGGCTGTATAAAAAGGATTTTTTCTCCGGAAAAAAGAACTGGACTATTAGATTGAGTAACACTAATTGATTTCCAGTATTTCATCTCTTAAAACTTGCAATTGTATCTAAAAAATTTTGAAATTTTATCTTATTAATTTTTGGAGTCAACTGTAACGTCAAGAAATTTCAAAATTAAAGAAAATCCTTGATTTTTAAGAAATAATGAGCAATTTGGATACTATTCAGGAAAGATCTCTCATAGGAATCATTGGAGATGAGGTAAAGATAAATAAATGTTTTTTTTTCCGTCAATTTCAAGTAGAATTGACAAATTGTATAGGATTCAGTAACAGGGTTTCTTTTGGCAGGAATAGGACATATTGATAATGAACAGAAGAAGAATTTTCTAGTTGTTGGAACGGGTTAGTAATTATTTATTATCGATTTTGGAAATATTGGTTGATTTTTAATAGAAACAGAGACATCAGTAATTGAAACATTTTTTGAAGAATTGACAGATTTACGTACAGATATTGGGATCATTTTAATTAATCAACATGTATGTAGATATGCAATGGATGTTAAATTTAATAAGGGTTATGTTTTTTAGATAGCAGATCGTATTCGTCCTAAAATTGAAGCATACTCTCAAGTCTTACCATCTTTGTTAGAAATTCCAAGTAAAGGTGATTTTTTATTATAAAATTCTTTTATTTTTTATATTGAATATTAAAGATCATCCTTATGACCTAGAGAAGGATTTTATTTTAAAAAAAGTTAGACGTTTAATGAGTGATGAAACATAGCAAATAAAAAATTAAAAAAATGAGTTAAGAATGATTAAAAATTTGAAATAGAAAAGATATGTTTGATTAATGGATACTGAATAAATTTGATGCAAAATATAAAAATGAAAGTAAATTAGTTAATTCTGATTATTATTAAAATATAATTGCTTAAGAAAAAATTTTGGAATAAATGTGATATCAACAATAAAACATGCAATTCTTTTATTATTTTCTAGAAATGCGTCTGCTTTGATAATATACCTGCCCTATTTAATTTTATTAATATTATAAAAAGAAAAAGGTTATTTACTGGGAAAATGCTACTTGGAATATAAAATTCTCTAGTAGCTTGATATTCTCCTTTAGAAATTGGACATGGAAACTGTACTTTTCTAGTCTATTATAAATTATTAATTTATTTAAAAATAGAACAGTAAATTTTGTTTGGTTTTCAAACTTGTTCACAAAGATCTATTCGCATATTTAAAATAGGTATAATTCCATAAGTCACACTTAGAAGAACATAGCTTCCAACTAAAACGTCTTCATTAAGGGTACCCTGCCCTTCGACTATGAATTGACTACCTCTTTGTGGAGGATTTGGTATTATTTTTAGTGATTTTATTTGCAAAATATAAGTCTCTGGATTTGTATAAGGGCAAAAAGAAATAATTGATCTTTCTTGGGAAACGTTTTTAATTTCATTATTTGCCCTAATTCTTGAAAAATGTTTACATAAAAGCAATATTAAAGTAATAACATATACTTTCATTTGATAGACGTATGATATTGATTGATACGTATTTCTAGAAAAGGGTGAAGGTAGAAATTTTAAAAAAAAATGGTTAAATAGATAAATATTTTAAAAGAAATCTTTAATATATTTTTCATTTGAGTAATTGAGACATAATGTTTGTTTTTTTTTTGAAATGATGGGTTTTATCTATATTTTTTAAGAATTAAATGATTGTTATAGAATTAACAAATAAATAATATGATATTTATTTTGATTATGCCATTAATTAGTAGAAATATATGATAAATATTGTTATTTTTATTTCTTTGCTTTTAAATAGGAGAATTTTTATATATATGGATAAAATTTATATTGGTTTGTGTTTTTAATAAAATGATAATTGTATTGATTTTTAGTATCTAAAATTTTTTGATTTATATTTATTAATAAAAATCTTGTAAATTTTTTTATAAACATATCTAAATTATAATTTTATCTGATTTATTGTTTTTAAAAGAAAAGGATTCTTCTTGTTATTTAAAAGAAATAAATATAATTTATCAATATCTTAATTGGTGAATAATTTTGTTAAAATATTTTAAAATAACAAGAATTGATCTTTTAAAATGAATTTTTATTTTATTAAACATATATTTAGACTCGATAAAAGTATAAATTATAATTATTCTTGGTATAATTTTAAGAGTAAAAATTTATGATATTTTGTAGATCAATTTATAATTATGTTTTGTTATCTATTTTTATAAATTATATTTCCAATATGTTCCTAATTTTCTATTTTCTATCTATTTTCTGTATTTTTTATATTCATTATGATCTCTGAAATCTACTTTGGACCTTTTTTGGTTTCTAAGCAAGTATTTTTTCATGCAAAAGTAGATTGATTTAGTAGTTAGAAAGTCTATTAATACTTTATTAGAATTCTTTGGCACTTGTAAATTTGAAGCCAGTGCTTCCAGGACATGTTCTTGTCATTCCTAGACGTCCTGTACCACGTCTTCGTGATTTAACGGAATCAGAAGTATTAAAATAAGGAGTTTGTTATATTATTGATTAAGATTAAGATACTATGTCTTTTCTCCACTGTTCAAAAGGTATCATCTGTTGTTGAGAAGGCGTTTTGTGCATCATCATGTACTGTCACAATTCAGGATGGGAAATATGCCGGCCAGACGGGTTTTTTTGTTTTATTTTTTTGTTTATATTTAATTTTGTAGTTCCTCATCTTCATGTTCATATAATACCCAGAAAACCTTATGATTTAAAGGAAAATGATGAGATTTATGAGAGATTAGCTTCTGAGGATGCTGATTTGGGAAAATTATATCGTGAAAAAACAAAAGGTTTTCAAAAAATTGATGATGCTGACAGAAAGCCACGAAGTGACAAAGAAATGGAAGAAGAAGCACGTTGGTTAGAAGAATTTTTTGATTTTAATAATATTTCATAATATAAAATCTTTTTTTATTATTATTTTAATGATGAGAATGTTATTCTTATAGTTTGAAAATAATACATGTTCAATATATTTATTTTTTTATATTATGTTTTACAATTTATTCTATTACTAATTAATAATGTTTTATGATTAGAAGCTATTTTAAAAAAAAAGAATAATTATAATTTCTTAAGAAAAAATACATTCAATTTCAATATATTAGATACTTTCTTAAAAAAATGTGAATCTACTAGATGATTCATTTGATTTATTGTATTTTATTTACTTATTTTTTTTAAATCAATTGATTCTTTATTTCTATTATACTTGTTTTTTTAACAGATACAATCTGACTATCTAAACTTGGTTATTATGTATATTCAAGATGCAAAGGCTGAAATGAGAAAGCTTTGGAAAGTTCTCATAGATCTTCCATTGTATCATATTAAAAGTCAATGTATATTTTTTAGATAGATATTTGATTAATATTTATAATTTCTAGCAATGGTTGTTACAGATTCTTTAATAAGACTTCCAGAGTTTAAGAAGAGTAAATCAATTAGTGTTTATTTATCAATGGTTCATGGAGAAATATCTACAGATGAAATAATAAAACAGTCTCGTCAGATGGGTATTCTACTTTTTAATGAACTTTATATGTAATAATCAGAAAGGGAAAAAAATATATGTTCCTTTTGTAGATGGACAAGAAATGTTTATGTTTTGTTTGTATTCAGCAGAGGATCCATCTACGTTTGTCAAAAATAAATGGGGTATTCCTCAGCCAAGTAAAAGTTATGTAAAGGGTATAATAAGAGAAGAAGCTATGGACAAAGATGGGCTGGATTTAATCATTATTCCTGGCATTGCATTCGATAGAAATTTGAATAGATTGGGCCATGGAAAAGGGTTTATAAAGGCTAGTTTTATGATAAAATGATTGATTATATATTAGATATTATGATAAATACCTTACTAAAATAAAACATTGGTCTGAAAAAAGTAATCTTAGTGCGCCGTTAAAAGGTATGTATTTATACACAGTTAAAAATATCTATGTAAAAAGGCTAAAATTTTTAAAGTGGGTATTGCTTTGAAGGAACAATTAGTAGATATTGTACCAATAAATTCTTTAGATGTAAAACTTGATATTTTATTAGTTGAAAATGAAATTATAAGATAAATATCTTTTTTTTATATACATAAAATTTTAAAGTTGAGCTGCTTGAATTAATGTAATGTTATCCCCTTTTAACAAAATACGACCTAAACATGTAATTAGAATATATAAATACCTAGTCTATTTTGACGATATTTCTAACCAAGTTGTCGTCTAGAATTTTTTTTTTGGGCTACTTCTATTGCTTCATCAATTACCAAATTCATGAACTCATCAAATCCCTATTTAGTTTATCAATATTTTTTTCGGAAAAATATAAAAAAACCCTTATTTTCCCTTCAATTCTTATGTCTATCTGTTCATATAGCCATATACACACATCAATGTGTTGTTGCAAAAGTTTGAAAATAAAATTCTATATTTTCATCAGTTTTTCACCAAAAAAAACACTTCAAATGCTTCGAACAATAGGTGGAATCATAACTTTCTGTGTTCTCCCTGATTGAGTACGTACTGACATGTTTTCCTATGGTTTTTAAGCGTTTTTTCTTAATTTTTAGTTCTTTTAAAAAAATCTTGACGCCTGTCGTCTGGTGTTCTTCGACGACCTTTTAACTCGACATAGAAATCTGTTTACCGATTACTCGAGTTTTTAAGGTATATTTTAAGTATGTCATCAGTTTCTGCAGAGCCTTTTGGAGCTCTTTATGAGGCATTGAAAACACTGTATTCAAATTCGTCACGAAATGAGAAAGAAAGAGCAAATAATTATCTTGAGGAATTTCAAAAAAGTGTAGGAAAAAGGTCATGATTTCTAGGAAAAAGGGTTTTAACATATGGAATAGAGAGATGCATGGGCAACTACACATTTGGTTTTACGAGATAATGAAGCATCAATTGAAGCAAAGCTTTTTGCTGCTCAAACATTGAGAAATAAGGTTTTTTTATTTAAAAATAGTTTAAAAGGAGAAATTTGAAGTTCTGATTGTTTAAGATTAATTATGATATCCATCAGCTTCCGAATGAGAGTTTATCATCATTAAAAGATTCACTTTTTCAGCTTATACTTTTATATTATTCGGGGCCTAAATCTATTTTGACTCAATTATGTGTTGCTTTGGCGGGACTAGCATTGCAAATGTTAGATTGGAAAGATGTTATTGGAGATGTTGTTTCTGTTTTTGGGAAAGATAATAGCACATGGGGGTGTTTGTTGCAATTTATTTCTGTTTTACCAGAAGAAGTTGATAATAAAAAATGCTTACTTTCTGTAATCTTTAAATAATATTTTTTTATGAAATTAATATTTTAAGGAAGAAGAGTTAAACTGTCGTTCTAAAGAGCTTTTGACGGATAATTTAGATAAGGTTCTTGAGCTTTTGTTGCTATATGTACAAAATGTTCACGTTAATACTTCTATTAATCCTTTGGTTTTTGATTGTATGAATTCATGGCTAAAAGAAATGCCTCTTGGTAGTTTTGTTATGACACCATTGCTTGATTTTATATTTGCTTCTCTTTCTTTGGATAATATGTTTGAATCAGTTATTGACCTGTTGTGTTCTATTTTTCGAGAAACGTCAGATGTTGATGAGTCTTTGAATATGATTGAGGAGTTGTATTCTCGTCTTCGGAAGCTAAGACCTAGAATAATTGAAAGTAAAAACGATTTGGATACTTTTAGGGGTTATGCTCGATTGTTTTGTGAAGCAGGAGAGACGTGGGTAGTTTTGATTGCCCGTTCCCCACAACATTTTAGATCTTTGGTTGAATGTATAGTTATGTTTGCTGAAATGGATGAGGAATTGGAAATAGTTAAATATGGATTTAATTTTTGGTATGATTTAAAACAACTTCTTGTTTTAAAGGCGTATACTGAAGCAAGGGCTATTTTTTCTGATATATATTCTAATTTGGTAGATATAATGATTCGGGATTTACATTATCCTGATGGTAATGTTAACGATTTATTTGATGGTGATCGAGAAAGCGAAGAAAAATTTCGTAGTTTTAGACATCAAATGGGTGATGTTTTAAAGGATTGTTGTTCTGTTATAGGCGATGATGCTTGTTTAAAAAAAGCGATTGAAAAGATTAAAAAACTTTTAAATGATAATGAAAATGGTATGTTTGTTAAATGGCAAGAAATAGAAGCGCCGTTGTTTAGTATGAGAGCAATGGCTCGAGAAGTTAATATAGAGAATAATCATGTTGTTCCTGAAATTATGTCTATTCTTACAAAATTACCTAATCATGAAAAAATAACATATGCTGCTACATTACTATTAGGGAGATATACAGAATGGACTGCGAAACATCCCGAATATTTAGAGCTTCAGCTAAATTATATATGTAGCGGTTTTCAAGCATCGAATAGAGATATTGTAAGTGCTGCTTCACAAGCACTTAAACACTTTTGCCAGGATTGTGGAAAGGTTGTAATAATTTCTTATTCCCTTGATTATTGATATTTATTAGCTTCTTGTTGATTATATTACTCAATTGCGATTATTTTATCAGAAAGTGGCCCCTACTTTAGATATAGAATCTCTTTTTGAAATTACTGAGGGTGTTGCTTATGTTATTTCTGCACAACCTATACATCAAGTTTATGATATTTTAAAATTGTTTTATGATCCTATTACTGAAAACATTCTTTTAAAAATGCAGAAAAATGATACTAGTACAAAATTCTATCAATCTATAGCAGGTATTCTTATTAAAAAGGTTTTTAAGTTCTTTAATTTTATTTTTAGATGAAGTTGAACTTCTTACTATATTTGCTCAAGTTGTATCTCCTTACGTTTCATTAGATCAGCAACATCCTTGTGTACGATTATTTCAGGAATTTTGGCCCTTTATATCTCATTTGCTTGATATTTATGGATCATTCCTAGTTATTTCTGAAAGTATATGTAAATTTTTTAAGACATTACTTAATTCTTATCGTGAACATATGCTTGAGTTTCTTCCATCTTTAGCTGAAAAATTAGTTTCGTGTTTTGAAAAAATGGAATATGGATGTTTTTTGTGGGTTAGCGGTGCATGTATACGGATATTTTCAAATGTAGAAACATGTTCTGAGGATACTCGATCTGCAATTTGGCAGTTTACTGAAAGACAATGTTTGGCTATGTTTAATATTTTAAATAGAACTAATCCTAAAGAAATTCCTGATGGTAATGAATTTCTATTTTTTTTGCTATAGAACTAACATTTTATTATAGTAATTGATGATTTTTTTCGGCTTCTTATTGATGTATTGTTGGGGCATTCCGTTCGTTTAATAACTTCTTCATTATTGGAACTTATTTTTCAAATATCTCTGGCTTCACTTTCATTAGAATTGCCTGATCCTTTGATATCTATTTTTCATTTTTTAAAAGATCTTTTTTCTTATTGTTTTTCTTCTCCTGCGTCAACTTTTCTTGAGACACCTTTAGAACTTCAAACAATAGTCAGAAACATGATACAAAAATACAGACAACAACTAGTAACCACTATTTTTTATGGATTAGCATACTCTTTCCCTCGTGACTGTGTTTCTGATGCCTCAGGTATATTACTTTGCTTAATAGAAATTCATCCAGAAGATACAATAAAAAATATTGCATTTACTTTGGACCTTTTTCCTTCCGAAACTATAGGCTCTCAAGAAAAACTGCGTTTAATAAATGATTTAACCAAGTAAGTGTTTTTTTATATAATATTAATATTAATTATATTTTTAAGTACTGCAATACAGCTTGATTGGAAAAAAATAAGAAGATTATTGCAGGATTGGATAGCTTTCTATAGAAGAAGAGTAATTACCCCTCGTAATAAGACATTTAGATTGAAAAGTTTTGATGATGTTGGATTGAATTTTAGTGTTAGGCATTAAATTAATTTTTAAAAAATATTTTTAACATTCTACCTTTTAAATTTTTCAATTTTATATTTATATTTGTCTTTTATTTTAATCTAAAACAAATATATATGTATTTTAGATTAAAATAATTTGATCTTTAAAAGATTTTTATATTTCTAATATTCGTTGAAAACCTTAACTTAAAAAAGATTCTTATTCTTGGAGGCAAATAGGCATTAAATAATACTAGAAATTGCTTATTATCTTTATTATTATTATAAGTTTTGAAATATTTTAAAATATGAAATGGATATTTGAAGAAAAAAATTATTTTGATTTGATTTTATATTTATGATTGACTTTATACGTTTAATTGTTATTTGTTACTATTTTTCTTATTGAATGACGACACTTAAGGCATTGGATTGGGTAAAAAAAGTAGTTTTTGATGTCAGTTTCTTTATTTTTTTATTAAATGGTCCTAATAAAAGAAGAATTATACGTTTGCCAAACGAACTTATGAGGATATAAAGGATATTATTGATTCTTATCCGTCAGTGGATGTTTGGATTGAAGAAAGACGTAAAATAATGAATTTTTGTTATTTTTGTGGAAAAATATAGTTAATTTTTGGTTTAGAATCTGAAAAACGAGAGAAAAAATGTATTCTTTGTATTAAGGTTGTTTTGCAGGTTGTTTCATTTGAAAAAACATATGATATTCCTGTTGTTTTATGGGTCCCGTTATTATATCCACGAGAGGCACCTATTGTTTCACTTGTTATAGAAGAAGGGTTTGTTATTAAGCAGGGCAATTATGTTCATTCTGATGGTCGTTGTTATCATCCATGTATAGAATTTTGGGATGAATATTCATGTGTATGTTTTTATTTATATTTAAAGCTGATATTTTAATTAAATTTATAATTTAGGAATCTACATTAATTCGACTTTTTGTTTCTCTGAAAAAAGCATTTTCAAAAGACGTTCCAATTGTTTTTTTACAATCTGGTTGTATTTTTAAATCATCATGTTCTACATCTTCAAAAGACTTATCGAATGATTATGATTTATCTGCAATATCTAAATCTCAAACCTCTCTGGAACAATCATCGCCTCCTCCTTTACCTGACAAACCTCCAAGTTTTTTAATTAAAACGCCTTTTTCGCTTCAAAAGAACAATTTGATTGAACTTCCTCAAAAAAAATCTGTTAATATACTTGATTCTGCTTGTATTGATGCAGGGGTTCCAAGTATGTCTTCATCAAACTTTGATTTAGTAAAAAAACCATTGAATCCTATTGTTGAGCAACTTATTAAACAAATAGCTATCACGTTACAAGAAAATGCTCAAACGTCTCAGAAAACAATAGCTCAATTGCTTTTTCAAGTAAAAAATGACAGAGAAAAGATACTTCGTTCTCAAGCTCAAATTGAGAGGGAAAAAACAGAAATTACTCATATAAAAGAACAATGCCAAAAAAACATAGATATTTTAAAAGAAAAAATTGAGTCTTCTAAACTTCTAATTGAAAAATGCAAAAATATGCAAGAGCCATCAATAGATGATATAGTTATTCCAGGAAATGCTCTTTCCGAACAGTAAATCCTATATTATTTATTTTACTCATTTATCATTTTTTAGATTTTATGATTTGATCTCTGATGAAAAATCAATAGAAGATACAATTCATGTTCTTGTAAAAATGCTAGAAAAGGAAAGAATAGATTTCGATACTTTTCTTAAAGTAAATATTTCAAAATCCTTTTCTTTTACTAATAATATAGTATACTCGAAATCTTGCACGAGAACAGTTTATGAAAAAGGCTTTGATTAGGAAAATTAAAAAACTGGAAAGTTCCTCATAATTATCGACCTTTAATCCCCTAAGCTCTTTTATGTTTATACTTATTTTTTACTAATTATAAAATTCTGCAACAAACTTTTTTTGGTTTTTATATTTCATTTTTAAAAACCATGCTATATTCATCAATCACCTTTTTTATGGTTTTTTTTTGTAATATTAACATTAAAAATACATAATCAATTTATTTTAAAAAACTACTAATATTTCCTCTACAAATTCTGCTTTTTTAAAAAAATATCTTTATATTTTTATATTACTATAATCGATTCTTCTAACTTCATCTAACACCTTGTTCTTTTGAAACATGAAATTTAGATAATTCATCCGAATTCATATCAACATTTCTCGTCTTTATCTCTTCTAACTTTGCTTTTTCTTGTATTTCTTTTTAAAATTAATTTTTTTTAATAATTTTTTAAAAATCTCCTACTTTGACTTTCTAATATCCGATCTCTATGTCTTGCCTTAATATCCTTTATTATATTATAAATATTACACTAAAACTTATTCAAAATACTTTTTTTGCAAAATAATATCCTATTCCTGCTGCTATTCTTTGTTATATATTTTTTTATCTTAATCTTTTTTTCTTACCAATCGTCAAGCTTACCCAGCCTACAGCAATTGACCATGGTTTATTCATTATTTGTTGTTAATTTATGTTTCTCTTAAGTTTATTAGGTCTATTAAGTTAACCGTTACTTGGTCCAGATCGTTGAACGTTTATTTTTAAAATGTATCATCAAGAGCCTAGTTTAAAGCCTCCATCTCTTTCAGATATATTGGAAAGCTCTAAGAAACTTCAACATAAATTGTTTCGATTGGAATTGCCTCAGATTCAGCTTGGTTTGGATCAAATTCGTCAATGTTCAGAGGAACAAGTATTAAATCTTGGTATGAGGGATGGAGATACAAAGGCGTAAGAGATAAAAAAGAATAAAGGGAGTAGTTAAATTGTCTAGACATTATTTGCTTGCGGGAAGTGGAATGAATGCAAAAGAAACGCTACAGACCTTGATGTCTATACAACTTCTTCCTTTCTATGAATCAGCACCATTAATGGATACAGATATTGATGTAAAAGAGGATATATAGTTAGAAATATGAATGAATTGAGTATTTTTAGGGCTATTTGAGATATAAGAAAGAGAGGAATATTTTATTGGCAATAGAAGATATGATTAAACAGAGTCAAAGAGATTTTGATGCTTTTGTTGCACGAAATGTTAATTATAAGTTGGAGAAAAACAAGATGAATTTGTTGAATGATTTTCAGAATACTAAAGAATTATCAAATGTGAAACAAAATGATGTGTCAAAAGAAGAATTAAAAAATGTAACTGAATCGACTATGGAAAAATCTTTTTTTGAATCTAGTTTTAAGAAATCGAGATTTGCGAAGTCTGCTTTTAAGGATTTTGATGATGTTGAACTATCAGTACAACATACTCCAGTTATTTCTACGATTCGACAAAAATATGCAGAAATTGTGTCATTGTTGAATGAATTTAGATTAAAAGGAAAAGGATTTGGAATTTTCAATGCTTTTTGTGATGTTTTACGGTTGTATAGGGGTGATATTGTATATTAAATGAGTTTTTCGTCTATTTTTTAATCAATATGTGTAGCGATATCAGCAACTTTCTGATTCATGGAAATTGCTTTCGAAAATTGTTGAAGAAAACAATTATTTATATGACTCAGTGTCTTCTAAAACTACTAATGAGAGACAGTTTGTTTCTTATATTGATAATCCTGCTTCAAGACCTGCTATGTTTAAAAAAATTGTTTCTGGAGCAAAATCATTTCTTGAATTTCAGTAAGTTTTTATCTTTTCCAAATATTTGTTTCAATTAATTTTTCTTTGAAGATTTTTTTCCCTTATTGAAAGAGAAATTATAAAATATCCTCATGATGCAAAATTAGGTGGTGTTCCATCTGCTGAAAACAAAATTCGAGCATATTTGAATATAAAGTTTATGAAAAATGGTAGATGGATAAAGAGTAATCTAGAGATTGTCAATAATATTCCTATATGGGCGTTTTTATTTTATCTTATTAGGTGTGGATATTTAGAAGAGGCAGTACAATATACTTTGAAACATGAAAGTTTATTTCAAAAAATTGAAAAAGCATTTCCAATTTATTTAAAAGCATATTTTATGTCTCCTAATGGGAAGCTTCCTCGTCAACTTAATGATAGACTACATGCTGAATATAATCAACGTATACGATTTATAACAGAAACCTCTGACCCTTATAAATATGTAATTTATAAAATAATTGGCAGATGTGAGTTATCAAAGAGGTCATTACCGGAAGTTTTGCCTCTTGCAGAAGACTATATGTGGCTTCAGTTAAATTTGATACGTAGTATAGAGGATTCTGGAGAATCTGTTCATGAAAGATTTACTTTAGAAGATGTACAAAAAACTCTTTTAAGTTTTGGGGCTAAACATTTTACTTCTAAAGGCACTAATCCAATTGTATATTTTCAGTTACTTTTGTTAAGTGGGCAATTTGAACGAGTAGGAAGGTTTTAAATTATTTAAAGCTTGACCATTTTTAGGCAATATATTATTTATATTCTTATTATCCTATTGATGCTGTTCATTTTGCAATAGGCCTTACATATTATGGATTATTGCATATACCAGTAGTCGATAATTCCTTAGAGACAGAGTTATGTATGATTTACATTTATTTATAATAGTTTTAATTAATCATAACAAATAGTGTCAATTAATGATAATAATATTGCTTGCCTAAATTTCTCAAGACTTATATGTGTATATACAAAAACATTTCAGAAATTGGATCCTAGAGTTGCGGTTGATTATCTTTGTCTTATATGTTTAAACGGAGATTTATCCCCTCCAATTGGAAATGCTCAAAAAAATATTTGTTATGAAGCAATAAAGGAACTTGTTTTAAGTACACGTGATTTTTCTCAGTTATTAGGAGATGTGAAGGCTGATGGATCAAGAGAAGTATTCTATTTTATATTTTTATCTTTAATTAGTAATTATATCATTAGCCTGGAATTATTGAAAAAAGACTTGAATTAATACAATTACATAGTGAAAGTGAATATTTAAAAACAATTACAGAGCAAGCTGCTATACAAGCAGATAATGATGGATGTACTGCTGACGCTATACTTCTTTATCATCTATCGGAGGTCTGTTAAATATATAAATATATTTTGAATATATATACTTATATTTTAGGATTTTGATACTGTAGTTTCGATTATTAATAAAGTTCTTGGTGAAGCTTTAAGTAGTCCTTCACTTAGTACTTATGTTGAGTCTGGCAATTCCTCTTTGAAGATCAATTTATCTTTGATGGCTATGGAGGATCCAAGACGATTGGCAGAGAATATGATGTCTGTATATTTCAATAATGTTGAGATATATTCTAAAATAACTCCTACAAATAGAGATGCTTGCAAAACTCTTTTAAAAATAGCAGATGCTCGTGCTGCATATAAAGAAGGTAAATGGGAACAATCTTTAATGGTCTGTTAATTGAATTTATTTTCTTATTTTTAATATTATTGATTTATAGATTATTGAACAACTTAATGTTATTCCTCTGGATTGTAATGCAGATATTGGAGCTATTAAGAAACAGGCACAAGATTTTTCATCTCTTCATGGTAGTATTGCACGTAATGTTCCTGGTCTACTTGTCATGAGTATGGAATGCCTCTATAAATTAAACAATAAGCTTAAATTAAGTCCTTTTTCTGACTCATCTCGTAATGCTGTAATAAACTTTGTTTTTTTGGAAAGAATAATTTCTGATATCACTTTAGAAATTGATTGAATTACGGAAACGTGCGAAATCTGCTATGATTTATGCTGGATTGATTCAGTATAGAATGTCATCTGAGATTTATTCGCATATTTCTCGTCTTGATGTTATGTTTTAAGTATACATTTATACATATTTTGGATATTTTTAGATTTTGAATCCAGTATTTTTTTACATTATTTTTCGTAATTTAAGGCATATGGTACATATTTACACAATAACGGATATTATTTTTTATAGATATCATTATAAAATATGAGAAAAATTAATGGTTTTCAGTTTTAAAACTAGTCTAAAATTTGCAAAAGGAATTTTTTTTTAAATAAATTTAACATGAATTAATGGTAGTTTTTCAGATGGTCTAATTAGAAATCCATATGTATTTGATAAAAATATTTGAGATTTTAAGAATTACGTTCCCGGTCGCACCTTTATTAGAATGGTTTATTGTATATCTTTATATAAATTTCCAAATAACTTTTGAACAATTCCTTGAGACCTGTATTTGAACATTTCAATTGAAATTTATATTTGTTATTTTAAAGATATAAATAAAATACTTTCTTAATATATTTTTTTATATAAAAAAATTTTAAATTTTTATTCTACATTCCTATTTTTTACAAGCAAAATTAATATAAGTGGTACTATATACATCCAATATTTTTGAAAAAATGTTTTTTCTTTATTTTCTATAGGTTTTCCATCTGGATCTAGAGTAATAGGCTTATTAAATATAGGCATCACCCCATTTTCAGATGATGGAAATACAATTCTTACACTTGTAGTAATTTCTGGAATCTGATTTTTCTATAATTTATCAGCTTATTTTTAAATTTCTTTAGTAAAAACTCTTTTTTCTAAAATACTCAATATATAGTCTACATGCCATATTTCATTAGAATTATCCAAATAAATAATTATTTCTTCATGAATATCTTTGTCTTGTTCTAATAGTTTTTTTAAATGAATCTAAATTTATAAGTTTTAACTAAAAATATGTTTAAGTATACCCATGGAATAAATCCATTTTTAAACTTTTTTTTAGAATTAAAAGCTCCTACTCTATAAAATCCTTTTTCCATATAATTCCATGTTGCTGCGAATGAAAAAAGTGTCTCATTATGATAATAAACCGCTTTTTCTTTCTCAAAATCATATTTTACATATCCTCGTAATACTGGTGTAGTTTCTGGTGTTAATTCATGAAATATTTCAAAATTAAGATCTTTAGTATATAAATCATTCTCATGTGTTAGTGTCCTCCCAAATAAATATAAGAAAAACCATAGGAATATGTATATTTCCATTTTAAAAATTTACCAAAATTTGTTTAAGTGTGATCGTATATTTAATATTTATTTATATATTAAATATAAATAAATAAATGATTATTTCAATGACTTTTATAAAGTACTATTGTATTGTAATTCTGTTAATTCTAATAATAGTTAGAAATATCTTCATAAAGTTAAATATAATTTTTCAAAATTAATATAACATATATTTGAGCCCAACATTTAGATGATATTATTAAAATGACTACAATAAAATATTGTCTTTTTTTAAATTTAAAAAGCTATTTATCCCGTAAATGATTTGGAATATAATAATCTTAAATAAGTTCCTTTAAAGTGTTTGATTAATCATCAATTTTATCAATATTTATCTCTTTTTTTAATTAAATATTAAGAATAAACCTTCTCTTTCCTTAATTCCGATATATTTCTTTATTTTAAACGCTCTCTATCAAAGTTAGGATTGTTTTTTGTTTATTTAAATTTTTGATTTGATTTATGCTTCTTTTTCTTTTTACTTTTATATATATCAAAAAATGAATTCGCTCTCTTTTTGTCATTATCTCCATAAGAAAAGTCTTTTGATTGCTTTATTAATGAAATTTTTTCAATATATTTACTTTTACTTTCAAATTCATCGCTATCATCATATATTTCAACCTTCTCTTCTTCATCTTTTTGTTTTTTACTTTTAAACAATGATAATTTCTTCCTTAACAATGCTTTTTCTTCTGATAATTCAGTATCTTTTTTTTTTTTTGTATTTGTTCTCAACTCCAATCTTTTTTTCAAATTTTTGTCATTTAAATACTGAAAAAACTACCATAAACTTGCCTTTTTTGTATTCTACTTCTAAAAAGCTCTTCATCCTCACTATTAATATCTTCTTTTTCCTCTTTAAAGTCTAATTTATTTTCAGATTTGTTCATCCAAGATGTAACAAGTTCTCTAGTTTTATGAAGAGATAAATTAATTTCTGACTTGATAATTGAATTTTTTGATATGTTTTCTTCATATTTCATTGTTTTCCTATCTTAAAAGCCCTCTTTTAAGAGCCCTATTAAGCAATTGATTATGCTGAATTTCTCATAATAATATTGAGGTCGATAAGCACCTCTCGAAACTTCAGTATATTAACTTTCTCTTCTGATATAAGAAAAAAGCTATTAAGAAGCCTTAAATACTAAGAATTCTCATGGTTAAATATTTTTTTCGTCCTTATTTATTAAGGAATAAGAGTATTGGTGCTAAAGTAGGTTTTTAAAGCTTTTTAAAGCGATGTAATTGATTGATTTTGAATATATAGAATTTTATCTTTGGATATAGAAGAAACCTTTCTATTCATGAATATTTATCGGCAAATATTTTAAGAGATGTACAATAATTAATAATATGTGCTTTTTGAGTGGTATTTATTGAGTATAGTATGGTATTAATGTCCCTTCTGGGAGAGTTGCCAAAAGTTCTGAAGAGGCGGTAAAAATTGCCAAAGAATTGGGTATTTTTGGATATATTTTTTAAGAGAGATGGTAATTGAATGGTTAGGAGTGGAAGATTTTGTTGTTAAAGCACAGGTTCTTTCAGGAGGAAGAGGAAAAGGTGTTTTTGATAGTGGGTTAAAGGGAGGTGTAAAAGTAGTTTGTTCGTGGGTATTTGTTGAATAATTGTTCCTTTGAAATGAAGAGTTTTTAGTCCTGAGGAAGTTGGTCGATACGCGAGTCAAATGTTAGGATATACACTTGTTACGAAACAAACGGGGCCTTCTGGAAAAATTTGTAATGCGGTTTATGTTTGTGAAAGGAAGTTTTCTAGAAAGGAATATTATGTTGCTATATTGATGGATCGCGCATCATGTGGACCTATGATTGTTGCATCTTCTGAAGGAGGTGTTGATATTGAAACAGTTGCTAAAGAAAATCCAGATTTGATTTTTACAGTGCATATTGATATATCCAAAGGGGTTACTAAAGATATAGCATCTAATATTGCTGATAAACTTGGATTTTCTGAGAAAACTCGGGATCAAGTTATAGACACAATATTAAAATTATATAAAGTGTTTATTGAAAAAGATGCCACTCAAATTGAAATAAATCCTCTTTCAGAAACGATAGATCATAAAATATTTGCTATGGATGCTAAATTTGGGTTTGATGATAATGCAGAATTTAGACAAACTGATATATTTTCATTACGTGATAAGTCTCAAGAAGATCCTGATGAAATTAAAGCAACTAATCTTGGATTAAATTTTATCAAACTTGATGGATCAATTGGATGCTTAGGTATGATTTATTTTTAATGGGTATTAAATTTATGGATGTTTTTTAGTAAATGGAGCTGGTTTGGCTATGGCTACTATGGATATTATAAAGCTTAATGGCGGAGAGGTTTGTTTATGGTTTTTCTTTTGTATAATAACTTGTTGTTAGCCTGCAAATTTTCTTGGTAATATTTTTTAGTTCTTTTCTTTTTTCTAAATTCTAAAGACGTTGGTGGCTCTGCTAGTGCTGAATCAATTAAAGAAGCATTTAGTCTTATTATCAAAGATCCTAAAGTAACTACTATCTTTGTGAATATATTCGGTATTGTCGGTTTAAGATTATATGACCAACTAACGGTTTAGGTGGGATTGTGAGATGTGATTATATAGCACGAGGTCTCATTTCAGTCATGAAAGATTTGAATCTTTCAATTCCTATTATTGTTAGTAAATTTTTGATCATTTTATATGTTTTGATTATTATTAAGGTGCGTTTACAAGGTACGAAACAGGAGGAAGCACAAGACATATTAAATAGTTCTGGTTTACAATTTTTTTCTTATATAGGTTATTATATAAGTGATATATGATAAAAGCTAATATCTTTTTAGATCTTGATGAGGCAGCTTACAAGGTTTTTAATAATTGATAATAGTTTTTTTTTAATTTGATGTAGGCATGTCATTTTAGTAAAATTATGAAATTGTCAAGAGATATTGATGTGGATATAAGCTTTAAGCCTTTATAAGTAGTTATGAAATGAATAGGTTATAATATCTAAATAGTTAGATTTCCTAATCTATTTTGTTAATTTTGTAACTTTTCAAATTAAATTATTCTGTTTTATTAAATATCTAGTATTTTTATTAGATGTTTTAGGTATGATATTTAAATTTAGAAATAGCCAGTAGATCTTTTTTTAATAATGATTAATAGAAATTAATGTTTTATTAAATTGACATTAAAATATTATATTTTAAATATTTTTATAAGGTTTTTTATGAATTCCTATACATTATATTTTGTGTCTAAGAATCTAAGCATTTCGTTAAATTGCACAATAATGGTAATATAAAAATGGTAATGATAATATACGAAAAACTACATGTTACAATATTAATTTTTAAATAAATCTATCTTTAAAAATCTTATATCAGAAAAAATTAGTAAAAATGAAAAAAGTATTAATTATACAGGTTCATAGTATGACTTTAATGACATATATTCATGGCAATTGTGTTTTTAATTTTTAAGTACAAGATATCCGTTTTCCATTTTTGCTATTCGTGTTACAAGTTCAAGTATAAGATCACGATTTTTTGAATTCATTTCTAATTGTGGTTTAAATGATTTGAGAAGCTCCTTCGCATTCATTTTTCTGGATTGTATAGCATTTTTCAATTCTTCCTCAGTTACTAAATAAGAATCTATTATTGTTAGAATCTATAGACTAAGAAAAAAAAAACCATTAGATGTAGATTCCGCAGTATTATGTGTATCACTTCCTGAATTCGGACTTAGAGGAGAATTTAAATTATGATCTTGCAAATTATTTATCGTTCGAATTTTTATCTTTCTAGTAGAATCGCTAGAACTAAGGTTTGACGAATCTTCTAAATTATTTACATCTGAATCTAGTTTACGTCGTTTATTACGTTCTGGAGAAGTTTCTCTGGGAGATGATAAAGATGATTGGAAAGAATTCGCATATGAAATTAAATGTTGTTTTGGTAATTTTAGCGTAATAAGATATGGTCTAGTAGGACCAATAGAATGAAAATAGTCCTGCTTTTGTGTTTTCAAAGCACTAGATAGTGCCAAATGTTTTGTGAAATCATTAGATAAACTATTTGATACTTCTGTAGATAATGCTTTAGAGACTATCGAAAAGTTTTTGTTAGTATTGAAATCGCTTTGTATAGCGTTATCTTGTAATTGCTGTTTTTTTTTATCTTTAATTATTTTTTCTTGTTTTACCAGATTTCCCCTTTGAAAATTAGATGTATCAGAATCCGTATCATCCTATAATATATATTAACATAGAGCACAAACTAAAGAATAAATACTTCTGATACATATGGATTATTCTCCTCATCAGTTTCGTATATATGGTTTTTTTCATGATAAGTTAAATATTTTCTCATTTTCCTTCCTTCCTTATCCATTCTTCTTTTTTCATCGTATGAATTTTCGCTCATATATTTATTCTCATCTTCTAATAAATTTGCTGATCGCATTTCTCGTTTGATTCTTTCCTTTGCAATATTAATCTTTATAATATATAATAACAATAAATTTACTTCTAGTTCTCTATTGTCCTCTTCATTTCCTTCAATAAATGGTGTTTCTTCATCATCTGCAAACTCTTCATTAAAGTCTAATTCTTCATAACCATCACGATCTCCCTTAAAATATTAATATAATCGTTTCCATAATATACTTTCATTCAATTTTACATTTAATTCTGATTTTCTTTGAGATGCAACTGTCCTTAACCTATATATAGGCCCTGATGGATATTCTTCATGATTATTTTCTTTTATCTCTTTCTTCATAAACCAGCGAGGAACAATAATACGTTTGTTCATCTTCAATATATAAATATCTTTTTAAAATATTCTTCTAATTTTCATACTTTAGCTTCTGCTTCGTCAATAGACAAAGTTTGATAGCGACTTTTTTGATTAAATCGATAGTATTTATTCGCTGGAACCACTTTGAATCCATTTTCCTATCCATTTTATAAGTTCATATATCTAATTTTAGCCTAATATATACTGCAAATACAAAAAAAACATAGTTATGAGATTGTCCTCCCTCCATTGTTCCAATCCATGTATTCCGTCCATCAAAATCCTCTAAAACCCATGGAACTCGTTCTTCTTGTCTTAATATCCATTCTGCCTTATTTATCCTATAACCTTGTCTTGTTTTCTTCTTAAAAATATTTGTTTTTGTGCTTTGTGTCGTTCCTGATGATACTGTTTCTTGACTATTATTTTTTGATCCCGTTTCTGACATAGATTCTTGTATTCCTACTGTTGACATTGGATCTTTTCTATGTAAACGAACTGGGGGTGTAAAATCTGTCAGGGGATCAATCATTCTTGTAGAATGAAACTTTAAAATATGATGTTTAGTTCCTTCAATACTCTTTGCTACTGATGTAAGTTTAAAATCCATATATGCTGGAGTTTCTAAAGAATCAATGTTATGATGGCTTTCTTGATTAACTATTAATCATTAGTAAAGCGTTTAAGCTTAGAATAAGAGTTTGATCTCCACAAACCATGGATCTTCTCGTCTTCAAGCATTTGAGAGGCGTATTGGAGTCGTCGTCGTCAACGTCAAAAATAGTGTTTATCACGGAAAGTTATATTTTTAGAAGGTATATAAGGTTTATTATAATTTGAATATGTTTAAAATTAAATATTTTAGTTAAATATATTATAGAAGGTTTTTGAATGAAAAATTTTGGAATATTTTTGCAGAAGAAATTTATAACTTTTATGAAGATAGATAAGGGTTTATTTGGATAAGAATTTTGTAGGAATAAGAGGACATGGATAGTGTAAAGGGTTTTGAGGGAGTAGAGTCGGTTGTTTTTCAAAAAGAAATGAAGAAATTGACCAAAATCTCGGATTTTTCTGGGAAAAATTATGGGTCGGGAAATGAAATAGAAGATCTTAAGAAGTCTTTAGAAAAAATGATGTTAGAGTCAGTTAATATACAAGAAAAGGGAGTTTTTTTAAGAGAGAAGGGTTCGGAGGGGTCATATGAAGCTAATTTGAATGATAAAGATGTTTTAAAGAATAATAAAAAAGATAGTAATTTTCGGAATATAAAATATTATGAACCGAAAGATTATGGATTATATGTTAATGGAAAAGCTGTATGGAGAAAGAATTATGATGAGTATTTTGTTCTTTCTACATTTATATCGCATACATTGAAGCATATTATGCCTACAAATGAAGAGATATCTCAAAAGGAAAGATTTCGATTTTTTTTGAGTGAAATTCTTAATACATGTAGACCATGTATGTTTTTTTTTAGATTTTTGAGATTAATTGTTTATTAGCTGCTAAATTGGTTTTATTTGGAAGTGTAGCGAGTGGGCTTGCAATTGTTAATTCGGATATGGATTTTTGTGTTATGGATGATTCTTTAGATTTACATACGGATGAATTTCTAAAAATTTTTTCTGAAGAAATTAAAAAATATGGTTTATTTTTTTCTTTTGATATTTAATTCTAATTTTATTAGGTATGGAAACAACATTACTTTTTAGAACAAGGGTTTCTATAATAAAGGTTAATAGTAAAGGTTCTTTTAATTTTCCGCAAGGAATTTCATGCGATATTGGATTTAATAACAAACTCGCAATATATAATACTAAACTTTTGGCTACATATTCTAAATGTGACCATCGTGTAAGAAAGATTATTTTATTTGTAAAATATTGGGCAAAAAGACGTAAAATAAATGATCCATATCATGGAACTCTTTCAAGGTAATATTTATGAATAATAAATAGTTAAATATTGAAAAATTAAATAGTTACGGTTATGTTTTGCTTATTCTGCATTATCTTATAAATATTGTTCCAATTCCTCTTTTACCAAATTTGCAGCAAATGAAAGTAGCATCTTGGAGATCTATACCGCAATCAGAGATTGAATGTGATGGTATTAAGAAATTCCGTGTCTTGAAATTTTATTTATATCGGTAGGATATAATGTTTGGTTTTATAAAGATATCGATATCTCTTGTTCTTTTTCAAATAATACAGATAGTTTGGGAAAACTTGTTTATGGTTTTTTTTATTATTATGCATATCAATTTAATTGGAAGGACCATGTTGTAAGTATAAGAACACAAACTGGTCTTTTAACAAAACAAGAGAAAGGATGGACTCAAGCAGTAAGTTAAATATTATTAAATTTTATATTTTTTTCATATTTATGATTAGATGGAGCGAGTTTTTGTTTCTGATAAAATATTTAAAGACCGTTATATTCTTGCAATAGAAGATCCTTTTGAAATTACTCATAATGTTGGAAGGACCGTTAATAAGCAAAGTTCTCATATAATTAGAGGAGAGTTTTTTCGTGCTTCAAAATTATCTAGTTCAAAATTAAGAAAAAAAATATTTAATGAATTATGTGAAGAACGGATTATTATAAATAACTTTTCAAATGTAATATAAAAAGACGGCTTATTCTTTCATAATTATTCTTTATTATATTTGTATTCTAATATGTTTATTTTTATATAAAATTGATGTCAATTTCTTTTATATTTTTAGATATCGATCTTGAATGTTTGATCTTCTCTTTAGATAAGGTATGGATAAGATAAAAATATCCCAATTATCTGATAAAAATATTCCTGTTGATTATGTTATTTGCTTTTATTATGACAAGACTCTTAAAAAAACAGTAGAACAGTTTAAAAAATTAGTTCAACGACTTTCAGAAGTTGGATTGAATGTTGAATGTTACAATGATAGTTTAAACTCTATTTTTCTATTTATAAGTTGTTCTTCTTCTAGATTACATTTGGAGGCCTCTATTTCTCGGTTTTTCTGTGTTATTTTATGAGAATGATAATAACAAATAGGTAGACGTAAAGATTGGTTATATGGAATAGAAAAAGTGTCCCCTTATATAAAAGATGACGAAAAAATAACTGTTTCTGAAAGATTAAGACTTGTTTATGATATTATTTCTTCTCCTGTCTCTGAAGGTGGTGCAGGGATTTGTCCTGATTTAAATGAATGGAAAATGGTTAAATTTATCTTTCCTCTTCATGATTACAGGTTTAATAAGGTAATTTATTAGTCATTTTTATGTATTTTTCGGATTTATTAGGATTATATGGACAGGATACTTAAAAAATGGGTTATAAATGAATCAGATTTAGATATTCTAAAGAATCATTTTGGAGAGAAGGTGATTATTATATAAAAGAAATATAAATTTTTAAAAGATTAGATTGCTTTGTATTTTTTCTTTATTCAGTTTTATATTTTATGGCTTATATTTCCTACTATTTTTGGGCTTTTTATTCATTTTTTTTTTCCAAAATATTCTATAGTGTTTGCTATTACTATAACTTTATGGTCTATTATATTTATACAAATGTGGAAGAAGACAGAAGTAAAGCTTTCAGTACGATGGGGAGTTTATGGTATTAGTAAAATATATCAGAGACGCGGATCATTTATAGAAGATAAAACTGGAAAAGATGTAATAACTCGACAAACTATTTTTTTTTTTTCAATTTTGAAATGGCTATTCAGAAAAATTGTTTCTTTTCTGTTTCAAATGGTATTTTCTATTGTAATTATTTGTATTCTTGTTGGTATTTTTTTCGTGGAGTTATACTTTTTGGAGATCTATGATGGTCCCTTTCAAAAATATTTGGTTAGAATATGCATTTTGAGACTAATTGAATCTAATTAATTAAGGTCATTGTTCCTACTGTTTTATTTATGATATTTATTTCTATATTTTCTGTTATATATAATATATTGTCGACTTATATAAATTATTACGAAAATCATGAAACAGATATTGATTTTGAGTCTTCATCTATTCGTAAAGCTTTCTTAGTAAATTTTATTATTTCTTATACTTCATTATTTATGATTTCTTGTTTTTATGGTAGTTTTAATTTATTGTTGTTTATCATTTCTTATTATTTTTAGTGCCATTTGGTTCTGATATTATTCCAAAAATAAATATATTAAATATTCAATCTATATTCACAGATTCACAAAATATTAGAATTAAACTATTTACTGTAAATTCAGATAAATTGAAGAAGCAATTCATTTATTATATGATTACTGCACGGGCTATAAATTTCTTTAAGCAATGGACATTTCCTTTTCTTTCTAGATTTTTTTTTAGTATTCTAAGAAGGATTTATACTACTAAATTTTTGAAAATTGGTCATGAAGATACAAATAGTTCTTCAAAAGAATTTGAATTTTTGAGAAAAATTCGTGCTCAAATGGAGTTGCCTGAATTTTCTGTTTTTGATAATTATTTGGAGTTGATAATTCAGGTGTTTTTATTTTTTTCATTTTAATTTCATTAATCTCTTTTAGTTTGGGTATATTCTTTTATTTTCAATTATTTGGCCTTTAGGATCTCTTTGTTCCCTTTTAAGCAACATAATTAAGATTATTTCTGACTATATAAAGCTTCTTCTTGCTACAAAACGTTCTATTCCTTTTCGTACTGATACTATTGGTTTTTGGTCTTCATATTTAACATTATTGAGTTGGTTAGGAACTATTGTTATGACTATATTGATCTATTTTCACAATTATTCTTTAAATACTTATATTTTCTCTGAGTTTATTGTTCTTGGTATCTTTTCAAATTATTTATATATAATTTTATATACTATTTTTAAAAAAATATTTGGATATATATTTCATGAAGAAAAATATATTCTTAGGAAATACTATTCTCTTAAGAATGATCATCTAAAAAGATCAATGGATCAGGATACAGCAAAATATAGGGAGCATCAATATATAAAATATGACTATACAAATGTTATTGAAACCGGTACTTCTATTATTACAGATTTTTTCAAAAAATACAAAAAAGAATAAAAAAATATTATTTTCAATAGTTTTACGAATATTATACTTATTAAGGTCTGGATATTGGTTTTAATTTTAAGAAAAAGAAAGGTTTTTAATAAAAAAGACCTAGAAAAGCTGTTGATCGTAAGATCGGGTTCTCGGCCGGTTAAAAATAGAGTTTTTGAGAAGGCTTTATTAGAGCCGTTTTTTGCGCTTCATAGGGATGGGACTAGCTTCTATTTATGAGGAAGATATTACATCTTTTTATACTCGGAAAATTGAAGAAGCAGAACTACAGGTTAGATTATGACTTTTTTCTTTTGGTGATTTATGAGGTTAGATTAATGAAAAGACCCAGAATTTAAGAAGACTTGAGGCTCAGCGTAATGAATTGAATGCGAAGGGTATATTTTTTCTTTTATTGATTCTTTATTTTTATTTTTTAGTGCGTTTATTGCGTGAAGAACTTCAACTTCTTCAAGAGCCTGCATCTTATGTTGGAGAAGTTATTAAAACAATGGGTAAGAAGAAGGTTCTTGTAAAATGTCAACCAGAAGGGAAATATGGTTTTTTTTTTTATAAAAAAAGTTATCTTTTTTAATAAATTATATAGTCGTAGATATTGCAGATGGAATAGATATTAAAAAGCTTACAGCAGGTCTTCGGGTATCACTTTTATCAAGTTCTTATACTCTTAACTCTATACTTCCAAGCAAGGTTGATCCTCTTGTATCTTTAATGATGGTAGAAAAGGTGCCAGATAGTACTTATGAAATGATTGGTGGTTTGGATCAGCAAATTAAGGAAATTAAAGAAGTAATTGAACTTCCTGTCAAGCATCCTGAGCTTTTTGAGTCTCTTGGGATTGCACAGCCTAAAGGTGTTTTATTGTATGGTCCTCCTGGTACAGGAAAGACGTTACTTGCTAGAGCTGTAGCACATCATACCGATAGTAAATTTATTAGGGTTAGTGGTTCAGAGCTTGTTCAAAAATATATTGGTGAAGGGAGTCGTATGGTAAGAGAGTTATTTCTTATGGCAAGAGAGCATGCTCCATCTATTATTTTTATGGATGAGATTGATTCCATTGGATCTACAAGAAGTGAAGGTGGTAATCGAGGCAGTGATTCGGAGGTTCAACGCACAATGTTAGAGTTGTTGAATCAGCTTGATGGATTTGAACCGACGAAAAATATTAAGGAAAATATTTATTTTTGCTTATTTAAAATAAAATAATGTAATGTAGGTTATTATGGCGACAAATAGGATTGATATTCTTGATCCTGCATTGCTTCGTCCTGGTAGAATTGACCGGAAAATTGAATTTCCTCCTCCTACATTGAAGGCTAGAGCAGATATATTAAGAATTCATTCAAGGTCGATGAATTTAACTCGCGGTATCAATTTGCAAAAAATAGCAGAAAAAATGAATGGTTTTTCTGGGGCAGAAGTAAAAGGCGTATGTACAGGTATGAATGATTGATATATTAAACATTATTTTTACTTTTAATAGAAGCAGGATTATACGCCTTGCGTGAGCGAAGGATATTTGTACGAGAAGAGGATTTCGAGCTTGCTGTATCTAAAGTAATGAACAAAGCGGGTATATCGGATGTTAGTTTATCAAAACTCTTTAAATAAGAATATAATTTCTAGTCATATGTTTTCTGCATTATCTTTAAAGGCCATAATATTTGTATAGAAACTATTATTTCTGTTTTAGTATTGTTATTTTTTATTTCGCTAAAAATGTAGATATTTAATTCAGTTTATTAGACGGTTTGTATTTGTAAAAAGTCAAATAATTAAAGCTAGTAGAATAAAATAAGAGTCTTTATGATACTAAATGTTCTGTTAATTATATTTCAAATATTATACATATAGAATTTGATTATATTTTGGTTAATTTTCAAGTGCTTTTTTTAATTCATTCCATTTTTTTTTTAATGCGTCATGTTCATTATTAATCTTTAAATGTTAAGATAAATTTATCAATATCATAGAGTTTACCGTAGCTAGTTGTATTTTTGTTTGTGCAAGTTCAGCTTCTATTTCTGCCATTTGATCTTCGAGTATACGATTTTTGTCTATCACTTGTAGATTTTTATCTACAACCTTCTGAATTTCAGATTGCATACGTTTTTCAATTTCTGCTGGTTGAGATTCAACTGTTAATTTTAGCTCAGATACTTTTGAAATTAATCCTTCATTTTCATCAATTAGACTGGCTATCTGTATTTTATTCTGGATCATAGTGTTTGCTAGTTGAATGTTTTCCTCGCTCTAAATAAAAGGTTAAAAGAGAAAAATAAAGAAAAAGAACATGAACCAGTGTATTAAGAGAATCTTGAAGGTCTTTTACTTTAAGAGAAAGTGAAGAATTTTCTGATTTTAATATGTTAATTTCGTTATCTTTTTCTATTTCTAATTCTTTTATTTCTTTATATTCTGCTGCATATTTAGAAAGCAAATTTTCTGTAATTTCTATTGAATAAGCATCATTAACAAATTCATCTACGCGATAATCCGCTGCATGAGTCAGCCAAGATAGCTTCGCTGTCGATTTTTCAGGTGTCTAATATTGTTAAATAAAACTTTTGTTATATATATGGGTATTTTACGCTATAGACAAAAAAAATTTTTTCTTTTAGAAAATTCAAGAGCTGATCAAATTTTAAAGAAATAATTTCTTCCTGATTCTTTTTCATCAAGGCGATAGCGAATTTAAGAATTGAATCAATTCCTTCTGCTATTACAACGTCAAAAATCCTTGTCACCATATTTATCGGAAATTTATAAGCAAAAAGGGTTAAAAACCACTGTGAAGCATACATAGATGGTCTGACTCCTTGACTACGAAGATGAAGATAGATTGCCAGCAATTTATCTTCCAATAATCTCTCAAATTGATATAAACGCAAATTTAGCCCTGGCATACCCGCTATATAAAAGCTTCGGAAATCATAATCCTTCATAAGCTTAACAAACATACAAAATGCTTCCTCATCTGACATCTTGATTTATAAGTTTTCCCTTTAAAAAATGGAATTTTTTACATAAAGTAATAATGGGCCTGCTAAAAAAGCTGTTTTTTATTAGCTTGTTTTTATTAAAAAAAAAATAATAAACCCATCCCCTGAGTGTACCCAACTTCTGGGTCATACAGACTGTATGCTTTAAGAATTTTATAAAGTCTTTCCATAATTTTTTTTTTATTTTAATTAGACGTAGGTTAAAATTTCGAGTGTAAATCATATAGGAATGGAGGATTTAAAATGAAAAAAAAAAAAATATTAAATATCATATAAATATTGCTCCATTGCTTTAAGAATAGGTTTCGGAAAAGTACGATGAAGATCTCTTCGTATAATTTTTTCGTTAGGTGCAGTTTGATTAATAAGCGTATGATAAATATATTCCATGTCAGTGTTTTTAGAAGAAGCCATAGTTTGCCAAAGAACCCCACGAAGTACAGGAGGAATACCTGAAGAAATAACACTGGATAATTCTTCTTTGTGTTTTTCGGCGACAAAAGAATAATCATTAATCATAAGTCTGAAAAAATCTGTAAATTTTTAGTAATATAATAAAAAATAAAATAATTATACCCCAGTCAATAGTTTCATCACCAGATACTTGTTTATAGATTCTTTCAAAATCTTCTTGTAATTTTTCTGTTGATGTTTTGGAGATTTTTTCTGCTGAAATAGGTTGCTGGATTATTTCTTGAATACTAGATGATGTTTGTGAACTATTACGAATATGAGATGGGATAATCGAAAATCCAATATTTCCTGAAAATGGTGATCGTGTTAATGATGAAATTAAGGTTCCTGATGATGTAGATCGTAACCATTTAAAACGGTTTTTTTGTATGTTTGATCCCTTTTCTTCTACTGAACTTTCTTTCGATTCTTCACATATAGTTTTTTTTGGTAAATATTCGTCTAAATCTGATGATAATATAGAATTATTCTCTTCTGATTGCTTTTTTTTTTCTAAATCTATATTTGATTTTATTTCATTCTGTTGTGATTCTTTTTTTTTCAAACTATCGCCCATTTCTTTTTTATCCTTTATTTTTTGATATCCGTTTCCAATTTCTTGAAGAACTTCTTCTGTTGATGAACAATTCTTTTTTTCTTCTCCCACATTCCCATTAGATATATAACTCTTTATATACATAAATCTGTTCAATCCCGTTTCCTGAAAAACAATAAACTTTCTTCAAACATATAATACTATTATTCACTTCTCGTATTTCTAGTAATTCTTTCTCTTTTTTAGCATAATTCATTTCGTTTTCTATTTTTTCGTTTTTACTCATATTTACCCTTCAAGACACTTTTTTTTTGCGAGAAAAAAACTACTACCACTTTTTCATACTATAAAAACTTATTTATTCCTTTATCTTCTTATTATTTTTCTTATTTTCTTCAATTATTCCTTTTCTTCTTTTTTTCACTTTAAAGATACGTTGTCGTCCCTGAGCTTCTATACGTTGTCTCCGCTGCCCTTTAAAAAACTAACGATCGATACTCTTAAGACATAAAGATTTACAAGGTCTTAAGGGCTAAGGAATTTCGTTAAAAGATCGAATGAATAAGTCATTGTAGGGTTGATAAGTACTTTTAAGAGCATTGGTTTGAGTCAAATAAAAGGGAGACTATGAAGATTAAGAGAGAAGTACCGAAAAAAATTTCTCAGCTTGTAAGTTTAAAAACAAGAGATCATAAGACTATTTCTTTATTATTTCTATATTTTTGAACTAATTCTTTATGTTTTTAGCCCGTGGAATTAAAAGAAGTGATTGATCAAGCGTCAGAAGCGTCGGAAGAAGAGCTTCCGACGTTATTAAATGGATTTCAGGAATGGAAGTATGCACGTGGTGATTTGTTTCATTGGGTTGGGTTATTGAACCGGTTTGATGGAATATTTGAAAGGATTTGTAAAGAATATGCGTTAAAAAATGTCCAGACAGTTGCTTTTAATTCTAAGACAAAAGAACTAGTTATTACTATTCTTCGGTTTTCAACCATTCTTTTAGATAATTGTTCTAATAGGAATATATATAATTCATGCAATGTATGTTTTAAGAAAATGTTTAATTGGAGGCTAAAATTTTTTTTAATAGTATCTTAATGATCTTTTATATAGTACAGATATTGATGTTGTAGAACATACGCTATCTCTTTTATTGAGGCTTGCACAGAGAGTAAGTAGTCAACGATATTATAGGTCCAATTATTCTATTTCTTCGGAAAGATGTTTGAAGCTTTCTATGAGTTTACAGCAATCATCTCAGGAGCGAGGTACATCAGAAATTGATATGTTTAAATTGTTATCGGATTCTTATCTAGCGGACGGATGCAAAAATGTCTATTATGCATTTTATCGTCATTTAAATCCTGTCGAAGCAATTGCATTGGTTTCAAATAGGTATAGGATTTATTTTTTTTTGTTTAAAGGATGAGTAATATTATGTAGTAAGGATAAAGAGGCGCAAGCATCCACTCCTACGAATAAAAGTAAAATGAAGGAAAATTCTTTTTCTCCTGTTGAATCTGTAGATGATTTATTGGAGGGTATGACGGTGGTTAAGATTAGTTTTGAAAAATTTTACAATAGACAACTTGAAGATATTCTTAATGATGTTATATCTACATATAATATTCCAGCAGTAAATCATTTTGATTTAATGTTAAGAATTAGATTTGCGAGATATGTTCATGATAAAAAGAAAAGACAACAGTTAGTTTGCATAAAGATTCTTGCTATAGCTGTTCTAGGTAATTATCATATTTCTAATTTTTCTATTTATCTAATATTATTATAGCATATACTGTGCAAGAACATATATTACACTCTCGTTTTTTTATTTATGAGCCAGATATCACAACTAATCTTGCTTATCTTATTCACCCAGATAATAAAATATCTAAGGAAATAGAACTAGTTGCATTCTATGCTCTTGAAGCGTTAGCACATCATAGACCAAAATTAATGGATGTTCTTTCTGCATTGAATGCATCAGTGAATCATGGTGTTTTGATGTACGTTTTTAGAACAATGATAGTAGAAATGGAAAATCCTACTTCTACAAAAACGTTTTCGAAAGAATATGTTGATGCTTTGTTTTTACTTATTCATTATTTGACAACTACACAACAAGGAGGAAATATGTTAACATCTGCAGGGATTATTCTTTCTCTTATTCGATTGCTAAAAAATAAAGCTCCTAAAGCAATTAGAGCAGTCACAAAGGCTACTAGTTTACTTGATCATTTAACTTACGGGTTCCCTTCTACTTTTAATGCATTTTGTTCTGCAAGAGGATTGGATGTTTTAGTGGAACGGATCAAAGATGAAGTTAACTATAATATTAAGCAGTTTTCTCTATCTGATAAGGCTTCGAAAGCTGTCTTGGAACATTCAATGTCTCAGGAAAGATTCATTATTTTGAAAACTATGTTAAAGTTTACTTTGCATATGATGCAATCTACAGGGACTTCTGATGGATTGCGAAATCTTATTGATTCTCCTCTTTTAGAGACCTTAAAGAATATTTTCACTTATTTTGAAGATTTTGGATCTTCTATTATTACGATGTGTAGGATTTTTATTAGATTTATTTTTTATATTTCTTAATTTTGATTAGCTATAAATATTTTTTCGACTTTTATTTATAATGAACCAACATCATATAGTATTATTCATGAAGTAAAATTATCAGAAATGTTTTTGAAAATGACTTCTTCATTAATATTACCATCAGCAGATGTTATATCAGCGATACCTAGTGCTTTTGGTGCAATATGTCTAAATACCCAAGGAATGGAGCTTTTTAATAGTATTAAACCGTTGCCTTTTTTTTTCAATATTTTTACGTCTTCTTTACATCGTAAAGTTCTACAAGATAGTCAGATTTCAGATATTTTAGGTGCATCTTTTGATGAATTTGTACGGCATCATCCTAGTCTTAAATCAGATGTAATTGATGAGATTCTTTCAATGCTTAAAAGGGTTCTTGAAATGGGATCAGAATTAATGAGTGTGATACACAACCCAAATATGTTAGTTACATCAACTTATAATGAATTAAATTCTCAAAATGGACAAAATGATGTAGTTATGAAAGAGAAGAATGATTATATAGAAGAGGACGAACGTGGTGTAAAACGACTTATAATTATTTGGCATATTGATTTTGTTTCAAGAGTAGGATTTATTTTTTTTTTTGGAAATGACTTATAGTGATTTAGTTTCTTGAAGGTTTTTTTCAAAATTCTAGTCATTGTCGTGAATTTTTGAGAAATAATGGACTTAATATTCTCTTGCAACATTATACGATTCCTTGTCTTCCCTATGATTTTATAGATACCTGTGCTGCATATTCTTTGTCGCATTTGTTTCGTACAATTAGTGAAGTGAATGTACAAAATGTTTTATTAGATATTATGAAGCATTTTCAAAAATCCTTAAGCAAATTAGATATTCTGTTAGAACATAAGGGTATCGAATGTTTCTTCGAAAGATATTTAAAAATACTTCCATCAGGATTAGAGTTTATTTCCGAAGGGGACGAATTTCTAAAAAGTTTATCTCAAATTCATGATTTGAGTTCTTTACTTTCAGATATATATGAATTGCCTATATTTTCTCATGCACGTTCTGCTTTTTCATTTTTTCAATTATTTTTATCAAATCCCGAATTAGATGGACTTTTAGAGAAAATAGGTCATCTAGTTCGTGTTTGTGTATGGGAGAATATTAGGCTTTTGAACGTAATGCCAAATAATTGGGAAGAAGCTACAAGACTTTCAGATGATTTAAAAATTAAAACCAATGATAAAGAAAAGAAGGATTTGAAATCAGATAAATTAATTGACAAGGATTCTGAAACTTTTCTTAATGTAAAAATCATGCGTTATTTACTTGTTCAGATTCCAACATCTTTGAATAATTTTTTTCAGGGTATAGTTGGTGTAATATTTTAATAATTAACTAATTTAAAAAGGACTTACAAAAATGTTAATAACACATCGATTTTCTGATTCTGGGCAACGAAAAACAGCTTTGAAGGTTGCTAATATTATTGGAACAATTTTAGCTCGGCATTTAAAATGGGAAAAACTTGGTAAATTATTACTGTCTTTGGTCTTTAAGTTTAATGTATGTTAGATGATGTAGAGCACATAAATAATAAATATATGTATTGGACTACGATTCTTGGTTTTAATCAAGTAGTAATGTTGGAAGGTATGTTTTTTATATAATATGAAATATAATATACTTTTTTTTAGAAAAACAACAGCTTTCTGTGCAAACTATTGTACTTGTAGCATTTGATAAGTCTGGAGGAATACAGGTTATGCTACAAATTTTGAAAATATTTTGGCAGGAAGCAGATAAATTATCTTCAATAACTGAAGTTTCTGATGATATTCGTTCTATCACATCTCGTGTATATGATGGAATTAAAATCATTCTTCACTTTTTTAAGGCGATTACTTTACCTAAAGCGTTGTTAACTTCTCTTCAAACTGTTGGCTTGTCATCTCGTGAAAAAGATAAAGAGAAACCTGATTATTTTAATTCTAATGAGTTTATTGTTCGGCTTAGGTCATCCATATTTCCGTCTATTAAAGATCTCTGGTTTTCTGATATTTTATACAAAATGCCTTATTTAAATGCAAAATCTCTAATTCAGATTCTTAGTCAAGCCTTTAAAACTGATGGAGAATTAAGTGAGAAAGCAGAGAATAGTACATCATTAGTATCATTTAATCATAGAGCATTATCTGGTCCTAGTGAAGATAGGATTCGTCAGCTTTGTGATATGGGTTTTATAAGAAGTGCTGCTGAAACTGCCCTTGCGCGATGTGGTAATCATTTGTCTACTGCTACTGAGTATCTTTTGGCGCATCCTGAATTGAACCAAGATGCTGGAACATCTGGAAGTCATGGAAATTCTTATTTGTCTTCAAATTATGCTGTTTCATCACAAAATGAACAAATAAATAATAGTCTTAGAGATGCTAGTACGGATATAAATCAGGATCCATCATTTATATCTTTATTAAATCCTTCAAATTCTACGGAGCAAAACATATTTTCTAATGAGGAGAACAGTGATCGAACTTTTTCTAATTTGAATGTTGTAAAAAGGTCGGAAATGAATCCTTTATCTATGAAGGGTAAAGGAAAAGATATTTTAAAAATGTATGCTGGAACGTATGCTAATATGAATCTTACTGGTATTCGTAGGTCTATTAGATCCCATTTAATTGAAAGGACCCTATTATTATTGAATATACATAATAATCTTGTTTTTGAATTATCTGGATTAATATTGGAAGCATTTGCATATTCTAATGAGAATTCCTGGAGCATATATGTGGTGCAATCTATAGTTAATAATATACGTGCATTGGAAAGTAAATTTAAATTATCTGAATCAGATGGTTTACAGGCTTCTTCAATACTGCACTTTCTCGGTTTATTAATTCATGATTCTTCCTTCTATGAATCGTGTAAAGATGAAATTTTGAATCATCAAGAAATTTTTATCCGTTTTCTTACTTATGAAAATGATAAGCCTTCTCCTTGGATTGCACCTGCACTTTTAGTGTTTGAGCAGATTATAATAGCATCTATACAGCCAAAGCAGCAACCTCCTTTTTCAGTTAATGAAGAAAGTATTCCAAAAGTTGTTTCAAATTTATTTTTTTCTATAGAAAAGGAACTGATTTTTGATTCAATATTAGAATTATTTAAATTAGAGATTCAGAAGATGGATGATATAGTTTCACTTCTTAGAGTATTGATGATTCTTACTCGTTCAAAAGATATGGTTAACTACTTTTTTGAGAAAAATGGAATGCATTTATTATTTTCTATTATAAAATCTATTTCTGGAAAACATCATAGCGAACATTTACAAATCTTAATAATAACCATTTTAAGGCATCTTATTGAGGATTTGAATATTATTTATGCTATAACAACTACTGAAATAAAGTCATATTTTAATCAATCACGTTTTCGAGGGCTAGATATTAATGCTTTTTTAAGAAATAATACACAGCTTGCTTTAAGAGATCCCGATATATTTGTAGATGTTATTGAAAAAGAGTGTAAGTTGCTACGTTACGATTCACATAATAGAGTACAACAAATTGCTTTGAAGGATTCAGAATCTTTTGAAAATCCTGTACAAGAGATTACATCTACTGATCAAATTCCATGCATATCGAAGCAATTATCTCAAGATGAGGCATTGGAAACAAATAAGCAAGAGTATTTTAACAGTGTTATTTTTTTCCTTTTATCTGAATTACTGGATTGTAAAGATAGTTTAGATCATGATGAATTAAAGCTGTCTGAGTTTAATGTAAACTCTGATATTGCAAACTTCGTAACAAATATAGAGCAAAATAAGACTTCTAATACCACTTCAAAGGAAAGCGAATTTAAAGCTGAAGATCATCCTCAATATATGTATAAATGTTTTTTATTACAATGTTTGGCGGAATTATTGTCATCATATAAACATTGTAAATTGGAATTTATTAATTTTTCAAGAAACTATTCTTTTAAAGGGATTGTTATTCCGTCGAAAATACGATCTATAATGTTAAGTTATTTGTTATATGAAATTATTCCATATGGTAGTATTAATCCATCTGAAAATATACAAATTAGAAAGAAATTCAGCACCTCAAATTGGGCTATATCTGTTATAATTTCATTATGTGCTTCTACTTCGGAGACTCTTGATGAAAAGGATAGACCTGATATGATCTTTGTTCGTAAACTTGTTTTAGAAAGTATTTCAAAAGCCTTTAGGGATGCTTCATGTTCTTTGGAGCCATTGGAAATGCGATATTCTCGTCTTCTTACTCTTTCGGAACTTTGTTATAGATTACTTGTTGCAAGAGCGAATATAAAAGGTACTAGCAATCATACTTCTGATGATCACAAAAAAATTGCAAAATTAATGCTAGAAAAAAATTTTATGAGTATATTAACTGGAGCGTTGGCTGATATTGATTTGAATTTTCCGTCATCAAGACGTTTAGTTAGGTTGATACTTAGACCATTAAGAAAATTGTCTCAAATTGCTGTCGAGTTAAATGAAAATTCGGAAATTGAGAAGCCTGGTGATAATACTAGACAAGATGAAGCATTAACCGATGCATCTATATCTGAACGAGAACCCTTAGAGGAAAGAGAAGAAACTCCAGACTTATATCGTAATTCCGCATTAGGAATGTTTCATGGTGAAATGGAAGATAATGAAGATTCTAACGAGTTTGATTCAGATGATGAAGAAATTTATGATGAGATGGATTTTGATGAAGAAGATTCAGAAACTGGAAGCGTATTAAGTGATGAAGACAATGATGATATTGATATAGGAAGTCAACAAAATGGAGAAATGGATGTATGTTAGAATTTTTTTGGAAGAAAAGACTAATAAAATTAAGGTTGAAATTATACTCGATGATCAAGTAGATACTGATGATGATATTAACGAACAAACGGAATTAGGTTCTAATGATGCTGTTGAAGATCCCAACAGAGTTTCTGGAGATGAAGGTTTTGATGCTGAAATTGATGATGAATCTGGGTGGCAAACTGAATCTGAACATGATCCTCAAAATAACATTGAAAGTAGATCTAATCAGTTACATTCGTTGTCTAGTGGTGTTCAGGGAGACAATGAGGCGGATGCTGATGTATTAATTGATGATGATAGAGAAGATCAGGGAGATGATGACGATGATGATGATGACGATGATGATGATGATGATGATGATGATGATGATGATGATAATGCAGAAGAAGCTTTAATAGAAGAAGAACTTCTTCCAAATGATATTGATGAGATAGAAGCTAATGGTCAATGGGGTTGGAGTTCTATCGATGATATTACAAATGATGATGATGATGATAATGGGATTAGTCGTTCAAATAGGAGATCATGGCTTGCTATAACATCAGGAGGGTGTCATTTTATTAGTAATAATTATATTTTCTATTTTTTATCTGTACTAACTTTGAAAAAACAGGTGAACCAAATGAACAAGCATTTCGTCGGAGATCTAGGATTAATAATATGGGTGAAAGTGGCATTAATCCTTTATTGGTAGATTCCACAAACATGTCTCAGAGACATATATTGCAAAGTCGTGATAGTTTTTCAAGATCTGATAGTTTTACAGATTGGGTGCAATCTATAGAACAATTAATAGGAGGCGGTGCTGTTCAAGTATTGGGTGATGTAATGAATAGAGTTAGTCGACAAATAAGGGGACCTTCGCAACATGCTATTAGAGTTGAGGTTAATACGGGCAATGGTAGCCTATTGACACGTGAAGTGGAAAGGATGTTTGGTCAACGTTCACAATCAGTTCAACAAAATCAAAGATCTTCTAGAGAAGATCCGATTACTGCTGTTGCTACGTGGTCTCCAACATCAACTAGTCAAAGATGGTTTGATGAAGCACGTTTAATTTATGGTAGTGGTGTTGTAGAAAAAGCATTGCTGTTGTTAAATTCATTAATGAATGTACTTGCTCCTCAAGCAATTAAAGATGAAAAGATTCGTAAAGAGAAGGAAAAAATGTTAGAAGAAGCAAAAAAGAAACAAGAAATAGCAGGGAAATCGGTTGAAAATAATAGCGGAGAAAATCGGTTAGAAAACGAACTACCTGATAATGAACCTGAAAAAGTTGGGAATAGCACTGTAGGATCATCTATTATGGATGGTGTTGAAAGTACTTCTGCTCAAGCTCAAGAACCTTCAGCAGAAGAGCCTTCTGGATTGCCTTCACGTGTTACTGTTATGCTGCGTGGCAATGAGATTGATATTACTTCATTAGATATTGATCCTACTTTTCTTGAAGCTTTACCTGAAGATATGAGGGAAGATGTTCTTACCCAGCATATTAGGGATAGAAGAGTTGCGGCATTAACTAGTCACTCATCCGAAATTAGTCCTGAATTTTTAAATGCATTGCCGGAGGAAATTAGGGAGGAATTGTTGCAACAGGAGGCTGCTGATAGAAGAAGAAGAGAGCGAGAACAGCAAGCTCATGTATCTAGAAATAATTCTGATGCACCCACTACGGGTCCAATTGAAATAGACCCTGTGACTTTTTTGGCTACACTGGATCCATATCTTCGAAGACAAGTTCTTCTTGATCAGGATGATGAATTTTTATCACAACTTCCTCCTTCACTTGCTGAAGAAGCAAATACACTTCGAGAAAGGTCTTCAGGAAGATTAGGGCAGATATTTCAGGTATCAGCATCATCTCATCAACAAACCAGTAATGTAACATCGAAAAAATCTTCAGTAAAGCACGAAGTATCACAGCTCCTTGATAAAGCAGGAGTTGCTACGTTGGTTCGTTTACTTTTTATTCCTCAGCCTAATGGTAAAAATCCTCTTCATGATATATTATTAAATGTTTGCAAAAATCGTCAAAATAGGATTGAAGTGATAAATCTTTTGCTTTCTGTATTGCAAGATGGAACTAATGATTTATATGCGGTTGATAAAAGTTTTTCTCAAATGTCTCTCAGAGCAAAGAACACTTCTACATTAAAGTCAACTCCTAAGTCTAAAACATCGAAATATTCTCTTTCTTCTTTTCTTCAATCAAATAGAGAAAATACTCCGAATTTGGTTACACAGCAATGTATAGAGGCTCTTGAATTTCTTATTCAATGGAATGAATATTTACCCTCCTATTTTTTAAATGAACATGATCATATAATTCGTCCACGACGATCTAATTCTCGTAAAGATAAGGGAAAGGATATAAGTACTAAGGGATCTAAATATGCTATTAACATATTGTTAAGTCTTCTTGATAGAGACTCGATTCTGCAGAATTCTAATATAATGGATCAATTTTCTCATTTACTTTCTATTATAACTCGACCATTAATAGTTCTTAAAAGAAGAGGGAAGCAAGATTCTGAATTATATAAGAATGCAGGGTCTTCTCAAGCTCAATTTGAAATAAATGAGGATATAGTTGAAGAAAAAAGTGAACATAATGCTGACTCTCATGATGATACCGATGCAAAATCTGTTGATAATAATAATAAAGATCAAGATATTAAAAATAAAAATAGGCTTGTGTTGCCACCATATATTCCTGAAAACAATTTAAGGTTTATTGTGAACATTCTTACTTCTAGAGACTGTTCTAGCAAAACTTTTCAGCATACTTTGGCTGCTATGCAGCATTTATCTATAATTCCTGGGTCTAAAGATATTATTGGTGATGAGCTTGTTTGTCAGGCTCAGGCATTTGGTTCGAAATTATTAGGACAATTGGATGATTTGATTCAACAAATTCAAAATGCGTCTTTTGGAATAGAGTTGCAAGGTGCTGCTTTATCAGAATTCTCTCCTCCTAGCTCTGATCAAGCTAAATTGTTACGAATACTTAAAGCTATTAGTTACCTTTTTGAACAAAAGGAAAATTCTCAGTTTGCTGAAATTGAGAATAATAATGATTTATTTAGACTTTATGATTCATTGACATTTCGTCCACTTTGGAAGAAATTAAGCGCGTGTCTTTCAGTGATTCAAGAGAGATCAGATATGATACATGTAGCAACAATTTTATTGCCATTGATAGAGGCTCTTATGGTTATATGTAAAAATACAGCGTTAAAAGATATATCTAAATTGCCTCATGGATCTCGTCAAACAACTCCTTCAGAAGATTCAATGGAATATATATTCTTTTCTTTTACTGAAAACCATAGGAAAATACTTAATCAAATGGTTCGAAATAATCCATCATTAATGAGTGGTTCTGTTTCTCTTTTGGTAAAGAACCCTAAGATTTTGGATTTTGATAATAAACGAAATTATTTTAATCGAAGACTACATGATCGTGGAGCTAATAGGGAGCATTATCCACCTTTACAACTAAATGTTCGTCGTGAGATGATATTTTTAGATTCATATTTAGCTTTGTATTTTAAATCGGGAGACGAGATGAAATATTCAAAATTAAATATTCGATTTCATGGAGAAGAAGGTGTTGACGCTGGTGGATTAACTCGTGAATGGTATCAAGCCCTTGCTAGACAGATGTTTAATCCTGTAGGGGTATAGTGTTTACTTTATTTATTTTAATGTTATTAGGATTATGCACTGTTCATTCCCGTTGCTGCTGATCGGACTACATTTCATCCTAATCGAAGATCAGATGTTAATCAAGATCATCTTTCATTTTTTAAGGTTAGATTTTTTATTAATATATCTATTTTTTAAAAAATTAAGTTTATTGGCCGTATTATTGGAAAAGCTCTATATGATAATCGATTGTTGGATTCACATTTTAGTCGTGCAGTATATAAGGTGATTTTTTTTTATTATTTATATGTTTTAATTGTTTTGAGTAGAAAATATTAGGGAAACCTGTGTCTTTAAAAGATATTGAAACACTTGATTTAGAATATTATAAATCATTAGTTTGGGTAAAAATAATTCCATATTTTTTATTCATTACATATAATGTTTTTAGATGCTTGAAAATGATATTACTGATGTTATTACTGAGACCTTTTCTGTCGAAACTGAAAATTATGGTGCAACAGAAACTGTTGATTTAGTTCCTGGAGGAAGAAGTATACTAGTTACTGAAGAAAATAAGCATGAATATGTCAAAGCTGTCATAGAATATCGGCTTATTAATAGTGTTAAAGATCAATTGGATAATTTTCTTGTTGGTAAATATTCATTTTTGATCATATTATTTTTATATTGATTTTTTAGGGTTTTATGACATTATACCTCCAGACCTTATTCAAATATTTAATGAACAAGAATTGGAACTCCTTATTTCTGGTTTACCAGATATAGATGTTGATGATTGGCGTCATAATACTGAGTAGGTTTTGAATTTATATCTTTTAAGCTTATATAAATAGATATTTTAATTATACTGCTTCGTCACCACAGATACAATGGTTTTGGAGAGCTGTTCGTTCTTTTGATGATGAACAGCGTGCAAAATTGCTTCAGGTAAAATAATATATATTACTATTTCTATATTCACTTTCTATTAGTTTGCGACAGGAACATCAAAAGTTCCTTTGAATGGTTTTAAGGAGCTTGAGGGAATGCAAGGTATACAGAAGTTTTCTATTCATCGTGATCCTACATCTAGCGATCGCCTACCTCAAAGTATGTTTTTTTTTTTTTTGATGAAAAATTGAGATTTTTAGGTCATACATGTTATAATCAGATAGATCTTCCAGAATATGGGAGCTATGAGGCACTTCGTTCTGCTTTGCTTACTGCTATAAATGAAGGTTCTGAGGGATTTGGTTTTGCATAACAAATTATATCACTTATTAAGTTTATTTTAAATTTATAAGGCATATTAAGTATTTATGCTTATAGTTTCCTGTTCTCTTAGAAAAAATATGATTTATGGATTTGTATGTATATAATTAAATATATATATTATTATAAAACGTTAATCTTTTCGCTGATAACGTTAGCCTGATTTTAGTTTTAAAAATGGTCTTTTTTACTCGTATAAACTGTGCTCGATCTCTATGGAAAGGTTTCTTTAAGATTATATATTAGTTTTTTTATTTATTGCTGATTTTTTAGGTCCAAATCTTGCTTCTTTTTCCTTATCTTTATCGAACGCTTCAAAAGATGCTCCTCCAATTAAAACTCAAGAAAGATCTTGTACAATTCTTCCTAGTTTTGTTGGGTATTTTATATTTAATATTTTCTCTTTTTTTTAATGTTCAGCTTGCGTTTTTTGGTTCATAATGGGAAGGATTATGTGAATGTTCTTGTAACAGAAGATGTAAGATTTTTTTCAGATATTTCGTTTTTTTTTAATATAAACATATTAGATGGTTGGTCATAAACTAGGAGAGTTTTCTCCAACACGAAAAAAGTATTTTAAATGGATTTTTTTTGTTCGTTCTTATTATTTTAGATTTTCATATAAATACACAAAAAATAAGTGATTATTTATGGATCCTATGCTTTTTACAATAACATATTTCTTGTTCTTTTCTATTGCTTTTTATTCTTTTACAATTTTTCTTGAAATACAGGGTATTCAAAAAATGTTTAAATAAATAAGAATAATATAGGAATCTCTTCCACAAATGTTTTGCTTTCTTTTATGTTTTTTATTCTATTATTCTAATTTTTTTTCATATATTAAAAATCAAATGAATGTTATAGAATTGGTATGTAGATATATTTTTTCTTGCTAGATTATTGAATTTTGTATGGATAGTATATAAGTTTTTTGTTTACTATGTTTTCAAATGGTTTAGGTTATCTAGGATTATTAAATATCAAGTTTTGTATTTTTTTACTTAGAAAAAATCTGGAGATCGTGTCGAATAAAGACATCCAAGGATTTGAGTTGATTGACTAAAATAATGGAGAATCCCCATGAAGAACAACAGAATGCACTGATGGCTCGCATTGTAACGAATGTGGTATGTTTGTTAAATTTTATTTTTTTATTTATTTTTTAAATTAGGAAAAATTGAATGAAGCTATTATGGAATTTAATCGCTGCATTCAAGTAAAAATAATATTCTGATTCTAAATTTTTTATATATTCTAGGAAATTAATATGGCTAATATGAATTTGGAGTTAATTTCTCAAATGTGGGCTAATTATGGACGCAATGTACGATTTCATTTAGAGGGAACAAATAATCTTGAAAAGCCTCTTTAAAGAAGTTTCAAAAATAAAATAATGTTATATTTATTTTGGGGGAGTTTGAAGAATGTTTTTAAAACTAAATAAAATCTTAAAATTTTTTTTCAAATCTATACAATATTTTTCAATTCATTTTTTTCATATATCTTTCATGCTATTTGATAGGATAGGATTTCTTTGAGCCTACTACTTTTTTTTATTTGAGATTTTTGTATAATTTTTTTCTTGATATCTTGGGCTTTCTTCGGTCATCGGGCGTTACTTTTTTTTTTGACGGACTTTTACTTAAAAATTCTAACAATGGTTGGAGTAGCTCCAATGATTTATGATGTGCGGGACATTGTATTTGAGGGTGAGTGTATATCTTCTTCTTCTGGACCTGGTAATCCTTTAATTTTGATTGATAATGGTTTGATGAGTTTGATAATAAATTTGATTAAATATATTTTTAGGATCATGGCAATGCCGAGCAGGATATGCAACAGAGTTATCTCCTCGTATTGTTTTTGATAGTTTTGTTTCGAAATATAGGGATAGACGGTTAATGAGGACGTATACATTAGTAGGAAATGATACATTAGTGGAGCCGATGGCAAGGCATATAGCAAAAAGTCCATTTGACTTTAATATTGTCGCTAATTGGGATGTAATGGTATATTAAATGGGTTATAATGGAATTTTTGTTGATTATTTGAAGGAATTATTGTTAGATTATGTATTTTTGAAATTAGGAGTTAAGGGAAATGAGCGAGTAGAACATCCTTTAGTTATGACAGAGCCCGTATGTAATCCGAATTATAGTCGTGGAGGTTATTTGGATAGAAATGTATGAATTGGATTAACGATGATAGTTATGTCAGAATTATTGTTTGAATGTTATTGTGTTCCGTCTGTGTGTTATGGTATTGATAGTCTTTTTTCATTTTATTATAATGGTGGTACGGATGGGGTAATTGTGAGTGTGGGTAACAATACAACACATGTTATTCCTGTATTAAAAGTTTCTGGGCATTTGGGTGCGTCGAAAAGGTTGTTTTTTTTTTTAAATGATTTAATGAATAATGATAAATATAGAATATCTTGGGGGGGTGTACAGTCTACAGAATATTTACTTAAACTTTTTCAATTGAAATATCCTAATTTTCCTCAAAAGATGACATTTACACAGGCGCAATGTTTGCTTCATGATCATACATATGTTTCACTATCATATAAGGATGAAATTAAAACGTTTTTAGATCCAGAGGTTTTAGCTGTTCAGGACAGAATAATTCAATTTCCATGCACAGAAACTGTTTCAAATCTAAAAACGGAAGAGGAAATTGCTCGACTTGCTGAAAAGAGAAAAGAAGCAGGACGTCGTTTGCAGCAACAAGCTCAGAAAACTCGATTGGAAAAATTAATGCAAAAAGAAAAAGATATGGAGTATTATGTTAAACTTCAGGAGGCTATAAAGTTTAAGGATAAGAGATATGTTATGGAGAAATTAGAATCGGAGGGATTTGCCGATGAAACAGAGCTACTTACTACAATAAAAAGACTTGATACTGCTATTCGAAGAGCAAAAAATAAAGACTCTTGTCAAGATACTGAGATTCCATCCTTTCCTTTACTTGATATTCCTGATTCAGAATTGGATGAAGCGGGGCTTAAACAAAAAAAACATCAGAGGCTAATGAAATCTAATTATGAGGCTAGAATGAGGTCCAAGGCGGAAAAACAGGTTAAGAAGGCTCGTAACGAAGAAATGGAAAGATTAGATGAAGAAAAACGCTTAAACGACTTGGAAAAATGGCTCGAAGAGAAAAGAAATGCTAGAAATTGTTTATTGGAGAAAATAAAAGAGAAAAAAAAGTTAAAAGCTGATCTTAATGATCGAAAAAGTATGGCTAGTCAGATGCGTATGAAAAGTATTGCCAATTTAGCTAGTGAACAGTATTCTAGAAGAAAGAGAAGAAGAGCTACAGAAAGTACAGGTTATAATCTGGTTGAATTAATCTGATTGAATTTAGTTGAGGATACTTTTGGTGCAAACGATGAGGATTGGGCTATTTATCGTAATATTGTTAATACGTCAGAATCAGACGAAGATAACAATAATTTGCAACATTTAGAATCTCAATTGATGTTGTATGATCCAGCATTTGCTAAAGATGATCTTTTAGATTTTAATGAAGATCCTACTAAATCCTGGATTCATAAATTTTATAGGGGAGTATATCCCCCATTCGACCCTAATGATGTTCAACAATTACATCAATTGCATTTAAATGTTGAGAGAATAAGGGTTCCTGAGATTTATTTTGAGCCGAATATAGTTGGATTAGATCAAGCAAGTATAATTGAAGTTATAAGCGATATTTTGTCTCGTTTTGATTTGAATGATTCCCAGAAAATGGCAAATGATATTTTTTGTACCGGAGGTGCTTCTTTACTTAAGAATTTTAGTCTTAGAGTAGAAAAGGATTTTCGAGCTTTATGGCCTGCTGATAAATCTATTTGTGTACGACAAGCTAAAGATCCACTTATTGACCCTTGGAGAGGTATGCAACAATGGTCTCATACCGATCAATATAAAAACAGTTATATTACTAAACAAGAGTATTTAGAAATGGGTTCAGAATATATCAAAGAGCATGGAATGGGTAATGTTAAAATATGAAATTTCTTTTTCGATAATCAAACTACAAAAAATTCTTTCGATTTATATCAATTTTTTCTTTCTATAACATACTTGGTTTTTTTCAATTTTTTCTCAATTTATAGATGGATTTATTCTTGTTTTCAATTTTTTAATTTTCTATAAAAACTATTTTTTAAAAAATTTCCTAATTATTCTTTATAGTTTTTAACCTTTAATTATAACAATAAAATATATTTTTATTGTGATTGTCTTCTAAATATCAATAACTATAAATATTTTGAATATTAAGTCTAGCGGCTTTTTTCGCTTAAATTTAAAAACAATTATCAATTTTTTAAATTGTTTTTTTCATAAAAGTATTTAATAAGTCTCTGTTTAAATATTGAACACTTTAACTGTTCACTTTTTTCCAGTTTATTTTTTATATATTTGATGATGCGTTCAGAAGAATCGCCTATGGATTTTACATATGAAAATCCTCGTCTAGGAGATGATATAAATTCGCCGTTTAGTCTTTCAAGTATCTCTAAATGTCTTGGGAATAGTGATTTTTCTAAAAAACGTATTGTTTTTATATTAGATAAAGGAATATTTTGTTAATTATTCGGAAGGGACTTTTATAGAAACTTTAGAAAAAAATGTTCCTTCCGCAGCAGCATCTTTTAGATCTACAGCAGATGGTTCCCAATTTTTATTTTCTACTCCAAAAACAGTTTCTAATTCTAAAAAAATATCTGTAAGCTCACAATTTATAAATGAAGTGCCTACAGATAGTTCAGGTTTAGATAATACACCAGATCCTGAAGTAATTATGGATAGTCATAATGTTTCAAAAAAAAATCATTTTTCTTTACTTAATATCAAAAATAATAAGATAAGTCAAGGTGTTATAAAAAAAGTTAAAAAAAAACGTGCATCTAAGAAGAATGGTGAGCGTGGATTTTGGGATGGAAATTCTGTGGATAGTGATGTATTTTTTGATGTTTAATTCTTTTGTAATAATTTTTAGGATGAAACAACTATGTCGCTTCAGACGAATAATTATTTTACTAATTGGTCTCTTAGTGCTCATAGAGACATTCCTTATATTGCATCTGGATATCTGCAGTTATTTTTTAATATATTTCTTGTGGGTGTTTTATTATATTTTGTTATTGCTTTTGTTAGGACTATTCAAAGGGATGTTGATCAAAAAGTAGATGAATATTCTGCTGGTAAGTTTTATGAAAATATTTATTACTATTATCTATTTTTTTTAAGAAATTTTGCAAGAAATGTCTTTATGTTCAAAGGAATATACTGAAAATCGATGTTCGCCGGATCACAGAGTTCCTGCAATGGAACGGGCCTGTACGGCCTGGGAAAGATGCATGAATAGAGATCCTACTGTTGTTGGTCGTGCAAAGGTTTCTGCTGAGACATTTGCAGAAATTATTAATAGTTTTATTGAGCCTATATCTTATAAAACTATGGTAAGCTTTAAAATTATAAAATATCTTTAAACTTTTTAGATATTTTGTATTTTGATAATATTTGGATCTGTTTTTGTATCGAACTTTGCATTTGGATTTTTTAGGGCAAAAAGTATAAATCATCCTCATCCATACATGGCTGCTGCTGCTCCATACTTTACTGATAATATGTATAATTATAAGCAATATCGTAAACAATTAGGTAATAATTTACGTAATTCGAGAAGGATGATATATGAATCATAACTGTATATACTATTGGTTTATAATTGTTTTTTTCATGAATCAATTTTTATAAATTGATTAATTATTTATATAATGTTAACTTTTAAATTTATGTTTTTTAACTGTACTAGAAATACATATTTATATTAGATTAAATTTTAATTTTTTATAAAAATAATAGAAATATTGCTATATATGTCCAAAATTTTTTAAATTGTATTCTAGGATTTTTTTGTGTATATCAAATATTTATAAATTATAGAAATGCTATTTCAGGTGTTTTCTTCACATGCCCATCCCTTTATCCCTTCTCCTCGAGAACCTATTGGTATATTAAGGTATTTTTTGCTCATTCCAGGAGTATCCTTTAGCCATGGATGATTAGTCATTCCTCCTGCATTAGCTCTTTTTTCTGGAATAATTTCTAGCATCGGAAGAAGAAAATCACTCAATAGATCAGATTCGCTCCATGATAAGTGATATTTATCATGAAGCACTTCTGGTAACCCCCAATAGTTCAATTTTGAAATATGGCGTAATTCACCTAAGAATAAAAATCAGAGATTTAAGTAAATTGCTTTTTATTTTACATCTTTTATTGAATATTTCATGGGAATACTTTCCTCTTGATGCAAGAAATCGTGGAAACTTTCCAAGTAATTCCATAATTTGCGCAATATGATCTATTATAATTTTAAAATAAATAAAATATATAAATATATTAACCATCATTCTTTGTATAATCCTGTCCATTTTTAGGGTCGAATAAATAATCACCTGTTAGTAATTCAAATACCTAGTAATGTTTTAAGTAGAAGAAATATTATAAAAAATTAGCTACCATGCAAGACATACTCCAGCAATCAGTGCTTGCACCCCATTTAGCACCTAAAAGAACTTCTGGTGAGCGATACTGTCGTGTTTGGATATCGTCTGTAAAATGATGATGAGTCCAGCATGCATTTCCTAAATCTGCAATTTTAACGTTTATGTAACTTGTGTTATCTGGAGATGAAGATGAAGCTATAGATTGTTTATCAATATTCGTTTCTAAAGAAATTCCTGAAATATCCTTTTCAAGAGCTTCGTCATCATTATCAGACATACTAGTATTATTTTCATTGGAATTTGATTTTTTTTTCTTTAAGATCTGTTCATCACATGTTTCTTCTTTTGAATTATGGATTCTAACATTATTCTTGTATGACAAAATATCGGAGTTTATGAGTGGTTGACTATTTGTTATGACAGGATTATGCCCTGGGTTTTGTATATTAGGACTGATGCTTTGGGTAAGTTGAGATGTATCAGCTACTTGAGCAATTGCTTCTTCATTATTAATACATATAAGGACATTTTCTGGTTTTAGGTCGGTATGTATTATCCCACAGTCTCTATGTAAATAGTCTAGACCTAAAAGGACCTGCTTAGTGATTTGTTTTACTAATGGTATTGGTATTCCTCGGTAGTCGTATCTTCTAATAAGGTTAAGCAAATTTTCCCCTAAAACTTCAAAGATCATGCAAATATGAGTTCCATTAGGCCCTTGATGTTCAAATTCATCAAGTAAGGAGACAATATGAGCAGCTCCTGGATGAGAAGGGTTTGCCGTATTGATTCTTTTTAGAAGTTTTATTTCATCAAGTGCCGTTTCCGTATAATGAGAGGCTGAACGAACAATTTTCAGTGCAACATAACAATTTTTCCTAAAAATGTGTTAAGTGTCTTTAAAACCCCATTTCATAATAATTTACATGTTATCTTTAGCTAACCAAACAGTCGAAAAATGTCCCCATCCAAGTTTTCTGATAATTACATATCTTCCATCCTTATATTTCTCTCCAATTTGCACTGGGTGATATCCACCTTTGCAATAATCTTCTAAATCTTCTTCTCCCAAAAGCTTTTCATCACTTTTTAAAAAATATTTTCTATCTTTTTTTCCTTCTTCAACTGAAGAATTAGTTTGTAAATCATATGGATGTTGATATTCTAACGTAGAATTGTTTTCCAAAATAAAAGAATGCGATACATCCTTTCTATTACTATAGATGTATTAGACACATTTATAAAATACTGTTTCAATTTATAATCCTTTCCTTGAATTGTTTTTTACTTTTCTATGTTTTTTCGTTTCAGATTTCTATTATTTTTAGTTAATTTTCTTTTTATAAAAATATACCTTATGGTGCATTTTCTTAATCTTAAATTTACAATGATATAACAAATACTTTTTCCTTTTTCTATTTTTTTTTTCTTATTTTTTTATGATTTCTGATCTTTTAAAGGAATTTTTATGCATTCCAAGATATTTTTGCGCAAATGAGTTGTTTCTTATCTCAAATATATCCCTTTCCAACGATATTTTTAATCAAAAAACAACTATTTTCTTTATTTTTTTAAAAGATTAGACTTTATTAAAACAAGTTATTTCTTTTTTGTGTTTTTAAATATTAGATTTTTGACCTTTAAAAACCAAATATTTCCTTAAAATAAACTATGGTGCACTTTAATATGATGTAAACCTGTTTTTATATCCTTTTTCTCTTTCAAATTTCTTAGAAAAAACCTGGGTAATTCCGATTTTTGATATATTTAAAGATGAAAAAAATTACTATAATCTTTTTTTTTCAACAGATATATAAATTCCTTTGAGTCCTTAAAATAGCTTTAAATCCTTCTGTATAGGTAAATTGCACTATGATCTTGTAATAGCCATAGAATTTAGTTTATCTAAGCCGTCAAGAAATCGGAAGTTCTTTTTAAAAAACGTTTTGATATAGAAGAATTTAAAAAACTAAAAATGACAGAAATGCAAGAAGAATCTGATAAAATCGATCATTCTTTAATAGAAGAAGTAGTTTTGTAGTGTTTTATTGAAAAAAATTGATTTTTTTTATTTATTTAGTTTGGTTTTGATACTCTGAAGAAAAAGAAAAAAAACAAGAAAGTTTCATTTAATAGTGATAATGAGTCCCTAAATGAGGATGGAAATGTTTCAGGGGATGAGGTAAAGATAGTTTCTGGTGAGAAAACTGGAAAAAAAATAAATATATTGGTTTAACTTTTGGAAAATGTAGATGGAGATGCAGAAGTAGATGAAATGACAAATATGTTTGCTAGTTTGAAGAAGAAAAAGAAACAGACAGTGAATTTTGGACAAGGAGATGAGGATGATTTAAAAGAATTGGAAGAAAATGATGGAAAAGATTTTTTAAATGAGGCTTTTGATTCAAATGAAGGAATGAAGAAAAAGAAGAAAAAAATGAATATGGAAGTATTTGATATGGCATTGAATGATTCAAATGTGAAAGGGGATTCAGAAGCGATGGCTAGTTCATTTAATGGAGGAGAGAAAGATAGTCAAGGATGTCTTAAAACGGACAGAGATTATACATATGCTGAAGTATTATTTTTTTTTTTTGAATTTTTAATTTATTGATTTTTAGCTTCTTTCTCAGATTTTTAAAATTTTACGTCAAAATAATCCTGAATTAGCTGGTGAAAAAAAACGGTATACTATTGTTCCTCCTACTATATATCGAGAAGGAAATAAGAAAACGATTTTTGCTAATGTTATTGATATTTCTAAAAGAATGCATCGAAATTCTGAACATGTTATTCAGTTTTTATTTGCTGAATTGGGTACGAGTGGAAGTGTAGATGGTAGTGCTAGATTAGTTATTAAGGGAAAATTTCAGCAAAAACAGATTGAAAATGTTCTCAAAAGATATATTGGTATATGGGATTTTTTTATTATTGTTTTATATTTAATGGTTTATAGTTGAATATGTTACATGTAAAATCTGCAAATCTCCAGATACCTTATTAACTAAAGAAAATCGTATATATTTTATGACATGCGAGTCTTGTGGAAGTAAAAGATCAGTTAGTGCAATAAAGACTGGCTTTAGGGCTCAAACAGAGAAACGGAAACGTTAATTATATATTAAGATATGACTATGGAATTAAAATTTAACACGTAAACTTATGATATTTTAAGTATTTTATGAACTTTTTAGGTTATTAGTTGTATATTTCTGACGACTATTTATAAAATATTTATAATTACTTTCATAAATACATGTTTAGAATTAAGTATTTTCTGGTTTTATTCTATTGTTCATTAATTTTCTTACGTTTTTCCTTAGCTATTTTGGATTTTTCTATTTGGATTTTAAGGATCAAGATTTCCAAAGTTATAATATGGCTTTGATCTTATGATAAATTCTTTTAATGTTTGGTTTTAAAAATAATTTTATGGTAATTGAATTGTAGAAATTAATTGAAAGTTGTTATTGATGTTTAAAAATGTGGTCTTATAGTCATAAGGACAATATCCTTAAATGACAAATAGTTAAACATAATAATGATTTTAAAAATTATTTTATATTTAATCTTCTAAAATAGTAAATAAATAGAAGAGATATACATCAAAAAAATATTGAAATTTGTAGTTTATTGTTATTTTTCCCTATAGACATGTGAAATACTCGCTTGACAATTCGGGAAAATCTATATATTAGATTAAATATCTAAAAATATTTGTAAAAGTACCAATGTATCCGCAATAACAACATTTTCTCGTCTACTTGCTGCAAAAACAATTGCTTCTGCAACATCTTCCCCAGTTAAAGGTTCCATGTTTTGATAAACAGCGTCTGCTCTAGATTTATCGCCACAAAATCTGACTATAGAAAACTCTGTTTTTACTAGGCCTGGATCTATTTCGATTACACGAATACGAGTATTTATCAATTCTTTTCTCAATGAATTAGTAAATGATCGAACTGCTGCTTTCGTTGCACTTGATTATGGTTATTTTTTTTATATGAAAAACATATATTACCAATAAATAGACCCATCTATACAATGAAAAAATTATTACCGCACTATATTAATAATTATACTTTACTTGGATAGGGCTCACGTCCTGCAATAGAGCCTATATTAATAATGTCTCCTTTACCGCCTTTTTGATGAAAAATATTTAAAATCTTTTGAGTTATCTAAACTTGTTAATTAATTGAAAAACTATATAGATATTTGACATTGATCAGCCCAAATACATTTGTCTATATAATTCGTTAAATTCTTTTATTAAAAAGACAAAATTTACACTAAACATATCCATCATAATTCCTGGGTTAATTTCTCCTACTCTTTCCATGCCAATTACAAAACCGCTACCATAGTTAGAACATGTTTGTATTCTTTTATATTTCTACGCATTGTTAATAAGAATATCAATGTCTTTAAAGCTGTCTGGAAGCCCTTCAATTTTTTCTTCAATGTCTTCTAACTTGCTCACATCTAATCTTAAAGGAAGGACTTTAACGCCAGGAAAAGTAGATTCAATATCTTTTGCTATTTCCGTTACGTCCCTACGTGCTGAAATAATTAATTTAACTGTATTATTTGTCTTTGCAAATTCATAAGCACATGCCTAAAATGATAAGATATATTGGATTCTATTAAGGTATAAAATACTTTTCCAATTCCTGAACTTGCACCTGTAATAAAAATTGTTTTATTAGAAAGGCGAGACATATTTTTGTTTTTTTTTATTTGGTTTATGTAAATTACGAATTAATGAATTTTAAGATCTTTTTTACTGTAAAAATTATTAAAATTAATAATTAGTATTTAAAGTTTTTAACTTTGTAATATTAGTAATATAAATATAAAATAATTAGTAATATTTATGTATTTTTAAATATGTAATTTTTAATCAATTCTAGTTTTTTTAAAAAATATATATTAAAATATAAATGTTTGATGAATTAACATTATTTTTTATGTTTTTTATATGAATAGTAATATTTTTAAATAATATTGAAGGATATTTTGCTTGTTTTATTTAATTTTTATTTTTTGGGACGTTTTTGAATTTTTTAAGTTTTGATTCTATAGTTTAAGATTATATAAAACAAAATTTTATTATAAAAAGGATTTTTAGTCCTAAACTTAGTGAAAAATGGGATAATAAAGATGTATTATAATTAGAAATATAATAATTTTATATATATTGAATGAATTTTATACAAATTAGAAAAATCAAGTATTATATATCTATTTGTAAGAAAATTGAATAAATTATAACTTTAAAAATGTAAATTGAATTTCAATGCACTTTAAATATTAGAATTAATAGAAGATCATGTGATATATGTGTAAATTGAATAATATATATTATTAAATTGTAAGATTTTTTTGAAAAAAGATTATTTGAAAAAATAAGAGAAATTTTGTAATGATTTTTAGTTAAAAAAGAATGAGCTATGTGTCTCGTATTGAGGAGATTTGTTTAGGTCTGAAACGTGTTCAAGATGCTATTGTTTCTTGTTCTAAAGGCAGAGATGTAAATATAAGTTTTTTTAATGGTTATATTAATATATAAGGTTCGCTTGGTAGCGGTTTCAAAGTTAAAGCCTGTTGATGATATAAAAATTGCTTATGATTATGGCCAAAGACATGTATTTTTTTTGATTTTATATTTTTTGATATAGTTATAAATATAGTTTGGAGAAAACTTTGTTCAAGAAATGATTGAAAAGGCTAAATTACTTCCTCTGGATTGTTGTTGGCACTTTATTGGGAGTAGATTAATTGATATTATAAAAATTAGTTATTTTTATATATAGGACTTCAAACTAATAAGTGTAAAGCTTTGGCATCTATATCTAATTTATGGGCAGTTGAAAGTCTAGATTCATCTAAAAAGGCATATTTATTGAATAAGGCGTTAATAGATCTGAAAAAATCTTCTGGAATAGATAATCATTCTAGAAAGCTCAATGTTTTTGTTCAAGTAAATACAAGTTGTGAAGAAGGTTTGTTTTAAAATAAAATATATGCTGTTTTTAAATAATGTAGGAAAGAATGGAGTTAGTATTAGTGATTCTATGGAATTGTGCAGTTATATAATAAATAATTGTAAAGAACTTTATCTTAAGGGACTTATGACTATTGGTTCATTATCTGAAAGTAATAGTGAATATAATAAAGATTTTGAGGTATTTTTTGAAAAGTTATCATTATTAAATAAATTTTGTTAAGGCACTTGCAAAATGTCGAGATGAGATTACTAAATCTCTTGGTATAGAATTAGAATTAAGTATGGGAATGAGCAGGGATTTTGAATTAGCTATTAAAATGGGTTCAACAAATATAAGAGTTGGTACAGATATTTTCGGTATATTTTTCTTTGTTTTAATAGTATATGCTGTTTTAATATCGAAATATAGGAGTAAGGCCGTCTAGGTATATGAATACGTCATAAATCCAAAGAATATTTAATATTTTTTGTTTTTATTTAAATAATATGATATTCGATTAAATATTTCCGGATAATTCCCTTTCTATTAATGATTCTAAATGATTTGCAATTTCTTCTTTTGTACTTCGAATAGTAATTCGATACATCTAAAGGATTTATAAAATAAATATATATTAAATTTAATTATTAAATACCTTAGTTTCATAATTAGGCTCAAGTCTTAGTAAACAACCATATTTCCCTCCTTGACTAGTATATAATACTGATGCACCAACTATATTTTGATTATTTGTATCAATTTCCTTTAAAATCTCCCATCCAAAACCTTTAAGTATTTTTACATTATCATAAAAGTTGATATTTTTTTCTTTATCCTTAATAGCGAAGATCTTTTGGCATTCTCTAGACTTTCCAATTTGTCTCCATCTATGAAAGAAACTGCCTGAATCAAGTTCTACCCCCTCTGAAAATTTAGAAAGAACAATAGGAAGCTTTAAAGTCAAAGATTTCATAGATGTAGACATATAAGATATAGATATAGATGGCGGTTCTAAGAAAATATCAAGAACTTCAATATTTAATACTTGTCGCACTTGTTTAAGCGCTTCCAGGGTACAAGGAATATCTATTGTCGAAACAATGGAGAGATTTGATTCACAAGAATTTTGAATTGAAGATGTGAAAGAAGTATACATTAATGGTGATTTATTCTTGTATAAAAGTTCCATTTTTCCTAGATGATTACGATATCCAGAGTAAATAAATACTTCGATTTCTTCGTCTTCATAAAGTACTCCTTCATTAGTACATAAGAGTTTGTTAAAATTTGTTTCATATTTTTTAGAGAGACCATAATTATCAGAAAGTGATATGTATTTTACATCTGATACAAAATCTGACAAAATATTGGATTGATCAGATGTTTTAGAAGATGAAATAGATGGTGATGAGCTATGAGTGTTTGATGTATCTAATTCAATTAAATTATTTTTATGTATTTCCAAATCACTGAAATCAATTGTTTTGTAATTACAACAGCTTTTAGCGCTTATTTTGTTTTTTTCTCTTGATGACTTCTTTTCTTTAATATTTTCTAATCTTTTATCTTCATTTTTCTGTTTCAGTAGTTTTGATATTAAAAGTGATTGATTTTTTAAGAAAGGATGGGTTTTGTTCAATAATTCCCGTAAAAGATTATTATTTGGCATATGACATAAAGCTAAATATTCGCATGCACGCTGTTGTAATTCTGAATCAATACTGTTTGCATATTCTTCAAATACAACTTGTATGTCTAACTTGATTTCAGGGAACAAATTCACAAATTTAATATATGTTGACATAAGTAATGCTTGTGTTCTGGGTGAATATGCATTAAATTTAATATGTAAAGAAATAAATTGTTCAATAGGACTACTTTCAGGAGAGTCAGATATTAAATGACCAAATTCTCCTAAAATATAACCGCCAAGTTTTATCATATTTTCATGAGGATTATTTTTTAAGTATTTTAATACTGTCTTTGCAGAATATTTATGCAGTTCTTTGTTATTTTCTATAACTTGAATAAATCTGTGTAATATATCATCGCCAATATGTTCTTTAGAAATATTTATAAGTTGCAACATTATATCTACGTACCATTGGCATTCTGTTACGTATTTTTCAGCTAGAATAGCAATTCTAACAGCTATATCTTCCTTTATTTCTGTATTTGCGCTTTCTAAATAGTGAATTAACTCATCAATGATCGTTTTTGTATTGTTGGAATCACATGTATAATATAATAATTCGAGAGCTTTTCTTTGAATACTTATGTCTTTATCTTTTAAAGAGTGTATAATTATATCTTGATATTTCCTGAACGGCTCAAAAGTGTTCACATGTTCTGCTAAATAAATTAGCGCTTTTAATCCAAGGTATCTACTATTAATTTCTTTGTATGATATGAATTTGCTTAGTAAATGAATGGTTTGATTTGTTAATGTTTCATCGATATCAATATGAATAGCAACATTAATAGCTTCAAATAAAACTGCATTTTGAATATTATTTTGTTGAACATTCTTTGGTAATTCATGAAGTATAGAAGTTATAATGAATTGTAAAACTTTGCATATTAATTCTTGAGTATCTTTGTCATCTATATGAAATAAGGATAATTTTATGCATGCAAAAATATTAAACCTGGAGGCGGATAATATTGTAGAAGACGTAAAAGCTTTATTTGAAGCCAGGGCGCAGGTACCTTATAATATACATAATCATAACTATATTCTCCATCAATAACTATCTACGTATGTTTAATATGATGAATAATCTAGTAAGAATATATTACTCTTTTTAGTCGATGAATAGCTTTAAGGTAACATCTTTCATATAATCTATTATTGTTTTGAACAAGAGAAATCAAGAGGTTTGTTATAGATAATGATACTCCTAAGTCTGGATCATCTAGTGTAGAGATAATGCTTTCTGCCCATTCTTGCCTAATAATATCTGGATTTTTTCTGTAAAGACATAGAAGTGTTAGAGATGCTTTCTTTTTAACAAAATTTTTAGATACACTTAATAATTAGTCCAACTTATATAGATAAAAATTCATACATACGGTGATACAAGCAATCTGTTTACATCTGGAGCTAATATGTCCCCCATTTCTTTTCCTCCAATATTAGCAATCGCATGTAACGCTAAACAGTTATAATATTCATTTGAGTCTAATAAATCTTGTTTGATACTATTGATCACAAGACATGTTAGATCATGTTTTTCATGCAACAGTAATGTTATAGCAAGATATGCAATTTGCTTTTCTGAATACTTTTGACTAGAAATAAGGTGAACTGCTTCCATATGTCCAAAATCAATTTCCCATCCAAGAATATAGATATATAATAACTTTAGATTCTATTAATTTTTGGTTCTTATAAACTTTCAAGTCCTTACCTTGCAAATATATTTCTTTTTCTGGTAACTGTTTAAATGGCCAGCTATTTCATTTAATATTAGTTAATTACATTTAACAAAAATTAAAACAAACCCTTAAACTTATTCCGAATATTTGCCAATTCTTGGTTAATTCTTTGCTCCTCATGCTGACGAGTCTTTGAATTTTTTAAGTCACTTATAAAAACTGCTAATCCACGCATAGGTTTGTTCATTAGAATGAATATTGAAAATTAAGAGACGTTGGAAATTTGTAAAAACGAGCGTTTAAGTTTCAACAACTTAATAATAAAAAATAGTGAAATTTTTAGAAAAAATGGTATTGAACAAGACAATGTAAGCTTTTTTATTGGTTTTTTAAGTGCGTTTTAATATGGATATGTTTCTAATATTAAGTTTAGTCTTGTAACAGGTGCTTCACGAGGGGTATGTTTTTTAAAGAAAATTAAGCAAATTTTTTGATATTTATTTAAAAGATTGGTCGAGCAATTGTAGAAGAATTGCTTGAAAGTTATAAATATATTTTCGTAGTTGCTGTAGTACGATCTAGATCATCTTTAGCTACATTACAAGAGAAATTTGAGTCTCGGATAGCAATTGTTGAAGGAGATCTTAAAGATGAGAAAACAAATGTCAGGTCGGTTAATGTGGCGATAGAAAGATTTGGACGATTAGATTCTCTTATTCTGAATGCGGCAGCTATAGAGCCTGTTGGAAAAATTGCTGATATTGATGTAAATTCATGGAAAGCTTTATTTGATGTGAATTACTTTTCTCTTCTTTATATAGTAGGTTTTTCTTGGATTTTCTGAAAAATTAAGAGGAAAAGTTGAAAAGTGCAATTCCATATTTACGGTCATTTTGTGGTAGAGTAATTTTTATTTCTTCTGGTGCGTCTATAAAACCGTATAAGGTTTTTTGTTTAATTTTGTAAAAAATCAGTGTTAAAAGTTATAGAGCATGGGTGCGTATAGTGGGTCAAAGGCTGCAATGAATCATTTATCTTCTGTTCTGGTAGTATTTTTTACAATAATATTTAAAATTCTAAAAAATAGGCGGCCGAAGAAAGTTCAATTACTTCTATTTCTTTTCGACCTGGAGTGGTAGATACACAGATGCAAACATCTTTAAGAGAAAATTGTATTATTTTTTTTAAATGATATATTCTAAATTGTATATAGACAGTTCAAATCTAGATAAGGATATGCATACTAGATTTATGGATCTTTATCAAACAGGTCAATTGATTCCGCCAGAAAAAATTGCAAGAATTATTGTAAATTTAGCTTTAAATGCAAAGAAAGAACTAAGTGGCAGATTTATTAGTTATGATGACAAAGAATTAATGGAATATGAGATTCATAATTAATAAGGTGTCTTTTTTAAAAATGTATGTTGAGTTCTTATATTAGGGTTATGTAGAGTTTATCAGACAATGTATTATGAATGAGAGGATAATATATTTTCTGGTTCCCCTGGAAACCTTTTGACTCTAACTTGTTCCCAATTATCTAACATCATTTCGTTCATTTGAAGTTTCTAAAAAAAATATAAGAGAAGATGCTTTTTGAAAATATAAATTTACATAATATTCGTCTTTAATATTTATTTTTCGTCGATTTTTTTTTATCCCTAGAGCTTGTTCTTCTGAAATCTAACGATTAAAAAATATTTTAGAGAATAAATAGATTACTTGTGTTATCTTTTGATCTCTACTGTCATAACGAAATTGTTGAGATATACTTAATACATAGGCTCCTCCTAATATTATTGTTATGAAAGGCATACCAAATAATAAAAAAGGATATTTATGAATAGTTTTATTAAGTTGGATTATTTTTTGAGAAATTTTGCTTGTATTGGAAATATATTTTTCTCGTGTAAAATAGTTCATTCTTGTTCGTTTATTTGAAATATGAATTGGAGATTTTAACTGTTGGAAATTAGACAAGTTTTGATTAATTTTTAATCTTTTTTAAAAAAAATTACGGATAAAGGTATGATAAAATTATTCTATTTAATATAAAAAAAGTGAATATGATGACATGTTTTGTCGCCCCAGACAGAACCTTTATTGTAATGTTGAATAAAATGTTAATTGTTTCTGAAATATTATATAAAATTTTGCTAAATAGTTATTAAATGGCTGTTTTTTGTAATATCCTAACCAGAAGGTAGGTCAGGATCTATGTTAATTACATATTATTTTTAAATGATACAAATGAAAAACATGATGATTGAATTTAAGTACTATCAAATTCTGATTTATTTGATGAAAATAATTCATTCTGATCTGCATATAAAATATATGACTATGGTTTAAAATTATTTGGTTTTTCTTTTTTTGAAAAAAGGTAATATGTGATTTTATAATTTAGTTTTTTAAGAAGCAATATCTGCTTAAGATGATTATTTTCATGCTAATTATGAAAAATAAATGATTAATAATTGGTATTTTTATTTTTGGATCTGAAGCATTGCTTCATTTTATTAATGTTAAATTTTAAACTATTAATTTATTTTTGCATAATAGTAAGTATTAATTATTTTAGAATATCTTTTAAATCCGAAATGCAATAAGTAATTTATATATTCTATATTTCTGTTATTTACTATATTGTTTTAATTACTATGTTATTTTTGTATGATATATTTGTTTTGTATTATAAATGTAGAGAAGTTTTGTATATTGATAGGTGTGAAATAATAACCCATGAGAAGAACCGTATAACTTAATATTAAAATAGAACCCTAAAAATTAATATTTATTTCTAAAAAGAAAAAGGCTACCTTGAAATAATTGCTTTTGCCTTCACTATATACATAAGCTAAAAGAAATACGCAAAGAATTACACAAATAAGATCCCATCGTGGAAAAACCAAGCTTTATATGTTAAATTGATATATTTCATCATAATTATTTAAAACCTGAAAGTATAGGATAACAGTTCCTGTTTCCCGATATTTCTAAACGCACTATATGCAACAAGGCATGGTATCTGTAGTAAGCACACTTGAAGTGCATATGCTGAGCCAATTTCCATACTATGATTATTGATTTAAAGTAGTTTATGAAGTTACTCTTTTACCTCAGTGCAATATTTCCATTAGTTGCAAATGATATAGCATTCTATATCCTGTAAGAATATAAAAATAAAATTAGTTATAAAACCATAAATTCCGTAGTATTTGGTACTAATGCAAATAAAGTGAACCCCAAAAATTTTTCATCTATATGAAAATTTTGAAGAACTACATCCACTGTATTAACTAACATTTCTAAAAAAAAAAAACGTAAACTAGAGAAATAATATGATTTAAAAATACCTGCCACTACAGAATATAACAGCGTTGATGTCAAAAGTATTAATGTACTTTTTTTTAGACTCCAGCTGGGCGCACCGTGTCCTGTATTATTCTCATGTTCATTTCCCTCTAGTTCATGTATATAACTTTGAGAATGTATAAGATTTTTTCTGAATTTATTGTTTTGTGTTTGCTCATATTCGTGATTACTTTGATTTTGAATCATTGATTCTTGAACATCCATTGCTAAGCCCATAGAATTAATAAAAGCATTTGTTTCGTTGTGAATAGTATCTTCTGGTTTATAGGAGTCTTGCATATATGATATTATAGAATCTTGAGGATGATTTCGTGAAGCAATATTTTGATGACATATATTATTATTATCACATGATGGAAATGTGCTATTAAGTCTTTTATTAAATTGATGCTCCAGAAAACTTTTTGGTATTATTTTTTTGAAAATTTGAGATTCTCGAATAGGTGTTTTAATCAATCGAGAAGTAATACTCTCTTTAGGTGTATCTAAAGCAGAAACGGTAATAGGAGTTTGCCATATCATTGCTGCATGAGTTCTTAATGTAAACCATAATCCAATTAAATATGAAAGAATAAGAGTTAATGCACATATATATGTAAATGGCTTTACAGAATTTTGGTAAAATGGATCATCAGGTGCATATGATTGGTCGAACTTGCACCTTTGACAATTATATATATATTTGCTTTTTGAACAAGGTAAACATTTTAATTCATACTATTTTTATTAAATTAATGTATAAAAAGAAATAAAAGGCATACTGTTCCGTAGATTTGATAAAATAAGGTGGGTGCAAATGCCCCAATAACTGCAAATAGCAACATTGTAGACGTAACGCCTGCAGATTTAGCATTGAACCTTTGTGTCTTCCTTCGTATAGCTCCTGCACACATTGATAAACCAGGCATTAAAAGAACACCTGCAAGCACACTACCGACTATGCTTCCCTCTACTAATCTAGCTTTTCCTTGATTTAATGCGATACAATAAAGATAAACTTCTACTACAGATCCAAAGAAAGCATTGATAGCTGCACCCATCCCAATGGATGACTGTGCAGAAATAGATGCAACAGCCATGCCAACAAGATATGATAAAGATACAATTGATAGAAGAGAAAGAACGAATATAGTTGCTGATGATGTAATAAAATAATTGTGTCCAAAAATGCTTCCTAAGAGATATTCGTCTGAAATAGTAAATAAAACTATAAACATCAAGTTTATGAAAAATATGTTTACTCCATCCACTGTATATTGATAATATTTTAAACCAAAGGCGCGATATGTACATACTAAAATTGTTGGGTTGGAAAATTCTCCCTGACGAAAGTCTGAATGAAAAACTATAGATAAAGGATGCCGTCTCATATGGTCAAATAATAGATAAGTTACTTTTGCCATTGGCATTGCGAAAACTATTAGCCAGCAAAATGCAGATACAAGTAAAAGAAGTGGTGCTAATAGGAGTTAAATTTACTAAAATTTCATAAAAATATACCTATTATTGAATAAAAAAGTAGAAAAAATACTATACGTCCAAAAGACCATTGACCCCTTCCAAATAATCTTCTTCGTCCTTTTCTTCTTATAGCATTGTTTGATCTATGAAAACAGCCAAGTAAACTCTCTGTATCTGATATACTATCAATGCTATCTCTTCGTCTACCAATAATTCTTTGAATAGGTAAATTATTATGTTTAGCTATTTCTAAATCAGTATATTCGTTTATGCTATGGCCTTCTCCTTCATCTTCTTCAGCATATGCTTCTTCAGATTTTAGTTCAACATATTGACCAAAAGGATAAAAGACATAACAAGATAATCCCCGAAGTACTCGACTATAATCTTTGTCGGGTTGACCAATTATGAGTATATAGCAAATAAATGATGTTATTAAAGCAATTAAGGCTAGCCACCATCCAAAGCATACCGTCCAAAGAATATTACCTATAAGATCTCTAGAAAAAATAGGTTCTCCTGGAGTAGAGTGAATATCGCCTTCTGCTGTTTTTTGTACAGATCGTGTTTTTTTATATAAAGCTGGTTTCCAAAGCCTAATACCAAAAGGATGCGTTTTATTAATTGCATCTTGATAAAATTAGGATATAAATGATATATAAAGGAATAGTATGAACCTTGTCTTTCTTTTAAAGTAAAACTTCCCTCGCTGTCGATACTATGAGAGATACTTTCATTATCGTTATGATTATCACACATTAATTTTCCAAAACTTTCATACTCTTCTCCAATAGTATCTTCGTCTATTTCATCTATAATTGTTTTGTTTTTTCCATAATCTCTTTTAAGGCCTTTTTTTTTTAATGTCTTATTTCGAAACTCTGACTCGAATTCTGAAAAAAACGCCTCTTCGTCTGCTTCAATTTCATTCTCATCATCTTCTGCTGAAAAATACCCTCTTTGTGGATGCGATATAACTCTAACAATATGTCTTTTGTAACGAGGATTGCGCGAATTGACTTGTTTAGAAGATGATGTAGTTGACGTTACTGAAACAGCACGTTGATTATATCCACTTCTACATGGATATGTTGATGACGATGTAAAGTTTCTCGTGTTTCTATTCTGTTGATGACTTATATTCGACGACGAACATCTAATTGTAGATGTAGAATCAAATGATGGTTGATTAGAATGACGCGCATTTTCTGCGCATGTATTCGAAATATCTAAGGGAGATTCATCTGTGTTACATTCATTTTCAGATATTTGAGAATTTGCAGTACGGAAACTCCCTTTGGATGCATATGATGATAATACTATATCTTTTTTTTCCATACTAAAAAAAATGATACTGATTGTTTAGAATTTAGTTTTGTCTTCTAAGGTGAAATTGCTGGTCGTTTATGTTAAAAGGTAATAAATTGACTATTATAATTCTTATAAACACGAATATTTTAATGAATAGTAATTTTTAATAACCGCTTAATTTTAAATTTATATTAAACCCTTGAAAAATTAATTTTTATAAATTTTCTATATTTAAACTATTTAAGTATATAAATTATTTAAAATGATATTTTTATAAATATTTATTTGTCTTTTTAAATATAAAAAAATAGAAGACAAACATTGTAAGTCATGTTTTAGATATTTTGTATACATTTTAGTATCATTTGAAAAATATATAGATATAAATGATAAAATATGCTCAATTTTGAAAGAAAAATGATTATAGGAGAGAGTTAGTATTTTTTATTAAGAAATATAAAGATTTTTAGAATATTTATACTTTTTAAAAAAATAAATAATTAAATTTTTTACAATTCTTTGTATAATTTAAAATGTTTAAGTGTATAAAATAGTAAATACAATGAAAATAATTAAATATATACGTATTCTAAAAATATGTGATTATTTGTATATATTAGATCTATAGAAATATATGATACATTTATTATCTCTCGTTTAATCTCTTGATTAGGAAATTTAGATAACGAAAAAAGATATAGTCCAATTGATAATAATTAAGAAAATGTAATAATTGCTTTGCAACAAAGATTTCTTTGAGTGATAAATTTAGAATAATGAGCTTTGAAATATATATAAAAGGTTGTTATTATTTTAATTTGTTTGATAATTTATAAAAGATTTAAATAAAAAATAGTCGATATTCGTGTATTTAAAGATTAATGAATATTTTAGATAAAGTTATTTCAAAATTGTTAAAACCTAGTAGGAATTGTGTCTTTCAGAAAAAAAATAATTATAATATAGAAAATAAAACTTTATCGAAAGATTGCGAGATTTCTGATTTAATGCATTTTAATGAAAAAAGTCCAGAGATAAATATAAAGCATACAAAATATATGAGATTTATAGAAAATAAAGTAGATTATCCTGTATTGTATACACGTTATTAATAATAAATTATAGAAAAATATTTTTATGCTCACTTTAGATACTTTAATAAATATAAATTTTCCTTTAAAGGGAATTAACCCTTCAAACCACTTGTATAAAAGTATGTGATCTGTATATATGAAATAATCAGGAATTATGATAGAGCTTTATCTCATAAAAGATAGACATATATAATTTAGTTTATATATATATATATGTATCTCTGTGTGTGTGTGTGTGTGTGTATGTTTAATATGTTTTAATTATATAGTTTTGATAGTTTGCTTTAATAGTTTGACTTTATCTGGTTTTGATGTTTTAAGGCCTATTTCTTCTTGATTTTCAACTGTTTCATTTGGGTTTGGAATGCTATTAGATATACTTAAAGGATCTTCAGTATTTTTCGTGTCTTTTGCATTTTGCTTTATATTTCCATTCCATATTCCACAATTCATGCAGATGTATTTAATTGATTCCCATTTTTCTCCATATGGAGCTAAACCATTATGAGTTCCACATTTTTTACATATTAAAGCATATCTATTTTCAGGGGATGTTTCATCTGGACCAATGATAAAATTTAAAATTCTAGAAATAAATGAATTATCTTGAGATAGTTTGACGTAAGAATCAGTAGGAAACGGTGTATCAGAAGTTGTAAAAAAAGATTCATGAATAGAGTTATCCGTATTGCTATTATTTGTGTGTCTTAGTCGAAGATTAGAAGTTTGATTTTGTTGATTTGAATGTTGGAAAGTAGGTTGTAAAAAATCAACGCTTGAGGATGAAAAACTATGTTTTGGTGTTTTTTTTCCTGAATCATTAAGATCAAGTAAAGAGACAGCAGGTTTTTCTGGTGTATTTCTTTGAGATCCAGAATATCGATCAATTAATAATTGTGTTGAATAAAAATTTGTTTTAGCTTTAAGTTCTTCTACTTTTTCATATTGCTTAGTCCTCAAAAGTTCTAAACTTGATTCTTAAACAATATTTATCAGAACTGTTTTTGGTTTTACATGTATTTACCTTCTGATGAAATCATTTTTGTATAATAAATGGTAAATATTACTCGTCCAAAATAAATACTAAAATAATAAATAATATATTTAAAGATAATTTTACTATTACCAAAAGAGAGAAATAATAAGGATGGAAAGTCTTAGGAACCATTTTTCAATATCTTCTGTGTTCCGCATATAAAATAAAATCCATATTAAGAAATAAATAAGATATAGAATTGTACAATATAAAGTAAAAAGTCTTTTGACACGTACAGAGCGAAGTCTAAATGTAGATAAACGGGATTCATGATGATTTATTTCTAATGCTAATTGTGAAAGAATTCGTTCATATGAATTTGTTGAAGAATCCTTCTAAAGTTTATTTTTTTTTAAAAAAAAAATAATACATGCCTTCTTAAACCAATTCCATATATGTTTCATTTTTTTTATTTATGCTACAAGTTTGAGACAGAAAATTGATTTTAAAGAAAAAATTATAAAAAATAGAACCTGAATTGTTATAAAAACGAATACTTTAACGATATAATTTAAATAGAATTTAATATAATAAAACTATAAATTTATTGATAAAAATTTTGTTTTTATATTTAATTTATTTAGATTTTTTGAAAGTTTAGTATAATTTTTGATAAGTAAAATTTTAGTTTATTATGAAATTTCATAGAAAGTAAAATGTCATAAAAATTTAAGTAAATTTTATTTTAGTCAGTAACTTATTGTAAGTGCATATATTGTTGTATTTATAATACACCTTGAATTCCAGCTATTTTTTGATTTATATTATTTTAAAAAATTATCTTAATTTAATATAAATAATATTTATATTAAAATTGTTGAAAAAATAAATCATTTATTGAAAAAAAATAGAAATTATAGATTTTTCTTAAAAGTTTGATTTTTTAATATTGAAATATAAAAATACTAGAGCTATTAAACCTATATTTTGAAATTTTTAGATAAAAAATAATCCGGATAAATTGATGTGTAGATAAATAGAAATATAAAAAAAAAACTTAGAATTTCTATATAAATGAATTTAGTGTGATAATGATATTGCAGTTTATAAGTAATAGTTAATATTATAGGAAAAATGGAATCAGAATAAATGATTAAGAGCTTAATGTCAAAGAAATTTAAGAATCGATGTGATATGGTTGTAATTGTAAAAGGTATAGACCGTAATAAAAAATGTAAAAGAAAACGTTTAACAGCAGCCTCCCTTAGAAACACCATTTGCTTTGTCCAGTAGGACATTAGATCCTTCTGAAACTCGATTCTCTTGAGCATCAATTAGTCGTTTTTTAATACCTCTATATATATGAGATTGTGAAATAGAGGAAAAATGTATACCGAGCAAGACAGAAAAATGCATCATCTACATTAATGTTCGATTTTGCACTTGCTTCTAAAAATGGTATACCATATTCATGAGCAAGAGCTTGTCCTTGTTCTTCTGAAACGACTCTTCGTTCTTCCCAATCACATTTATTTCCAATAAGAATTTTATTTACTCCCTCAGAGGCATATTGTTCAACATTTGAAATCCATAATCTAATATCTATGAAAATTAATAAATAATTATGAAAAACTAAAAGCCGACTTTGAAATGATTTTTCATCAGTTACATCATAAACAAGAAGAATTCCCATTGCACCACGATAATAAGCTAAAAGAATGTCAATATTCACTAATTAAAAGAATATACACTACCTGCTGTAATTGTTCGAAAACGTTCCTGGCCTATTATATGTTAATTTTATAAAATAAAATATTTTCGAAAAAAATAAAAGAAATATTTATACCAGCAGTATCCCATATTTGCAATTTAATTCGCTTCCCATCAAGTTCAATGGTTCGAATTTTAAAATCAATGCCAATAGTTGTAATAAAACTTGGTGTGAAAAAATCGTCACTAAATCTCAAAAGAAGACATGATTTTCCGACACCTATATTAGATTAAACGTATTAGGATTTCTAAATGGGGAAAAAATGATGTAATATATTAATATTTTAAAAAATTTTATAAGATATTTTGTTATAAAAAGACAAATCTGCCCGAAAAAACATACCGCTGTCGCCAATAAGAAGTAACTATAAAACATATACAATTAGTTTTGCTATTTTATGGGGAAAAATAAATCTTTGTAGACTTATTTGTCATTTTTTATATAAAGTATTTGTTTAAATATATTTTTCGTTAAACTTTGAAAAAAAACGCACCTTAATCAGATAATCATAGTTTCCTGAACGTAAATTATTCATAATATACGTTTTTCTCTTATTTTCTGAGACTTCTTATAAATTTTATTTAAAGTATTTTTAAAGTTCCGTTTTAGAATTTTAAAAAAAAATGAAAAATTATTGAAGATAAAATAAGAGATCTTTTATAGTTTTAAAGTGGGAATAGTATTCTCATATTTATTGAAGTAGTCTTAAAATACGATCTACAACACGTAGTTGATTAGTTATTTTAAGCGTTTTTGTATTTTCAAGATCATGCAAATCTTGAAGATAACTTGTATGTACATTTGCAGGAAGAGTATATGCATATGAGCGAAGAATCTGAACTTCACATAGTAGAAGACCTTGATTATAGTAAGAAAGGGTATCTTGGTCATTGCTCATAAGAAGAATACGTTCGATATTTCTAATGTTATTAATAAAAAAATATAATGAACTATATGTATACCTTAAACTAGGAAGAATTTTAGTTTTTAGTCTTTTTTTTGCAATGTTTCTTTTGTTCCAAATACCAAAAAAATATCTTAATATAAGGTAGCATACTGTTAGTCCCGGCATCACTCCAACAAAACCAAATACGAGTTCTTGACTTTTTAATAATTTATCTATCCCATTTATTACAACTTCCACATCAACTTTTGTTTTTTGTATTTGAATAAGTAAACTACGAATTAATTTCCCTGTTACTATGGATTTTATCGGTGTTTTCATATGTTTCTCATATGCTAATAATGTGGAAGTTAAATCTCCTAATCTTACATTTTCCCTTAGTGTTTGCATACTTTTTCCTCGTGAATAAGCTGGGTTATCTATAGCAAAATCTACAACCATTCTTTCAAGACTTTGTAAATCAGTTTCAAGACTTTTTTTACTCATGAGTGCAATTTCGCTTTGTCTATCATGATGAATTATACTAACAATTTTCTCAATAGGAGAAATAACCCAGTTTTTCCAAAAACTTATTGACATTTTAATAAATTCTTTAAGCCATTCAGATAGTGCTTTTTTTTTAGATAATACAATTTGAAAAATACTAGATGCTGAGAAAGAAAAAATTAAAACTGGAAGCCAGTATCGTATAAATATAGATGGACGGCCATGGTTACGTATATATAATGAGGACATATTCTGAATTTGAGTAATATTATTTATTATATCATTTAGAAAAGTAGCAGTAGAACTTAATGAATTAGGAAAAAACGTTTCAGGTTTTTTTTCAGATATTTGTGATATTGAATTAGATAGAAGTTGAATTCTTTTGACTGTGATTTCTTTCCAATTTTTTTCTAAGTTGAAGTCAATGTTCATGAGATGACCTATAGCTATTGCCTTTTGTTTTTGTAATTTTAAAAGATATTTTTGTTTTTCTATAATTTCATGACGTATAAGACCATAAATAGGTAACAATTGCGATCTTTCATGTATAAATATATTAGGAAATGCTATTTTATGAAAAAGTGATCTATTTTGAATATGTTTTTTTATGTTTCTAAAAACTTGAAAAGAAAGATTATTTTGAGAAAAAATGTAATTTTGACGAATAAATAAGAAAATCCGTAGCGGCAATGCTATTTTATTAGGATAAGTATTGATTTTGGAAAATAAATACTAACTCTGTAAAAGATAAATCATAGACAACCAAGGACTTGAAGCAATTCTATTCCAATAGATAAGTCCTTCAGAAATAGGTAATATATGTTTAAATAAGTATTTTAGAAAATGTTCATAAACATTAATTGTACAAAATGATAATATTAGCCAATTTATATCATTTTCTTTTTCTTTTGAAATTTTCTTTAATAATTCATTAATACGAGTTATGCTTATTTTTTTTTTAAAAACATCCAGGTCTTGTTTAATTTCTTTTAATTCTAAATTATCAATTTTAATAAAATTAAGTTGATAACGTAGATCTTTTATTAATGTATCAACTGTTGATTCCATAAATTTTTAATAAAGTATTTCCTTTTTTAGAAAATCTTAAAAGCTTTTTATCTTTTTTTAAAAAGCAAATTAAATAATTCTTTATCATTAATGTTTTAAAGGTTAATTTCTAATTTTAATATCATATAGGGTTTAACCCCCTCCTGTATCTTTTATAGCAGTCACTATCTCGTTCAGAAATGAACGATGAAGGTATTGAAAGTTAAAAGAAATTGCATGAAAAATATTGATAAAGTCACAGTTGAATATTGCCTATCCTGCAAATGGCACTCAGAAGCTCATTGATATTGATGATGAGCGGAAACTGTAGGTTAAATGTCTTAAGAAACTTAAAATAATGATTTAGTCGAGTATTTATGGAAAAACGTATGGGCCAAGAAGTGCCTGGAGACTCTGTAGATGATCAATTTAAGGGATATGTATTTAAGATTACTGGCGGTAATGATAAGCAAGGATTTCCAATGAAACAGGGTGTGCTTCTTTCATCAAGAGCTCGACTTTTGTTATCAAAAGGACATTCTTGTTATAGACCTCGGCGTGATGGAGAAAGAGTAAGAAAAAGTGTTCGTGGTTGTATTGTTGCAAATGATCTTTCGGTCATGAGTTTGGTTATTGTGAAACAGGGTGAAAAAGATATTCCAGGTTTAACTGATGTTGCAAATCCTAAAAGACTTGGTCCAAAAAGGGCATCTAAAATTCGGCGTTTTTTTAATTTGAGCAAAGAGGATGATGTTCGGAGGTTTGTTATTCGTCGGGAAGTTTTTCCTAAAGGTGAAGGCAAAAAATCTTATACTAAAGCACCTAAGATTCAGCGTCTTGTAACGTATGTTTCTTTTGAACTTATTTGTTTTTTTTTTTATGTTTATAGGCCTAAAGTACTTCAGCGGAAGAGATTGCGTCTTCGACTTAAACGTGAAGCTTCTGAGAAACAAAAGCAGGCTGCAGCTGAATATGCTTTACTTCTTAATAGGCGTATTGCTGAACAAAAGGCCAAAAGGGCTGAGATTAAAAAGAAGCGCTCATGTTCCTTAAAGAAGTAGTTTAGGAGTAGTTTATTACATTTTTCATATTGTATAGTTTATATTTATTTTTATACATTTATATTATTTTTTATTTTTACGAATTTTTAATATCTATTTTTTTAAGACATTCAAGAATTTTATTATTAAAATAGCTGTAGAGGGCCTTGGGATTTCAAATATTTTTATATTTTGGTTTATTTCTTGTATAACTTATTTTTTGATGATTTCAAATTCTATTAAGATTTTTTCTGGTTTATTGGTTTTTTTTGATCAAGTTTTGTTAATAAATAGATAGGAAATAGTCATCCTGAACTTGCGGAAAAGGTTGCAAAGAGGTTGGTGTATATTTTTTGTCGAATATATCTCGATTTGTTTTATATAGGATTGGTATTACAGTTGGTAAAATAAATGTTACAAAATATTCTAACCAGGAGATGGCTATTTCAATAGGTAGTTATTGGATTTTTGAAACATATTTGCTTATTTTTTTGAAAAAAGGTGAATCTGTGAGAGACGAAGATGTTTTTATTATTCAAACTGGATGTGACTCTATTAATGATCATTTAATGGAATTACTTATTATGATTAATGCATGTAAAACTGCATCTGCTCGTAGAGTATATTTCGAATGTATGTCCTTGTAATTATGGTAATAATTTTTAGATTACTGCTGTTATACCTTGTTTTCCTTATTCGAGACAAGATAAAAAAGATAAAAGTCGTGCACCTATAACTGCAAAGCTAGTTGCAAATATGCTTCAAACTGTTGGATGTAATCATATAATTGTACACATCTTTTTTTGTTTTTTTTTTTGATTAATTCTTATAAAGACTATGGACCTCCATGCTTCTCAAATTCAAGGATTTTTTGATGTTCCAGTTGATAAGTATGTTTTTATTTATGAAGAGAATACTTAGCACTAATGTCTTCTTAGTGTAGGATATCATGTATTTATTTTTGCTTTAGCTTATTTAATTAGCTTTTTGCTGAGCCATCAATGCTTAAATATATTCAAGAAACTGTTGATTATAAAAATGCTGTGATTGTTTCTCCTGATGCTGGGGGTGCAAAAAGGTAGATTTATTGATTCGAATATTTTTATTTTATAGTTTTTAGAGCTACTGCTATTGCCGATCGTCTTGATCTCGACTTTGCTCTTATCCATAAAGAACGACAAAAAGTGAATGAAGTTTCAAGAATGGTTTTAGTTGGAAATGTTAAAGGAAAGGTTGCTATTCTTGTTGATGACATGGTAGATACTTGTGGAACATTGTCTCATGCTGCTGAGACTCTTATGAATAATGGCGCATTATCTGTTTTAGCTGTAGTTACGCATGGGATCTTAAGTGGAAATGCAATTCAATATATAAACGAAAGTCAATTAGAAAAGGTGGTAGTTACAAATACAATTCCTCATGATGATAAAAAGGCTTTATGTAGTAAAATAGAAACAATAGATATTGCACCTGTATTAGCTGAATGTATTCGGCGAATACATTATGGTGAAAGGTGAGTTATAATGCTTAAATAGTTTTGTTTAATAATATTAGTGTGTCTGTTTTATTTACACAAGCACCTTCATAAAGGATAGAAAATAGAAATTTACACTTATATCATTGAAAAATAAAATGATGTTTTGATTTAATTTAATGAAGTATTTTAATATATTGTGATCTATATTTTTTATTATAAATTAACACAATTATTAATGTTATTATTTCTTAACATGAAATTATAAATAATATTCGTATTTACTTTGTGTAGCATATTATAATTTTTCGAGACTTAATACTAAAATATTATAATATTAATAGAATTTCTGATAGCAATTATATATTTACTTAGATCATCATATCTTCCTTTTCTTAGAAAATCTATTTCCTTTAGTTTTGTAGCAGTTTCAATTATCTTTTTTTTGGGAATATTTAATAGATTTTTTGACGTTTTTGAAAGCAGTATGTTATAATTAATATATGCATTCATTAAATCTTATTATATAAATTAAAAAGATGAATATTTTATGTTATAAACATACATTTTCTGTTTGGTTCTAACTCCATTAGATCTTCTATCATTTTAATTTCCTGATTAATATAATTTAGTTTAACTGTAACATCATCTGATAATAGGGAATCGTTTAATTTAGATATACTATTTAATAGCCAGTTATGATAAGTCCATATACTGCAATTATCAGGAGATGTATAAATAATAGATTTAGTTAAAAATAATTCTAATTAATTGAATAAATATAAGAATTATTAGTATTAATAATACCTTGATCAAAAAAATGCTTTCTTTCCAAATAGTCATAAGACGATTCGTTTATAAAGCGAGGTATCAATGTTGTCCTATAGTGAAAAGCACTGAAATTAGAGAAGTTGTCTTTAAGAACAGATGTAGTATAATCTAATTCATTCTTTACATATGAAGTTTTATTTTGTTTTTCAAGCATGGGAATTATATATTGTCGATAGTTCCAAGCATGAACTAAATTTTTTATTTAGCAATATAAATAGATAATTAGAAAGAAAAATTATGTTACAATTTTTAGAATCTTTGGTTAATATAAGGTCTAGAAACGCCTTTTCTTGTTCCCAAATAGGAAAAGGTGCATTTTCAAAACACCATTTCCTATGAGACCAAATATTATATATTTTTGGATATTTCTTTATTAATTCATTTAAAAATTGTAGTTCTTTTGAAATAATGTTTTGTATGATAGTTTTATCATATTCTGTATGAAGCAGAACCCCATTTTTTAGAATATCCCTTCTATAATTCCATATAGTATAATTTTCATAACTCTCTTTTAAAAATTCTGTTGTAAGAGTCAATATTTCATAGTTATAGTTATTATTTTTAAACTATAAATATTTTTAGTCAAAGTTAAAAATCTAATAGATGTTTACATGTTTCTGAATATCTTTTAAAAGTGATTCTATTTCTTTGTGTGTTTTCTTTTTTGATGTATTTTTATTCTAAAAAATATTATTATTGATAAACAAATTTGTTTAAAAACCATATTAAATTTTTAAAATTGGGTTACCGATTTGCGTTAGAAAATTAAACTATAGAAATTAATAAAGTTTCTGATAAGATCGATACGTATTTATTTTTGCTTTGTATAATATAGCTAGCTTTGCTTTCACGAGGCTTTATATTCTTTTAAAAGTTATATTTTACAGTGATAAACTATATGCATTATAGTTTAAGAAATTAGCATTTGTTTTGATAAACATAATATTTTCTAATACAGAATTTAGGAAGGAAAACTCTTGAAATACTTTTAGTAGTCTAGATTTATCATCAACTTCTGTTTTAATTTCAGAATCAATAAAATTGATGTCGTCTATTCAAACTACACCTTCAAAAATTATTAAATCATTGCGTTCAAGTCCGGACAGATTTATTCCTACAGGTCATTCTGTAAGTACTTTTCGTATGCGTTCACCTGGACCTAAGAAAATTTCTACTGATAATGACAATGGATCTCCAAGATCATCTAAGGTAATATCAGAAACTCATGAATCTCGCATTGCGGAGGCACTTGGTTTCGATCGTTCTTCAAATGTTTTTATATATCAAAAGCCTCCTTGTTTGACGCGATGTAAGCCTTGTGATGATCAGTTAGATCTTTTAAATTTTTCTACTTCCAAGGCTATACCAAAACGCCCAGTATCAATGCAGCCTATAAAAGTTTTAGATGCACCTAATCTTCGTGATGATTTTTATACCACTTTGCTTGCTTGGAGTAGTAAAGGCGACTTAGCTGTTGGACTTGCTGACAATGTTTATTTATGGAATAATACTGATGGAACAACTCAAGTTCCTGAAGACTTTTCTGATCAGTTTGTATCTTCTCTTGCATTTTCTTATCATGGAGATATTTTGGCTATTGGGCGTGTTGATGGAATGGTTCAATTTTGGTCTAAAGGAGAATATGCACCTCGTTTAGAATTAGCACATGCAGGTGATATAGGTTGTATGACATGGAGACCAAAACATCCATTACGTTCAAAAAGTAAAAATGATCTTTTAGTTGGTGCACATAATGGGAAAATATATTATTATGAAATAGAATGGACAAATTCTTCTGCTAATGCTCGGTTATTAAAAATTATTTCAAATGCTCATCAGGAACAAATTTGTGGATTGGCATGGAATATAGATGGGACTCAGTTTGCTACTGGAGGAAATGACAATTTTGTATGTTTATTTGATGCTTTACGATTAGATAAACCTAAAATTGTATGGCAACATTTCGCTGCTGTTAAAGCACTTGCATTTTGTCCTTGGCAAAAATCTTTGTTAGCTACTGGTAATTTTATTGAGTATATAGAAGATAATAGAGTAAAAAAATTATAGGAGGTGGTTCTCATGATAAACGTATACGATTTTACCATACCTATACTGGAGCATTGATAAATATGATAGATTGCGGAGGTCAAGTGACATCTCTTACTTGGTCACCTACTTATAGAGAAATTTGTGCTACTTTTGGCTATTCTTTTTCAGATATATCTCATAGAATTGCTGTATATGCTTGGCCTACGTTAAAACTTTTAGTTTCTATACCTGCTGGTCATCCTGAACTGCGTGCTATTTATGCAGTTAATACTGTAGCTAAAAATGAGAATGGTGAAAACGTTGGTGGAGGAACAATAGTTGTTGCAGCAAGTGATGAAACAGTAAGGTTTTATAAAATGTGGGAAGATGAAAGAGGGTCTATAGCCAGTGGAGGTGGAGGAAGAGCTGTACGATGGGAAGGAGTGTTTGGTAGTGACATTGTTGAATTGGTTGAGGGAATAGATAGAGAAGGGAATGAAAAAATTCGGTAACGTTTAAGATTATTATTTACATCATTGATGGAAGTTTATTTTCGTATGGTGCTAGTAGATAAAGAATATAATGTTTTATTTATATCATGCATTGATTTATTTTATCAGGGTTACTCTATTTGCATATTAATATTCTATTTTTATTTATAGAATGCTTTAATAATTGTATTATTTTGATTTTTTAAATATTTTCAAAAAGAAAAACAGGATGACCAGGCATAGAATTTTTTGCGTTATCTGGAATTGTGTTAATTCTATTACCATTTAGGATTGATTCTGCTGATATAATCTCTTCATCGTTATATGTTATTTTAATGATTTCAATTATAGTTATTCCTATGTTTTGCTTCAGAAAAGATATACTGCTAGATAATACGTCTAATTCATTGAATAGTATTTCTTTTTTAAACATTTTTTCATCAGTTTTTTTTTTATTTAATATTGATAATTTCATTTGTTGAATAAATGGTATAGCTTTTTTCATTTCTTCCATTTTTGATATTTTGGATGACAAGACTTCTTCATTAAACATTTTTTTTTCCTATATATATTAAGGAAAAGAATAATTATGCAATAAAATAGAAATACTTCATCATAACATTCTTGAAGAAGATCAATATATTTTTGCTTCGATTTTGGAAAATCGGTTGAAACAAAGATTGTTATTTTTTTTGGCTTTTTAGGGTTAAATAAAATATTTTTACCTTTTTTTTGTTTTTTTAGTTGCTGTTTTTCTTCTTCCCTAATTATTTTGACAAGAGATCGAAGATATGACAAACTATAAGATATAGAATTATTAATAGGTTTTGAAATCAGTGGAAAATAAGCATCATGGATACATGAATTCTTAAAAATAATTAGAAAAAAATGTATTATATAATGTGATTTTACATTTTTCAAAATGTCTGACCATATAAATTCACTAAAATGTGGAATAAAAGGTAATACTAGTAAAACTTGAACCTCGATCCATCTTCTTATTAAGTTTCTATGTACTCCGTGATCAAGAGTAACTTCTCGATACCAATCTCTAGCAGCTTGAAAATCATAAAAACCAACTTTTAACGCTAATTTATATGATGTGCTCTTAAACTTAATAAATGGGATTTATAAATAGTTTTTTTACCTTACATAGTGGTTATATGTTAGTTGAATTAGCTCATTCATTTCATTTTCAAAAGCATAGTCATGGAAATTCATTTCCCCATTTCTAAAATTATCTAATTTTTCAATTTGGTCCTAATATTTAGTAAGAATGAGATACTAAAAATATAATGATAATACTTTACACCATAATCCTAATGTATACAAACGTAATATTGCTGAGTTAGCTGTTGTTTCTTCGAAATTTGCATCACTAAGGCTATCACCCGCATCTGCCATAGCTAATCTAGTAGCATCTGCTCCAAATTTTTCTACTGCTTCTTTTAATGTTAAAAAATTTCCCGTTGATTTAGACATTTTTTCTCCATTTAATAGTAAATGACCATTTCCTCTAACAGACTTAGGCCATATATCTTCACGAAATATTGCTGTGTGAATATATATCCAAAAAGTTAAATGATTAGGGATTAAATCTTTTCCGGAAACCCTGAGATCTAAAGGATAAAAATATTCGAATTCTCGTCTCAATTTGTCAAGTATATAAATTGGTATTTTTGTGTTTGGTTTAGAACCATAACAAAAGATATAATCCCATACATCATCTGTCATGTCCTGTGCTTCTATATTAGCTGGACCTTTTCTTAATCCCATAATATCTTCGTGAAGAAGATGAGCAACAGTATAATAAGACATATAAATAGTAGAATCTGTTAAACTTTCTACAAGATATTGAGGATCCCAGGGAAGACGTGAGCCCAAACCATAAGATCTTGAACATGCCCATTGATTTAACCATTCAAGAGTTCCTTCAAACGCATGTCTAGTTTCATCGCCATATGTTTCCATCCTAGACAGACATTTCTTTGCCTCTTGTTTCCAGCTTTCTTCTCCATAGTCTATATACCATTGATCACATAAAGCTACGATACATTGATCGCCACTTCTACTAATAACAAGTCCTTCAGGCTCACTATATATGAAGGCAATTCCTTTAATAATTAAATCAGAGAGAATTTTCGGTTTAGCTTCTTCAACTCTTTCTCCTTTATATTTACCTATAAGCATGGTTCCGTAATAATAACCCTGTTTATATATTAATTCTTTTGCTTCTGCTAGTTGTTTAGAATCTTTTGGACTTTGGATTTTCATTTCTTTATATAATTTAGGAGCTGCTAAATCCCCGTACAATGGAGTATGGATTATAGGTATTGGATCAAAAGACACCCATTCTTTTTTAATTCCATAATATGACGCTTTTTTTGTTAAATCCAAAACGGTTGCATAATCATCTGGTGAATCTGAAGGAACAGATATAACAATAGCTGTTCCTTTATTTACAAGTATACTTTCCATAGGCAAAACATACACTTCCGTATATATACTTAAAGGTGCTTTAACCTTTGTCCCAATTATTGATGAACCTTTTAAATCTACAATTTTGTGAATAATTCCTTTTTCTGGGGATAATTTCTGAAAAGCCATATTTTTTGCTGATCTTGGAGTACAAAGAAAGTATTCATTAGGATTATTTGATTTAAATATTCCATAAGAAATATCAGACTTAACAAAACAGGAAGTTTGCCCGTATAGTGTTTCTGGTCTTAATGTTGCTGCAATCATATATATAGATATTCCAGAAAGATTAAAATTAACGAGTATAGATTTTGCTTCTTCAGACCATGAAATAACTTCTAACTTTATGCATGTATACTCTTGAGGACGAATGCCTTCTCCTTGTTGTCTATCATGATCCATGCAAGGTTGATTATCTTTCGTACTAAAAATAGTATATCGCTCGCCAAATTTTATTTTTTCTAATTCTTTTAGGCGATTCATCTGCCAACGTATAAAACTATCATAGTATGGATTGGAATTGGTAGTAATAAAAGATCTTCTCCAATCAATACGAGCGCCAAAATTTTCAGCATCTTGTTTACATATATCTGGAAAATATTTTAACCAGTATTCTGCATCTGCAAATTTATATATTTCTTCATTAGGTATACCTAAAAGTCGCATAATTTGGAATTGATGTTCCAAGTTATGTTTTTTTATTGATACTTTCCCTTTTTTTGAGTGAAACTTAGTTAAATCTTTTTCATTAGAAGCGGAATCTATACACTTCTCATCTTTTTCTATGTATCCTGAAAAATCTTTTCCATACAGTTTAATTTCCCTTTGAAGCTTATCAGCACAAGCCTAGATTTATTTAATAATATAATAGCTTTAAATTTTTTAAATACTTTTATAGGCATTCCTGTGCAATGCATTCCTAGAGGAAAAAGAGATCTTTTTCCTCTCATACGTTCAAATCCAACAGCAAAATCGACTTTTGTCATAGTGAAAGCGTGCCCTAAGTGTAATGATCCATTCATATATGGATAAGCCCTGGATTTTTCAAGAGAAAAAAAAACTAAGAAAAAACCCTTACATGGTTCCAAAGAATTTAGGATACTTCTCATGTAAAATATTTATATCATGGGTTGGTTCATCTTCAAGAGAAGGTGCATTTACCTCAAAAATTTTTTTTTTTTTCCATTTATCTTGAAAGCGTTTTTCATTATTAATTAAAAAATCTCTTTTAAATGTCTAAATATATTGATGTTAATTTTTAAAATCATTTAAAGCTATAGTTTTACATTTTGAAGCTGAAGCGTTGAAACTAATTTATTTAATGAATCATCAATTTCTTGGTTTTTTATCATGTGAATTTTTTAATATAATTTTAATTATGTATTTTTATTAAATTTCGAATTTTTTAGATTTTTTTATAAACTATTAAATTTTTTAAGTATGTTTTAGTAAAAAATTAGTTTAAATAATTTAAAATTGGCTAATTTTAAATGGTTGTTTTTTTAAATTATAAATTTTATCTTTATTTTCTTATTTTGGAAAAACATTTTTATACTATAAAATATTTTATGTTTTAAGTTCTATTCAATATTTTAATAATATTTTTGATTTATATTTTGGATTTATTATCTATTTTAACTAGCTTTTAATATAGATTTTGTTTAAATTTATAAAAATATTATTGAATAATTTTGATTATTTTGGGTTTTAAAATATTTTATAAATTTATATCTTTGTCCAGAAAATGCGTCTAAAGAATTTTGTAGGCCAATGTATATTCGTTTTGGTATTTGTTTTTAAAAGGAATTTTATGATTTTTCAACATATCTAAATGTTATAAGGATTTCAGAAGTTATGAATATGATATTTTCATGATATGGATCCGATTATGCAGATATAATAATATTAGTTTTTTAAAATTTTTTTAAGTTACTAATAAAGGCTATAAGAATGTTGTTGGTATGTAATTTTTTTTATCATATATTATATATATATATATATGATGACATTATATACAGACCTGTTCTGAATACTTAAAAAGTATTGAAGACATTATATTGCATTATTTTATTTATCTGATTGTGATAAATTTAGTTTATTGTTAAGTGCTTTTTTGCTAATGAAAAATAGGAATATATTAACTAGTGATATTTATTATGTTATTTGTTGATTTAGTGGTGATAATAGAAGATATATAAATATATAATGTTTTTAGAAGAGAAAATATATAATGTTTTTAGAAGGGAAAATATATAATGTTTTTAGAAGGGAAAATATATAATTTGATTTGATGGCAATTTATAGATAGATTATTTTTAGTTTAATAATTCTTTAAATTTTAATGATTTTGAATTTTTTGAAAAGCTTATATTATTTATAAAAATTAATATATTTGTTTTTGTTTAACACTAATTTTTATTATTATATATGTTTTAATGGTATTTTAATTTCTGAATAAATACTAATATTAAATATTTAATAATTTGATTGATTTTTTAATAAAAATTGAATATTTATGAAAGTATATTAAATTTTAGTTTGAAAATAATATATTGATTTTTAATTTGAAAATTTATTAAATTTAGTAATTGATGAATTGTATTAAATATTTTTTAAGAAAAGTGAAATTAAGGAAAATAAAAAAAATATATATTTTTATGATAAATTATAAAGTAATGTAAATTCAAAATACCAAATGATTTTTATAAAAAAGCTAAATATATAATTTATGAATATAATATTGATTTCTCCTTAAACATTGAAAAATATTGTTATTTTGATAGTATTAGTTTCTAATATTTGATAATTTTAAATTTTTGAATTCTCTTAAAATGAATATTTTTATAGACAAATTTATAAAAAAAAATAATTTATAGTTATAATTTTTTAAGTTCTATTGAAATATATATATAATTTTATAAATGTATAATAATTTTTTTTAGAAAAAAGTAGATATAATAAAAATATACTTCAAAAAAAATATCAACTTGATTATTTAAAAAATCCTTCAGGCGGCTCACAACTACAAAAAAAGTTTAAATCACCCCAAGCATCATCTATTCTAGCAGTAGAGGGCCAAAATTTTCGCTTTTTAAGATACTCCAAAGGATAAGCTGCTTGTTCTTTAGTATAGGGTTTATTCCATTCCTCGAAAATAAAATCATCTAATGGATGTGGGGCATTAGAAAGCAAATTATTTCCTTTAGGTTGTTTTCCTTCCTCAATTTCCTTTATTTCTTTTCTAATAGAGACTAATGCATCACAAAATCTATCCATTTCTGCTATACTTTCACATTCTGTAGGTTCTATCATTAAAGTATTTACTACAGGCTATTAAAAATTAGGATTAATTAAAAAAAAACGTTTTCAATTACCCAAGACATTGTTGGAGCATGGAATGAATAATCTTGCAAACGTTTAGCAATATCTATAGCTTCAATTCCTAATTTTTTAAATTCACGGACATCTAGAATAAATTCATGGGCACACATTCCTTCTGAATTAGTATATAATATCTTATAATGTTTAGATAGTTTAGATGCCATATAATTTGCATTTAAAAGTGCAATTTTTGATGCACGAATAAGGCCTTTTCCTCCTATTTATAGTTAAAAAAAAATATTTTCCGTATAGAACCAATACCTAGCATTTTAATATAAGCCCATGAAATAGGTAAAATGCTAGCAGAACCCCAAGGTGCAGAAGCGACTGGAGGAATAGCTTTTTTTCCACCTGTTTCAACTATTGGATGACCAGGAATGTAATCTAATAAATGATCTTTCATTGCGCATACGCCAACTCCAGGTCCTCCCCCTCCATGAGGTATGCAAAATCTATATCAGTTATTCAAATTTAAATTTGGTTTTGACAGTATTACGTTTTATGCAAATTCAAGTGACAGATATCAATACCTATTTTTCCTGGACTACAAAGTCCAATTTGTGCATTCATATTTGCACCATCAAGATAGACTTGTCCACCAAAGTCATGAATAATTTTTAATGCTTCTACAATATAAGGTTCAAAAACACCATAAGTACTTGGATATGTAACCATAAAAACTGCTAGATTATCTTTATGTAGTTGTGCTTTCATTTTAAGATCATCTAATTGTATATTTCCATTAGAATCACATTTTACAGGAACGACTTTCATTCCAGCCATAACAGCAGAAGCAGGATTTGTACCATGAGCAGATATTGGAATAAGGCATATATTACGATGACCTTGATTATTTTCTTTATGATATTTTGAAATAATTTGAAGTCCTGTATATTCACCACTAGCTCCAGAATTCGGCTGAAATGTACATCCGTTAAATCCAGTAATTGATAATAAATCATTTTCTAAGTCTTTAATAAGCATGTGATAGCCTTCTACTTGATCGCTTGGAACAAATGGATGAAGAGAATTGAATTCCGGCCATGTAACGCCTAGCATTTCTGTAGTTGCATTTAATTTCATAGTACAGCTTCCAAGAGGTATCATAGAGCACGTTAAAGATAAATCTTTAGATTGAAGATGATGTATATATCGAAGTATTTCTGTTTCAGTATGGTATGAATTGAAAATTTCATGTTGTAAAAACTCATTTTTTCGTTGAAATTTTTCTGGTAACATAGCAGGTGATTCAATTGATATGTTTAATTTTTTTGCAATAGATGTAGGTGTTTCTAAATTATAGCTAGATATAGTGAAAATATCAAAAAGATGTTTCATATCATCTTCGGTTACTGTTTCATCTAAAGTTATACCAATAGTTTCTTCATCAATAGGACGTAAATTATATTTTTTTGATAACGCTTTTTTTAAAAGTTGATCAGCGTTACAGTTTTTCAATTTAATAGTTAATGTATCAAAATATATTTCATTATACAGACAATGTCCTTGTTTTTTAATAAACTCTCCAAGTATTTTCGTTAAACTTAAAATTCTTTTTGCTGTATTTTGAAGTCCTATAGGACCATGATAAATTGCATATAAAGATGCCTAAAAAAATAAATATGTATAATATCTAAATAGTGATAATACCATAATAGCAAGCAAAACTTGTGATGTACAAATATTACTAGTAGCTTTTTCGCGTCGAATGTGTTGTTCACGTGTTTGTAAAGCAAGACGGTAGGCAAGTTTTCCGCGACGATCTTTACTAATTCCAACTACACGTCCAGGAATTTTACGTTTATAAAGATCATTGCATGCAATAAATGCTGCATGAGGTCCGCCAAATCCCATTGGTATTCCAAATCTTTGAGAAGAACCAACAATAATATCTGCTCCCCATTGACTTGGAGATTGCAATAATGTTAAAGAGAGTAAGTCAACTGCACATATAATATGAGCATTAAAAGAATGAACATATTGAGAAAAAGAAGTGTAATCATGAATTCCTCCAAATGTGTCTGGATATTGTAATAATATTCCAAAAATGTCATTTTTCAATGGTTCTATTTTTTCTTTTGTAGGTTTTCCTATAACGATGTTGATACCATAGCCAGAGGATCGTAATTTGAGAACTTCTATTGTTTGTGGATGTGCATTTATATCTACATAAAAAGTTTTCCGTTTTTGTTTTAGTATAGAAAATACCATTGTCATAGCCTCTGAAGCAGCAGTACCCTCATCAAGTAATGATGCGTTAGATATAGGAAGTTCTGTAAGATCTGAAATCATGGTTTGATAATTAATTAAACACTCTAATCGACCTTGAGATATTTCTGGTTGATAAGGAGTATAGCTAGTATACCATGCTGGATTCTCAAGAATATTACGCTGGATAACAGAGGGAACATTTGTTCCAACATAACCCATTCCAATTAGACTTTTTATAAGGCGATTTTTTGATGCAAGTTTACGTAAACGAGAAACTAATTCGCTTTCGCTAAGTTCTTTACCTAAAGCATCTTCAATTTCTTTTTCGTTTATTAAAATATTACTAGGAATAGTTTTTTTGATAAATGTATCAAGATCATTTAATCCAATTTGTTTAAGGAGATGGTTTTCTTCTTTGAAACCATTGACACCCAAATGCCGTCGTTCTAAACAGTCTAATGCTTTATATATGCTATTATGTGTCCAGGATTTGCTGATTCTTATGTATGATTTCCCATGAAATATTTTGTTTATTATTTTTTTTTTTATAAGTCCTGTTTTATATAAAGTTTGCATTTTTTTAACAAAAAAATAGATTAAATTGTATTATGAAATATTTTAATTATTAACAAAAAGGTTTTTACGTAGAAATATTGGAAATTAAATTTAATAAAATTTATAATCTATGATTTTTTTATTTTCATGAGAAAATATGAATAAAATGTGTTAATATACAATTTAAAAAAAAAATATGCAATAATTAACATATTAGTATATATAAAAAAATATTTAGAAATATATCTAAAAATAATATATTATTTTTTATTATTATGATTTTAATAGTGTTTTTGTTATATTTATTTTTTGATATTCTGTAAATAATTATGTTTTTTTTTTTAATACTATAAAATGTATAATGTTTTTTGTAGTATTATTGAAATATTTATATAAATGTTTGATAATATTTTAATTTAAGAATCCTGTAATTCTATTTCTACTGTATTTTTTCATTTATATTAACTTAATAGATGCTTTAACTTTATATTATAATGCTATAATTGCTGTATTTCTTGCTTTTATTTATTTAAATTATTAAGTAGTAGTTATAAAATATTTCTAATATATTGGTAATATTGTATATTTAGTTTAAATATCTAAAAATTAACATATAATTTTTTATATAAATGTTTAATCCTAAAAAAATATTGTTTTTGTAAAAAAATATTGAATATATTTTAATACTTTATTAAAATGTTATATAGCTCCTTATTCAAATTATATAAAAAAATAGCTGAAAAAAATGTATAATTTTATTATTGGAATATAAGATATGCAAATTAGACTTAAAACTATAATTTTACAACTTATTGAAAATTGTAAAAAAATAAAATTTGTTTAGAAAAAATATATTTAAAAAAAATATAAAAATATTATAATATGCTATTTTTTTAACTATTTTAATGAATTGATATTTTTATAAATAACCCTTTAAAATGGTTATATAAAATATGATTATATAATAAAAATTTATATAATAGGTTGAGGTAGAAGATTGAATACTACTCTTTTTCGAATTATTTCTAATACATCAATTATTTCATCATGATAAGATTCATTGTCATTAGATTGGATATTTTTTTTACTTCTACGACGTAGGACTGCAAAAGGTTGTAAAAGAGTTTCAATTTTTCCTTCAAGATAATGATATCCAATTTTTAAATAAATACATTCTTTCTGCTCTTTCATGTTAATAGCATATAAGATAATTATTGCTTTTGGAACTTCACAATTGAATCATAGTATATTTTACCAATATGTCTATCGGTATTGTCAGTATCATCTCGTTCAATGGTTCCTTGTATTTCTAATAAAATTAATTCATGACCTCCAAGAATATTCATGATTATAGGTATATAATCTTTAAGTGATGTTTTTATATTCTTGTTTTTTTCAGGTGGTGTAATTAAAGCAATCGGATATATTTTTTTTTTGTCCATCTTAATTTATATAAATCGAAAAATTACTTTTTAAAATTAGTCTAAAATGACTGTTCTTAATGTCTATTTTTGTTTATGTGAGTTTTAATAGAGTTACGAATTTTATATGTATTTTTTTATTGATCGATTTATATTTTTTTGAAACTTTTAAATAAGCGACTTTAAACTTGATGAATTTTTAAAAATATGAAAAATTATGGTACATTATTTTCTATTGGTAGTGCCGGATTTCTGAAAAGAAAAAGTCAGTTTGAATATAGATTTATACATAATATTATTTTTCAAAATTTACATTTAATAAAATTCAATTATCTAAAATATAATTTGCAAAATGTAGTTCTTTTGAAAAAAAATAGTAATAAGCTTGTTAATAGAATTCTTTTTGTATTTTTTAGGAAATACTCATCAGATCTTACAATTAGAAAATATCACCAATTAGCTGATAATACTATAGAAAGGATCTTATATGCATTAGAACAGATGCAGCAAGATTATCCTGAAAAGACAATAGAAGTTGAATATTCGGTAGTTTTTGTATATATATTATTATTATTAATTAATATTTAATAGCAAGGCGTTCTTACACTTGATCTTGGACATTATGGAACTTATGTTTTAAATAAACAGCCACCTAATAGACAAATATGGGTTTCATCCCCAATATCTGGGCCAAAAAGATATGATTGGATACCATCAAATGATGAAAAGGACGGAAAATGGATATATTTACGTGATAATGGTATTCTTGAAGATATGCTCAAAAGCGAATTAAAGAAAATTATTGGTGATTTAAAGCTATAAATTTTAATCGGAAATATATATATTATAGATTTTTTATTTTGTGAAAAATATGTAAAATTTTGATTATTTCAATGCTTTTTTAAAAAAAAATAAAATTAAAAAATATGATTTAAAAAAAAAATTGACTAAAATTATAATAATCTAATGGTGATATAAATAAGAATAACAATAAACTTACATATTTTCAATATCTTTTTTATTAATCGATGCACGCATTTTTAGTCCAATAAAGTATGATTCTCGAGATTCACTATGAGATGCACATGGTTTTTCTCTTTTAACTTCTTGAAATACTTTTTGCATTTTCTTTAATAATATTTTATCTTCTATGCCTGAATAAAATTTACATATAAAATTTCCTCCAACGTGTAATGCATCTATACAGAATAATAATGCTGAATCGCAAAGATCCTTAAATATATTATTAAAATTAGTTATTTCTTCTATGATTACCATGCTTGCTCCGTGATCTTTTACACTAATTCCAGAAACATTTGCTAACCTATGATAAGGGTCACTCAGACTTCGTTTATAAAAGCCATCAATTTGTGGCAAAGGTGCTAACATATCACTTAAAATAACATCTGCTACTTTACTGTTGTAACATTTAGTATTGTTTTGTTCTAGACGTTTTTCTAAATCTATATATGATAATTTTTCTCCATTTTCTGAACTAAGAGAAGAAATAGCACTTTGACGGCCACGATTTGGATCGGAAAGATACATTATAATGGCTCTTTGGGTTGCTTTTGAAAGAAAGTTCCCTTGCATAGAAGATGCACCAGCTGGTGGTTGTGAAGGGATGATATCTAATCCTAGAACACGGCCTTTAGATCCTACTTTTTCAACTGCAACTTGGGACCATGATCCTGGAGAAAATCCCTAAAAAAATGTTAAATTATATGTTATTTATCTTTGTCTATTACTAGATCAATTACTGTATTTCCTGGTTTAAAAATTTTATATTTTTCATTTATCTAAATGTTAAATAATAATAAAAAAATGATGGGTTAAACTTCTAGTAATTTGAATGCTGCTCTTGATTTGTATTGCAATACACGTGCTTCGCGCGTAAAATAGTCATTTTTTTGTCTTTGAATCCATCTTTTTGATGAGGAATTTGAATTAAGCTGATTGGAACTATGAAACTTTTGGGTATAAATGAAAAAGAGTTTAGATATTTTAGATTTGTATATCTTTAGATTCAAAATAGTCATCAAAATGTTTTATATATTTTTTGTTAACAAATGGGTAAAAGCTTTTTAAAATGAGTAAATTAACATTTAATAGTTAGATATTAATGTAGTAATGAAAATATGAAATACAAATAATATAAATATGTGAAAAAAATATGAAAAAGCATAAAAATTATCATTTAACTAATTATTTATTGTTTTGCTGTAATAGTAGCGAAGGGCTGAATCGTGATTTTTTTGCCGTGCTTTAAAGGGCTAACATTTTGTAAAAAGACTGAATTAATTAATCCTTTAGGTGTTTCATCAAATAATGTTTTTCCAATTGCACCTAATTTCCTCTTTTTTTTAGAAATGCTTTGTTTTTTTGTTTTTAATTTATCTCCTGTTAAAATCATTCTTGTTTCTAATTTATTGGATTCTAAAGGTGAAAATAATAAGTTTTTAGTATTTATATTTGTACGGTCTAGAAATGGTGTTATAGAAAATGTAGAAATTGCTGATTCCGGTTTTAATTCGTCTTTTTTTGATTTTATTGGCACAACAGGTGATTTTATAGGATCATAAACTTGTGTATTATTTTTTACCTGAAAAATATTGGACATGGATCCATCTTTTTTTTTTAATGTTTCTGAATGATTATTGAACGAATATTTGTCTATGTCTATATTTTCTTTAATTTTGACTTTATTTGATTTTTTCATTTTTAAATGTTTGACTGATTTTAACTAATTTGTTAGTATTTCCTTAATATAATGTATTTTTTTATACCTTATTATTCTTAATAGTTGAAATATTTGATTCGTTATCTTTGTTAACGGTTTTGATTATACTGTTTGCTTTTTCTGAATTTTTTAAATTTAACTGAAAAAATTAGTATTAAAAACTTAGTATAATGCACTACTTCTGGTGTTTTAGAGAAATTATTTGATTCAAAATCTTCAGTTATGACATTTTGTACGTTTTGTCTACTTTTCTCATTCATTAACTCCTTCTATATAGTGTAAGGTAGAAAAAATATAATGTTTACAATTATACTTCTAGAAATTCTATTCTTTGAAGTAGGACATTGTCTTGCGAAACAAATGTGTTGTTTTTTAGTGTATTATTCTTAGTTTAATTAGATTTAAATATGTATCAATGTAATTATACTTGAAGATGTGATAGTTTTTTTTCATATTCTTTAACTTTAGAGTTTAGTTCATCGTTTTTTTGTTCTGTTATAAAATATTGATTTTGTAATTTTTGGAAATCTTCCTATTTATATTGAATTAAACTGTTAAATAAAAACGTATATTACCGTTAATTCTTTAATGGTTTGTCTGTGAATTATTTCTGATTGGAGCATTTCGTTCTTTTCATTAGTTAGAATGACTATTTCCAAACGAGCACGTCTATTTTCTTCTTGCATTTGAATTTTTGTAGTAGCCGATTTTAATAGTTCATATTCATGTCTTTGTTTTGTGATCAAGATATATCTATTCTGTAATTTTGATTAGAAAAATGTTTGAGTTTTCTTTAATGAGTTACTAGATCTTCTATATCCTTTTCTTCCATTGTTTTTTAATTTAGTTAAATTTGTAAAATTATTACGATATCTTTATAAATTTGAAAAATATATAAAAAATATGAAAGATGATATAATAATAAATAATATATAGCTTGAAAAAATAAAAATAATTAATTATAATATATAAATTATATCTGACGGATTCAGGATTAGTTATTAAATTTTTACTATTAATATTTAATGAGAAAAATATTATTTTTGTTAGATCTTATAAAAAATTAATTCATGTTTTTAAAAAATAAAATGGTAAAAAAATTTTAAAATTTAATATTTAATGAGAAAAATATTATTTTTGTTAGATCTTATAAAAAATTAATTCATGTTTTTAAAAAATAAAATGGTAAAAATATATTAAAATTATATTTTTGAGAAAAAAAATATGATATAAATAATAATAATAATAGAATGATAATTTTATTTAAGTTTATCTAGTAATTAATAAATAATCATTTTAAACGTTTGATATACAATTGAAATGTTAGTTGTGTAAATATGTATAAATTGTTAAATGATTTAAATGCTGTATTATTTATATAAAATTTTATATAATTTCATTATAAATTTGTATAATAATACTTTATATGAAATATATCACTACATATCTTGAAGTGATTACTGATATTTTTATTTTAATATTAAGATGACTATTATATTAAATTCTACGCTTTTTTTTTTTTAAAAAAAAAAAACTAATGCATTACATATTTATCTTTATATTTAGAATTAATAGATTAAAGATACAAAAATAAATCAAAATTGAAATATAACTCGTATATATATAAACTTGGTTTAGGTTCATATTATGTTCGAAATAAAATTATAATAATATAGATTTTAATATAAAAATTATGATCAATGTGTTAAAAATATGTTAAAAAATATGCCAAATTAATAATTTAATTACTTGTTAAATAAATAGTTTATTTTTTTGTATAATTGCATATAACTGTCTATAAAGAGTTATTAATATTTATATTATTTTTAAATATTTATAGAATAAATAATTTAAATATATATACTTATTTAGTTATTTTTTATAATTTAATAAATATTTTTAAAAATAACTTTATTTATAAATGTTATTTTCAGGTTTTATGTTTATGTTTAACTTATAATTTAGATAAAATTTCTAATATAATTTTAAGATAGTATATTTTTAAACAATATTTTAAATATCATTATCCTACTTTTAAGTTATTTTTTATACAATATCATTTTTAAACTTTAAATTTTATGGTATATTCATAACTAAATAATATTGAAAATATAATATATATATACATACATGAAAATTATTTATAAAAACGTGAATATATCTAAGAAATATTCATACTAAAAAAATAGATATTTTATCTTTCGTCGTTTTAATTATTTTTTAATATTCTAATATAAATAAGTATATAATATCTATATTTCATATATTTTTACTATATTAAATCTTTAAAAATGATTAAACCAAAAACATAATATGTATTTAAAATTTCAAAAGATTTATTTCCCATTATTATATTTTTTATATATTTATAACAAATATGTTACTGATTACTTAACATTATAGATGAATAATAATAATATATTTATTTTATTTCATAATTTATACTAACAATAAAATAACAAATTAATCTAAAAGGTTATTATTAAAAAAAAACATATTAAACAAACAGTTTTAAAAATGCATAACATTCACTAAATCAAAAGTATCAATACAAAAATTTAAAAGAAAATTAATTGTTTTTTTTATGATTAGGCCAAGAACGTCTATAGCGAAGGATTGATACCGGTATTTTTATTTTGAAAAGACTTATTGATGATTTTGGCCTATTTTCCATATTTAAACAATTATCAGTAACGTAATCTTGAAACCGAAAAATGTTATCAAAACCTTTTTTTTTGCCATTAAAAGTTTTCAACCATTTTTTTCCAGAATGACATAATTTCTCCATACGCTTAATAGGTTCCATTATTTCACAATAAGTCATGTCATCAATTCCTTTTAAATCCAAACTTGAAGGAACTGGCTCATCTAATAAATATTCCGTCCTTTCTATTCTTATAGTACATATTGGAGAAACAATAGACGCAGGATAGCATTTTCCACAACAACAAATAATACTATCAGCCCTCTTAAATAAACTTTGACTAAACTTATTTAAAGTAACCATATTTCCTAAAGTTTGATTTAAAACAATTCAGAGATACATATTAATCCAAACTATACTAAAACATAAAATTTTAAATCATGATTCGTTATATAAAAATCATATATATTTAAACATCATTAATCGTTATTTTAAGCTCTTGATAGAAAAAAAAATATATTATAAAAATAAAATATAAACAAAAACAATTTCTAAAAAAAAAAAACAAAAATATATAAAAATAAAATTACATCTAACATCGAATAGAATACATAAAACCAATCATTATCAATTAAGTTAATATTTATTATCGCTTATATTTTAAATTTTATAACTAATTAGCATTTAAATTTTATAAGCATCGTATCTAGTTGCTTCTAATATTTAACAACAACTCTAAAAACAGAATCATATACCTGAGATATTTTTTCCAACTCAAACTCTATATTAACGTAAAGTTCATGAATTTCTGGATAAATAATATTTTCATTTTTATCAAAAGAAAACATAGAATTAACAAAAAAATACAATTCCAAATCTTTTCTTTCATCAAAGTATACCCGAAGAGCTCCTTTAGATAAATATATATTCTTATTATAAACCTCACTAGTTTCTAATACAGTATCGTATTTAATATCATTTAAAAGATGAAAGTTATCTCTATCATGAGATTTAGTATAAATGTTATCACTATCATTGTCCTTAATATAGCACAAATTAGTAAATAAAAAAGAAAAATGTTAAATACATAAATTTCATAAATTCCTATTTCAGTTGCCATATCAATACAAGAATCTAATGCAAATGAAATACCTTTGTTTATATCATAAGAAAGAGATGTCACATTACATTTTATATCGTCGTTTTTAAAAACATTATGTACCTGAGAATTATTTTCCAATCTTAAATTTTCTAAACTATCACAACTCTTGCCTAGAGATTTACATATTTCTTTCTCGTTTTTATCATTTCTCTCAGAAATTCCACTAAATTTTCCCTTAGACTTTTTTTTACATTTATTTATATACATTCTATCAGTAATATCATTACTAATATAAAATCAATAATTTAAAGATAGATATATTATAAAAGAGACCATTCTTTGTAACAACTATTTCCTATTACATCACCCAAATCAGATGCAATAGATACGTTTTGAGAATTATCATATAAAACTAAATATTCTATAAATTTAAATTTTATTAAATAAATATTATTACCCATTTCACACGATCTTCCCTGTATTATATTCACATCTCTTGTATTGAGATCTTTAACCAAATCTTATCAATTAAATTCAAAATAATAATACCTGTTTACCTGTATACGTATCACCATAATTATCACTATTTTCATTTATATAATCATGTATTTCACACTCTTCAGATATTTCAGAATCATGATCAGCACATTTACTATTATCATCCCATTCTTCCTCTACATATTCAATGTAAGTTGGTACAGAAAATACAACCAATTTATTATCTTTGTTACAAACATGTGTATTATTGTATAGAATTGAATTATCCACACGTTCTTCAGCTGTTATGGAAGATATTTCAGCATTACGATATTTATTTAACCTTGCAAGTCTCTCCAAAGGAGTTTCAATATGTTCAGCAGGAAGATATCCTATATAATTAAAAATAATCAGCGTTATAAAGTTCTTACCAACAGTTTGATCTTTCGCAAGACGCACTAACCACCAATAACTATTAGAATCATCTAGAAGAATAAGTGTATCTCCTTTAATAACATTTGCTTGTCCTTCTACTGTAGCAACAAAGGTATGCAATGCATAAACGAAGTTAAAATCAATATCCTTAAAAATATAATAAATATATTTTTTTTCAAAAAATGTATTAGAAGTGCATACTTCATCTGAAATTGAAGGGGAAGAACTAAGTTCATTATCATCAAAATAATCATTACAATCAGAAAAAGGTTCTTTATGATCCTTATATAGTAACATATTCACATCCTAATTCAGTGAACTAAATGCAATCTACATTATTTATATCCATTTTAAAAAAGAAATCAATAAAATCATAAAAAATTACCGTAAATATATATTAAACTTTTTTTCAAAATTCACGAACCCTCGATAAATTAAAAACAGGAACATTTAAAAGTTAAAATTATACATATTAAATATATAATAAACTAAAGCTCAATAAATAGATATATGTAAGCATGAATTATAATGCAAAAGTATAGTTTAGATAAATATTCATCTACATTAGATTATAACAAAGGATGTGTTATATTTTTCCAAATAAACTTAAGTAAAAAATTTTATATCTTTTGGTTAATATAACAACCTAGAAATACTATTGCAGTACTTTTTTTTTTATAAAATTAAAACAAAAACATATTTATTCGGTATTTTAAAGATTCAAAATATCAAATTATATATCACGTTTTTAAAATTTATTTTTAAAACCAATGAAATAAATTATATTTATGTTTTTCAGAAATCATTATCATCACAAAATAACAGTAAAAATACAAAAAAAAAAAAACAAAAATTCAACTTTTCATCTAAAAAGGAAGCACATATACATATTTTAGAGTCAAAATACACAATTATTTAATATACATTTAAATGAAAGTCTATATTTTTCTATGTAATCTAATGAGTGTAAAGAATATTTCAGAAATAACATCTAAAAGACAATATTAGGACTCCATATCTAAAGATATACTAGCAAACAAAAGTTACAAACATTTACCTAAACGATATATATCATCTACTTCAAACAATAAAGAATATAAAACTGCATAAAAAACTCTATTCTGCTCATTTTTTAGGAACCAAGTTCAGGAATAATAACTTAATTGATGATTTTCAAAAAAAGAAATTTAATATATTGACTAAAACCAAAGGCCATCAATATTATGAAACTTACCATAACTGTCAGTGTGTTTCTGAGAATATACCATACAAAACATTATCTATATCAGCTAATTACGAATTTAATTCATCTATTAGATATGATTCTTTTAATTTTCATCAAATGTCATCATATTGGCCACTATTTTTCAGTCCAGATAATGCTCAAAAAAAAAGTTATCATATTTTTAATATATATAAACCACATCCAAAAAGCTTATTAGAAAAAGACATAATTTCGAATACATAATTTAACACGAAAACAATAATAAAATTGCAGTATTGTCATACGAACATAATCATGAAAATCTGACTAGTCACTCTTTAGCCTTCATATGCCAACAATATCACCAAGTATATACCCAGATAAAGGACGACAGATTAAGAAATATATAATTGGGAAGCCTATACTACATTGAGACTTTAATATAGCTAAAGAATCTATAACTATAAAAAATAGGCATAAAAGCATTTACATTGTGAAAATAATTGTAAGAAGTACTAGAAAAGAAAATGATATAGTTCAAATAGATATCGAGAAAGAATTTGAATTTAAAAACTACATGATCATCCTCATATTTTGTCTCTAATTTGTATCCAATATATACAATTCACAGCATTATGTTTTATAAACAATTTTTCAGGAGATACTTTATATTATGTCCTAAAAAAAAGAAAAAAAATATGGTTTGTCAAATCTTACAGCAAAAAAATATTCATATCAGCTTGAAAGCACTTAAAGATTCTTACGTCAAGACATGCATTTGGTTTACCTATATATTAAATTAGAAAACTATCCTTTAAACATATCAAAATTAGAAGATATACGCCTACTTTGTAATTTTGGAAAGGCAAAATTTGTGTTACCTACAACTATAAATGATAATCTCTGTTCATCCTTCAATAATCTAAAAATGATTTCTACAACTACTAAAGGATCATTACCATACATATCTTCAAAGAGAATAGCCTCAAAAAAAACTTTGCAAGAAACCAGTAACAATATTTGGTCATATGGATTTCTACTTAATACAATGATAACGAAAACTTTACATTCTACTTATATATATAGTCCTTTATTACAAATGCGAATTCTTAAAAGTGTTAGGGTATTGAGGCTTTAAAAAAAATTGTTTATAAAGACTCTTTTGACTTAATCTTAAGAATGTTTGTAGCCAAACATGAAAAAATATAGAAAAAAAAACGTTCTCCTTTGAAAATGGCTATAATCTTATAATTTTCAGTAAAAAAAGTAAAAATATGATTTTATAAAATATACAAGATTCATCAAAACTAAATATTAAAAGATTCCAACTTTAAACCAAAGAAAAAATAATCATTAATAAACAATAATATATAACCTAGCATTTATTAAATAAAAAAATATAGATGTAAATAATTTCTAATTTTTTAAAATAATTTATGAATATTTTTTTTTCCATTATTCTTAAAATGAAAATAATATTTTGCAATTTCATATTAAGATAAACTCAGTTTTAAAACAGGGATATAAAAACAAAATTTACAACATAATGATTCTTAAATATATAAATTATTTTAATTAAAATTTATAAAAACTAAACTATAATGAAAACATTAATCTATAAATATACATAATATTAAATTATATAAAAAATTTCTACAATCATCAGAAAAAATAATAGTTAAATAGATATCTATATGAGAATTAACTGCTTTAAATGTCATAGTATCCATATTCACAATAATCATAATATTTCAAATATGATAATTTTAACTCCAAAAATCACATTACATAATCAATAAGAAAGTATTCTATGGGAAATGTAAAAAAACATAAAAACAAATAATCTAATATTATAAATACTAAATTAATGTCATAAAGACTCATTTACTAAATTTTTTATATTATCTAAAATATTATCGAGAATTCTAATAAAACTATAAACTTTTTAACATTAAAAATATAAATACTCAAAGTAATTAAAAACTTGAAAATTTTTCAAAAAATGGATTTAGAAATTTATTCTTCTAATATTTTATCAGAATTATTCTTAAAAAAATCACCAGATTATTTTCAAGAACATTATCAACAATTATTATATAACAATAGTAAATTACAATTATTACAATATGCAGAAAGAACAAAAAAATTATTAAGTGTAAGAATGACAAAATTTGAGATAACATTATTATCTAATAAAGAAATAGGATCTTATCAAATTTAACAATAAAAAAGAATGGGTAATACATTATCCATCATTAAACAAAAATGATAAATTCCATGAAACTATTCAGAAAAACAGTAAAGGAAACGAAACAGAAAAAAAAAAAAAATTCTCTCTAGAAAGAACCGATTGTAAACACATTCATTTTACTAATTCATTGACTCTTAAAAATACAAGCAATAATTCTAATGTAATTATAGAAAATATAGAACAAAAAAGACACAAATTTAAAACATTTTTCAGCAAACTTAATATTTTAAAACTCCAATTAAAACTTGGAGAAATAACTGCAGTAGAATTAACCCAACTTGAAAAATCTACTATCGCTTTATTATTAAACAAAAAAATATTTGAAAATATTAAGCATATAGAAGTACTTATGGAGAGAATAAAAAATAAATCATCTAAAATACTCGTCACAGGAGATTTAAATTCAGGAAAGTCAACTTTTTGTAATGCTCTTTTAAGACAAAAAATTCTTCCTGAAGATCAACAGCCTTGTACTGAAGTTTTCTGTGAAATCATTGATTCATATAAAAATTCTGGAAAAGAAGAAGTTCATGCAATTCCACATGGAATGATTTATGATAAACAAAATTCAAATACATATACAATTTTAAAAATTCATGATCTTAATAAAATTGTTATCGATTCAAAGACATGGTCCTATATAAAAATATATATTAATAATGTTCACACAAAGAATCAAAATATTTTAAGAAATGATACTCTAGACATAACATTAATTGATAGTCCTGGTCTCAATTTTAGCTCAATGATAACAACAGCAGTATTTTCCAAACAGGAAGAAATAGATATTATTATATTTGTTGTAAATGCAAAAAACCATTTTACACTATCAGTAATTATTTTATTTATTTTTAATATCTAAAATTAATTAGCTTAAAGGCAAAAGAATTCATTCTGAATGCATCAAATGAAAAAGCATTGCTTTTTATCGTTGTTAATAAATTTGACAGTGTTAAGGATAAAGAACGATGTAAAGACGTAATTCTAAATCAAATTTTTAATCTTTCTCCTCAAACGTATTATAACGCATCAGAACTAGTACATTTTGTAAACTCAGCTTCAGTCACTGAAAATAATAAAACATTTAATAACAGTGATTTTGAAAAACTTGAAAAAGACTTAAAAATATTTATTTTGGAAAAAAGAATAAAATCAAAACTTTCACCAGGAAAAACTTATCTATTAAACTTATTAACTGATATTAAAATATTATGTGAAACTAACAAATATGAAGCAATTTTTCAAATACAAAACTTAAAAAAGGAACTAAAGTTAATAACACCTATTTGCAAACAAATAACAGAAGAAAAAAAAAAAATACTTAACGAAGTCAAAAAAATAATTGAAAATGTTTGTTTATCAGCATCGAAATATTCTTATGAACATTTATCAACCGCAATTATGAAAATGGAATATATTCAACCATGTAACTATCAGGGGTTTCTTAAAGCCTATAGTTATGCTATGAATACCAAAAGAAATATGTTAAATTATATTGAATTATGTTTAAATGACACAGAAACTTTTGCAAGAATGAAGACAAACAGAGGCATTGATGAAATTAATAACTTAAGAATAATACATATAAAACCTTTTAAAAAAATTTTTCAACCGCAATATATGTTTTCTAAACACAAAAATATCATCAAAAAATCTGCTTATGTTGATATTGACTTATTTGATTTTATAGATTTCAACCAAAAAAACCACACTTTTATAGCAATTATGGGTACTTGCTCTATCTTATGTGGAAAAATCGCAGGATATCATAATATCATTACTACAATATTTAATACATTTAATATTATTGGAACAAAAAATCTAAAAAAATTAATTATTCCTTTTATTTGTCTAGCAGGTATCTTAAATTAAAACTGTAAATAAAGTTCACTAATAAATTAAAGTACTTAGCACTTGCAGTTATGCTATTTTGAATATACCAAAAGTAATTCCCAAGAAAATAGCAAAAAAAATTAGACAAAAACTAGAAAATTCAGATTTCATTAACCAAAATTCATTAAGAATTATATCAGAATGTCAAAAGGTTCTAAAATACCCTCAAAAAGATTTGCACCTTTTATTTCAAAAAACTATAAAAAAACACTATTCTAGAAAAGAAGAAATTCTAAAAAACTGGAAAATTTCAAAGCATGCTAATATTTTTTTTTCTGAACTTAGCTTACAGGCTGAACAAAAATGTAAAGAACTTAATAATATTAATATAGATAACTATATACCAAACAATAATAATAATAAGCACTGAATATTACCTTCTTATATAAATATACATAAAAATAACACTTTGAAATGAAATTCTTAATTTTTATTTTATCAAGATATAATTTATTCAAAGTTTATAAATTATCACATATATATGTTTTACATTAAAACTAGAGCATCTAATACAAACATTTATTCATCACAATACATTTTATAATCATCAACATCCATAAGAACATTAAACTCATGAATATCATCTATTTTTATTTTGCATATCCAGCCTATAAACGAAATTATATAAAAATCAATATAATATTATTCATACCATCAGATTCAGCATCTTTATTAATTAAACCAGGATTTCCCAGCAATGAATTATTTGACTCAATTATTTTACCGCTTAAAGGCGCATATATATCACTAGCAGATTTAACACTTTCAACTACACCAATGCTATCTTAGAACAAAATAAATATTTAATTCATAATATTGAAGCTTTAGCTTACCTCCTTTGGAAAATATTAATCCTGGTTCTGGTAATTCCAAAAAAACAACATCTCCTAAAGCCTTTTGAGCATAATCAGTTATACCAACTACTCCAATTCCATTATCATCAAGAGAAATCCATTCATGCTCCTTAGTATATTTCTTTACTAAAAATTAATCAAATTTTAAGTTTTTTTATAAAAACAATAATATACTAGCATAATATACTTTTGAAAAATGAAAATTTCGGAATTGTCGAAAGGAAACTGGATGAATAAAAACTTTAGAAGCCACAGTATAAGGTAATATTTTCGAAAAAAAAAACATTTATACTATTTATATGATTTTTTTACAAAAATTTTATTCGACAATCCAAAAAACCTTCGAATGTTTTTTCATAAATTTAAAACATATATAATTTAGAATTATACTTTCAATAAAAAATTCTTTTCAATATTTTTTTAATTTAAATATATCAGGAAATATCTTTTACAAAACTTTTATTAGAAACAAGAATTTAATTTTATTAAAATGGTTTTATATGAACTATTATGTATTACAAAAGCAGATTTAAAAATAGTATATTTTACACTTTTTTTTTAAACTGTTAAAATCCTCTAGAAAAGCTTACGTGAACTTGCCAAAACATCAGGAAGCACTATAATAAATAAAGGAGGAATAATTAGGGGGTTCGAGGATTGGGGTAATTTAATTTTACCAAAAAAAAAAAAAAAACACCAACAAATACATCATGAAGGACGTCACTGGACTATGTTGTTTGATTCAAATCCACAAGCTCAACTCGAAATAAATAAAATATTAAGATTAGATCCAAGAGTAATCAATTACTCTATTATTAAACTAGGAAGCAAGTAAAAAATCATTTTATAAATTATTTCCCCTAAATACTAACATATTTAGACTTCATGAAATCTCGGAAAAATCAAATTAAATACCATAATAATGTTCATTTTTTTTTTTAAATGTTACATGTAAACTCATCATATTAATTAATTATCTTACATAATCCTATAAAATATCGAAAATATTGTAATAACTAGCATATATAAAGTCTTTAATATAATATTAGAATTATTTACAGGTTATTTGTTAGCTATTTTCCAACTATTTAAATTCATGAACTAAAATCGATACTGACGTAGAGGGCAATATACCCATTTCTGAAATACATACATTTATAAAATTTGCGGGTGTCACATCATACATTAAATTAAGAAGCTTTAAATTAGCAAGTTCATACCATGATGATAAAGGCCCTAATTTAAAACAATTACCACAGGAAATATCAACTAAATTATCAGTCGGCCCTAAGATAAAAACTAATAAGCAAAAAAACATAGTAATAATATAAATACCTAATTCATTATTTACAAATGAATCTAACTGAACTCTATCTGTAAATTTATAAGATTCACAAAACACAATAACAGGTATATTATTGTCTTTTGCAGTCATAGCCACAATAGAAGTACCGACCCGAGAATATAAAGCACCATTCGATAACATTGCATGCGCACCCAAAAATACTTTTGTAACTTCTCGCATAATATAGCTAAGAGAAGAAATAGTTAAATATGTTGATGTTATACCAACTCTAGAAAGCCTACGAACGCATTCTTTCCCTTCAAAGCCAGGACGCGAATCTACAACAATTACACGAAAAAGTTTATGACGTTCATATGCTTCTATAAGTACTTGCTCAACAATAGACGATCTATTTAAAAGACTAAAAATACAATAAAAAAAAACCATTACCTTGAATATGTCAAAATCACATCCCCATTATTAATTTTATCTTGTCCAGCTGCTACAATAACCTGATCGGCAACAGTAATTCTATCTCTAATAAAACGATCTATACGTTTTATAAGAAGATTCTTTGCCTTTCCATAATTAATTTTATTTATATCCAAAATATTTAAACCTCGTCTTCTCCAAGATCTATACTAGAATTCGATATTTCCAACTTCAAAAATCTTATAGCATTTCTCATACTAACACTAAGTGGTCTTGAAAGAACAAGATGAGCAATATGAAGATTAATATATGATTGCAAATGACGTTGCAACGTAGTTCCACTCGGTGTATGATAATCCTGAATTACCTAAATTATATTTATTTAGTTAATATATAAATATACTTAAGAATTGAAATAACTTGTTTAAGCGAATTTAGCATGAAAATGCATCTAGCATTTGACCCACATATTTTGAACTCAGAATATTGCAAACCTAATGATAAAATCACTGGATGAATATCCTTAGATGTTCCTTGAGTATTAACTCTTCTATCACCATCTAAATGTTTAAATAAAAAAACTTGTCTGTTAAACACAATTTCATTATCTATATTACACTTGAAAAAAAAATAAACTAATTTAAAACATAACATACTATGAGTTGACTGAAAATTTTTTAATTGTTTTTTGCTAATATCCTCATTATTATCGCCAGTATAAAAAAAACATACCTTTTTTCACAGCTTTCACAAACGCCTCTTCCAGAGTTCTTAATGATCTTTTCCATTTTTAGTTTTGTTTTTATTTCTTTAGTTAAAGAGTTATTTTGAGTATTTCCATCGCCCATCTTAGCCTCAACGTTTTTACCTTTTAAGACACAACTAGAGCCATGTCGGCCATGAAAAAAAGAATTTAATGGTTGCATATCTTTCTATTTACAAAAAAACTATTCAAAAGAAAACAGTTGAGATTATTTTAAAACTTCGCCATGTTATCAAATTTACCGAACCCTAATTTAATCTTTATTACCTAGATGTCATTATTTTCAAACATAATAGGATTCACAATTTTTGGTATGCTAGATATCTTTCATACTTTATAACTAAATTAAATTGCCTAAAGGACTTTCAATTAGGTCTTTACAACTTGGGATTCAAAAACGATCACAATTCAAAGGTTTATTTAAATATAAATTTTACTCTAATGAAATACCAATTTAGAATAGATATTAAAGGTCATATTGGATATGCGTTAACAGGAGCAATTTCAGGTTATTGGCTACATCAAGTTGAGCAAAGACAATATGCAGCTATAAAACAAAAAAATATTTCTAAAGACAAATAAATTCGATAAATAAATCTAAAAAATAAATCACTATTTATACATTCTATACTTTCAATATATGTAATTTCATTTATGTTTCCTCTAAACATCATATTCTTTAATACCATATAATATTTCTAATGCACCTTTTTTTATTAAATCATTTGCTAACAAAATTCCCAGCTTTATTGCATCCTCCTCCTTTAATACTTCCATTGACATATTAGAATTCACTGATCGCATTCCATCTAGACTCACAACTATTGATTCTATTTTAAGTAAATTTCCATTAAATCTAGTTTCAACTCCTATAGGAACACTACATCCGCCTTGCAATCTACTCATTAATGATCTTTCAGCCAGGCAAGACAAAAATGTTGGCATATGATTCAATGGTTTGACCAAATCCTGTGTAACAATATCATCAGATTTAACTTCTACTCCAATAGCACCTTGTCCAACAGCATGCATTAATATAGATGATTCAAACCTTTTAACAATTCGGTCCTCTAATCCAAGTCGTAGTAACCCAGATGAAGCAAGAATAAGACATATATATAGTGATGCAGGATCATCCAATTTCTTTATTCTAGTAGTACTATATTTAAAATTATAGATTTATCTAAAACAAAAAAAAACACACATATTTCCTCTCTAGAAACGATTAATAATGTTTTCATTTAAAATAATATCTTACTATATCTTGAAAAAGCAATTTTGGAAAATGCCTTCGAAGTTGAGCAATTCTACGAATGCTACTAGTACCAACAATAGATTTCTCAGGAAGATCTTCAAGACACCTATAATGTAATCCCTTTTTAACAACTAAGGCATCTAATCCAATAAATAATTAAGAAATTAATAATTTTAATAATAACCTGTAGGATCTAATCTTTCTAATATAGCACCAATAATAAAACCATCAGGAAGTTTCGTAGGTAAGTCCTTCAAACTATGGATCGCCATAGAACACTTCCCATCTGCCATTAATTTTTCTAATTCTTTTATCCAAACACCATTTTCTTCAAATTGATATAAAGGTTTCGATTGTACTAAATCCCCTAAGGTATCAACAGCAACTATTGAAAACTGATATGTTTTATTAAGTAAACTTAACCTTTTAGATACATAATTTGCCTGAACAATAGCAAGCTGAGATCTGCGACTCCCAATAAATAATTTATTTTTATCTTGATTCATTTTCTTATAAATCAGTAAATCGCAAAATTTTAAAATACAATTAAAATATGGGAAAAAATACTGATAAAGTAATCTAATAGGAAATTATTTAATTAAAACTAATTTTAAAGCTATACGTAACACATTCTGAATGGTCAGGAATAGATGGACAATATAGCACATCTACTGGAATTACAAAACGAAAAATAGATCAGCCTTTTTATAAATTATCTTTTCAATACTGTAATTTATCGCTACAGCCTTTCGAAAATCCTGTTTGCTATATAAATGAGGCGAACGAGGCGTTTATTTTTGAGCTATTGTACTATATATTTATTAAAATAAAATAACTAACATATTATAAGACATATAATTCCTTATATAAAAAAACATAAAAAAAATCCAATAACAGGAGAAAGACTTGAAGCAAAATCCCTTTTGAAATTAAACTTTCATAAAAATGAAGATGGAGAATATTGTTGTCCAATTACATATAAGATATTTAATAACCATAGTCATATTGTTGCAATAAAAACATCTGGAAATGTATTTTCATGGGATGCTGTAAACAATTTAAACATTAAAGCTAAAAATATGAAAGAGCTATTAACCAATGAACCATTTACAAGAAATGATATAATTACTATCCAGGTTTCGTAATAAAAATAAACCCAAATGAAAATATTAACTTTTAGGATCCACATAATTTTCAAACACATGAAATATCTAAATTAGAAGGACTTAATAAAACTGAAGATTTTATCGTAAAAATCCAAGAAGGTACAAACAAAGAACTAGAATCTAATATAAGCTCTACAAAAAAAGTATACTATGATTTTTGAAAAGATCATATTAATTATAGCAGAATATCACTAATTCGAAATCCACATTTAATAATGAACCCACTATGAATCTCGTTATACAAAATAAAAGAAATGACTTGTCGGATACTAAAGATCTAAAAGACAATCCAAAATATTCTAAACAAAAAGAAAAACATTCTTATAATGTAGCACCATATACTACTGGTCTTGCAGCAGCTAGTTTTACCAGTACCTCTCTTACTCCAATTACTTCTTTAGAAAGAGCTTTATATACTGATGAAGAATATATGTTAATACCTAAAAGAATAAAAACAAAAGGTTATGCTAGAATTCAAACAAATTTAGGTAAAATTTTCTTTCGTACAAATATATTTACTTAATTTTAAAAGGGAATATAAACATAGAATTAAATGCGGAATGGGCACCCAAAGCTGTTTATAATTTTATTATGCTTGCGAAACGAGGAGATTATAAAAATGTAATATTTCATAGAAATATCAAAAACTTTATGGTTATATTTCTACTTATATGTTATCAATTCTAATAATACAAGATTCAAGGAGGAGATCCTACAGGTACTGGCAGAGGTGGAAAATCATTTTGGGAAAAAGATTTTAATGATGAAATTCAAGGTCCATTAAGTCATAATCAAAGAGGAATACTTAGTATGGCCAACAGAGGGAAAAATACGAATTCATCACAATTGTATATTATACATACATTATTTATTATTATTACATATTAATAATACGTTTAGTTTCATAACTTATAAAGAAACAAGACATTTAGATCGTAAACATACCATTTTTGGTAAAGTAGTTGGAGGGATGGAAACTTTAGAAAAGATGGAAAATAGCCCAGTAGATTCTTTTGATAAACCTATTTCGGATATAATAATGACAGACGTTATTATTTTTGTTGATCCATTTGAAGAATTTAAAAAAATACAGCTTTTGAACGAACAAAAACAAAAGAACACAAATTCTACAGAAAATGATGATACAACTTGGACAGGAAAATTTTTAACCACAAATAAGGATATTCATAAAAGCTCAATCATTGGAAAATATCTAAAGCAGAATAACATATCAAATAAAATAGATGAAAGAATTATAGAAATAAATAATAAACCTGAAATATCTGAACCAAAAAAAAAAAAAAGAGGATTTGGGAATTTCGATAACTGGTAATACTATGATTAAAACATCAATTATCCATTTATTAACATTCAAAATTGAACATATATATATATCAAATAGATGCCAAATATCCTCGATTGTTTTTATCACTATAATATTGAATATTAGATCTACTAATTGGTTGAGCTTGTTTAGGAATAATTTTGAATTTTTCTGGATGAAGATGTGCCCTTAGTCCTAAAGAATTATAATATACACAAGTAATCTTCCCTCCGGTGGATTCAATTCTTTTAATAGCTTCTTTCGAAGCTTTTGAAACTTCTATTTCTATAGGTATATTAAAAAATTCCTTGCCCTATAATAATTTTAATATACAAAAACATTAATAAGGAAGAATACATTAGCTAGTAACTTAACACCCGACTTTATTCCATGAATAATATTAGAATCGTAAAGGTGTTTCATGGTAATAGGCTTTTTTGCATCTATTCTTCCATTATTAATCCATATTTGTAAACGTTGAAGATTTAATGGAGAAAACTCTTTTGAATTCCTAACATAAATAAGCAACTTTCAAATTAGAATAACTTGACGCTACACATTTACAAATCCACGTTTTGGATACAATCTAGTGAGAGGTGTCTGTCCACCTTCAAATCCAGGTTTAACTCTATTATTTCCACTTCTAGCCTTCTGACCTTTATGTCCCCTTCCACATGTTTTCCCTTTCCCGGATGAAGGACCCCTTCCAACTCGTTTAGCCTAAGATAATTATTGTAAAATTAATAAAAGGTTTAAAAACTACCTTCTTCATTGATAATGGATTATTAGTAAGAGATGCGAGAAAAGAAATATTTCTATTAAGATTACAGCTGAAAAACAATCTCAAAGTATAAAACATATGGACTATTTTATTAATCTTAAACCTTTTAAATGAACTAAAAATTATATTTTTCATCGATAGTTTGTAAAACAAAAAATGAATGATATTGGAATTAAAACGGATAACGCATCAGTAAGATCCCTTTATAAGAAAAAACAAATACTACAACAGCAATAGGTTTCCGAACCTTTAGATCTTATTAGACTTTCTTTAGATGAAAGAGTTTATGTCAAGTTACGGGGAGACAGAGAAATAAAGGGAAAATTGCATGTAGGTACTAATATGTTATGAAAAACATATACGTTATATTTCTCTACATAGGCCTATGACAGCCATCTTAATATGGTCTTAAGTGATGCAGAAGAAACAGTTTACACAATTGATATTGATGACGAAGCCGAAGAACATATTAGCGTATTTAATAACTTATAAAAAAAATAAAATAATTATCATAGACTAGAAAAACACACTCGGAAATGATATTTGTATGCGGATTTCTTTATTTCTTATTATTAAGTATTAATATTTAGATACGTGGGGATTCAGTAATTTTAATATCTCCACCAAGGAGATAAAACTCAAACATCTAATTACAACAATATCAAATTAATCTCGAGTTCTTCATTACTATTTTATATAATATCTACATACTTCTATGTATTAAAACATAATATTACTTCATTAAAAATATTTTCAAAAATTTTTTATCAAAAATACGTTCTGTATCTAAAAATGTCAAAAATTTACTTTTTTATTATCATTTTATCAAGAATATGCAGCTTTCTATAATATTTATTAAAATAATATTTCTTAAAACACTTATAAAACAGAAATACATCAATTCAAATTTTAACTATTTTTTAATAGAAGTGATTAAAAAATCAATAAAAATCTAGATAATGCGCAAATAATTTTAGTATTAATTATTCAAACTATCATAATAACTTAGACAAAAATAATATTTTTAATAAAAACATTTCAACATTAAAAATAAATACAGGTATTTTATAATCTAATAAAAAGATTTTATAAAAAATAAAATCCATAAACAAAAGCATATTGTTTTTCTACTATATTTATTAAAACGTGAGATCAAAATCTCAATAAGCAAATCCAAATAAATCAAAAACTACTCAAATCCCTATAGATAATTAAAAAAAAATTATATCTTAACACCTCTTACCTCCCGAAAACAGAAACTTTAATCCAATCCAAACAAACGGAAACTTTATTTCTTACTATCATAATTTAAAATAAATATCATCACGAATAAATATAATTACAAGAAAAAAGCATATTTGCATAAACAGATCTAAAAAAATAAATACAAGAATTAATTAAATATTTACTGAACCTCCAAAATAAAAACGCTGTCATTCCAAATATAGAGAAATTCCCCTTTGAGAATGAAAGATCCGCAATTGCTTTATCATTTCCAATATATCTAAAGTTATGAGCTCAAATCCTCATAAAAAATTTAACCCACGCAAGAGTTCCTCTATGAGAATATTGAAATAATGGAATAGAAAGCCTTTTCAGTTTTTTTATTTTAATATCAATGTCTTTTTTTATCATATTTTCTTTTTCAAAATCGATATTATTAGCTTTTAATAAATTTTCAAGATACTGAATTTCCTTTCTAGTTCTCCGAGATTCTGCTAACATATCAAAAAGCTTGGCAAGATAATGTCCTTGTTGAGATGCAACTAAAAACATTTAAAATAAAATCCAACTAAAATGAAAGATACCTTGAGCAGTAGGAGCATATTTAGTAGCAGTACAATCTCCAAGTGCCCTAAAATAAGTTAATTTATAGAACGCTATTTTATCTAAATACCAAATATTTTCTGTGCCTTTTACAACCAAATAATCATTGACTAACAAGCCTCTAGAACTATTGCTTTGCTCGGGAATTCTAGATATTAAATCCTTGATAACTAAACTGTTAAAGTAATACTTTTTTAAATTCATTAATAGTACCATATCTTGGAGAATTTCCTGTAGCCCAAACAAGCAATCCATATGGAACTTCTTGAATAACTTTTTTATTATCAGATGAAGTTGTTTCAACAGTAATATATTTATCTAAATAATTAAAAATATAAATTATCATAAAACCAAATAAATACCAGCTACACTTTTTACTGTGCTTCTAGTAAATATGCTAATATTTTCTTCCTTAAAAGTAGCTTCAGTATACTAATAAAAACAGTAAGATAAACAACTAAAAAAATAAATAATATCATTACATTTACTAAAGTCTTTGAAAACATAGGAAGAATCTAAACAATAAGAACAAATGTAAACATATTATAAGCACTTACAGAAGGAAGAGCCTCAAAAAGACTAACTTTAAATATATTTGATATTTCTAATATTATTTCAAATTATTAAATTTAACAATTATTAACATACCTGGAAACCATTTTTTTAAATCTACTTCAAAAAAATCCTGCAATTCAGCTGCAAATTCGACGCCAGTAGGTCCTCCCCCTACAATAACCATATGCAATAGACGCTTTTTTTCTTCATCTGTTTGTCCTTCAAAAATAGCAGCTTTAATGCATTCCATAATCTTTGTTCTTATTTTTCTAGCATCTGGGATTTCTTTTAAAAAATTGGCATATTGACTAACACCGGGAATTCCAAAAGTCTGATTTTCTGCACCCACACCGATAACAAGATAATCATAAGATAATTTTGTCTCAGTAACATTGCCATGAACATCAGAAAAATCTTTTATTATAATAGTTTTATTATTAGGGTCAATACTAGTACAACTAGCTTCATAAAACCTAAGACCTGCTTTTCTACGAAACATTATAAATCTAATAGGTTCTATGATAGAACGAAATTCAGTAGTCCCTGTTGTGCAGCTTGCAAGAAATGCTATTAAAATATAAAAAAGAAACTTTTTTAAAAGAACTTACGTGTAAAAAGGAAATAATTTCTAGGGGAAACAACAATAATATTATAATCATCCGACTTAATATTTTTTAGCAAAGAAATACTTCCCCATCCACTTCCAAGAATTACTATGGTTTTTTTATTAGGATCCAGCTCTACGAAAGGAATAGGATAACGCAATTCATAAATATCTATAGAAATTTCAGTCATTCTTACAGAATCTATAATAATTACCATAAGAAAATTTTATTAAGCCCAAAATTATTAAAATATATGTAAATTTCTTAATTTTCCCTAAAAATCTATTTCTTTTTAAAAAAAAACCTTTCTGAGAATTCTGATTTAAACTAGATATCATTCTCATCCCATTATAACATTTAAATTTCGAAAATAATTGAAGATAACGTTCTCGAATTATCAATGAATTAACTTGAACAAAAAGCCCATTTCTTAAAGTAAATCTATAGAACTTCTTAAAATTAACTATTCCAATACTTTTCTTGGACATTATAGAGGTCTAAAAATAATAAAATAGTTCTTAATTTCTAATTCTAATATCATTTTTATATTTCTCCGTTTAAGATTTTAACGTAACTTATATCAATAAAAAAAATAATTTTTTTTAAAAATACTTTTATTTTAAGCTTCTATCTTTTTATATTCCCTTATTTCTACTCTAAAAAACACTATCAAATAAAATACTATAAAACTTATTTATCATTAATAATACACCATAAATGCAATCTTTCTTAATTAAAACATACTAACCCACATAATTCTTTGGAAAATCGTCCATATTTTTTTCTTTATTAAAGTCAGAGTCAACATTAGCTTTTCTTTTTAAGTCTCCAGTATTTACAAGACCTAATAAAGAATCAGAAATATCAAAATGAAATATCTTAATAAATTACTTTTATAGAATAAACTTACTTTAGGATGAGCCATCACCTTTCGAGCTTCAAAGTGCAAAACCTGAAGACCTTTTTGGGACGTAGCACGAGACAAAGCAACATAACTAAAATAAATTTAATAAAAAATATAAAATAATCTTAAACCAACGCTTGTCCTTTTTCAAAAACTCTTCCTAAATCAACCTTAACTCTTTCTAAAGTCTGTCCCTGAGCCTTATGAATACTAATTGCATAGGCCAAAATAAGTGGTATCTGAGAACGACTTGCCTGCACTTCACCATTTGGAAGTTCTATTTTCCATTGCTCAGGCTGTACTAACATATCTCGAGTTAAGCCATTAGACAATGTAAATCTAACAAGAGGCCATAATTTGCCAGTAGCTGCAGCTGATTGCATTCCTGCTATTCTTCTCTTTTTACGCTTTTTTATTTCGTCAATATTAGAATCATCAATTTGCTCATGATAATTAAATGGATCATCATCGGGCTCATCCTCTTGCCATATCTGAAATGTTTTTTCATTCATAAATCCTATAACTTTACCCAGAGACCCATTTACCAATTGATCATCAAAATTTTTTATTAACATTACTTGTGCACCTTCTTTAAGATCTATCCGGGCTGGTGCCATACAATTGGAAAGTAATTTGTCTCTCTGAATTTTATCAACAGTTCCAGAATCCAATGCTTCAAATGTTCGCAAGGCACCGCTAAGAGAACGCATACGAGTTGCATTTGCCTGATCAACCTCATTGCGTGTAGGAAACCTTCTATCTAAGCATAATAAAATACCTAAAAGATTTACTTACAGCTCTGTAGGTTCAAGACCATCATCAAATTGAAGTTCCCTATCTAAAGAACGAAATTTATTAATAGAATTATAAGACAAACGCCCCAAACGCAATTCATTAAGCATTTCAACAAAATCTAAAAACGCGTAATTACTAAAAAACAAAACAAAGAAATCATATTTAATAGATACCTTGATCCTTTTGACGAAAAACATGAGTTAATGCTATAGTATGAGAAATAACATCCTTCCACTTTTTGGCTTCAAAAGCGAATTTAGACATTTTTCCCTGATCAGGTACAGGAGGAAGCTGAAAGAAATCACCAGTTACAATCATCTACAATTTCATAAATCAAAAACAATAAAAACAAATGAATAATATCAAATACCTGAATTCCACCAAATGGATTTTCATTATTTCTTATTTTTCTAGCAATATTTTCAAGCTTATCAAATAACTCAGCATCTACCATTGAAACTTATATAATTAAGCTAACATAAATATATATATATTTAGCCTACTCTCATCAATAATAAGGACTTTAGTCCTTAACCATCTAGATAAACATTTCTTATTTTTCCTAATTTTTTTACATAGATCTTCCGAAGAATCTCTACCTAAACCAATACCAGCATAAGAATGAAGAGTTACACCACCAATATTGCATGCAGCAAGACCTGTTGAAGCAGTAATAGCAACACGATCAGGTTCTTTAGCATATTTCTTACGAAGCGAAGCAATGATTTCTCGCAAAAGTACGGATTTCCCAGTACCTAAATATTAAATAAAATGACACAAAAATCATACACTAACCAGCAGATCCGGTAAAAAAAATACTTTCACGTTCTTCAACAACAATCTTAAGAACAGTTTTTTGCTCTTCAGAAAGAAAAAGACCAGGAAGTTTTTTATTTTTTTTTTGTTTTATAGATTTTTTCTGAATATCTTTAGATTCAAATCTAAAACTCTGAATATTATCAATTTTATGAATATCCGATTTATTTAATATATCAGATGAAATTCTTTTACGATTTTTCATTTCAGATTTAACAAGTTCAATAGGACCTTCAGTCTTATTTAAAAAAAGAATTCTCCCAGAATCTTGAAACTGCTCATTTTTCTGATCTACTTGTAACGCACAATGATTTTCTAAAGCTAATGTAAATGAAATATAATTTTGATTATCAAAAAAATCCTACCTTTTAAAGCAGTATTCTTTAAATCCTTAGGATTTCCTGAATTTATTTCTAACGAATCCAAGGAATTAGATACTTCTGTTTCACAAATAACCTCTTCAAATAAAGTCGTATTAGACAATTTAGGTTGAAATATAGTGTCAGAAGATTGACATTCATTGCTGAACTGATCTTTAAGTCCAGATAAAGCCAGATGTTGATATTGCATCGGAGAAGACGACCAAGAATAGAAAGATTCGTCGTGTTCGGAATCTAAGTTTAAATTATCATCGATATCATTTTCATTAACATGTAAATCATCAATAAGATTCTCATCACTTGTATTTTTCAGAAAAATGCTAGCACCTGTCGCCTTATTTTGTTGATTCAATGTTTCAAGAAACTTTATGCTTGAAGAACTAGGCTTCTGGTTTTTCTTAATATTATGATCATTGAAAATAGAGGATTCATGAGCTACAGATATTGGATGAATATTTAGACTAGATGCATCTACTGGTTTTAAAGGTCCCGATTTTATATAATTAGACGTTATATTATTTCTCATAAGTTGCAATTTAGTTTGTTTAAAATCGGATATTTTTGAAATATACGATCTAGGAGCATAAATAATTTTCTGATGATGTTTTTCTTGCGATCGCTGAAACATAAACAAAATAGCTGCAATTTTTAAGCGCCTAATAAAAAAATATGTAAAATAATTTCTGCAACTATTTGGAAACGTTCTTTTTAATTGATCTGTATACACTGTTGCTAACGTAAATACAAAATGAAATATCAGATATATTTAAATAAAAACAGTATTCTAATGTATCCTTATTGAGAAAAGCTAGAACCTAGAATTTCTTTAAAATCTAATTTTTATAAAAAAAGCGTGATTTCGAAAGTCGATTTTAAAAAAAATTAAATGCCAAAAGCAAAAAAAAATACAAATATTTATAAATATATATCAATAATATACCCACAATACACCTAATACACAATTTTAAACAACATTATAACTTCTATCAACATCGGTTTTATAAAGTCATTAAAAAATATAAAATAAAAAAATAAAATTTATAAAATATTTTCTATAACAAAGATATATTCAACAATTAGAAATCAAAAACCTTTAACATATAAGTGATTTATCTTTGTAAATTGAAAAAATTATAGGATCAATGATAAAAAATAGACAATATATTTGATGTTTTTTTTTTTTTTCTTTAATACCATACCCCATCCTCTTTTTCCCTATTACTGTCAACAGCTAATGTCCCGCTTTCTTAACTTCCAGCAAATACGGAGTAAAAAAATCTATCATATTAATAACTTGAGCATTAAAATTTCCAATTTCATTATTTTCCACAAATAGTCTCTTTTTTCGAGCTTTTTCAAGCAGTCCTATCCTCAAAGAACCACATTCATATAATTCTTTGCCCCAATGAAAACAATTTCTCATCATCGCAAAGTAAAAGACTATGATCTCCATTGTGCAACTAATGCAACATCGCAATTCTGAAGTTGTGAAATGATTATTGGAGAACCATTAATAATTGCTTTATCAGCACTAATTAGTATTATGCCATTGTAACTGAGGACAATAAAATTCCAATAAAAACAAAAAATATGAATTATACAATTTATGTTAAAAATAAATCCTTGCAAAATTACACCGCCTTGCATAGAAGCATCCTCGGATAATAGATTTGCTTTAAATATATTCCCAAATTCCATAATATATATCAAAAACGATTCACTAACAGTATATTCAAAAACAAAATCATTATAATTAAATGTTCCAGAAATAATTGTAGTTTCAGATAAATATATAAGCAATGCATCATTATTGTTATCATAAAAATTAAAACCAAATTCATTTAAAACAACGATTCCAACATTTTTAAAAACAGCATGACAATTCCATCCAAAAACAATTTTCAAAATGTTGAAAAAAAAAAACAAATGAAAAAATCTTAATAAGACCACTCAAACTATTCCAAAACCAAATATCATTTTTTTCATCAAAAGCAATGTTTAAATTCCTATTAGAATTTTTTTTTTTATAGGAACGGGAAAACCAATACTTATGATTTACCGTTAAGAGAATACTTGGAAAACCTACCCTGATCCTATAGCAATTATAAAATATATAAAATATAAACTTTTAACGAATCTCCAAAAAAAACACTTTTTATATTACAATTCACTACACATACTTAAAAATAAAATATCCTTAATTACTGATTATAAATAATTTTATTTTAAATTATTTTTAAAGGAAAATACCACAATAATACCATCAAAAAAAAGTAAAAAGTATAAATTTCTAATATTACAATATTAAACATTCTTCAATCCCACTAAACTAAATAAATACATCAATGATAAACCACATATACCAAATATTCCTTCAAAAAAACCAATATAAAATAAAAAAAATTATATATATTAAACCCGTAAAATTTAAAATTTAAAAATAAATTTTATAAGTAAATTTATTATTTCTAATAACCAAATACTGTATAGAATGAAAAGATAACAAAGAATTACCAAGTTTGAACGATGTTAAGAAATATAAATTATCTCAAGTGGCTATTTTTTATCATTTTCCTTATTTTATTAGTACCAAATTATACAAATTCATATCATCAAGCAACAGTTGAGGAAGTTATTAAGGAAAAAAAAAGACATTTGTAAGTACATTTGAAGAAATTTTAAAAAATTACTCAAATAAAAAGAATGGCCATGAAAAACTTAACCTTGGGAATTCAAGCTAATATTACTGATGTACATATTAAAAAAACCAAAATACGTACTAATTGTTTTAACAGGTTGATATAACTATTCCAGATATTATATTAAAAAAGAGAAATTTATTATTTTCTAAAGGGATTAGTGAAAAAGAAAATTTATATCATAATATTACTGGTTATATACGTGGCAAATGGAATAAATTCTTCGTTCATCCAAATGACACGTTAATTCCAAAATATGCGCAAGATTTTATAAAAATACTATCATATAACAGAGGACTATTAAGCATAGTTTTAGAAGAGTCTATATTTAATGATAGCCAAATAACAGACGCAACTCTATCAATTCAAGATGAAATTGGCAACTTATATAAAAATATCAATCTTAAAGGAATTCATTTTAAAAACGATGGCTCATTAATACTTACATCATCATCACATAAATTCCCAAGTCTTATAACAATTCCACTTTTTGCATTTAATAATTTCACATTTCAAAAATCACTTAGATCAATAACTCAGATTTTAGAACAACAAATAAAGCAGTTACAAGATAGTATACCTAAAAACAAAAAAATTCAAATTCCTAGTGACAATAATGAATATTGCGAGTTCGTTGTTTATTTGCAGCTTCTTCCCAACTATGACAATAAAGAGCCTAAATTAGAAGAAATAGAAAAAGAACTTCAAACACCAAATGGCCTTCCTTACTCTTTAGTACCTCCTATTTTGCTTTCCGGAATTATTATGTCTCCTGACTGCAAATTTTCATTAGACTTTGATAATATCACTGGCATTAAAAAAGAAAAATATTATGCAGACATTAATAAGATAGCATTCTTTCAAAATCTTCTAATTATTATACAAATTTATTTGCTCATAAAACAAATGAATGAAACGTCAACTCCATCAGTGAATTTATCTTAAATAAAAATACATATTACTAATAAAGCTTAGAGCATTTCTAGAATATCATTTTGGAGTATTTGGATACAAGCATCTTTGGATGGATATACTTGCATGATTTTCCTATCGGCCTCTATATCACATAATAGTATATTTCTTTCTTCTGTTACTACTTCATTTCTTTCATTTACTCTCGTTGCAATATTTGGAATGCGATATTTACTTATTATTCATCGTATACAACAGCCTGAAAATAGGACAACTGCTATAGAAAGGCGCGACCATAGCGAAATTAATGAAGAAACAGTTATGTCAAATCGGCAAGACTACGTAAATCGGAATCAGGAGAGTAGAACTAGACAAGACCAATATGATAGCCATAGTGATATCAGTACAATATATACTCAATTTTATCTCTTTCTTCTCATAATAGTGTTAATTTTCCCACAGATAATGTTATTGCCAACTAATAAAAGGAAATATATTATATATACTATCACATTTATGGCATTTTCATTCTGGTGGCCTCAAATCATACGAAACAGTTTAAAAGGATATAGACGACCATTTCTTTGGTCATACGTAATTGGAATGACTATTACCAGGGTTATTCCTATTATTTATTTATTTTCATATCCAAAAAATATATTATTTATCCCAACGAATCTTTATATAACCTGGGGAGTTTTTGGCTGGTTATGGTTTCAAGTTTTTCTTCTAGCTAGTCAGGACTTTTTAGGTCCACGTTTCTTTATACCTTCTAATGTAAGAATTTCGAAAATAATCTTTAATAATATTTATGTTAGCTTTTACGTCCGACATATAATTATCATCCAATACTTTCAGAAGATGTCGAGACTGCATCATCATATTTTGATTCTAATGGGCGTACAATTTGTTCTATATGCATCCAAAATATATCATTACCACGTATTAACAGGAATTCTACGAATAACGCTTCGTTAATTTTAGGAAGAAGATCGTATATGGTAAATGGTATCTCTTATTTCTTTACAATTATAATCGATGAAGGTTACACCCTGCAAACATCTATTTCATACAAATTGCTTAGAAAGATGGATGAGAGTTCGCCTAATTTGCCCAGGTATAAACCTTCTTTAAATAATCTATTTAGATAACCTTTTTAGTATGTAGACATTCGTAAGATAGCTTTACTCTAATATCATATTCTAACATATCGTAGACTTCCTCCTATATAAATTCTAACCCATATTTAAAATTCTTAAATTATATAATACGGAGATGCTATTTCTCATAACTACATTATTAAAATCTATACTAATTCTTCTAGTAATATACATTTTATATCGAAATAGTTTATTTACATAAATATTAATTATTCTATCCATGTATCAAGGATAGCCTTTTCATTTTTTATATTATATTTATTTAATTTCCTCAAATTACAATCCAGAATACTTGAGCTTCTAGTAGTTCTCTTGTCATTATCATCAGTATTTTTTTTCTTTTTTTTTTTATATAATTTATGAGATCTTATAATATCTCTGACATATGGGCCGATATCAACTGAAAGAGAAAATCCACTTAATGCATTAATCGAATTAGGAATCGTATCATAATTCCATATATTTGAGAATAATAAAGGAGAAAAAACAACTTTTAAACTTTCAATACTTAGCTCTTTCATATTAACCAAGTAACGCCCTTTTAATACAACACGTAAAGACTCAGCATTAGAAACATATTGGCAAATGTTTAATGTATCTAGATCAGTGTCATTAAGTTTATTAGAAAAAATAAAGCATGACATAATAAAAATGACTAAAGATATATAAATATAACCTGATTGGTAGATAGTATAATAAGCTCTATATGAAGGCAAAAAGTCATACCCAAGAAGATTATCAAGATGACGAGTATCAGAAGATAAATTATCAGAATTAGACAAATCTAACTCCTAAACTAATTATTACGCAATAAAGAAACTTTAAAATATTACTTTAACTGAGCATCGAAAAGAAGCTTTACTAGATAAATAATCACAAAACGACATTGTATCTAAAAAATCTGAATGAACATCTAAAAATAATTTTTCTTTCTCTATTTCCCCATGGATTTGAAAAGAATCCTTTAATTTAATATTTTCCAGACTATTTTTAAATATATCATCGATCAGATCTAGATGCTTTCTATTCCCTATAAAAGCTTCTGTTTCTAATAATTCACAAAAATCATTTGACCATTCAGTAGAGGACAAAAACATATTTTCAAAAACAATCTTTTTGAAAGAAGTATCTGAGACGAGCATGTCTATATCTTGTATCAACTCAGATGATCTATTACTGCTTATCTGAGTAAAAAATTGCAACTGAAGAATTGATGCTCTTAAATCACATCCTTTACTCATATAGAGGTGCATTAGATCTTCTTTGCTGAAAATATATCCTTCAGAAAGAGAAAGTAAATACAAATAATTAGCAGCAAGATCTACTGGAGCAGTATTAAAATAAATTATTGATTGAAATTCAAGAAAGAAACTAGGTATTGTATTAATATCTAATAACTACTTAATAATAATAAAAAGACTTAAGGAACTACCTGTACAAGTCATTATAATAGGACGTTTTGACTTATAAACAAGATTCATAACAGTACCCCAGAAATTTTTATCTTGTTCATAAAGAATATCAACTTCCTCAATCAATATTAAGCTTTGTTTTCTAAATGACATATCTAATTTAGTTTCAAAACATGATTTATTAAAATTGTTAACTTTTTCTCCATTGACTAAATGGCTCTGGCTCATTTCACCAACCAAATTCAGAATATCCTTACCACTCCTTCTTGAGCCAGAATTAATTTCAAATATCTCAAAACCTAATTCTTTTGCTATAGCGTATACACTAGCACTTTTATAACTACCATGTGGACCCGTTAGTAATATATAACGTGCAAAAGAAACTTGAGATTTAGTATATAACTTTTTTTGACAGTTCATCAATACTCTAAGTTCTAAAAACATCAGAGATTAAGAACTAATCATACATTTCAAAATCAAAAAACACCATTAATACCATCTAAAAATGACGTAGAATTTCTACTACCAGTCCCATAATTTATAAGTTGATTTAAACATATCTGTTGATTTTTTTCTAACACATGTCTTTTCGGAGATGCAATAACACATGATATCTTAATAGTATTCGATCCAAGTTTGCAAGCCATCAACCAATCGCGAAGTTTCATAACCTCATATTCAGAAAAAAGAACCTCACAAGCCCTAGTTGGAGAGTATTTAGAAATCCAAAGTCTTACATCATAAAAATCAGAAGAAAGAAACTTATCATCTAAACTTTTATATATCTTATTGAAACATGGACGTTTTAAATCATCATAAGGAATAACAGAAGAAACCACAGATTTAAGATCATCTAAAGTATAGAACAATTTGCTAAAATAAAAAAAACTCTTCTTTAAAATAGATTTTTCACGATCAAATAATAAGGCATATCTTCCTAAATAATAATCCTCAAAAAAACTTTCTTTCTTTCCATTACTTTTTTTCCCTTTAAATAAAGGCGTATCTTTAACAACTATTTCATTATAATAATCCTTGACATGTGTATTTTTAACAGTAGGCCAAGGTGCAGCCTCAACAATAAATAATTTCGAATTAAATCTATGGGATGTTTTTGTATTAATTAAAGAAATAGGAACATAATTATTTAATGTTTTTGATAGAAAAAAAGGATGAATAGATTTTGAATCTAATATATATATATTCAATAAACATCAAAAAAGTATAATAAAAACATACCAACATAATTTACTGGAGTCTTTTCTGCAGAAACAGAGTCTTGATCAAACAATTTTATATCTTTAACAAAATTACCTTTAAAACAATTAATAAACTACAAAAAAACAATAAAAAATTACCTGAATTTTTAACTAAAAAAGAATGAGATGATTTTTTCAAAAAAGACCTTGGCGCAACCCTCAATTTTACAATTTTACTAGGATTTTTATAAACTAAAAACCTTCTGACTTCATTTTCTTTTTGAAAACTAGTAAACCTAAAAAATGGCGAAACACCTAAAGATATATATGAATCATTACAATGATCAGGATCATTAAATTCTTGAGAAAAACACATTTCTATAATTAAATAAAGAAAAATCCCAATTCTTCTTCAAAAATATTACCTTCCTTACTTTCTTTAAATGACTGAACCGAAGAAAGAGTTAAGAAAGTTGTTTGAGATTTTGACTCTATAGAATTAATAGACTGTTTCTGACATACAATTTTATGAAAATCCGAATCAATTGACCATGTAGAAAGAGACGACTCGTTAGGAAATCCTATATTTTCTAAATTACTAAAAGATTGATTTATATGCAAACGATTATCTTTTGAAACGAGATCATATTCTGATTGTAAATACTGAGCATCTGTTTCTAGCGATGCTTTAGAAGGCCCAGAAAAGTCATTTTCCTCCATTATTTCATCGAAACATTCAAAAATGATGGAGTAATCTAAAACAAAAAAAATAATGAAACTTTATAAAAACACCAATGATTTCTGTTCTGCTTCAAAATATTGTTTATTTAATATCTTCTTGTTATTTTTTAAAATCTCTAAAATATTAAGTACAGTTATATATATTTTGAAAAGTCTAAATAATTAGACAGATTAATATATATAACCCTATTTTTTGATTTACATTTTTATTTTTTATAATCACAGAAGTTGAAACGTAAAAATCATCACATTTGAAAAATGAAACTATTCAAAATAAAATAATCAGAAAATTATTTCTTAAATAATATAAAAAACACATCAACTAATAAAATTACATTAAAATAGATATCCAAAATTTGAAAAAGATTTCTAAAAAATATTTTATATTTTTAAAGAACTAGTCAAAAAAATAAAACCAAAAATGAATTCTTTTGGACTTCTAGAAAAAGCTATCACATTATGGAGTGTAGATGATGTTATTCAGTGGCTAAAACATATAAATTTTTCTCAGTATGAAAAAGAATTTCAAGGTTTATTACTTTGATACTTACAAAATTTTCCTAAAATTTCACAGAAAATAATATATCTGGAGACATTCTAATACACTTAAACCACGAATCACTTAAAGAAATAGGAATTTTGAGTACGGGTCATCGACTTAGCTTTCTTAAAGCAATATATCGTATCAAAATTGATCAAAATATTCCTATCGAGCCAGAACATTATATACCCGTCTGTAAGCAACTATTGCTCTTTTTAAAACAAAAATTTAATGTTTTAAAGCGCTAGAAATGGAAAAACTTTCTGAATATGATAAATCAGAAATTAACAAAACTAAAGAGTTAACACAAGCTATCTTTTCTTATGGTAATATAATATGTTTACACATTTGAACAATTATATTTTAATAATTCCAAGGAAAACACTTAAATGAATTCGAAAAAGAGATAAGAAATCTAAAAAAAGATTTATCCAAAATTCAAGAAGACATAACTTATATTTTTGAAATTATCAAAGATATAAAGGTAAATTTCCAGAAATATCTAAATTCTTCTTTTTACAAAGAACTAGCTATCGAAAAAATCTGATGATAAACTTACTCATACTGGTTTATCGCTTAAAAGATTTCATGAAAAACCCTTACAATTAAAAACTATACCTACACATTCCCAGATATCACCTATACAACTAGATTCTGAGCTTGACTCACCAACATTTCCAACGGAGACTTATAAAAATGCAAGTAAATTACATATATATTTTATAACTAAACCTTTTAGCAATTAACACATAGTATCCAAGATAACTTAGAATTTGGAATGAATCATAACAATTCTAACCAAATTAAAAGTGAATGTGCTATAACTGACGAATCTGTATCTCCAGTAAGTTCTAAAAAATCACACAAAAGCATAGAAATGTTCAAATCCTTTCGCATTAAATTGAACGATTCGTGTAGAAAAGTTTTACTTTCTGCATTAAAGGAATATAAAATAAATTCTGACTGGAAAGAGTATGCATTAGTCCTATGTTATGACAACAAAGGTATTTTTTTAATTTTTAAGCATTTCTTAATATTTTTTAGAAAGATACATAGAACTTAATGAAAAACCTTTATTGCTATTTCAAAAACTACAAAAGGATGAAAAAAAACCTAGTATTAACACACATATTTTTTTATCTACTAAAAAATCCAGTTTTTATCCTAAAACAAATCAAAAATCCCACCACCTTAAATCAACCTTTCAATTTTATTCAAGAAATTAAAAAAGAATCTGATATATCTAATACATTCGAAGATGCATTATGATAGATCATGATATAGAATTTCTATGTAAAACAACAGAAAACTTATAACTATATCTAAAATGAATCCCAAATACAATGTTAAATAAATCTATAATTAGAATATATTTCACAAATTCCAATTATTCCCAATGGGATCTTTCTTTTTAATCTAATACAAATAATTATATCATGCTGAAACATACAAATATAATTTACATACAACGGGTAGTATCGAATTCAAGTATAAACTAAGCAAATATTAATTCTATCTTAAAGAAACTTTAAACAAATCCAAAAGGAATAGATGTCATTTGAATTTCCATACTTCTCCAATTTTCTGCTAACAACTCAGTATATTTTATGCGCTCTTGTACATAATCCTTATATAATTTCCCTATATGAGCTTGACTAATCTGGAAATATACTAGCTCATTTAAAATACATTTATTAATAAAAAAGCAACGAGACCGTTGAGAAAGTATCAATTTCTTGTCCTTATTTTTTTAGATTTAAAACATTTAAGAGGAAAACTTGCCTTCATAATAGACTGTTCAATTTCGTTCCTAGATAATAAATTCAAATGAGATCTCATATTCAAATCAGCAAGTTTATTCACATTGCTATTTATTCTTTTCTCAAGAAAAGAAATGTTGTTGATATCTAACTTATCTTTTCTATCAAACATATTCTTTAAATCATTAGAAAATGATTATATACAAATTGTGACCCACTTTAATTGCTATAAGGCTATCTCTCTGAGATTTTAAATCTTCTAGTATTCCTTCACTCAAAATTTTAGCTTCTTCCTCCAAAAATTCCTGTGCCGTTAAAAAATGTTTAGATACAGCAAACATCCCTTTGTTAATGTAGGAGAAAGAATCATTAATTATCCCATCAATAAGAACAGGCTTACTTCCATCAGCAAGAACACTACCTTTTTTTAATATCTATGCATCATATTCATTTAACTATACTTCAAACAAAATGCAAATAGCATCATATCTTCAGCAGATTCTACATTTGTCAATCTTGATGAAAATAATACCATAAAAATACTTTCTTGATATTTTAATAAACGATCCATAATCAAACATAACTTCCTTCAGAATTTAAATAATTACAGTAAATAAATATCACTTACGTATAATTATCAATTTGAAAATCTATTGTTTTTTTAATGTTCATAATAATTTCATCAAAATTCGAAGGAAATATCAGTCCTAAATCTTCTATCATAATTTTATCTTGAAATTCATCATGAATTGTTAAAACAGTCTGCTTTCTCCATAAAGAAAATTCCTATTAAATATAAATTTAAAAATATAAATAATAAAAAAGTACAGTAGAAACAGTAAGAAATGCTATGACTAATGGATCATCTCTAAATATGGGATGACGAACAACTGCATTGATAAATCTAGAAAGCCCTTTATATCTTCTCTCTAAAAAAGCAGAATCTCTTGATAAATAATGGCCATTTACTAAAAATAAACTAAGATCTTAAACACAATAAAAAAATAGAGTACCAGAAAAACACTTTGGTGCTAAAACATGGTAAGCATTAACAATAAAAAAACAAAAGATATTACGCATCAAAGGTACTTGACGAAAAGGATACTTTTTTATCAAACACTCTTGAAGCCTAAATACATAAGTAAATGACATATAGCATATCCAAAATTTACCATAGAAAATCACTATAACGGCGAATAACGCGAGAACCACGAATTACACTAAAAAGAATATAATTTACATGTCTAAATAAAAAAGAACCTTCTTTTTTAGCAACTATATTAATAGCTATACGATCGGTTGAAGAAAAAAAATGATCCCAATCCATAATATTAAAAGTCTTATGAGAACAAGAACTTTCAAGATAATTTTCATTAACTTTATAATCAATAAAACCAGAATTCCTAAAATTAGATAAGGTGAATGAATGAACATCTAACCCATTTTCTAAATGCAATGACACCTGCTTCTGAGCATCATTTGTCCTTTCGAAATCAGACTCAAAGATAATAGTTTGTTTGGAAGACATAACAGAATCAGATAAAGAAACATTAGTACCAGATATTTTATCGTCAGGAGATATAAGGTATTTATCAATTATATCTTGTAACTTCGGAACAGGAAGATCTAGAACATATCTTTAAAATATACAGAAAAAATAAAATGTTTACTGCTTTTATATTTTTTCAATTCTTCAACACTTGCACATTCTCCATTTTGAACAATTCCAATCAAAGCAATAACTGAATAAAAGCGGCATTTACAAACTGGCATATCCTCAGTAATCCCAAAAAACATCATATTTATAATATGTTTAATTTCATAATCAGGGAGTCCCGAAAGCTCAACTATTTTCCGTAAAAAACAATATGTTCCTTTCTCATTCTTAGACAAAAGAGTAAACATTTCTCTGTAAACAAAAGGGACATCAATTCCATCTGTCAGATCAAAATAAGATCATTTACTTAGTTTTGAAAAATACCTAATAAATACTCTTGTTTACATTGCCCGGTAAAACATTTCTTTAAAAAACTTAATAACAATGGAGCATCATCTTCAATAGTTTCATTCTCAAACATAGTCCTTCCAAATAGATAAGGTTCATTATTAGTGTCTTTAGTTCCCGGTACCTTTATAAAACAGCCGCTTTCAGATGACGCCAAAGGCGACATTTCGGATAATACACATTTTCTAGATAACTCATCCATATATAAACATACGTTTTATTCATGTATATTTCCTATCTTCAATGCATGCTATTTACTATAGATTTAAATCCAAATTCAAAAATACATTTTTTTACCGTAATATCGAAAAACTTTAAAGATAATTCTAATATTTAACAAATTCATACAAGAAATGACAAAAATAAAAAGCCATTAATATACTAATGATTCAAGAATGCCTCTTTACCCAATTTTATAATTATAGAACCATCTACCAATATTTTTATACTCTTCCATCCTATATATATATATATATACATTTAATTTATTTCCTAAAAAATCTTATTTTATACATGCTTATTTTACAAAGAACTTGCTTTATAATTGTATTTCTACATAATATATATCCGAAACAGTAAACTTATTATTTTCAAACTATCAACTATTATTATTCAGTAATGTTCTAAACATTTTCTATAATATACGAATACTTAATATTAAAATAAAAACACTAATATACAACTTTAGAAGAAAAAATAAATGATTCCTTCAAAGATAAAAATCTTATTAAAAACATTGAAACGAAGAAAATGATTCTTTGTAAAGAAAATATTAACAATTATAAAAAATAAAGATTAATTTGAAAAATATTATTTTTATAAAACGTCCCCGGACAGGCTCGAACTGTCAGCCTCTCGGTAACCTCATAAATAACAGCCGAACGCGCTAACCAATTGCGCCACGGAGACTCATTAAATCTAAATATTAAATATAATATAAAAGTATCATAAAGTTTATATCAACTCACAAAATGAAATCAGCTAAAAATGCTTTACAATGTACAAATAATAAAACAATAAAAATACCAAAAAAAAAAAAATACAAAATTACTCTTCTTTTTCTTTTGTTAACGATTTCTCATCCTCACTAAAAAATATATTAAATAAATATAAAAAGATAGAAAACTTACTCATCACTTCGATCATCTTTGGCCTCTCCATGTACAACAAAACGATATGCAATACGTAGAATCAGAACTAGCCATAATATATTCACAATTTGCAATGCTAACAACAATATAAATATAATAACCTGGCTAATCCAACATTTATAATGTCCTTTTTCCCATGATAATTCATATGGACCAATATGTTTAAAACTAGTAAAAATAGAATAAAGGAAAACAATATTCAAATAATGGCGTCCGTAAATCCACAAAAGAATAAAAAATCCAAAAACAAGAGCCTGTCCTTTACATTGTATATAATTCATTAACTTTGATAACTGAGACCTTAGACATAATAAAAACAATGCAAAAAAATCTTACAGACAAAAAAATGTCAGAAGTATCCATAGTAATGAATACAGACAGACCAAGATATGTAAAATGGAATCGATAACTTAAACCAATAAGAATAAGTGTTATAATATGATGAATTACAAATTCTCTAAAATCTTTCCTAGGTTTTTCAAGCTTCAAAACCAAAACAAATGTTTGTTGAATCCAATAAGAAAATTGAAGAAGATAATATCCCTTAAAATATATATCATGTGTCTTGTGTGGATAACCATCATAAAAAGCATCAACATTAAAATACCAAATACGGTTTTGAAACATAATATACTATTTATATTAGTAGTAGAACGACGTTAGATATGTTAAACTTCACAATTCCAAGAACGGAAGACATCGAAAAGTAACATAAACTGTATCCTTGCTCCATAAAACGCTTTAATTTACGTTTCTTAATATTAATTCTTTGGCCAATAGGCTTAATCAAAACATGCATTAAAAAATCCCTCAAAAAAATAAAAGTAACAACATGAAAGGCAAGAAAACATAAATCTTTATATCCTTTTCCATACTGCTGTGGAAATGTATCTGAAGTAGGATATGATAAAAATAGAAAAGGATATAAAAAGTCACTAGAACCTTTTCCCCTTAAAAAGTACAATACGTATGATGATACTAGAAGTAACAATGAACCAATCCATGTATGTTTTTTAATAAACCTTAAATATATTTTCAAATATCCTTCAAACGATTTTATACATGGTTCTTGAAACCCAGATTCCTTCATAACCCAAAATCCAAGGAGAATATTCTTTCAAACTATATCCTACATAGGCTATTAGATTAATTAATATGAAATATTTTTTACGTAAATCTTTCGTTTTCTGACATCGTAATTTTTTAATGAAAAATCGTTAAATATTTAAAAAAAATCATTACAAACTTATCATTATGCACAAACGACAAAGATTAGAGTCTTCTAAAGAAAATATACCTTTTGAAAATATGATTAAGTCTTCAGAAATTAAAAAAAACGATGATAGTATAGGCGAATTTGAAGATCCTTGGGAAGATGAAATAGAAAGTGAAGAATATATAGAAGATATTAATGAAGGTAATTTTCTTTATTATATATATCTAATAATCAATATAGATCCAATGAATGAGGAAGTAAAAGTATATCTTCCATCCTCTCGTTCATTAAAAGAGGACGAAGTTCTTGAGCCGGATCAGTCAGCATATGAAATGCTTCATTCTATCAATGTTCAATGGCCATATTTAAGCTTTGATATTTTGAAGGACAATTTAGGTCTAAGAACTAATGTAAGCATTAGATATTTAACAACGTATAAAGACACTTATAACTTAAAGTATCCTGTAACAGTATATCTTGTGTCAGGCACCCAAGCAGATATTAAAAAAGACAATAATATTACTGTTATAAAGTTGTCGCATTTGTGTAGAACTCAATATGATGGTGAGCATGAAAAAATACATTGACAATTATAACAAATACGTTAGATGACTCAATTGATTCAAATGATTCTGATATAGATGAAGATCCTATTCTTGAATATAGGTCATTGCCTACCTTTGGAACTACAAATCGCATTCGAGCATTTTATAAGGAAGGCGAAAGTTATTTTGTTGCATCATTTAGTGAAACAGGAAAAGTACATATATGGGATGTCGCTCCTCATTTATTATCAATTAATAATCCAGGTGTATCTGTTGCTAAAAAATATAATTCACCTATCTACACTGTTTTAAATCATAAAGTAGAAGGATATGCAATTGATTGGAATACATTATCATCGCATAATTTTCTTATTTCAGGCGACAATAATGGTTTTATTTATTTAACATCTCTTTCAGAAGCCTCATGGTTTACAGAAAAAACACCATTTTTAGGACATATATCATCAGTAGAAGATCTTGTGTGGTCTCCTTCTGAGAGAAATGTATTTGCCAGTGCAAGTACTGACGGAACTGTAAAAATATGGGATATACGAAATAAAAGACACAAACCTGCATTGAGTGCTGATCTTCATCCTGGTGTAGATATAAATGTTATTAGCTGGAACAAAAATGTATTATATTTAATGGCAACAGGAGCAGATGATGGAAAGTTTAATATATGGGATTTACGTACATTCCAAAGGTATTCTTTCTTTAAAAATATTTAAAATTAACTAATATAGTTCATCTATTCCATCATTTATCGCATCATTTTCTTGGCATACAGCTCCCATAACATCTATAGAGTGGCATCCATCCGAAAAATCAGTAATTTCAGTATCAGATAAGAATCATGTTTCATTATGGGATTTATCTGTTGAGGTGGATAACGAAAGTCAAGTTTCAAAAAAAACAGACGATCTTGACCATATACCTAATCAACTTATGTTTATACATATGGGGGGAAAAGACATCAAAGAAGCACATTGGCATCATCAAATTCCGGGATGTGTTGTAAGTACAAGTTCTACAGGAATACAAGTCTTCAAAACTATAAGTATATAAATATAATACTTAATAGCTTATTTTTTTCGGCAATTATGTTTAAAAGCATAAAAACATAACATTTAAAAGATATTTAAATAAAACACTTGATTTATAAAGCAAAATTCTTACACTTGATAAAAACTATTCATAGGTTGTAAATATCTTATTAAGCATAAACATACGAATTTAAAAAAAACAGCATCAATAAAAATATGAAATTCAAAGTATAAACTTCAAATTGATTTGTATACAGTTTTTTCTAACGTTTTATAGAAAAATTGAGAATTAAAATAAATTACAGCGGAATACTGTAGATATATACTTAGAAATTTTCGAATTTCAAAAAAATCAATATAAAAAATATTTTTCAAATTAGTTTCACTTTTTTCTCAGAGAATTACACATATAAAAGATATTTATTTATTTAATTATTTGACAGAAACATTAGACATTTACTTTTTCTTTAAATACTACATAAATATTTCGAAAATTGTCTAAAAAAATTATAATACATTATTTAATGTTGATATCTTATCCTTAAATCATTTAATCCGAATATTTAAGAGTTAGAAATTAAAAAAGAATATATCAAAATCCTGTAAATTTCATTTGTTTATCAATATATATAAAAATTATATTTTTTCATAATATTTCTTGTAATACATAGAATATGTAAATAAAACATGTCTAAACAAAAGAAAAACTCATTTTGATTTCTTTAAATACATTAAATAAAAAGAACTCAGCTTTTATCGACAATTTTTTTTTAATCAAAAATAAATTCATGTAAAATTAAATGGATATATATTTTAAATATATTACTATTCTATAATATGATATGGGGTCTATTTCAGAGCCCTATTTCCTTACAAGGATTCCATATCCTATAAACTCAAAGTTTGCTAAACAATGTCAAATCGCAAATGTTTTTCCTAAAGGTTACCATGAAATAGTAATAGCGATTAATGGAGTAGGAATTAACATCTATGACGTAAGAACATAATCCCTGTGATATATCAGTTTTAATTTTAAAAATAGGCGGATTCAGGTCAAATAATTACAAATTATCCTGTAAATGGAAATACACAATTTTCATGTGCTCCTATTTCTATTAGGAAAGAAACTAATAAAAAACGAACAACTATAGCTGGGTCAGTAGAAATAAATACAAGGAACCGAAAATTACTTTTATGGATCGAGAAATCCAACTTAGACGTACAATTTAAATTTATAAATATTAAATCCAAAGTCATAAACATTCAATTACTACAAGATTATATTATTTCATTCTTTGAATCTGGGGAAATTATTCAGTACAATTCCAACATGGATATTATTTGTAAAGTTTCAACAGATATTTCAAATATAGTTCATTGTGGTCAAATTAAACTCAAATTACCATATGAAATTTTTTCAATTGAAAACAAAGAAGAAGATATTGTATATAAGATCTCAATAGAAGATTCGCGAATTATCATTATTAATATTTTTCAAATATGCGAAACAAGATGTACGGAACTGAATACGATTACTGGAATATTAGCAATGGTAATTTATTTTTTATTATTTAATATATATATATAATATTTAAGGATTTTCATATAAATCACAGGATTGCATTGACTGAGAAAAGCATTATTTATCATCTTACATCAACTCATCTTTTTACATATATATTAACATCTTCAAATATTGAATTTAAATCAAAAACGAAATTTTCTAAAGAACTTTCAATTCCTTTTTTTTTGGAAATATTTCATAATCATCATATTATAATATGCACAGCAGATAAAATATTACTTTTTGATGCACTATATCAAGTATTTTTCTTTTCAAGAGAAATAACACATATAAACACAGCACCCATAATTATACATACATCTGAGTCATCAAAGTTTCGAAATGCCTTATTAGTTCTATCTAATACAGAGTTTCTCATTCTATCTACTATTTCATCTCCAAAAAATAGTTTTCTAATTGATATGCTTGGAAAAGTCGATGACAAAAAAGAATCTAACATCATGGTTATAAACTCCGTTACAAGTTTTGAAAAAAAAAGATCTAATGTGTTAATATTAGAATCACCCAAAAAAACAAAAAAATATCTAAAAGAACAAGAAAAACTAGCCAAATCATTTTTATTAAAATTAAAGAAATATTCCTTACTTAAAGATGGTAACAAATTTGATATTTTTTTTTTTAAATACTTTAATACAAAAAAATTTTCTAACAATTTACAAAATAAAGACTTTAGTAAAGGAAATGGCTATAGTAAATCTAATACACAAAGTAGAAAAATTGAACTATCGCCTCAAATTTTGGAAAAAATTGCTCGAATGATATTTGTACCACCAAAAAAAGAGGATATGCACAATTTAAATAAAACAGCTAAATTTCAAATATTATTTTATCCTAAAAAAACCCTTAATTATCTCATTAGGGTAGTCCCATTGTCATTATTAAAGTCAGATTTTTCAGGTTTTATAAATGCAATTGTAACTTTAGATTCATCATTATTATTAAATTTGTTTTTAAGTTCAGATCTATTACCACCAAGAGAATTAGCATCTGCGTTGAAGTATGTTCTAAATAAGGATCCTGTAGACATGAAAATTTTCAAAAAAGTCTCGAAAATGATGAATAATTACACTGAAGAGCAAATAATATCTGCATTAAAAACAGAATTTACAGGAAACGAAATTGAAAAGTTAATCAATCTGTTAGGAAAACAAATATTAAAAACAGAATCTAAAAAATTAAAAAAACTATCTTATATTAGAGATGAATTAGTTATTTATAGGATGCTAGAGAATTCTCTAGACACTATAGGAATATGTGGAATAACTATGCAAAATATAAGACCATCTTTTTTTGATGTCACTTATAATATTTTAAAAAAAACAATTAATGAAACAATAGATATAAATTACATTATTAACATGTTAGATGAACTTATTCGTAGAGCTGGAGGCCATAAAAATATTAATCAGAAATATCAGGAATTCAAATTAAATCAAAGTAACAATATTAATCTCAAAAAAAACACTCGATCACGTGCCGTAGCATTATCAAATCAACTATCCTGTAGATCAGCTTTACAAGAAAACCATTTGAAAACAAAAAGAGCAAGAGCCTATCAAAAAAATTTTTTTGTTGGAAAATACTCTATCGAAAGATTAGAACTATAAAAAACTAAATAAATTTTATGTAATTCAAAATATACATATTCATATACTAATGATTCTTTAATGATACATACCAAAAAATTAATAACTATCAGTCTCTTCTATTGTTACAACTTCTTCTAGAAATTTTTTAATCATTCCAAGAACCTCCATCTTAAGATCTTCAGGAACGGTAGCTTTAATACATTAAAAAAACGCTACAAATATAGTATTTACCAAGGCCTTTCGGCTCAATTTCTTTTACTAAATCTTCAAAATTAGGCTTCTCTTGATGACGTACTTTAACTAAAAATAAAATTAGTAAAAATAACAAAGATTTATAGATACAAAGAGCATGATTTTTCATATCCGAATACCATCCACATTCATGAAGCTTTTTATTCAAATAAAACAGAATACTAAATCTGTATTAATAAAAATGATTATATTTTTAAATCAGTAAACCGTACCGTTCATATGCTCCTGATTCAACCAATTTCTGATTTACTTGAGCTCTTAAATTAACAATTGTTTCTGTAGGCACACTCATACAGTAAACAATAGTATTAAACTGACAAATTGTTTAATATAAAAACTATAGACTCCTTTTCTAAAATACAGAGATTAATAAAACAAATGATTTTTAAAATAAGTACAACAAAACCTATTTCGATATACATTAAAAATGATTTTTAAATATAATTACAAAAAGATATAAGAGATATTATAAGCAATCATAGTTAAATTGAAACCAAACTAAAACCATAAGTTGATTAAATAATTTTATTGTATACATATTTTTCATCAATAATAAATAAACTTTATTTTATATAGAATATTTAAAAAACCTATAAAAACAAAGTTAAAATATCAAATTTAATATTAAATCGTATTCTTATTAAAACTATCTGAAGTCATATTACCAATTATTATTATCATCATTGACATTTAACAAATATAAAAAATAATTTTATATTTTTCTTTAACGTTATATTATTTGCTTTTTAAACATATTTTTTCTCACTACTGTTGAAAAATCCATTCTGTGCTCCCATAAATAACTATAGACATATCATTCAACAATATTTATGATTTTACCAATTCCAGGACGCTCATAACTTGAATCATTTATATCATTATATTTTGATTTATCAAATTCCTATCAAAAAATTTTCCATCTATGCAAAGACAAATAACTAACTTTAAATACTATATCCTATTATTTTTCATCATTCCCTAGATCCTTACAATATATATATTTAAAAAAGCCAAAAAATCAAATTTAAAAAATTTTATCAAAATTACTCACAACCATTTAATCCTATTAAGACTCCCCTAATCATATTGCTATTATATGTTCATGCGCCTTCATCTGGTCTTTGAAAAATGCCATCATTTTGTTACAACATCTCAAATATTACTCAGAGCGAGTCAAAAAAGTATGCTTTTAGTAATTCATATGAAAAATATCACCATTTTCATGTTCAGATAGACTATCAACAGAAAAAAACTTAATTAGATCACTAGTACACCTTTCTCTACTCAATCTTTTTTTGATACATGTACTATATTTTTCCAAATTTCTTCTAAATATAACAGGACGATAATTTCGCGTTTCGGAAAACGATTAATCCAATTCAAATATTCATTATCATGATGGGGTTGGAGTAAATGAAAATAAATTTAAGTGTTTTCCATAAACAGAAATTGCAACAGAAGAACCATGTACAATTATCGATGATAATATTAAAAATGACGTAATAGGCCAAATCATTAGTATTAACTTATAATAAGAAATAATTGGATTAGCTAGAACACTTTCCGAAGGTTCATCAATTTTAGTTTCTAACTTTATAGGAGCCAATACAGAAACAAATATAGCTCCTACACCCATTGGACCAAAATGACCACAAAAAACTATAAATATTAATCAGAATGCAATTTCAGTAAAAACTACTACAAGCTTCTCTCCAAGTATGAATATCAGGAATTAAAGGCTTTAATGTAAGAATAACAGGAATTCGTCGAAAAAGTAACACAAATTGCGACAATTAGTAATCTCCAAGGAGTTACTCCCAGTTCTGGCATATTATATTGTTTACATAGTATTATAGCTCTCCAATATACAGAAAATGCAAAATTAAGCAATAAATAGATAACATTAGAAACATGTGATTCTTCAGTTTTTTTTGAAAACCAATCACTAAAGAAATTAAATTAAAAAAAGAAGAAATAATAGACATACTCCCAAGAAAATACAGCACCAGCAGAAAAACTAACATATCATCTATTCCTATTAAAGCTCCAATTCCAGCGCAAAATAATGATAACATAAAATAAAACACAAGAAACGATTCACAATTAATTAAATTATACTTTTCCTAAAATTTTACTGCTTTTCTTCCAAAAAACCCAATGAATGATCCTAAAATACAACCGAAAACAACTTCATAAAGTATTTTTATATGAAGAAATTTGCCTATAGTTTTTAATCTAAATGAATCTACTAATAGTTGCAATCCAATAAATAAAAAAGGGAGCTTATTAAAATTAGATAATTACTGGAAATAAAAATCAAAAACAAACAACAAATCCATCATTACATCCAGATTCACAAGATAAAATATTGCGAATATACTCAGGAATTTTCTTAGAAAATTCACTTTTTCCTACTATAGAAGAAACAAGAACAGGATTTGTTGCAGTAACACAAGCACCTAATATTAAAGCTTCAATCTTAATTTAAATAAATAAAAAATCCAATGTTATGAAAACATACAAAAACAAGATTTGATACTAATAGATATACTATAACACTCATAACAACCCATCCAAAAATCATAACAGGACATAAAAGCATAACCAAACTTTTCCAATGTTTTAATACATATCCTTTAGAAAATTCTACACCAACAGCAAAAACCTGAACAATCAAAACAATGCGAGAAAATTCAAGTATATTATAATCTATTTATTAATCAATTATTTAAAAAGTTTATAATTACACTTTACCAACATTACTCCCACGAACCAGGATCAAATATATTAATATAATAAGGCCCAAAAATAATACCTACAATAGTTGCTACCACTAGAAAAAAATTAAAACAAAAAAAAGGATAAGTAGCGATACTCGCTTTTCCAATATATAATCTCTGTTTAATAAAAAGAGAAACAAGCATAAATAGAGAAGTAAAGCAACCAAAAATTGCATAAGCAATATGTGGTTTTGAAATATCAACATGATTCCATACCATATATTCAGAAGCTACAAAAAGAACAACGCTATATAATCAAACTTATTAATGATTATAATACTCCTAAAAAATACATAAAACAATAGACAATTGTTTATCGATAAACTATTGCCTAAATGTTTATCGATTAGTAGATTAGAATTCTCCACTTCTGATAAATACGCATTAATTTCCAATCAAATAAAACATTAAAAACCAACGAGCTAAATCATATTTTGTTTGATTCAAAATAATATCCAATGTTTATCAACTTTTTATTATAGATTTTAAACTTTCTCTTTTGATACTCAAATACTTTAAAAAATATCAAAAAATCCAAAAAAAAAGCTTTATAATATTTAAAATATAGACTTAATTCTTCTAATCCTACTATAGAAATTGTTTCTACCAATAAAAAATCCATAATAATACTTGCTTTTATAATTACTATCTCTTATCTGTAATTCCATGTTAATTTTTATAAGAATACTATACTATACAGTATTTTATACTAAATAACAACATTCATATTTAAAAAAGAGCGAGAGTATTATAAAAGCATTCCTTTAAACGCATTTTTATCTAAAGTATTCCAATATAGTTTTTTCAAAGCTTTCAAATAATTCTTAATATTTCCAGACACGCATTATCTTTTACACATTATCTTTTCATATTACTTTTTGTAGTTCTTTCCTATTCTTGTTCTTTTGGTAATAATCTAAAAAATAAATTATCAACAAAAGTTTTACATAAACAAATTTAAAGAATTATAAGATTAAAGCTAGAAATTCTTCCTAATAAAAAATAGAATTAAAAAATGAAAATACGTATTTTATTCATTTTAACGTATTTTATTATATAAATAGTATTCTAATGTATTTTTTAGATGAAACTTTTTTAAGAACAAAGTTATCGCTGCCATCGTATATCAAAAAAAAGCTTAGAAAAACAAAATATTAAAAAGAAACGTTTTATTGCAAAATAAATAAGAAATTTCTAATATTTTTCAGTCATAAAGATTTATTTGTATAGCTTCTAGAAAGATTATTTGTTCAAATATAAACTTTCGATTTTGATATTAAATTCAGGATCTTTTTATAATTAGCTATGTCAGGACCAACAACGATTAACAAGAGCGAGCCCATTAACAAGAAAACTAGTGTTGTAATTAAGGGTAGGAGTCGGTTTCTTAATATATTCTATTTACTGTCTCCCTTCTAGTGGGTATGGTTGGTGACTCTCAGATAGGAAAAACAAGTCTTATGGTAAAATATGTCGAGGGATCATTTGATGAGGGTGAGTTATGGTTTTTTAAGATCTATTTTGAGACTTATAAATTCCAAAGATTATATCCAGACACTTGGTATATCTTTTCATTTCCAAAATGACTAAACAAATTAATTCTTATAGGTGTAAATTTTATGGAAAAAACCATTTCTATTCGAAATACAGAAATTACATTTTCTATATGGGACCTTGGGGGTCAAAGAGAATTCGTTAATATGCTTCCATTAGTTTGCAATGATGCAGTAGCTATTTTATTTATGTTTGATTTAACACGTAAGAGTACACTTAACAGTATAAAAGAATGGTATCGCCAGGCAAGAGGATTTAATAAAGTAATAAACAAATTAATCTTTATGCTATATAACCCTAATATCTAAAAGACTGCTATTCCATTTCTTATTGGAACTAAATATGACCATTTTGCAAACTTTCCTAGGGAAGATCAAGAAGAAATAACTAAACAGGTATAATATAACTATATTATATTATTTTATTAAAAAAGCTAAAGGCTAGACGTTTTTCTCAAGCCATGAAAGCATCACTCATCTTTTGTTCAACATCACATTCTATTAATGTGCAAAAGGTATTTTTAATTTATATTACTTTCGTTTATATTAAACTATTTAAGATTTTTAAGATTGTACTCTCAAAGGCATTTGATTTGAAATGTACTATACCAGAAATAATTAATATTGGTGAACCAATATTGGAATTTACCAATGTTTAGTAATATTTTTTTATTTTTCGTATAACTACAATATTTTTGCATATGTAATATTAAAGAAATCAATTTAAAATGACATATACAACCGTACAGATTTTAATATTACTCAAAAACATTTTTCAAATTTTAAATATTTATTTTGACAAAAAAATTATATCCAATAATTTTAACTGAAATTACATCTAAAAATTTAGATCCTTTAATCGTTTTCTAACATTATATTTATAATATTATTAGAAATATAACATTTTAAAGGCAAACATTTTTTAATACTTTTCGTATAAATCGTTATTTTATTGAACATTAAAATCTATAAAAATATCTTTAAATATCTTTTTGAAATATGCATTAAAGTTAAAATTATTCTTATTTAAATGATATTACGAAATTCATTGAAAATATTATATAGATTTCGTATTTTTATATAAATGAAAAATAACTTAATAAAACTATTGTTTAGCATCAAATATTAAATTAAACAATTAAAATATGCATTTTATTTTGAAAGATATGAAATATTTATAAAAATTAATAAAATTTCATAAGAAATTAAAAAACTACAAAACCAAAATCACATATATTAACAAAGTAATGCTAAAAAATCCTATGTATTTTTTGAAGTATATTTTAGCTAAAATTTAAAAAAACATATTTAAATATACTATGTTTATTATACATACTACCACTTATTTTTTTAATTTAAAAAAAAGCTATATATCTAATTAAAAACATATATTAATTTTTTTACATAAATTTATTTGCTATCTACTTAATATATTTAAAGAACTACAATCCACTATTTCAAACTCTTTTACAAATTTGAATTCATCATTAGTAAGATTATTCAGTAAATCATTATAAAACATATAAAATTTTGGAGTAGCAACTAAAAAATATTAAAAAAAATAACATTTACATAAAAATTTACATTTATTAGATATTCGAGACAATGCAATAATACTTCGCAAGATAGATTGACGCAATTCAATATTCTTTTCTATTTCTTGTTTAACGGCGGTATCTTTCAATTTTGAATTTAATATTATCGAATATTTAACAGAAATACTATCTAAAACTAATATATAATTAAAACAGTAATAATATTTTTTCTAGTATACCAGCTTGAATTTCTCTAGGAGCTAAAGTGCATAATTTGATCAATATTAAATTCGAAAATATTTTAATATCATGACAATCATCCAATCCACAAATTACGATATCCAAAAATCCCGAAACATCCTCTACATATGCAAAAAACATCTCACAAATAGAATATAATATCTCATATACACTCTTGAGTTAATTAGTAATAAACACTTATAAAAATCAAATACCTTTCTTAATTCAAAAGAATCATCAACGATATGTACAAATGGTCCCACTTGAACTCTTTTCATTAAATTATCTTTTATTATTGTTTCTTTATAAAGAACAGCTAGAAATTTTTGCATGTGAATCTGAACAAGATAAAATTTATTATGAATAGCAACATTCAAAACTTCAAATATTAATTTCTTAACAATCTTCCTAAAATTAGCTAAATATTTCTTTAAATTTCAGATACCAGCTGAGAATTTTCTACTGACAATAAAAGTTCATCAATTATAAGGCTTAAAAAACTATCGAATTCATTTACAGAACTAGTAAAAGTAAATTTTATTGCAGAAATAACAACCAATTGAATCTCTGTTGATGAATTTTTAACTTGTTTCTAAATAATACTATTAGTTAAAGAAAAATAAAAATAAAATACCTGAAATTCAGGAAAAAAATAATGAGGTTTAAGCAATGCAAGCCTTCCAATACATTCTACTGCTATAGGTCTGCAACTTTCATCGGATATAGAACATTTAAATAAAATGTTTAGAACATCAATGAAATATGTCATGAAATTTGAACTTCGATCATGATGTATAATTATCTTATAATACATTAATTTACTTGTAAACAAAAAAAGTAATAACCTCTTTTAACGCAATCAATAACAAACAATACTCAGAAAACTCTGATTGTAATTGATTGATAAAAAATGGAAAATATGTACTAATATTTCCCGCTACAATATTCCCAAGAGCAAATGCTGAAATTCTTTTAAGATCATTTGATGAAGAAAAAAACTGCGAAAACACCACATCCATGATATTAATATACCGAGCCATATTCCTAAAAAATGTCAATTAAATTAAAAAAAAAAAAAATTACATTTTTCTTCCAGCTTCTCCAAGAACCATCAAAAGGAAACATTTTTTTTTGACAATTTCTGAAACTTTTACCTCTTCAATAAAATTATTTATTAAAAATTCAAAACCATTTTCAAGAATTAATGCAATAATTTTTGAAAAAAAAGACATTTCATTAAAAGAAACATCTATGAAAAACAACTTTTTAAATAAATAATTGAAGCTTCCTTTTTTTATAGAAACTTTCATAAAATCCAAAACCTTATCTTGAATTTCTATACTATTTTGTACCAAGGGTGTCCTTATCAAATGCATAATATGATGAAATAATTCTTCAAATATGGTAAAAGGGACATCAATATACTTTATTAGATTTACCAATAACAAAATTGTACTTGAAAGAATATGATAGTCTTTTGAGAATATAATAAATATAATAGTATCAACAAGCTTCCGAACAACTGAAAATTCTAGAGTATTTTCAGATATTTTCATAAATCCACTAAGTGCCAACAAACAAGGAAGTTTTAAACTTTTATTATTTTTTTCTAAAAATCCTAATAATAAAACAACAGTCTTTGTCACCCATTTACAATCCAACTTAGGAATCCTAAAAGTAATAATATCCCTAATGATTTTTATAGTTAATAATTGAGTAGTTTCGTTATTAAGTTTTTCCGTCAAAATATTAAGGACTAAATTTTGTTTATTTTCATCTAAATTCATATAAATCAAAAAATGGCCCATGGCCATCATTGCATTTTCTTCTACATCATCGTGAATATTAGCTACAGAAGCCTTTTCTAACACAATAAAATATAACTCATCAAAAGATTTTTCAAAATCATCACCATTTGAAGGAAGAAGTTTTATTAAAAAGGACAAAGAACATAATGATTCTGCCGAAATTTTATAAAATTTATCTTGGATTGATACAGTAATTCCTTTTATAAAAATGTGAAGATAAGGCTGAATTATATGGTAGGATGTTTGAGATAACATTTCTTTTACAAAACGAAGAGCCTCAATTCGTAAATCAGTTACCGAAGACATAGAAATAGAACTTATTTCATTATAAAACGAAGATGCTAATAATATTTCTATAGGTCTCATAAAATACTGATATTGACTATCCATTTCTTTTGCCATGATTTTAGTTAACTCAGTAATTAAAACATATCCTGCCTGACAAATAGAGATTGAAGATGACATGAGTTGTATAGAAAGTACTTTACAAATTTCTGGAAGAAGAATAGATATTTTTTTCTTAAATAAAAAAGGTAATTCCAAATATATATTAGACATATTATTCTCTTTAAATTGTCCGAAGTCTAAATTTTCAGATCTTTTGAACAATAAATAAGACGTTTGCCTAATCAAAGATGTGAATGTATTCAAAACATCATATCTCACAACTTCTTCGCGTTCATTAAACTTCTGGATTAGAGAAATTGCTACCTGAAAATAATGTTGTTGAAAAAGAGTTATATAAGTGTTAATAATTGTATTCAGGAGCTTACAAGAAAATCTTCGAATTCTCCATGACATATCATCATTAGAATAATCACTTAAAAAATGAACATTATTTGAAATTTCAAATAAAAATTACCTATTATCGAACTCATCAGAATTAGATTCCATCTCTACATTTATATCACTATCTGTATAATTTGGATCATAATTAAGCAATAAAACTAATTCTTCAATAATATACGATATATACGGTTTTGTTTCCTTATCAAAATGAAGTATAAAAATTTCTAAAGTTTGTAAAGCCAATTCACGAACTTCATCATCATCTTTTTTAAGAGTTTTTAATATAACTGGAATAATTGATTTTAAATATTTCGAAAATCTATAATTAGAAAAAAAACTAGATGCAGATGTAGAAAAAGTAGAACTAGAAAGCTTCCCAAAAAGGAATACCAAAGTTTTGAGTCTATCATTAGATTCAGTATCAACTTTCTTTAAAATATTATCCATAAAAAGCGGAAATAAATCATTTGACAAATATAAAGAAAAAAGCCCTTTTTAATAATTAAAGACATAAAAAAAAAAGTTCTTACCAAGTGCAACAACAGAACACTTTCTGATTACGGCATAAGGACTATCCAATAAATGAACAAGTATTGTTTGTATATGTTTTTGTTCCACAAAAGAAAGAGAAGCTATTTCTACTCCAAACTTAGATAATAACTCAATCATAACATTAATAATATCCATCTGATTCTCCAAAATGGTATCCTAACATAACAATTGAGAAATATCATTATATTTTCTTATTATACCGTTATCAATTGAGAAAGAAGTTTTGGAAATAAAAAATGAACAATAGTAACAGCAATAGGAGAAGGAGATGGTGTCTCTATAATAATATTTCTAAGAGCTAATGACAGAAAAATTAAATAACCAGTAACTATTAATGTAAATAAAATATACCTGTAAAAGAAATATCTCTTAACATATTTTTTTCCAATATTCCCTCATTTGACTCAAAAAAATTACAGAGAATATCTAGAATAATCACTAAATGATTATTTTCACATTTCTTTGTAAAAGACGTAAGACTTTAAAATATATTAATTGCTAATAACAAATTTAGAAATACACTGTACCATTTAATTGCAAGATTTTGTACTTCACCGTTTTTATCTTTTAAAAGACGAACCAATGAATCAATAACTTGTATACATATATCCTCTTCTAATTGACAAGTAGTAGATTTCTGGAATTCATTCATAAGGTCAACAATAGCCATAAATACCAAATCTTTATCTTGACTCTTCATCTACAATTGTTAGTATAATATTTATCTAGAAATCATAGCCTTAACTTTTTCAATTAAACTATAAATAAAATAGGAATTTAAAATCATCTTTAAATATCTTTAAAATAATTCTTTAAACATCAAAAATTAAATTTTAAGGCAAATTAAATTTAAAAATATATTTATTAAAAACATTCTCTTAAACACATTTTATATATAAATACTTTTCAAATCTAGATAAAATTTTATGAAACAATTCTAAACAAAAGGAAATTTAAAACAAAATCAAAGCATATATGTAATTTATTATTGCAAAATTAACATATTTTATTTATCATATATTTATATTAAATAAGCAATATTTGCCTCAATAATTTAATCCAAAAAATATCATACATTACACATAAGACTATAAAACGTCAAATAATGCGAAAAAACTTTAAAATTTTTTATTAATATTTGTAAATTAAATTCAAAACCAAATACTTAAAAAGTTGGTACCACTGGGGTTCGAACCCAGGCCTCTTTCGAGATGAGAGATATTACAAAAGCTTAAATCTCACGCCTTAGACCAACTCGGCCATAGTACCATTAAATTTATAACGAATTAAAAATATATAAAAAGTTAAATATTTTACATTAAAATATTCAAAGTTCCAATGTTAAAAAGTTTTAAATATTTAGTACTCTTGACTCTTATAAAAAATAACCCAACATTATGTTTTTATATCTCAATCTTTAAAAATATATTTTATTTGAATATTCTACACATAGCTTCTACGTTTTTTATCCAAAACATTCACAATTCTTCTAACATTTAAAAATTATTAAAAATACTTTTATAATCCTATAAATTGTAAAAGATTTTCATAATAATTTCATAAATTAAGACAAATATACTTAATTTTATGCATCATTTACGAAAATAACAATAGAACGATATTTATAAAGATATTTATACAAAAAAAATACAGAAATCAATCTATAAAATTAGTTAAACAATATGTCCTTTGCATATATTTGTTGATATAAAACTAAAATAACATTTTTTTTGAATCACAATATTTTATCAAATATTTTTATCATTTTATATAATATTCAAATAATTCATATTTTTTCAATAATTTTTTTGATTTTTAAGCAATTATTTTAAAAGCATAACATAAACTCATTTTCAAGATTTAACATTAATATTTTTCAAATATATTGTATCACTCCATTAACAAAATACATATACGACATATATACACATATATATCAACTAATTGTATATATATATATAATATCATGTTAGAATATTAAAATCAATATGTCAATAACTTTATTTCAAAATCCGGTTAATCTTAAATATATAATCTTTTCACCAAAATAGCTTATCAAAGATTATCATTTTTTTTTAAAATTTTGAAAAAGATATAATTATATTGGTATATTCAATACTAAAGATTTTTTATAACTTATTATTCTTCTAAATTTTTTAAATATTTTCTATATAAATTCAAGTAAACTTGATCGCTTTATATTTATAAATCACCCAAATTTCTAAAAATCAAAAAAAAATAAAAAAAACTAGAAGGAAAGCAATAAGATGCCAGAAGAATTGGGAAAAGGGGGCTTAAATAACGAAAAAAGAGCAAATGTGTAAGTTATTAAAAAATATTATACTTTATAAGAAAATGTTAATATATATGTTTTAGAGTAGAAAAAATAGAATCTGAGAATAAATTGGCAATGAGTATTCTTCGAAAAAAAAAAAAGCAGAATAGTCTTATTGTCGATGATGCAGTAAACGATGACAATAGCGTGATTAGTCTAAGCAATAATACAATGGAGATATTGCAGCTTTTCCGCGGAGACACTGTTTTAGTCAAGGTACTCCTCTTTATTTACTTGATGTAATTCTGATTAGTTAATAGGGAAAAAAGAGGAGAGATACTGTATTAATAGTTCTTGTTGATGATGATATGGAAGAAGGTGTCGCGCGAATTAATAGGGTTGTTCGTAATAACCTTCGAGTTCGTCTTGGGGACATTATCACAATTTATCCTTGTCCCGATATCAAATATGCTTCAAGGATATCAGTTCTACCTTTGGCAGATACAGTTGAAGGTCTTACTGGATCTCTTTTTGAAGTTTATCTTAAACCATATTTTGTTGAGGCTTACAGACCTGTACGCAAAGGCGATCTTTTTACAGTATGCTTTAATCTTATCAACATTGCAAAAGTTTATTAATTCTAGGTACGTGGTGGGATGCGTCAAGTGGAATTCAAAGTTATTGAGATCGATCCCTCTGAATATGGTATTGTCGCACAAGATACAATTATACATTGCGAGGGAGAACCTATTAATAGAGAGGAAGAAGAAAGCAATCTTGCTGATGTAGGATATGATGATATTGGAGGATGCAGAAAAAAAATGGCACAAATTCGCGAATTGGTTGAATTACCTCTTCGTCATCCACAACTCTTTAAAAGTATCGGTATTAAGCCTCCTAAAGGAATTCTTCTATACGGTCCTCCTGGGACAGGAAAAACACTTATGGCTAGAGCTGTTGCTAATGAAACAGGGGCCTTTTTTTTTCTTATTAATGGTCCTGAAATAATGAGTAAAATGGCTGGCGAATCAGAAAGCAATCTTCGAAAAGCATTTGAAGAAGCAGAAAAAAATTCGCCCTCTATTATTTTCATTGATGAAATTGACTCTATAGCACCTAAACGTGAAAAAACAAACGGAGAAGTTGAACGTAGAGTCGTTTCACAACTACTTACTTTAATGGACGGAATGAAAGCACGTTCAAATGTAATCGTAATGGCAGCTACTAATCGTAAACTTTCTATTGCATTTTTTTTCTGATTAAAAAGTCATAGGTCCAAATTCTATTGATCCAGCTCTTCGCAGATATGGTAGATTTGATAGAGAAATTGATATTTCTATTCCTGATCCTACAGGAAGACTTGAGATTCTTCAAATCCATACCAAAAATATGAAGTTAGGAGATGACGTTGATCTTGAACAAATTGCATCAGAAACTCATGGTTATGTTGGAAGTGATATCGCATCTTTATGTTCTGAAGCAGCTATGCAGCAAATTAGAGAAAAAATGGATCTTATAGATTTAGAAGAAGATACTATTGACGCAGAAGTTCTTGATTCTTTGGGGGTTACTATGGAGAATTTCAGATTTGCATTAGGTGTTTCAAACCCATCAGCTTTGCGTGAGACAATTATTGAAGTACCTAATGTTCGATGGGAAGATATTGGAGGGTTGGAGGATGTTAAAGCGGAACTTAAAGAGACAATTCAATATCCTGTAGAACATCCTGAAAAATTCATCAAATTTGGTATGTCACCAAGCAAGGGAATATTATTCTACGGCCCTCCAGGAACAGGGAAAACTTTACTAGCCAAAGCTATTGCAAATGAATGTGCAGCAAATTTCATCTCTGTAAAAGGACCAGAATTGCTTTCTATGTGGTTTGGTGAAAGTGAATCTAATATTCGAGACGTAATTTACCATTTTCTCTTTAAGAAAATACTTAGGAAAATAGATTTTTGACAAAGCACGTGCTGCTTCTCCTTGCGTTATATTTTTGGACGAGCTTGTTTGTTTTTTTTTATGATTTCTATTATATTATTAAAACATATAGGATTCTATAGCAAGATCTAGAGGAGGTAGTATTGGTGATTCTGGAGGAGCTTCCGACCGCGTGGTAAACCAGCTTCTTACTGAAATGGATGGGATGACGTCAAAGAAAAATGTATTTGTTATTGGTGCTACTAATCGTCCTGATCGTATGTTATTTTCTATAAGTTTTATATTTTTAATATTTATGTAGAAATTGATCCTGCTCTTATGCGTCCTGGCCGTTTAGACCAGCTAATTTAGTATATATATATTATTCTATTTACATCAATACTAATATATAATAGCGTTCCACTTCCTGATATGGCTTCAAGATTAAGTATTCTCAAAGCTCAACTTCGTAATAGTCCTGTTGCTTCAAATGTTGATCTTTCTGCAATTGCAAAAGCAACCCATGGATTCTCAGGAGCAGACTTGGCCGGATTAACTATGAGAGCTGCAAAATTAGCAATTAAAGTTTAAAGCCTTTTTCTAGTATATTATTTATCTAATATAATCCCCAGGAATCTATATCCTATGAAATTAAAAGAGAAGAATCTCAGAAAGAAAAAAAAGATGAAATAGAAGATATAGAGATGGATGACCCAGTTCCTGAAATTACCAGAGCCCACTTTGAAGAATCAATGAAATATTCACGAAGGTATATCTTAAATTATATTTATCTTTTTAAAATAATTTTATCCATATTAGATCAGTGCTAGATTCTGATCTCAGAAGATATGAAATGTTTGCAAACCAATTTAATCAAAACCGAGGTTTTAGCACATTTAAATTTGAAGATTCCGTAAATAATAGTAGAGCCGAAAATTCATCAGGAGCTATATTTGGCGAAGAAACAGGGGATGATCTATACTTATAGATAATACCTAGTAATTTCATAGAAATAACACTTGATATTTATAATTTTTCGAAAAAAAATATACACAACAAAATATCAATCTGTCAAGAGTTATTATATTTTACTAATAAAATCATAACTATACTTCTCATTCTATAAAAGTACAGGCACTTTTTAAATAATTTAGCTATATATTTAGCAATTTAAACTAATCTATATAATTAACTATACCTAAAAATATATTGAAATTATGTTTTAATTTGTTAACTTTACATTTCTAATAAAATAAAATCTATTTTCAATTTTTGAACATGTAAACTTAAAATTGATAGATTTTATTTTTAAAATATAAATATAAAAAATTCTTTATTACTAAATTATAACAATCTAAAATTCAAACAAAAACCAAAAAAGGAATTTTATTCTTTTAAAAAAAATCATAAATTAAAAACCTTATAAAAAGTACTTATATAAAATATTTATAATCAATTAAATAAAAAAATTTCAATATATATATATATATATAATGCTATAAATTAATACCTAGAAAAGACAAAAATGTTTATAAAATTCTTTTTCAGAGCATAATATACAAATAACTAAAAATATTATATAAATTCGTTACATATTTGACAAAAAGTAAACAAAAAATTAAAAAACAATTTATTTAATATATAAACTTAGATACAATAATAATAATGAAGGTTTTTTATAAAAATTTGATACATCATCTAAAGTTGATTTTAAAAATTTATTAATATATTTATACTTAAAACTATATACTATATATATAGAAGCATAATAATAAAAAAATATATTATTATATAGAAAAAATTAATATTAAAATTAGCATTACAAATTATTATAAAATATTAACTTCTAAAAAATCCAATATTTTTAGTATATAGGAATATAAAGTATATACGTATAAAAGAGTTCATTGATTATCAATTATTATTGTGTATATTAACTTTCATTAAAATCATTACCTATAAAATATTCACATTTTTTTAAAGGATTCAGATTCTCAACATTAAAAAATATTTTAAGCCTAATCAAAAAATATTACATATATTTATATATTATCATCTTTTCTATCAAGTAACAGTATTTTATACTCCCAATATTTTTTTCTAATAGTATCATATTTATCAATTAACAACTGTAAAGCCTAAAAAATTACGTTAATATCAAAATGCTCTAAATTTTACCTTTTTTGCATCTTTAATAGACGTGTCGTTTAAAGAATATATATCTGCCAGAAATTCTAATGCTTCAGAAGACATTTGTTGATTTTCATTTGGATTTAAAGAAGCATACTGAAGACAAAATGGTTCCAAGAAAGAAAAATTCTGATTATACTTTTCAAGTATTCTAATATAATTATAAATAAACTAAATAAATAAACATACCCCCTAAGATATAGCCATGGGCTAGAATTTTGTGGAGAAAAGGCTATAGCATCTTTACAATATCTTTAACAATTACAATAATGTAAACAATAAATTCTTAATTTACTCAATTTCTTTTTTCATGGTATCATCTGAAACATAATGATGATCTCTAAAAACGATATAAAACCTATAATTCCATGCAGAATTGTTTCGAATGTCTTGTTTTAAAAAAAGATCAATATAAGGCAATTCTACATCCCATAAATTAAACCGTTCAGTTAACCACTGTCTAAAAAACATAAATATAATGAATATACTAACATATATAAAAACCGATAAGACCATGCATGATAATTCTTAGAATCCTTTTGTAAAACTTCAGCTAAAAAATTCAACTCCATTGAAGGATCCCCATACATATCCATAAGAAATTGTCTATAATGCCTTTACATATTAATAAGACATTCTAAAAAAATTTTCATAATCACCATAATTGATAGCTTTTTGGATGTAACTTGCTCAATTGTTCAACCCATAAAAGTTCCTGAAGAAGATCTTTTTTAAGATTTATTAAGACTTTCATTCTATAAGCCCTAAATAATATGAATAAAAAAAAAAGACAAATAAAACAACCATATCGTATAATGTGCAGGATTCATATTAATAATATAAGCAGTAAGTCTCATTGCGCGCTCAGACATCTCTTCTTTAATCATTACTGCTTTTAAATAAGCCATTGCTTCGGAATAATATGGTGGATAAGCAATAGGTGCAATAGGATCAACACCTTCATCCTGAAAAACGGGCTCAAGGGCTCCTTCATTATCGAAATCTAATATTTCATGTAATTCTAATTTCCAGGAATTTGAAGCGTCCATTTTTTAAAGTTTAAACGGATCAAAAACGTTAAAAAATATAAATAAAAAAAATTATAGAAATAAATTAAAAATCTATGTCCAATATTTCCAATATTTTGTTTTTTCAAATTCTAAAAAATCCTCAAACTGTTCTTTATTTCTAATATTTATAAATTTTTTATAAAAATCATCATCACAATTATTTAGCATTCCTAGACCTTTATCACCAAGCGAGACTTTATATACTTCAAATCCATTAGATACTAACTGAAGCTCAAATTCATGAATGATCTCGGCATTTAATTCTATTAAAATAAATAAAAGAAAACTTAAAACAACATTTACCTTCTCGCAAAAGTATTATAACACATCCTCCACCACCTGCACCTGTTAATTTAGTCCATCCAATATTATAATCATTTGCTATTTTAATGATTTCATCAAATTTTTGATGACCTACACCAAGAGCACATAAAAGATCATGATTAATACGCATTAAAGTGCCAACTTGTAGGCGATCTAAATAGCAATGCTCAGATTTTCGACTTTTCTCATATAAAATTTTAAAATTCATAGAGATATGATCTATAGAGTCAAAGATAGGTGATATAATATCTTTATAATTTTGATAAAGATTTTTAACACTATTAACTAAAGTAGATGTTGACCGAAGCTGCAAAGTATTAACTAACAACAAAGGTAATGCAGGGAAACTTTAAAAATTATTAAGAATTAAATAAAAACAATATAGTTCTACTCATGAAATATTTCAAAAATAAATGGAGGATCAGAATTTGTCTTTCGAAAAAAAACAATACCACCTTCACTTGAAACTGTATTATCAATACCACTTGGATTTCCATGAATACACATTTCACCGTTGAATGCCCATGAATTAATTATAGATAAAGACCTTTTATCCAATAATGTACCATTCGGTGGGGTAATGTGATCATTAAACAAAAGCAAACCAGCAGCTAAACAAACTGATATTGATGCACTAGATCCAAGACCAGAACCTATAGGTATTGCTGATCTTAAAATAAATGCAACAGATTTTTTTTTATCATATCGTGATAAACTCAAATACAAATACAAAAATGCCTGAATTATTTTAGAATACAACAACGGTTCATCCTTAGAAAAATAAGTTAAAAAAGATATATGTACTTCATCAATTCTTGGAGGAGGTAAAAGTGGGTCTAATATATTTTAAATGCAATTAAAACCAAAAATAAAGTAAAGACCATTTAAAGAAAAGTCTTTCCAAGGAAAATTATCTTGCTTCCATGATTTCTTCAAATCAATATCAGGGAACTCAATACGTACGATAGATTCTTCTGATTCATCAGAAAATATCATTAAATAAGATTTCAAAGAGACAGAGGCAGCAATTGCAGCCTAAAATCGGTGAGCTAATTCCTATAAATCTACATTGTTTCTAAACTTTTCCATAAACAACAGCATGTTCCCTTGAGAAGATAAGTAGATATATAGTTATTTCCATATTTACCCAAAAAGAATTACTTTTCCAGGAGAAGATACAAAAACAGTTTTCATTTTGGATCTAAATTACTTCAACTCATATTAGATAAACGATCTTTAAATCGAAGTATAACAAATCAGTATCTAATAGTTTTAAAACTTTAAATTAGTCAAACCCTACTCTAAATATTTCTTTAACCCTAATATATAATCAAAGATTAAAATTTATAAAATATATATAATAAATAAATTTATTGATATATCAACAAGTATAAACCAGTAATAAAACGAATAAATTATGATAAAAATATATAAGTAAATTGTGTTATATTTAGCTTTTTAATTTAGATTATTTTAAAAATGTTTATATAAAATTTTAAATAAAAGTCTTAGTAAAATAAAAATAAAAATAAAAATAAAAATAAATCAAATGAATTTTCTAGAAACCAATAAACATATAATTATACTTAAAATTGAATTATATATTTATTATTTATTTATTATCAAATACTTATTTTTATCGTTATCTTCGAATCCGGAACAAAGTTTCCTAATTTCTTAATAATTATAAAAATGCAAAAGTTTTATGAAAATACCCATTTTTTTTTCTTGACTCTCAAGGGATATGAGGGCTTTTATATTTCCAACTTTTTTATTAATAACACAGGTCTTTTCAAGGGGTTTAGAGGTTTCAGGTTAGTTTTATTTTTGTTATATATTCTTTATATTTATTATTTTAGAATTCATTAAAGATTCAGCTGTCCCAGAAAATGAAAGATACATAAAGTTTTACAGAGAGTTGTTAGATAATCCTGCGAAAGAATTAGAAAATCCAATAACTGATAAAGAGAAAAATACTCTTGAGCTAATTAGAAAGGTTCATTCTTCATTATCCATTGAAAAACATTTTGAAAATCAGGATGGTATAAAATTGATGAATTTGAAAGATACTAAAGAATATAGATATAATAAATGAGCCTATTCTTGGAGAATTAACAAATCATTTTAAACACGATTTTTCTATTGATAAATGCATTAATTTAACATCAATTTGCTGTAATGTTCTTAATACTGCTGAGAATAAGAACAAAGAAACATTAAAAGGAATATGCTCCAATAAAGAAAAATTTTGCACTAATCTATTAAAATATTTTAATATAATTTGCACACAAGTAAAAGATGAACAAGAAAAAATTGTTGATTTTACAAAAGAAATTTGCCTCAAGGAGTGTCAGAGATGTAATGATTTTGAGGAAAAATGCAATGGTATTCTAAATAATACATGTATAAAAGTGAGAGAAGAGTGCAAAAAATTTAACAATGAAACAAAAGCACCGGAGAAACCTGAAACACCTAATAATCCTAAAAAAGAAGATAAGCCTAAAAAGGATGAGCCTAAGAAAGAAGACGATCCTAAGAAAGAAGACGAGCCTAAGAAAGAAGACGAGCCTAAAAAAGAAGACGATCCTAAGAAAGAAGACGAGCCTAAGAAAGAAGACGAGCCTAAGAAAGAAGATGATTCTAAAACAGATGATATAAGTGAATCATACCTAACGGAATATGAAGCAATTACATCATTTGAAACTGTACCTGTAACGGAATATACAGGCACTGGTACTATAATTGCTCATGTAACAACAACAACTCTTGAGGTTCCAGAGACATCTACTATCCTAGAAACGCAAATAGAAACAGTTACACGTTGTAATTGCAGATGTCGTTATTCTACATGTACACAAACGATAATTAATGATTGTCCTACACCAAAACCGACAGAAGAACCAGCAGGGGAGCCAGCAGGGGAGCCAGCAGGGGAGCCAGCAGGGGAGCCAGCAGAACCAACAGAAGAACCAGCAAAAGAACCGGTAGAAGAACCAACAGAAGAACCAGCAAAAGAACCGGTAGAAGAACCAGTAGAAGAACCAGCAAAAGAACCGGTAGAAGAACCAGCAAAAGAACCGGTAGAAGAACCAATAGAAGAACCAGCAAAAGAACCGGTAGAAAAACCAATAGAAGAACCAGCAAAGGAACCGGTGGGAGAGCCAACATCTGAATCAATAACGAAGACAAGTATAACTGAAGGATGTGTAATTTCGAAAACACTAACGCTAACGATAGAGCCAACAAATAAATCAGGCGAACGCAACAAGGGTAGTGGAACAAAAATTGAAAGGCTTTATAATAATAAAATGATTTTTACGATTGTAGGAATGATAACAGGAATATGGATAGTTGTTTAATAGTGAATGTTTCTTATATTTCGGAATGTTAGAAATGTAGAAAATCATGTGGCAGCATGTAAAAAATAAATATTTTTTATTTGTATTTGATTAAATTAATATTTGTAAAAAAGTAATTTATTTTATATATTAAATATTCATAAACAAATTCTATTCATAATCTTAATGGAAAAATGATTTTAAATTGATAGTTTCTAAAAATGGAAATAACTTTTTAAGTTAATTTGATATAAGAAACTACATTACTTGAAAACCTAATTTCTAAAATAAATCTTTTTAAAAAAAGACTAATTAAAATAGGTAAGTATTAATGATTAAAAGAATTGTATTTTTTATTTATTGTTTTGTGATTTAATAGAAATAAGATTTCTATAATAGGTTTTTTAAAGGAAAAAATAGAATATTTTATAATATGAAATTATTATATATTTTTTAAAATAGATATTTTTATTTTTATTTATACAAAGTAATTTTTCTCAAGAACATTTTAGATGGTTAGAAATTTATTTTTAACCATTCTATAGATTTTAGAGTGAATAATTTGGATAAGAATCGATAAGGAATAAATTTTACATTTTCAAAAGAATTTTTATTAATAAAGATAACATCAGAAAATAATATCGATAAAGACCTTTAAATTTAACAGTAATTGAAATTATGTTTTTTTTTTCAAAAAAACAAAACATCTAATTATTTAATTATCTAACTCTTGGAAAAAGATTACCCTTAGGTATAATTTTTTCAAAAAAATTTGTATATTAATAAAGAAAACAAACAGAATTTAGAACATCTGACGTCATTAGTAAAAAGAAATATTTAAGATTAATTATATTTTGTAATAATCAATTTAAGCCTACAGTTTTATTGTGATTTAATTTACAAAAAAATAAATACAAAAAATTATTAAAAACAATTATATTTTAATATATTAAGCGTGCTTTAAGATAGGGTTTAGAAAAAGCCGAAATTAAAATATTAGATAAATTTATAGTTGAGGATCAAAAAATGAAAAATTACCCTAAATTACAAGAAATATGGTTGATTATTTAAATAATTATATTGTAAAAGTATTGTTGAAAAAGTAATAAAAAAGTTTAAAAAATATAATAATAATTTTTTAATTAAGGAATAGAAGTGATAATTTTAATAAATGCAGAAGTTGAATAAAATTATTTAATAAAATATAATAAAAATAAGGAATATTTGTATAAGAATAAAATAGGTCAAAAAAAACAAAGAAAAAATTAATAAGTTTAATATGAAAATGTAATTTTTTTGGGATAAAACTTTACCTTAAAATATTATCAAAAAAAAAAACAAGTATCTATAAATGGAAAAAGTTACAGAAGTTATTTATTAAGAATGTCTAAAATTAAGATCCATATGTTTTTATCTACAAATAATCTTTAAAAGTATATTATTAGATGCGAGCAAAATACAAAAATAGTATATTGTAAAAGAGGATTAATGATAAATAACCAATATTTCAAAAGAAAATAAATATAGATGATTATAATTTAAATCGAAGCATGGATAAAAGTTACTAAAAAATTGATAATCCATAATTTAAAAAATAAAAATTGTGTTATTTACTTTATCTATTCAAAAAAAAGGATATACAAAACAGTTAAAAGCATTCTTATATATATTTTAAAAATATATTATAATTATTAAAAAAATGTAGAAAACCTATAGTATTTTTTACTATCAAAAAAGTATTTTTATTAATTTTATGAGGTTGGTGTAAATTTAAGGTCATAGTATGCTAAATTTCTTGAAAAAAGATTTCTCCCAAGAAAATTAAAAAGGTATATAGAAATGATTTATGTTTTTTGAAAAGCGTATTATGATAAATTTTTACTAGATAGTAAAATTGTAAAAAAGAAAGATAAAAGTGGGGAGGTTTGTTTAAAATTTAAAATCAAGAGCGATCAGTTGTGAAGAATATTGAAGAATACATTAGTCTATGTTTTAAAAGGCAATTCAAATAAGAATAGAAGCTAATGTAATTATTCATAAAACGAATGCAATATGAACGAAAAAACTCAAAGAATACTACAATTGATAAATTATATATAAACAATAATGATAACAAAAATAATGTAATTATGAAGAAAAGCTAACAAAGGAATATTTCTCAAATGAATCAATATATGATATCAGCAAAAGAATTTTAAAAGAAAAATAAGGGATAGAGAATCAGACAAAAGGGTTTAAAAATTAAGTAAAATAGAAAAAAAAGATATAAAAATGCTACTTTAATTTTATTCATTTATGAAATAATAAAAAAAATTGATAAAGAAAAATAGTAATAATAAATATTATCGATTTTATCACAATATCAAGTGACATGCACTTATGAAATATGAAATAATTATCATAAAGACTTAATAGATAAGACAAACGTATATATTTTTTATTTTTATAATAATTATCAATGAAATGAAACAAAGAAGAAAAGAACGAGAAAGATAAAGACAGTATTTTAAGGACAGTGATTGATATTTATAATGATTTTTAAGGAAGAAGCCTAAATTATTTTTTTAGTATTTTTTTCTATGAATAAAATTGATAAAATTTCTTAAATCGATAAAACTAAAAATGTATTCAAATTTATCTAATATTTTAAAACTCAATGCATATGATATGTTTTTTCATACAATATATATAATTATATTAATAGAATTATTGAGTTTAATAAGTAGTTATATTTTAAATTATTTTAATTTTTGATTTTTTTAGATTCAGCTTATGGAAGACAAAATATACCATTAAGGTCTAAAGAGGCTGAAATGAATTCAGTAAATTCATCGTTTGAATATCTTGTTGATGAGG